ATTATTTATATTTATAAGCTATTATAATTTATAAATATATTATCTTATTAATATCTTCTTTATAAATTACTTACTAGATAAGTCTAGTTATATAGAGTTTAAAAAGATAGCTAAGGAAATAATATTTAAAATAAAGGTTATAATTTTATATAAAGTATAAGTAGAAATAAATAAGTTATTAGCTTAGCTTAAATAGTTATATAATAAGAAATAAATAGTATTTAAGAAAGTTAGACTATAACTAATAAGCTACTTATAGAAATATTTTAAGCTTTAGATTCTTTTATAGTAATAAGTTTATAAGTAAATAGTTATATTAACCTTATAACTAAAATATAGTATTTATAGTAATAGTTTTATACCTTAAAAAGGTCTTTAATTAAAACTATATTCTTTTTAACTATTTAATTTCTATTTATCGTTTTTATTATCTTAATATATTCTAAATATTCTATTAGTTCTTATAAATTATCTTTATATCTATAATTATTTATTTAGTAAAGTATTTTAAATAATTAATTTTATATAATAGTAATTTAGGCTTCTCTTAACTTTATATTTAATAGTATTAGAATCTACTTTAATATAGCTACTTATATATAATTCTATAAAAATAGGTTTAAGAGTTAAAATATAAAAGCCTAAGTAGTATTCTATAATATTAGTAGTTTTAATTTATAATTAAGTTTAGAGATTTTCTTAGTAATTTTAAAAGGTCTTAGTTTTTTAAAATTAAGTTTATTACTAAGTTATTTATTTTAATATAATATCTAGGAAAGGTAAGTACTATTGCCTTCTTTTAAAAGATTCTATTTATTCTTAAATAGTCTATATATTCTTATATTTATTTCTTAATATATTCTAAATATTTTAAGAAGTTCTCTTAGATTTTCTTAGTTTTATAATATTATAATAGCTTTTATTACTACTAACCTTATTAAGGTTTTTTATATATAATAAAGGTATATCTATAATAAAGAAAGAAAAGTAATTTCTAAGTACTTTGTCTTATTAAACTACTATATATAAATAATATATAAGTAGTAATTTAATTTACTCTCTTTATAATTAATATAGTTTAAAGTATATTTTCAGAATTTAATTAATCTTTCTATCTATCTATTAGTTTAGAAAATTTCCTATAGTAGTCTATACTAGTTATTAATAATTCTAAGAAAAGTATATACTAGATCTTTAAGTATACTTACTTCTAAGTATAATATTAAGTAAGTATATTTAGTATGCTTATGTATTATAATTAGTATATTATTATATTTACTTTAATAAAGGGTTTTTTAAATTAAAGTAATTTTATTTCAAAATCTAATAAGATTAAATATTATAATATAAAAGGTATTAATAATAATTAGAGTTCTCTATATAGTTTATATCTACTAAGCTTACTTTAGTATAGACTTTATAATCTTTAATTACTTTAACTATTTTTATAAATAACTTACTTATTATAATATTATTTAATTATCTTTGGGTTTTAATAATTCCTTAGTAGCTATATATAAATATAATATAAATTTCTATAGTTTAGTTATAAGTTATTTGTCTAGTTATACTAATCTTAATTTTATTACTAATAATCAAGAGTTTTTTTATAAGTATAAGTCCTCCTTTCTATTCTTAAGAATAACCTAGGTTTTTTCTAAGACTAGGATTATAAAGTCTAGTTATTAGTTAAGAGTATTAGCTTTATTATTCTCTAAGTATTAATAATAGATAATTTTAAAGTTAAATTTAAAAAGGAATTTTAACTCTTTGATATATCTCTTATTAAGCTTTTTAAATATTATAAAATAAGTTAAATTCTCATAATTAATATAAACCTTAACTTAGTACTTAGTTCCTAGAGTTATCGTCTATAAGAATTAAAGGGTAATTTATATTTTAATATACTATTTATAATACTAAATAGTTATTATAATTAAATCTATTATAATATAAAGACTATAGTAATATATACTTTATACGTATAGACCTAAGAAATATCTAAGTATATCTAACTATTATATAACTAATAAAGTATAATAAGTATAACTAGTTAAAACCTTACTAATTAAACTTTAATTATAAAAGTTAAACCTTAATAGGTATAACTAGTTAAACCTTATACTATAACCTTAATTAACTAATAGAGAAAGTCTAGTTTACCTAATAGGAAGTCTGATTTATTTACTATTAATACCTTACTTTTTTCTCTCTATAAGTAGAATAATCAAGTAATTACCTATACTTTAATATAACTACCTATTTACCCTACTATTTATAACCTCTTATTATCTCTTCTTAAGTACCTTATAATAGTAAATTAGTTATCCTTATAACTAGCTACTATTAGAGTTATAAAAATAAATAATTATTATATTATATAGTATATATAAGCTATATAATATCTAGTTAAATATATATCTTATTATAATTAATTTAAATTCTTATTTATATAAGTTTAATTTAATAATATATAATATTTTATAGATAATTAGAGACGTTATATTAGTTAAAATAAAAATATTTAAATACTTTTAATAAAGCTTAACTCTTAAAAGCTTAAAATACCTTTATTGTTTTCTTAATAAATAAAACTAGTAGTAAGAAAATAAATAAGCTTATTAATATAAGTTTAATATATATATAGGCTTAAGCTTTTAAAGTTTTTATTATTATTATAACCTTAATAACTTTTTACTAATGTCTTTAAAATAATAATAATTATATTATTCTATAATAGTATTATTATACTTTTTATTTTAAAAGATATTTAGAAATATTAATTTACTTAGTAATAGTTTAGATAAGATTAGTAAATAATAACTTACTTTATAATATTTTTCTATACTTAATAATAATTTAATTCTACTTTATACTTACTAATAATTTATAAAATACTTTATATCTATATAAAGAATACTTAATTAGTTAAATTATAATATACTATTATTATAAGACGTTAAAATTTTTATTTATAAAACGTATAAACCTATTTAATATATTCGTAATATAAGCAGGGTAAGATATTATAATAAGGAGTTATTAAGTAATTATAAGAAAGAAAATATAAATAATAAGTAGAAAAAATATAATATAATTAAGTTATTAATATTATTATATTAGGAGAAAATAAAATATAAATTATATAAAATAAAATGAGTTTATATTAATAAAGAAAATAAGATAAGATAAAGTATATACTAACTAGAGAGAGAATATATACTTATATAAAAATAGCTTAAATATAATAATTTTTAAGTAATTAACTAAATAAATAGCTATTATAAAATATATATAAAAAGCATAGAAAGCTATAATTTTTAAAGACAGAGTATAAAATAAGTAGATCAAAAAGTATTATATAATATATTATATATAGTAAATAGTATAAAGTATTAAATAAGTTACTAATTAATTATATATAAAAACTTTTAAATAATAAGAGAATAAAAAAATAAGTAACTATATTATATATATTACTAAATAATAAATAAAATGCTAAATAATGTAATATTATAATATAATAATAGTTATATTAAGCTTTTTAAGTAAGACTAAGCTAGTTATATAACTAAATAGTTTTAAAAACTAAGACTTTAGAATAGAAAGATAAATATAAGTAGTTAATAATAATACTAACTACTTAGCTTATAGAACATAAATAAAGTATATACCTCTTTATAGTTTAGCTTAAGAATTTTAAACTAAAGTATAATAATATATTACTTATAGTTTCTAAGCCTTCTTTAATTAAGCCTTTAACTATTTATAATATCTTATACTTATTATATCTTATATAAATTAAATTTAATATTCTTATTATAAAATAATAATATAGTATAGTACTTTACCTAGCTTTAGTTATAAAGGTATTATATTTATATATTTTAATAAGATTAGAAGTTATAATATTATTCTTATAAGTATCCTAGTTTTAAAAGGATAAGATTTAGTTTCTAAAGTATAATAAATCTATCTTTAAAATCTATTATAATATCCTGTTCCTAACTTATATTTTATTATACTTTTACTTATTTTAAACTTTCAAAAACTAACTAACTTAATAGTAATACTAATAATAATTATTTTAGATAATATTAAAATACTATTAATTAACTATTTAATATTCTTATTAATAACACTAAATTATTTTATAATTTAAATTAAAAATAAAGATTTTAAAATATTTTACTAAGTAGGCTAGTTTTATTAAATTATTATATAGTATTTATTTACTTTTACTTTAAACTTGTATTTTATAGGAAAGTTTACTACTTCTTGAAAAATAGTAATTTTTTAGAACTTAGGATCTTATTAATAAGAGAACATGACTAGGAAGCAGTATCTACACAAAGCCTTTAGTAAGCTAGGATGAATCTTCTGGTCCCTCCCTGTGGGGCGACCAAATTTTATTACAAGCCATACTACGTATAATGAGAATATGCCAAGAATGATTTCTTCGTGATCTTCCTTACCTAGAGGGCTAGGTGTCTGCTGAAGTTGGCTATCTCAATCTTTTCGTACTCATGTCCGCACTAGTAGCGTTACTTATCTTGAGACACAATTACTTTCATTCTTGTCTTAATAAAACACCGAAATGGCGTTGACAATGCAGGCTCACATCAGAATGAATGTGGCGGCAGGGATATCTCATGTTCGGTTCTTGTCAACTCAAAGAAAGTTGAGGTTGTCATACGACCTGCACGAGCCTGTAAAACAATCGTCTGGCGCTTGTTCGAGCCCAATTATCTTCCTCCACGGCCTCTTCGGATCCAAAAAGAACAACAGAAGTATTAGCAAGCAAGTGATATTCGTATCTCGGACCAAGTTAAGATATACTAATTGTTCACTAGAGTTCTCGCTCGCGACCTAAAGAGACCCGTTTATGCATTGGTAACTGCAGTTATTCGCCGTTGGCACGGGCAAGCAGCTGATATCGTCCCCAGGATTTGCGTAACCATGGAGAATCACCCCATGACCCAGTACACGACTACGTTCACATGGCAGATGATGTCTCGGCTTTCATAGACCAGCATCGGCTTCGACAGCCTACAATCATTGGCCATTCAATGTAAGCCTAGCATCAATTGCCCTGAGACTTCAAGATTGTCCTCTACTGAACCTTCATCTTCCAAGGGGTGCGAAGGCCGCCATGACTTTGGCGCTGAAGTCTCCCGAAGTGGTGCGGGACATCGTTGCTGTCGACAATGCACCAGTTGATGCCATCTTAGAGAGCGCCTTTGGGAAGTATATCCAGGGCATGAAGAAGATTGAAGCTGCCAATGTCACCAGACAGGCCGAAGCAGATCAAATCCTGAAAGACTACGAGAGTGTGAGATGATTCCCGACATGTAGCTACTCACAGCATTGGCTAACATGATGTCACAGTCTCTCCCTATCCGTCAATTTTTGCTCGGCAACCTTCACAGACCTGAGGCGGGCAACTCACAGCTTAGGTTTCGTGTGCCCCTTGACATCATCGGTCGTTCTCTCAACCATATGGGTGATTTCCCATACAAAGACCCAAGTGAAGTTCGATTCGAGAAACCCGCACTGTTTGTTCGTGGGACGAAGAGTAAATATGTGCCCGATGATGTCTTGCCCATCGTGGGACAATTCTTTCCCAAATTTCGTTTAGCAGACATTGATGCCGGCCACTGGGTTATCTCGGAGAATCCGGAGGCATTCCGTCAAGGTGGGTTGCTCGACCAGATCTTTATCCTTGGCATTTGATTTAACGAGTGATTTAGCTGTGGTTGATTTTCTGGAAGGTCAGGAGTAGAAAGTATTCTACGACATCGCTTATTTGTTAGTGACATAGAGAAGAGACAGATAGACAGGCGAATGAAAAGGACCGGCATAGATAAAGTTGACAAGCAAGTATACCCTATTCAGGCAGCATCGACTCACAGTTGGCGCACATTACATGGAAAATTCACGAGTCACGCACCAATCCTACCAGGCATGCAGAATCCAGGAACGAAGTCGCATTGATACTGCGAGAATCGGCTCTTGGTCGACGATGGACTGCAAAAACAAGACCGTCCATTCCACCTACACACATGACGCCATTTTTTTCTTAAATATCCTCCCATTGGATACCGAAACCCAAGTTTTGCCATCATGATTCGGAAGCGAGGCTGCGTACACCCGGCACAGTGTCTTGAATTGACCATTTACCATTTTGAGGTAACCTAGACCCGCAGCCGCCTAAAATGCTACGCCATGTGCAACGACCTAAAACAATGCCGAATTTGTTTCTCGGCCGATAGAGCCTGAGTCCCTTGCTGCCGAACCATCCTCCGCCTAGGGACCTTTCCCTTAGACTTCTTCAAGAACGCGCTCCTTGAACTCACGCTCAACCTTCTGTCCCTGGTCGTCGGTGCCAGACTCGCCGTGGAGACCCATCAGGGCACCAAGGTCGAACTTGGGCTGCTTGAGGAGCTTGACCTTACGGATGTGAACCTGAGCGAAGTCAGCAACTGAAAAAGCTATACGTATTCAAAGGTAAAATCATGGGGCCAACGCACGTTCTGCAGAGGGTAAATGCCCTGGGTAGACTTCTCGATCTCACGGCCAATAACCTCGGGGATGAGCTTGGAGGTGAGCTGGGTGAGGGTGCAGGTCGAAGCCTCGCGCTGAATAATCTCTGTCATCTTGCGGCGAATAGCCCGGATTTGCGAAGAGGCGGCGTATGTCGTCTTCTTGATCTGGTTGGGGCGGCGCTTGGTGAAAGCAATGGCGAAGAGTCTGAGGAGGTAGTCGTCGGTGGTCTTGACGGTGACGTTAGCCTCAATGAGAGTCTGCCACTTGCGGACGAGGGAGCGGAGCTTGTCGGAAGTGAAGTCGAGGCCGTGGAAGTTAGTCAGGCAGTTCTTGCCCTGAACCTCGTCGACGCGGAGCTTGACCTTGCGGAAAGCGTGGTCCTCGTCCTTCTGGAGATCCGCCAGGGAGACCTCCAAGATGCGGCCCTTCAGAGCATCGTTGGCGTTCTTCAGACCGGTGGTTCTGTTAACCAGAGTCTTGCCGACGCTACACACGGCACGTTAGCTTTCCGGATCATAAATTCTCTCCCGTCAATCAGTCTCAACTCGGGTTGCATTGATCTATCGTCTTGGCCAACGGAAAGTTGCGGGCAACTCTGCGTGGCAGGATATCGGTATGGCGAAAACTCACTCTCTGACGTTGAAAGGGGCAGGGGCCTGATAAACCATGTTAACGAAACCATACTCGGTGTATCACGAATCTGGGGTGATTTTCACCTTGATCTGGTACCAGTCCTTACGAGAGAAGGGGTCCACGGTCTTCTTCTTGAGGCCCTTCTTGCCCTTGGACAATCTCTTGTTCCTGCCATAAGGACGAAGGTTAGCAATTGAAGTCGCGATAGAAACGATGAGCGTGCTCGCTAGCACGGCAGTCGTCTTCTTTGGACAGGATCGAGGGCGAGTGCGCTTACTTTCCAACAGCCATTTTGGGCGGCTGCTATTTGTCTGGCGGATGAACGTTGAGTAGATGGAAGTTTGGAGGGGTGGTTTTTCGCTGGTGATAAAATTGAAGCGCAGGTTGTGTGGCCGAAATTCTTAGCGAGTGTGCCCCGTTTGAATTATGTAATCAGACTAGCTCCACACACTGTGTTAGCCCCTGCCCCAAGTTCATAACCACAACCCCAGTTGTACAGTAAATTATTACCCATGTCTTGTCAGCACAGTATATCACGTGATATATGGGGATTTTTTTTTTCCCATGTGCCAAACCCCGATGACCCACCCCACTGCACAGGACGTGGCGACAATGTGGCTGATGCTGTAATGTAACACATCGAGGCCTGGTTGGCTACAAGTACACTCTTATGAGGGGGCAAAGCCACTTAGGACCTAGCCAAGACTTTCTTTAACCAACCAAAAATATCTAATTGATAGGAATCTATTGTGTGAATCAATTGTGACTATGTCATACGTACCATTAATATCAGAGCTACAAGAACGCAGCCAGGGAAACCACTGGAAACATAAGGGTTGATACCAAACGGCCATTTATCTCTGATATGAGTGAGAAATTGGTGTGTAAAATCTGCAGCTATGTACCTGTAGCCAACCTAGTCTCAGTAGGAGGCTGTCGAATCTCCATTATGAGTTGTATAGCGAATGTTGACCAGGCTTGGAGAAACGGACCCTCGAGTTACTGTGCAAAGATGATGAACTCAACCCAACCGAATCATTGAATACCAAGGTCCAGCCCATTTTCGACTATTAATGTTTTATTCCAGTAGTAACTGATGTCCAAATTCTTTGTGTTTCGCAAAAAACAGTCCTTGTCTTCATCTTGGCAGCGTAGCCCATTAGCCATTTGCCGCGAAGCAGGTACTTTGTACACCGTACAGCAGAGCATTTTGATCACAATTCTCACAGCACTCCTGTTTTCTCACTTTCAGTAAGGTATAAGCGTTTTCACTTTGGAATTCATTCGGTTATGCATTGGTAGGACTGAGCTCCTCGCCCAGGTCGGTTATGAAACTCTGAAACCCGCATCAATTATTGAGCTGTGTGGGTATTCCTCTTAATGTACATGTGCAAACTTGTCCTGACGTCTTTGCCCCCATATACCGGCCCTAGTCGCACTTCGACGCATCCATTAATCATCCTTCATTGTGTTTACTTGCCCACCAGCGAAATGTCATCCACACAATTTCTCCGACTGAAGATTCCTATTGCTAGCTACAACGTCCCCAATTCCTTATCCGCAGCGAATCTTGCTGCTTTCCACCCTCCTCCTTCTCTTTTCTTTTCTTTTGGTTTTCGATAGGGAGGTGGGGAGAATGAGTTCCTGACGAATACTGCGAAATCGATGCCACTGGTTGCTCATCGCGTACACCTGCTTGTCTACACCAGACATCTCACGGATCCCTTGTCCGCAGGCTTCGCATGGAGCATTAACACTTCTGCCGGCTCTAAAGAAGAACCTGGTTTGTCGGCGATCGATGCCTTGGTCGATGAAAGCGATCAGATGGCTGATGATGGCCAATGGCGTATTTGCTAATGCCAACCTCTGTCTCAGTCTTTCCCGGCGCCTCAATGCTGGTGCGAGCCCCTGTTTCCATGCCCTGCCATCTGTACGCCGTCGCCATTTTCAGACATCCTCTTCTTTATCGTCATGCCCCCGTTCCCCATCCCATGCGTCGAAATTCGGGAAACTAAAGTAGCCGTTGGAGTCTGGTCGCATCTTCGTCAGCAAATCACGTTTGTTGCCAAATATAGTCGTGGCGTTTTACGGACAGGGATGGTGGTCCCGGGGACTCTGCACTCGGTTGGCAACTGCTGTGGTCACGTCGTCGACACTTAAAGGCGCCATCGGAGGTGCTGAGCCGGATGTAGGCGAATACTCCGGGGCCGGGCCAGAGTAGATTGCTACGCGATTAAGCAACTCAGTGGCCCTTTGCGCTGATTGCGGGCTCGACATGGCCCCGCGGCTAGCATTAGATGTGGTTGTAATGGAAGGTTCGGTCGCGCTTGCTCGTAACAGCCTTGGCCGACGTCTACGATCCGGCCGTGGTGATGACTCTCTCCTCCGCACGCCATCTCCATCTCTCAAATCCCTGGGAGCGGCGGCCATAACTGTACTTTCTTTCTCACTAAGGATGGATATGTAGGCGTGTTGGCCAGAAGGTTTGGATACGGACAAGTCTTGCTGAACGTCTCTGCAAAGATGCAATGGTTACGGAACATAGCAATATCATGACTGCTGCTCCGGTCATCGAGCGGGCATCGTGCACATTATCAACATCCCATTGAGCCCCGACGTCCCGGCGGGAGAGTCGGTTCATGGGGGCCGAGCCTGGTCGATGGTTTTCCGCTGACAGGCTAAGCGTAAGGTCATTGGGCCACATGGCCGGTGCCTGATGGGACCGGCTCCCAACTATGTGTCTTGTCTTGTATGGGTCGGTGAGTGTCTGTTTGGGCACTTATACGCAAAGGTCATGCATGGCCGGCGTCACGCATGCAGCTACTGTGGGGTGGCCAACCGTTTCGTCAACCAGCTCCCGTCTAATCCCGGACAATTCAAGTCCAATCACCGCAGGATACCGCCGTGACGTTACGGACCGGTCAAGAACCTGGAGCTGGCGAACTGGCCAGGCGCTGCATGGGATACAACGCCCTGGTCTATTTCTGCATACACAAGGTATTCGGATTTCACTAAGGTATGTTCCAGTCAGGTGTATGTCCCTCGCCCGCCTGGTGGTATGATAATCGTATTTCTCCATTAGCCGAACACATTTCGTCTCGACTGATTTGCTAAAAGCATCATACAAAGTTTTTGATTCGATGTAATAACTCGTTCAATGGGTCCTTTTCTATACTTTGTTTACTTACTAGTACGGATGATGATGCTGCAATGTTTTCTAACATGGTGCTCTGCCTCCTCCTTCGCCTTTCTGCTAGCATGACCCGAGGGAAGAGGCGTTACCCCCAGCCCCTCATCCGCAGTTCCATCAGACACTTTATCGATCCGTTTATCAGGGGGTGCACAATGGAACAGGCACGGTTGTCGGTGGGGGCGCTCTTCACCACTAGGCACGATTATCAAATATCTCAAGCTCCCCGACTGCTTCGCCCTTGATTCCTCAGCAAGCTTGAGCTTAGCCGGCTTGCGGCCACCAGCAGATCTTAATCAACATTGAGGACATAGACTCTAGTGGTCAATACTGCGAGCAAAATTAGCAATTTGGCCGTTGGTTTGGCTCTCGGGAACTTACTCCTCCCATAGTCGACCTTGCACAGCTCTCAACTCATCTTCGGTCATGCGCTTTCCTGCGGTGAAGTATCCTAGACTCAGGTGTCAGTATATGGGAGGGGTTTGCAGTGCTTTCTGTTCGCTTACCTGCAGTGATCTTCGCGTCAATCTCGACTCGCGAATCTGCTGGGATCAACTCCTCTGGCAGCTCAACTCGCTCATGGATGGGTATTCTATGGTCCATCAGAAACAACTAGAAAATTAGGCTGCGCTGCGCGTTCAATTCTTACCCCTGTCCCACGATGGCATCGTGCTTCATGCTAATAGCCACCATCCATCATTAGTCATCACACATCGCGACCGATAGGTGGCATGACACTTACTTGCTCATGCTCAGCATACGATCAATTTTACGGATTCCAAGCCAGTGCAAGATATCTGGCATCAGTGCCTGGAATCGCATATCCTTGACTCCTGCGATATTCTCGGTTCTCTTGAAATAATCTGATGCTCGGTCTTCGCCCCTCTTACGGGCATTATACACAACTGTTTCCCACATCAGCATCCGCTACAGAGCATCAAAAAGGGTCACAGGTCGCCTCCTATCAAATAACGCGAGGATCAGGGACCGTGAATATACTTACGGTACTGCGTTCTCAATTAGCTTTGCGCCAGCTGTTTATGTGCATGATGCAACATACCTTGGTTACCTCTCCGAGAGCTCTACCTTCCTTTCGGAAATAGATGACAACGCCACTGCCACCTCTTTGTGCCTCTTTGACAGCTTCTTCGATGCCAAAGATAAGGTAAGGCCGGCATGTGCAGATATCAGAGCCAAAGACGTCACTGCCATTGCACTGTGGCAATATGAGTATCTTAGTTGTTTCATGGCCTTGGGAGATACAAACCTCATCATGGATACGCAATGCTAGTCGCACTGACTCATCAGACATCTTGGCCGGGTCGCCAAAGCAATAAACGGTTAGGCCGCCTTTAAGGATGAACAGGTCAACCAGGTTTCCTTTCCAGGTCAAGTAGTAAGTTGCTCAGTGGTGCTCACCAATGGGAGGAAGGAAGACCTTGATATCTCCGCGGGTAATCAACTATCGAGAAGCGTTAGAACATGAGTATTGCATTGCCAAAAAAATGCTGACCTCGGGGTAGCTACCACCTGTGTGCTCGAAGAGCGATCTTCTCAGAGCACCCTCATCTAAGCGTCATTAGTTGCCTGAATACCGTTGATAAGCTTCGTAGTGACGAACCGATGCCAAATCTCTCAGCTACTCCAGGAAGATACCACACCTAGAGACAGATTAGCTACATCACAGTTTTTAGGACAGCGAACATACGGGCTCAACAGCGAACTTAGTGACCGCGAGCTCTCCAAGGTCATTGAGGCAGACTTTGCCGTCAGGTACACTGCCCTCATATTAGTGAAACTTTTTTTTTTTAACACAGGCAAGGGATTGTCTACAGTCTGCCACTTTTAACACTCTCTTCTAGCTCCGGGAGCTGGCAAACAGTTAGCTCGCACAGCTGTGACAATGATACAATCTGACAACCTTCATGTGTGCCTTTGTAATGGCAATAGTAGGACGGATGTCAACTAGAGTTGCATGTTATTTTATCGTCGCACTTGACAGGGGGTTACATGCTGGTCATACCGTTCTCTCCTTCAATAGTGTCCTTGAAAAGCCATGGCGCCAAATGACCCCAGGGATCCATGGCAACAATCTTCTTAGGATCTCCCCATTGCGGGAAGGGTCCAATTTTGGCAGCAGGCTCTGTGTTGGTAAAGTCGGGCCTTGGACATACGATGAGTTTAGAACTAACAGGTGTAGTATAATTGCCTTACCTGTGCTCTAGATTAAGCTGTTTGCTGGCAACAGCCAAAGCATAGTAAATGGAGTAAGAGCCCCCACTGAGTACTCATCAGTCAGCCAAAACAACTGAGATTCTGATACCATACGTCCAGCCAGGGGCGGTAAATATTGGGCATTCACTTACTGGGCTGGATCCACGCAGTCAGCTTCCATCAAAACCAAACATAGCAGGGAACGGTATTAACTAACCTCCAACAGCTAAATACATGCAAATATGTCAGCTGGTTGCTATAACAACACATAGTCCGGGAGGTTATATGGCTACGGACCATTACGTCTCCCAATTGTAGATGAAGATCGAGAAACCACAACCGGGCCTCTATTGTGAGGATCTAACTCTCCCCATTTCAATGGAAGCGGCTTGATTCCGATCTGCTTCGGATACGTCCTGTAGATCATTGTCAACATCTGTGTCGGGAAGAATTCAATTGTAATTTAGATACAGGGACAGTCTGGTTGAATGCTTGCGTCTAACTCAGCAACGTACGTGAGGATAATGCGGGAAGTAAGCCCGGATCGCTGACTTGGGGAAGAGGGCACCGCTGGAGCCTGTAAAGTAGAATCAGAGGCTTGCTGGTCGGAATCAATCCCAGCATCATGACGGTCAATGGTAGGGGCTGCCTCCAGGGCCACTTCGAGGGACGGACTAGGGCGAAGTGTAATCGTAGAATTTTCGTTGCCAGATAGCTGCTGGTATCGCTGAGCCAGGGTATCGACGGCAGCGACGAGGTTCGATTGAGTCTGCTGGATTGAGCGCAGCGAGCTTAGGACCTGCGCCAAGGCCTCATCGTTGGGCGTTTTGCTGCTCATTACGAACAATTTTTGGGCAAATATTGACAGCACAAGAGTAGCAGAGAGATAAAGGAGCCTGTCGGGCAATTTGTCGTGTGATGCGGGCGATGACTGCGGTGCAAGTTCACCAAACACAGGCAGAGATGAGAGAAATAATAGGAAGAAAAGGGAAGCAATAGAGAAGAGGATGATGGAGGGAAGGGAGGAGGAGGTTGACGAGAATAAGTGAGACAGGGCAAAGCTTGGGGCCTGTTGTATTCGGATTAAACGGGAAGTTGGAGCCTCTTAAGAAGGACAACACATGTCGGTGACCACCGATGGCTGGTCCACCGTCTTTGCAGGATGCCAAATCAATATTTGGGTTTGTAAGATGGAAAAGGGCGTGGTCATGTAGCAAACAGCTATAGACATTGGCAAGATGCAAGCAGTTTACAGGAAGCTAAGGTACCAAATTACCTCGGGTTACTGCATAGGTAAGGCACTTTGAGCTTAGGTTCACTGCCCAAGCGAGATCTTGTGACCTGTCGGAAGGCGCCGCGTGCACCTCAAAGTCCCGTCACTGCAGTACTAGCTGGAGCTTGCGCGACAGTTGGGGTAGGATGTGGTTGGATGGGGGCTGGGCATCGCACCTCCGATGCAAGTTTTAGAACACAGCACAGCGCCGGCCAGTTGCTACCTCAGAGGTTGTGCGGGGCTGCCCGCAACCGGGAGAAAGATAGTGGATGATGCGGCGGACAGCGTCAGAGATAAGGGAAAAGATGTTCCCCACCTACCAAAAGTGTCCCTTCCAAATATGGACTATCGGATGACAATTGAACATGCCTCTTTACCAGGTGGTACAGCCTTCACAGAGATAACACCTACACCTCGTTATGCTGGGATTAAGATCGTACGCTAGCAACAAAAGCGGCACCATTTGTATGTGAGCTTTCTGACGGGGCGGGTTGCTTCTGCCCCTGCCCCTTCCCCACACTTTTCGCTCATTGGGCGATCATCTCCACTTCAAAACAACGAAGCAAGGTACCGATGGAGGGGATGAGGGGCAACTCCAGCTTGCTTTCAGGCTTGACAACCGTGATTTTACATCGGAAGATGCTTGCAATATCCGAATATACACTCCATCCTATGGTGACCTCCCATACTTGGCAACAATAACTTTGTATACGTGGACACATGGCTAGCAAAAGAGGCAAATGATCGCAAGCTTAGTGAAGGAAAGTTTAGAACCACCTTCTCTCCTGGATACAATAAAAATGACTTGCTTACTAATCATACGGAGTGCAGTGTGCCATGGGAACTGGGCAGAAGCAGTCACACCCCGCTTTCCTGATAAGCCATGAGGCTAGTTGTTTCTGCCGCGTGATAAGAGCTTTTCCACCGCAAACACATTGTATCCTACACAACTTAGTTACTTTGCGCCGCGCATGCATCAAAATCCCAATCTTGCCTTAGTCGCAGTCGCAGAACACTTTCCTAGTCTCGTCATCTTTTACAAGTCTAAAGATATATTTCATCTGATTCAAATTTATGTTTTCTTGATCCCTAGGCAGCGCACATCAATCGGTTTCTACCATCGATCAAACTATTTGACGCCCGTCAACTGACCGCTCTCTAATTTCCACGCGCCGGCCGCGCCCGTTCCGGACTACCACCCAGACAGGTCTACTTCCTGCATTATGGGCAAGCGCAAGAGCTCGAGTAAGCCCCAGGGACCCAAGAAGGTTCGTTGATCAGCCTCCTTGTCACCACAATCGTTTACACATGTTATAGAAGGACCCCCTGCCGACTAAGTTCACATGTCTCTTCTGCAACCACGAAGACTCGGTTGCCGTGAAGCTGGATAAGAAAGCGGGCGTCGGGTCACTGGATTGCAGAGTGTGCGGCCAAATGTTCCAGTGTAGCATCAACTGTGAGCTCATCTGCTGTTTTATTATTGTCCGCCAGTACTAAACAAATATAGACCTTTCGGCTGCAGTTGACGTTTACGGAGAATGGGTAGATGCTGCGGGTAAGTGTTATCGCTATACATTAGACATGCCCCATTGGCAACCCAAGAATCCAGCTCTAACATCTCAATAGACGCCGTGGCCAAAGAAGCAGGCTCTGCTGGTGGAAGCGGCCTGAGTAAGACCTCTAGTGGTCGCCGCGCACCTCCGACCCGAGCAGTGAACGATGACGATGATGACGATAGAAGATATGGTGGAGAGGGTATCGACGCAGATGACGATGATTACTAGAGATTCGATGGTCTTGTTTAACCCAGTTCGGGTGCTGGAAATGGGGGACGGCTTTGGGTACAGATCCGCCCACCGGAACAGGCTGTAGTATCGAAGAGCCACTGAGTTAAGCAGTTGGAGGATACAGTCATCTGGGTATATGTGACTGTCTAGAGCACACTGGCGTGTCTTTAGACAGTGTAGAACCGGTCGCCGAAGTCGCCGAGGCCGGGGATAATGTAGCTATAAGACCTTGTTAACAGCAGCACGACTGAAATGCTTGATGGACACTGACTTCTTTTCATCCAAACCCTGCATCGAATCTTGTTAGATTCACTCATTCCAAGTGGTGGAGCCAATGGTTGTACTTACCTGGTCAACAAATGCTGTGACAACCCGGAGCTTGGGGAACTTGGCGGTAAAGTTCTTAATGCCCTCGGGGCTTGCAATTAAATTCAAAAACAGGATGCGGTCCTCGGGAACACCCCGAGCTTTGAGGACTTGCACAGCCATGATGGCCGAACCTCCTGAAAAGGGGAAAGAACATTAGCAAATCAACTTACGGGAGGGGGGGTAACTCAGCAGTTCGGCAAAACAGAGGACTGGGCTGGGCTGGGCTGGTTTCATGATTGATATACCTGTGGCGAACATCGGATCTAGCAGAAGAACCCAACGTTGAGCAATATCTTCAGGAAGCTTGTCGTAGAATAGCTTCGGTTGAGCTGTTTCCTCATCCCGCTGGATCAGAATTTTGCCGATTCTCACCGATCGACAGCAGTCCCGCAAGCCCTGCTCCATAGCCTCACCAGCACGCATGATGGAAACGCCGCAAATCTTGCCCTGGAACATAAGGCCCGAGTAAGTCCGGCCAACGGGTGTGGTCACATCATGTTCAACTGTAGGTAGGTGGTTCAAACCCTCCTCAACGAGTAGCCGAATTATACGGTTAGAGTAGAAAATGAAATCACCACGCTCAGTATTCTTATCCCGGATAATACTGCAAATGAGTCAGTAAAATGTTTGTATCTGTGAAGCCTGCCCATTCGCCTGCGTATCGTCTTTGGACCTCGACGGATATATCTAGGGAGAAAGGGCTAGCCAAGACACGTATAACTACCTTAGGGGCGGGCTAGGAATCCGAAGGAACTTACGTGAGGAGAGCAATAAGCTGGGGTGTCTGAGGAAGAATAGTAACGTTGTCCAAGTTCATCTCAGTCGATACAGTTGCTGTAGGCTTTTGGCTCTCAGAGCGGTACAACGGTCCAACACACTGGGTAGGCCCACTGGTGTTGGCGGACTTCAAATCGTGGCTGGTCATTTTCAGCAGTGTTTGACAGTGGCTTGGATATTTAATTTTGAATCAGGGGGGTATGAGAAACGGACAACCGAGGTTGGGGGGAAAAAAAAACTACCCTCGAAAGCAGAGTGTGGCACAATATGTGCAAAGACGGTGTGTAAGGGAGTAGTTGCGAGAACTAAGGCATGTAGCTCGTCTAGACTTTGACTGCTGCTCAGGTCCAAGTTTGAGTTTCGGGTTGGGGAACACTGGTGGAAAGCCTCGGAATGCAGCTTGCAAAACCCAGTATAATATGCGCGCGAGGACCCAAAGGGTTTGGACGAGTAAATGTCACGAGACGTTATGGAGCTCGCCGTTTGCCGACCAGTGCTTTTTGCTGAGTTGCAGTTAGTATGCAGAAGTATTTACCCTAAAGCACCTTCTGGCAGGTGCGGATATGCAGGGCAAGGTATGGATCAGGCACGGCACCTTCCATGTTTTGCCTTAGCTAAGTGATAGGTACTGAAGGCGCTGATGGAGAGTGAGGACAAGATAAGAGTCATGTGGGGTCATGGAGGGTCATGGAGGGGCCAATGAGCACATTATCGCATGAACTCCTTATCTCAATGCATGTCTGCTCTTCATTTGATAACTATACTCTTATTATCTTATAAGGTATAGATTGCATACGTGGTATTCACGTCATAAGTATTCACAATCGGAGCCTAACCTACAAAGCGGGGATACAATGTGGTCAGCCCCGGTAAATGCCCGAACGAGCGAGTCCTGTCCCTTTGACGGTACGTATCTTCCCGCAAAACGGCTGAACTGGGGTCGCCAGACCAGTAGGTAAAGCGCTCCGGAGAAGGAGGCGTGGGGGAGGCAACAAGAAGAGCTGTCTCCTTTCGGTTTTTGTGAGACGCGAAGCAGAAGGCAAGACAACGTAACACCGATTGCCCTGCAGTTCAAAACTGTTCCATACTCTAGACCAGCAATCGCCATCGTATTAATATTGCAATCCATCACAATTAGTTCTTAACACTCATCGTCTTACCCGGCTAAAACCCGGCGTTCTTGTCGCTCCATTGCGCCTACCTTCCCAACCAAGATCTCGAGCACAACAACTCTCTACGCTATCCGAAGACGCCTTATCACGCTCGTTCCCCGCAATTGACGCCATCTTCCGCATGGGGCGTACTTGAGGTTTCTGTTGCGACGCAACTGCTTGCTATCTCAATCACTTGCGGGATCACCTAGAGGCTATAAATCAGTTTGAGGTTCGCGGAATTGGACAACATGTCTACCAGAGACGGACCTGGCGTTCCTCGAAAGAAGACCACAACGTATGGCAAGACCTCGCGTAAACGACCCATACATGCCTTCTTGGAGTTGACCAACGGTACACAACGCGCTGGCGATGAGGGTGCTTCGCCTCCGTCGCTATCTACAGATTTAAACCGAGACCCTTACGATCTGCCCGACGACGAGTCTAGCTACAAACCAATACCCCGACGCGCGGTGCCGCTGCCGGACACCTTACCCGGGTCACAGTCGGACGCAACAGGGGGTTTTAAGAAGCGAAGGCTACCGCCAACCGTTGTAGCCAAGGCCGAGGGCAGGTTCGACAGCAAGGCTGCCGTCGGCTCGCAACCGACAATGTCTTCCCGCCCTCGTCAGACTAAATCGCCATACATTTCGAGCAGCGCTGCTGCTTTGCGCTCTGTTAAGCATGAGTCGAGCCTTACATCCAGGTCTATGTCCGCATCACAGAGACCTAAGAGTCGTAGGGAGGGCGAGGTGATTCCTGCCAAATCCCATAACCCTGTAAGGGTTGAGGCTGCACAGAGGGATGATATTGGGCTACAAAAGAGCAATGAAAAACCTATGCAGTCACCCAAGATAGGGCATCAAATTGACGATTCAAGCATGTCAACCATTGAGCCACCCGTCACAAAGCAGAGACGATCACTCGAGCCAAGACGTGTACGCTTGATTGACCAGCTGGCCGCCCAGAACGAGGATAGCTCCGACTTCGAGTCAGACGCCTCGGAATTTTCGGATAGGGGCGTCGTAAAGACAGTCAGCAAGGAATCCTTACTTTCGACGCCGGCCAAACCCGCAGATTTAGCCACGCCAAAGCTGTCGGCACGGCCCAAACAGCTTTTAAGCACCAAAAAGTTCCGCTCAACATACGGTGAGCAAAGAACGTTGAAGGCAGATGATTCGGGGGGAGACGGCCTCGGTAGTCAGATGGGTTTCGACAGCCAGATCGACCTTTCGCCACCTCCAGCATTGTCTAAGCTGGCTTCCTTTTCATTTGAAGAAGAGGATTTGGAGGAAGATGCGGCATCTAAAGGTGGCGGCATCATCGACATCCACGCGCTGAGGCAGGCTGGTGCCAACCATCGTTTTGCAGACAGTATGGCGGATTTACTTGAGAGAGTTGGCACTCCTCAGCCGGCAAAGTCACAATCGTCGCGAACGAGACGCACAGCGTTGTTGGAATTGGCAAGCAAGCTTCGGGACAAGACATTTGTCCGTCAGTTTCGCGATCAAGGCGCCAAGGATGCTCTATTCCAGGCAATTGGGGCTGAGGAAGACATCATCAATGGTTTCATTCTCCTTTCTGTTCTTCTCGTACTTTTCACTTCGTATTCGGTACCTCATCTGGTTCCGCAGCTTGAATCTCAAGGTATTGCGCAACTAGCTTCTAGGATGTTTGACGAAGACGAGGATATTATGGCTATATCTATTCAACGGAGGTCAGGCATCTCCAAGTATGGACAAACATCTCTGCGCGGTCTGAAATCGACTTTGCAAAGCCTGGAGGTATGGGAAACTTCCTCATCGTTCGATTTGTCGCCGAGAATGCTTGCTCTCAAAGTTCTCTCTGTGCTGTGCAAAGACAGCGACGGTCCAGCTACGTGGAATATTCTTGCAAGCCTGACAGATCAGCTGTTTGGGTTCGTCAAGGAAGGCTGGGAAACGAGCCGTGTGAAAGGTATGGGGGGGACAGAAGGTGGGGTTGCCTTATCTCTTCTTGAAGGCTACTCTATTGCAGCAATGCAATCTGAGGCCGGGCCTCGGTGGACAAAACGCTATCTTCCTGTACTTGCCGACATTCTTACAGCGGCTATGGCGCGGCCTATGGCACAATTCGGCGAGTTTGAGTCTACAACGTTAAAACTCGCCCTGAACACAACAAACAATAACCCCACAGCAGCTGGAGCATTTAGCAGGGGCGAGTTATTTCGGGAGCTGGCTGCAACCAGCCTGGCAGCATTTGAGCTTCTGGAACAATCTGTCCGCAACGGAGCATTTTCTACTGAGATTTATGAAATGCTCATGCTGATGCTGGGTGTCATGATCAACACCTCAGAGCATTGTCTTTCAACTCGCCAATCTGTTGACGCGTGGCAGGAGCATGATGGGTCTCCGCTGGACAAATTGATAGAAGTGTACTTGGATAATCGAGAATCAGCAGTCATGGTGAGTTGCGGTGGCTTCTCTGGTTGTATTGGAAGTGAAGCTAATTGTTTGAACGGTAGGCCGACTCAGTGGAAAAAACATCAGTGGCCGTAGCCCATGGGTATTTGGCCATACTGCTAGGTTACCTTTCACTGGGTTCTCAGGTTCCTCAACGGTTAAAGGAGAAAAGTCAAGGAAAGGGCATCAAGTATCTGCTCGACTCAATCCAAGAATTTATGACTCTGCATGCGAAGGTCGATACTGACGAACTGACAACGAGTCTGCAAAATCTCGTTAACGAGTTGAGGCAGAAACATAAACTATCTTTATGAGTAACGATCAACGAGCTGTCCTATGAAGAGACTTGGACAAATGCGGTACATGAAGATATGATGATCGAGGAAACGTCTCAGAAGTCAAACAAGATGACGGTACGACTTTATATGTATCGGGTAGATACCAGCACTAGCCTGCCGCACTCCAGCAACTAGGGAGCAACGCAACACCAATTAGCCTTATCCTCATGCCTGTTAGGTCAATAGCAGAACTCGACAGGCCCCCAACACCCTACTCAAAATCAGCTATTCGCTTAGCCAAGGTAGTCCAGGAAATATCACGGGCACCTACTTCTCGTGGAGAATTGCAGTATCACTTGCAAGTGAAGAAGCAGTGCCTAGGGGGCAGTAAGGGAGATAAGCTATGACATCTCAGCAAGGCAACTTTGGCGGGCGACAAAGGTTACCTAAGGCCATGAGGTGCATATAGAGAATATTGACAGGCATATGAAAACAATGCTAGTCAAGTGTGCAATTGCTCTATATAGGTTGTGGTTCTCTGGCACGCAAATATTGCGATTTTAGACCACAGACATCTGAGAAGGTTAGAGAAACGCACACAATGCTCAAACCTTTCGCGGTGCAATCTGCTGGTAAAACTGGGTGACAGGACCTTTAAAAGAAACAAACTGAATATTAAGGCGGCTAGGAAGAAACAAAGAAGGAACCGTTCATGATTCTCAAACTAAAGCCATAAGTTCGTATATTGCTCTAAATTTAGAAGACTTTCCACCAGGCCTACATTCCAGTTTGGACTGAAAACTGAGCTGAAGTGCTCTGGCGTGCATCGGTGGGGGGGGGAGAACCCAAGTCTGGGGCTGTGACAGTGGCAGGCAGCCAGCCTGGCTCATTACGTACGTACCCATCGATTCCCTATTGGGAGGGTCCGCCGGGTGCTGTTAGTTTGACGTATCTCTACCCACTGTTAGAGGCGCCGACCCACTTCCGCTGCGTGCCTATCTAATCTTCCTTCATACACGTGCCGCCTTCTCACCCCTCCATCACAGCAATTACAACCCAGGTCACGGTACATTTTGGTTCTACTACTATTTCAACAATTACCATTTCTGTCAACCTTATATTGCCCTCGCCTCTTCCGATACTTCGCTTCGACGTTCCCTCTTGAGAACCTTTTCTTTTGTTCTCTTCCAGACCCAAGGAGCATCGCCTCTCCATCTCGGTCTTGATTCCGTCAACAAGGGGAAGATCAGAATCCCTAGAAAAGCAAGAAGCTGCCCAGAATACGATTAGAATATATACTTTCAAAAAATGCCGGCACCAAAGAACAGGAAAGTGGCCATTGTTGGCAGCCGCTCCGTTGGTCTGTCAAACCCTTGGTCTTCCTTATTCCTGCCGGCTGTCTCGCATCATATGAAGTGGTAGGAAATATACCGTACGTACCAGTCGCTAACTTTCTCGCCACTGCACAGGCAAATCATCGCTTGCCGTCCAGTTTGTGGACGGTCATTTCGTCGACAGCTATTACCCTACCATCGAGAATACCTTCAGTAAGACTATACGCTACAAAGGACAAGAATACGCAACAGAGATTGTCGATACTGCTGGTCAAGTATGTTAGACGTCGTTGCAACAAGCAAACCAAGTAGCATTGGCGATGACGGCAATCGCTGACAGAACGAACCTTCGCGCAGGATGAATACAGTATTTTAAATTCGAAGCATTTCATTGGCATCCACGGCTATATGTTAGTTTACTCAGTGTCATCACTGCCATCTTTTGAGATGGTGCAAGTTATACGGGAGAAGATCCTGAATCATTTGGTTCGTATAGGAGTTCATAAAAATACTCAGCCATATTTCCAATATTAGGAGCAAGCAACGAGCAACGCTAATGAGGTGACGACACACAGGGCACCGAATCCGTCCCTATTGTCATTGTGGGTAACAAAAGCGATCTACGACCTGAGCAACGACAGGTCAGCGCCGAAGAAGGGAAGAAGCTCTCCGAGAAGATTCAATGCGGGTGGACCGAAGCCAGCGCGCGATATAATGAGAACGTTTCAAAGGCATTCGAGATATTAATCGCACAGATTGAGAAGGCACAAAATCCCAACGAGGCCGCGGAAGGCGGCAAATGTACCCTGATGTAGAGCTTATTAATTTCTGTACAATTACCAGTTTCTTGTTCATCTCAACCTCGTAGCGGTTTTGATTTTATTTCTTTTCGGCTGTGGGGACAGCGAGCTAATGTGTCAGTAAAATATTGGCAGGCCATATGTTAACATACGTTATACACCATCATAACACCCACGCAGAGGGCCCGGACATTCAATGGCAACCTGATGTGCATATTTCCTAGCGTAGCAGGGTGAGGTTCATTTCTAGTATAAGTTGACTTGGTGAAATAATATGAATATATATTAAAAATTGATTGTACACAAAATTAGTCACAGATGGAAGTCGATCAAGACGTCGCATGAAGCAGAACCGCTAGTATGGGGATATTATGACCCAAGTCTGCATGACAAGGGTTATGCTCTTATCGATAAGTTGCAACTAACCCTAGTGACACATCATCGGCTTGCTCAGACACCTTTCATACTTCAGCGGACCCTCCTCTGTTGAACCTAAGGCCTGGGAAACTAGCTGTTCCGCTTAATAACTTGCAGTGTCTACTTCCTGACTTCACGCCTTCGGCGAAGTACGAGCTTTATCCTACCTGTCAGCCCCCTACTATTTCTCATTTGTTGTGTGGTGGAGGAAATACACGCAAGGCAATATCTCAAAATCACAACTCGGGTTCCTCTTTCCTTAAAGTTTTATCTAACGGCGTCTTTGTTTCCTTACTTTTAGGTTGACGTAGATATTACACCTCGGCTACAACTCTTGGTGGCTGCTTTCTCACCTCCAAAGATGGTACACTGCAGTGCATAAAGGCGACAACCAACAGTTATTTAAGCCTACCTTGAACGAGCGGGAAACTCTTAAACCTTTCACAACTCACGTCTTACTCCTTCATTTCTCAACGACTCATTCCTGCACTTTTCTACCTCCAGCCTCATCAACTCTGCCTCGCGTCGAGGTTGAATTTTCATCTCATGGAAAACAACATGATGTGTCCGTCTTGTGGAACGGTCTGTGCGGGTTGCCATGACATGTTGCTGGTTGGCTTAGTCCTTTGACTGTGTTGGATGCCTGTGCTAACCGTTGTCACAGCACATGAAGACATACCACCCTGAAAATCAACCCCCAGGCTATCAGACTTCCCAGGCGCAATATGCCGAGTGTCCCATTGAAACATGCGGCGAAGTAGTGTCTTTAGCAGAGATGGACTATCACGTCGACCTCCATGCTGAGGAACAACGTCAGGGAGCCGCCGACGCATCGAGCCACCAGATGATGAATGGTACTCCGAACTCCAACTCCACGCCCACAGTCGGGTCTAGTAGTTGGAACGGCAATGGCACTGCGGCGGAAACCCAAAAAAAGTTCATTCACGGGTGGGGACAACTTTGGTCAATGCCGCCAGCCGAGGACCAAAGAGATGCTAGAGAGAAAAGACTGGGGGTATTCTTGCACATAGCAACTTTTCAACGGAGTAACCTATCCTGACAGCTTGCAGAAAGCAGAATTAGGGAAATACGCACACGAACAACACATGCCTGACTGGCTTGTTTCTCTACTTCATAAGGGAGGTGAGATGACGAGTGATGGTACATCCAGCTAGCGGTTCATCTCATGAGGCAATTGCTGACATTCCAAAGGGGTAATCAATGTCCTTGAGCAGCTTCTTCAACAGAGTAGGTCAACAGATTATGCGTACCTTTGTCATCCTGCTGTCCAACATGTGTCAAAGCTCAAGAAAGAGGGTGCGTATATGCTGTCTAGCTAGTGTCCCAGCATGCTCATTTAAAACAGGCGGTTTCTGCGGCTACCGAAATATTCAAATGTTGATTTCATACATTCACGGTGCCGATGCTCCCGGTAAGGATCAGTTCCGGGGGCGTCTTCCCACTATATTTGAGATACAAGAATACATCGAAAAGGCTTGGGATATGGGCATTAACGCCCAAGGCCGCCTGGAAACGGGAGGTATCAAGGGCACACGAAAATATATTGGTACTCCGGAGGTGAGACATAGCCTTGACTTTTGGATTTCACAATTGACTCTGATGCCCCACAGGCGCAGGCACTCTTCGTCAGTCTTCGAATCCCGTGAGTACAGTGAGCTTGCCTAGCCACACTCGGTGCGTTACTGACACTGGACAAGATGCACTGCCCAGGGATTCAAAGACCCCGAACCTGGGAAATCTGAAGCGAAGTTGATGATGGCTGTCGAAAAGTATTTCACGCAGGGGACATGCAGTCAGCCCACTCGGGTGACCTGTACGACACTTCCGCCCATTTACTTCCAGCATGCTGGTCTGTCCTTCCGAAGCGCACTATTTTACATTTGCTCAAGAACTGACAAAACCAAGGCCACTCACTGACAATCGTCGGCTTCGAGAAACAAAAGAATGGTTCTTCCAATCTGCTAGTTTTTGATCCTATGTTCCGCGATCCGCCTGCGCTTGCTCGACTTATAGGTCAAAAATTCAAGCACAGATCTGCGGATGAATCTCTGAAACCCTATCGGCGCGGTTCCAAATACCTGCGCCGATATCGCGAGTTTGAAACTCTTAGGTGGGCGAAGCGGCAAGGAGCATTTTCCAGAGTTAAGCTAACCTTATACCCAGGCTTGATGGGCCGACATCCATACCAGATCAGAATAGCCGATGAGCCCCCAGCCAGCTTTAAGTACATTGAGGAAGCCAAATGAATAACCGCTGATTGCCATTCTGTAAATGACGACACTCAATTCGCCTTCTGCTGGGAAAACCATTTCTGAAGCTTCTTGAGCGCAAGACCGCGATGGGAGATTGCATTCTTGGCGGCCTTGTCCATTTCAGCATAGCTGTGATGTCCGTCAGTAGAGCTGGTGGATCCAGACCATAGGGCACAACTCACGTCTGGCCATTGTACTCGAAGATGGCATCCCAACCTTAACATGTCAGCGCTAGGTTGAAGAGAAATTGAGAAGGGCTTACCAAAGTCAGCAGGGCCTCGAGGCGGTACGATATTGCCCTAGTCATTTTATTGGCCTTTTTGCTCCAACTTGTCGGGGGGAGGTGGGGATAGCATGGCTTACTCTGGTACGACCTTGGAAAAGGACTGGTTCATTGCCCGGGCCGGGTGAGTAGGCGAAGGTACAGACCGCGTCGGCCGACTTATCCTCATACGCAGCCAAGAGTTTATTCAGCCCCTGGTGCCCAATGGACTCCATGAACCACTTACTTATTACCTAGTCAGTCAAAAATGTCCAACAATGGGAAAGAGTGGACAAGTCGAACGCGATAGGCAATCGTTGCCAAATGCCTATGGGTTCCTGTGAACTTACATGTAGGGGCCAGGAAGGTCATTCAGAGCCTTGAAGCAAAGGCAGGTGTCTTCGACAAGAACAGGGCCCTGGATCTGATTTGAAAAATATGGCGAATCAATACATGTATACATATATACTTATAAGCTCTGTGTCTTGCGTCAGCTTACCGTATCTGCGGCCTTGCGGCACTTAGCCAGTGTAACCTCCTCGACCGTGCCTTGAACCTCCTCTAGGTCTACTGCCTGGCTTTGCACGGTGATCGCGGGCTCAAGGATAGCCTTAACCTCGCGCAACTTGTTGGCATTGCCAGTAATAAAGTTTACTACTGGTGGTGTTGCCATGTTGATGGAGTCTGTGAGTCGAAAAAATGCTTGTGGTATGAACGATATAAAAGTGACTGCTGCAGTAAAGAGCCAGTTGGAGCTATTGGCAACGAGCTTGAACACGATCGATGATGAACACGAGTAAGAAAAGTAACAGTTTATCGTAGGTAAGTATTCATATGCAAGCATATTTGATCTAATGAGCATGGTTTATAATTACCAGGCAGGCCGCTCTTCTTATCGGGGCAATACTCGGTTTAATGCATAAGTGTGCTCGGCCACTGCCAGCCGCACTGTTTGATTGCTGATTATCCAAAAAAAAAAAAAAAAAACAGAATCAATACACCAGACAACTGCCGGACATAATGCGTCGACCTGTTTTATTTAGAAACGCCCAGGTTTGTTTATCTAGCATGCATGTTTCTGGCTTACTAAGCCCGTATAACACATGGCAAGCGTATCCATCCACTAGGACTTGATAAAAGACTGTCTGGTGATGCGCCAGGTCCTCATACCCATCACGCCCGCGGCAGCCCATCATTGACATGAATCTCGACGTGAGCGAGTAATTATGTACATTCCTGCAGTCCCTCATGACGAGTGATCCTTCTTCCACTGCTCTACCCATGCTTCGACTCTTGATACATTTGTTTCCATCTCATCTGAAGTATTGCTGGTGAGTTCGACAACTATCTCCTCATCAAAAGAGTCTCTAGCCTCTTGAAGAAGCACCTCCATGATTTCTGAGTCCAGATTCTCTTGAAGCTTGGCTTCGGGGTATTTTCTATATCACCCACGGGTTAGTCTTGTTTCATGATCCATTTTGACCTCCCCATGCTTTTCACGTCTTTATTTTCTCTGCCTTTTCATCATAGAAGAGTCCGCTTTTTTTTCTTCTTTTTTTTTTTTTTTTCACCATGATAAAAGGACGATTGTGAAGTTACTTGCAGGTCGCCCTTATTCCTTACCTCGCCGTTAAACGGTCATACAGTGTGGTTGAGTCCACACGAAGGACGACCACAAGATCAATCCAGCTCCTTGGAAATAAGTCACAAGCGTGCCAGTCAATGATATAACCCCCATCCGCAACTTCATCTTCAATGGCGTCGAGCAGCTAGATCACACTCAGTTAGCGAAGGTTACCAGGATGAAGATAAAACTCCAACCTTGTCCTCGTCGACAATCCAACTCTGAAATTCTTCATCCCAACCTTCATGGCATTCCCGATCTTTCACGACCTGGTTGACCGAGAGGTGCTTCAGCCCTGTCCGTCTGGCAAGCTCTTCAGAATGAGTAGTCTTGCCTACCCCTGGTGTGCCGGTCACAATGACGTTGGGAGACGTTCTCATCTTGGCGCAAGTAAGAAGTTGTATCGATTATGAATGACTAGAAATGGAACAAAAAGACAGCTCGCAAAGCCTCGAACTCAACTCTGTTCGTACTGGTTGTGATCAAAGGCAGACTACTTAAAACGTGAGAGGATGGTGGGGGAAGGCCTCGCTTATTGCATTCAAGCACCGCGCGGGGCATCTTCCTATGCATATAAGCTGTACGAGGTCCACACCCGCGAGGGCTACAGGATTTTCCAGATCACGTGGTAGTTTACACGCTCTTGATCACCCATAGCATCTTTGGCAGAAGAATGCCATTCACTAGACGGCGGTCGAACAAGATCGATGCCGCCTTCGAACTAAGACATCTCGACACCGAGCAACGGAACTCGGTACCTAGGTCTGAATTAAGATCTTACTCACCCGTTTCCCACCTCATATAGTCGGCCATAACTTATCACTTAACCACATTTGTTGCACAGAAAAAATATGGCTATGAGTGGGCTATCTTGGGAACTTGTTTGGTCGAACCGCCAGTTCTGTGCATGTCGATTTTGAACAGGATAACATAAACTAAAGTGTGCAAACTTCCCCTGCCTGACAATTAATTGGCGATATCATTGAAATTCGACATACTCAAATCTTCTTTTACATTATCCATGCAAAATGCCTACCCTAATAAATCCCCATTTCTAGCTCATAACACGAGGTACAGGCCTCTTATACAATGCTACTGTCCGTTTAACAGCTCGATTATTTTGGTGGCCAATCTGAATGAGAGGATAGCGAATGACGCAAGGCAGAATGACCTCGATGGTCAGCTTGTCCGCCCATAACGAGGTCCTACACAAATCACAGAGTCACACCCCGCATCTCATTATGCGACCACGTCGTTCTCATCAACCTCAGCAAGGTCACCATTGGGTTCGAAGCCATCCTCAGGGTCATACTCCAGCTTCTCTTGCTGAGCAATCGCCTGCGCAGACACGATTTCAGCAAGGCGCTTCAACCGTGGCGTTTGAAGCCCTACAAACAAGGTATAATCAGCAAGTTATTCGCCAGACCCCACTATGTCAGTAGAGTGACTTACATGAGGGAGTGTAAGTTTCCAAAGCCGTTATGACTCGGGGCTCGGCAATCTCGTATGGGCCGCTGTCGTCCATGTCGACGGCCTGCAGCAATAAAACGTCGCTCTTCTCTGTCACTCTAGAGGCAACAGCCTTCATAATCTCGCCATTGATGGGCTGCTCGTAGTCTGCTACTAGATACTGATTCAAGAGCTTCTGAATTTGATTAGGCGACAGCCTGCGAGGTTTGATACGTCAGCAGTTTGATTCGTCGCTAATTGAACCTATACTTACATCCAGCAAATGTCCTGAATGATCTCAATGTCATTCAGGGTAGCCTTTTTCAACTGAAGGAGCTTTGTTGCTTGCTACGCGGGAGGGTCAGTTAGCTGTCATCCGCATAAGGAAGAGAAAATTTACCATCAGATGCTCCAATTGAAGGGTGCCCTCGGGCATGTCATGGCTCTTGCACCACTCCTCGATGCGTGTAATGTTGTAATTGATTTGGAGGCCACGCTTCCAAGAGAGGAAGTTACGTCTCATCAGAAGGTCGTTAAAAGCGGTAACGCCGACAAGGCGGAGCAACTCAGTGATTGTCTGAGTGATAATCGAATCTTCCAGGTAGTAGGCCTTCATGGCGCGGAATACGCTGTTCAGCAGACTAAGAAGGTTGTCCATGCTATAGGCGGGTGTGGAATTGGACTGCAGAAGCTTTCCGAGAAAGCGGCTGCTCTCATTGGTAACGAACCCAGGAAGAGATTGAGACTCAATGATGGCCGGAATAATCATCTTGTGAAGCTTTTTCTTCAGAACCTTCATCCAAGTGTGGTAAATGTTAAACTCCAAGCTCTCAAGATCATGCTTGACGATTTCCAAGAGACGGTCGTACTCGTAATTGTCTGTCTTCTGGGCCTCGTACCAGTCTTCGGCCAGGAAGACAAAAGAGAGCATCTCGTGAACGTTAGAAAGCCAGAAGGCGCCAGGGTTGATGGCTTCATCGCCATCGTGTTGCATGACCTCTTGCTGGATCGACTGCATGACATTGGCAAGGAAACGTTCCGACTCCTTGACAAAACCATTGTTCCACATCTCTGAAGTGACCAAGTTGATCAAATATGACGGGAAGAGAACCTCCTTATCAGATGGTGGGGGGTTCGTGTTGGGAGAGGGGATCTTCAGGTTGCGAATGAGACCCATTGTGACCTCCTCATTTAGACCATCCTCGTCGGCTAGGAGGGTCTCAAGCTCAAGTTCGATATTGTCGACTCCAGGTATGAAGCCAGCGCCTTGCAAATTTTGCCTGAGTGCAGTACTGGTGACCGCCATGGAGACGGGCCGAGGGTTATATGCAGCGCTGAACCGATCCATTTCGCGAGGTTCAGCACCAGCGCTTCGCCGCTTCGGCTTCTTGGATGATACGAGGTTGATGAGACCGCTTGCGGCTGAGGGCTGAGCCTGAGCAGCAGCGCCGTTGGTCAGCTCGCCGTTAGTGGGAGCAAGTCTTCTGGCCAACTCCAACTGGTCCTGAAGCTCGGCCAGCTGCTGGCGCAGCGAGAGCTTCTCGCTCTCAATCTGTGCACTTTGCTGTCGAACGGTGTCTAGTTCGGTGCTGGTGGAGCGCAGAGACTCTCTCAACTCTCGCTCCTCCTCTTGCATTCTCTTGATGTTTGAAGTTGACTCTTCGAAGCTCTGCTGAAGCTTCTTCATCTCGTCTTCCATAGCCTGCAGTCTGGCGACTGCAATACTACCCTGGTTGGCCTCGGTTTGAAGCTCCTTCGTCCGTGCCTCGAGGGCGTTGTGGCGGTTTTTCCATGCTTTAATCTGGCCCTCATAGTTCTCTACTTGAGAAACTAGATTCTTGTTCTGGGCCTTCATGGAGCCTAGAGACTGAGTGAGTTCGACAACCTTGTTCTCGAGCTTGTACGAAATCTGTTTCAAGTCGCGAGCCTCCTCGCGCACCTTTTTGTAATCACGCCGGGCGACCTTGCCGCGCCATAAGCTCTGAATGAGAGTAACCTTCTTTCTGTATTGTCTCCAAGCAAGAACTTGGCGACGAGACCGCCATACACGCTGGATGAGGACAGCAGCGTTGCCTACGCGGGTCTCCATGATTTCTTTTCTTCGAAGGTAACCTTTGGCCGCCGCTTGCGCCAAGACGACATCGTTCCTGATGCGTAAGTACTCTTTCCTTTGCCTTTGGCCACGCCAAACCCGCTGAATTGTTGTTGCGGCCTTGACAGTGCGGAGCTGCTGGGCCTGCTTTCGGGCGATATATGCACGGACTGCGGACTGAAAGGTCACAATTGCGTTCCGAGCTTCAAGATAGCGGTGGCGGTAGAATTTGGCGCGAAGATTCTTCTGAATGAGAATGGCGCAATCGTTGAGACGGCTGGTGCGCAGGTTCTCCAGGAAAGCAAGCATGCCGGCACGGAAGAAGATCTTCGTAAGACCAAGTTGGTACTTGTCGGTGCCTTTGCCAGAGCTAGTACCTAGAGCCTTGGAAAGAATCGCGTTGGCCATCTCCCGAATCTCCGATGTCCACTGGTCTGAGTGAACGAGCATGTAGTAGCGCAATGCGAACTCTTCGTATGTCCACCGAGTCGGATAACCAGCACAGCTTATTCGTACTGTCTCGAGGACACCGCAAGCTCGCAGCTGACTGAGAACCATAGGACCCTCAAACTTCCACGACTCTTTCGCCTCGTTGGGCTTAATACATCTAATGTAATGCACATCCGTGTTGTTAATGGTGTTCATGAGCTCGATCAATGAAGAACGGAAGATGCCTCCCAGTGTCGGTTTCCGGTTGACGGCCACACCAATCTTCCTACCAGCGGCGGGTTTCACGGAACTGGACGAAGCAGATGCCAAATCCTTCTCTCGAACGGCAGAGGCCGCATCCAAGACGTTACGGAGGAATGTGTTGGTTGTGGCGCGTAGCACGGCCATGTGCTCGTCGGGAACAGTATCCCGGTTCTTCTCAATAAAGCCCTCAGACTCGTAGGTGACGTCTACGGCATAATGACACACCGTGAAGGCGGACTTTCCGAACCTAGGTTTCTTGTAGAACTTGTGCTTGTCACTTCCATAGTTATGGTGCAACTTTGTAACGAACTGTTCGTCTGAGCCCATGGGCAGACGTGACTCTTCGTCCAATAGTGACAGGATGCCAAGCTTACCCTCAATCAGGTCGATGGCAGGCTGGTTGTCTGAGAACTCAATGAACGTCCAATCAATTTGTTCTCTCAAGTATTCCTCTTGTTCTAGCTTGAAGACATGCTGGTTGAATTCTTGCTGTAGCTTTTCGTTGGCGTAATTAATACAGAACTGCTCAAAGGAGTTCTTCGCGAAGTGCTCAAAGCCGTAAATATCGAGCACACCGATAAAGGAAGTAACCCGGTTTAGGACATCCTCTGTTGCCAAGCTCATATTGATAATTTCAACAAGCCAGTCGAAAAGACTGGAGTAGATGAACTTAGCCACTGAGTCTCGGACAACAATAGCTTGGGCTTGGGTGAGATTGGAAGTAATCTTCTCCCCTCGGGTCACCAGTTGCTTCTTGACGATCCATTTGGCAAACTCGGTGCCATTGACGCCGAGTATGGAGCAAGCCAACTCCAAAGATGGTTCTGTTGGCGCAAGAACGCTATCATTGCGGGAAGCTCCGATCTTGACATTGCCGAGGTGAAGCAAGCCGGCAAGTAGCTTGAATATTTCAGACTGCTGGGCCTCGCTTACGCCGATGGTCTTCAGAGAAGCCTTTGTGGCCTCAAATTCGGCTTTATCGTCAACTCCGTCTATTGTGGGGCAGTTACCTTGGTTCAAGTACTCGAACTGCTCTATGGGAAGCAAATTCAGCTCCTGCCGCTCAGTATCAGTGGCACCGGCAACCAGTTGATAGAAGATGTGGTAGTTGCGCTCCTTCAGGGGTTGGAAGACAAGTCTGGATCGCTCAAGCAGATAGGTACGAATCTTAGCACCGATAATATTGGTTTTTTCGTCGAACATGATTTCGATGTATTTACCGAATCGTGAGGAGTTGTCGTTACGCGTTGTTTTCGCATTTCCAAAAGCCTCCATGATGGGATTGGTGGCCAAGATTTGCTCTTCCGTCTCGCTCATAGCTTCAGCGCCCTTCTTGGACCGCGTTCCCGGGTTATCAGGCGATTCTCTTGTTGCGAAGTAGCGCATGATGTACTTTGCGCTGACGGTTTTGCCAGCACCGGACTCGCCAGATACCACAATAGTCTGGTTCTTCCCGCTCCGTACCATGTCGCTTTGCTGGGTTAGTAACCGCATATCGCATGACTTTATAGGGTCGTCTTACATGAAAGCCTCCTCTGCAATAGCGAACAAGTGCGGCGCTTGTGTCGCCCTCTGTTTGCCTGCATAGACCTGAACCATGCCAGGTACATAGAGGGAGTCTACTCTAGCAAAGGGATTTGCCGCAATCAAGACGATACCGCTGTATGTGTAGATTTCTTTCTGCGCATATCGCAGACGAATGGCCTGCAACACTGTAGAAGATGCCAGTTAGTACTAAGGCTATGCCACGGTATGGATATATCAAGACAGTACCGGCAGGCTCATTGAGATGGGACAGGTTCGTCAGGTCGTCACTAGCCTCGAGCATGGTCGGGTTCATTAAAGGAGGCAGGGAGGAATCGCCATTTTGAAGGGCCTCGGAGGTGACCTCTACCGTCTTTTCCTGCTGGGAAGTCAGCGCCAAACAGACAATATCAAGACCAAAGGCGGAGCCAGCCCAAGGCCATGGGGAGGGTATGGGATTCTTGCCTCGCCGCTGTCAAGCTTGAAAACCAGCTTGACCTTGTTGCCGTCGACAGTCTTGTTGATGACCTCAGACGCGACCCAACCCTCGGTGGCATCGGGCTGCCAAGCCCTCGTTCCGACATCGTAGTTCTGAGACATTGGGAATGGAAAAGGGGCGATGGAGGCTTCGAGTTGTTGGTGGACACAGCTAGTATTTTTTAGAACACAGGCGGATGAGGCGAGGCAAGTCTAGGGGTGGAAGCTCGAAGGGATTGGGGAGATTCATGGGCGAGCAGGAGATGTCTTTAGAATGTGCCTGCCAGAACCGAACGCAATCGTGGTCTTAAGGTAGTGGTCGTCGTCGTCGTCGTTGTCGTGGCTGTCGAAGATGGAGATCAAAGGAGCGAAAGAGGGGAGGGCGTCGGGGAGGACGATGGGCCGCCCTAGATGGTAACGGATGGCTGAGGGATGATGCGAAGAAGTTGGCGACTTGGACGAGTTGGGTATTCGTCCAGCGTTGTGGCCAGTTGGATAGATGGCACACAAATACAGCTCGTACGTGGACGTGGATAGATTAAGGCAGTAAGGAAAGGAGGATGGCCAGCCTGGTGAACGGGACAACTTTTTGAGGTTCCAACGGACAGGGGCTCAAAGCAAAAACGCCAGGTGAGGATGAGCCGGGGGGTGAGAGGAACGAGCGCACTGACGCTGATGGCGAGTAGCTGGGGGCGTCCACACGCGCAGGCTGGGTGTTGTTACAGGGTAAAGAGCGCAGAAAGATGCCTCACCAGCGCATGTTTATCATGCTGTTGCTGGTAGTACTACTGCTGGTGTCCAGTGCTTTGTGCAGATGTCGGGACGGTAGCAGCAGCATGGGCAGGCACCGACTATGCTGTACGCTGATATACGGTGGGTAGTCCCCTATGCCTTAAGAGTGAACGTACAATGCAGGGTCACATTTGAACAACAGGGGAGCTGAGGAGCTAGAGCATCTCTCCTGACCCTGAGTGGGTGGTACCTTACGGCAGTGCAGTTTCAGGCTGGTACTGAGGGGTACACTCCAGTCCACCGTCTGCTGCCCTTAATCTATCAGGATCTCGTTCCTAGAGGTACTCATAAGTACTTGCCGTCCGCGTTCTAACCATAGTACTTCTTTTCAGACTTACCTTACACAGGTCAAGATCCGCAACCAGAGTGCATCTGGAGCGTGTAAAGGGCACCGAAAGATTGGCAAGGAGCATACAGTGCGAAAGTGCATAGAGAGGTATGGCGGCTGCTATGGGCTTTTCTTCCATGATTCATACAACACCATCCGAGATCTACTGAGTGACGGCCACGACGTTTATCCTGCCTGCTAGGAAAGGTACTTGACATTGGACAATTTACCATCATCGACTGCTCTGCTTTCGGGCGGTCAATTTTTCAAAGAACTAGCCCATTGTGCCAAAATCTTTGCCTCAATTTTCACTCAATGAACCTTGAGCTTACAACACACAAATTTGAGCGACGGGCATATTTATGATTATCCATTCTGAAAAGGGCGCCTAGGACGATGGAGAAACAGAACAAAAGAGTCAAGGCAAGACGATTTAACTTAGAGTCTAAGATGGATTCTGAGAGTGAGATTATCACTTGAGGCTAATTAGATTTCCTTTTTCTGAATCTTAATGAGTCCACAGCTATTCAAGGAAAAGGATCATTGTTCAAAAGGCGCCGTATTATCCTTCCGTTTTCCTGTAATATCTTCCATGTTCTCGTGGTTGAGTTGTAACAAATTGTCTTTACCAAGATTGGCCTTGACTTGAGCTCTGTTGCCTATCGCCAAAGCCTAAGCGGACAGGCACATGTCTCGTAGGGGATTGGCTGGTCATTAGCCCAGACGAAGCCGCTGGCCATCTGGGGTTTCTTCGACGCACCGGTGACAGTAGCATATTATGGGTCTGTGCCAGGTGATTCTTCCCCTGATGCAACAACTGTTTTCTTCTCGCAGGCACATTGCAGACGAAATCAACAAAGACCAGCAAGTATGTGTTGAATGAGGCCAGCCTTCACCTCAATTTGCCGTGGGAACATAGGCAGATTGATTCTGACTACCATCCTACCAGCCAATTGCTCCCTTCTAAGAGACTTTGCTTACAGCCAATCGATCCAAAACCATGGATGAGCGAGGCGGTCAGCACACTCGGTCATAATCACAAGGCCCACAGTCAACAATTGGACCGACCAAAGATAGACAGGTGAACACATCTGGGGCCCTCTTTCTCTTTCAGGGCCTTTCTGTCACAGTGTAATATGGATTCAGCCAGGACGGCGTATTCCATATTCCACAGCATGTTATATCTGTTGTTAGAGAATGCCCGGACTAACCGTTGAAATGCACAGTGTTTCCTTACTGTCTGCTTTCTCGAACCCCCGACCCCTTTTTCTCCGCCTCTAGTGAACAATCCTCCTCCTCTCCCCCCGGTTGAACGGTGGATAGCGGCCCCCCTACCCGCTTGCTCCCAATGTATTAAACTGCAAATTTCATCTCAGCCCAAGCACGACGGAGCAGGGTCCCTCTCCGGCGTCTCCAGTTTTCTCCGTCATGCCATTGCTATTTCATGCTTGCTGCAGGTTAGCAATCCACGAAGCTGCTAGAAAGGCTTACTTTTCTCATTGGGTCGCCAGCACACATTGCTCTTTGACCAAAATACTTGGTAAATGCCGTTCGTTTGCTTGTCTCTTCAATCTCCCCCAAAAATCACGTTCATAAATCCCTCGTGTGTTTAGAGTAGATCATGTATACTCGAGTGTAGATTACCAACAGAACACCAGTTCCACCACATTGCTGCATAGACGACAACGTATGCACATGGGTATTTTTGTGCCCCGTACTGTACGTACATTTCATGCTCTCTGTGCGTTTACCGGGTTTAGGTCCGGACCTGGGCCCGCTGCATCATGACAATTTCCGATTCAGTGTGCTCCTTCCTAGTATCTCCTTTTAACCGTCTCCATCCCACTTTCTAGCAAAGGCAGTCCATTAAGATGTAAATTAACAATGTGTCGTTCATGATTTCACTCGCTGCCTTGCTAAACAACCCGCCTATACCTCTTCAATCAGACACTTGGAATAACATAACTAGAAAGTGTACATGACGCTTGCTGTCTCTAGATTCCATTGGACTTGCGGCACTGTGCAACTGAGCGATATATGATCGTCCTCAAATTTTATCTTTTCTTGTTCGCCGCAAAGCTATTTACGCAGTGTGAACATACCGATGTCAACACCAAGTGGTCCTTATTCCGCCCTAGCCGCACATGCGTCTTCTGTGGTCTACCTGACGTAATTTTTTGTATGCCTTCAAGTTGATATGAATCCGATACTCCATAATCCAAAGCGTCCAATTGCCCTTCAGCCGACATGTTGAAATGCTGTCTTGGAAAGCGGAGAACTTAATCAGCCGCTGTCATGTCCCAAAAATCCCCAACACAAACGCCCTCTAAATGTCATGACCGTCAGGCCCAAACTAGTATAGGACACGAGTCAAGATGCGCGCTGTATAAAAGTTAGCAAGCTGCGATTCAGCCTCGTAAATGTGGGATTTACGCACAGCTCAAGGAATCCAGACTATCTGATATCTCTTTGATATCTTCAGCCTTGACATTGCTGACGTCGGCCATAAGGTAAGCAATCTAGTACTGCATTAGCAACGCTCAAACTCTTAGATAAGTTGGGACTAAAGTCTCACATCTCCCTTGCTGTCGGTAATTTGCTTGTCAACGTTGTGGTTACCGAGAATCTCGTTGACTGCCCAGGATTAGCTTTTGTTTGAAGCACAGGGTTTTGAGTCTGTTTTACCTCGGCGAAGGACACCAGGAATATTGCGGTGAATGTAGATCACCTGCCAGTTTCATTAGCCGCCTGCCCACATTGCAAAGCATGTATTGCTAAATCGATTACATACCCGAGCATGATCAGGCTCGTCCAGAGTCAATGATCTCAAGTTAACCTCGGGCAGGTTCACGCTGTTTAAGGTGATACCCTGATTGATATAGCGCACAAGCGCCTCGGCGACTATCACTTGTGTTAGTAACTATCAGAAACACTCAGTGATTCCTCTTGCTAACCTTCAACTCCAATAGCGCGCTGGGCTTCCTCAGTGCTGCCACCAATGTGCGGTGTCAGGATTATGTTGTTCAGGTTGCGTAGGTCTTCGCCCCAAGAGTTCAGTGAGCTGTTGAAGTAATCTCCGTTGGCAGCCGGCTCGTTGGGGTACACATCGAGAGCAGCACCGGCAATCTTGCCGGAGCGCATGGCGTTGATTAGAGCCTGAATATCAACAACGCTACCACGGCTAGCATTGATTAGGTAGGCACCAGTCTTCATCTTCGCCAATTGAGCAGTCGAAATCATATTCTTGGTCTCCGGGACCTCGGGCACGTGTAGGGTCACGAAGTCAGACTCCTCAAGCAGGTTATCCAAAGTCGGAAGCTGTGTTGCAGTGCCCATGGCCATCAGGTTTACTACATCGTAATAAACGACATTCATGCCCATAGCCTCGGCCAAGACAGACAGCTGAGAGCCAATGTGGCCATAGCCCACAATACCTAAACAAGCATTAGCTTTTCCCCGGAATACAGGTAACCATCATAGCACACAAAAAAAAAAAAAGAAGAAGAAGAAGAAAAAGTCACATCAAAGCCACGAAGCTTACCGAGCGTCTTGCCACGGATCTCCCAGCACTTGGCGCTAACCTTGTTCCAAGTGCCGCGGTGCATCTCGTTGGAGCGGTCGCCTAGCTGACGAGCCAGAGTGATAATCTCGGCAATGACAAGTTCCGCGACACTCCGCGAGTTGGCGAAAGGAGAGTTGAAAACAGCGATACCATGAGTAGCAGCATACTCAAGATCGACCTGATTGGTACCAATGCAGAAGCAGCCGATGACAAGGAGGTTCTTGGCCTCGCGGAGGACCTTTTCGGTCAGTTTGGTCTTGGAGCGGATGCCAATGACATGGACGTCCCTATAAGATTAAATAATATGAGCTGAGGTTCCTTGTCTCTTGGAGGCTCTGACTGCGCCATGTTCTCCTGCCCATGTTCACAGCACAAGGTATCGCCTACCGAATCTTCTCGATGAGCTGGTCTTCTGGCAATGAGGTTTTGAGAGCCTCGACTTGATATCCCTGCTCGGTGAGGATGTCCCTGCCGGTTTGATTGACATTCTCAAGAAGGAGAATCTTAATATCCTGAGTGTCGAAGGGCTTCAGCAGCTTGGGAGCTGGCCTTCTGGTAAGGGCCGGGCCACCAAAGCTAGAAGGAGGAGAGTGGAAGGTGGCGGTGGGCGAAGTAGAGAGACCAAGGCTGGCAGAGACTTCGAGCTGTCTCCCAAGCGCAGAGGCGCCGGTAATATCCTTCGCTGAGGCCATTATATAAGACTATGGTCTTCTTCGTCTGCCGACCTAAATGGTGGGTGATGATGGAGGGGTAATGCGATTTTTTGGAGCGGGGCCGAAGCGGTGCGTCAATGTATGTAGTTGAATGACTGCAAGGGCAAGCTAGATGTAAATCAGACGACAGAGGGAACAGGTGTCTAATTCTGTGAGTAACAGGCGTGCAGCCAGAGATGAGTTGTAGTAGTTACTGAGATGTGCTGGGGAAAGAGAAGTTTTATAACCAAAGTAATCAAATGACGCGAAATGCCCCGCGGTCAAGGTAGCAGGCAATAGTGACTCGATTGCATCGGACTAAGGTAAAATAAAAAGTAGTGCGTTCTTGCTGTAGCTCCGATTAAGGCATCTTACTGGCTGAGTGGCTGAGTATGCTGCCAAAGAGGTGCCCGTGTCACAGTTGGAGAACAATGTGGTACGTACAACACGGAGCCCAGGGATGACGTTCTGCTAGGAACGACATTAAACCCAGCCAGGCAGACCCCGAGCAGTGAATGTGGTCCAGGGATCCAACCACCAGGTGTCGACTATCTGCACACGGTGCGGAGGCGAATACAGACAAAGAATAGTTCCGAAAATCTGGTGTTGTTGAAGTATCGGGGATTGCTCACACAGTGTTCAATATTCACACGAAAGGCGGAGTTATTCCGGTAGTCGGTGTATAGCAGCGGCACCGAGTCGAGTACGCCGCATTTACCATGGGCAGTAAGGCGGCTTGAGTCACTACATCCAGGTCCAGCTGCCTTACCTTTCCTGACGGGCCACCACCGCCCAGCAGGAGAGAAAAACTTTTCCCCCATTCGCGCCGGCACGGAGACTTGACACTGGTCAAGAGCCACTTGCGTGGGTCATGCTGTGTTTGAAGAAATCGACGCATCAATACACATCATGTAATGCCCGGGCTAAGGTTGCCGGTTACGGACCATTTAGCTGTCCTACTTCTGGCCGCTGACACAGGCTCCCCAGCAACCAATTACGAGGTGCCCTCGCCGTTCCCCATCGGCATCTATACTCCTCTGTTGTCCTCGTCACCGCCTAGCATGGAATAGTGCACACAAGATAGAACAGCCAGCTTGAATCGAATGTTCTTCAGTTCGGCAAACATCCTCTACCAATAACCTGCACCTGTATACTGGGTCTAATATGTGTGTGTGTGTGTGCTTGCACAATCTGGTACATACATGCGAAGTGATCTAATCGAAATGTTACCTGTTCCGATGCTACCGCACCATGCACACTGCCCGACATCTCACATCCCACCACGGAGTTTCCATCTTAGTTAGGGCCGCGCAGCATCACGATTACGATCAATCAACAGCCCCACGGGATTTGAGGAGGCTGGCCACATCTTCTCCTAGTATACCCTCTGAATGCCATATGTTTTGACTCACTCGGGTATCTTGATTACCCCAAGAACTCCGTATTACTGATCACTTTACTTTACTCGCCCATCGCCTTTAAAACTACACACAATGAAGGGAAGGGATTCTCATTCGACCTTGTCTGCTGTCTCTACTACTTCCAATGCTGGTCCCTAACCCGTCTTACATGAAAGATGAAACTGGAAAAAAACCCTGTTCTACGATTCCCCATTCAGCAGCAACGTACAGCATCATTCATGACCAGGACGTAAGCAGCCGTGCCTCTCAGAGGGAAAATAAAACCTGGGAGCGAAATGTCAATTACCATCTATCAAGCAGAAGCCCTTCTTCAGGGGTACTGCTTGGCTCAACCCTCAAGATGCTGAGATAACGCACAGCCTAACCGCCGTCACCTCTGTAGATGCGGAAACATTTGTCGGATCTTCGCATTTTCTTAAAAGTCTCGATCGTCGTGAATATCAGCGACCTAGCAACAAGTGACACATGTCTGCATCGCTCAGCTCTGCTTGCACTCAGCCGCCTCCTGCTTGGGTTTGCCCGTATCATCCTGTCGCTTAAAGTCAGTCTTTACTCGTCTCGTCAAAATTCGACTTCTTGATTGGGCCTGGACACTTACCTCATCCTCAGACTCCTCATCCTCATCGCGGTCCTCGCTGAGGTCATCATCGTCATCATCATCCTCATCGTCGTAGTCGCCCTCCAAGTCATCGTCATCCAACTCCTCAAAGGCCAGTGCCTCGCCGGTGAACCAGTCAATCGCACGTGGGATAAGCTTCTCCTTGATATCCTCACCCAGCTGGTAATCGAGCTCGAGGCGCTCCTCGATGTCAGAGGCGGCGTCGTCGTCTTCTTCTGTAGGAGCCTGGGGAGGGGAGAAGAAGTTGAAGAACGATTCGGTAGGAACCGTCTTCTTAACAATACGGGTCTGCTTGGTGTCTGTAGTGCACAATTAGTGGACATGGCCTACAGGCCCGGCAGTTGCGCCAGTCCAACTTACTCTTGTTCCTTTGCTTCTTGCTTTCGATTCTGACGGTGAGGTCTTTGCCCTCCTTCCAGTCTATCTTGTCACCCTCGGCGTGATCATAAATGAAGTCACCACCGTAACCGCTTTCGCTCTGGTAGAAGTAGGTCTTGGTGATGGTCTTGTTGGTGAAAAACTCGTTTTCTGCGAACTCGAAGATGAGACGGAAACCGGGTTTGTCAAGGTACTCCATGCGAATATCAACCAGATGCTTAAGGGCGGCCTCGTCGCGGTCGGTGATCATCTCAGCAAGAGAGATTTGGTTCTTCATTGCAGAAAGCCAGAACTCGGGGATACCAGAGACAGGCTCAGAAGATTCAGCTGGCTTCTCTCCCTTCTCTGGCTCCTCAGGTTCCTCCTCATCATCATCCTCACCAGCCTTGATCTCCTCCTCAGTGGGCTCAGAGCCTCCATTAACAATTTTGGCACGCTTCTCATAAAGAGGGGTGAACTTGGCAAAATACTTCTTCTCCAACTGGAGAACCTCCTCCTGGAACTCGGCCTCAAGCTTAGAGTGCTCTTTCTGGATGCCCTTCAAACCAGCGACACGACGGCGCACCTGAGGGGGTAGAGATTCGATATATCCGGAGGACCGACCGACAAGAGAGCCAAGTCTACCCTGAATCATTTGGACAAGCTTGGGGTTCTGGGCGAAGATGGAGGCTGCGGCAGCGCGGTCAAGGTCCTCTATGATGGGGCATTCGCACGTCAGTCACGATCCGAAAGAGGGGCAGGGGTGACGGTCACAGACGGAAGAGGGGCACACACCTTCCTTAATGCTGGCAACGCCAGGCTGTTGGGCGTGCGACGAAATGGGCGCATTCTGAAGAGGAGTGTTTTGAGGCGTACTTCAAAGAGAAAATCAATGTTAGCTACTGCCAGTTTCCAATGTATAGGAGGACAGGACGAGCGAAAGCAAGCGAGGGGTCGCCACTCAAGCAAAGTCCGTCGCAGGTCAGATACTTACGGCGCAGTGGCCGGGTCAAGGCGCTTGTTGCGAATAGGCTCAGCCATGGTGTGCGTTCGACTCTAAAGCCTTGGGAAGAGACGATGGAGTGAAGATGCGAGTGAAGTGGGATGAAATTTTCCCAGTTGAAGGGTATGGGATTGACAGGGAAGAAGACGCGGATGCCGGGAGTGGGAAGGTTGTAGATGTCCAGTCGACCTTTATTTTGGTGGGGGGCAATGTGCGGTGGAAAAAAAAAATGGGAGAGAGGCTTTCTCTCCGTTGGGGCGGGCACCGCTGCTAGGCACCTTCCACGAGTAGTGGACGGACAGGGCCGGCATAGTGGGCTCCAATGGACTACGGCGACCTACTAGTATTACTGACAGCCTTCCTTACCTAACCTCTGTAGCCTAAGGCCAGGGGCTCCTTACCTCAATACCTCGTCACTTTCCAGTTGGCTCATCGCTTCCTTGCATCATTTCCCTGGGCATGGGCAAAGTACGCTTTTAAACTGACCGAACTTGACCAAACCAAGTAGGCGGTAAGGTCACAGACACCAAAACAACCAGGTGTTATCGATATTGGTTAAATAATCATCTGTCAGGTTGCATATTGGTGGACGACCCAGATATGGTTTAATACATAGGCTAGATTGATGCCTATACACCTCCACGAAGATGTCTTGAGGTTGATCCACTTCGTAGTCAAGGTAGGGGACAAAGTTTAGTAGGCGCCGAAATATCTGGATCTTACAAGGCCACCAGACAGACCGCAATGATGCTGCTTCACTACAATCCAGATCCTAAAAACAGCATGGCTATATCTTCTTGCCTCCCTTCGCAGCTGCTTTGCTTACTAGGTGTTTTCTAATTTGCTTTGGAAGTTGCACTTGTTTACCCAATATTTGTGTCGAGTTTTCCAGCACCTCTCTTCCTATCGCTGCGATTCTAGATATTCCTTATCGTCACGTATGATAAGTACTGTAGGGAAGACAGCCCCGCAAGTGGAGGGAAGGTAGAAAGAAAGAGAGAGAGACTAATCGATAAGCAGCAGCTTGCCCTGATCAAGTCTCTTATCGGGGTTCCTTGCCTTGGGGAATGTACCCTCTCACCTGATTCGCTTTCGGTTACCTGATGCGCTAAGCTGGGAATTTGGGGCAGCCTCTAACAGTACTGTCGCACGACGAATACTAGACGCGCGATACGTACCTTGCCTCACATATCCTCTCTTAGAATACGCTAATCGTCCACCAGTATTTACAGAAATAGGTGCGAGCTCAGGGCTGGTCAACTTGATTCATAGCGCCGCTCGCTGAACATAGCGACAACGGGTTGCGTCGCCTTCGCGGACATCTGGTGTTCCTCACTTCTCTCCCAAAGCCTACTGTTCGAGGGTTGCTCTACGTCACGCACCTCCCTAGGTTGACCAAGTTTTGTCAAGTCGACTACCTCATCATCGTGAAGCTTTATTTAGCTGCCATGCGCCCTCTCCACCAGGCCTATCAATTTGCGTCTTTTTAGTCGAGTGTTAAGCCAATTCGACACGTATCTTTACACTGCACTACCTAAGGTGCGTTTCGAAACAACGTCGCAACCCCGTTCCCGAGAAAGAGGCTGCCATGGCTCAGCCTCCGGATCAAGGGCACCACCGGGCCTCGTCCAACCCGAGGACGAATGGCCATAGCCCGCTGTACCGTTTGAATTCAAACCAGAGCAGCACGAGCATATTTGAGGAGGTCGAAATGGCACATGACGAGGTTAGCTTTGTTGGACCACTACAGCAGGCGTGTATCATCTCTAACCATGTGTGTGACCAGCTCTTTTCTGGGCCGATTGCCGAAAGCCTTCCAACTAGCGTATCCGCCTTCTCCCATCGCAGACCCCGTGCAGACTCAACAACGAGCTTTACCTATTACCAAGACGAGCCTGAGCCTTCGCCAACCTTGGAAGGGGAACGCCGAAGCATCTCTGATGTTGGTGATTTTACTTTTGGCGACGAGGATGAGAGCGAAGCCGACATTGAACATGGCGACACAGGCGAAGATGACTACATACTGCATCACAGGAGATCTTCAACACACTCACGATCTTCTGTTCATGATCGACTATTGCGTCGGGATAGTGTGACAACGAGCAAGAGCCTAGGTGGTGACGGACGAGTAAGCCAAAAAGTTTATATGGTAAACGAGGACCTCACAATTGCTATAGCGGGTTTTCGAACGAGTTCCCTCGGCTTTATTGTCTACATTATTCTTTGTACCTGCACTCTTGGCCTCTCGTGGCTGTTGCTGCGATGGTTTCCGCGTTGGCAGGTGAGGCTGCTAGGACGTGCGAGTCCCTTGGCCGAATGTGACTGGGTGGTTATAGAGGTAAGTGCTCACTGCTCTCGAAACGGCCTCTGGATTGACACTTTTAGAACCAATGGGGAGAATTCGCTGTCTTGGGCGTAGACAAGAAGCTGTACGGGAGACCTATGTCTACCATTTTCGGTTCTAGTGAGAAGGGATACATGATGGATGATGACTACGACCCCATCATCACCGAACTTCGCATGCTGAATTACCGCTATGTACGCCTCTATTATAACCAGCAAAGGGACAAGTTTGTAATGTTCAACGGATGGGTAGATCCGAGCTGGGCAGACCCCCGTACCGCACGAAGTGGCATAGACAGCGACGAAAAGGGTCTTCGTGAGGTGGTTTTTGGCAACAATCTCATCGATATCGAACAGAAGTCAATACCGAAGCTTCTTGTAGATGAAGTAGGTTACCTCGACCTTTATACGTTAAAGTGCTGACCATCAAGGTATTTCATCCCTTTTATGTCTTCCAAATTGCTAGCTTGATTCTTTGGTCTCTTGACGAATACTACTATTACGCTGTCGCCATCTTCTTGATGTCGTTTGGTAGTATCACCACAACTCTTATTGAGACCCGGGCTGTGAGTAAATTTTCTCAACAAAGATGTGCTGCATTAATTCTTATTGCTGTAGACCATGAGACGGCTCCGAGAAATCTCTCGTTTTGAATGCGACGTCCGAGTACTCCGAAATGGCTTCTGTAAGTGACAGACAAACTTGGCTAAGATTCCCTGATCTAATTATGCTAGGGCGATATGTATCTTCAAGTGAACTTGTGCCCGGCGATGTGTACGAAGTAAGCGATCCAAACCTTACTCAGTTTCCAAGCGACGGTCTTCTTCTAAGTGGGGATTGTATCGTCAATGAAAGCATGCTTACTGGTAATTGCAATCGACATTCCTCTCCCGTTGGCAAGCTTTGCTTACTGGTTTCTGTCAGGCGAATCGGTTCCTGTCTCTAAAACACCTGCTACTGAAGAGACCATGTGTAGCTTGGACTTGGCCGCGCCGACGGTCTCTCCTGAGATTGCAAAGCATTTTCTCTTTTGTGGCACTAAAATTATTCGAGCTCGGCGACCCCAAGAAGACCGGGATGGCGACGCTGTTGCCCTTGCACTCGTTGTCAGGACAGGATTTAGCACCACAAAGGGTTCCCTGGTTCGGACTATGCTTTTCCCAAAACCTTCGGGCTTCAAGTTCTACCGCGATTCTTTCCGGTACATTAGTGTTATGGCTGTCGTAGCCATCCTTGGTTTTATCGCATCCTTTGTCAATTTCCTACGATTGCACTTGGCTTGGCATCTCATTATTGTTCGCGCCCTCGATCTAATAACAATTGTGGTGCCTCCGGCGTTACCGGCGACTCTTACGATCGGAACAAACTTTGCATTAAGCAGGCTGAAGAAGAAGCAGATATTTTGCATCAGTCCTCAGCGCGTCAACGTGGGTGGCAAACTAGATATAATGTGTTTCGACAAGACAGGAACGTTAACGGAAGATGGATTGGATATATTGGGCGTACGCGTTGCCTCAGGAACTACAGGCAGATTTACCGACGTTTTGTCAGACCCTACATATCTGTTGTCTGCGCGCCCACCAGAGACTGGCGGCGCGGCTCAGGAGTCGAAACTTGAGGCCGCTCTGTTTACCATGGCAACATGCCACTCCTTGAGGTCTGTTGATGATCAATTGGTAGGAGATCCACTCGACCTGAAAATGTTCGAATTCACCCGGTGGTCGTTTGAGGAGGGCAAGCAAAGCCCAAATGAAGCAGATGACCAGGACCAAGGAGGCCTTTCCCCGTCTGTCGCTAGACCACCTGCGGAATATAGTGGCTTGTTGCAGGAGAGCAACGAAGGTAATCAACTGGTATGTAATGGATCATATGCTCACGTGCAAAGCTGGACTAATTTCCATCATCAGTTACCTCTAGAGCTTGGAGTCCTCAAGTCTTTTGAATTCGTTTCTCAACTTCGAAGAGCGAGTGTTGTTGTTCGGCAGTTTGGAAAGCCAAGTGGGGATATATACGTCAAAGGCGCGCCTGAATGTATGCGGGAGATTTGCCGGGACGATAGCTGTATGTGGTCCAAAATCTGCAGCAAAACCTCACCACGTACTATTATGGATAGTTTGCTAACTTGTACTTTGCCTTACAGTTCCTATTGACTACGATGAACAGCTCGCCTACTACACGCATAAGGGGTATCGCGTTATTGGATGTGCGACTCGACACATTCCTAAGCTAAGCTGGGTCAAAGCGCAGAAAATGAAGCGACATGAAGCAGAGTCTAACTTGGACTTTATCGGCTTCATCATTTTCGAAAACAAGCTGAAGCCCACTACCACATCTGTCTTGAATGAGCTCTTGGAGTCCAATATAAGTACAACTATGGTTACGGGTGACAACATCTTGACTGCCATTAGTGTTGCCCGCGAATGCAATCTGATTAACAAAACGGCGCATTGCTTCGTACCAAGGTTCATTGAGGGTAAGCACAGCTTGTCTAAACATTTACGGTTGTTATGTTGACTAACAGGGGGAAGGAAATGCTGGTGACCCCAAGGCACGGCTACAGTGGGAAAGCATCGACAATAGTGCGTTCCAACTGAACGACCAAACATTGCTTGTAAGTCCCCATGAGGCAGACATATCTTTTTGCCAAACCCCATACTAATCGTAAAATGAAGCCGACGGCACCACCAACAAATGTCGATGCGTCACTGGCATATAATATCAATGATATTCGCAATTATTCGCTAGCAGTTAGTGGCGAAGTGTTCCGTTGGATTGTGGATTTCGCACATCCCATTGTCCTGCAAAGGGTAAGTTGGTCCAATTAGTACAATCCATGTATCATTTACTGACAAGCTTAGATGCTTGTTCGTGGTAGGGTGTTTGCGCGTATGTCACCAGATGAAAAGCATGAACTCGTTGAAAAACTACAAGATATTGGCTATTGTTGTGGATTCTGTGGCGACGGCGCCAATGACTGCGGTGCTCTGAAGGCCGCAGACGTTGGCATCTCGCTATCAGAAGCAGAGGCCTCCGTTGCAGCACCTTTTACCTCTCGTGTCTTTGATATTGGATGCGTGCCTACAGTCATCCGGTAAGTTCAACGCATCGTTGCGATGAAGAGTTAACCAATGTCTTGCTGTAGGGAGGGACGCGCAGCGCTTGTGACGAGTTTCAGTTGCTTCAAGTACATGAGCCTTTACTCAGCGATTCAATTCACCTCGGTCAGCTTCCTTTACGCAACGGCGTCAAACCTCGGAGACTTCCAAGTCAGTCACGTTCCCTATCGAAAGAGTACATACTAAGCACCTGGCAGTTTCTATTCATTGACCTCCTTTTAATTCTACCGATTGCCGTCTTCAGTAAGTGCATAATCGTAGTGTACACCAATGCAGCATACTGATATTCGATCCAAGTGAGCTGGGCAGGGCCCTTCCCCGTGTTATCGCGGAAACGTCCAACGGCGGACCTCGTGTCCCGAAAAGTTCTCATACCCTTACTAGGCCAAATGGTCATTTGTATTGCCATCCAAGCTGTTGTCTATACAGCTGTGCGAGAGCAGCCATGGTAAATGCCCCGGGCGAGCGAGGCTAAAATGCACGCGAATTACTGATCGACTTGGCAGGTATATCCCTCCCCGTATCAACCATGACAAGTCCAATATCAAAAATTCAGAAAATACGGTACTATTTTTGGTATCGTGCTTCGAGTATATCTTGGCAGGAGTAGTGCTCAATGCTGGCCCTCCTTTCAGGGAGAGGGCGCTGAAGAATTGTGAGTTAAACATGTCTAAGAGGAATTAATTGCTAACCAGGCACAGGGCCTTTCATGGTTACCGTTACAGCCACCCTTGTCATTACTCTTCATATGATTATAAGACCTGCGCATTTTGTAAAGCACCTGATGCAACTGACAAAGACCAGTTGGGACTTCAAGCTTTTCATGATTCTCTTGGGCGGTATCTATCTGATCGTAGCTTGGACCTCGGAAAAATATGTTTTCCAGAAGTTGGCTCGGGCTGCTGGGCGCTTTAAGGAACAAGTGTTGAAAGCCCCGAAACAGAGAAAGGAGTACAAGGTCATATTGGAGAATATGCAGGTGTAACTAGGTGACTTGGCGGTTAGAGAAAGCCTTCTGAAGCGTCGCATAGTCTAGTCTTAGCTCTCAACAAAGCGCGTCTTTTCACATCGATTGCAGAAACCAACCATAATCAAACGACGGCCTACAATTTAGCAAGTGAACAGTTACCTAATATCATCTATGCGGTTAATTTCCGTCCACAGAAGCAAAAAAATTTCCAGCATGAAAGACAAGGCAACAAAGAAGACAGACAAAATGGACGTGTCATCATGCTCCACTTGACCTACATTCCGGTGCCGAGCTAGCCCAAGCGGGTCGCCCCGGCTCCGAGCGGCCAATGTTGCCGCTGCGACTCGCCTCAGACACTATCGACAACAACCTGTCACGCCCAACCTCACGAGCAAGCGATACTATTCAAAAAGGTGCCCATTGGTCCAGCTCCAATTTACACACTCACTTCATACTCTGTTCCTACGGCCCTGATTACGATTCGCTGGCTCAACGAAGCTGCACCTGAGATACGAAGCCGTAGATTGCACGAAAATCCTCCACGTACTTGGACTAGGTCCTGATTTCGAAGTGGGACAATTGCATCCGTAGAAGCACAGAAGGGAGACGGTGGGAATCACACTTCATCTCACTTAGAAGCCGAGGACGTAGCGGACTCAGAACCTCCTCACCCAGTCTTACACGATACCAGGCGTCTTATCTCAACTCTCACAATATGAACATGGGTAAGCTAACAAATGCTTTTCCGTATCGAACAACATTATGAAAAAAATGTTATTATCAAACGTGAAGCAGATCTTTAGTAACAAAATGTAGACTGGATTCTAGACAGTGGCTACCTGCCCCATGCTGTCATTAGGATTGGCATACGGCGCCAGCTTCAGGAGCGTCTCGACTCGATTGCAAGCACATCGCTCAGCCTAGATTATGAGCGAAAAATGAACTTCATCGAGAAGCTGCGTGCGCAACCTATTGCAATTGAGACTGGTACAGCCAACAAACAGCACTACGAGGTTGGCACCGGTGTTCTAGCTGCCTGCCTCGGCCCACGTATGAAGTACTCGTGTTGCTTGTATCCCAGAGGCGGCGAAACGCTGGCACAGGCCGAGATTGCCATGCTACAGACTTATATTGACAAAGCTGATCTAAAGGATGGCATGAGTGTCTTGGATCTGGGGTTAGTCTTACCTTACTCTAACCATTGAGAGTCGAGGTAGTGTTTGCAAGCCTCTGGCTAACTAAGAATGTGTAGCTGTGGCTGGGGGTCAGGTGCGTTGTACTTTGCAGAAGTCCTGCCCAACTCCAAGGTTACGGCCTTCTCCAACTCCAAAACGCAAAAAGAGTATATCGATACCAAGGCAAAGGAGAAGGGGCTAACTAACCTCACCGTCATCACGGGCAACGTTGTTGACCACGAATTTGATGTTGAGTCATTTGACCGCGTTGTGTCCATTGAGGTAGGCCGTCTGCAACCCAAATGCTTGTTTTTAATGGCTACTGATATCAATCAAGCTCTTTGAGCACATGAAGAACTATGAGCTGCTGATGGCCAAGATTGGTCGGGCGTTGAAACCAGGCGGCAAGCTCTTTGTCCACATTTTTGCGCACAAGACAACGCCTTATGACTAGTGAGTCTATGCCTCCTGCACTTGGTCGACCAGTCGCTTACACCGGGAACTTAGTGAGGAGGGTTGGATGACGACGCATTTCTTCACGGGTGGCACGATGCCTTCTGCGGATTTGCTCCTCTTCTTCCAAGGGGATCTCAAGATCCAGAAGCAATGGTGGGTCAATGGCCAGCATTATTCCAAAACATGTGAGGTATGTCTTGTGTTTCTCAATTTTGCATTGAATACAGAGTCTAAAACTGGTTTACAGGACTGGCTACGAAAGATGCTAGCACACAAGAAGGAAATCTGGCCGCACCTGGTCGAGACGTATGGGGAGGAAAACGCCAGCGTATGGTACAATCGATGGCAGATATTCTATATGGCGTGTTCAGAGCTGTTCGCCTTTCAAGGAGGTGACACTTGGGGTGTGGCACACTACCTCTTCGAGAAGGCCAACTAAATGTAGCAACGGCTGTTTTAGCCTTCATTATGTCGCAACCATAGTATATCCATGTGCTCTCTTCTGGTATCTGCTAGATAACTCTACCCCAGACCAACTGTTTTTGCAGCTTCTCTTGTGCAAGCTCTATTTTCCCTTCCAGAGTTCCGTCTCGAAGTGTGCAAGCTAATGATCCCAGGGGTGCTTCCAGCCCAGCAAAACGGGTCCTGCGTAGCTTCGTTAGCTCAAATGATATGAATTCTATCTTCCGGAGGAATCAAGCCCACCATCTTTCTTCGCGCGGTACATCAGCTTCCAAGGGTGTAATATGTCAGTAAAACGGGACTGGGTCGTCAAATCTGGGGAGAGAGACGCACGAAAAACCACATGCCAGCGCCCAGAGCAGTCGCCGTGTAGCGGTAAATGCCAGGCACATGAGGCGTGGGAGGCTTGGGGCCGGGGTACATGATGAAGGTGTGACCGGTCGCGTCGTTCGGAAGTTGGTGATTCCTTTTCTGGGAGAGTTCCCGTCAGCAACTGTTATGGATTCAATCGTCTCCCAAGTGATGAATTTGAATACTTGGAATGTTACCTTATCCCTATTACAGGTCGAGTCCGACTCAGAGAGGCAAAGAGATACTCTAATGGCAGAGGAATCAAGCGTAACAGACAGTCGAAAGCGTTGTTCAAGAACGACAATCAGGAGTGGGACCCAGCCTTGTCTGCTTAGGTAAGACGCATCGAGCCAGGAACCTGGGCCAATAGCAGGAAGTACATTTAGAAGGTGCCTTGTACAACCGCATGCTGAAGGTGGAGCACCTCCACGGCCTTCAGGAGCTTTGTGGGTTGTGAGTGGGGTGGGTTCAGGCCTCTTTGACTGCCGTACCACTCATTGACAAAGGACCGACCCCCTTGTTATTAATTAGCGGCGACAAGTAGTCGTTGATTCCGCGACGTTCAAACCCAATGAGGGCGCCCCCCCTGTCGCGACATACGTAGGTAGTTCGAGCCACCTATTCTCAACCTCCTACGCCGAATTGGTCCTCTAGGCCAAACTTAACGCAACACTTATTCTATACCCAAATCTTTCTATTCTACCTTCCTGGCAGAGCCACGAGCCCTAAATTCTCTCTTTTCTCCCTTTCACAAGTCAGTGTCCCTCCCCTTTAAGAGAGAATCCAGAAGAATCAATCGAGGGCAACCAGTTGTGTCCCTGAATTGCCATCATGGCTACTCCCAAATTCAACTCTAAATCTCCTACGATACGGCGCATACGTAAGGAATTTTCCATCTGTTTTCTTCGCGCCTGCTCTCATCTAACCTATGAATTCCCAGTACGCGAGGCCGCCGAACTATCCAACTCGCCATCACCAGATTATACAGCAACCCCACTAGAATCCGACCTCTTCGAGTGGCACTTTACTTTCCGCGGACCTCCAAAATCCTCATACAGCGACGGTATATACCACGGCCGCATTGTATTACCGCCTACCTATCCCCTCCGTCCTCCTAGCTTCCGATTCCTTACCCCAAGCGGTCGCTTCGAGACGAATCGCGAAATTTGCCTTAGTATCAGCGGCCATCATGAGGAGACATGGCAGCCCGCCTGGGGTGTAAGGACAGCATTGGTTGCGTATGCCACCATATTCATAGTATGTATGAGATAATTCAATCGCTCACTGCCTCTATATTAGGTTACGCAGCTTCATGGAGACCGACCCCAGAGGTCAGCTAGGTGGCCTCGAGACAAGCGACGACGTGCGCAAGCGCCATGCAACAGCATCACATTCGTTCAAATGTTCGATATGTGCTAAGACGAACCTCGATATCATTCGAGAGTGTGAAGAGGGTGCCAAAGTCGTTGCCGGCTCGTCTGAGCCTCCCTCTGAGGTTGCGGTACCTGCAGAGCTGAAAATGGGCTGGAAGGATGAGATGACCAATACAGCAAATCCTGTAGAGGAGCCAACCGCGTCAGACGCTCCACAGCGCAGTGAGGGTGACAGTGAAAGCGCTGAGCTCGCCGAAGGTTTCGTTCGCACAACACCTGATACACATCCAACGGATGTTACTTTACCGCCAGCCGCAACTTCTCGTATCGCTCGTCACGCCCAGGTACCTACGCCGACAAGAACAGTCTCGCTACCTCCGGCACCAAACGTTCGGCAAGTTCATCAACGCCCTCATGATGAAGGCGTGCCGCTATGGGTGGATCGAGCCATAGTTGTCCTAGTGGTACTTCTGTTGGCCATGATAGTAAAAGTTGTGCTTAATTTGTAGCGTAAGCATGGGAACTCATGTTGTCTATAAGGGCCTAGTTCATTTCTTATCTGTCTTTCCTCCAGCATTTATGACTTTTGACCCACCAGGTAGCTAGCTTCATGATACTTCATTTAGCTTAGTTAGTTATCCTGTCCTATTATACGGGCACTGGCCATGGGCGACTGGTGACACTGGCACAGTTTCCAGGACAACAGCCGAAGCGGAATGAAATAAATTTATAACGCCATCTTCAAGGCATAGTGGCGTGCTATTGATCCTTTGTTATAGTTGCCAAACAATGAAATGACAAACATCGAAGTGAAGAAACAGACGCGTCTGAGTTATCAGTGGCAGCATTTGTCCATCTTTTTTTTTTTTTCTTTTTTGAAGATTTGATTCGGCCGTAAATGACTTTATGCCACTAGCTATCAACTCACATAATTTTCTGGTTTCCAACGACGCTCAAAGAGGTTTATATGGGCATCTGTCTTCACAAGATTTATGCATTTCATATTGACCAAAATTTGCCTCTATACAGCGATGTCTCGTTGCCGTCCCACAAGAAGCCACCACCACTCGTCTACTGTGCAACTTGTTCCGTGTGTCATCTCTTTTAATACACCGTTACGTTTTCCCCAATCAAACACCATTTGAACCTCGAACTCTTGCAGGTATGGCTTTAACACTGTGCAGACAGAAGAAACATCTAGAGGACCCCGAGTCGCTACGACAAATGCCACTGCGCCAAGGACCTGGGACCAGCGTTCTTTGTCAAGCTCACCGAAGAAGTCGGACCACAATGGAACGGCTCGATTTTGGCTCTCCCGTGGAGGCATATTGTTTCTGGCCTTTCGGATGACATCCAAATTTTCATCGTAAACGTAAGCCATAGTTGGGGCTATTTCCAGACCAAAGTTGTAGTATGACTTTGGATATTTTCTGCTTTCGTAGTTGCCCGGATCAAACCCAAGTGGAATACTGGGGACGTCAATTGTTGTAACAGCAACTCTCCCACTGGACTGCATATTCATCATTGCCATGACTTCGCCATCCTTCAGTACGTAGGGAATGCGGATTTTTTCGCCTCGTCGAAAGCTACTGTCAAGACGGGACTTGAACCTCGCTGCATCCAAGAATTTATGCTCATGCGTCCATTTCATGAACCTTGGAAGGAAAGTCTCCGTGAGCCGGTACGGGCGTCCCTCAAGTGCCTTCAACTTGCTATCCGTTATAACACCCTGACCCTGAAGGACCTCAACCGCTTGCTCAAGCATTAATTGGATACGCTCCTCGTCCCCGCCTCCTATACTGGCCATCTTCTTCCTGATGTCCTGGGGTGCGTATTTGTCGCGCGGTGTGTAACAAAGAGAGCGAAGCCAGGACATGGCCGTCACCAAGTCATTTGCATTCGATTCTTGGGCAAACGTGTTATTTCTGTCAATGAGGGAAGTTGCCGGACGTGAGGTAGCAGCCTCAAATCTGTTGAATACGGACATCTGAAAGTTGTAGTAGTCGTCACGCCAGTTATCGACATCCGCCCAAGCTGGGGCAAGTGAGTATTCGTGGTCCAAGATGACCTTGCTAGCAGGCAATTCGACCGAATCTTCAATCAGGCCGGCAGTCCACTTGATTAAACGAGCCCAATCATAGTCAACGTAATTGTCGAAGTCGATTGGCGGGAACTCGTTACTCTCATAGGCGGAAATGAATTGAATCTGGAAACGTTCGGTAAGTTGGTTGATGAACGTTCTCCGATCTTTTCGAGCTTTGGACCAGAATCGTCTCATGGCGCTAAGCGCCATGTCAGGAAATAAGGTCATCATCAGGCCCCATTCAATAATTCTATCGGCGCCACCTAGCAGGGTCCGGGTTACAACAAACGCTGCTATTAGGACCGTCTCATTGGTCTCGTCAAGCCCGCTACCTCGCCTGGGCCCGTCTCTCAAATCTGTGTCTTTAGGCAGGGTTATAAGTGATCTGATCTTTAGATCTATGCCAACAACAAGTTCTTTAGTTTCAGTGCCAGGTTGCTTTTGTCTTCGTTTGCGTCTCCTCTGTCGGCCAAGATCACCACCCCAGAGGCGATCGGTCATGGTTGTTGCAGGCTCCGAAATATGCAAATCGAACAAAGCACTCGGACTTAGCTGGTTGAACGAGCTCCACTGAAGAGGGGGATTCTGCCATTCGGCTGGGAAGTCTTGAACTCCGAGATTGATGAAAATGTGGTCTGGAGCTATTGACTCTGCTAGCATCAGCCGCATCCCTTCGTTCGATAACTCCCAGTCAAAGCAGGCATCAACTTGTTCAGCAAACTCTGAGCACTGATCGCTGGTAGGAAACCTCGATCGTGGTCGACCACGCCATTTAACCATGTCAGCCAAGTCCTGTGGTAAGTTCTGCCTCAAGAACCATCGAGAATCTGGCATCCAACCGCGGATGGTCAGGCTGCAATCCTCAGTTTCAAATAGCTCATTGTTGGAGGCAGGCCAGGCACCGTTGCTACCCACAATGGTATTCGTTTCGGCGAAGTTAACGATGTAGCTACTTGGCACTGCATCTTCAGCCATAAATATAGGGTATGTTGGCTCAGAGGCTGGATAACCGGGGGGCAACAACGCGCGTCTGGCATCCTCCGATACTTCCTGCCCTAAACAAGTATTGGGCTTCAGGAAGACCAATGTAGTTTTAAACCCGCCATCTGGATCGCCTGGTGAGCTAGAGCTCTCTGTTCCATTTCGTGCTACCCCGTCACCATCCATGAAGAAGCGGAACACGTCCCTGCGTCGTGTACCATCGGGGCCTTCATCCTCAGTGTGCGTAATTTGCTCTTTTGTAACCATCCTCCTCTTACGTTTTCGTGGGGTCTGATTACCACCATCGCAAGGGGCTGGTGGCCTTTCATTCGCTGCTTTGTTGGCGTAAAAAGGTGCATCAAGCACCTCGATGCCTTGAACAAGTTTTCGCCGACTGGAAAAGACAGGCTGTGCATTATTATTGTCCTCGTCAGTTAACCCGACCTTAGGGGTAAATGCCAGCGGTGTGTATGCCTTGGGATAAGCTGCTATAATCTTGGCTTTCATGGCAACAGCCACTGAAGACGATGTCTCAACCTGAGGAATTCTGAGTAGCTGGTAGTTTGCCATCATACCTCTGGAATCTTTGAAGGCATGAGTGCTGACGATGATCTGCTTTCCCTTAGCCAGCTTGGCCAGTGCATCCTTGTAGCACTGGTGAACTGGAGGGTGTTCAGCTGGGAAAGCAGTTTCCCATGTGGCAAGCGCAGCATACCATACGGAACGACCGCCCGGGAAAACCCCGCCGTTTGTGTGAAGGATATGCAAAAGAATCCTTTCCATAACGTCAGATACCTGGCCTGCCGTAGCTCCACCAGCGGTGATACTGGCGCGCACTGCTTCCGCATGTGACAATTCAAATGCAGGAGTGGATAATGGTTGTGCGCCTTCTGTGCCTGGACCATGCGCTAGACCCTTCTTATCAGGGTTCGGGGTCGAGTCATGCCGCCCATCGCTGCAGCGTTCCACAACGGACGCTGTTGGTGATGCCTCGTCGACTTCAGCGTTGCTCGCCAACGACTTGCCGCGGCGATTTGCTATGCTTGTCCTTGGTATTTCATCAAGTCGTGAACGCCGGAATGATGTCTGAGTAGGGGCATGCTGTGCAGGCATGTCTCTAACGCTGACAGCTGCATCGTCGATTAGGCCGTACACATGGTTTTTGATGATAGATACCGGAGGCTGAAGGGTTTGAAAGGACTTGGAGACTAAGCGCCGTTCGGCCGTACGATTTCGGGACCCAAATCTCATCTCAGAGGATATGTTCGACCACCTTGGTCGCGACGTCCTTATACTTCTGTCTCTAGGCACGTTGCTACCAGTTGAGGCTAGGTCGTTCACGTTGCCTGGACCAAATGTCAAGTCTCCTCGGCCTTGTGATTTGTCCAGATCAGAAATAGTACCATCTGGTGAACAACTGTGCAATTGCGAGCCTGCATGGCTTTCAACTGTTGCGGTAGTGGTCATATTTGTTTGCCGAGATTTGACCTGGCGAGGTGCGACAACATGTTTTGTTGAAGTTGATCGCCTGTTGATAAACTCGGGGGTTGCCGTAGAGCCTGGAGCCGGAGGAACATAGTTCGGGTTGCAGGTCGTCCGAGACTTCTCGAGATGGTACTTCAGACCAACATCATTCTTCCATGTTCCCCCACACTTTTCGCATTTGACAAGGCCGGAGCGTCCTCGTTTGTGTGTGCTTTTCTGCTTCCGTCGACCTCCGCGTCTTACTGGGGAATTTCCAGCTGGATGTTCGTCCAAGACCTGGGACGCGTCCATTTCAAAGTCCTGATCGATGCCACTCTGAGCTACAGTTATTGACTCTTGTTCAATGGCGACATCGTTGAGAACTGCAGTGCTTTTTGGTAGTTCTTGACTAAGAGCTGTACCCTGTGCCAACGATGTATCTGACTTGGGTCGTGCCAAAGGATGCGGGATTGCCTCGTTTACACACTCTGCCTCGATATGTTGCGTCGTCATCTCGCCGTCTGCGTGTCTTGTCTCCGCGCGCATGATATCAAACAACACGCGCGGATTGACTTTTAATGTCACCACCAACGAGATTGGTTTTGCATCAGCCAACAGTCGGCTTCTCAAGTTGCGACTAGACAATCTTGGAGATGATGCAAGAACAGGCTCTGCACTGATCATTGACGAGATATCATCATCCTGAACTTCGTTGTGCGTCTGGCCGGATACTCTTGCCCGCTTCGCACGCCGACATCCAACATCTTGAGTTTCACTTGCACGCGGAGAATGTAAAGCATCAGCCTTACGCTTCAAGCCACCAGCACTTGCTCCTTTACCAGGGCCTTGGGCTAGATACGTTAAACCTCTAACAGCGTGAGCAGCGTCTGGTGTAACAGCAGGTATCGGAAACAAGGGGCCGAGGCCTTTAGTGGACTGTTCCTTAGTGACTGAATTAGTTATAAGCTGGTTATCGGCAGCCTCCACTTCATTTCCGTTCTCTTCAGCTGGAATATCTTCTGTCTTTTCCTGCAATTGTGGAGCGAAGTATCGGTACTGTTGCGACTTGCCCTTGCGGTGCATTTCACTCAGGACTTGGAAATGGCTCAGGTGCCTCGGCTGAAGCGTAGAAATAGCCAATGTCGATGAAATAGAGGAGAGATACCTTCTGAATGATGAGCCCAGAGTCGAGTCACCTATCTGTTTGTTTGAGAGGCCCGTGGTGCCGGCCCCAAGGATATTGTCAAAAACAGTGGAGGTTAAGGGCTTGTCAGCCGTCCAAGTGGCCATACGCTTCGTGCTGCATGTACGATGAGTGCTAGACGTTGAATCTGTCGTGGCATCTGTAATTGGCGCTGATGAGTGGGCCCCATCGACGGAGTAAAAGTCAGTACCTCCAAGGCCGTCAGTGGACAATGAAGAGCTCTTTTGTTTTCCAGTAGCCAAGTAAGCCGCCCAGTCCTCATGAGTGAGATCATGGTCGAATTTGAGGCAGTCCTTAAATAACTTGCCGGACAAAGTAGCACCGACGTATTGAATAGCGCCAGTTTGGACAAAGAATCGGCATGTCTTTGCAGCAACCTTCATTTGCCACCTGAGACCCAAGATTCCTAATTTGCATCGCAGGTCGTGATATCTAATGATTCGATAGGCTTTCACAACAGCCATTATTGTTTGTGCCAAAGAAATGTAGTCGACCGAGTCCCCAATCCACCTTCCACGCCATGGAACAGGTTCGAGGTCACGAGCGAGAGCATCTCGAGACATATCAACTGTGGTTGGAATGCCGGCAGCAGCTTTCGTGGGATCTGTTGGAAGTGCTGGAGCAAAACGGGCTAGCCACATTTTGCTCGTTTTGGTGCCCCGTACAAGAGTCGTGCGCTTTGAGATATAGCCTTTCTCCGCAAGAGCATCGGTTCTCTTTGGCAGAGAGCGCTTGTCTTGGCCCACAAGCCGGCCCAAGTCGCCCTGCAAAATACCGTGCTGCTTCGTAGATGCAATACCAACCAAGGCCATCCATTCTAGCCTCGGAACTCTTCGGTAATCCGGAGCATGACCGGCGATCGATTCCCACATGCGATCCTCAGAAACATACATCCGAGGTCGCTTGCGGGGCAGGCCCAGCTGCAGGAAGAGTTGGCTTTGTTCTTTGGATTTGGCGTCACCTGTATCTGAAGTATTGATCCTGTCATTATGTGCTGTCGAGGAGGTGGGAACGACTGCAGATGTATCCTGTGAATCTGGATCTGGGATGTCGAGAATGTCCGACAAAGACAGATGGTTCCATTTTCGGTTCACTCCAACTGAAATATCTTTCCTTGCCCTTAGCCAATCCCATGCCGTGGACCATAAAAGTTGATTGGTCTCCGCCAAGACCGACTGAGAAGCTTGTCCGAACTCATTATTTTTCTCTTGGGCATCTTTATAAAAGATGCTGAGTGATTCAAGTACATGAGAAACGGTGCATCCTGCTAAGAGTTAATAAGGGAAGTCTAGTAAAGCCTGACCAGCCGTTTTCATGAACAGGATTTTTCAGGGCCATCGTGCTTGCAATGACAGCGTGATTACCGAACCTCAAAGAGTTCTTAATCTTCATTGAGGGACATGGCTCTAACCACCGAGAAAGCAAGATCTACTCACCCAAGTCGCCGTAGCATGAAATGTCAGTAATAAGTGACTCTATCAATCGCTCCAGATCGCGCGACATGATGGGAAACCGTAATGCTTTGACATTCTTATAAGAGCAAAAAGAAAGATATTTCGAGAATGTTGAGTACTTGAGGTCAACGACGGAAAATCGAACCCAGGTTCCTTGCGATTCGCGCGTTGCGTTAGTCAAAAATTCCTTCGGGACGGGATTTTTGGGTTTGAGCCGCCCAGAGTTCTTGACATGCAAGAAAGTGGGACAATGGCCCGGCGCCACCTTCTCCCACTGGCTCTGGCACTGCGTATTCACGCAGTATTGGATATGGCGGGTGTGGCTGGGGGGCTCCGCTGTGAGCCAATAGCACGTGACAGTGTTTAACATAAGTGACATCAAATGAGCAAGCAATCAGGTGAGACAACGGACCTACGCCGTCCAACGTATTATCTAAACGGGAGGCTGTCAAAATTAATGTGTACTCTTTCAGAAAATCTTAGAGTGCAATGCGTTCCTTTGGAAATCCAGATTCTTATAAAAACATCCTGAATGTTATAGTTTGTTGCCAAGTATAGTGGCTCGTCCTTCGCATTTAGACAAACTTATGTCGTTTTGGCGCCTCGGCAGTTCTTTCAACTGACATAAATATCAGGGTATCCTATTAAGAAGAAGAGAATCGAGCTAATTTCTGTTCTCTTCCTTTTCTATACGCAGCAACCAACTCCTCTCGGATTCCTTGGAGCTCCTCGCGCTTCCGCAAACTTCCTGCAGACTTTGGCACATTGGAGACATCCACGGCAGCGCCCCGCACTAACAACTTCTCTCTAGCGACCTTTGGAAGCTCCGGGGGCGCCTGTGCAACATCATGAAGACCTACCTTGGCCTCTCCTCGCTTTTTCTTCAGTTCAGCCCAAGGGTCGTCTTCATGGTTTGCGCCCTTGCCTTTTTTACCCTTCTTCTTCTTCTTCTTTCCAACCTGCCCAGGCTCATCCATATCCGCCCGCGTTATGCCAAAAGTGCCAAAAGTGCCACCGTTGATTTCTTCATCCAACTCTCGTTCAGCAGCCAACTCAAGCTCTTCTTCCTTCTTCTCCTTGATTTTGCGATCCTCTTCGCGCCATTGATCGTAGAGCTTGTGCATTTTGCGCTCCTTGCGCGTTCTTTGAACCTTGAGTCCAACAGGATCCTTTCCATCTCTAACTGTCTTCGTGACAAGCCCGGATAACGGTAAAGCTGCATTAACACGGGCAGCGAAGTCAGACATTCTCTCTCCCGGGCGGATCGTAGGCATTTCAACCTTCGTGGTACCGACGCCAGGTTCTTCTTTTTTCTCCGTCTTTTTCGAACTCTTCTTCTTGTTTGTGAACTGACCGTCATCCAGGCCTGAACGTTGCTTCTTGCCCTGAGCAAACGCCATTAAGCGCTTGAAGGCTCTCGGAGTGTCATCGTCACCAGAGCGCTTCTTTCTTTTCTTAGAAATACCGTCGTGTTGTGTTTTTGTGTTTGTAGCAGGTTGTTGAGCATTGCGACCCTTGTTGACAGGCAGAGGTCTAGCGACCTGACTGGGTGGAAGGTCGAACCTATCACCAACAACTTAGTAACTGTTCGCAGAACGATCTACTCAAGGAAAGAAGACAACGTACGATGATGGGTCGTGCTCCCTTCTAGTGTGTTTGTGAGGCATTATGGATGATGCGCTTGTTTGAATGCAAAACTTTCATCAGATATTCGTCAGCATTGAAGAGATGAAGACATCAAGGGGGCAGTAAGATTTTTTTGTGTATTAGATAATCAAACGGCGCCGGCCAAAAAAAAAAAGAGAGACAAAACTTATCCGATAAGGTGTAGCGGGGCCCCTGAAACCGCCCTGTTTCTAGGCTCCAAAACAGCGCAGGGGTCTGCTGGGAGACACCCCAGAGTCGATCCCCAGTCAAAAGATCACACACGGGAATGCACGCGCTGGCAGCTTGGCACCTGATGTCCGCGGCTGACACCTGTGCACATGAGATACATTCATCCCCATCACGAAGCAAAAATTGGTCTGATGAGTTCATAAGATAAATGCCCGCGCTGCTGCATCAAGCCTGCCACGTGCTATACAGTGAGCCTACTTCTTGTCCAGCCTTACACTTCATACTTGTAGGAAACGACACCTCTCACCACTGGGTAGAACTGGTAGTGAGTCCAATTTCAAGCAGAAGGCGTGATGGGAATCGACACATTGCTCGTGTCATGTTAGGGGTTTGCTTAAAAGTTTGTTTGCCTGACAAACATAGTCGTCCTGTACAATAAAGTAAGGTAGGGCGTAATCGAAAACAGGTTACAGGAATGCACTCACATTCTGAGGCGAACAGATGCACACTAGGCGTTTCTTCTCGGGGCGGATTGAGAACAACGGCCAGAGAACTATTATCAAATCGTTCAAATTGCTGTCATTTTGAAAGCGAGTCCCATAGCCCGATATGCCACAACCCCCCGTGAGCCGTCACTTAGGCTTCAGGCTCGATTTCTGTTTCGCATGTTGGGCTTTCCAAAGCAAAGGTGGAGACGTACGGGAAAGTACCGTCAAGAGAAGATAGCAAAGTCAATTGCGATCATCTGAACATGTGACACTGGGCGATGTTTTCGAGCGTGTCTCAGTGTTGACGCCTGACAAAGAGGTGTACGCATTCACATTTGCCTTGATTCATTACAGGGTGCCTCATCTACACTAAGATGATCTCTCTTTCCTTTTTTCCTGCTATTGCGGTAACTCAAGTTGCGCTTCGTCTGGTCTTGCGTTCTCGTCCAGTCATATCAAGCATACCACGACAACACAGCAGATGGTTGGATGTATGGTTTTGTTTAGTGGTTGGTGCAGGTGTTGGTTTTGCCCACGCGTAGCCCAGCGCACATTTCATAGGCAAATGTGGCTTCGCCTGCTGGGCCTGGTTCAGGCGCCAAGCTACGTAGTAGTTGCACAGCGGAAAACATCCCATGAGAAAACAGAGGTGGGAACAGCTGGTCGTGGTCCACGACAATCCTATCCGGTGCTTAGCTGAGTTATCCGCCTATTAGCTGCGCCACGTGCCTAGAACACCTTGACTTTTGCGAATGTATTGGGCAATTGGTGTACCATAATTGGCAGGGAGATGTGGAGGAAGGAGGCAGGGGCGGGAAGGTAATGGGGGAAAAGGCAAAGGAAAGCATGGTTTCTGACCACGGTAGATCGTGCACGGACCCCACGCGGGGGTGAGATAGATTGTCCACAACAAACAGCTGTGGAGGGCGCTGGGCTGACTAAGTGTTAGACTGGGGAACACCTGCAATAGCGTACAAGGTCAGCCATGCTAGGGTGGATGGGATTGGAGGCCAAATCATGCCCTTGTTCAGGACGGGTCTACTGTACCCTTTCAGGTATCCGAGTACGGTAAGCAGTAACAGGGACCTCTTGCTGCAGGCCCCAGGGATGTCTTGCCGGCCAGACCCTGATGGACCGGCGTTCGCCATACGACTCACACATTCCGACACGACACGACGGGGTTTGGGTTTGAGGGGCATGCCGAACAACCTTAGTTTTTCAGCACATATGGTTTCTCTAGTTTTGCTGCTAATGACAATTGGGACACGCCCGGTGCCCTGCTGTCCCGAATAGCGAGTGGCAGCTGTGGTAGCAAAACAGAAACAGAAACACCCGCAGCAACGCTTTCTTCGGGTCCCGAGCCCCGCACCTTGTCTGTTGCCTACTCTCTTCCAGCAGCAACTCCTCTCCAGGTCTTCTTTCTCCTCCCCACCATGAGGCAAATAGAAGCTCCAAATGGCAGGCCAGCCCTTGACTTAGAAAGGCACCCTTCCAACCCTGTCCTGTCTACCTACCCTTCAACCCACCTCCCCCCGGCTCGCCTCGTCTCGCAGAATTGATTTGCCCGTGCAAAGTATTTCAGAGAAACAAGATGAGTCGGGTGCCCAGAAAATGCTTGTGTGCGCCAATGACTGACTAAGGTGCCTCTTAGCTGGCTGCTACTGCTAGGGATGATGAACCGCCAACATGGAAACGAAAAAGGCTTGACTAGGTACAGCATTTTCCTGGGATCCGGCGCCTGGTTTCCGTTTCCCTCCACAGGGGCGTGGGCGACCTTATCCCTCGTCCCCAACACTTGTCGCTTGTGTCTCGCCTTTTAAGCCCTCTTCCTCATCAGCTAGTCCGCGCTACTCTACGCCGTAAAAGCACCTTGCCTTTCCTTTCATTTGACAGAGGTACCTTGCCCATGCCTGCTTAGGTCTTTGGCCCCTCTCCCAGGTCCAAAGTCTGTTCTCGACCATCTTTTCTGATCTTCAACATGCTCGGATCCGCTTGCCGTTTAGCCATTTATAATTCCTTGCCCATCCCGCGTTGACTTAACCCTCCCTGCGTTCGTTTGCCCCGACCTCAAGGTGTTCAACTCAGCTGCACCTGACTTTGTAGTGCTCAAAGGCTGTGCTTGTCATTCTCGGCACCTGAGCTATTCAAGGGTGAACACCCAGCTACATTTGACGTGCCTGTCTCACTACATCTCTCATCAGCAATCTCGTCTATCGGGGTCTCCGCAACCGTCTAGTTCTGCAGGCTCCTGTCTTAGTTTCTACACTCTTTGTAACTCCGCCGACAGACAAGGCACGAAAGACATCAAACCTTTGGGGCCTACAAACCTTTGCTTCTGAACCTACTTCATTCAAATACCAGCTCTGGGCACACTGCAGCGTTTCCATTCTCTGCAAGATTTAAGAAGAAGCACTGGTCTCTGGCCACTTACACGACATGCTCTGCTGATCATCGAGTCGTTATCGGACACGACAACACGAGCCAGTTGCCCTCCAGTATCTAACTCCTGCCACAATCACTTCAGAAAACACACGTCTAGCTTCGTTCAGACGCTTCTGGTCTTGAAAAGTCTGTAGCCATCTTACCTATTTGCCGAGGGGTCGTCCGCGAGCATCAACATGCCTCCAGTAAGCAACGCCAGTTTCGACGCTGTGCGTGATCGTTTCCGTCAATTGTGGTCCCGGAATACCATTACTGTACCTCGGTATAGAGATTCACCTACAGACGAAGAAGACAGGAACGAGAGGGACCTCGAAATACCTGTCACTCCAGCTGAAAGCTATACCTCCGAAGATGGGTTGCTGGGCCCCGCCTACATAAATCCGAAGCCTTGGACCCGGAAGCGTTCATTCTTCATGTGCGGCGCCGTCTGGCTGGCCATGCTGTAAGTGTCCTGAACCAGCCTCCAGACCAACGACTGATTCATGCGCAGCATTATTTTTGTCCTTTTGAACTTGGTCTTGTTTGTTGCACGCGAAGTCTGGGACAACCCCTCTGAGGACTTCGAAGAAGCAAGCGTTGTCGTGCCTATTCCTTGTCATTCACACAATGACTACTGGAGGAGAAGGCCTGTTTTCTCTGCGCTTCAGGCAGGCTGCATAGGAATCGAGGCTGATGTTTGGCTCTATGGCACCGATTTGTTTGTTGGACACGACAAATGGTCTCTTCGCGAGAGAAACACTTTCGCTAGCCTATACGTTGACCCTCTTGTTCGGTTACTGGAGGAACGTAACTCCGACTTCGACAACACCACCGAACAGCGCCCCCGTGGCATCTATGAGTCAAACCCGGACCAAACTTTGGTTCTTCTTGTGGATCTCAAGACAAGCGGTGCCGAGACTTGGCCACAAGTGGTACATCAACTGGAACCTCTGCGCGAAAGAGGCTGGTTAAGTACCGTCATTGATGGCAAGGTCAGCTATGGACCCATTACCGTTGTAGGAACCGGCAACACCCCGTTTGAAATGGTCGTGGAGAATGCCACCTATAGAGACACCTTCTTCGACGCCCCGCTCACGAAGTTGGGCAGCCACAACTTCAACCCGACGAATTCTTACTACACCAGCGTGTCTTTCAAAAAGGCCATTGGTACAGTTTGGTTTGGCGATCTCTCTGAAGTTCAACTCGGCAAGTTGAAGGCCCAGATCAAGCAAGCACACTTGCGCGGCTTGAAAGTCCGATACTGGGATCTGCCTGCATGGCCGATCAGCATCAGGAACCACATTTGGGAAATTTTGGTTCGAGAAGGCGTTGACATATTGAACGTGGACGATCTTAAGGGCGCCAGAAAGGAGTGGAATGCGAAGGGCTGGCCTACACTTGGTGCTAACACGTCGACACCAACATGATCTGCACGCTCGGCGAAGAGAACTATCCCAAGACCTCGAATTTACTATCCAAAGGAGGCCATTGAGCAGTTCCATGCATATAACTTATGTGTGTGGCCATTAATGGGCTCGGCTCTCTGCCGTTGGCCATCCTGCAGCACCCCATGGAACGACGTATTCCGACGGCGCCGAGAGGCCTATGGTCGTTTAAGAAGATGGGGTATTCACTTCGGGGCCGTGGAAACCAGTCGGCTGTGCAAGCATCCATCGTGGCAATGCATATTGGCGGAACGAGCCACGGGCGAAGACATCATAGCCCATCCCACAGGGCCAACTACCCGCTGCAAAATCTTTATTCAAACTATCGCCAACCCGCCAATGATTAAATACTCCTGCATGTGCCCATGAATCAGGCTGGGGGAGAGTCAAGAGATATCGATCTTTTGCAGACCTGCTAAAGCAGACGATATCCCCGGACGCATCTAGCCAAACCCCATAATACCAGTTTGTAATAAACGTCACGGTGGGGCGCTTAATGGCATCTACATGCATAGGCCTCCGCGGCCTGGCATTCGGGCAAGAATCAAAGGCCTGGCGTGGACTATCTGGGGGGGGCATTCATGGATTTCAGATCGTAAACAAGGCAAAGGCAGGGCGGCTCCGGCCAACCACTCCGAGTCCTTCAAGTGCTTCCCAAGCACACGACTGAAACTCTGCTCGGATTGAAACCGGCTCCGGCAGTGTTAGCTATTCCGGGCTGTCCTGGGAGTATCTAGATACCTAGAATCGATTAGTCATCATATTTCCGGGATTCAGGCGAATGTGATAAGTGAAGCCGAAAAGCCGCGTTTTCTCCGGCACCCTCGGGAACAGTGATCAGAGGTGCATCTCAGATTGATGTTTCCGTTAGCTCACGACCCCGCATTGCTAATGGACAGTCTGAGTGAATGACGTCCGAACTAAGCGTTTCCCGCTTTAAAACGGGTGACAGAAGCATCTGGTGTCTGTTCCTGAATCTTTGCTAAGCCAACTTTTGTTTTATGTGAATTTTCGACAGCGTTGTTTTGAAGCAACCCGTACGTATCCGAACCTCGTACTAACACGACTAGCTTTATACAGCTTTGAATCAGTTGTTATGCCTGGACAACTTGCCAGCCTTGACGTAAGTTGAGGAAACACCCCCGTCCCATCAACTCGCTGAGGGCACAACAGCTGACGCAAGAACGAGCTGCCAGGCCTCGATGGCTGATCGGCTGCCTCCACACTCGAAGTTACTCTTTGACGCCAAGTCGACCAAAGGTGTCAACTTCGAGACTATCGCCAAGCAACTCGGTCGCAGCGAGGTTGCCGTAGCAGGTATATTTTATGGTCAGGTGCAGGCATCAGACGAAGATGTCGAGAAGCTATCAGAGCTGCTAGACGTTGACCGCGCGCAACTGAGCCAGCTCACCAATTTCCCTGACCGTGGTCGAGCTGGGCCTATGCCGCCGGTCGAGCCGCTCATATATCGTTTGTACGAAATTGTGCAGAATTACGGCTATGCCTACAAGGCCATCCTTAACGAGAAGTTCGGCGACGGCATTATGAGTGCCATCTGTTTCAACACCAACGTCGAAAAGGAGATTGATGAGGCTGGAAACCCTTGGGTAATCATTACGCTGAAGGGCAAATGGTGAGTTCTCATCTGGCGCGACTCTGGGCTTCTGCGCCCTAGTTAGTAACGTGTACTAACCCGACACAGGCTGCCCTTCACTCGATTCTAGGGAAAGGAGGTACGGGATCCACGAAAGGTAACTTGGCCATGCTCGCTTCTGTATTATCATGCCAGTCCGCTGGGCAGTATTGGCCGGAAAGGTTGTGGGGAGATTTTGCCTTGAAAAAGCAATAAACCGCTATGGGACGTCCTTTGTGTCACTCCCATATCAGAGCCACGGTTTACAAGTTGATTAGCATCCGGAATTTAACTGGAGCCCATGTTTGAGAGATACGAATCACAAATCATACATTCGAATAAAGGACACAAGATGCTCAAGCATCGAGAATTCGTCATTGTAATGCTCATGCTGACATTGTGACTGGGAGCCTTGACCACGACAGTCTCAGTTAATTCCTTCAGTTTCGGGGCTGCCAGGGCTTTTAGATAATGCAGGGCCAAGAACAAGCTGAGGATAACCACCAAGCTCATTCTGAGGCTTCGATAACTCATTATAGATGTCCCCAACAAACCCTGTACCGTCATGAATGTAGCACAGCAGGAAAGAACCAAATAGACCTCGAAAGGTCACACGATTTATTAATGCTAAGACGCTAGTCATTGGTTGATAAATAGGTATTCGATAGAGATGGTGGTAGTCAGCTTCTTCGCACTTGTGGCGAGTTATGAGGACCTCGTTTTCTACCACCTTGAATGCGGTTTTGAGATCAAGGAAGTTAACATGTTGAGTAACCATCTAGGGCAAGCATCGAGGGCTACAATGGCTATTCGACTCCGCCAAGAAACTCGCTGTGTGAGCTTAAGTCGCTCGAGCTTTTCAGTCCTTCACACCCCGGCCGTTAACAAAGAGCAGCTTCTACAGGGGTAAAAAACCCATTCGGTGCCAGACATGCGTGATTGTTCGCCGTAACACACAATGCTGATTCTGTTTACTAAAACATAAGTATAAGTAGACGAAAGGTTCCCTACGAATTTCAACCTACCTTCACTTGTGCATTATCCTGGCCGCGAATACAGTACCCTCAGAAATACTCAAGGCCTAGCCACGAATGCCTCATCGAAGAAAGACGAACACAAGAAAATAGAAGCAGAAAACCTCAAACCGTCCTGACACCAAAAATGAATTCCAATTCAGAGCTCCAATACAGCATCAATTTGATCACCAAACCCAATGCAGCAATACAAACCAACATCGGAGACGGCGTTACCGCTGGTTTCGCTACCGACACTATGTGCGTCGTCATGTAGGAGTGGCATAGGAACGGGTTAATGTGGCTCTGTAATCTACCTCGGACTCGTGGTTTTGCTTCTATGCCAAGATGTATATGGGACAAGTGCAAGAGACGGTCATTCTGAGGGATTTTGAGAAAGCAACAACAGTTTTGATCAAGTGCAGGGCTTGCCAACATTTTGTTTTCCCCTTTCTTTCATAGCATCCATAATTCTTCCCAAGCTGCCACCGCGACAACAGCACCTTTCTCGTCATGGTCTAGGCTTAGAGCAATGTTCTGGGGATCAAGCCAGGCAATATTTACTAGGTATGTAATAAAGAACGCCATATCGGTCGTCCAGCAAACTTTACCATGAGCACGCAAATGATTCGGTATGCAAAACTTTAGTACCCATGACAGTGGACTCGATTCTTACTACCCGGTAGCAACCAGGTGTATAAACTCCTTTGCACCGTAGAGGGAGACTGAGTGGTTGTTTGCAATGTTTTGTACTAGATACTGCCTGACACTGTTTCGTAAATGCCAATGACAAAATGTGCCCAACCCGATAGCAAACCATGTGAGATGAACTGATATATACATTGTGGTGTCTTTTGAAATTCTACAGGTTGTATGCGAGCTTCCTTTTTACTGATGGAAGCTTTCGGGAGTAAAGCATCCTAGAGGCACTGGATTTGGGCTGGCTTAGTACGCTTCGTGATGTTTCCAACAGGGTTCAAGTAATACGCCACAGCCAGTGTTGACCATAGCCCCGGCGTACAAAAGGTGGTGGCCCCACACTCAACCTGACCGCCTTTATCAAGTGGACCCTCCGAAGCGGCAGAATTATTTTCAAACGCCATTTTTTTTCCCAGCGCTCCCCACCTCGCTGAAGTTGCCCATCGAGCAAAAGGCCAAAGACCAACGACAGTTGAGCAACCGAGCCAAATTCTTCGAGCAAACATGGTCACGAAATCCAAACTCAAGCTCGCCCTAGCGGCTGATAAGGGCGTTGATTTTCAAAAGAAGAAACTGCAACGGAAGATCAAGGCAAAGCACCGCGAAGCTGAGAAGGAAAAGGCCAAGAAGGCTAGACTAAATGGAGAAGAATCCGAGGAAGAAAACGGAGACGAGGAGATGAATGATGAAGACGATGATGACGATGATGCTATCTCCATCGAAGGAGGCATCGCCTTGAACGCCGAGTTCGAGGATGCCGATTCAGACGAAGATGACGAAGAGGAAGACGAAGAGGAAGACGAAGAGGAAGACGAAGAGGAAGACGACAGAGTAGGTTCTACATTCGACCCAGTGCTACAAATAATTGGCTGACAATTGAAAAGTTGGATATCGAGGCATTGGACGACACGGACAGCGAGTCCGATTCCGAAGTCGAGGTAGAGGAAAAGATCGAGCGCCCAGCCAAGAAGCCCAAGACATCCAAGAAGACACCGACAGAAATTGAAGAGCAGGACGATGACGACGAAGATGAGGAGGATCCAGAGGAAGAAGACGTGCCACTTTCTGACCTCGAAGGCAACGAGGAAGATCTCGAGGATATCGTCCCCCACACCAAACTTACCATTAACAACAAGGCCGCGCTCCTTGCCTCCCTCAATCGCATTCGCATCGACACTTCATCTGCCGCCCCTTTCGCGACTCACCAGTCGGTCGTTTCCTCTAAACCCACTGCTGAAGCCGTGCCGGATGTACAGGACGATCTCCAACGCGAGCTCGCCCTGCTTTCGCAGTCGCTTGAGGCTGCCCGCAAGGGGCGCACTTTCCTCATTAAAGAGGGCGTGCCCTTCTCGCGCCCCAACGACTACTTTGCCGAGATGGCCAAGGACGACGGGCAAATGCAGAAGATCAAGGACAAGCTGATCGAGGAGGCCAGCTCCAAAAAGGCCGCTGCCGAGGCGAGGAAACTTAGAGACCTCAAGAAGTTTGGAAAGCAGGTGCAAATTGCCAAATTACAAGAGCGTCAAAAGACCAAGAAGGATACACTTGAGAAAATCAAGACACTCAAGAGGAGTAAGTTCCAACCCTCTCGCAAACTGTCGGCTTAACCCAGTTCACTAACCATTATTTCAATCCAGAACGCCAAGAAAATTCTTCCAACCTTGACACGCATGAGGGTGACCTGTTCGATGTAGCTGTCGATAATGAAATAAAGGGACACCGCAATTCGAAGTCGGGCGCTCCACGCGGCAGCGGCAGCGGCGTCAATGCCAAACGGCAAAAGAAGAACGAGAAGTATGGCTTCGGTGGCAAGAAGCGTCACTCCAAGTCTGGTGACGCCATCAGCTCCGGCGATCTTAGCGGGTTTAATGCCAAGCGTATGAAGGGCGGTGTTGCCAAAGGCAGAGTGACTAAGACACGGCCAGGCAAGAACAGGAGAAAGGCTATGGCGAGCAAGTAAGATATCTGAGGCTGATGGCGCAAGGACAGGTTCTATACAGGTCAGAAGAGTTGAAGTAAAGTCGAGGAGTTAAATACCCTTCGGGACAGGTTGGGGGACCAGAATCAAAAGCATTTTTCATTGATTGTAGATATCTAATCCAATACATGTAGAGTTGTCCTAATCATTCGACGTTGAACACCGAAAGTTGCCATTACTGCTAGATCTCTTAGCTAGCTGACTTCCTCACTTCGCTCAAGGCCATCCGTGTTGTTCGCGCACATTTGGGACATGGCAAAAGGTTGCACTGTTACAAGCTGATGGTTAGCGGGGACTGCCAACCAAATGCCCATGATCAAACGCGGCGCTGTTAGATATCACTTGGGGGTAATTATAACAGTGCTTTTGAGTCCGTAGAAATCCTGACATTATGGTTGAAACTCTCATAACAATACATACATCATCACAAACCCTTGCTTGCTGCTCAAATGTACTCCTTGAGCCTCAGTTCTCCCACGCCGTCCACCCATGGATGCAATCCAAGTAACCGCAAAGCTGTAAGAGCCACTCTGTTGGCCATTCTGTTTTCATAAGGCCTGATGCGGTTGTGATAAGTTACCTTGTCCAAATAAAGTGGCTGTAGCTATCCTTAAGTCCTCACACAAACTCCCGGGCAGCGCCAATCTGCATTCTGGACCCATGCGACTATAATCGTATGGCGCCCGACCAATTATAATCCTGCGTTGGAGTAGGGCCTTGATTGAATCCGAAATGTAAGCCAAGTGCCGTTCTTGGTCTGCACCGATGAGCAGAGAGGCCCATGCGGGTCGACAGAGCACCGCGAAAGCTGTCCGTACGAGTTGCAAGAAGAGCCAACGTAAGGATGGCCTGGGTCTATCTCAAAGACAACATAGCTAGGGCTATGACGTAAGAAAATGTTTCTGGAGGTATTTGGAGGGTTATTGCTGTCGCTATCGACTGCCGTCTAGTGGTAAAATGCCATGTGCAAATAGAAGCTGATGATGTTATCATCGTGTGGAAGAAAAGGAAAGTCGTGCCGTCACCATAAATAGCAAGCACCCAATGCCGAACTTTGAATATGCTGTTGAAAGACCAGTGGTATCGAGGGAAACGCCATGCCATTCGGAAAAAACGCTGTGCTGTGCAATGCAGTGCCACCCGTGGGGGCGAAGAATCCGTAGTATAAACATTACGCCTGAGTAGACGTGATTCGGGTACAATCAAACGTGCCGTTGCGTCGTTGACTTCACTGGGTGGCCGCAACGCACCAGTGTCGATGGAAAGCCCATGCACTTTTCTGGCATTCCTTGCTGCAATATTTTGTGCGTCGGCAGCGACGACACTTGGCAAATTGGCGGGTGAATTCTTCCCATTTGCCACACTGATAGTAGGCGCATTGTCGAATGCCTCCTCGAGTGTCGTCTTTTCGACACAAGTTCCGCATGACGACGCCGGCCCAGTACTGCATATCTGTACTGTGATGTCGCACGGTAAACTTCTCCACAAGGGGAAAAATGTTGAAATCGTTGGGCAGCAGGTATTCTTCTTCTAGCTCCTCCTCCTCGCCTTGATCCGCAGCGGCAGTGTCCCCATCCAGGTAACGGAGTTCCTTTCCAATTTTGAGTCTGGGGACCAGGTGGCTTTTTTGGAAGTAGGACCGCAGCCCACAATACTTAGAAACGTAGGCAAGTAGCTGCAGAGACATGAGAACGTCCTCTTCGCGAGGCATGGCAGCAAGCATTTGAGCGTTGGGAACGAGTTGGCGATCAAGAAGATATCGGGGGACGCTGGCGTTGGGGATTGCTGGCTGAGGTGGTGTGACCATGGCAGGTCGGTTCGGCGATAGGCCAATGGGAGGCACAGGGGCAGGGGTTGTGGTGGCAGCATTGCTGGTGTCCACAGGGCCGCGATGCGTAATGTTGAAGGCTCCTGTATCCTGAGTCTCCGACACAGTAGGCGTGTTCAAGTCCATCGCAGTGGATCCAGCAAGCATACTGTCTCCCTCTTCCATAGTGATGTCTTGGATATTGACGGCCGACTGCATCTCATTACCTGTTCCCGACATTTCGGCATCAGGGGACTCGTCGGAAGGAGCGTCATCGCCAACCAAGTCGTCCGAGTCGACTGTTGAGTTTTGGTGTCTAATCGAGGGTCGGCGACGTGATCGACTGGTCGGAGCGAGCATGGACGTGGGCCGAACAGTGGGGGAGCGCATCTGCGGAGGTGGGAGCGGAGTTGTGGGAGACGAGGGTTGCGAGGTAAGGTTCGCATGACCCAAGGACATCATCGATGCGAGACGGTCAGCATCACGAACCGGTCGGACAAAACCGTCGGCGGTCTCGGCGGCCGGGACGGCTGGTGCAAGGGGTTGGACCACTTGTCGAGACGGGGATGCAACTGCGTGGCGAGCTTCTGCAGCACGGTAGTGGTGGTGATGGTGATGGTGGTGATGGTGATGTCGGTGAGCCGAAAACGCAGGTCTTTCAGTGGAAGCAGCAGGAGGGTGCTGAGGCGGAGCGGGCGTTGTTTCGGTGGTTTGCTGGTCAGCTGTAGAACTCGAGGATGACGAGCCGGCATATGTTGCAGAGACATCGATGGAAGGAGGAGGTGCCTGGCGTCGAGAGGATCTTTGATCGACCTCGACACGGCTGGATCTGTTTGTGAAGGACGGAGCCTTGTGAACGCTACGATGCTCATGGCTTCTGTGACGATGATGATGATCTTTGCTTTTGTCGTCCGATTTGTCCCTACACTTCTCGGTAACCTTGATGTAGTTGTCGAGGATAGTAGCGATAACGGGAACCATGTCTGCCTCGACGACACGGGTGCGAACATTTTCCGTGCCCCTAACGCCAATGTTGACGACGCATTGGAAAGCTAGATTCCATTTCCACATATCCATCATGTCCTTGCTGCGACCGCGTTTCAGGATGCAAACCAAGCGTTCGATACCGCCATCGACCGTGAGAATATCGCGGATGCGGGCGGAAGAGGTGGTAAGGTAGGCAAGATGGTTAAGCGAGTTGATGAGAGGAAGGGTGGACGTGCAGTCGAGGGCTCGTCGATCATAGAGGGCGGTCGTAATGCCAACCGACGCCTTGTTGACGTTGGGGATGCTGAAGTTGACTTCTCTCATCTTGAATGGCGGTCAAGATGACGGAGAAGATTTAAGTAGAGGTTGGATGGGGCCAGGCAGTGCAGCCGTGGGAGGGTATGAGAAAAAAGAATATCCCTTCCAGCTTGGATGGCCCCTTCAACGGAATTGATTGAGATGGTGGTATGTCGTACTCGACGTGTCGAGGCTTGCACTAGATGCGTGCAGACGGAAGCAGGAAAGAGGAGAGAGGGGAAGTCGAAGATTTGTAGGATTGCTCGACAGTGGCGATATTGTATAGAGGTGTGTGTGTGCGCGAGAGAGAGGAAGAGAGAGAGAGAGAGTGTGTGTGTGTGGGTGGGTGATTTGGCTGGATTGGATCGGATAGTGTGAGCGGACTCGTCTCGATTCGATGCTAATTTCGTGCCGCGCGAGGGGTTTCGGGACGTAGCCAAAGAATCTGCGATAGAATTCTTCGTAATGGTCGAAGCGAAGATAGTCAGGTGATATTGTGCTGGAAGAGAGGAGGCGAAGATGCGAAATGAGTTGTTGGATGGTTTTCCTTGTGAGGAAAAGAGGAGGTGAAGAAGGGGGGAGAGTGTGGTGAGGTAGATGCAAGACGACGTGGAGGGCGAAGGGTGATGGATTGGTTTGGTTGTGTTTCAGGACCAACACCCGAAAGCGTGACTCGGAGTGCGGTGAAATTGCAGCAGCGTCAGCCAGGCCCGATCTGAGAGACCAGGCAGATGGAAACAGGCGCCGTTGGGCATACGCAATCGACCGAGCATGCAATAACTTGAAGGCGAGCAGGCGGGGCGCGGATGCACTGATTAAGAGGAAATGGATGGAAAGGAGAGAAAAAAAAAAGTTGAGGGGGTTGGGAGGAAACGAGCAGAAGTCGGGAGGAGAAGGGGACGACGATGTAGATGGAATTGCATCCGCACGTACGCGAGATTTGTGCAGTCCAGTGATGGTAACAATAGTAGCAGCGCCAGTAGAAGTGCCTATGTCCAACTGTGGCCAAGGAAGTACAGTACACTAGGTGGGAGGAGCAGGGCACCTCCTGCTTGGGTTCCGCTCTTCTCTCTACGCACATACCTTAGGTATAGATACACACAGTGATAAGATGCCTAAGTACAGACAGCATCCTTACAAGCCAGCACAACACAACCCACAACACATAACAGCTCAGCACGCCAACGACAACGAAGTAAAGCTGGAGCCTCCGCAGAACGAGCCTGGCGGGCTGGGGATTGAAGGGGAGCACAAGGGGGAAGACAGCACACTGCGCAACTGAACCGCTCTACGCCTGGTCGGGGACAGGGCTTTTAGGTTGGGGTCACAACAAGTGCTGGCATGTAATAGAAGAGGCACGGAACACGCTACGCAGGAGATGGTGAGATGAGATCCTTTGGTGAGAAGGTGGGAGAAGGCACTGAAGCCAGGGGCCTAGTGGAAGTGCAAAATAGAGAATGGATGGCGGGTGGTAAATTTCACAGGGTTAGACCACTCAGGGAAAGGGTGCACAAGCCGCAGCCCGAAGCCTAGTGAATGATCCAATCAAACTCTGAAATGCAAGGTTGGCTTTTCAATCCCCACCTGTCCCTGGCTTCCCAGGTACATACCTATATTTTTCTTAGGGCAAGCGCGGGAATACTGTGATAACCATGCTACGTTTTCTTCCACCATTGCTTCCAGGCTTACATAACTCATCATTGCGACCCAGTGCGACGGACATAGCCCGACAGATTTCTGAATTAGCCCCAGAGTAGCTCTTCTTTGTAGTGCGTAGGTAGGAGGGACAATGGATAGTGGAGACGAGTCCCGCCCCCCTCAAATTATGAGCACGCCAATGCAGAGTCGATTACTGTGCCAGGTGCTCCCCGTCCCTACGTAACTCGCTATGCGGTGTACGAAGATTCTTGCAAACTCCGATAAAGCACTTTGCTTATCTATCCTATCGCGAACATGAAAGAACATATATGAAAAGGAAACATTAGCAGGAACAACATGACAAAGACAATCAGGTGACCGCATCGGGAAAAGCCACCAGGTTCCGAACCGGCCACGCCGTCAGCTTCGCACTTGCCACCAGCCGCATCCGGCGAGGGGATATAGTTTTCTCGAAATCGCATGTCCATCTCCTGTTCTACTGCGTATTTTCTGGGCCCTCACCGTCTTTTCTCCCTTTTCCAGATGCCTGGAACACACTTGCTCTTTGTCTGTGAATCCACTCGGCTTTCTTGCTTTTTATTTATTTAGTTATTATTTTTATTTTTTAAGCATTGCAGCGGCTCGATAGCGTGCCTGCCGAGTCCCGATCCGCTTTGCTATCGGCTTGCATCAATTTCCGCCTCCTTTCTAAACCATGAACAGTCTGTGCTAGGAGCACGCATAATATAAAAATAATGAAGCACGTGCCGGTAGGATCACGACATGATCAGGCCGGTACATGCAAAACAGAATCGAATACAATGTGAAAAAGGTGAATGGGGGAAGTGGGAAAAAGCAAAGAAAACGAAATGAAATGAATATTACAAAGCGCGAGATGACTGGGCAAACTTTGATTGCCAGCAGATGTCCCGACATGCGAGATGGATAGTAGCTGCATTGATGCCACTGTACTGCATATGTCGTGAGGTTCCAGCCTCTTAAGCGGCCCCCTCGCCTCAGGTCCCGTGCACATGCTGCGTCCTAATACCCAGTACGTAGTATGTCAGCTGTAGGCTCGTGCCTCCTCAGGCAAGTCAACAAAGTTCCGAGCGAACCCCGTCAAGCCCCATAATCGCCATTAACTAGTCACTTGTTACGTCAGGACTGCAGCAAAGTAGGGGCTGGTATTCTGGCTCAATTTGATGTAAGCCTCCTCTATGCATATCCCAAATCATTGAATTGATCAGATCAAATCCTTCGTGCGCTGGGTGGTTAGGGTCTCGTGATGGTGATGGTGGTCCGACTGCAATTAGGCCCTCATCCCCGAGGCTAGGATGCTCCCGTCTCCATATGACTTCACCCGCAGTCAAGGTTGTGGGGGTAGATATGCATTCGATTTGTTACATGGTCCCTATTTGTGAGTGCTAAGGTGGGCTTTTGATCCTCTTTACCCTCATAGCTGCTCGTCTCAGAACTTTTGTGGCCATCAACATTGCCAGCACAGGCATCAATATCCCGTCATTAGCATTGCCTTATGGTTACTCCCTCAATTCGGCGTTGCTGACACAAAGAGCGCGGCGGCATTGGAATGCGGCAGATCTTCAGCAATCGTCAGCAGGGGCGCTTGTCCCAGATCCAACTCCAACGGTACTTTCCCATTCCACAGATCTTGCCATCTCCGTCACGGGCGTCGAGGCTTGTCTCTGCCATCCGGAAGACGATACTAGAGCTGTGAGGTCACGCCGTGTCGGGAGGAGGTACGATGGAGGCAGCGCACAGGCACGAGCACAGACATGTATCAATCTCAATTACAGATACCAAGTGACTAGAGTGTGGAATATACTACGTAGCATGTATTGAAGCAGTAGAAATCCTCAGACTCAGACAGCAGTCTCCACACCAGCGGACTTGGTGCGGTCAGCAGCACCCACACCCCCAAGGTAGGTAGGTACCTGTCCGTACTTCTTACACATTTGGGGATAGAACAATCAACAACGGAGCTAGGCTGGCACCTTTTTGGTACAGTGGGAGACTGGTAAATAATAAAGACCTAGTTGAAGTCGCAATCTGCCTTGGCTAACGCTGACTGCAATTATTGACTCAGTCTCTTTAATGCCTGTCTAAATGTGTGTATGTCTACAGTCGTGGCGAAAAAACAATATAGCGAGCGGAGCTTGATGGGTTAGAGTCTACGGGCGACCCATTTACTACATCCTCCCCGATCCAGCTGATCATGGGGAGGCGTTAAACGTGTTGCCGCTGGCGCTGGCGCTAGCCTGGCGACGTGTACCAACTAGCGTTGCCCCCCCCCCCCCCCCCCCCCTAATCATCACTAATATCCAGTATGTCTCTAAAAGTATCAACTTCACACCGTTTGCCACGAGGCTACGATTCGGGGCTGACCAGGCCACTGGGAACCACGAAAAGCAAGCCTGTAGGCAACTCAACCACCAACATTTGGCGCCCGGTGCATAACCATCCTAGTCGGCCCCCACGCCCTGGCCGAGTCTATCAACCACCAAATCTGATCGAAAGTGCCAAAAGTCACCACGAAGAGCGTTGTATGGTAGCTGCAAAATGGCGCACGGCTTCTTCTGGAACTCCAGCCATCCAAAGGTGATGGGGGCTCGGGCCTTACTGATTGGCTACACGAGCGCGTCCTTTTGCTTCCTCTGCCATCTCAATTCCCAACAGCGCTTAAATACGACATGGATAGACCAGGGGCTGGAAGCAATCCCTTACCACTCCCTCATCGGGTGCGATGCCGCCATCCACTGCCAAGTCCCGCACAAATTCCTCAAGGGTCCGAGTCCTGAACTTCCCTCTTATCCAAGACTTTTTGCATTTCCAACCAGTTTGTGCCCGCTCTCCTCCACATGTGCAGAAGATGGAGCCGCTGCCATGAGGGGGAAAGGAGAGGTGCACCTGTAAGAGCGGAGAAAGGCGGTTGCCAGCGGAGTTCCTGGCCATTGCTCACGGACTGCCAATTAACCATCCAGGTGCGTTCTGTCCTTCAAGGTACCTTTGGCTTCCAGGAGCATACCTTACCTTGAGTACCATCGTGACAGCGCGAGCCTCGGCCAACAGCATGATGCGTACCCACACCATAGCGAGCCACCATAGCTCTTAAATGTCTTGTCTCGTCTTTCTGTCGATCCGACCAAGCAGCCAGAAGGGAGAGCAAGTCGCTGATCTGCTGCTACTAGCTTGCCTTATCAGGTCCATCCAGCGGCTATACAGTAGTCAGAACAAGTCCATGCGCGGGCCCCCGAACGATGATCGTTTCAATTGGCATGTCTCAGCCGGCACTCATCAAGCCTCTGCCCGCTCTTCTCTGCAACCTGCAGGGTGGACGTTGATGTTCTTTTGCAGCATTGTGTGAGTTGCGAACTATCTCGACCGCCCCGACCTCTTATGAGTGAGCTGTCAAATTTGCTGGCAGAACCGAAGCTCCGTCAGCGTCCTCGTCGAATGTCAGTGTGGATGCATGCTACTACTAGTGTCCGTTCTCTCCAACTCATCTCCATTTTTGCATCTACCTGTCTAGGACTCTTTAGGAGCAAGGCACTAGCCACTTTCCCATTCTCCCCCTCTTCAACTTTTCAAGTAAGAAAAGGGCAGGAAAGGGAGAAGGAGGAGGATGAGGAGGATAATACCAACCACCTCCACCGCCGAGATCTTGCAACATGCGGTCCTTGGACCCTTGTCCTCCGCTCAAAGGCTGGCGAGCCCGTTGTTCCTCTTCTCATTACGCGCAGGCAGTGGGCCCTCTTGCTTCAGTGATCTATCCCACCCGCTGCAGCAACGTCCTCGCATTGCTGGCAGGCCACCCCAGTATCGAGAAAGAAAATTAAGAGAAAGACAACACACACAAAGTTTTCTATGTGGCCAGCGCCTAAACATGTGCATTTTTTTGTCACCCGTTTGCAGGATTACTAGAGGATGACCTGCAGCGTTAAACGGGTAGCGCAGACTGAGGTACTAACGGCTAGCCCCTAACCATTGGTTTAGTCCAACTGCCTTTCATCAGATGTTATTCAGGCACCCATCGGTTCCGTCTATCAATGACTGCATAGTTATCTCTCAGGACATGCAACCAAATGTGCTTGCTGCTGTGTACTCGTTTTGACTTTGGGAAGTAATGTGCCGATTTGGGGCGTATGTGATTCCTGCTCGCTTTTCGAGCACAACCCCCGTGCGCTGGGCGTCTTGTGCCATACGCCATGATCTTAAAACTCGCCAATTGCACTTGGTATTTATGGTGGCCGAACGCATTGTGCCGAGATATACCAGCTTCCAGGTTTGAGAACATCCAAATCCAATACGAAACATATTGGATAAAGCTAAGCCAACAAGATGATGGTTCGCACACATGTTCTCAATCCCCGCTGATCTTAGCATGGCGAAAATACTTCATTCCAACCCAGGCCACAACCACCCACACCCAAGCCATGATGCAGGTGAGGATGATGAGGGCTGGATAGTAGCCAACAATAGGTAACGTTGGATCGTCCTCGAGCTCAGGAGGAGCGTAAGGTGTCGTCCCAACGTCCCATGCCCAGCTCCAGATGCCCAGGCACGATCCCATTCCAACCACAAAAACGATCCACGTAACGATCAAAACAACCCAACCCCACCACTCCGTCTCCGAGTAGTCCCATTCCGCGTCAGTAGGTGGCAGCGGCGTGCTTGACAATCCAGTGTAAGAGAGCGGCGACTTGGCTTGTAGAATGGACCGCCGTCCTCTGTTCGCAAAGTACGATTCAGATCCTGAAGAGAGCGATAGGTCTGGCCGTAGAGGCGACGAAATATGGTTTGGTATGTGTAGGACATCGTCTTCATCTGTTGTGGACGTGTATGATATCGTAGGACTCGTGATCATCGATTCGGTATCGGTGGGTTGGTGTGGTCTCACAGAGGAAATGGATGACTCGACAAGACTGGTCCTGCTCGCGTACCCGTCCATAGAAGGACGAGGTGTTAAGTCTGAAATGTTAAGCCCCAAAGGGTCCTGGTCGATTGTTGTGGTACTGGCCGTTGCAGGACGGGACCGGGGCCCTGCCACTTCCATATCGTGAGTTACACTATGCGACGTGTCGATGGTAAGCTGCTTTGCTTCCCTACGTTCGCGCTGCGCGCCTCTCCCCAACAAGGCCACCTTCCTAAGTGAGCCCTTTCTCTTCCTCGGCTTCTGCTGCTGCTGCTGCTGCTGCTGCTGCTGCTGCTGCTGTTGTTGTTGTTGTTGTTGCTGCTGCTGCTGCATACTAGTCGACATGGACGCCGGCACAGAGTGTAATGTGTCTTGGTCGGTTGCTTGATGTGGCTTCCCGTCAGATAAGGCCCGCATAAAGGGAAGCTTGGATAGCAGGCTCGTGCCGGAAATAGTGCGACGATGAGGAGCCGGAGAGTCCTGCAACTGCGACGACGGTAACGTTTGTCGTGACGATGGATTCCTCGCATCCGTGGGACTTACTGCGCCGGCGCCGGCAGCCACCGTGGTTTGGTTCATGATGATTTATGCCAAACCACAATTATCTCTTAACGTGCAAGGCTGCTCCTAGTCGGGATCAGTTAAATGGGTAAGGATAGGCGGGCAATGACCATGAGGCTGAGACCGTGTGTGAAGTGCTTTCTCAAGTTGCAAGTAGTGGTTATATCAGTAGCATGCGAATCTATGTTAAGAGAGAAAATTATGCCCTGGTTATTCATAAACCAACTGTTTCTCGCAAGGAGCGCATGGTTTGGAGGTTATTCATTGGGGCGGTCCCTTTCCAACCAGCCTGAAAGTTGAAGCACTAACGGGAAACCACAATAGCCCCTGTAGAGTGACGACGCAGATCACTGGTACATGGTTTAAGAAAAGAAAAATATACTAGCACCCTGCCTGTGGAAGGGATGTAGGCAATCCGAAGCGGAAGCACGTCCCTTACCTCTATCTGCGCATGCTCATACCCCGCATATGTTAGGTACTGAGTGCAATCCCCATTACTTCCCTTATTGGTCGCTATCCTACATGTATTTAAGGGGGATAACTCTGTGCATCACATGCAATGTAGCGAGTATCTGAGAGACGGAAGTTTGGGTCTCCAGATTTCATTCCTCATAGCTGCGGCCATGGTCTCCCTCACAACGGATACGTGGTAATCAGAGTTCCTGTTAGAGGTGTCGTTCCATGTAATTGATCGCGCGTTTCGTCCCATAACATCCTTGTGTACTTTTTTTTTGGGAGGGCAAACCACATCTATATCTCTTGCCTTTTCACACAATGAATGCCGGCGATTAAGCGATCACTGGGAATCAATGCCATAACCCTGTTGTTCTTGCCTGTCATTCCACGCCTTTAATCGCTGCTGTGCAAGAAACGAATGGCTCATGGCTTCCAGCCGTGCATTTGCACACCTGTCCACCCCTCCAAGTCTGCCTGCCACCCCACCGAGCCCCGGAAACGGTAAAGGCGACGGCGGTAACAGAACCTCCCATGTCACTCCTACACCTCAATTTGTATTCCCATCAATAAATATTGCCAGCGACGACGACGACGACGACGACGACGGCGACAAACGACACGATACTGACAACGGCGGCTACGACGGTAGCAACAGCTCCTCCCACGTGGATTCCACACCCATAAGCTCTGGCTTTTTATCACCCTCTTCTAACCGGAAACTGGACTTCCTTCGTCCAGACACAATAGCCATGGCTGAAGACGATCCTCATTCTGCCGGGGGCTCTGCCGTCCCAAGCCCCTTCAACTTCCAGACGCAGGTCATTTCAACGTCGCCTGTCAAGTCGGTATGTTCAGCGACATAAGTTAAATATGAGGCGAGCGATTTCGCCCTCTACTCGTTACCCTGTTGCTGACAATGGCTCCCCTAGAACATCGGCCAGCGCCGCGGTCATCGGTACAAGCATAGTTCAATTTCGACACAGCACCAGATCTTTCAAGAACCACCTCAGCGGCCACCACCTGTTCTGCCAGCCTCACTCCCTATACCAACCGTTCGGGAGGCATGGAAGAGCATGTCTCGCGATCAGCGTGCCCGGCTCTACTGGAGCTTGTGCCACTTGGCCATTGCATCTTGGCTATTCTTCATATCCGAAGGCTCAATGGCAATGATGGGACTGTCTCACTTGGTCTTCTTTGATGCCGGCAGTGCCGCTATTTGTGTCGCTGTCGAGGTCCTTGGCAATTTCGAAGTCTGGCGGCGTAGCAGTATCCGCCACCCATTCGGTCTCGAGAGAGCTGAGGTTCTCGCCGGCTTCGCCATGTCTATTTTCTTGCTCTTCGGCGGATTCGATCTTATATCACATAACCTCAAACATTGGCTCGAGACAAAAGGCGGGCATGAACCTCACCATGAACATATACATGATCGAGTATCGGCCGGAGAGATAGACTGGGCCGCCTTTGCGGCGATCGCCAGCACAGCTATATCCGCGTACGGCCTAAAGAACCACGCTCGCATTGCTAGAATTATGCGAGTGTCCTGGCTTGCCGGCCTTCCTACCCACTTCTCTAACATTTTCCATGTTTTGACTGTGTTCTTCTCCAGCTTATTACTTCTCCTACCCCTGCTTTCTATCAAGACTTACATATGGTTGGATCGGACACTTTGCGCTGCCATTGCTGCCTCCATGTTTCTGTTCGGCGCCAAGTTGGCTATGGCTCAGGCTTTGATGCTATTGATGTCGTACGGCGGCAACGGGGGTAACGAGGGTGTGACCTCTGTGGTGCGGGAGATTGAGGCGGAGCCTGACGTCACGCGTATTGAGGATGCACAATTCTGGCAAGTGCACTATGGCTTATGCATGGCTAACCTCAAAATCTGCGTTGCTAAAGGTTGTGACGAGGGCACCATCAGCAAGTTACGCAGCCGGATATCAACCTTGATTCAGAACAGACTTGGCGAAGGTTATGGTCGGGGCACGAGTTTGAGATGGGAGGTAACCTTGCAGACGAGCATTGACGTAACTGTTTAAACACAAGACGCAATGCGAATTCAAGAGAGGTATCATCACCATTGTAAGGCGTTGTATTGTATTTTGGGGCTGTCAAAGCCGATTCGTCTAAGGCATCATTTTGTGTGTAAAAGGACAAAATCCTGAGTGAAATGTCTATTTCTTTCGAGGAGGGTATCCTTCTTGTTATATATCCTTGTACAGAAAAATACCAAAGAGAATTCTAAGTTGAGTAAACCTGCTTCTTGCCGCCAATGTGACAATTGAAGCCGCACTAAAGGTTATCGTTCAACACCACAACTCCTTTTTACACCTTAGTCATAATGCGTCACAGGCCCAGAGCAAAAAATATCCTTGTAAGTATCACCGTGGTTGTTGCGGCTCTCAGAACAGCCCCCAACGCCCCCGTTGTTTCTCATCCTTAATAGGTCTGCTGCCATTCTGCCGCTCCCGCTCGCGACCTTCGAGTTGTCGCAAACTCTCCATCTTCTCGAGAACTAATTCTAGAAGCTCCTTGCGGCGGATGACTTCGAGATGTTTCTTGATCTTGGGATCCTCCTTGGCGAACTTCTCGATCTGGTCATCGGAAAGGTGTCTGCCAAGGCGAAGATCAAGCTCTCGAGGGAAGTTGTAGTAAAATTCCGAGAGAAGTTCAACATTGAGAAACAACACAGCTGTCGAGGCCAGTTTTGTGGCTGCTGCATCAAGGAAGACCTCGGGGCAGTAGTACTTATTCTTCAGGTTGGCGCATTGTTTAGACTTGACTGCCATCAGCCGCATCTTGATGATGTCAGCGCGGTCTCTGAGAAAGACGGCTTCGCGTCCTGGCCCGTGTTAGCAATATCCACCGATGGCTTGTGAATTGGGTACCCATACCTCTGGTGAGAAGTGCAGCGCTGAAACCCCCAGCACCGCTTCGTCCGTCTCCTTCGACGACAACATCCCCCTTACGCGCGCGGTCTACGAAGTTCATCACTTCTCTCAGCTTCCTCCGGCCGCCTATAGTGTCTTCAATGCCTTTAAGCGCAGCTTCGCAGTCCTGAAGCTCCCTCTTAAGCACAACAGCCGAATGATCTCGCCCTTGAGCCCATTCTCTTTCGTCGATATCAATCTCAAACTTGTAAGGCTTGATGCAGTTCTCCACTTGATCGCTAGTGCTGTAAAACCTCTCATTAAGGATGGTCGAGGCAGCTTCCATAATGGCTTCCCTAGCAAAAGGGTGGCTGCTGAAGGTTGAATGTTTGATGAGTCTGTCAATATGTGACTGGATTGAGGAGGCAACGACAGTTGTTGCCAACCTTCCAACTCCAAGCTTTGTGAGAGATGAGGTAGATGCATCGAGCTGGCGGTGCCAGTATAGAGAGTTGGGATCCGCCTTGGGAAGATCCGCTAGGTTGTCCGGTTCAGGCCGAGCAGGAGACAAGTCCTGAATCGGCTTGTTCCAGTACCTAGCCGCAAGTAAGTCAAGGACTTTCTGGTCAAGTTCCTGCTTGAGTAGTTGATGCATCTGAGGGCGACCGAACTCCTCGGTAAATTGTTTGAAAGAGTGTTTAAAGCCGTCGAGGCTTTCTGCCAAGTAGGATTCAGCAGACAGTGGACGATCATTGTACTGCACCTTGAACTCGTATGTTGCCTCCTCTAGTTCTTGCCTAATGGCATCGCTCGTGCTCTGTAGGCTGGCAGACATAGTCTGTTCGAGGACTGTCATGAGCTTCTTACGCAAGTTGATCGTTCCTACATTGACTCCAGACCCTTCCCCAAACTCGAGTGGATGCGATGAAAAGAAAGCCTTCTCATTCTTGGCAATGACGGACATAATGCTGCCGGACCTTTTGAATAGGCTGCTTGACTGTGGAACTCGCGAGACAACACCCACATATCCAAGCCTGAGGGGATATTGCTTGTCGCCTAGGATTGCTGCACCACGAGGAGCGTCCACCAAGTCCATCTTGGTTATTACTCCGATGGTTCTCTCACCTCTAGGGTCCACACGACGACTAGCACGCAGAGCTGTCGAGTTCGCTAGGTCCACATCTGCGGCGGAGATGGCGAGGATGACATTGGGTGGCTGGATATATTTGTCGCAAAGCTCCGATATTTTCTGCTTCAGTTCGAGTGGCTGGCCCTGGCCCACAACCTGAATGTAGCCTGGCAGGTCGATAAGAGACAAGTCTGGTACATTTGGTGAGTAAATGGTAAGGTGAATTGGATCGTCCGAGACGCATTGAGTGTCTGGAACAGCCAAATTGAGTTCAGTCAACGTTCTCTGGATCGAGGAGAAGTCGGTGATGCGCCTGAGCCCCAGATCCGGAAACTCGCCATACTCTGCGTCTGATTCGGGTGTGTTAACGAGAGTCAGCTCGATCGGCCGCCGAGTAACCATATTGGTCCCTTTGGGTAAGAATTCGTGACCAACAAGAGCTTCGAGAACGGAGCTTTTCCCGGACGATTGTGATCCGATTACCACGATAGAAGGAAGGGTCAAAGAGCTTGACTGGCCAACCTGTTGAAGTATACCCCGAATCTCGATCATTTTCTTGGTAAGAACCATCATTTGGTCGTCCTTAGCCACTTCGCCAGGGTCTCGGGGATCGTCCTCAGAAGATTGATCATATCCGTAGGCAGCTGCTGAGGCTCCGACAACTGCGGCTGCCCCGGCTCTGCTCTGCTTGGGGGGTTCTCCGCCAGGTCCTTCGTCCCCCCCCTTTCCAGTCCCAATCTCTTCATGGATGCGCAAGACCTTCTGCAGCCACTCCGGAGTTTCGAACTGTTCTTTCGTATTCTCCCATCCTCTCATTGTTTGGTCTGCAATATCTCTGGCACCGCCAAATATATTCGTTGCAGCATCGGATAGCCCCTCTCCTGTCTTGGTAACGAAATCCCAGGCATTGTTGCTTAGCTCTATGGACGAAGTGGTCAGCAGTTGGTTCTTATGTCGAAGGGAGAACGTACGATTAGCTTGATACTGAACCCAGGCGAGTGTTCCAACTGCCAATCCGCCAAACATGGCCGGAATTCTGGCGAACTTCACGACGAGTTTTGGCAGAAACCGGGCGAAAGACGCATTTCGAACTATGACGGCATTGTGAAAAGCATTGCCCGGGAACCACATGCGTCGTCGGGTGGCTCGAACAGCAGCATCAGCTCGCTGAAGCCCGCCAGCGGGGAGTCGATGAAAATGACGGACTGCTTGGACGGGGGCGCGTCGCGTCATGGGCGAAAGCCCTGCAGCAAGAAGGCGTCCGCTCATGCTGCTGGCAAAGCACGGGGACGTTGAGCGAGATCTGGCGGTGTATTCGCATGCGATGTATCAGAACAAATGACTCGAAGATGTAAACCTGGTGGCTAAAGCTGGATTGTTGTAGTGTCCCCAGCGCTTCCGTATCGTCAGGAAGATGTGGCCATCAGAAAGCCGTCGAGATGTCGCGAACAGAAGTGGCGTGAAGCGAAGGTTCTCGCGATTGTGTTCTAGTGCACAGCTCGTTGCATGAAGAGCCCATTTGCAGAAGTGGGGACCACATTGACGTACCCCAAAACATACGTACTATGACAATCCACTTGCCCTTGGGCACCTCAGGCTTTAAGTCTCTGAATGTGTCTGCCGGTCTCCGAAAGTCGCCTCAAGGGGCGCCTAAACGAGCCTCCGTAGAACTCGATTTGATTTGATGCATACATACTTTCTCTATGTCTCTATCAGTGTCTTTTAAGGTCCTTATCGCCTTCGTCATACCCCGCCAGTTGAAGTAAACGTCCTTTCTAGCTCCATTTGCTCCCCCGATCACCAGTCGCCGCCGCATGTTTGGAGTCAACAGAACCCGTGGGCATCCCGGTAACCTGGCACGGCGTATCCATACCAAGATCAAATGACTCACTGCAATACTTTGCTCCCTCATTTACAACCATCAGGGACAAGGAGGCCACCCTGAGTAGCCACGTAGGCGGCCATTGTCCATTTCTCCTATTTACCGTTTCTTTTCCCCATCAGCACGGACGCTTAGCTGCCGCGCACCCAGATCAGCCGGCTGGGCGTGTACGTTGTAATCCGTACCTGCTTACCCTGATTCTGTCCCGACCAGCCTGACTTTATCAATACTACCATCCTTATCAACTTGCGCCACCGCCCTGGGGTTTCTGATCGCGCCATAGCTCGTCAAGCGGATAACATCTCCCCCATCCCTCCGTCAGATTACACTCGCCAATTTGACTCCTACGGAATGTTTCTCAATCTCGTCCCTTTTTTCGATACTGCTGTATAAATAGTGACGGACGTCCTCACTTATTTGCACGTCGATCGCGTATTAACTCCTTCAACTTCCTCGACTTGAGCGTTTGAAGCGTCGCTCGCAGGCAACCACCATGTGCCGTTTTTTGGTAAGCTGTGTAATATTGATTGTCCAGACAGCCACTGACCTTCTCTAGGTATACCGAGGAAGCGACGAGATACTCCTCTCTAAGCTTATTCTCGATCCCACGCATTCCATCCTGAAGCAGTCCTTCGACTCAAGGCTTAGATTGGTATGCTGACTTGATACATCTTCTTCATTTCCTAGCTTATGGAGCTAATCTCGTTCGTTGGATAAACAGGATACTCGCAGGGGCCAGAACAATGCAGACGGCTTTGGAATTGGCTTCTACACCGACCCTAAGCTTGGTCATGCACCTTGCCTTTTTACTTCGACCATTCCAGCTTGGAATTGCACTAATCTTCAACGCATTGCCTCCAAAACCGCTTCCCAGCTCATCTTCGCCCACGTCAGAGCAACAACCGAAGGATCCCTGAGCGAAGATAATTGCCACCCATTTTGCCACGGAAGTTTGATGTGGATGCATAACGGAGGTCTAGGAGGCTGGAAATACATTAAGAGGAGGTTAGGACAGAGGCTTGCCGACAAGTGGTACCTGGGAGTTCAGGGTGGTACAGACAGCGAATGGGCGTTTGCGCTGTTTCTCGACACTCTTGAAAGAATGGGACACGATCCCAGTTCCCAACCCGCCAACGGATTTGGCCCGACAATATTAAGAAAGGCCATGCTGAAGACCATTGCGCTGATCAATGAGCTAATCGATGCTATCCCGGAGAGCACCATTCAGTCAGAACATGTGGACACACGTAGCTTGCTCAATTTTGCTGTTACGGACGGGAAAAGCATCATCTGCACTCGCTATATTAGCAGTGCTACGGATGAGGCAGCAAGTTTGTACTATTCATCCGGGACTGAATGGGGAACGAGAACCTCGGCACCAACTGATCGAAACTATCAAATGGAACGTCGGGACAAAGGTGCCGATATCGTTTTGGTTGCCAGTGAGCCCCTGACTTTCGAAAGAGGTGTGTCCAACCATTATAAGTAAAGCCCGCAAGTAATACTAACACAGGGGCAGAAAACTGGGTGAACGTTCCGACCAACTCGATACTAACCATCCATAACCAGACGGTTATGGTTCATCCGATCATTGACAAGTACTATGACCGAAGTCCCTACCATGTTAGATCTAGTGCCTTTGTTCAGACGAAGGGCTTGATCGCGAATGAGAAGATCTCATCCCTTCTTAGCCCGACAGCGACCCCTTTGCCAACTCTTGAGGCCTCCAAGAAAACACTTGGACCGACAATTCCTTTTGGTGTTTCTCGCAGCCATACCCCCGAGCAGTCCTCAGTCGCCAAGTCAAGACCATCGAGTACACTCCACGAGATCTCAATACCAGCTGATTCAAGGTCAATCACGACGATATCAAGTGCGCAAACCAACACATCGCGACCTCCTGTTCAAGGGAACATCAAGGTCAAGAGAGCCGCGCCAGAGATTCAAGTCAATGCTGACAGCGACACGGACTCGTTGGCCCCGGACGAGCAGAATCACGGCAGGACTGAATTTGGCCATCCTAATAAGTTGTCGCGATTCTTCCCCGAGTTAACCATGAGCTAGCGGGCGTGCTCGGTGAAGGAGGCTGAAGGAGATGCTAAAAAGTCACGTTAGCTATGGCTTACGAGACTATGTCTAAGTTGACATTGTATACTAGAAATATTGCGAAGCGTGTGAGCGGGCATTCTGTAAAGTTTAAAAAGCCGGTAGAAAGAACTACCAAAAGACTGGACATGTTTGTATCAGTTCAGGATTTTGCAATAGTGAGGCCCATTAATTAAATAGCGCTTGAACATCTCGTATCGAAGCTACGAGATTGGCAAAGTAGTCTGTATTGGTCGTTGGATTTGGCATGCAATGGCGGTCTCGCCTCGGCCATGTCGAGCAATCAAAGGGGGTAACTCCGGGTTCACTCCACCAATTGTCGATTTCCCAACGTTGGCCAACCCCCAAATGGAAGCCAAGCACGCCATGCCGTCCACATCTCTCGGGCTATATAACGTCGCTTACCACCATTGATGAACGTTGTGGGTATTCCAAGGCAAGGGGGCATACTAGCAATCTGGACTTAACTTATACATATACTATGGCGCCCAACGACGGAGGAGGAAAGATTAGGCGTAAGAATCAACGCCATTTGAATCCAGCCATTAATTATCGACGATTATCTTGCCGCATATGTATCTTCTATAACAAGACGAACATAGACCCGGGGGCATATCTTTCATGAGCAATCTACGTTGATTTACTCGCTCGTTTACTCCTCTCTCTTGTTTAAGGCTACCGTATAGCCTTAAATTAGAGTGAATCAGAGGATTCGATGTCAGAGGATCCGCGTGACCAAAGCATGCTTTACAAAAAATGAAAATGAAAACCCTCGCTATCACGGTAGCCGAGCTGGTCAAAAGTCAAAAGGCAACGGATAAATCGAACGGAATATGAACTGCCAAACCCATTCTCCAGTGGTTTTGATGTGCAGATGACTAGAATCAGGATTAATCTGCCTCTTGCGGCGCTCAGTACAGTAATGTCCAGAAGGCTATTCGTTTCAGAACTCCAAAGTAGTAAAAGTAGGACTCGCTCGTGATAGACGTTTACATAATGGACCCTGAACACTTGTTGGGAAATGTTGAATGGCGAAATCACACCCAGCCATGACAACACAGGACTCCACCAACGTCCCCAAATTTTGTGCCCCTCAGCGGAGTGCATGAGTTGGGAAGGAGCTTGCTTAGTACTGCACATGGTGGGGTGATCAGCCCGATCACCCCTGTCATAGCGACCTCGTACCAGCCACTTGGTGCCGCTGCTTTAACTGCGGCTAAGAGCGGGCAACACTTACTACGTAGTATAGCCACACCTGCATGCTAGGCCAGTGCCTCGGCGGTGACAACGCCTTATGATCAAGCGCAGCGACGAAGCTAGCCCGCATCTCGCTAAAGTGTCCCATGTCGCAAATGTTTCGCGAAAGCTCATTTGCATCCCGCAGGCTTTCTCTCGTGCTCACCTCCCACACGCATCCACAAACATCAGTGAGCACTCGCTGGCTAGCTGGCTCACTAAAAGGATTCAGGAGAAGGCATCACGGTTTATATTCAAAACTCTCAGAACAGAAACCGGTCAGCGGCCAACGGTTCGAGATGGCATTTGAGTTTCTCCCGTTCTTGTCCGTCGTCTTTGGCTGGGTTTACTTCCTATGCTGGTCCGGCTCATTCTACCCGCAACCTCTTCTCAACTTTACCAGGAAAACGACGGCCGGCACAACGGTTGATTTTCCACTGATCAATTGCCTGGGTAAGTCTAAGACTTCTGGCACCAGCCCAACTACACAGCGCATAGGTTGACGAGACTTTGTCGCAATGCAGGTTTCTTAGCATACCTTGTCTCCAACGCGTGCCTTTACTACTCTCCACTCGTCCGCTCTCAGTACGCCGCGCGCAACCACGGTCTTACCCCGACTGTTGCCTTCAACGACATCACCTTCGCTGCCCACGCTCTTCTCCTTTCCTGTATCACCACCAGTCAATATCTGCCAAAGCTTTGGGGTTTCGCGCCTGCCTCGGGAACCAAGCCCAGCCGCTTCATCACGGGTATCGCTTTTGGTTGCATTGTCGGAGTTATTGTTGTAGCTTTCATCGTCGCAACGGCGACTGGTGATGGTGACCCGCGAACGAGCTGGTGCGCACTAGATGTTGTCTACGCTATCTCTTACGTCAAACTTGTCATCACTCTTATCAAGTACACGCCGCAGGTTATTACCAACTACCGCAATAAGTCCACCAAGGGCTGGTCCATCTGGCAAATTCTTCTTGATTTCTCCGGTGGTCTGCTGTCTTGTGCCCAGCAAGCTATCGATTCATACTTGCAGCATGATTGGTCTGGCATTACGGGAAACCCCGTCAAGTTCGCCCTGGGCAACGTCTCCATGGTGTACGACTTGGTCTTCATGACACAACACTACATCCTGTATCGCGGTTCTGAGGGAAAAGCTGACGAGAGGGATTCCCTTCTCCGAGCGGATGATGAGGAGCATCAAAGAATAGATTAAACAAGCACGGTATCCGTTACTGTGTATCATTTTATTTTAGTTTATTCCGACACTATTTCAATGCCCGCAACACCGTAGAGATGCTTGACTCTTGCATATCAGTCAGCCTGTGGGTTCCCATTTTGGGCTCAAAGTACATGAACAGTCACAAACATATGTGTGGTTCGAAACGCATGAAAGGCGGCTGTGGACAGCAGTGTAATTACTCCATACATCTCTAAACAAACACAAACCAGTCTAAACACGCTCCTCTGGAAGATATAGGAATCTGCCTCTACTGTAGCCCCGTCGCCAACCATGATGTTCTGATTCGTAGCGAACCCAAACCACAAAATGCGAAGTTTTATACCAACAGCTTGCAAGAAAACGACGGCCAAGAAGCCGTACAGGACAGAAAAGAAAGAAAATACAATGCCAAGTCCCTCTGTATGCCTGCCCCTGAACGCCTTCGGGGGAATATGCAGTCTCGCAAGATGCCTCGCCCAACTTTCTATCTGCTCTAGAGAATCGTCTGTCTTTGTCTTGGGTTTATGCTCTAGAACTTTTCTCTGGCCATATATGCGATTTGTGTGGCTAATCATGTTTCCATCCAGATACGCATGCCTCATGCTGAAGCTGTGCTATGTCTGGGAATCTCCTAACTTTTTGTGCGTAACGTGGCTACCGTTTCTCATGCGGATGTGTTTCCATTAGCCTGCATGAAAGGGGGCAACTTCTTCCAGGTCTCTTGACTAGGCACCTTGACCTTGCCAAAATCTTCGTCGATATCAAGGATGATCTTGAGCGCGTTGCGGCTGCGAGCAAAAGGACTGGTGTCCAGCTTCTCCCTCAGGGTCGAAACAGCCTCGCCGACGCCGGTGTGAACCTTTGCCGACTCCGCCTTGCCGGGGTATGGAATGACGCTCTGCAGGACTTCGTACGCAGCAAGGGTGAAACCAAACTGGGGAGACGAACGGAAAATTCTGGCAGGGCCACCCTTGAAGAAAGCACGGAAGCCTTCCTCTTTCCATATCGTCTTGGCGGCATGACGGAGGCCGGTATAAGTCGCCTCGCCCTTGCGTGCCTCAACCTGAAGCCGCGTCTTGATGACATCGCATGGTGTCGTAAGGTAAGCGGCGGGCATACCAGCGATGGCACCTGCGGTAAGAAGCTGGAGCACACCCAGTTTCTTCGTGGGCGATTCACCAAAGAAATCCTTCTTCAAGTGGCTGTAGGTAGGGAAGTAGATCGCAGAAAAGGGAACGTCGCGCAGGAGACAGGCGGAAGCACCCTTGTACAGGCCAACAAGACCCAAGTTGCGGACAATCCACATGGCAGATCTCCTGGGGGCTCCCTCAACTGTCTTGGCGACCTCACCCTGGACCTGGAGGCGAATCTTGACGATTTCAAGGGGGTTGGTGAAGACCTGAAAAGAGCAACACTGATCAGTATACATACAACAAAACGAATTCGGTATACAAGAAGAGAACTCACAACTTGGCAGGCGCCAGCTGTACCACCAGCAAGAATCTCGTGGCCATACCAAATCTTGCCCTCCTTGTTGGTGAAATGGCCGCGGACGAGATCGTTCACCGTCAGCTTAATGGCTTTCTCGGGGGCAACACCAACGAGCTGAGGCAGAACACCAGAGTACAGTCCTCGAAGGCCCTCATTTCTCCACACCTTCCGGAAGCAGTCAATTGAGTTGTTGTACAAACGCTCACCAGGTCTAGCACCTCTCTGGTTCTGCAGGCGCGTCTTGACGAGGTCGATGGGGTAAACCATAAAGGCACCAAAGGCACCAGCCAAGCTACCCAAGGCGAAATTGTAGCTTGACTCAAGAACCCGACTGAGTGCCGCCTTGCCCGTCGAGGCGCTGTTGGCGAGAGCTCGCTGAGCAGAGTCGTCGGTCTCGTAGATTGCATTTCTCCATGACGGATCAAGGACCTTGGCAAAATCAGAAAGGCCCAGGCGGCCGGAGGGCTCATCAAGACTGGCAAAGTGGAAGAGAATGTCAGCCTCCATGGGGGTGAAAAGGGAGAATCGAGTGATTTTGGCGGCCTGGTTGAGGAATTCGGTCCTGGTGATCTTGCCATCAGGGCTCTTGGCGCAGGCACGGCGCACAATGAGCTCAACAAGATCAATCTCCTTGATCATGTTCTGGAAAGCACGAACGTTGGCGTAAGAGACCTTGCTACCAAGCGAGATGTTGCAGAGAGTGGACAGGTTCTCGAGCAAGTGATCGGAGAGCTTGTGCTTGGAGGTCTCGCGGATGATGCGCTCGAAGTCCTCGGGATTGATGAAGCCATCGCCGTCGTTGTCGAAAAGCTGGAAGGCCTGGCGAATTCTCTCGCCCTGGAGCCCTCGCAACATCTGGGAGAATTGGGGGTAGTCCATGTGGTGGCGCTTCTTCTTGCTACCAATGTATAGCTTGGCCCATTCGCACTCCCAGTCGAAGGGGATGCTGTCGGGTCCCTTGTTGAGCTCATAAAGCTTTCGGAAATCCTCATACTTGACGTTTCCAGTCCTATCGACATCGAAGAGGCGGAAAGCAATCTCGTACTCGGCGTCGGGCTTCATCAACAAGTTCTCGAAGGCAGCCCATTCGGAGAGGGTAATCTTGCCCGCGTCTCTACGGTCGGCGACGCCAAACAGAATGCCGTACTGTTCGCGCTTGATTTTGTGCTGGAACGCAGGTAACAGAGTCAGCCAGAGGTCCAATGGTGGATCGGAGGTATATCGGAGCCAGCTGTCCGCCGAGGCATTGAACCTCCAAGGCGGACTGTCCCTAATGGATTACGTGCATAGATGAAGGGAACTCTTACATAGTCCTCATCCGTGGGCGCAACGGCGCTGATGAACTGTTCAGGCCCCATGAGGAGCTCTCCTGTTGACTCATCTTTGATGGCATTGGCGACAAATCTGGCCTTAGTCTGCGCAGAGAGCTGGACGGGCTCCTCGGCACCAAGAAGACTTTCCTTGACAGCCTCCTTGACGGTGGCTGCTTTGCTCATCTTGGGCTATATGGCTCAGAGAGACTGTTTGTGTTGGCGCACGGGAGATATCGTCTGAGCTGAGTACCCTGCCTTGACCTTGGAGAGGAAAAGAGGAGGTCAGGTGGATGTGGTTTGTGGGTTGGGTAGTGGTTGTCGCGCGACAGAGGTGGGTGCAACGCGATAAGATTGACCTTGTTCTCTTTTTTTTACTAGTTGCCTTAGCCGACGTGGACCTTCTGGGCGTTGCTCTCCAGAATCATTCGATTCTATTACAAACTCCAGGTACACACCTAAGGACTGTTGAGGTAGAGACGTAAGGTAGGAAGAACGATAGGCTTAGAGCGAGTTGGAATATCCAAGGCAGACAAAGGAAAAAAAAATTTGGGGAGGCCTGTCTGGGGAAGTTGGTCACACTCAAGAAGACTTCCTGTTGCAGCCGGACACTTTGGTTGCACGCAGCAAGGAGTAAGTAAAATTTTGAAAAGCTGCAGAATGATCAGGCGGTCTCAGTTTAGGATCATGACGGAACCAGTGCACCTAGGCTTTCTACGAAGTACGTACATCTGCTGGAAAGAGAGACACGGGGGAGGGAGCGCAAGAGACAAAAGTCGGCATAGAAACAGCGGGATGACCTGAGTCAATTCCTCAGTCGAGCCCGTTTTTCGGAATTGCCAGCCTCTGGCGTAATTTTTTTTCTCCTCTAGCTCCACGCGGGACTCAGGAACAAGTCTCGGAACATAATTGATCCCGGCCTAGTGTCCTGCAAGATCCTTGATAAGCGCGCTGATAAGAAGTCATTGCCCGATGGTGAACCAGAATAGCAGCCATTGACACAGTGGCACATGCACACAGACACCAGCACATGCAGAGTCCTCGTGCTGCTGATGCAGTGTACTACTACAGGTTGGTGACTGTCGGTCGCTGCGTGAGGTCGCAGAATTGTCAGCTTACTTTCGTTTTATTACCTTCTTCATTTTCCTTTCTTACAAGTTTCTACCTATGCTACACTTCGCATTCTATTAGTTTGCTGATGTTGCTTTTTCGCCAATGATATCTCACTCATATGGCCTCGATGTTTCTTTGCATAGTCATAGCTATCCCAAGAATGAGCTACGGATACATATAGGAATGGGGATTACAGTGTAATTGGGAGCTCCCCTGTTGCGCAAGCAAAGCAGTAGCTGAAGCGTAAGGTGCTTGGGTGTCTGGCTCGGGTGCCAGAAACCCTTGCTTCCACACCTCGGACACGACCGGGACTCATGGCACAACGAACGGGGGGTCGGCTGTGGCCATCCCAGTCTCGATTGCTCCGATGATACTCGATTCGTGCGCATAAACTTCGGACAAGTGGATCCCGGACCCGCTCCGAACTTGCCGACACATAGAAACCTGGAACAAGCATTGATTGGATGTGCGGGAAGCCCTTGGGGGCTATGAAGGCTGACACAGTCGAGTGCGGGAAGCCCAGCCGCCTCCAGAGGGCTTGCAGAGACCCCTAAACTTCGGATTAGCTACGGTGTTCGAGCACAGCAGCAATTGGAGCTGGTCTCCATTTTCCGTTACCCGACAGACTCGCGCCAAGCACTACCTACCCTGCCTCCCCATACAACCGCTAAATCCACCTAATAGTTTCATTGGAACACACGCGCACCAACGAAGCAGCAGGTGCCTAGGCCTGCCACTTTTGGAATCGGGACGACGTCAACAGCTCAGGGGTGACAGTCCTTACACGACGATCCTCGACACGAGGGTTTCCTCCGCATCCGGACTCTTGGATTCTTTCACACATTCATACATTTATTATATTCGTTACTATTTCGCAAATCAACCCTCCCTGTCGGGTCAAAATGGCCGAGCGGGAGCGATGAAGCCAACACAATCACCAAACCCCACGCCGCTGCCGGCATATCCACTCATGCGCACGCCGTCGCCGTCTTGCAAATACACCCTGTCCTGACCGTTGGCCAGTTTCCATCCAACCTTGCCGCCCTTGGTCATCTCGAGCAAACAACCATGCTCGTCATCGCCAGCGCCTGACACCGTCCCCGTAGCTAAAATGTCACCTGTGTTGATATTGCAGCCGTTGATTGTTTGCTGAGCCACGAGATCTCGGAATGTCCAGTACATCCAACTTAGCTGCGCTGTGCATACCGTTGTGGCCTCTCCACTCGCCAACACCTCTGCCTTTAAAGCTATAGTGTAGCTCGAATCTTTCTTCTTGTCCAGCAGGTAGGGTTGCGCAGGGACATCTTTCGGAGGTGGTTGAGTTGTGAATGGCTCGAGCGCTTCGAGCGTCACCACTATGTCGCTCACCATCAGCAGGCCATCAATGGACATATACTTGATACTCAACACTCACCCCAAGGACTTATTGTCGTTCCAAAGGATTTCCCATTCATTGGCCCAAGGGGATTCATCTCGAAGCCCTGGATGTCACGAGCTACTTACTGTCAGCCTTTTACGTACCTTGAAGGACAAGGGTCAATTACTTACCGCTCCAGTCGTTCAAAAGGACAAGACCAAAAATGTGCTCGTCGGCATCAGAAACTGAAACACGGTCACCCATTTGCGTCGATTTGCCTATGATGCACGCCACCTCCAACTCGTAATCAACAGCTCTGGAAGGGCCGAAGCCGACTTTGTCCCCGTCGCGGTATTGACCAAGCGGCCGAGTTATTGCAGTCCCCGAGACCACAATGGTAGACGGTCGACCTCCGTAACCAATTGGCAAATATGGCGCTGCCGGCGGCATTGATTTCTGTCCCATTACGGCTTCCGACGCGTTTAGCAAGTGTTCTTTTGAACAAGAAAAGTCAGTGAAGCCGCCAATTCGCAACGGCAAGTGAAGTTGTACGTCATCGATTGGGACGCCATGCTTGCACAGAGTAGCTTTGTCGGAAAGTAGATCCTGGATACTCTTCCTAAGTAATCGGAGCTCAGCCTTATTTACAGCTGCCAGATCATTCAGAGTCGGCTACAACAAAGTCAACATTTACCGCCTCGAAGCAAGAAACCAGGCGTTTACTTGAGATAGAGCAGACTGTATCTGGCTGGAAACCTCGAGGCCAACATCGGCAAGAAAGATAACGGAGTCGCCAACCCTCGTGACGACACCCTTTGGATGATTGTTACCACTGGCAATACCGTAGGGAATGTTGGCGATAGAGAAATGATCAGACAGACTCATCTTGACGTGCGTGTACTAGTGATCTATGGACAAAGCTGTTGTAGGTTTTGTTTTAATTCGGACGCAAGGAAGCGAACAAGTTTTGTAGCAGCTACGAATCTTTTAGCCTTCGTCTTGCGAACCTTGGTGAGTTTGTCAGTCCAACATCATCCGCCGGCCCCCTCCTCCCCCCTCCCCCACCCCCACCGTCCCCGAGTTCCCTGGCTCGGATCGACCGCCCAAGTCCGAAATGTGCCGCTTCTCAGCACATCACGCGCTTGAGCTATTATTTGTGATTTGGAGCTTCCGACTATCACATAACATCTAGTTTAGTGGAATTATAGGCAATGTGACATAGTTCTCCAGGCCCTGCCCAAAGTGGATGTTGTTCAGTCCGGCAAACTTGCTGGCGGGCCTGGTGATGCGAAATCAGCGTCTGCCGTAGTGAAAATTGGGCGGATGTACTCACCTATCAATATCCGAAGCATGTTGGAAGATGCCACTACCTTGCGTATCGCCGCTACCGATTTCAAATACGATCTTGCCACCTTTATCGACAATTACGTTGGTGGGCCAAATCTCGACATCCACGCCATAGACTTCGCCAGCCTTGACGGGTTGGACGTCAGTAGAGAGATACTCTCTGTGAGGTAGCCAGGACTTGTGTCTGGGGTGCTCTTCGTGCACCTTACGGTTGCTCACACGTAACCAACCCTTAACGAGCGGCACAGGATCTCCGGCGGTGCCAGTGTAGAACACCTCCTTGCCTGTCGGGTCAATGTGACGCAAAGTTACGAATAGGTCAATGTCGGTATCATTCCCAGTATTTTCAGGTGTGACAGAGACGTTCAGGTGAGCCACAACGTGTCCTGTGACCTCGGTCTCTTGCTCGAATGGGGCAGTGGTGAAAGAGACGAATTGCGGCTTATCTAGGGAACCAAGAGCTTTGTACGAAACCGTCTTTGACTCCGAGCTGGGACCGGCAGCTGTGAGTCCCAAGTCTGGCGTCAAGTAAAAGTTGGTGTACTTGGTTCGTGGAATAGGCCATGCAGTTTCCGTTCGCTTTTCATATGCCTTCTCCTTCTGAGCGTCATTGAAGCCGATATTGCCCTTACGCAGCGTGAGCGTCACAGGAGATATCTTCCCGGGCACACTCCAGCCGACGCGGTCATCGCCCTTCAAGAACGCATCGAGAAAGCTCTTCTGCAATTCAACTTCCTCTGGATAATAAAAGGGCAAGTCATGTCGCCCCGTTATGAAGCGAAGGTATTTGAGCTTCGAGCCAGCCCCAAGATATCCCTGGACATTACCTCTCAAGTGAAGGAGAATTCCACCCCAGTTCGCGACGCTAAGCAGAGGGACCTCGATATCCTCAAGGTTGTATTCCTTGCTGCTGTAGTATTCATCATCGCGGAAGCGGTTGTTCTCATTATCCCTTGTCTGGTCCTGGCGGTTGGCGATGAGAACGTCCTCGGGAAGATCGCCCTCAATAGTGTCCTCTTGGCCCCTGGCTCCTGGCCCATCGGGTGGGAACTCCAGCTTCGATCTTTCCTTGCGGCCGTATTGGTTTACAAGGACCTGACGGTTCCACCAAACGCTGATGAACTTATTGGAATAAATGCCGCCATGTCGGCAGCGATCGCGGTAGTAGTCGGACATTCCCTCCCATGGGATGATGGCTGCGAGGCCCTTGGGCCGACGAGCAGCAACTCGCCATTGAGAACCTGCGAGTGAACGTAAGTGACTAGATATGGGCATGCACATTCTACTGAGGGCAACGCACCAGCATAGTAAGAAATGCCTAGCAGGCCGACCTTGCCACTAGACCACGGCTGATCGGCGGCCCACTCAACGACGTCGAAGAAACACTCGCTGGTGCCGCGGCTCATAGTGTCTAACAGACCAGGACTCTGACCTAGGCCGCGCTCATCAGCTCGGACAATGGCATAACCCTGGCTGGTCCAGTAAACGGGGTCGGGTGTCTCCCATGCTGAATATTTGGACCTCTGCTCAGGGCTGACTTCGTCAAAGGATTTTGGGTAAAACTTGGCGTACGGAATGTCTTTGCCATACGGCCCATAGGTCACTAAAACTGGGTAGCGGGCAGCCTTATCTTTCGAGAGTGGGAGGTAGACATTCGCTCTAATTGGAAGCGATGACTCCTTCAGAGGAATCGAAACGTTCTTCATGAAGGTAAGGCCATTTTCTAGGTCCTCGGTTATCTCGAGGAGATCTCTGATGGGCGGCGTTTTAACAGACATGTTGAAGTGAGGGATGATGATGTTGTAAACTGAAGGTGAAGGGGTCACTGTTAACCGTAGAAGCTGGCTCGAAAGGGGGCTCTCTTGAATTATATTTCGAGACAGGGGCAAGCATTCAGGGTTGTAACAAATTTCAATGGAAAAAGCAAGTAAACGGAGCGGATGATGGAAGTGGTGAAGATGGACCTCTCATGGTGTTCCGCGCGGCGGAACGGTGGGGGAGGGGCTGGTCCCAATTGGCTGCCAATGTACAGCGAGCACGCAAGCCAGCCGCTCCTCGCGTACCTAGTGAACATGTTACTGCACTGGCAAGTTGCACAACCCGCCCGCCTCTAGCTGGCTTTGTTGCCGCCATGGCTTGGGCAGGTTGAGTTTTGGATGCGGGGGCGCCAGACAAGGGGCTTGAGCTCCGTCATAGAGCAATTGTGGCGTGTAGCATGAGGTCAAGGCCAATGCTCTGTCTCTCATATCGGACTGCTCAAGCGAGCCGAGTTTGCACCACCATGTCACATATTTTTGCCGGACTGCAGTCGGCCAGTGAAAATGGGCAGTGGTGGTTCTTGTGAACTCATCTCGTCCCGGTTTTCTTTGCAACTGATTCAGGTCTGGTCCCTTTTGTCACGCAACAGAAATAAAATCACTTTCTCGTTTCGTTTGGATAATCTCATCGAGGGAACCGACTATTATTACACAATTCACCCATAGCTATAACGCTAACTTAACTGCATTGGACATGCTGGCTGCTGGAGGTCTTAGATCTCTCCACCAACCTTGAATCTCCAGTAGCTGTCATTCACTTTGCCCCCGGTACTTCTCCAGAGCCAGTTGGAAATCTACTCAGAAACATGTTAATGAGAAAAAGACAAACTGCACGGCCATGGACTGTATCTTACCCCCTGAAGCCAACAACCATTCAACATTACAAAGACGAAGCCCGTCTCGATTCGGTTGGAGCCCCATGGCCTATCCGAAATGTCTAACGCCCTGTTTACGGGCCGATACGGAGGCACCTGGCGGTGCTGGTTATACCAGTCGGGAGGGTTCTCGACTATGGGAAGGGCCGCATCTCTAGAGGGCCTTGAGTACGCATCTTCGACACCCCCAGTGAGTCGAATGGTGTAATCGTAGAGATGGTCTTGACGAAGGGTTGCCGTAGCTGTGTTATCTGTCGTTGTCGTTGACATCTTGAAGCTATCAACTTTTTCTTGGTTATGGCTGACGGATGCAAGTATGTAGAATGGTAGACGTGTATGAACACACCGATTTCTTCAAATGTTGAAAGACCAATCTGAAAAAGAATCACAGGGGGAGATGCCACCTCAATATGCCGACCGCCGCCCCTCCGTCTCCGCATGCCCGCTCCCCGATCGACCCAGGGCCTGTGTCGGAAATGCGGAGAGATAAGATGGAACCGCCCCCATCCCAGCAAGCTAGCTATAGTGTAGTGTGATCGACAGACGCCTCTGTTCCCCCACTTTCCGCCCCCTCCTGACACCCGGACAGGCAGCCCAGACCACCGTCCTAGATGGCTGTTTGAGCTGCCGGTTCATCAAGCCCCAATATCAGGTTGAAGTTTGCAACTTTAATGTAAGTCGTATAGCATCTCACCTCATCCCAAGCAAACCACTCGTTCCTATACTTCAGACGCTGTCACCTTCACCTCTTGTCCTTCTTCCCAACTTGCCGGCAACAGACCAAAGAGACTGACATGATGGACTCGGCCGTTGAGAAACTTCTCGTGACGCTTGTTGACGGGCGGTCCGATGGTATTCGTTTCCGTCAGGATAACCTTCGCAGTCTCCATGAAGAAATGCGGAAGGAGTCCGGAACGCTATGCGCTGCGCAGGAGAAGGATACCGGAGCTTCACAGGCGGAGATAGAAGCCGAGTATTACCTGGCAATGGAGGCTGTTCGTCACTTTTATGAATCTTTGGACTTTAGTACGGAACTTGAGGCCGAGTATTTTGTGGCGCAAGGAAAAGACAATGCGGGCAGGCGAGCTGGGGCTGGGCTGGTGATAATCAGGCCGACAACATACACTCGATTGTTCTCCATCCTGAACCCACTTGCGGCGGCCTTGGCTGCCGGGTGTGTTGTTGCCCTTGAGGTTTGTCATGCCTTCGATTTTCTCTATAATTCATTCCTACTGGGAACGCGCTGACAATCAAATTTTCCAGCTCGAGGACACCCTGCTACAGCTCGATTCTGTTCTCCGCAGCATCTTCACCCGAGCCTTGGATCAAAATGCCTTCTGCGTCACCAAGAAGATCGCAGACCAATCTCTTCTTGACGCAGCAATCCTTGTGGATCAGACAGGAACTGCGCCCAGTGCAAACCGAGTAAATCATCTTGTGTCCGCCAATACCACACGTGCTGTGGCCATTGTTGATCGCACTGCCGACGTGGAGGCTGCGGCACAGGCCATCACAGCAGCTCGGTTCGGTTTTGGCGGACAATCGCCGTATGCGCCGGACTTGGTTCTCGTCAACGAGTACGTGAAGAAGGAGTTCTTTGAGGCTTGCTCGAAGCATGCCACTCTCGCTTTTGCGCGTGAGACGACCGTTCGACGGTCAAGTGACAACCAAAACGAGCAGACGAGGAGGGCCGTGCAGGAGGCTGAGGAGAAACGGTTGATATCCAGCTTCGGCTCGCGCGACTTCAAGTTAATCGATATCAAGGACAAGTAAAACTTTCCTCCTCTCTGCAGAAAACATCTCGAGAAGCTAACAGCTGCAGGGATTCCTCACTACTCAATATGAAAATCAGCGGGCGCTTCCTGCCCATCGCGATTTCTTCGGGCTTGGTAGACTCGATTTATACGCACGAATTTGAGTAAGTGAAGTAATTCATCGTGTCCATGAAATGTAACTCATAGTTTGCAGACAACCTCTCTTAGCCAGTTATCTCTTTGCTAGCCCTGATGCGGCGAAATACCTCTCCCAACACATCTCTTCACATGTCTCCTATGTCAATCAAATCCCATCAAGCCTGCTTCTCGGCCCGGCAGCCCCCACCTCACACGATCCGGTTTTGGAATTCCGTTATAGCAAGGCAATGTTCTCAGTATCCAGACCGCAGATCATCGAAAAGACTTCCGGGTCACTTGCAAAAGTTGAGCAACTCCTTTCCGGCTCAAGTGGTATCACTGCTCAGGGGATGCGAACGTTGGCTGTTGCACCATTGAAGCCGACGAATCAACCTGGAAATAGTAGGTTGGGATTCTTCGAGCAGGGATTCGTGCTCGGCGCCAGCCTTATCATGAGTGTTGTGTTGCCAACTCTAGCGTATGGAACATGGATCGGTGGTCGGCGAGCGGTGGATTACGTGCTGAAGCTCAGGCGCTAGTTTACTTCTTTGTCGAGAGTCTGTACAATATTTTATCTACGTGCAAATCACATCTTATCGCATCGATGCTATCTGGCATGCCATTATAATGCAATTTTAGCTTGTGAAACGCTTGTGACTCGCTCGGTATAGATGACTTACAATGTCAAGGGATATTACATAGCTGCTGGATTGAGTTGTCTGGAACACGCGGATGAAACCGTATGATTCGAGTGGTCCAGGTTACGCTACGCCACAATGCCACGGAGCTGGAGTTCCTGGATTGTTGAGTTTGCGTGCCGGCTCGGTCTCGGTTCGGGAAGTGGCGGCACATAGCTATCTCATAGCGGCCCCACCGGCCCCATATTCCCCAGGCGAACCCCTCCTCGTCTTACATGTTCCCCAGATGTGAGAAGATGCACACCAGCCCGCCAAGTCGGTACCTCTCGAGTGTTCCGGGCTCGCAGGGATCGTCGCTTCGCAACAACATCCCGTTCGCCGATGGGGCCGCATGAGCCATGGCATTGAGCGACGGCAGTGTTATCACTCACCAGAACTGCCTCTTAGCATACATTGCATCAGTTTTGGCAGAAGACAACAGTCTTGAACGACTGCTAGTACGGGTGTCACAGTACTTTAAAGGCAAAAGTATTGATTTACCAGGCAATTTTGCTCGATTGAACGGAGCCAGCTAGCTCATCACACTACATACTCGACACAACAGCTGTTCTGAGGCAACAGATCATCACTATGGCAGTAGGGAATAAAGAAGAGGGCCTCATGACACCGGTCCATCTTTTCTCTCATGGCTCAACAATGATGCTTGGCGAGGAAAGCAACTCTGCCACTTACTGGAAAAAATGTGGCGACGAGGCTCTTGCTCAGGGAATCGAGCACATTATCATGATGGTAAGCACGTTTTTCTTCTCTCCTGGGACCCCAAAGCCCCCCCGTATTGTCTTCTTCGAGCTATCGACTGACAACATCAAAGGGCGCACACTGGGCGACAAATGCCCCTGGGGAGGTCCTCATTTCTGCGAACCCAAAGCCTGGGAAGTCTCCGGTAGCTTATGTGAACCCGGAAAAGTACCAACCTTACAAGTTGAACCCGGATCTTGACTACATCCCCACCATCCAAGCTCACCTCAACGCAGCCGGCATCAGTTCAAAAACCGACCCGACCTTCGACTGGATCCACGACACGTACCTGATCCTGATCCGCATGTTCCCTAAAGGATGCCCGCCCACGACTCTGATCTCCATGAATGACTTTTATGACCCTCATTTCCATGTTGCCGTTGGCGCCGCTCTCCGCCCGCTTCGCATGGCCAGGCACAAGACACTCTTCATCGGTTCGGGGGGCTCTGTTCATAACCTCTATCGAAACAACTGGGGCCCCATGCTCCGCTTTCGTGACAACTTTGCCCAGCTTACCCCTCCGGAATATTGGGCCCTCGATTTTCGCCAGGAGGTTATCGACACCTTTTGTACAGCTTATGAGGAAGACGTTCCTACTGATAAAGCCACCTACGGCCGCCCCATCCGCGGCAAGAAGCCATGTGGTGGACCAATGCTGAGGCGCAAGGTGACAAGCCTCATGAAGCACCCTAAATACCGCGATGCGCACGCCACAGATGATCATTTCATGGCCACGATGTTTGTTGGGGGTTTGTGCGGTGCTAAGGGTGATGAGAAGATGAGAGCCGAGATGGGCGCTGAAGATTGGGAATTGACCAACATGTGTAACTCGCAATTTACACTTGGGAGCTGGGCAGATGCAAAGTAACACAGCATAACAAGATGGGTGGCAGAATTAAGCAGGAGTTTCCTTGGATTGGTATCAGTTTAAATTGTAACTACATGCTTACTAGTACTCCGTGACGGCAATGGCTGCATGTCTTTCTTTTCTTCCTTCTCCCGTCGCCTGAGACCGCAGAACTATATAAAGGTACACATGGGACTGTCTATTCAGAGTTTGAGACCCTGAGCCGCCTATGACAAGTCCATATTATCCCACTGGAAGTCGTCGCCAGTGTCGAGACCACTGAAGAGATCATTATCTCCTAGATCTAGTGAACCCCCCGCACTGTTAGAAGGCCCGCCCAGACCCATGTCGCCTCCCATGCCCAAGTCCAGGCTGACATTGTCCACAGACATGCCGTCTCCCGAAACTACATTCGCAGCTGCAGCCGCCATGGCATCGCCGAGGGAGCCTGTTCCCGCGTCAAGACCCAGGCCAAGGTCGTTCTGCAGCATGGTGTCTGCTTGTATGGCCTCGGCCTGAGAGACCGCCATCTGCGACTCCACCTTGCGGTGCAGCCTCACGACAATTTCGGCCAGGGTCATGTCTGTTTTTTGCAGGCGTTTACAATTTTCCGCATCCGACTTCAACACTTCTCGCATCGTCAGCTTCCTTTGAACGGGGGCGGGCACATTGCCCGTATTGTCAAGGAAGTTGAGCGCAATGGTGGATGGAGTGTTATTCCCATCAGGCGCACAAACCAGAGCCGTAGCCACGTCATAGACTATGCTGCCACTTCCGCTCTCTGTTTGCTGCCTAATGTCGTCGTATATAAGCTGTAAGAGCCGTTTTGCGCCAAGCGTATTCAGACCAACCAGTATCTGACGGTGCGTGTACGCAGGAGGCAGCATGTCCATGTTCGGATGTATGCTCCATTGGACTAGACTCTGCAACGTTTGCCTAAGTGCATTGACAAATCCGCCTTGTTGTGGATGTTGTTGGTGTTGTTGCTGCGGGTTAGACCAGGCATCTAGTTCGACATGATCGGCTGCGCCTGTCCTTCGAGACAGAGGAATGCTGTCTTTAATCGCCTTCAGGAGAGGTTCAACTTCTTGACTTTTCGGGTCTGATCTTTGATACGTTCTTAACGAGTGCTCGAGTGGCTTCGAAACTATGTTCATGACTGAGGAGAGCATGGCCGAGGCTTCGTTTGAAATTGCAGTCGGGACAAGAACAGACTGCAAAACTCGGACAATGGCCTTTTGGCAATCGGAACGCTCAATAAGTAAAGAGTTGGAAAGATATGTGATAGCAACGACAAGAGAGGGGAGAAGGAAGGTGTCGACGAGGTCTGTGTCCGAGTTAGCAGGACCGCAAAGGGAAATGCACCATCAAGCTTACATTCAACACCCCCTTTTAAGCCATCCTCAGATAGGTTCCCTGTGCCAAACGCTAGCACGATGTTCTGAAATAGGGTGGACACCAATAGGTAGAAGTCCTGGGGAGGGCAGGACGACATAAGCTCATCGCCAAGGCCTCCGGCCTCGGAGTCGAAGAGCCCATGGATCCAGCCGTCCAGATGGCCTTTTTCTTGGTCTGACAACTCGTCAAGTGTCCGGCTTTGGTGACCCTGGCTCAGTAACCTCGAGACGAATGAGCCTGGAGATGTGATACCGAGATCTGACATGGATAGGTTGTAGCGATATGCAAAAGCCATCACTAGAAGAAGTATAGATCCAAACTCCTCATACACAGGCTGGTACTCGCCCTGGTCCTCATCATACTTCCAGTTGTCGAGAAGGTCGCAGAGCGGATGAAGAATGGTCGCGGGCTTCTCAAATAGAAGCATGACATCTAGGGAGAGCGGTTTCTGTGCCAGTTGGCTGCACAGAAGCTTCAGGGACATTGTCTCCTTATTCCTGCAAAGCTGTCCTAAAACCTACAATAATCAGAGGCGTGCACTTTCTTAGCTACGTGTAATATCCGGAGGCCTACCTCGGTCAAAGCCTGGCAGACTGCGCCAGCGTTTCCGTCCTTGCCGTCTAGCTCGCCGATGAGAGCCTGCATTCTTTCGGGATCTGCAAGGCAATCGGCAACTAAGTTGTCCTTGATATACCTGCCACCGGCTGGAAGGGACTGGTAGGGGGTTTCCCCCAGCAAAGATTCAATACTGCTCTCTCGAACTAGGCCATGCAAACAGCATGCCCAACAGAACTCCTCTCGCACAGAGTCTGTGAAAGGGTTGTTGCTCCTGGATTCATCAAACATGGATGAAAGGGTGGGGAACGTATTCGTATCCACGCGACTGAGTGCTTCAGTAATGCAAAACTCTGCCGTCAGAGGGGGGTACATGTGCTTGCTTAGGTTTTCGATCAAGAGAGGCATCTTGTTCATGAGAAACGAGCGCAGCAGGTGGGCAGCCGGGTTGCCTTCGTTACGCGACACGGCATTGGCCAGTACGTCGAACGAGGCCAGAATGAGATCAATGGTCGTTGTTTGGACATCACCCTAGAGACATAAGCAAGCGTAATTGAAAACTCAGCGTCAGAAACCTTACCTGGTATCTGTTGTTCAAATAGTTGAAGATAGCGAGGTCATCGACCAACGGTCTTCCGACGAGCTACAAGCGGCTTCATCAGCATTTCCCTCTCTATCACTACATCCAAGTGAACCTACCGCCGCATTCAAGTATATGTAGAGGCCAGCTCTGGAGTTGACTATGGGGAGTTCGGAGATAACATAGTTCTCGAGCGCGACTGATGAGTCAAAAAGGTCTTCTATCTCGGCATTTGATGTATTATTTTGATTGTCAACGGGCTCGAAACCTGCCAGAGTACTGGTACGGAACATATCCAGACGAGTCGCAATTGGGCCAGCGTTTTGCATTATTGTAGGTACGAAATTGGCAAGGCTTTCAGATAGGGCCTTCCTGGTGGCTTTGTGCAAGTCAGTTTGAGATTCCTACGACTTGGATGTCTAATGTGTACTTACTCCTTGCTTCTGTTTTGCTCAAAGCCTTGAGAACAACTTGGTTCTCGCATACACCAAGTAGTAAGGCCACAAAAGCAGCGCGTGCAGACTCCATCTCTTCCCTCGCTTGACTGTTTTGAAGTTGACCCATGACGTCGACTGTGAAGGCTGTCGCGGCGTCGGTGAAAAGTGCAATCCACTTCGCCATTATATTTGCAACGTCTAGACCGGTTTCTGTGTTTGGTATCGCCATACCTTGGGCTACTGACTTGGTGAGTCTGTAGAACATGACTTCCTCTGCTGCGTATGAGCTCGCCCATCGTGGGGCCTGAGGCCGCGAGTCCTCGCCATTGGCAGGCTGCGAAGCGTCCCGAGAATGCGCACGAGACGTAGAATACTTGTAAAGAGCTTTGAGTATGGATGGTGTGTCGATGTAATTTAGGTGGGAAAGGACTTGAAGGTAGCGCGGGACTCGAGGATCGAGGCTCTCGTGGTTGTGAGGCTGGGGTCGCAGAAAGAGATCGGTGACAGCGGAGGGAGGCAGTGGGTGCTTGGCTTGGAGAAACGGCACGTATGCTTCGAACTTGTCGGGGTCTAAACGATTGGCGAGGCTTTTGGCTATGAATTCTGTCCACTGCTCCAAAGCGGCGCGCTGGACACCTCGAACTACGCGACCATCCATGATGCCACTGCGCGGATAAGACGGTCCTGCAGCTGTCGCTCAAGCTACCAGGCGCATCAAGTGCTGCTAGTTGGCGTCGCCTCAGTTTTGTGAGCAAGCATGCTCTCGGAATTCGAACGCGAAGGGTCGTGGGCGAAAATGAAGCTGCCTAGCAACACTGGACGATGTGGAAAGGCTGAGCGCAAACATTAAAGACCTGGATCGACTTGCATTTCCAGATCCTGAGGTCGGGTTTACCTAGGGCGGCGCTTCAGTGGAGGGGCTTAGTCCCCTGCATGCGAATTCATAGTGTGCCTTAGGGCCTTTTAGGTGCTGTGGCTAGGGACCCCAACCTGGTCGTCATGGCGCTTGGATTGTCAGCAACGCACGGGTCCAGAGAGGCTTGAGTTCGCTGAATCAAACGGTCATCACGTCCCGTTCATACACTTGCCAATTTTGGCTTACTGAAGATACGGAGACTGGCCTACATATATTCAAACCCTAAAGCGGCATTCGTTCATCTCAAGACATCACAATCCATGATTGACAAGCACATAATCGCATCTAGTGTTCAATGACTTGACATTGATTCCACATATGCGGAACGGTAGCTACGAGTGCTATAATACCAGACACCACTTGGCTCTGGCAGCAAGTTGTGTAGCCTAACTTCCTTCTCCCGAGTGAGGTGCACTAGCACCGTTCAACTCGCCCCTTGTACAGTCGTTAAATTGGGGTTGTAGCGACGAGCGCAGTGGCCAACCCTATGTATGGTGTACAAGTCCGCCTCAATGGCCACATGTGGCGTAGTAGGTCAGCCAGACCCTGGCCTGGAGCTGTCGAGCTACCAGATCTGTCACCCGTGTCTGCTGAGCCTTGTCCTTCGGCCCATTTCCGCGTTCTTCTCTTCATCTTCCTCTCTCAGGCTGGAGCTTTTAAGCTACCAAAGGGCCCGTCATCTCCCAATCGGGAATGTCTTCCAATCATTTCCATCAAGCCATATTAGAGAACGCCGATTGCAGGTGTGTTGTGTGTATGTGTGGGGGGGGAGTTGTGTAGCTGTCAGTGCAGGCAACCAAACGTAAGGCACCGCTGACAGAAAGGGGAGTGGCAGATGGTGTTGTGGGTTGGGGGGGATATGGGGTGCTGATTTAGGTTGAACCAAGTGCAAATCCCCGCTACAGCGAAAAGCACATTGGGTCGAGCTGAAAATCTCAATTTTTTTACATGTCCATGGAGTCGCCGCCGTTAGCAAAGCTGAAGCCACCTTGCTGAGGAGCGGCGTTAGCACCGAAACCAAAGGTTCCGTTGGGGCCGGTGCCCTGGGCCATGCCCTCGTCCGCGTTCTCCTCCTCATCGGAGAAGTACTTCTCAATGATGTTGTAAGCCTTCATGTAGATCTCCTCGTTGGCGTTGGTCTGGCACTCGTGAATCTTCTCCATGCCACCACACTCCTCAATGAACAGAGCGTAGCGGTTGATAGAGTCGGGACCCTCTCCCGCAGCTTGCTTGTCTAGGTCGCCGACCTTCAGGATGTTTTCCAGTCCATCCAAAGCGACCTGGATAATCTTGTTGTCGGGGCAGGCCAGGAGATCACACAGAGGCTTAATGCAGCCCTGTGCGACGAGGTAGCGGATCTGTTCCGGCTTTTGCAGTCCACCCGATGTCGCGTTGCTGATAGCCCAGCACGCTTCTTTGCGAGTCTTCAAATCACCGTTGGACAGAAGATGAATGAGGGGGGGGATGATGTTGGCATCAATGACCGACTGGATTTGGGCCGAGTTGCCGGCCGTAATGTTGGAAATGGTCCAGCATGCCTCCTTGCGGATGCCATCCTTGTTGGAGCTAAGAAGCGAAAGAAGGCACGGCAGGGCACCACAGTTGATGATGACCTGGGTCTGAACATCGTCTCCAGTAACGATGTTACCAACAGAACGAAGAGCGGGCGTTTGGACAGACGTAGAAGCGTGCATCAACAGTTCGACAAGGCGACGAGGGATGCCTGCCTCGATAACGGCCTGGATCTTATCGTTGGACCCATCTGAGAGGTATGAGATGGCCCAGCAAGCATCGATAAGCACCTCATCATCAAGCGAGTAGACAAGCTTGGAAAGGACGGGGAGAGCGGGAGCAATCTGCAGAACATGTTATTAGAGACACACAATGACAAGTAGCCAATAAGAACAAACGCACCGTATTCCAGTCAGGCTGGGGGGTCTTGCCTCGGCAGAAGTTGCTGAGGGTCCAGGTAGCGTTGCGCAGCATGCTGAGCTTCCTGCTGTCGCCGAGAAGGGCCAAGAGAGGCTTCAAGGCGCCACAGCTAAGCACATAATCACGGCAGTGAGGGCTGTCGCCGGCAATGTTGCCTAGAGCCCACACAGCCTGTTCCCGCACATCAGGTTCGGGGCTGGCCAGGAGCTCAACGAAAATGGGAACGGCGCCAGCTTCAATGACAACCTGGGTTTGCGTGGCAGAGCCAGAGGCAATGTTGGTCAGGGCCCAGGCAGCCTCAAATTGGACAAGGGTATGGGGGGATCGCAAAAACTCGACGAAGCGGCTAACGACACCAGTCTTGATGACCTCCTCGATGGGCGGGTTGCGTTCCTTGGAAAGCAACTTTCGGAACTTTGTGGTTGCTTGGATCTGAAGGTCGATTTGGTCGGAGAAGACACCTTGAACCATCTGGGGGAGGTCCTCATTAAGCTTTTCATAGTCAGCATCTCTTTCTCAACAGTAACAATATGACGGGAGTAGGGAAGAAGAACAAAAGGTTCGACAGTCGCGATGCTGCTGGCGCGGGGCTTGAACCGTGTGGAACAGGTCCGGACCGACTCGCGCAAAAGTGAAGTGGGGCAAAGGTGCAGGCGCCCTGGCAACAGAGGGGGAAATAAGACGAAGGGTGTTGCAGTATTGGCGGGGTGCAAACAAAGAGGCGACGATGTGTTCGCGAACATTAACGAAATAAGAAGCAAAACTCACTTGGGACTCAGTAGGGGCGGTATCATCATCGCTATCGGGAGCAGCTCCAAGGGAAGCACCGGGTCTGTTCTCGCCAGTGCCAATGCCTCGTCGCTTGGCCAGGTTCTCCTCTCGCTTTGCCTTGCGAATCTCAACCTGTTGCTCCTCTCTGCGGCGGCGAAGCTCCTCAGGCTTGAAGGTGCTCTTTGCCTTGAAATTGGTTCGGCGATGCTCGGGGATGTAGCGGTCAGCCATGGTTGTTGTTCTGATGGACGTTGGTTCGTGGTATGTAGTGTTTTGGCGGTCCGTCAGGAGGAGGGGAAGAAATAGTGGTTGACTGGTGTGGAAAGGTGTCCGTGAAGTTCGACCCTATCGAGAGAAGTCTTCTTGGTATTCCTGCGCAGCGAAAGAAGGGAGTGTTGCGCGGGCAAGCACTGAGAATCCCGAGCTCGATGTCAGATCACGGAAAGAAAAGTTGATGCAGATGGAGGGGTGTGAAATTTATGATGATGGGGGAAGATGAAGGAAAGTCGGGGAGATTGAAGCGAGAGAGCGGGTCGAAGAAATGGAAAAGTGCAGGGCCCTACCAGATCCAGACAAGCCCGCTAAGGCTGTGTACGTACATTTGACATGCAGCTTGCAGTCTGCTCCAGACTCTCGATATGTACCCAGTACTCAAGGAGTGGCCGCAAGCGAACTTTTTTTTTTTCTGGTCCTATTGGAGAGGGGCCGATTCAGCAGTGACGGGAGGAAAGACCCAGCAGTGGTAGGCTTCCAGGTGCTTTCCTTAGCTGAGTCAGGGGAAGGTGTTTTGATTGGACAGATAGTGAGATGTGTACTTTCGTAAGAGATTGTTGCCCCACAATTGCAGACGGCCTGCTCTTGTACCAGAGCTTCTCAGGGGATTATGTCATGTGCTGCTAAACAGGTACTTGACTTCGCATCAGGATAGAGGGGAGATTAACTTACTTTAGTTTGGAAGTCTCGCTACAAGTCCATACTTGCAGTGCCTTAGGTTCCTCCCGCCGTCTCAGCAGTGACAGCAGTCAGACAAGGTACCTAAGTTCAATGTTCGGGTGCACTCGCACGGGCTAACAAGGCAATAGTAACAGCAGCAGGAAGGCACAGAGCAAGCGCATGCTCCCGCAACATGACATTCAATTTGGTGGGGTAATCCAACGCGTCTCACAGCTCCCTAAGAACTTCTGGCACGCGTCAAAGTTACAGACAATCCCAAGCAACGAAAGCAAACTCCTGCCACCTATACAGGCTGCCCGTTACCTTCAAAGAAAAACCTGATTTTGATATTTTCTGCAACATCAACGGGTTCTTGTGTCACTACAACCTCCTTCTTCTCATTATGCACCAGTCATCACTTTCCTGAACAACCTGCTACTACTACACATATAATGACTGAGACGAGTACTGACAAGTCCTTGGATCTCCCCAAAGGCTTTATACCGCTCAAAGACATTACAGAAAATGTAGTCAAGATCAAAACTATCGTCAGTGTTATAGGTCTCGTCAAAGACTTTCGTCCTCCCATTTCTACAAAGAGAGAGGGTTTGTGTCTTATTCCTGGAGCAAGCCGGTGCCACTTTAGATTCTAACAGAACAGCAGATTGGAAGTGCATGCTCCGCCTCTATGACCCATCCATCCTGGGAACTGATGTTGAATTGAACATTTTCCGCCCAAAAGATGAGATGCCCAATGTTGGTGCAGGAGATGTTGTGGTCGTTCACAAGGCTAATGTGCACAAAAACACATAAATCTGGCTGTGACACAATTGACTGACATCAGGTATAGGTTCAGAGGTATCAAAGCGATCCACTGTCTTTGACGACACACTGGGGCACCACTCTTCATGTCTATCCTGCTGCCAAGATACCTCAGCCTCCCCAATCGGCATCCCGTCCTGTCACCTTGGCCCCTAAGGGTATGAGTTACAAGGCTACTGAGCCAATTCCTGTTGTCGAGGAATACGTATCATGGTTATATCATACCATTGACAAAGACTGCATTCCGAGCGTGGAAGACTTTGAAATTCAAGCAATACGCTCGTTGAATGTCAAGAACAAGCTCTGTGAGCTCAAAGAAGTAAAGGATGGCACTTTTCATGACCTTATTGCGAACGTTGTTCAAGAACCATTTGATTTTGGTGATAAAATGAGGCTATATGTCTCAGACTACACGGAAAACAGTGGCTTCTATCACTACACATGGAATGGACAACAAGAGCAGACTGGCCGGGACGGAGATCCATATGGCTATACCCTTGGCAAGACTCGCGATGTCGACACTTCGTCGGAATGGACAGGCCCCTTTGGCAAGAAAACCCTGCAGATAACCTGTTATGAACCGCACGCAAGTGTGATCAGAAGCACAGTTAAACTCGGGTCCTGGGTCCGTCTACTCAATGTCCAGATAAAATATGGATCCAATGCCTCCAATCTAGAAGGCTATCTCCGCGAAGACGTCAGAGGCTTCGGCCACAAGATCTACGTCGATGTGTTGGACCCAAGGGAAGACCCTGAGAATATTCACCCCTTTCTAAAGAACGCCATCAGAAGAAAACGCGATTACGAGAAGGAAAAACGTAATCAGATTAAGGAGATCAGGTCAGCAACGAGTACTACAAGCAAGAAGCGTGCGGCTACGGACCAGCCTGGAGAAAGGCGTCTGAACGCAAAGCAGAAACGAGCACTTCAAAGGGCGCAAGTGATTGAAAAGGCAGAAAAGAATGAGGCACTTGCAGAGCCCCCCCTTGATATCAATCCCCAAGGTAAGCCAATATAGGATCGCCAATGTAACCCAACGCGACTAACTGTGTTCTAGTGGCTTGTGAGAATCAGGAAAGGCCCACTCACAATATATACGATATTCTTGAGCCACCAACTTTCGAGACCACAATCGAAGGTGGTCCTCTAGCCTTCAAGCTTCCCTTCACATGCAGCCAGTACCGTGCCAACGTACGAGTAATTGACTTCCACCCGCCGAGTCTGCAAGACTTTGCCTGCCCTCTGAAGAAGACGGAATCCGACTATGTGGCTCTGACTGACTATTCCGATTTTGATTCGGAGGACGATGACCGAGACGACCAGAGCACTGTAGACAGGCTTGTTGACGAGCGCACCTGGGAATGGCGCTTCGCCTTGCGCCTTCAGGATGCGACACCGCCCATGAACACAACTAAACAAGCCACCGGCGAAAAGCACAATACTTTCTGGGTCTTGGTGGACAACCAGGACGCCCAGCTTCTCACAGGTCTCGATGCCTGTGACCTCCAACGCGAACCTGAGGAACTGTCCAGACTACGCGAGAAGATGTTCATCCTTTGGGGCGACCTCGAAGAGAAGAAGTCCAAAAAGCTTACAAGCAACAAACGCAAGAAAGACGACAGGCGAAAGGCCCTCAGTGACCGGCCATCCTTAGACAGCTCAGATAACGAGGTGGCTGGTAAGTCGGCTGACGAGGATGTGCGTGAGATGACGATTTCGAACCGGCCCTTTACCTGCTGTATACGCCAGTACGGCGTTCGGGTTAACGAGTCAGATCCTGAAAGGGCTGATGCAGGCGATGGCAAACGGTGGCAGCGAGTCTTTGGGCTTTTCGGAACCAAAATACGTGGCGCATAGAGAACCTGAGCGATATTGAATCATGGAGACACAAATAAAGTGTATAACAGCATGTGGGAAGCGTGGCGTAAAGGGCAAGTGAGGGGGGGAATGGATATTCGTTCGCAATGAAATCATATCATATTAGCCACTCAATGAGCCAATTGTCTTTTCATCCTTCTAACGCCGCTAAGTCAATAAGTGAGCCACCTTGGCAGGCGCCTGTATTCACCCTCCCTCACCCTTTCCAACATCATCACCTCCTTGCGGACGCAACTTGAAGGCACCTCCAACGCCGTGAGAGCCCCTACGCAACGTCCGCATCGACAACATGCGTGAGGAGGTGAAAGGGGAACCCCAGAAATCGCATACCAACTGAGCAAAGAAACAAATTGCAGTTCAAATGGGAAGGGGGAAAAAAAAATAGTTCGGCTAGTCGCCCAAAATATCGTCGTCGTCGGCATCATTATTGGCGGGAGCCTCCTCTGGCTCCTCTTCTTCTTCTTCCTCCAAAAGTTCACGCCGGCGCAAGTCTTCTCTAGAGCCCTCTTCCGGCTCCGGCTCAGGCTCCTCCAGCGCATCCTCTTCCTCTTCGTCGTCAACAACAATCTCCTCACTTCGCGTGTATTTCTTGGCTGCTGGCTTAGTCGAGGGAGTCTTCGCCCTCTGAACCTGCTTTTTGCCGTGCAGGTGTTCCCGAATCTTGTTCTCGTCAAGGAACGCAACAACCTCGCTGAAGTTCTTCCCGAGTCTAGTCTGATTACGGAGGAGCCGCTTGCGCAGCTTTCCGGCGTGAGGACCAGACTGGTCCAGGACCTTCTGCACAATGGCCAAAACGTACTTGGCGGCCAGCTCACATAGTGCCTTTTCTGATTTGAGCTCGAGGGCGAGGCGCTCTTCGTAACTGAGACCTTCGTCCTCATCTTCCTCATCGTCAGAGTCCTCATCGTCCATAGGCTCTTCATCCTCAGCTGGCTCGTTCAGCGTCCTCTTGGTTCTCTTGGCATAGCTACGCTCAATGCCATCATATATAGAGATGAGTTCTGGCAAAAGTTTTGGCTCCAGTTCGCGCATGAGACTTGCCATCTTTCTGTAAGTTGCACTGCCGCGAGTCGGTTCAACGACGTTACGCAAAGTTCCGAAGAGGACATGGACATCGCAGAGAGCACCAGCTGCAAAGAGGCGGGTATCGTCAATGACAGCTCGCGATGATAGTGTCTTGATCAGGTTGACATCGTATTGTTTGCGCAGGGTGGATAACTGATCCACGACAGAACTGGGGACTTCCGCTCCGCTTCGGATGAGCTTCTCCAAACTCTTCACCTTCCACATGAAGTAGAACTGAGTGGCTTTGATCGCGAATGATGCGACCTCATCCTCTAGGTCGTCGAGCTCCTCGTTGGGGTCGTCAAACGTTCCTCGGTTGGCGATGTTAATCAAGATTTCGATAGATGATGACATAGAGTCGGCCGCCCGGCCTTCAGCCTCCAGAATCTCGACAGGGTCCGAGATGCGAGCAAGCTCACTGATCTTCATCAGAACGGTCGAAAGTGCCGCGAGATGTTCCTCTTCAAGGTTACCACGAATTGAAAGCTCGCAAGTCTTGTCGAAGCCCCGCAGGGTGGTGATAACGTTCTCCCACAAGACTGCTAGCTTTCCGTCGGTGAGCTCTTCCAGCTCCTCGTATTGACGGGAGTGGAGCAGAGCAGCAGCGGCCTCAGCGATGACTCTCTTATCATCATGCCTGTTGAATTGCGTACTAATCTCGTCCAGCAGCTTTTCATATTTCGTCGAATCTTGCCGCAATGTCTGAAAGATTTCAAGATCCAGAAAATGCTCCATTCTGAGGACAATTGTTGCGGTTGCAGGATCGGCTCCAAATTTGTTGAGCAGTTGAGGGATGGCTGTCGCCAAATCTAGGGCCGTGTCTTCCTGCGCCTCGGCTACTTCGGAGCGGCCGCCTCTCTTTCTGGCCTTCTCGGCCTCTGCGGATTGAAGCAGAGACATCTTCACGGCAGAGGCCAGAACCTCTAGCAATATGGCCTCCTCCGCACCTACAGGGGCAACGGCTTTCTTGAAGGCCATTTCGGTCGTGGTGGTGCTAGATCTCGACCTAGACTTGGAGCTGACGGTATGGTCGTAGAGAAGATAGCCAGACAGAGCTTCCCAGTCCTTGACGAAAGATACTTTCTCAAACAATGCCTGGGAAGCTAGCGATATCCTCGTATCTGGGACGCTCGCCTGCAAAACGTCGGCGGCCACGGCAAGACCTTGGGGGTTCGCATCTTGCTGCTCCCCCTCAATCTGCTCGTCAAACGCCGCGAGATTTTCTGCGAGGCACTTGATGTTGACCCATGCGCTACGAGGCGATTCGTAGTCATCCTCCTCGATTTCGCCAAAAAGTTCATCCAACGCGTCTTGACCCCCAAGTTCTTCCATCCTAGTGTTGATGAGGTCCTCTACACAGGAAACAAAAAAGTTGACGACCGCTTTCCGGATTCTGATATCGCTATCAAAAATCAACTTGCCGATAGAGTCGACCTCCTCCGCTTCCAGCATTCCGGCATCCCGGAGCACATTAATGACAGAGACGGCTGCGACACGCACAGAAACTTCGGCATCCTTGGTGGCAATCTCGATAAGTCGAGGGCGGAATCGATCAATAAAGTGGCCAAGTTGCTGGATACCGCGCCTGAAAATACGGGCTAGTTGCCTCAGAACTTCTTGCCGTGTTGAAGCTACTGTGTCGGAGAGCATCCAGCCAAGGTAACGAAGATATTCTGGCTGCATGAAGACAGTGGGAAGACCCAGAATCCATGAGCCAAGGGCTTCAACGCATTCTGTCCGAATACGCGGGTCGATATCCCGGTACCTGTGGATAAAGGTTGTGTCGAAGAAGTCCTTGATGTGGTGGCCGCACAGTTCTCTATTGTTGTTGGCCTCGTCTAGGCTATGCTGCATTTCCGCCAGCTTTGCCTTGTTCTTACCCCTCTTGGCCTGCGCAATTTGCTGTTCAATGGCCGTAATTCGGCTGTCAAGCGTTGTTGCAACGTCAATCAACCCATATACAAGGGAGAGGATCACGGTCGTCGCAGTGTGGCGGAAGGGGCGGAGCGACGACGTTGACATGGATGCGATCCAGCGTACGAGGTTTTCCATCAATGTCGGGTCGTTATAGAGAACATCTGTGTCGTGAACGCTGCGCACAACAGATTTGAAGAATCCGGTAAGAAGATCGCGAAAGGCCTTCGTGTTCTTCGCCCTCGAGATGAGCGGGTACTCTGTGACTTGCTCCTACGTGGCGTCAGCATTCGGTCTACCGGGGATAAGCTGGACGACAATGATGATGACTTGCCTCTTGAAACAAATCCTGAAGCTCTGTAAGCCGAGCCTGACAATTGTCAGGATCGCGAACATCGTCCTCGGTAATTGCGAGATCGCAACCAGAGCATTGCAACACGAGGTTGACGAGCTCGACGACAGCAAGGGCATCGTTGGCCTGGTATCTCTCTTGCCATTTGTCGGCAACGTGTTCTGAGGGCAGACCAGAACCAAAAACTTCGGCTACAGACGCGCGTCAATGTCAGGTGACGGGGATGGAGAGCAACATTCCAGGGTGGTGGCATACCATATAGGCCCTCCCCTTGCCTCTCAACAGCGGCAATTCGCACAGTTTTCTTCGGCCGTGATGGTAAACTTGCGGAATGACCAGATGATGCTACTCCGTTGGTCTTGGGTTTCTTGGTGGCGGGCTTCTTTACACGGTTCCCTTGCGCGGCAGATCGTCTCTTGGGCCGGGCGCGGGGGCGCTCGTCGGCGCTGTCGCCATCGCTCATCGTATCATCGGAGGAGGGCTCGTCATCGTCATTCTCCTCGTCGTCCTCGTCGGGTTCGGGCCCTCTCTTGCGCTTCGGTGCATTAGCAGGCTCTGGGCTGAACTTTTCGGGAGCTCGCACGACGCGTCCGGATCGGCGACGCGACGAGGACTCGGGCTCGGGGGAGGCTGTGGCGCTTTCCATGTTGTCGCGCAGGTCTGAACAAATTGCTGGAACGTGTGAAAGATCGCAGCGGTTGCGACAATTATTTCGCGCCGATGAGCGAAAGTTCAGGGAGCTGGCGCATACAAGGGGAAATGTCGCGTTTAGACTGTGCGTGTATGTCGAAGATGTTTAGGCAATGAACTTCCCGAATTCACGGTGGGAGGATAGTGGATCGAGGTGCTGCGGCGGCACTGTGTGTGCATAATGCTGATTGGTAGGCGAGCACTGTTCAGCCCCTGGCGTGGGAAGAGTTGATAGATGATAAAGTACGTACCGGCTTCTACCTCCTCCCCTTGCTCTCAACGATGCAAATTAGACATATCCTGCTACGTACTGGCAGCTACGCTTATAATCAATGACTTTGTCATATTTAGCAACCCTGTAACATACATTGAGTAACGTGCTTGTGGCTGGCAGGGCATGACAAGACGGAGAAGTTTGTTCAAGCCAACTTGTAGGGATGGTATGGAAACCACCTCGCGCAACCCGTAATACCACTTTCACAACCATCTTTTATTGACTTCGGCGTGCAGCAAGTGAATCTCATCTCCCTAATCTCATTCACACAATGAGCATAAGGGTTGAAGGGGAGCACAATTGGCGTGGGTTATACCCGAGTACTCATCGGTTTCGCTATGCTTTTGCAACTGCAAAGTCACAGTTGGCTGGCAGCTTTGGCAGGGGTATGTCCGGGAGACTGCGACAGCTCACACAGTACGTACTCCGCAGTTTTGCTTTAATGCCGCTAAAGCCTACAGGTAGTCTAAACTCAGCGTCGCTATACACTCAAGTGAGCTTCTTCTTCTTCTTCTTCTTATTTTTCTGTTCTTTTTCTCTTCCTCGTTTTGTCAAAGCAGCTCAAGTTCGCGCGTGTGAGCGCGACTGAGAATTACAGCAACTAATACGTCTGTTCTACTAGTTCTATTTACTATGATCACGACAGCCCGCTGATGCTCTCACAGCAACCGAAGTCGGCCAATAAGACGGCATCCAGCACTTTACGAACAATAGAGGCCGCCCCTACACTTAATTGACAATGGAGTCGCCATTTCCCAAGTCATCATCTGCTGCTGGAGAGGGCCAGATTGTTGCCCAGCTCTTACCAAACGGCCTTTCGGGCCTCCAGACCATGTCATATCAGTACCCGCTGAAACTCATATCCCCATCTCCGGCAGCCGACCAGAAATGCGTCTTGGTCTTTCTCCTGTCTTACGGGGGCGGGCTCGTCGGTGGCGATAGTGTGAGCCTGTCTATCAGCGTCCTTCCCGGGGCAAAACTCGGCATCGTCACTCAGGGCCACACCAAGATTTTTAAGTCCCCGTCTCCCGACGTAGTCACGCGCCAGAAGCTTGAAGTCCACATTGGCGAGGGCGCAGGTCTCTGTCTTTTGCCGGACCCCGTGCAGCCGTTTGATGGAAGCGTATACGAACAAACTCAAGTTTTTACAGCAGCGCCTACTGCCTCCTTATGCCTCTTGGACTGGGTGACGCAAGGCAGAACGGCTCGCGGTGAGGACTGGAGTTTCATTAGGTGGACAGGGCGAAACGAGGTTTGGTCATCGGTAGACACGGCAGGGAGTAAGAACCGTCTACTTGTCAGAGACACGGTGATCTTGGATAGGGATAGTCAAGACCTGGCAGGCAGATCTTTACGGGACTCTATGCACGGGAATGGGCTATTTGGTACTCTAATATTGCGTGGCCCTCAAATGCAGACGGTAGGCAACTTCTTCCTCGACGAATTTGCGGCTCTGCCCCGACTAGGTGCGAGGGATTTCAGATCAGCAGAAGCGCGAGCGAAGGAGGAAAGCAACCTATCCGAGATGGAGTTATGGCGACTGAAGCGCATTGAAATGGAGACAAGACAAGGTATCTTATGGTCAGCAGCGAGGGTAAGGGGCTGTGTGATTGTGAAATTTGGAGCGAGCACCGTCGAAGCTGGGCGGCTATGGATTAGCAGCATGCTCGCCCGGGAAGGCAGCATCTCGAGTATTTTTGGCGAGCAAGCATTGTTATGTGTAAAGTGAAATCATAAAATGAGAATGTATAGGAAAGACGTCGAGGACTCATCTTAAGTAGCCAAAGACCGTGGCTGTATGTAAATCATGTTTCGCAACTCTCTACACCCCCCTTCTTGAAAAGAGCTAAAAGCGGCGGATGGCAACGGCTGATTTCAGTCGCATCGCTGCTGGAAAGCAAGCGCAAATTATAGGTCAATGGCTATACACCATGGCTTTTCCGGCAAATAAAGTCGTGGCCTTGTAAAGTGAAGAGCGGCTCAGGCAGCACAACTACGTCGCAGCCATCCGAGCTTCTGCACCCCTCACTTTCTCCCATTTGGCATTTGGAGATTCGACTGCGCAACACTGAGCGGCGACGCGGGGTGTTCAACTCCACTTTATGCGCGCAGGGGGGCGCCGTGAAAGATACATGGTACCTAGCACGGTTCTGTAGTCCCCCCACCACGCTAAGGTAATCAATCAACCATCTTTTTCTCTTTTCGAGGCCGGCGTCTATGACTCTCTTCGCAGACTTTACTCGTAAAATCCAGCAACTATTCTCCAGCACCGCGACGCACTTGGTCGATTGAGTGCGAATCTTGGCCACAAAAAATTTTTTCCCATTCTCTGTTCTGGTCATACTCTCTCGCATCGACACTTAGTTACAATGCCTGAGGGAACTCCTCCGGCTCGAGGCGCCGGTAGGGCGAGAGGACGAGGGGCGACGAGAGGCAGAGGACGAGGAGCAGCCACCAGCGCAACACCCAGCGGTGAAACCCCCTCAGGAACCCCGATTTCTAGACCGTCTTCAGCGCTTGGAACTGCTTCGGCAGCTGGCGCGCCAACTAGATCCGATTCAGCAACGCCCAAGCCCACGCGAGGCACTTCAGTTGGCAGATTTCGCCCCAGGGCGGTTCGCAGAGATGAGGCATCGCGAGATGTTCTTGCTCGGCAGGAGCTGGAGAAGGATAATGCGAGGGCAAAGGCTGAAGCACGAGCCCAGGCTCGTTCCCGAGGTCGCAGTCGAAGAGCTCGTGGCGATGCGATGGGTAGAGGCGGAATGATGTCGCGAGCTGCTGTTGCTAGCGGACCTTTCTCGCAAATACACTTTGAGGGTAAGCACTGCAATTGGCTTAGCGCTTACGTCCCAGTACTAATGTTCACCTAGGAGGCTCAAGATCTTCTGGTGGTTGGGGAGGAGGTGGCGGCGGCTCAGGCTCTGGCGGTGGATTCTTTGGTGGAGGCGGTCGAGCCAAGAGCGAAAAGGGTGCCTTCGGCGAAGCTTCCGGTCACCGTCGCGAGGCCAGAATCAACGCCGACAGGCTTGCCGGTCACCTGGTCGACCGTGAGCCAGATTCCGACGACGAAGCGACGGCTGCCCTCATCAACTCGAAACCCGATAATATCTGGCCAATGGGCATCGCTCGCATTGACAAGAAGGAAGAAAAGAAGGTCATTGCAACAACCGCTGAGCTGGAGGCAGCAGAGGATGGCAAGACAGAAGAAAGTCTATGGGTGGACGAAGGCGGGACTTGGTCTGGCCCTGTGCCTCAGGTGGAAGAAGAGACCAAAGTCTGGCATGCAGCCCCCAAGGGTGACGTGCAGGTCAAGGCGGAGCCCGGCACTGAGCCAGGGGCCATGGAGGTCGATCTCAGCGTTGTGAAGCCAGCAGACACTGAGACTGAGGAGAAGGTCACACCGGAGCCGAAGGTCAAGAAGGCATTGGCTGATCCTGAGGTGGATATGATCACACAGGATATGCAACTTCTCCTAAGCGAACTGGGTACCGTTTCCGACGAGAATTCGAAGGCACCCGAAAACAGCGCTGTGCAGGATAAGGACGGGCGGCTGTACCTCTTCCAGTTCCCTCCTCTACTGCCACCTTTGCACCCTTCAGTTGCACCCAAAGTCAAACCCGAACCCGATGATTTGGTCATGTTGGATCAGCCGGCTGGAGGATCCGTTGACCTTACCAACTCTGAGGACAACATAAAGCCCAAGATCGAGGAAGATGACAGAGACGTCGATCTTACCGACATATCGCAGCTCGTCTCTCAAGCCGGTATGATGGGTAAGCTCAAGGTCCGGAAATCTGGCAAGGTTGAATTGGACTGGGGTGGACGCACGCTTGAGCTCAGTCCGGCAGCAGGCATGAACTTCCTCACGACGGCAGTGATTGTGGAGGAATCGGACGAGAAATCAAAGCAGGGAGTCATTGGTGGCGACAGCATTGGCATGGGCAAGATTATGGGAAGATTCGTCCTCGCGCCTACCTGGGGCGATGAGGAAGATTGGGTTGTCGATCCCGAGGATCTTGTCATACCCGAAGAATCTGGGTGAAGCACTAGAAGGCAAAGACTATACATTTGCGTGGTGGCCGTTGTTTGGCACGACCGCAACCCCCACCCACGGATCGGCAATGGGAAAAGGCCGGGGGAAGAAAAAAAGGAGAAAGAAGCTTTTTGGCACTGACGCTAGGTTGCAAGGAGAAGCGTATAGACAAAGAAGAAGAGAAAAAAAACAAAACAAAAAAGAAAGATACCCTACTTTAGTTCGGACTGGAAAACTAATGGGACGAACGTGAGGGACGGGCGGCGTGCCGCCGGTCTTCCCCACACTCCGCACACGAGACTCTCCGTGGCTTTTGGCCGCGTCTACCGCGCTTTTGCCTGCATGCTCTCGTCAGCAAAATGATTTCTTGTCACCGCGGTGGTGTTTGTAAGAAGAGAGAGAAGGACGTCGAGGGTTAGGACGGCCTTGGCGTTGTCTTTTCGCAGAGTCCCCAAGCTATCCTACCACAGCACGACGTAAGGACGGTTGCGAATCCCCTCAAAAAAGCTCATCAAGATGACCGAAGCACCGTACCCCAATGCCTCGGAGCCCCTCCACGTCATAATCATAGGCGCCGGCCTCGCCGGTCTCGCCACGGCTCTCGCGACCAAGATCGCCAATCCCTCACACAGCGTGACAATCCTCGAGGCTGTCAAGGAACTCCAAGAAGTAGGGGTACGTTTACGCACTGCACTTTGTTTCTCCGAGCCAAACCCCCCCCCCCCCCCTCCTTTCCGTTCCCCAAAGCTTACAAGAGGAAATCAAAAATTCAAGGCCGGCCTACAGCTGACCCCCAACGCAACTCGTCTTCTCAAGGCATGGGGCCTCGATGCGGCGCTCTCCCCTCTAGCCACCCTCCCCTCGACGCTCTCTGTCCACCGCTACGACGGCACCCGCCTCCTCGCCCATGAACCCGAGCTTCAGCAAACAATCGAGTCCCGTTATGGCCATCCCTTCTGGGGGCTTCACCGCGTCGAACTCCAGCGCGCCCTCGTCGACCGCTGCGAGGCTCTAGGCGTCCGCATCCGCCTCTCGTCGCGAGCCCTCTCCGTCGACTTCGACCGCGCCCGAGTCACCGTCCAGGAAGATGAATCCGTGGGCAGCACCTCCGCCCCAGCAGCAGACACAGTCGTGTCCGGCGACGTGGTGGTTTGCGCGGACGGCATGTGGAGCTCCACCCGCGGCCAGTTCCTCGGCCGGCCCAGCCCACCGGCCTTGACGGGCGACCTGGCCTTCCGCATCGCCATACCCATCGACTCGCTCAAGGGCCCGCACAAGGAGGAGCTCGAGGAGTTCATAAAGTCCGAGACGGTGCACTTCTGGATCGGCCCGGAGTCCCACGGGGTCTCGTATACCGTCAAGCAAGGCCGCATGCTCAACCTCGGTCTCTTGTCCCCCGACAACCTCCCCGAGGGCTCGACCAAGGTCGAGGGCGACGTCGAGGAGATGCGGTCGCTCTTCTCCGGCTGGGACCCCCTCCTACGCAAGCTACTGGACCAGGTCGAGAGCGTGCACAAGTGGAAGCTGTGCTGGATCGAGCCGCTGGAGGAGTGGGCGAGCCCGACAGGCAAGTTCTTCATGGCCGGCGACTGCTGTCACCCGATGCTCCCCTATCTCGCGCAGGGCGCCAACTCGTCCCTCGAAGACGGCGCCGTCCTGGGCCATCTCTTGGGCAAGGTCGCCGGTCGTGAGACCAAGGGTACGCAGCTCCCCGCGGCCGCCGCCATGTATCAGCGCCTCCGCATGGGTCGTGGCCAGCGCATCGTCATGGAGTCCTTCCGCCAGCGCGACGACTTTCACATGCCCGATGGCCCCGCACAGCAGCACCGCGACGACATCATGACTGCGTCGCTTGCTCCCGGTAAAGGGCCGCAGCCAGGGTTCCCCTCTCGATGGACTTGCCCAGAGATACAGGAGTTTCTGTACGGGTACGATGCTTACGCAGAGGCGGAGAAGGCATATAGCCAGGATCCCTATTGAATTTTCTGAATTTTTCTTTTCTTTTTGATTGGCATTTGTTTGCATTAGCAGCGCTCCTCCTCCGAGCGTCATTCTTCTTTGCTAGTATTCTAAGGTTTCGTTTGGCTATAGCACTCGTGTTGGGCACAGAGCAGCCATCGAGCGATCGACGCGGCCCAGTACGCACACACCCAACCTCTATCAAGTATCCCAATACCCTCTTACAGTAGTCCCCTTCATCTGCAGATAGGTGTGAGTGGCACCGTGTGTTCTACGCCAGCTGATATGCGAAGAAGCCTCAAGGCGGTCGTCCGCCGCGGTAATCCCCCTTCGTACTTCGTGCTCTTTTTGTGCACCCAAATGCCTCCGATATAGCCGTGAACCCCATGGACCCATGATTTCAACATATAAAAGTACCGGCGTGACTGTCGTAGTCGTCTCTTGAATCGATTTTAATTATTCCTTCGCCCTCCAAGACCGACGCGGCCACTGTGTTGACTCTGAGCGTCTAGAGCATCAAGCTCCACAGACGATGCGCTTGGCGAGTCCATTCTGTCTCCTCTCCAGGTATCGCTCGACTTTCCGCCTTCGATAATGTACATTTCGCTCTTGACGAGGCTCCCTCGTCTCCGGTTCGGCGGGGTCATGATGTCAGAGATGTGCTGTTCGTCCATCTCTTTCGGTATGGTTTGCGTAAAGGGTGACGAATAGCCAGGACGCGAGGACGGGCGTGGCATGTTTTCGAACTGGCCTCTGTGCTTTGCCATCTCGCCCATTTCCATGTCCATGTCACTATCGCTTACGCCGTAACCCGGTGGGCGGCGGGCAGACCGTGCTGTTCCTGATTTCATACCCCCACTCATGCCGCTCATGCCCGGAGTTCGGTCGGTTGAGGTGAATCCGTTCAGTCGCCAAGCTCGTAGGAGAGGCCTGATGGTAACCAAACTTGACGCGACAATGGCGACGCCCGGTTCGACCAGAGTCCACACCATGGCATCCGTTCCCATGACTGTGACCATAGTTAGTCCGGCTCAGGTTTATTTTTTTTCTTCTCTTAATACAGAATGACTGGATATCTTCGTAGGATTCGATGATGGGGCACGTACACAAGATGTCACTCAAGTCAGTGAGGTCGGCGAGAAACTTGAGTCGAATTAACGTAGCGATACTGGCACTGTAGTCCTGTCAGATCTGCCATTGGCGAATAAAACACGGTGGATCTTACAAGATTCCCAGGCCAAGAATTACGATGACGGTAGCCTTTGCCTGTTTTGTCATTTTGACGTTCCAGATCATAGGAATTGGAAGCAGAGCCTGGATAACGGTCAGCACTGCCTCAATTTGATGCAACGTAGATGATGAACGAGTCGACTCACATATAGCCAGTCACTTAAGATGGTCATGACACTGATGGAGTATGCCGCGGCCACAACGTCATTCGGCGAGACGCAACGAGAGTTGGGAATAGCGTAATCCCACTGTGCCTCTACAGGGGAACACTGAAAGATATTCCAAAAGAAGATTACTGTACTCCATATAGTGACAATGGCGAGACTGATGTACAAGATCCAGTTGTAGACCTTGGAGTTGGACAGACGCAGAAGGAAGAAGCCGATGCTCAGCTTGATGAACAACATGTCGAGGACATATGTAGCCGTCGCCAAGGCTTGATACTACATGATACGTCAGCAAAGACGGGGGCGGTACAACCAGACTCGGAAGTAACAATACTTTTAACGCAGAGACCTCCTTCTTCTGCGGCAGAGCTCGATTATGGTGCCCCAGGCCATCTTGTACGCCAACGAGAATGAATGAGCAGGAAAGAGTGAAGACCGCCTGTGACGTAGTGATTAGAAACGGCTGGTGGCTCTTGCTAGGAAGGAAAGAGAAGCCTACCTGGGCAACAAGCATGAGCCAGTCATCTGATTGGAAACCCTTGGTCATGAAAGCACGAACATAGCATCTGAGAAGAACAGAAAGCCAAGAGAGGATAAGGAATGTGATGGCGGTGGCTACGAGAGCATTGCCATTGCTCTCTGATAAGTCCACCTCAGCCATAGGGCTGCGGTATTGTGATGCTCAAGAGAATGACAATGGGGAGAGAGCATGGCCAAACAGAAGACAGAAGGAAGGAGTGCAAACTGGGGTGGCTACATATGCGGTCCGGGAGAACTTAAACTGATCAACCGCGATGGACGCAACAGGCATACCCAGGGGGGCCTTCCTGGTTTAGTCCATGGGCTGGACTCCCAAGCTGGCCCAGGACGAGAGACGGATGAAAGAGGGTCGCCGAGTCTGAGACCCCCGGAGATGGCCCCGGTAGGACAGGGTCAGCATGTGGAGAGTTGAGGGTCCCATGTCTGCCAGTTCAGACCGGCTGCATGGACTGCGATGGAAGTGGAACCAAAAGAGGCCTTGGTAGACGGGGGGTTTCGCACCTTTCGACCCAGGGTTTTCTAGGAATTTCATCCTTGGAAGGCTTGCGGCCTGTTCATGACCGCGTGGCTAAGTTCCTCTTGGACAGTTCTATTTACATCCGCGTTACACGGTATCTGCGAAAAGAGAGCCAGTCATACGAGAGGCTCTCGGGGAGACAGACGAAAAGGAAAAGTAATGCGGCACGAGTGTTTATACGGCGGCCCCGAGAGAATGCGCAGTCACAGATTACACGATGCTTCAGTCTGCATTCAGACTCAGCGAGTGAGTGTAATTTTGCAAATGTGTGCCTCTCATGTACATACATAGTACGTGATGAGGGCTGCAGGAACCACGCGCATGGATTGGGGACCCGGGAGGTGGGCATAATGGAGGGAAGAAGCTCCCCGAAAGGGACAAACGAACGAGCCAAGACTTTTTTGCAGCCTGTCCCGCCAGCAAAAGCACGTTTTGGTCTTGAGCGCGTGCTCGCCAGTGATGAATGATAAGAGAGGGGGGAGGGTGACGGCTAGCAGGCACGCAGGCAGCCCATGGGCATGGTCCATGGCCGAGTGGCTTAGAGTGAGACGCCTCTTCCCTCTGGGATGCTTGCAGCAGCCTATTTCCTACAGAGATGACTGGGGGTGGGGGTTTCGGTTGGTCGAGATCTCATCACATAAATGATTTATGAATATCTGTCGAGCCGACAAAGTGCTGTTGAATACGGAGCACTACTGGTGATGGAACAGTGGGTGGGCCAGCCCTGCGAAACCGTGACGGACTCGCTACGCAAAGCCACTAGGCTTGGCCGATGTTATTGATCTCTTTTTTCTCTGTGCTATGTGTTTTGTCGTTGGCCTAACCCCCCCATTCCCCGTTACGATGGGGCTTGCAATCTAGTTAATAATTGAGGGATGAATCTGGACCAACGGCTCTACTTCAAAACAAGGAAAACTGCTCCGCTGGACGAGGCACACACGTCCTTGCTAAGGTCCAATGATTTGGATCATCCTTGAACAACGACAGTAGGCAGTACGGGTGATACGCGCTAGCAGCTAGCACGATTGGCCCGAGTTATATGATGACCTGCTACCTGCTAAACGATGCAGAAACCGCGCCAGGACACGACGTGATATGAGAAAAAGGGGGGGAGGGGAGGTACTAGTAGAGGCAGAAGAGGGAAGCTGAATATCGGATATGCAAAGGCAGTCGGATACAACGGCTCCAGGCAATGCGGCTGGCGGAAGCAAGGGGCGAAGAAGCGGCAGCTCCTGGTTGGATAACTGAGGTCGCTGAGCGGCCGACATTCGGATGTAATGCATCATTGAGGCGGGATTCTGTGCCTAAACCTGTCCATGTATATGTGCCCTTCCCGTGTTGGGAAGCGAGCGAACCCATGTCGGCTGAAGAAAAAGCAATTCGACGTAGCACAGGGCTGCTTGGAGAGCGCGTTGGCAATGGGAGGGGAATAGTGGAGGGAGAGTCACAATAAAGACACGAACCCTAGGAAGGCAAAAGGTAAAAAGACAAGGAAAAAAAAACAATAAGCTTGTTCTTGTCTGTCTGCTGGCGTCTCCATTCCTCCAAACATGCTCTTGGTTTGGATTCACGTCGTCAAGCTGTGTGGGGCGGGATATACCCGGATCGCCAAAAGGCCAAGATTAGAAGAGACGGGGCTCTACCATTCGACGGCCACTCCGTGATGTTTTCCCCCCTTCCCCTCTCATCTGTGTTCGGGGAAATGTGACAAAAATTTGGCTTCGGTATATTAACTCCATATTATTTATGGATCGAATTGTTGATAGCATGCCATGTACAAATTTGCGCTTTGAACTCGGAATAATTCGAAAATGGAGTCATTCTGGAGCCCAACAGTGGCACCGGTGGTCCTGAAGGATGTGCTAGAGCCAGCAAAAGGTCCTTGCTGCATCTTGACAAAACAACGCTGCTCCGCCTTCGCCTAATAGCGCGTTATAGCTTGCTCGTTGGTGTTGGTGTTCTTTGACGGTTGACGGGCTGGAAGGGGGGAATCGCTGCCCGTCATCCACGAATCCCCGAGATTGCCAATAGCTTAATGCCGGTGACAGGTGGATAAAGTGTATGTATGTAGTGTAGTATACGTACGTAAGTTATAACCTGGCCTGGGCGAACTCCATGATAGCGATGTCCCCCCCCCCACCTGAAGGGGGATATCCGGGTCGTGCATTACCCGGCATCAGCGTGGTGGATTTATGCTAACCAAACAAGTTCACATGGATGCTTATGCCTGTTGGAAGGATTTCGTGCGCGACCATTGAAATCGCGAGATGAATGTTGCAGACCCGAACTTCCAAGTTGTCAATCGGGACTGACCACAAACGGTATCAAGGGGCGAGGCACGGACAGCGATCTAGAAGCAGAATGGAAGGAAGCTAACGAGGGTCGAATGATTCTTCACACCAGTGTCGGCGGAAGAAGCCGTGGGAGGTAGAGAGGAATGAATCTGGCTGGAGGAGTGGAAGACTCTTCATTATTACCATCTCCCTCAGGTGCTTTTACGTCTGCACCGACGACCGCAGTAAGGAGGCTGCTGCTTATTTAGGGGCGTGCCTTGCATACGATATGCAACCAGTGAAGAGGACCTGCCTGCTGCAGCAGTACCTTGTACCTGAGTATGCTAGAGAATCTAGCCTGGATACAAGGTACCGTGACATTTCAGCTCGGCGTCCAGACCACATCCATCAACAACAACCCTGGAAGAAGCCCCCGTCAACGCGAACCCAAGAGCCAACGTCGCCTGGGCACATCTCTTTTGGGAATGGTCGGTTAGGAGGGGGGGGAAACGCAGGGCCATCCGAGCCCATGAAGATATGATTGTTTCGTACGAGAGAAATGTCTCCAACGGAACAAGGCACTTGTCGCCTACCGCTTACAGTGGGTTTTTAAGGACCTTTATCCCACATTTCGATTAGATATCCCTCGACGGCCTCGACAGCCTCGGGTCCGACCCCGGCCTAGTCTTGCCCGTCATCACCGTTCCATGTTTCGCAAGAAAGGCCTGAGTGCTCTGCTTGAATTAGATGCCGATGGGGGCCGCTTCTGGCGTGTTGACCCTCATCAGCATATTTCACAATCCAGATATGCCTCCATATACCAGCCCTTTTACTCATTCCTTGGCTTCCGAGTGGCATAGTGCATTATGTTATTCAAGTCTCATTCTCCCCAAAAATGACTGGGATGGATAGCCAATATCGTCACGGCCTGATGGCTAGTACCATGCACAGCCCGACAATGGTTGACATTGCCTTGGCGCAACGTTGCAACGCTGCACCAACAACCAATCACATCAGGTATCCTTGCTCATTCAACCTTCCGCCTAATTGCGAGCGAGCAGGAGAGGATGAGCACCGCATACCATGAGGAGTCAGTTGCAAGCAGGGGGAATTCATATCCACCGAGCACCACCGTCACACCGTATTAGTGCAGCTATCCACCAACACTTCACCAAGAGCCGATTGCAATCCTTCCAAGGCTGTCATGGATCCCGTCAGGAGATTGCCACAGCATATGAGCACGGTTGTGGGGTATTGTCGCATTCGGCCGATAGCAGCCTTCTCTGAGTACTGTGGTCGGCCCTGATGCTGTAAGCGGCTCGGTGGCAGAACATGGTCCATGGGCACCAACATGGCCGCACCATCAGGCTATGTCGCCGTTAATGTAACCCACTACGAGTGAACGTCAGCATTAGCGGTTCCTTCGGAGGAAGAGTAGATCATGTTCCCGTCGTTGCATTGCTAAGTAGCCCAGTCTCCGCTCAGACACCAGCTTCCATCGTTGCATCGCATATGCCCGAACTGACTTTAAGCCGCCAACAGTCTATTGAATTTGATGTCAACTATTCAAGTTGCAGAGCGTTTAGCCTGTATTGGTAGATGTAATCATGCTAGGAAATGCGAGAATAGTTGTGATGATAATGACGATGCTGGGAAGAAAGAAAAAAATACAGTCGCTGGTTCACTGATAAGAGCGTGGTGAGCTTCGTAATGGTGAGCTAAGTAAAACCCAAGGATAGATCGATTTCCGAAGGATGAATATCCGAAATAACCTGACCGTAGCCATATACCTAGTAAATCTGTTCGCGTGTAAGTTATCTTTGTTGGAGTCAGCGATCAAATCTCAGTATGGTGTGGTGTGCCTTAACTGCCTTCTTGAGACTGAAGAAATAGAAGAAGAGAGCCAAACCGTGCTCCGTGCACCTGCACCGGCTGCCACACCCAGTTGGGACGACCTGAAACGGTCCCTTTCAGACACCGATGCAGGGACGACAACCCGGAAGAGTGGGTTGCCCCACTCACACCTGTTTGTCCCTCATTGTCTGAGCGCCTGGCTGCCAACTGCCAACTGCCAACCGCAACTCAATCCAGTAAATCACAAACTGAAAGTCGCGCGCAACAAACCACATCCACGTCGATAGGCTTGACACAACGTCTCACCACCCTGACGTCTTTTCTCCTTCTTTAGCGTTGAGCCTGAGCCAAGCATCCCGGAGGATTTCAAACTCTCGGAACCTCTCTGTCCCTTTCAATATCCCCTGCTCTGCAACTTCACGCTCTACCGTCAGGTTGCGCCCTGCGTTGATATCCCACCAAAAACTTGCGACAAGCCACCAATCACCAACCCGATATCAACTAACACCATCATGCCAGCCTCTCTGAAATACACTGAGCATCATTATGCTTCCGATAATGAGCTCCAGAAGCTCGGTGTTTGGGAGTTCCCTGCTACTGCTGACGACGCAGACAAATACTGGGTGATGTGAGTCGTCCAATTGTTATCATGAAAGATTGCCCTGTTGACGCATTTTCAATTAGCTATATTCATGGCGGTGCTTGGCGCGACCCCCGGAAGACGTACCAGGACTTCGGGACCTCGATCCAGGAAATCCTCAAGGCTTCCTCTGTTCCCAAGTCCGAGATTCGTGGTTTCGTCGGCATCGACTACCGCCTTTCCCCGCATCCTCTTTTCCCTCAAGACCCCGCCGTCACTGCGCCGGCGGAGCTCCGCTGCGCTCAGCATCCTGACCACCTCCAGGATATCTGGTTGGCCTTGAGCTTCCTGCAACGCCAGTACAAAATCAAGGATCGTTATATCCTTATCGGTCACTCCGCCGGTGCCACCCTCGCCCTCCAACTGCCGATGGGATCCGCTGCCCTCGGCTCGGCCCCGCCACCGGAGGTGCAACTGCCGGCAGCCTTCGTCGGTGTGTCTGGCATCTATGAGCTTGTTGACTTCAACGCCCGTCACGGCGAGAACTACACCCAGTTCATTGCCGGCGCATTTGGAAACGACCAAACCGCCTGGAACAAGGTCATGCCGGCCACCTTTTCGGGGAGCTTCAAGGAAGCCTTACCTGCGCAGAGGCTCATCATGCTAGCCTGGTCTACTGAAGACTCGCTGGTTGACGAGCCTGAGATTGAGGGCATGGCCTCGAAGCTGAGGAAGGATGGTGTCGAGTGCACTGTCATTAAGAACCTCACCCACGATCATGACTTTGTCTGGGAGGACGGCAAGCAGATTGCGCGGCTGCTGTCAGAGGCTCTCGACTTGCTGAGAAAGAAATGATAACTATGCCTTGTGTCGAGAACATATCCTGTTTATTCCTGTTATGCACACCGAACCGCGCCGCACCGCATATGCTTGGCGTTGCATCGTACCAGTCTATGACATTCTTCTATAAAGATACCATTCACAATTAACCAGCTACAGCACCCGCGGCCACTCTGTGCGCCTGGCTGCTTTTATCTTCTATTTTTTTTCGTCACAACTTGGCTCTCGGAGCCTTTCCCGTTTTTGCTACTCTCGCCGCTCCAAGTGTCAGCGAGCCTGCTATGATTACCACTCCACCCCAGACCTGAGCCCAGAGATACTGCCCACCTGACCTATCGATAATGGCACCAGCTGTTGGCGGTCCAGCCAGAGACGCAAAGCCCGACAATGTCGCTATCATGCCGAACCGTGTGCCCATCTTCTGCGGATCAGACGTCAGACTTGCCAAGGCCCCTACAAACACGCCCTGTGCCGCCCCATTGGACAAGCCAAAGAAGACACTGAAGATGTACATGCCAGTCCGCGTCTTTACTCCTATCCAGGCAAACTCCATGCATCCCAGAAGGAACGTCATCAACATGAAAGTATTGATCGGACCAAGGTGACGATCAGCCACGTATCCGACAACCGGTCGGCTTGGGATGCCCATACCGTTGGTGATGAGAAGTAGGGACACTGACTCGGTCGTTGAGAAGCCAACGACGTTTCGCGCGTAGGTATTGATCTACCACCATCATGTTAGCGCAAAGGGGACTTGCTTTTCAGCGCCTACGAAACTTACATAAAAGAAGCCGAAGTACAACGCCATGAAGTAGAGGAAAACGCCTAGTGCAAACAAGATGTATGGACCTTCTCGGAATGCCGCCCACTCGACAAGAGGACCCGACTTTCGCGGTGGGAGTCGCGGGCGTAACAGTACGTTTGCGATGATAGAAACAGCGAGCGCGACGAAGGCTGAGCAGCGCACAGCCCAGGGGAAGCCGATTTGAGGAATGAGATACTGCAGTGTCGAGGGAAAGATCAGGCTGCCAACGCCAGTGCCCGTGGCAGAAATCGCCAAAGCCAAAGATCTCCTCTCCTTAAAGTAGGACCCAATGATGGCGACACTTGGCATGAACAGGACGCCCAAGCCCATGCCGGTACAGATACCTTGGGCAAGCATGATCTGCCAATACTCGGTGCACAAACTGGTCATGAAGGTGCCAAAGACAACGACAGTGCACCCCACCATTACTGCCTGTCGTGCGTAGCCGGCATCAGTCAACCGGCCAGAAATGGTGCAAATCGCAAAAGTCAGGAATATCTGAATGGAGCCGATCCACGAGACCTGGGCCGAGGGCAAATTCAGCTTCTGGGTGTAGTATAGCTGGTAAACGCCAAATGTTGCTGGGTAGCCCCAGGCAAGAGCGTTGAGCATGTTGCCGGCAAGGACCTGGGACCAAGCCGTCCATCCTCCTTCCGGATACACAAGATCATGTTCAGCAGACCACTGGCGGGTTTCCTCGGACACCCCCGCTTCCCCCTTCCTGTTCGGTCCTTTCTCCGAATCGCCGGCAGCCGCTGCGGGGCCAGCAACCGTGTTCCTCACGGCATCGGCTGTTTCCGACATGATGTCCGTCGATTGCGGAAACTTGCAAGGAAAGAATGGAGGGGTGTATCTTCACAGGGTCGCTTGGAAAGGCTGGTGAAGTCCATTGAACTACAAATGATTGGAGGAATGCAGTTGATAAAAATGCTACACAGCTGCCGGAGGAGGTCAAAATTTTTGATTTAACCGTCATGACCAAAGAGGTTGGAAGCGATGGCAGTCTATTAGTAAAAGAGACGGCCGAAATCGCCCCTCCCGACATCCGAAACGCACGGCAGAGGCTGGAAAACCGTTCGGGGTCATAGGACCCGGGCTTATTCCCGTTGCGGCGGTCGGAAGCGGTATCCTAGTTCTCCGCGATCCTCCTCCCATCGACCTTTGGAGCAGTAAGGCGCAAGGCGTGCGCCCTATGCATGCTCCATCTGGCGTTCGGTAACATGACGGGTGGCCGACAGAAAGCGCACGATAACTATCGAGCAACGGTCGGATTGTGATTTCCGGAAGGGGTGGTGGGTGCTTGTGGCAGTGGGACCGATCACGCAGCTGATAAGAAAAGCCTGCTGCTACCTTCAGGCAGTCTCTTTGGTCGGAACGGACACCGACCATGAGACTTACTGTTCTGGGCGCCCTCCAAAGGAGGGCCTCTTTTCAGCGGCGTCCGACACGTCGTGCATTGCACGCAAGGACAACTAACCAGGCATCATGCACGATAGAGCCCATGACGGCGTGACAAACCTGACTGCTGAAGTGAACTAGATCGGCCTAGGCCGAGTCCATGAGCACTGGCATCTTGTTGGGATATAACCACCGGCTATAGTCCGGAGGTTGGCACAGTAAAATGAAAGTTGAGGTTAGAACTTTCGCAGCCTACGTCTATCTATCTATATACGGCACAAGGCTGGAAAGCCAGTCAAACCCTTGAAAGATCTTGAATAAATGCAAGGCAGCTCATGTCGTCTCATTGTGTCTTAACTCTTGGACATAACCTAGAAGGCCAAATAGTGCGGGACTGCTGATGGTGTTGGCCAGCGAAAGCGGAGGGCGCACAGAAGCCAGCCCCACACAGGACTCAACACCATCGGCGCCGAATCGGATGCGTAGCGCATTCCATCTTTAACCAGGTAGAGCGCAGCTTTGTACACTACATACAACGCCCACGGTCCGTCGCATCGCGCAACATGATCACGTCGCATTGGCGGCCACACAACATGCACACATTACTTTTCTTTCTTCAGCCATCGAAACCAACAACAACAACAACAGGTGTGTCCCATCGGACCAATTGCGACTCACCGTCCGTCCACCCTCCTCGTAAAACAAGCCGCCCCATCGCATCCCTGATTCCACCACTCTGCGCTCGGCGGGCGTCGCATCGCCTTACGTCTAACTTGGACAAGCGCCATTTGCTATCAATTTGTCTTAAACACTTCAACTGCTTCCCCCCACGCGCCTGTGAATGATACTCGAGGGGATGAACATAGACACACCCCGAAAAACAATGGGGACCTCTTTTCTTACGTGTTTCGCCACCGGTGTTCATAACTCTTCCCCCCCCTCAAGATCCTATTGAATGAACAAGGGGGGAGGGCCAGACACATTGATTCGCGCAACAAGCCAGTGAAACAGAGCGCAGCGTGGCACCCTTCAAACACTAAAAGCCGCCTCGTCCAACCACAAAACTACACTGTGCACTGAAACGGTCAAAGTAAACAAATAAATAATAACAACAACAACAACGACGCGGGCATGCGCGATGTACCCGACCTCCAGCGCATTAAGGAGGGTGGAAAGAAGAGATCAAGGGAAAAAAAAAAAAAAAAAAAAAAAAAACCACCTCACCGCTATATCCAAAACCTAGTCCGTAACTCGCTCGCCTCCATCCCTAGCGGCAGCAGGGAAGGGAAAAGGGAAAAAAAAAAAAAAAAAAAAAAAAAAAAAAGCTACAATGCGAAAATCACCTACTCACTCAAATCGCAATCGCATAAATTGCGCTCAATGGTACTTATGTAATTCTTCTTCTTCTTCTCGCCTCTTGAAGCGCCAGCGAAGAATGCGAAAGAAAAAAAAAAAAAGAGCTGGAATTTCTTCGACAAAAAGGCGGTGCGGGGAGCTTTGGTTCGTGAATGCGGGGTTCTCGTCGACTGAAATGACGTAATAACCCGAGCTCCTTGCGCCGAAGACCACACCACCCAGTACCCCCAAAGTACCTCCCCTCCCGAGGCTGGGCCTTAACAATTCGTGGAGCAGCGGCCACGGGCCAGTCAAGGCGTTGGAGGCTAGCTCTCCAAGCCGAGCTATCAGTCGCGCACGGTCCACAAGCACTGTGCCGTGGAACCTACCACCACCACTACAGGTACTTGAGTTGTAGTAGTGAGCTAAACCGCCACGCGTGGCAGGTACCTACCTGTCTACATTACCCTTCACACCCCCCCCTTTCTTCTCCCCTGGCCGAGCCGGAACGGGATGCAACGGCGAGAGCCGCGCACTAAGTCAAATTGGGACAAGCCCCGCATCCAACTTTCAACGACTTCCGTTCTAGCCTTCCTCCCCGCTCCGCGCCGGATTCGATGCGATCATAATGGACCGTTTTTTTCCCCCCCCCCCCCCCCCCCCCCCCCTTCTCCGTTGTTGTTCATTGTCATCGCAAATGCCAACTCAAATTGCGCAAACACGTCGCACGTCACGGAAAAAAAAAAAAAAAAACATGTAGCCATACCTGGTGCATTGCATGATGAACGGTGGTACCTTTATTCAATCATTGGTGGCACTTTGGTTTTTTTTTTTCTTTTTTTTTTCCCTCTTTCTGTATTTGTTAACCCTTCCCTTCTTTTACAGAAATCGTCACCACTGACTGACAAGAAGCAAAGTCGTATCGTAGCCGCGTTTGCCTCTTTTTCTCCAATCCTCCTTCAAATTTCAGAGAGGAAAAAAAAATCGGAAGCAAAGCCCGACAAGCCTATACACTAGCTCGGCTTCATCTCCTACGCCAATATAGGGAAGGGTTTAACCACCACCACCACCAAAAAAAAAGGGACAACAACCTAGCACGAGACCGCGGACAAGCGGTCCATTCATTTTAATCACTGGCAAATTTTGAACCATGCGCGAGCTACAAGAGCCGCCTCGCCTGCTAGTTGTGTGAAACCGCCTTCTTTTTTTTTTTGGGTTGTCTGCTGCCGTGACCTTGGCTTTCCTCATCCTAAAGCTTGCAATAACTTCCTTCTGCAAAGTCAACTCGAACTAAGGCCGTCCGTCTCGCAAGCAGGCGCATGCGCATCTTGTATGCTCGCGCACGCTTGCAAGTATTCCAACATCTCCACTTGCTTTTTTTCCCTTTCCATCTTCTTGGCCCCTAAAACATCGTACAGTCGCACAACCTCGCCGAAAACTGTAGCATTCTCGCCACGACTTTGCCATCATAGAAAAAACAAAAGCAGAAAGAGAGGAAGGGAAAAGAAGAGAGAGTGAAAGAGAAATCATGTCGCGCGCAAAACAAATACCAGCAGCAAACAGCAAAACACCGCTTCCCATAAATAAAAAGATCCGAAACGCCAAGAAAAAAGGAGCGTGAGCGACCGTCCTCACCCGGCAGACCCCAATTAACCCCCCACCATATCTTATCCCCTTTTTGCCAGGTGACCTTTCCAGACCAGTTCAAATATCCTCCTCCTAGAACTGTAGGGACAGGAAGCATGTCATGTCATGACGTGCTGGTCCAAAAGCCCCACTGATGTTCACATGTTTGCCGCCAAGAAACGCCGGCAAGCCTGTGATCCCATCCCGATAGTGACAGTATGGGGCCTTTTATGGCAACCATGGTTGACATGGAGCCCAAGGCCCCAAGTGGTGCAATGACTTTCATTTGTGGGCTGCGGCGGCCACATGAAGCGCCTGCGAGAATGTAACCCAACCATCCTACCGTTTCCTCTTCTTGTTCTTGTCGGCCACTCCAGCCGTTGTGGCAATGGGTGCAGCTGGAAGGAGAATAGGCTGCGTAGGATTGGCAATGTCTTCCTTCTTGATGGGCACTCCCATGTGTCGGCCATAGCGGCCCTTGCGGCCATTGCCTTCGTCTTCGCTGATGCACTGGTCGGCGCTGAGACCAGCGTCGCGACATCGCCCACAAGGTCGCTGCCTATCACAGCCCTTCTTGCTCTTGCGGCACCGCTGGCAACGAGGCTTGGCCGACAGGTCCAACTGCTCCTCCTCGCCAGGAGCACCGGGCACGGCCGCGGCGGAAGTGATTGACGGCTTGCGAGAAGGAGGGAGAGATGCCGGCGACATAGGGCCGTTGGCAGTGACAGGGGCCTTCTTCGGCTTAGGAATTGACGGACGAGGAACCTTGCTGACCTTGGTCTTGGCCTTGGAGCCCGGCAATTGCGTCTTTGGTCGGGCGTCGGGGAGGTTGGTCTTGTTCTTCAAAACCTCAGGCTTGCGCTCGCCGTTGGTCACGCCTTCGACAGATTCCTCCATCTCGGCATCGTCACCGGCAGGCTCAATGCTTGGCTGGGGGATGAAGTGGCTCTCGGTGGTCTGGTAAATCTTGCGCATGATGCCAGCGGCATCCAGCTTCTGGTGCCGGGCAGCTGGGCTTTCTTCTTCACTCTCGCTTTCGCCGTCGCTAGTGGCTCCAGTAGACGAAGCAGCATCGGCGCGACCGCTAAAAGTGTCGTCAAGAGTAGAGGCAGACGTGCGACCGTGAGAAATGTTGGACATTTCACCCAGACGCATAAGCTGAATAGCCACGTCCTTGTCCTCTTCCGACATGCAGCTGCCAACAGTAGGATCCGGAGTAGGGAGGATACCGCCCATACTGCCATAGTTGCCGCCTTGCCCGGGGTAGCCAATGCTGCCGCGAGCGTGACGCTCAGAGGATGGCGTCGCATAATATCCACCATGCCCGTATCCATTGTTGTGGCTCTGGGGAGATTGAAGAGGCATGGGATTCGTGAAGGGGTTATGGCCGGGCTGTACGAAAGGCAGCGAGGGTCGCTGGGGTTCAGTGCGGCGGGCAGGAGACACGGATGGGTTTGACGTAGCCGCCGGCATCTGTGGAGGCGCGAACAGGGGAAGCTCCTGTTGTGGGAGAGAGATGAGCATGGGAAGAAGGACACACGAGAAGAAGAAAAAAAAAACCTATAGTGGTCGGTGAACTTACAGAGCTCTCGAATTTGGCTCGCTTGCGGCGGCCTCCCTCTACGATGTTTTCGACACTGATTTCGGTATTGCCAATCTGCTCCTTGGCTCTGCCAGAGCTGGAGCCGGGGGCGCCATCGCCGCTGCTGTAGCCGTTGACGCTATCGCTGTAAATGTCGGCGTGGCCATTGGCGCCCGTGTCCCGGTTCTTGGAAGAGCGGGAACGGCCCTTCTTGGGGTTGGTGTTGGCAGACCCGCTACGTCTGCCGCGGCTAGCATTAGGAGAAGGACTGCGTTTCCGAGATGTCCTCGATGAGGGTCTGGAGATCTCGTGGCCGAAGCGAGGGGGGGGCTGAAGCGGGTATCCGTCACTGCTGTAGTATGGCTGAGCGCCGACGGGGGGATGTTGGTAGATGGGGGCCACAAAGGGGCTAGGGGCAGAAGGAGGTTCCTCGATGACTCTGACATAGACAACCATGTTGTTGCGGAAGTTCTCGTAGCGGGCGATGAGGGTTATGCCATTTTCGTCCTCGAAACTGACGCCCTTTGAACCGGTCGGCCCCGAGTACAAACCGTAAAAATTCTTGACAGTGGTGACGATAGAGTCAGTGGTGTCGTGAGGGTAGATCTGAACCCGCATGGGCAGTCGCGCACGATATTGCGGTGACTCGGTGAAGAGAAGTTCAAATGCGACGTTCTTGGGCGACACCGTCTGCCGGGGCGAAACGCTGCCCTGGTTTGAGGTGGCCGCGGAGCCGCCGGTGACGACGCTTGCGGGCGACATGCTCGCCATTTTGGGTTATAGTATTGTATCGATAGATTTGAATGGAGGATGATCGGGCGAAGGGGGCTTGATGGGGGATGTATTGTTGCAATGGGCGGTGGTCGTGAATTTGGCACAGGAAGGTTGGAATCCTGACCTAGGTCGGCGGGCGGTCGACCAGAGTGGTAATCAACGGCCAACGAGCCAAAAACTCGAGCCGGAATGGCAGCAGAGCCGAGCCAACTTGCTCCAAAATGATTATCAAAAACGTCGTAATGGGCGCCCTGCGTCGTCGTGTGGTCAGCGCCAAATGGGGCGATCTGACCAAGGACGCTGCCGGAGCGAAGGGTCGGAGGGCGGAGGAGAGGAGGAGTGGGAGGAGATTGTTGGAGAATCTAGAGCATGGACTACGAGCGATTAGCCATGAGACGCCCACGACAGGTTAAACGAAGGAATCTAGCGGCAGTGATGGCTTGTCGTTGGGTGGGAGAGGGAGACAAGAGAGAGAGAGAGAGAAGGATGAGGAGGAGAGGAGGTTGATCTGGGACTGTGTCGGGTAGCGGGACGCAGCGAAGCAGCCAGAGAAGCGATGGATGGGCAGAGCAGATGTAGCACGGTAAAGGCTGGCTCAAGGGTTTGAAGTTGGCGGGTGTGAAGGGACACGAAACCTCGATCGCAAAGACCAAAGGGACGGATAAAACTTACTCTCGACGAAGGCAGTGGTGTTGAATGATGGGATTCTGCTGGGCAATTCGCAGGTTTGTGTGCATGAGAGGGAAAAAGAGGAGCCCGGCGAGGTTACGATTTTGACTGCGGTCGGTCAGTCCAGTTCCATGTCCCAGTTCCAGTCCAGTCTGGCTTGCGCTCACTAACACGGAGCGCATGGCAAGTCCAGCGACCCAAGGTGCAAGTCCCGTCCACTGCCACTGTGGAGGAACAAGGTCAATAAACTGCCGGTGCCACTGGTTGGGGATGACAGTGTGAGAGGTACTGTGCCTGTTTGTTTCGTTCCGGAGGCATGCGTTTCCAGGGCGTGGTGCGCTATAGAGCGGGCTCTGTCTCCCCCGAAGGAGGCAATGGTTCAGGGAGCACTCGCCCGGAGCCCCTGCTGTGATTTGATGACAGTTCAGTAAGGGGCCCTACCTACGGTACCTAACGTAGAGGAGTCAGCGTCTCCTCAAGGTGCCTGGCTGGGCCCCAACCTACCGACCCTGCCGACCCTACAACAACTCGTTAGCTCGCCCCAGCTACAGGGCCCTGGCCAGTAATTCCCTTGGAAAGCAGGGTGCTTGCCGCACCTCACCGCAGAGTGGGTGGCACCTGGACCCGCCCGTCCCGTCTCTTTCTCTCTCCTGGCCAGCTCATGTCTGTCTGAGGTACGTCTCCTACTGTGGTGTCGTAGCATGAAAAAGGTACCTCCACGTCGCAGGCGCATTTGAGCTGTCGCTTCCCAGGACCTCTGGGATGCCAGGTTTGCGCTTGTATATAATTTTTAAAGCCCCGAAGAACCTGTAGATTCTGTGTTTGGGGAAAGCGAAACAGCGTGGCAGACGAGACTTTGAAGCGCCGGGACGTGACCGAAGTCTCCCATGCTTGCGCAACTTTGGGGGTCACTTTTTCACACATCACCGCCGCACATCAGTGACCAGCGCAAACCAGGCAGGTCAAGAGGCGAGCAGACCAGACAGGGCCTGGGGACTGGGGTGTGAGCTACCGGGCCACTATAGGAACTCCATGGCGGTCAAGTCAAGAGAGAGATCTGGGCGGGCGTTGATCCATCAAATCTCGCCAGTGCCTATTTGCGGATATGATGACCTCTCTCACACCGGAAAGGTAATTACAGTCTTCTAGAAGCCTCAATCTCTGTCGACGAGGTCAAGGGGGCGAGGGGCCCAGAAAAAGAAGTGAGTTGAGGATCGCCAATTCTCCAGTTTGTGCGCTGTTTAATATTTTGGATGCTGCACAACGCAGTATTACACCAGTGTGTGTGTTGAGTTGTGTAATGTTGCGTCTCCGTACACTCACTCACTCTGGCCTCGAGTAAGGTACATACATACATGCATACACTCACACCTAACACACATACATGTACACATATACATACATACACAAACATACACCACACACACCGCACACACACTCTCTCTCCCTCTCTATCTTTCTTACTTTCTCACATTCAGCTAAATGGGCTAAATGTGCACACGCCAGCATACGGACGGATGACGAGGAAGCGCCCCCGATGTGCAAGGAACATAATGTGACTCTCCTGTCTCGCACCCTCACCACACCCATCATCCCTTCACCAATCGCACTCTGACTTGTCTGCCTCGTGTCAAGTCGGCTCAGCCAAGACCAAGAAAGGCGATCCGAAGAGCTGGGGGGACCGACCGACCGACCGACTAATTGATTGAATATATGAATATTATAAACACATCGGGTGTGTGTGTGTGAGTGAGAGAGAGATAGACAGCCGAGTCGATTGTCGGGCAGTAGTATCCTACAAATGTCTACCAGTATGGCATATGAGATAAGGCACGCAACGCACGAGTAACCCGGTCCGTACGCCGTACCTCATACATGCTTCACCTCCCTACGCCGAGCCAGTCAGACTGGAGCGTCATGTCTCCGCGAGCAAACAGGTCAGAAACCTTCCTGCTTTACCTTACGCCATACCTTATTTATTACGGTGCCATCCATCAGACCCCGTTCCTCCTCATTTTTCCTCCAATTCGCCCAGCCATCCCTGTCCGGTCTGAGCCTGAGCCCATCGAAACCACGACAATCCTGGCTTATGCCCGCGGTCCTCTGGGCCATCCATGATCCCACCCAATCCCGCCCAGGTCCAGTCCAGTCCAGCTCACTCTAATCCAATGCGATGTGATGCGTTGCGATGCGATCCATACCACGCAGGTCTATTTCCCCCCTCTTCCCTCCCCAGCCACCCCCATATCTGCTTGATGGTTGTTGTTGTTGTTGTTGCATCACCCATGTGCCAAAAACGGTGCGATCATTTCTCATATGGAAGCAACGGCGAAGACTGAGAGCAGAGACGGACGATTGGGGGGAAGGGGGAGGGGAGGGGAGGGAACGTTTTCACGGGCTGATTGATATGCCTTGTCCTTTCTACTTTGAGCCTGCCAATATACCCGGACCCTCCGAGGGGTCAGGGACGCCAGATCGGACCCGATTGCGAATCGACTGCCGTACCTTGGGAACTGAGAGAGCTAACATGTAATTGCTACTTTGTCCCATTTCTCTGTTCCCCTTCCCATTCGGTATCCCACTCGCAGCAGAGATCATCCGGCTCGATGGGCAGTCCGGCGCTTCGCAGAGTCCCATATCTCACACGCTTCCCCCTCCCCGCCCCCCGAACCGAATTTACACAAAGACAGTTTGGCGGGCGCACACCGAGGAGGGGGAGAGGAGAAATTCGGAATGCCCTGGCCGATCTGCGCCGGTGCCATCTTGCGTGAACGCCCTTGTCTCTCCTTACTTGCTCTTTCTCGTCCGTACCGAAACTCGGTCAACTGCTTTTGCGACTGATGCCGAATCGCCCGTTGGTCATAAGATTCGTATGTCCCGTTGTGTGACGGGGAGGGAAAAGAAGATACCGGATGTTCTCTTGCGCTTCCCCAGCCATCCAGAGACTCTCTCTCACCCTCTTCACCATGCCTGGACGATTGAGGACCGCGATGGGCACGGTCTTGCGACATCTGGGCTTACCATCGTCATCCTCATGTCGCACCAGCCCCAGACATCTAACAACTTGCCCCATCCCTATTTTTCATCCTCGCCATCTAACGGGCCTACCTGGATGGCACACACACGCACACTCACTCGCACACATACATAATACACACATATAATACATACACACGCATACACATGCCCACGATGGCGCCAGCACTGCAGGTCCGGCATGGCGCCTATTAGCGTTTTGACGCCAATCCGCCCCAACAACTGGGGCCGTTTATCTAGCCCAGAAGCCATTGAATGCCTTTGGAGTTCCAAATGCGAGCTCTAAGCACGGCTCCTAAACCCCCATAGCAAACGCCACGAGCGCATTAGGCGACGCTGGCCGGTGCCAGTGGTTTCCGCGACCAACCAGCGGCTGCCTGTCAGGCGGAGAATGTAGTCTTATTAAGTGAAATGATCTGCCGTCGGCCCATTGGATCCCCAGGCCCGCTTCAGCCGTCCATGGCCTTTCCGCTCGTGATTTGCCTCTCCTTCATCCTCATCCTCCTACTCCGTGCGATGATACAGAGTCTGTGTCGTCGCGTGGGATAAACAGCGCTTCCCATGTTTCCCCCCTTCCCCCTTTGGTAACGATCAGGTTGCTTAGTGTTACTGTTGCAATCGACGGGTCGGGATCATGTTGGTTAGTGATAGGTTGGTTGTTATCAAATGCAAGATTTACAGTGCATCAGCGCGGGAACAGGCGGGCAAAAACAGGTTAAGAGCCACATGGCTTACGGGCCAATGACAGTCCTGTCTCGATCAGCTCGAGGCGCCATGAGCCCATCGCAAAAAAAAAAAAAAAAGGCAGGCTGACAGGGCATCGAGATGGCCGGAGAGATGGCGGCCGGAGAAGAGGGTCGAAGCGCTGCTGGCAGGCCTGACGCACAAGGTAAGGCGGAACATTGGCCAAACTGGCTAATACACCATGACAAAATCCCTTGGGCGGTCAGCTCAGTCAGGGCTTTGGATTTTTGACTGCCAACCGTCCCTGTTGCTGATTGAGCTCCCAGGAAGAGTTCGTCTGCATGTACTAATATTAACGCAAGATTCAATGCCGTCGGATCATGAACCCCGGGCACTTGTTTCATGCTGTAATCACGATTAACTTATACAGCACCACAGAGGACCCCCATGTCAGAGTACGTTGTTGGGGGGAGGGGGAGACACCTCGCGCCGCCGCACACAGTTCTCTAAACTGTCCAGCAATTCATAAGGCTAGCCGGTTGTATACAGATGGAGCTGTTTGCTGGTCGGACCTCCTCCCTCTGCGCAGCTTTGGCGCGTGTCCGCACAGGAGCTTGCTTGCGCACGAGGATTGCCGCCTGCAACTAGCAGTAAGGCGCACATGGTAAGGTGCTCGCTGCGATCCGCGGCCGGTGAGCTTATTAGATAGGGTGTCCGGAGGTGCTCTGCGGCCCGGGTTGCTGTGAAGCAAGATTGGACCAGATATGGGTGTATGCGCTGGTCGGGGTTTCAAACGTGAAAGATGTTACCGAATCATCGGCGGGAGATAATATACGGCATTGAAGATACGGGAAATGAATAACGTTTCCAAAGAGCTGCTGTCTTGCTGCGTATGTCCGTCCAGATGTCGTCGTCGCCGCTTAGCTCGACAATTCTCCACCTCATGTAGATACACAAAGGTAATAGACATACTGCACTGTCAAGGTCAAGAGTGGCAGCTCTTTCATCTCGCGCTTTGCGATAGGGTGGGATGGCATGGGCAATGGGTGGGATGTGGATCGCGCGACGCATCCTGTTGGTCTACGATTCCTCTCCTCGGGCAAGTCTTCACTATGTCTGCGTCCTTCGGTGCGGAGAAGGCCAAGGGTTGATGAACTGGCACTGGACAATGCAGGCCCCAACGAGTCGCCTCGCCAATCGGGGAGTTCAAAGGCATGCCGCACTCAAAGTACGGTGTGCAACACCTGACGAGACTTTTGCGCCCAGTCTCCAGATTCCCTCGCAAGGGTGAGCTATCTTTTCCTGAACGCAGCCATCGCTCTTTGTTTTGCGTTACCTTGCAGGCTGGGGGCTCCACTGCCACGTCGCGGTAGCAGTCCTTTCGGAAGTGAGCAAGGCTTCGTCGAGGACCCTTTTTCTGCTGTTCTTCTCGGAATTGAGGAATTGAGAAGGTGCGCGAACGAATGGGCATGGTCTATAGATGAGTCGCATTCTGCGTGTATGCCCAGTCGTCATGGCAAGTCAACCCGATTCTTCGCTTATGGGCATCTCACCCTAATGCGACGCCATGCCTTTTGCCCATGCCTATGACATGTTCATCCACCGTCACCACTTCGACACACAGAAACACTACAGATGAAACCAGTCTCGCAGCGGTAGATTCGACGTCGATTCGTTCTGGGCTGCAGGCTGCCAGCCGCGGTCGTTTGTTGCTTGATTGCTCTTGAGCTTGAGGGTGGGTACAGACAAGGTACGCTCAAGCTTGTAGATGGAGCCTTGGTGCGCTGGATTCTGCCGGCAAAATCGGCGCTTGCCCGTATATTTTGGCTTCAACGCATTTGGCGGCGAGGGAAGCGGAGGCGGCATCAGTCAAATTCTGCAACCCTGGTGCGTCACACTCGACTTATTGTCTTTTTTGCCGCATGGCTGGGTTGCTTTCGCCACGCCACTCAGCCCCTCCTAGCAAAATAATCCATAATCGGATCTGTGATGTGTCCACCAGAAGAAGAGGCACGGAATACTACAAGGCAGGTCTGGCGTGGAGGAATGCGACTGGCAGCGCACAAATGAACAGGCACAACCACCGACCGCATTTAAGTCGCTGCTGCTGCTGCTGTTGCTAGCTGTTGGCGGCGGCGGCACGGCATTTGTGCAAAAGAAAGTTTGCGACGACGTAGGGTCTTCCAGGGCAAGCGGCGCACCGTGCGCTCATTCTGGCTTTGCACTGCCGAGTCCCCAGTTTTTGTCTGCGACAGGTTACAGGGGAGGGGGGAATGTTCGGGGCTGTCGCATACTGCTAAGGACTGGGGAGCTTTCGTATCAGGCGGGCAAGCTACTCTGTGCGCTGCCCTCCCAGATTGGCAAACTGCGACGGCTGGCGATTGACGACAGCGGCAGGATGGGATGATATGATATAAAGCTAGCTGAGCTGCGGCCAATTCCAAGACATGGTCGCAAAAGAGTTGAGGAGGGTGTGCGACTGATGCGTGTGTGCGCGCCTGCGATCGAGCGAAGAGAATGCGCCGGAGCCAGTCAGATTGCGGCGCCCTCCGTCCGGTCGCTCGGCCTTGCGCCGCCTTGGGTCTCGTACCTGGGAGCAGGTCGTCCCATCAGGCGCACTTTCATTCTTGTCTTGCGTGGTCAAGCTTGCATGGTGGGCGGGCCATTGAGGGTGGAAAAGAGAGCTACTATGTCCATCATGCAGAGATATTAATTGCCCGCGGCCATCCCGGCCGGTCCCTGGCGGCATGACGGTAGCGACATGCACCCGTTGAGAAGCATCATAAGGCCGAACGAGTCGCAATCCTTCCCAGAACACTATGGTCAAAATAAACAAAGCAGGACGCTTCAGGCGCATCGCGTTGCGCCAATGCGACTGGCCAGAAACGACGGTCTGGAAGATGGGGTCAGCCAATGCCAATGCCAATGCCGGTCGCAGGCTGCTGGGCCAGGCGCGTACGTCCAATTCCGTCGCAATTGTCGCCAGATGCGCCAGAAGGGTAGTTTTGGGCAGGAGAAAGGATCTAGCGCATATTCATTGTCGTCAAAAGCGCCCAGGGGTGCTCGAAAAGAGTTTGTCGACAAGTCGCAATACTGACGACGCTGTGGACTCCGCTTAGGAAAATGCCTGCGCATCACGCTGCCTCAACCAGTTCCGCCATTAGCCTGGCTTCTGCGCGGGTCTGGTTCGTCATGAGCCGCACGTGACTTCGTGTATACCTGGCGTAATGCCGGAGGCGCGATCGGGCTGTCCGAACCTGACGAGATGGAATGTCGAATTATCGGGTCTATGAGCTTCTTCGGACATCTGAAAACCAACAAATACATTGAAACCTCTAATAAATATCTTTTTTTGGTTCTTTTGTGGCCTCTCGCCTGGTTGTGACGACGTTGTTGGCGGATGGTTAAATTTCGTCCTTTGCCAGGAGACGCGACGAGGAAAGAGATTCAAAATTGTTTTCCTTTCTGGGACTAGCGTCATAAGGCTTCCTCTTACCATGTATGACGATAAAGATCGCCGAGGCCTGCCGAGAATTTACCGCTTTCCCTGCATTGCCTGCAGCTGCAGGAGTGCGCCTCAGTAACTAACCACTTGTCTGTCTCGAAGCGCAATGCAATCAATTAATACTCGAAATTTAATCTCACCCTCCATCACCTTCCCCTTCGCACACTCTCCTTTTTTGTTTTCCCTCTTTCCTTCCACATACCTGATTTTATCGACATCATTCAAGATGCAACACCACTCAAGCAAATGTGGTTTGCACCTTCTTTATTGCAATGTTATTATGTGTCATCTCCCAGAACATGCCTCCTCTTCTTATTGCCAAACAACACAATGCGCCAATAACAATACATTTAGGTAGTGTACAATTAAACACTACTAGAGACCCACACCCAGTTGTCTCACCGAGTGTTATAACAGCAATCGCCCGTCGTCAATCCTCATCACCCCTTCCAGGATGTGATGGTGTAGAGGAAGACAAAAGAAAAAAAGAAAAAAAAAAAGAGAGAGAGAAAAAAGACACAGCAAAAGTTACTCCTCGACGGGGAATTGAACCCCGGTCCCCGGCGATGATATGTTCATACAATGACAAGCCGATATCCTGACCACTAGACTATCGAGGACTAGCTAATCGGGTGTGTGCACCCGATAGGACAGTAGTTGCAGATTGATGTCTCCAACAAGCTTAAGTAGTCTTGGCAAGTGGATCAACTCTCAAGAAACAGTATCTAGCATCGGTCTGTGCTTGTGGTTGGATGTGACGTCGTTGCGTGGGCAGGCCACCGACATAAGCTGGGTTATCATGTACGGTTAGTAAAGGCTTATTTATATGTGTCAAATCCTAGGGACTTCACAGTCCTTTGGCTTTTGAAACTAAACACTCTGGTAGATGTTGCTCTTTTGCTTCAGGCAGAGTGGGTAGAATTGCTAGGTATGATTGATGCTTTCTTTGTTGGCTTCACGATTATTTATTTCAATGATTGTTGACACCCGCGCTCTCCTCTTTCCGATTCCTATTTCTTTGTATTGCCGCACTTCGCCTTGAGACTTCGGTTTGTCTTATTTGGGAGTGCACATCATTATTCTGATATCCTGCAATTCAGCCATAGTATCTGTTATCTCTGCAGTCGGCTATTGTAGCGCTTTCTCTGTCGCCTTGTTGCAATGTTTTTACTTATGATCACTGCCACTGCTGCATTCTCAGTTGCGGCTGCCGTCATCGCTTCTGCCTCTAATGTGCTATTATTACAAAGCCGCAACATTATCTGCGGCTGTAGCATCGAGTCTTATTGGTACTTGGGATATCTCAGCTCAAGCAGTCCTTTGTCAGTTGTGGATCAATCGGGCTCTTTTTCTGCCACGAAGGATTTCTTGAAGTCCTTCAAGCCTGGGGTCTTGCTGAAACGGATAAACTGCTGCAAGTTAAGCCGAATCGAAAGATTACAGACATGGGCCTATTTCAATTCTAGTTCAAGTTCTGTTTCTCTATCACCCACCCTTTCTGGCTTGTGAAGCATATCCAAGGCAATGAATTGTGATGGCCGTGACGGGCTGTATATCGATCCCAAGTCCTGTAATATCTAGGCGAATGGTGACATTCGGACAGCCCGAGGAAGAACGGCCTAAGATAACTAACATCTGCCGAATCTCAAAGGTTTGTGCCGATGTGGTACTTTTTTTTCGATAGACCAAGTGGCATCATGCTCGTCAAAGAGACTCGACATGGCCGGTAGCTTTTGTAATGAACCAACGCTACCGCGTTTTTTCCCATGTGTCAGCCTCGGGCGGCACCAACGTGGGGCTCTCTGCCTTTGTCCATTGACCGTAGGAGAGAGAAAGAGAAGATTCAACGTCCTTGGTTTCACTGTTGCGGTTGACAAAGGAAAGCGTTGAGAAGGGCTTTGCCTAGAGATAAAGGAAAGTTTTTTATCCATTGTACCTGATAGCGTAGCTAGCTAACGGGCTTGGTTTTCCATCGGGCGCTAACAACAGACAGGCTCCCCAAAACAACAACAATAACAGCAACGATTATAACCAAGATACAATAATACTAGATGAATGATATCACCAAAATATCGTCAGAATATGTGCTGCTCAATCTTGCCTTGTGTTGTGTGGCTCACCAGCTTTTCCCCGGATTTGTTCATGCGCGTGTCGTTGCGCAGAGACACTGACATGGGGCACCCAAAACATTGGATCAGAGACAACAGAACTGCAATTCACTGCATTCAAGTGCCCCTCCGTAGTGCCCGCCACCCGGCCAACAGAGGGCCCACAAGAGCAAGCCAATCCCGAAGCGCGTTGGCCTCGCGTTGGCAGTACGTAGCTACGTATTTTGAGTTCGTTATTTACCGATGTTTATTTACTCTCACATTCTGAGCCAAGGGTTCGCTCCAATCTTAGCAAGGCGGCTTTTTGGTCATAATCCGCCCGTCGCGGCAGTCACCACCAAACAGTTTTTGGCTGAGACCTTTTCTTCTCGTCCAAAGCTGTTTCCCAGTCTTCAATCCCTTCCACATCTGCCCCCTCCCAAGCGACCCGTTGTCGAGGCAGCCCTGTCTACTTGACCCGCCATCAATCCTCCAAATAACCCGGCTCTCCCTTCTCCATATTCCTACTCGTCGCAGTCTACCCTCTTCCACCTCCATCCCTTCACTCGAATCGAGAATCGTCTTTGTGCCGGTTTGGTAGTTCGTGAGATCAGGGCCTATAGCACGACCGGCGAACAGATCCTTTGGTGTTTACATGCCCTTGGACGCGATTATTCCCACGACACGTCTTCATCGCCTGCAGCTTCATAGTCTTCACTGCCCCTCCAGATTGTCGTCGCAAGCAGAATCAATTAGTACCGTCAGGTATCACTACCCAAGCAGTCGCAATGGACGCTAGAGTAAGTCACCGCTTCCTATCGGGTCTCCCTCGCAGCCACCCCGGCCTGTCTCTCAAGGGCGGCTTTCCTCGTTCCACATGTCGACTAACGTTTCTGAAAATAGCCTCAGCGCCTGCGAGTCCACCCCGGGGGCAACGAGAATATTATCCCTTCCAAGCACGACTCCATACATCAGCGACACAAGTCCACAGGCAATCTTCAGGCAATGCCTCGCAATGGCGCTCTCCAGGTCGCTGCCAAGCGCACCGCGTTCGGAGACGTCAGCAATACGGTCAAAAACCTTGCCGTCTCATCCTACGACCAGATCCCGGGCAAGGGAAAGGTTGTCGAGATCAGCTACAGCAAGGAGAACGCCGTCAGCAGCAAGGATGGATTCTCACGACCAGCTCAACGATCCACCGCTCTAGGTAACAAGGCTGCTCCAGCTGCAGCAGAGTGGAAGCAGCCGAAATCTTCACTTCGAAACGATGCGCAGCCCAAGCAGATCACGAAGCGAGCCTCTGTGGCCCACCTGCATGAAGCTCGGCCATCGAGAGGCAAGTACGTTGCTCAAGATCCGATCCCCGTGACAACAGATTCTTCCAGCCGACAACCTCGTCATCACAAGTCGCAACCTCAGCTTAAGAAGGAGCCAGCTGCGCACGTCTTGAGGCGCACCCAGAGCAAATTGTCCACAACCTCTACACAAGCTCCGGCCACGGAATCTTGGAAGCCAATGGAAGATGTAACGGAAGCTGCCTACGAGGATGCTGTCGAACACATTGGCGACGAGCAGTATCACGGCCCCTATCACCGACGCTCTCTGGAAGTCGCGGATGATGCCCGACCTCTTGAGGTTGAATTCCAAGATGAGAATGCTTCTGCCGATTCGGCCGTTGACAAGCCTCAACCTATTGAAACCCTTGCCGAATCGGTGGGCGCTCCTACCCTCTCCGAGACGGAGGAGTACTGGGACGAGGAGGATGAGGAGGAACTTTACGATGATCAGGGATACACAACTGCCCACTCCTACCGGTCTCGGGGTGACCTAACCACTGGTGGCGCCACGACCGTCTTGGCCCCCAAGATGACCGAAAAGGTACAGCAAGAGTTGGAGACAGCCCGAGCCATTGTTGAGAGTACCCGTACCCAGGAGGAGGTAGATGACGAAGTTTGGGATGTTTGCATGGTCGCAGAATACGGCGATGAGATTTTCGAATACATGAGGGAACTCGAGGTATGTTTGCCTGATGTGGAACCGCAAGCAAGCAACGCTAACTGAGGTGTGCGCAGATGAAGATGCTTCCCGATCCTCACTACATGGACCACCAAGCGGAAATCCAGTGGTCCATGCGCTCAGTGTTGATGGACTGGCTTGTTCAAGTCCACCATCGGTTCAGCCTACTGCCTGAGACGTTGTTCCTTACGGTCAATTACATTGATCGCTTCCTTTCATACAAGGTTGTTTCCATTGGCAAGCTTCAGCTCGTTGGCGCTACCGCCTTGCTTGTGGCCTCCAAGTATGAGGAAATCAACTGTCCGTCTCTGCAAGAGATTGTCTTCATGGTGGACAACGGCTACAAGGTTGACGAGATTCTGAAGGCTGAGCGATTCATGCTTAGCATGCTGAGCTTTGAGCTTGGCTTTCCCGGTCCGATGAGCTTCCTGCGGCGTGTCAGTAAGGCGGACGACTATGACCTCGAGACGCGCACACTGGCGAAGTACTTCTTGGAGGTTACCATCATGGACGAGCGCTTTGTCGCCAGCCCACCCAGCTTCCTTGCTGCGGCAGCGCACTGCTTGTCTCGCTTGATTCTGAAGAAGGGCGACTGGGTAAGCTCAATGCGGATGCTACTAGAACACTGCTAACATGACCTAGACTCCCGCACATGTTCATTACTCTGGATACACCTGGCCCCAGCTTAAGAACTTGGTCTCCATGATTCTAGAATGCTGCAGCTCACCTCGCAAGCACCATCTCGCGGTGTTTGAAAAGTACTCAGATAAGAGATACAAGCGCGCGGCCGAGTATGTCCAGACGGAGCTTAGCAAGGGCTTCAGTCTTCCCCACCGTCACTCCACTGGCCGTCCTTCAGCGTTCGACTTCAGCGATCTTGACAACAACGCTGGCTACTCCAAGGCGACAGTGCCTGTCGAGCTCCAGGACTAGTAGGACAATTGTGCTCGATCAGCCACTGCGTGTCGTGCGAGAAAAACATTTGGCCACCAACGAGGGGCCTGGCTCGACGCGACGACCTTTATACATTCTTAACGACTGCAATGTGATGGTTACCACTGCTCCTACCTTAATATGAGGATCGCGGCCTCCTACGTGCAACGACTCAAGCAGGAGCCGGCAACACTATTATATCAATGCTTACGACCGCCAGGGTGGTTTGTTTGACGACATTGGACGACTTGACGATATCCATGATTGGTTTCCGGCTTATGCTTTCATTTCTTTCGGATGACTTTGGCCGACTTGTTTCTTTATTTTCTTTTTTCATGCCTAGCATGTTCCGGCGTTGGGAGGGATGGTTCCTCTAGAAGGCGAGCATACAGGGAATGGGTGTGGCTTCCAGAGGCACACCAAGACCTATAGAAGCAACTAGCTGAGGTGGAGGAAAGTGACATAGACGATGAACAGGCACAGACTATCGGATTAGCTGCCTTGGGGGGGTTTTTGGGGACAAGAGACCAGCTTGTGTATGAGTTATAATTCTTCTTTTGCAAAGGGATTTGCATTTTCTATGTACTGTTACAGCTCAGCCAGAGCTTAGCTGATAAGGCCACAAAGACGGCGTCTCGGTAGTTGGGCCAGTATTGAGGCAATGAATATCTTGAGAACCAAGTCGGATTGATGATGGCCTTAGTAGTGCTGCTGATTCTACTATTATCGTTGCAGTGTGCTCCTTACTATGTACATGCAGTCGCTCATACGAGAGTAATGGTGACCAATGCCCAGAACATGGTGATGAAAGGTCAGACTGGATGAGGGATGCGTTGGAGATGGTCAATTGACCCTGTTGTCGAATTTCCTAATCCAAGCTTCGTCAATATTACCTGTCTCCCCTCCGGGCTGGCTGACGCCTGATGACACAGGAGCTTCCTTCCCTGAGCTCCAACTACCTACGTACTACGCAGTCCAAGCTATAACCCCACATCCCTGGTTCAGGCTTGGTGGCTGGTCAGCTCCCCAAAAGGGGCACGTGCGCTAGTGGGTCTTCCTTCAATTGCAGGCATGATTGGTTGGAAGCTCTTCCAACAGGACTTTGGGGGGACACTTCTCCAGTGGTGGATCAAGCTGTGAGGCCACATTGCTGAATGCTGATTCACCCGCTCGCACACTTTATTTTTCCGCACCAGCACCTCAGCGAGACAATCGGTATTGGATTGGGTTTACCCCTTGGTCTACCTACAATTCTCCTCCCATCACTCTTCTAGCTTCTTCTCCTTCTTCCCCCTTTCACCCCACTCCATCGTTGATTGCGATCGTTGAATTGGTCAAGTCGCATTCAATTGTTGCCTCCCCCCCTTGCCGCCGCCGCTACCATGGTCTACCTCAAGTCGTCTCTCCTGGCCCTCCTGGCCCTTCCCATCTTCGGCGCTTTTGCTGCTGAAGAGGAAGTCCCTCCTGTAAGTCATATCCGGTCATCTCATGGCCATCGCCACTCATTGCTAATAACCCGGTTGCAGGTTGATACCGATGCTACCGCCCCGGTTCTGAAGGCCGACATTGTGGCTACCTTCCCTGATGCCGACATCTTTGGTGTCAAGCTTGTCAATGGCCGCCCCACCAAGGCTGTCGTCGAATTCACAAATCACGAGGATGCGCCCATCCAGATTGCCATGGTTGGTGGTGTTCTGTCTAGCACCAAGGAGCTGGCCGAGGATGCCCACCCTAGCGATTCTATCATCCGCAACCTGACGGCTGCCCGGTATGACTTGACCGTTGAGGCTGGCGACAAGAAGGCCGTCCCCTATTCCTTTGCTCTCGACATGCAGCCCCAGGATGTTCTCCTCCAGCTTGTTGCTGTCGTCAGCAACTCCAAGGGTGCTGTGTTCCAAGTCCAGGCATACAACTCCACTGCCGCCATTGTCGAGCCTCCCACTAGCATCTTCGACCCTCAGATGTATGTTGAAACCAAGAATCATGTAGTGACGTGCGCTGACAGTTTTGCACAGTATCTTCCTCTACCTTTTCCTGACTGGTGCCTTCGCCGGAACTCTGTACTTCGTCTACAAGACTTGGATCGAGGCTCTGTTCCCCCAGGCTAAGAAGGCCAAGACCTCTAAGAAGGCTCGCCAGGTCAGCGTCACGGTTCCTTTGGCTGACTCCGACGCTCCTGTTGCCACTTCTACTGGCAAGGACTACGACGAGGCCTGGATCCCTGACCACCACATCAACCGCCCTGTCGCCAAGCGCGTCAAGAGCGGCGCCAGCGGCAAGCTCAAGGCCAAGGGTGCTGAGTAGGATAGCAACACCCTAACGGTGCGAGCTACGCGACGAACTAGGCGGGCGTGAGCAAGACTGCTCCTCATGCCTTTGAACGACGACCTTGAGAGCCCTTTACGGGATGGAATAAAGTCCGTGAGAGGCTTTTAATCGTTTGGTGCTAAGGAGAGGAAGTGAATAAAAGCATTGTACAATAGTTACACACTAGGCATGATGCCGACGTTTTGTGTAGAAATTACCAGAAGCGCGTCTTTGCCTAGAAACATGAAGCGGATCAATGCTGTCTCGCACTACCGTTCACAACGTGATGTCTCCTTAATCTCGTAATCCGTTGACATCATTTTGATGTGGTATTCTTTATCTTGTAAATCAAATTGTCGCAGCTTTCACCACATATTCTGCACCTACCTACTTTATTTGGATCATGCGTCTCGTGCAACGCTCTTATATCCATTCCTGTCCATCAGCTCAGGTCAAACTTTGGCTAACTTCGCAGCTGGCACCTCAAATTGGGACGAAATGTCTTGCGATGTACAATTGTACAAAGTTTCAAGTTGCGACAACGCTCAATTTAGTTGGCTGTTATGGAATAAGCAAGCATGTCTGCGTGCGATCCGTTTTCAGGAGGTGGTTCAATCCACCAGGGTACAGACTGGCGTGATGTGGAAGACCCCTTCCATCGCCAACCACATGAGAGTAATTAGGTACTAGGAAGCTATCAGGGGAGAAAAAGAAACGTTCATGGGTGAGACCACGGAAGATTCAACCATGAATAAGGAGAAAAGAGTCAAAAAGATGTGAGAGCCGAAGGTAGATGGCAAAATGAAAGTGGGCAGAATAGTAGATGGAGAGGGTCTGTATGGAATCAGCACTTCCTTTGTCCATGCTGGAATTGTCCAACAGCTATTCGCTGGAAGAGCTCTCTAGTGATAGGTGGGCAGCGTTCCGGGGAATCACCCGGCGTTTAACCAAAGAGCTCTCCACCCCAGGAGGCACCTAGCGGTAGCTCCCTCCTCCGAAGCGTAGCCCCCGCCCCCCCAACTATAGCAGCTCCCGACGCGCAGAAACGCGCAGTAACGCGCAGCGCGCTTTTCCTTGTGCTGGGCCGGTAGCTTCTGCACACAATTGGGGAAGCAAACCGTTGGCGTTGCACTCCCGTCCCCCCATTTTGTCTTCCCTCTCCTACCTCTTTCCTCCTCACAAGCACATTCGATTTCCCGGTTATCGTGGTGGAATAGCTGCGTGATAGATCCCATCACGAAACCTATATCGTTTTTCACCCATATCTTCTGCACCCCTTTTTTCACTTTTTTTTTTAATTCTTTTTTTTTCCCCCTCAATCCTTTACCTTGATTAGCTTCTTGTCTTCTCCATCTCGGCCAAGCACAATGGCACCCACCACCGAGGAGCCTGTCCAGAAGCGCGGCCGTGGCAGACCTCCCAAGGTCCCCGGCGAGAAGAAGGTTTATGTTCCCACGGGTCGTCCTCGTGGCCGTCCCAAGGGAAGTGGAGGCGTTCAGAAGACCACACCAAAGAAGACCGCGTCCACTCCTGGCAGAGGCCGTGGTAGACCAAGGAAGAGCGACGCAGTCGAGGCCGCCGTCGCTGAGGCCACAGACACTCCAGCCAAGAAGAGCGGAACCCCAGGCCGCCGCGGTCGCCCTCGCAAGTCAGACGCGTCGACCGGCGCAGCTACCCCGAAGAAGGCCGAGACGAAAAAGGGACCCAAGGGCAGAAAGAGCGACGTCTCGAAGGACGCCTCCTCGTCTCCCACGGACTTGTCCGACGGAGAAGGTTAGCAAGAGCCTCTGTTCTTCCATGCGCGCTTGCCCAATTTGACCCGCGCCCTGCCCCCTTTCAAGTGCCAAAGAGTAGGAATCATTAGCTCACTGATTATTAGCGAAGGATACTGAAGATGCCGATGCGGACTCGTCCTCTAACGCGGAGGGCTCTGGCGAGGAGGTGCGTCGCTGGCTTCCGTCAAGAATCTTGAGAGGACTATTCGGCTGACAAACTACAACCAACAGTGAGCGCACGAACGAGGCATTGTACTTTTACACGGGTCTAGGTATTTGGTTCAGAGGACTTCAAAGAACAAGAACGGCATTGGGGGTTATCGCTTCCAAATTTGCTCAGAGGACATGGTGTCGATGTCTCTTTTTCCCCCCCGCGCCCGCAGACCGTCAGTCAGGCACATGAGGATTCGACTGTTATTGAGATACCATTCTATTTGCTGAATACGAGACTATTACGTCTACAGACTTCTATGGCTGTTCCCCGCTTTGACTTGACATGTCAAACAATGTGATCTGGTCCCCAGCTGGCCTTTCGTGCTCTTCTCCCCGCCACCCCTATACTTCTCAATCCAAGCCCCTGAGGTTTGCATTTTTTGGGGGTGAGTGGGTTTCGTTATTCCTTTTTCCATTCGGAAAACTCAAGGGCCAAGTGTTGCTTGAGTCTCGCGAACTGATTGCCGAAATTCTTACTACACCTCCAGCAAACCAAATCATTCTGCAATAGGTGTCCTTTACGGCCAGGGTGGTCTGGCGCCAGCGAAAACTCGGCGATATCAATCAGGAAAGGGGTATTGAAAGAATTGTAGTGTTTTCGGTGCTTCATACACTCCGAGTACATGTCTCGAGACAGGACGTGGACGTGCAGATGGTTCATGCTCGGGTGCGCGTGTATACCAGTGATGACCTCGGCTTGCCAGTTGCGACCCTTGGGTAGTTCGTCTCCTTCGGACTCGACAAGCCCATTCAAAACGGCCTCCCGCGCCGCTTCAGCTTTGCTCTCCTTCGCAAACCGGCGTTGCAGTTCCTTAGCTACCAAGTCCTTGAGCTTAAGAACTTCCTTTTGTACTGATTCGAGGAATTTGGCATCGTCGAAGGCTTCAAAAGGGTGGAGCAGATTGTGTGTAGGAGATCGGGGGAGGAGAAGCGTGTGAACACTGGCTTTGGGGTAGAGGTCGTTGATCGCGACGAAGTCTTCGTTGTGGTATATGACGCGCGAAGCGGGAAAAGAGGCGGGATTGTCAATATACACGCCCAGTCCGTCGCGGCTCCTAGAGGATCTCCCACGCGACGACTTGGGTGGTTCGGTTGCTGTTTCTGGTTTGCGCTTTCGTGTCATAAGTTCCGTGACTGCGCAACAGAGGTATGTTAGTGTGCATTCTTAAGACCGCTTGATAGCATGATCAAAAACACACATGCATTCTTTGGAGCTTCCGGTGTGGGAGCGATGCCCTGGATCTCATCTTGCATGATGGCATCTTCAGGGTCGGAGTCCAGATCGCCCATTTTGAGGTTGCGGAGGTGAAGAGAGATGTAGGAAGAGATTGACAAGTCCACCGTCGCGTTGCTCGCCAAATGTACAATTCAAGTTGCCATTACATATATATTCGCGGGGATTGAGGTTCTGTAGGAGTCAGAGCCGGCGTTGGTGACTCACGCCATCCGTCATCATGGATAACACTTTCTGTTAGGCGAGGTGAAGAGATAAAATCATCGAATTACACCAGGGAGCCAGGAATGGAGGGAACAAGAGGGACGGAAGGGGAAATGTCAGACTGGGAGCTGGTGAAAGGGTTTACCCACAGCGGGGTAGCTGCAGGAGCAGCCGTGCCCCGCCGATGTACAGTACCCTTCGTCATTCGCCCGGACCACCAAGGTCACTGAGCGCCCACTGCAGCCGCTTCTGCAAGACCGCTTGCTGATGCTTCAAACCTGCGAAATCTGTGGCCGAATCAAAATTTCGCATCAAGGTCACATTTTGCCTGCCTCATTCACACCGTTTTGCATCACTCATTAGCACCCGCGACGTCTTTCCAACACAGCGCCTCTTATGGGTCGTATTTCCTGAGCTGTCAAACCGAACAACTGACCAACAATGGTCAAGAAAGGCAAGGGAAAGGACAAGGCTGGCGCCACCGCCCCGGCGGTACAGCCTGCTGCGACATCATCCAAAGATGGCCCCAAGGGGAAGAAAACCGGCGGCCTGTCTCTCATGGAACAAGCTGCCGGCCCTGTCGCTGGAAAGCCGACTGTCAAGCAGATCATAGGTGGATCTTCATGGACTGGAAAGCTGCCGGTGAACCTGTTCAACGAGTATTGCCAGAAACAGCAGTGGGAAAAACCCGTTTATGATGTCCGAAAAACACCCGAAGGATACGCTTGCTTCGTCACGATTGCTGCCAAAGATCCAAAAACACGGGAGTTGACAACCTTGGATCCCTTCAAAATTCATCCTGATTACAAGCATCTTGTCACCAGGCCCACTGCTCTAGAGGCAAGGCACTGTGCAGCGACTTATGCTCTCTTCCGCGTTTGTAGTATGCAGAACAAGCATACCGTGCTGCCGCCGGATTACAAGTCACTCTGGAAGGATTTCCAAGCAATCAAACAGCAAGACGTCAAGGACGGCAAGGCGTGGATGTATGATGCGGACCCTTTCAAGACTCTCAAGGACCGGCAGGATGCCAAAGCTGCTGTTGAGAAGAAGAGGAAGGAAGCTGAGGCTGCCAAGGAGAAGGCAAAGTCTATGCCGGGTGCATCTGGTTTGGTCCTCGGCAACAGCTCTGGCTCGTCGAATGCGATGAAGGGATGGACTCAGGCTCCCAAGATTGAAATGGGCAAGCGCTCGCGGACGCAGGTCGAAGCACTGATCCAGAAGTACGTCGTCTGGAACCCCAACAAGGTTCAGATGTCGGCAGCTCAGCGCAAAAGCATCACCGACGAGTTGGGAAAACTAGGTTTCAGGCGGAGTCACGTAGAAGAGGCTACGGAAATCTGCAAGGATCGTGAAGAAACCTTGGAGTGGCTGTTGATTCATGTTCCTGAGGATGATCTGCCTCGTTGGGCGTTGCCTGAGAGCTACGCAGCAGGCATATCGGTCGCATCGATGGATCTCAAGAAGGAGGCGGCAATCAAGCGCCTGTCTGAATCGGGTTACGCACTTGACTTGTGCGCTCGTGTCTTCGAAGAGGCTGGTAACAGCGAGGGCAGGGCCGCTGAATTGCTGCAGCAACGTCTTGTTGGACAAAAACCAACAAACAAGGCGCAAACGACGGCGGAGGAGCTTCTGCCTCCAGGAGTGTCCGCAGAGGAGTTGTGGGAGGACGAAGTGGCAGCCATGGAGTCTTCCTTTGGCGACCACTTCAAACAAGTCTCTCCTGACATCATCCAAGTCAAGCTTGAGTCGGTTAAGAACGGAAACAAGTTGGTTGAGACTGCTGTCCAAGTGCGCAGGTCGCCCAATTACCCTGCCCAACTCATATTTGCCATTGTTTCTCAGCTTCCAGCACAAATCAAGCTGTCCATCATTAAGCAAACGATTGCCTATCTGGACGAATCCTATCAAGAAGAGCCTATGAAGGTCTTCGTTGCCATTGACTGGATTCAGCAAAATATCAACGAAATCATTGAGAGACCCGGAAAACTGGTCGACATTGCTTCTGTGGCGTCTACAGCATCCGAGGTTCCAAACGACTCTCGGCCACGCAGAGCCGGCCCCAAGTCTCAGAGAGCCCCTAGGCCAATCATGTGGACGCCTGATCCTCGGGCGCGCGAGGAGTGGTCCAGAAGACAGGAAGACCCTGCGTGGAAGAAGATGATATCTAAACGTCAAACCCTGCCAGCATGGCAGGTTCGCGAGGATATTGTTCAAATCGTCGACGAGAACCACGTCACAATTATTAGTGGAGAGACAGGTTCCGGAAAGTCAACGCAGTCGATGCAATTCATCCTCGACGATCTCTATAGCAGAGGCCTGGGCAAGTGTGCCAACATGCTCGTCACTCAACCCAGGAGAATCTCTGCACTAGGTTTGGCCGATCGTGTAGCCGAGGAACGTTGCACCAGAGTCGGAGACGAAGTGGGTTATGCAATTCGTGGCGAGAACCGCAGAAGTAACCAGACTCGTATTACGTTTGTGACTACCGGTGTGCTCCTGAGACGATTGCAGACCTCTGGTGGCCGAATCGAAGATGTCATCGCCTCGCTCGCGGATGTCAGTCACATTGTCATCGATGAAGTGCATGAGCGCAGCTTGGACACCGACTTTCTTCTGACTATAATCAGAGAGGTTATGAGGACGCGAAAAGATCTCTTAAAGCTAGTGCTCATGAGTGCCACCTTGGATGCCGCGTCTTTCAAGAATTACTTCACCTCCCAAGGCCTAAGGGTGGGCACAGTAGAAATCTCTGGTCGAACATATCCTGTTGATGACTACTACCTCGACGATATTATTGAGATGACGGGCTTTAGGGGCGATGCAGGTGACTTTGACAGCTCAAAGGGCGAGGCGATGGGCAAGGCAATCCAAAAGCTGGGCCACCGCATTAATTACAGCCTTCTCACCGAGACAGTCAGGGAGATTGATGCGGACCTTTCTTATACTCAAAAATCCGGGGGCATTCTCATATTTCTTCCCGGCGTCGCTGAGATCAACCAGACCTGCAATGCGCTCCGGTCGATCTCGTCATTGCATGTTCTCCCCCTCCATGCTTCGCTAGAGACGAAAGAACAGAAACGTGTTTTCGCTGCACCGCCAGGAGGCAAAAGGAAGGTGGTCGTTGCGACAAACGTTGCAGAAACATCCATCACAATCGACGATATTGTTGCCGTTATTGATAGTGGTAAGGTGAAGGAAACCACCTACGATCCTCAGAACAACATGAGAAAGCTAGAGGAGAACTGGGCTTCCCAAGCAGCGTGTAAGCAGCGACGCGGTCGTGCGGGTAGAGTTCAAGCAGGCAAATGCTACAAGCTCTACACGCGGAACCTCGAGCAGCAAATGGCTGAACGGCCTGAGCCTGAGATTAGGCGAGTGCCGCTGGAGCAGATGTGTCTATCGGTTCGTGCCATGGGTATGAGGGATGTATCAGCTTTCCTAGCCCGATCACCAACACCGCCCGAGAGCACAGCTGTAGAGGGAGCGATCAAGCTCCTACGGAGAATGGGTGCACTGGATGGTGATGAAATGACAGCCCTTGGCCAGCAGCTCGCCATGATTCCCGCCGACCTTCGTTGCGCGAAACTCATGGTTTACGGTGCCATATTTGGATGTTTGGACGACTGCGTGACTGTTTCGGCGATTCTCAGCACCCGCAGTCCATTCATGTCGCCTTCAGATAAGCGAGAACAGGCCAAGGAGGCACGCATGCGATTTTCAAGGGGTGACGGAGACCTCCTTACCGACCTTGAGGCATTCCGACACTGGGAGGAGATGAGGAACGACGGCGTGGGCCAAAGACAATTGCGTGCCTTCTGCGATGAGAACTTCCTTTCCTATTTGACATTGTCTGATATCTCAGCGACTCGGCTACAATACTACTCGGCCCTTAGGGAGATTGGTATCGCTGAGAGCAAGGAGGCCACCTACTCGCCTAACCAGGGCAGACACAGCATGACGCTCCTGCGTGCGCTTACGGCTTCGGCATTTAGCCCCCAAATCGCACGTATTCAATATCCTGACAAGAAGTTCACCAACACGGTATCCGGCGCAAAGGAGTTGGATCCTGAGGCACGAATGATCAAGTACTTCACACAAGAGAATGGACGAGTGTTTGTGCACCCTAGCAGTACACTCTTCGATAGCCAAGGGTTCTCTGGTAGCGCAACGTTCATGTCCTACTTTACCATGATTTCCACAAGCAAGACGTTCATTCGAGACCTGACACGTAAGTTCTTAATAATGCAAGCAGCCTATGACATGTCACTAACGGCTATCAGCATTCAATTCCTACACATTGCTCCTTTTCTCGGGTGCAATTACCCTGGACACTCTGGGGAGAGGCTTGATGGTCGATGAGTGGCTGCGGCTTCGTGGATGGGCAAGATTGGGAGTTCTAGTGTCAAGGCTTCGTGGTATGGTTGATGATGTGATCGCGTTGAAGATTGAGAATCCAGGATTAGATCTCGCGGATAACGAGGTTATAAAGATAGTTAAAAAGTTGATAGAGCTCGATGGATTAGATGCATGATAGAAGGCGGCCCAATCACTTAGAGTTGCGGAGCATGCTGTATTAAATAAAATAGAACATGTCGTCGCCAATACCTGCCTCCCCTGCTATCAATCTTACTGACGTGGTGATTGCCGTTGGGACCATCATCTTCATCCTTGTTAACTTTCATTTATAGTATTTGCCCCAATGCATCTTGTGAAACTACTCTTACTGGCAACATTGTAAATCTATCACTCCTGTAACCCTGTCGTTTCTGTTATCACTGCTACGATTCTTTCCCCGTCATCCCTATTGTCCGTGCACACATTCGAAAATGGCCTGCGCATGCTTGAAAAAGTCCATCCTTACTGATACTACCTCAAACTCAACAAGTGACGAGTATCTGGGTCGAACAAAGGGATGTGGAACCCCTGTTATACCTGGAATGGATAGGTGCATAGAGTTCCTGGGGATCGGCGACCGGGGTGCGGGCCGGGGGGGAGGGAGGAAGACGCGGGGTAGCTCGGCATCCAATGGCTGCTAAGGGAGGTACGGTGACCAAACGGTCTCCCCAATTCTGCAACGGACTAAGCACACAACAACAGAGCTCGTGCGTATCCCTCCGAACAGAACTGTCCGTCTGCAACAACACATGACCATAACACCTACGATCGACGTCCGAATGGCCTCGACTGGCCGGTCGCAAACTCGTCGCTTTTGATCTCCATCACTTGTCAACCTGCTGCCAATGGTGAGCTCGGCGGAGCCATGAAGCTTAACACACCACTTGCGAGATGGGCCTCATTCATTATTCTCGCGCCGCCAATGGCCCTGGCGGCAGTGCGACCTCCCTTCATCGATCCGGAATCCCTCCCGAAAGAGCCCATCTTCAAAGGGCCCTGGGAGCGTTACGTCAAAGCACCGGCAGATAAAACTCGCATCGTACCATCCAGCATTTATGGTGTCGAGGGGAACGTCACCACTTCGCTGCGAGCAGTGGAGGTTGGGGCGGCAGCGGCGCATACGTTTGAAAATGGTATCACCATCGGGCCGGGGGGCGTGTTGACGCTCGAGTTCGCAGAAAACATTGCTGGACGGTATGCCTTGAAGTTTCTTCTCATCTGTAAATCACTCCCAGCTAAATAACCAACTCACTACAGGGTTTGTTTCGATGTATCCTCCGTTGGCAATGACCCCGAACTCTATCTAGCGTACTCCGAATCGTCGCTCTTCGCTGGGCCGACTCCTGACGCCACAACTGACCAACAAGAACGAGATCTCCCTCTACACTTCGAGTTCGATGGCAAAACAGGTACTGTCTGCGTGGGACGGGATTTTATACGAGGCGCCTTCAAATACCTAACTTTGCAAATGCCGGAATACCCTGTTTTGTCAGACAAGGTTATTGTCCTGCAAAACGGGGCCCAAGATCAAGAGGTCTTGCTAGACGATGAGAAGCCTCTCGACCCATCTGACAGGAACCCATATGATAAGCCTTGGGTCACGCTCAAGAATCTTTGGGTCAACTGCACTGCATTCCCTTCACAGTCGAATGGACAAGCCTACTCTGGCTACTTCCATAGCTCCAGCAACATGCTCAACCGCATTTGGTACGCCGGGGCATGGACACTTCAACTCTCAACACTCGATCCTCGGGAAGGATCGGCTTTGATTGACTACAACCGCAACATTGATCACAACGAGTCCCCCACAGGGTCATGGTATTCGAACTTCACTATAGCGAATGGCTCAGCAGTTACGACGGACGGCGCGAAGCGCGATCGCGTGGTCTGGCCAGGTGATATGTACATCGCCGTGCCCGGAATTGCCGTCAGTACCTACGACATGCTTGCCGTACGTAACGCACTCGATGTGCTCTACGATCACCAGTATCCCGACGGCTCGTTGCCATATGCTGGTCCTCCTTTGGGGTACCGTGGGGAGTTTAGCGATACCTACCACCTACACACCCTGCTAGGCACTTACAACTATGTGATGTACTCCGGTGATATCGACTGGCTCGGAAAGCGATGGCCCGCGTACCTCAAGGCTCTGAATGTTAGCATCGATAAAGTTGACCACACCGGCCTTCTCCATGTCACCAGCGGCGCCGACTGGTTGCGTCCAGGTATGACGGGCCACAACCTCGAAGCCAGTGCTATCCTCAGTACGGTTCTAGAGAAGAGCATCAAGTTAGCCAAGTGGCTCGGTGACGATCGTCCAGCAGCGCGCCCCCATGGGGTCTGGTCAGGATTGCGCACCGTCATGAACGCTGGTATTCAGCAGCTGTACTGCGAGGACACTGGACTCTACTCGGACAACATTGGCCGACGAAGCTGCAGAGGGCCAGAACACACCGATCCTCAGGATGGCAATAGCTGGACTCTGATCTCCGGCGCAACTCATTACTCTCGCCGTCTGGCCGTTTCTCAAAACCTACGATCTCGCTGGACGAAGTTCGGCGCACCCGCTGTTGAGTTTCCCAACGTTATCTCACCGTTCGCGTCCTCCTTTGAGCTTCTTGCCCACTCTGCCGCCGATAACCATGATGCCGCCGTCGAGCTTATGCTTCTCGAGTGGGCTTACCTACTAGAAGGGCCTGGGTTTACAAACTCGACGTTCGCCGAGGGCTTCAGAATCGACGGCGACGTGCAATACCCAGCCTACTGGTCTGCCGCACGCAATTCCCATTGCCACGGCTGGTCTTCTGGCCCTACGACTGTGCTTACAAGCGAGATCCTGGGAATCCAGCTTCTCGGCCCAGCGGGCTCAGAGTGGACTGTCCGCCCGCACCTGACAAAGTGGCTTGGTTTCGCGAGGGGCGGTTTCGCTACCACCCAGGGCGTTTTCGAAGTCAAACTCACCCGCGTCATCACTTCAACGTCATCAACCGCCCACAACCAGCAGGTGCGGCGTCGCGGCCAGATTGTTGAGATCACGGCACCAGAACACACCAAGGGAACTTTCGAATGGGGTCCCTCATCAACCAAGATCGATGTCGACGGCGGGCGAACGATGGCTTGGGTCGCCTGGGAGGATGACGAACAAAGTCAAGGCTCAAAGGGAGCCGTTGAACAGCTTGACGTCGTGCTCGGTCGGGTCGAAGCGCCCAGCGAGGAAGAGTGGCATCGCCAAAGCTTCATCTACCGCGACGATACGCGATTGGTATATGACGATTCGTTCCGTACGCCCAAGATGGCCGAGCGGAAGGCCGGAGTGGTTGACTGGGATGCGCTGGAAGCAAACTACGTACGGTCCTTGACGGAGATGTTTTGAGATGATGTGCGCTCTCTCTGTATCAGTATCGACAAACTTCTTCTCGGCGAACGACGGAAGCAGGGCTAAGCTCGCGAGGAGGTACGTAATGTGTGTATGGCTAGTACGACTTTGGGGAAGGGTTGGGAAAGGCGCAACTGTACATTATTATTATTTTTTCCTTTTTCATTTTCCTTTTTTTTCTTCTGGGAGGGTTAGGTTTGATTACTTCTTATAGATGGTGTATCTGTTCAGACTAGGTATTGGGAGGAATGTTAGATGTCAGAAAGCACTACCCTTCCCCGAGCCCCAAGATGAGAATGACCCCGTTTCAGCGTAAGTGAGTTTTGCAGAAACTCTTTTCAAGGATGGCAGCATTTCATCTTATCATGATGTTTCTTGAGCTGAACTGTATGGAAGGAAACATTCTCGTCGTTTTTTTTATGTTATCACTTTACGCACACACGTTCCATCTGCGAATGTCAGTCGTCACATAGGTGAACTAGTCAACAGGGCACGCAAGGCTCAATAGTTGGTCTGGTATATCGGCACTGGTATAGAATTTAAAATTTCCACTACTTTGTTCCGCGTCGCGGTTCCTAATTCAAAAAAAAAAAAAAAAAAAAAAAAAATCGAAAGGGGGTATCAATATACACATTTTCGCCCTCCGCCAATGATAACCCCTTTGAGAACACAAACAACGCCCAAGTCATTTTTCTTTGAAAATTTTGTTTTGCTTTTCCCCCCCTGGTGCCAATAGCCGTCAAGGCCTTAGTAGAGCAGCTCGCCGCTCTCAACCATTCTTGAGAACTTGTCATCCGGGTCAATGAAGTGGTAATCCTCGCCGCGCACCACGCGGTCCACCTCCTCGCGGACGAACGGATACACGTCCTTCCACGCGTTGCGACCCATCCAGCAGTCCAAGTGTCCGTAGCCCGGTACAACGCGGCGGCGGTACTGGATGCCACCCTGGCCTCCGCCGTCGCGCTCCCCGCCGCTGGATCCGAACGTGTCGCAGAGGATCTCGTACGTTCTCTCCGTCGCCTCCGGCGTCAGCACGGCGTTGTCGCGGCCGGCGAAGAGCATAATTGGAATGCCCCTCAGCCTACGAATGTTCTGCGGCGTCGTGAGGGGCTGGAACAGCGGGCCGTTGGTCATGACGTGCCCGTCGTAACCCTGCTTCATGAGGAGCTGCAGCTGCGTCATGTTGACACCGCCGAAGAAGCGGTCGATTTGCCTGTGTGTCGCCTCGTTCAGGTTGGCGTGATTCCAGCATCTGCCGAAGACGAGGGTGCAGCGGTGACAGCAGGCGTTGTTGCAGATCTCCTTGCGCTCATCGGGATAGAGGCGGAGAAGCTCGTTGAGGGCTCGCTGGAGGATGCTGTCATCCTTGGCTGTGCTGCAGGAGAACCAGTTTCCGAGAACCATCTTGTACATCTTGTCAAGGGGAATAGGTCCCGCCATGACCTTGGCCATGTTGAGGGTGCTCCAGATAGGATTCATGAACACTTGGCTGCAAGTGATGCCGTGGATCCAGCTTCCTGGGATCGTGCCGTCGAGAAGACCACAGGCGAAAGCTACACTGCCCATGCAATGGGCAATGGTGTAGATTTTGTTGTCTCTGGAGTTGCCCTCAGCGTAGTTGTCGCGGATGTACTCGATGCAGGCCTGGAGGTCCAGTCGGGCGTCGTATGTTGTCCAGTTGTTCTGTGCGACCATGAGCTGGCCGATGCGATGCACCGTGATGAATACGCGATAACCTGCGCGGGTCAGGTAGTTGACCGCGTTGTATTTGATCGTCGGTAGGGCATAGATCTGATGATCCACTGCGGCTCCGGGAATCAAGAAGATGTTCTTGGGCTCGATATCAGTGTTGGTGGGCTCCCACATGTGCATCCGCGTTTTGACATTGTCTCGGGCAACGATAACGAACGATGCCGTTGGAGGCGTGTCATTAACGTATCCGTTGTAGTTGACGCTTGGATATTGCAGGGGAGTAAAGGGTGCTAGAAATAGGGAGAGCGACTTGCGAGTGAAATACGTCAAGAAGCTCGCCGCGCTGTAGACTTTCCGGACGAGACTGCTTCCAGTTGGCGTCATGGTCATGATTTGGGAGACAAAGTCTGCTGGCTGAATGTGCATGATGCCCTTGGCGACCACCTTTCCGAGGCGCCATGGCTCGGTGCAGTCCTCGGCGACCTCCAAGTCTCGGCTGGGCTCCGAGATAGTCACGTAGAGCGTGCTGGTCGCCTTCCAGAACTGGAAAGGTGCCAGAGCAACTGAAGAGTCGACAACCTTGTATCCATGGAAGTGATACTTTTCGCCATTGACACCGCGCAAGTCAAAGTCATACGTCATGTTTCGCGTTCCTGGGGCCTTCTGATCGAGGATAAAAAGGTTGAAATCACCTCGGTGGACCATAAAAGGAGACCCGCGGATGGCAGGGCACACGAAAGTGCCTGTCAGCATAGCGGAGTGGTCAGGCTCCCTGATCATAGACTTGGTGTTGAAGGCTTGCACACTGAGGAAGAATCTGGCACTTTCGCAGAGGCTCTTGGCTGTCCGGTATGCCAGCTCGTACGTGGCCCGTTTGTCGGTGACTAGCCCGTCATCGCGGTGAACAAATCCTGACATGACTTCGGTGAAGCCGAAGCCGCCAGCCTTTGAACGGTTGGCCTGGTGAATTAAGGACTTGACCTCATAGATTTTGTCACACTCGTGCTTTAGCTCTTGCGTATTGCGCTCCTCCTTGGGTGCGAACTGGGGTTCACCAAAGAGGTCAAGGATACCGTTCTTGTTAGGATGGATCTTGAGTTCTCTCCTGTGGATATATGCATCAACAGCACGCTCAGCAAGCGCCGTGATGGTGGCGAAGGGATTGACACCAATGGCACCCGGAATCACGGCAGCATCTGTGACAATCAGCCCGGGGTGGGTTTCGTCCTCATCTCCGGTAAACACCTCGCCAACGTTGTTCGTAACACCGGTGGCGCCGGTGTCATCGCGAGCCATGCATGCTCCACTGCGGTCTGTTAGCTAAAGTATTTGAAAGTTGGGCAGCGAACTTACCCGATAGGATGGACGGTAACCTGCTGGCCGCCCATCAAGGCGTGGAAGGGGTTATTAACAAAGGTGCCACCCATAGCCTGGGTTGCTTTAGCCAGCAAATCGTTCAATTTTCTTACGTGGTCACTACGTCCAACGCCGAGGAACTCAAGAACTGGCTTGTCATCCTTGAGTGTGAGCATGGCCTGGCTGCTGTCATGAGACATGACGAGGTAGACTTGTGTGTTGTCCATGGAACCACCTTGGCGGTAGGCGCCGAAAATATGGCTTCGATACCTGGCGAAGTTGGAGCGCACCTTTTCAGTGAAGGACTCGCCTGTACACTCGACACTACCAGGCATCATCTCCAAAAGAGTCTGGAGGAATGGTGTGAGAGAACGGGGAATGGCGCCTTCCTGAATGACGTATCCGTCGAGGGGGTTCTCATGGCCCTCGCGATCGTCGATGATGGCATTAATTGTTGGACCGACTGGGTTATATGGGTTCGGAAATGGCTTTCCGATAGAGTTGGCCTCTTCGTCCATGTTGTAGCTAGTTAAGGGTTAGCTGCATGTTGCACACAGGAACAGCGGGAGTCAATTACCCACAACCGAGCATGTCACCGTTGCCGCTCATGTTTTCGCCAACACGAGGGCTCATGGACAAGCCCATCTCCCTACTTCTTAAAAGAATTTCCGTGGTACCAATTGCACCTGCGCCCAAGAATACACACTCTTTGGCATGAACCCACATCAAGTCACCATGGAGGTTCGCCTTGAAGTGCCCTCTATTGCGGCCGTGCCAGGCGAAAAAGATGATATATCCTCCGATGTGCGGTTCGGCCTTCTTGATATATCGGACTTCACACTCGCAGAACATCTCGGCACCCCAATTCCAGGCGTCAGCTAAATAAGTCACCAAGGTGGTTGTCTTGGAGCCGTCATTGACGCCGGTGCAGTCTTGGCCGGTCAGTGCCGAGGGACACATCTCGACGCCGGTGCTGTTTGGGCCGTTGCGGAATCTGGTTGTCTGCGGGACCATTTTGAACTTGCTCGAGAGCCCGAGAGCGGCCGCCTGTTTTTTCAGGAGGTTGACTTTGGGAAGTTCGGGCCAGTCATCTGGGTACTCGGTCGGCTCCAGGACATCTCTGGCCATCTGGTAATCTGTGAGCGGATGGATTAGTATTGATTCGACAGATAGATCCCTCAGGCCCGGGTGGGAGTTTCTTACACTTATCTAGACAACCTGGGTCATCTCTGATTGCCTTGGGCCAGATGGGCATGGACAGAGTTCCTCTGTCTGCTTCCAAGAAAACATTGGCGTTCATCAAGCTAGTTCCACCCAAACCTGTGCAACAAGTCAATGAACAGAAACTTTAAAGCATGGCAGAAATAGAAAATCGTACCGTTACCAACAATGGCGTTCAACCCCTTTCCGAAAATCAAGTGGTACATGCCGGTTGGGTCACCCCTCTCGATCGTCGTGCTGGGAAGCCAGCCAGGGGCAAACTCGCCGGACACGTGAACCTGATCAAAAGCATCGAGGACGCCACTGGGGTATTCACCTGGCCACTTCTCCTGACCCCGTTCCAATACACAAACAGATTGGCGCTTGCCGTTGGCATCTTTTGTCCGCGCTATGCGTGATGCGGCAACGGCACCACCATATCCTGAGCCGATAACTACACAGTCATAGCTATTGCGCATCAGTTCCACGGGCTTCGATATGCGAGGATATTGCCTGCGGGCCTCATCGTTATATGTGCGAATGTTGGCGTAGCCCCGTGACCTTGGGGCGTTGTCTTCCTCATGGATACCAAACGTCGGGATACGGTGAGACTTGCTGTATCTTATGCCGTTTGAAGGGGGCTCCTCTCGATATGAGCGAGAGGAGGAGGATGTTGGGCGCGAGCCTGTGGAATTAGGCGAGAAGCTGCTTAGTCTAGAAGAGGAGCTGTTGGAGCCGCTGGAGCTGTTGATGCCATTCGGGGTCCCGTTGGCGTCCGCATGGTATCCGTTGGCTTTAGCGATGTTGATGTTACTTGGTGTGGGCTGAGCGCCATTAACTGGGCTATCTGTAGTCGCCATTGGTGCCATTTATAAGGGGCGGCCAGCGCTAAGAGCAGCCGCGGCGTCTGTGGGACTAAGATTGTTCAAGCGTAAGAGTTTCTTAATATTTGAAAAGGAATCTTTATTTGCTGTTGTGCTGGATATGTTATATTAGGACAGCAATGTAGAGTTGGTTGAGATACTATTGGGTGGGCAGAAGGATTCTGAGGAGGGCACTGGAGAGCCTATATAGCAGAGATTGGTACGGCACATGAACGTTGAAATATGTGAGGCACGAATGCGGATGATGAGGACAATAACGCAGACGAGGGGACAGAAAAAGGCCCCTGTCAGTGTATGTAGGAATGCTCCACGGGGCTTCCATGACTGGCGAAATCGAGGTGCGCCGCGCGAACTATTCCTAGTAAGAAAAACCACACTAGCAGATGCGCCCTTGTGCAGATAGACAGTCCACCGTAGGGGAACGGCGTCTTGGGTGACCGGGGTACCAGGGGATCCTTGCCAGCCTTTACATGTGTGTGTACGGTATCCGTATTGTCGTAGGCTGCGCTACGAGGCCGGCATATCGGTATGGGACGATGCCGGATCCGTCATTCCTACGAATTTGAGAGCGGATGAAGCGGATTCGAGGCGACAATGCAATACTCGATACCACGGTCAAAGTCTCGTGAAAAAACGACAGGGCTAGATCCAATCTCTCCACCCGGGTCACTGTAGACGGCTTGAGACAGACCGGCGGACATGTTGGCGAAGCTGGCCTGAGTGATTAGTTTCTCCATGTCTCAAGTCGGATATCCATCTCGATCCGTAATGAGAATCATGTCACTCAGATGGCAGGCCCTTGACGAGGCTGGCTGGAGCAGATGCCAGGGACGAGACCGGGGACTTGGGCAGTGGGCAGCGAGACAAGGTGGGGAGGGTCGTAGTGCGTCCACAGAGATGGGCTGGCTGAACACTCCAAAGAGCCGGAGAGTGGGGTGGGTAGGAATCGATGGAAATGGGGTGGGAGTGAGACTCTGAGGGTTCAGCGCCACGTCTCCCGAGGTGTGAGTGGACGACAACATGGGCGCAAAGGCTGCAGCTGTACAGTTTGCGCAGACATGCTACTGGAAATAATGGAAGGACACCACCTCGTGCTGTCTAAAGTCCCCTTCGGTACGTAAGTAGTATGTATCTGTTGGGGAGTGGAGGATAATATTGAGTACAGATGACTGCGCAGTTTAGCTTACAAAAAAAAAAAGAAAAAGGTGCTACTGGTAAACAGGAGCAGCTCCCGCATGTAGAAGCGGTTTAATTGGCCAGTGGGGGCCAATCACAACCAGAAAATAATAAGATCCGTCTCCCTGTTGCGCCAATGACCGGTACCGATGGCTTTCTAAGATGGTGGGTGGGCTTGGAGCTGAGGGTTGTTGTGTCTGCTGTAAATTTTGCATGCGAACAGAATTGGGCAGAGGCGGCGGACTCCCGTAGCTGGTACGAATAGAGAGATTCGGCCACTCAAAAAAGTGTTCTGCCTGCGCGCAAATGAACCAATGGCAATGCTCCAATCGAATTTCTTTTCGGGCTTTCCCAGGCGGCCGTTCCCAGTCCCACAGCTAACAAGGATGAGCAGTCTAGTCCCCACTCAGACGGGATGGTTGCCCGTTTTGACAACCATGTTGGTTCTAGCGTCCCAGACGACCTGCAACTGGCAGCTGCCACCAGAAAAACAGGCGCCTCAGTGTACTATAGTAAGCCCAGGGCAGTTTGGCATGTGCGCAATCGCGCAAGGGAGGCTGCTTTGGTGGATCGTGCCGAAAGTGGTTGCCTGAAGCGTCCTTGAGTTGACGACGGATCCAGACGAGCCAGGTATACACGAAGTCAATTATGGGATACCACGCAACCTCCTGAAGTGTTCAGAGTAGGCGACATTGACACCAATCGACCTGGGCTAAAGTTAGCATGACGGGGAATAAGACCAACACATTCCCGTCGACTCCTGCAGCGCCAAATCCACATGGTCGTTGAGACACGCGAGGACCCTGGTCTTAGTCAAAAATGAGGCGTTTGACTGTGGTTGCCGTTGGCTGGCGAAGTGTGCTGAGGCGTAGTATGTTGTGGTACGGTGTGGCGTCGGGCTTCTACCTCTAAATAACGACATGGAAAATCCAAAGTCCAATGTGCAATGCCACACGCGGGCTTCTGGCATCTTATCGCTTCTTAGCCTGACAGCCCCTTGCTCCGAGGAACGTGGTGGTCGCCGAGCGAGATTTTGGTGAGCCAGTCAAATTGATGGCCTCGGTGAGGGCATATTGTTTAGGTACCTAGGTCTACATAGTACCAACCGAATCCCGACCACGTTCGGCAAGGACCCGTTCGTTATAGGCTTTCAATTTCGATAGGCCCACATGCAGAAACGGTGGGCTGTGGACGCAAGGAAAGGCCCTTCTTCTCTGCCTCTTTGGTTTGCTGCACTGCGCCATAAGCTACTACCGTCCCGCCTGGGGCTGGCCCCCACCAGGCTTACTATGGTTCCGTCAGTGTTGGTGGTTCCCGTCGTCATTGTGTCCAATCCTCGTCGATCGGCTCAAGGCAACCACCAAGGCTGAGCCGTGCCTCGCATGCTCAACCACGCCTACCTGCAACAAACGCCGCGGGGGCCCCGGGTGCAGTTGCATCATTCGTCTCAGTCGTCTCCAACATGGATTTATTTCATCTCGATTCGCAATTGTCGTTGGCAAATGATTCGCGAATCCCCCTTACCCAGCTGTCAGCAAATTTGTTCGACGAATACCACAGCCCGGAACGGCCCCCATCGGCGCATCATACCACACCATACCAATGCTGTTGGTTCTTTCGCGTGTCTTACGAGTCAATGCGTCAGAACTTATTAGGTAGGGCTGAAGGTCCTTTCTGGTTTATGTCCGGAGAGGCTACTCTCACTTCAGATGACCCCCTTCTGCAGGGGTTAACCCACGAGCATCTGGCCCATGCAATGCAGGCATTGTGAAAACTGTTGTGCAGGGAGAGAAATGGGGGCCGAGGCTCGATTCCAAATGGCTGTCAGCATTTTCCTATTACAGACTGTTAAGAATAGTTCAGCCCGGAACCTCTCTCATCGTTCCAATGGCTGGCGGCTACCGAATATTTTGTCGTTAATTATAACGTACCTCACACCGCATGTTGTGTTGCCTCGGGTTATCCGTGTAGACCAGCCAACGTTATCGTCAGGTTGTTCCGCGGGCGCACAAAACCCCCGGATCCTGCCTCTTGGAGCTTGTTACACCCAAAAGTTCCTTGGGAATCATCGAATAAAATCGACATCTTCCCTGCTAGATTAAAGTGATGTCTGTTAAGCGTCAGCAGGGGTTGTTGCAGATCCGGAACCTCCACCGTCCTCGCCACCACCATCCATTCTACCGTTGTCATCATCCACGAACGCCACTATCCGGGGGTTAAAGACGTTGGCATCGGGATCAATCCGCGATAGACTTCTTACCACTGTGTCAGCCTGATTCTTGGGGGCGGAGGAGTGTTCTCGGCCCATTAAACCTGGAACAGACATTCCGGATATCCGCTTCCACAGCCACAGGCATCGCACTAATCGCGTCGTCTTAAGCTTCACTTTGCGAAGCAACCCAATTTCTTTCCTCGTGAAATGTTCGCGTAGATCCCAGTCAACCGTTGACTATCCGACCGACTTGCACCTCATGTGGAAAAAAAAAAAAAGAAAAAAAAAAGGAGACGTCCGAAACGGTGCCTGCCTAAGTAGCTATTCTCGTCCGCTACCGGTCCAACTAACCGGGTCAAACTCGGTCTTACATGATATGCACGTTGAAAGATCGTCGAAACAAAGGAGCACGAATTCGGATACATTAATCGACGTATGCCTGGCAACCGGACGTTGACTGTTCAAGGAGGGGATTTCTGACGTTTCACATGCGACCGAGAGAATCCCAACGCAGCACGCTCGACATCAACTCTCGTCAGTACTTTATTGTAATGCACACCACCGCCACCACAGGCTTGCGTTGCCTTTTCCCCTTCTCTCTCTCTCTCGTGCGCGCCGCGTGGCGTTCTTTGAAGGATTCGGTACTATTCCTTCCTTCTTCGGCACTTGGAAAGGAAAGGATGGATGGATAAGCCGCCAAGGGACACCCAAGACATAGCCCTAGCCATAGCGGTTGACATGATTGTCCACTTTGAAGGAACGAGGGGTAGATCAGATTCTAAAATAAAAAAAAAGCCTTTGGTATAGAGCTATCTAAGGTATCCTTGCCACCAACGCCAGCTTCGAAATACAAATGGACATTACACTAGGAATTTCTCAAGTCATCATTCCGTCAGCCTACCGCCTGAAGAGGTGGCTGTATCATGTCCCATCCGAACGGAGACTCCTTCGTCATCAACCCTCTAGTTCCACCAGTCACCCTGGTCGTGCATGGCGCGGGCGACCTTGACGAAGCCGGCAATGTTGGAGCCGGCAACCAAGCTGGGAAGCTCGTCCTCGCCGCCCTTGACGTACTCCTTGGCGGTGTTGAGGCCGTTGAAGAAGGCATCGGTCATGATGTCCTTGAGCTTCTGGTCAACCTCCTCGGTGGTCCAGGACAAACGCTGGCTGTTCTGGGCCATCTCAAGACCAGAGACGGCGACACCACCGCAGTTGGCGGCCTTGCCGGGGGCGTACCAGATAGCATCGGCGCCCTTCTCCTTGCGCTGAGCCTCGAAGACGTCGATGGCCTCCTGGGTGCAGCCCATGTTGGAACCCTCGGCGATGGCAATGCAGCCAGCAGCGATGAGGGCCTCAGCCTCCTCCTTGGAAACCTCGTTCTGGGTAGCAGAGGGAAGGGCGATGTCGACCTTGCCGACGTGGGTCCAGGGGCGGGCACCCTTGATGTACATGAAAGCACCCTTGTGGTCGAAGTCGGTCAGAGACTTGCGCTCGACCTTGAGGTCGGCGATGGTGTTGATCTGCTCGGGGGTGAAAGCGGCGTCGCCCTCGGCGACAAGGCAGCCCTGGGAGTCGGACAGGGAGACAACGGTAGCGCCGAGCTCAATGCACTTCAGAGCGGCGTACTGGGCGACGTTGCCGGATCCAGAGATGGCGACGCGCTTGCCAGCAAAGGTGCCCTTGTTGGCGTACTTGAGCATCTGCTCAACGTAGTAGACAACACCGTAGCCAGTAGCCTCGGGGCGGATCAAGCTACCACCCCAGGTCAGGCCCTTGCCGGTAAGAACACCCTCGAACTTGTTGCGCTCCTGGCGGTAGGTACCGAAGAGCCAGCCGATCTCGCGGCCGGAAACACCAATGTCACCGGCGGGGACGTCGGTGTCGGCGCCAATGTGCTTGGAAAGCTGGCGCATGAAGGAAACGCAGAAGCGGCGGATCTCAGCATCGCTCTTGCCCTTGGGGTTGAAGTCGGAACCACCCTTGCCACCACCCATGTTGACTATATATCGAGTTAGTAAGGTGTCTTTTGCCCATGGCTGTTGTTGTTCTCGGATTGTGACTTACGGCCAGTCAAGGCGTTCTTGAAGATCTGCTCGAAACCGAGGAACTTGAGGACGGACAGGTTGACGGTGGGGTGGAATCTCAGACCACCCTTGTAAGGGCCAAGGGCGGAGTTGAACTGGACGCGGTATCCGCGGTTGACCTGGAGCTTGCCCTTGTCATCCTCCCAGACGACGCGGAACTGGATAATGCGCTCGGGGATGGAGACGACCTCGAGGGCGGTCTTGTACTCGGGGTACTGCTGGAACAGGGAGCTGTTCTCGAGGGTGCTGACCAGCTCTGATATGATTTGTTAGTCTCAAGAAGCCTCGTGATGGCGAGCTTCAACTGGCAGCAGACGTACCGTTGTAGGCCTGCTCGAACTCGGGCTCGGAAGGAAGGTTAGACATGTTGGGAGGTTGTTGGAATAAGTTGTGTGTTGGTTGATTGAAGGTGTTGGCCTTGGCGTCTCCGGCAGATGGGATGTCTGAGTTCGATGCTGTCAGAGATAGAAGCTGATGAGATTCCAAGTCTAAGACGTTTGGGAAGGGGGAACGGGCGCAAGTTTATATACGCATATGGGAAAGCTATCGATCGAAAACGAAAATCAAATCGAATCGAGTAAAAGCTCACAGGTCGCCAACCGCGAAAGGCCCCCGTTGCCCCCCTTGACCCCCGGTCAATCTCTGGTTCCTCAAGCTTCGGGAAACCCTTGGTGGTGAACGCAGTTTGAAGGTGGAGCAGTAGGGGACGATTAGCGCGCGAGCAAGACATGTCCGGGTCGGCCGTGGGGGGCGCTACGGGAGAAACGTCTCCTCGCTCATCTCTTCTTCATGCGCGTTCATTCGGCGGCAGACTGATAATGTGTCCTATCAATAACGAAAAATACTCAGATGAAACCCACGCCGTTGACGTAAAAAAGACTCAAGCGAGTCTAGGCTGGACAGAGTGCCGGGACCGGGCCCGGGTTTCCACGCTATGGGTGGCCGGGGTGTGTGAAAGAAGTCCCTTTGTGCAGCACTCTGATTTGCTCGGCGAGTATGAGTTATTCACCACCATCACAAAGAGACAGAGATTCGCCCAGACGTACCAGAAGTGCGATCCCGGAGGCGGCAATCCGAGCTGCCATGCTGGGGCGGAACCAGGGGAGGGGCATCAGGGATGGACCCGGAAAGAACATGGATCCAAGGGTCTCCATATTCGGGAGAGGAATTATGCCTGAAATGCCTTCATCAACCCCGTCGCCATGGGCTGGCGCGCGTGTCCCAAACAGGCCAGAACCTGGGGGACGTCATCCAACAATCGCATGCTCTTCTGCAGTTTTGGGACACTTGGACCCCCTTTTCCCTTCTTCTTCCTAGGAGGACCCCGCTGGCACATGCTTTCCGCACGTACGGATTCGTCCTTGCCCACCCGCCTGCGGCCTGTCACTCGAATGGGGAAGGGACGCCGTCATATCTCAATGTCATTGGAAATCGAAAACTTCCCTGCATGCTGTGGCGTACTATAGTACCACTTAAACAGGGCCCAGCTGCAATACCTCATATGTCTCTAGCAAAGCTATATCGCAGCTATTTTATCAGCAGCCTGTCATTGGCCGCCGCGATCAGAGTGCGTGAACCTCTTTGCCGCACATCTCCAAGGTGTTTTTTTTTCTTTCTGGGTGGGCGAGGCAGGGAGGCGCGACGCGAGGCTGGAAATTCAATTTGCCGCCTCAGTCGATCGACCGATGCGACAACGGCCCTTCGGGCATGATGCGAAATGAAATGATGCATCGGCCATGACGATGCGGCGTCATTGTCTTGCATGGCCCATCTCCATGCACCAACTCGAGGGGAACTGATAAGGAAAACAGGAGGTAGGGAGGGAGGGTTTACGACAGGTTGGACAAATGTCGATTGATCATCGCAACTCGTAACCGCGACGCGACTGGGCAGAAGGCTAGCGAGGATGAGACAGGATAGATTGGTTTGACAGCGCCGAAAAACGGCGCTTGAGTCGCGCTTCCGCAATCGGAAGTGAGAGAAAGAAGGCCACCGGCGGCGGGATGTTGCAGCCAGGGAAAAGGAGTCGGGGGATGGAAAAATGGTTCGGGTTGGGCCACAACGGCTACGTAGTATGGCTGGGCTGGGCTGGGCTGTGCTGAAGCTGAGCTGTGGTTGTGAGTTTGTGTTGACAAACTGTGCTGACGAGTCGAAATTGCGACAAAACCCGATAGAATGCGACGCAAGCCAGCCCTTCGATTCGCCCCCCTCCCCCTCCTCCTTCCCCTCCTTCCCGCACCGCACCGCACCGCAACCTCCCTCCTCGCCTCTAAAATCCCGACAGCCGAGCTGTGTGTGAAGTCGGATAAGCCGTCGCCGCTTGGAGGCTTTTCTTTCCTCCGGCGGTTCTCCGGAGCCAATCCCCCTTTGACTGCGTTTCAGTGGGTTGACGGGAGGGTCCCTCAATCTCGGAATTGGGTTATTAGCACCTTTACTTGATACCGTGTGTCAGATCCCTTGGACTGTGTCGACTAACAATCATTTATGAGACATACACAGGCACCCTCTATAGAAACTCTGGATGCAGATGCGGAAAATTGCTGAAGAATGCGAGAGATGCGCGCATGCGGTTTATTGGCTTAGCTGTGACCCCAACACCACCAAAAAACCTCAAACACCCAGACTTACAATCCTCCTAGCCCTTTTGTTTTCTCGCCATCCCCACTATCCATTCCCATTACGTTTTGCTGCCTCTCTCTTGACTTTCTCTTACGTTTTCTGCTGGGCTTTCATTCGCGAATTGCTGGACGAGAGTGCATAGGAAATTTATGCTTAAAGCTCATGTAACATTGCCATGGCTTGAAGGTCAAATTTATTTGGCTTCTTCTCACAGGTTGACTTGCTGTGCTTGAAAAGTTACCTCATACGGTTATGTGTTGGTTCGAAGCTCACATGGGTGTCCAGACTACTAAAAAAAAAAAAAAAAAAGGGCCAGTTAGACCATCACAGTCAGAACCCCTCGGCGTAGCACCGTATCGTGGGCGAGATTGATAACCTAAAAAACCGTGTATGTGGGGAATAAAACATATCTCCAGCGAGCCGACGTGCGTGTTTTGTGCCTTGCGCCGTCGTCCGCCGCCGCCACCAATGCCGATCCAGCAAAGTGGCCGGCGGCTGCCCTTCGTCGCTCCTGCAGCTTTCTACCCAGGCTTGTCAAGCTGTCATGTCCGCCCTTCCGCAATTGACCGACCTTTCCCTTTCGCCCCCTGGTCGCTGTCGTTGACGTCGACGAACCACAACGCTGCTTTCGCCTCGGTGTTAGCTGAAGCCTTTACACAATTCACCCTCAATCATAACCTATCCATCCAAACAAAATGCCCACAACGGAACTTGTCCTTGAGCCTGCGGATTTGTGGAAATAATTGCCGCATGTCATCTCTCTTTTTCCCATTTTCTACCTTCCCCTCTCTGCTGCTCTCTCGTATTATGGGAGAATATCATACAATGGAAACGCCTATACCCCCGTCCTACCCAAATTTCCTTCCGATTCCTCCCGACAGCTGATGATTCATCCTCATGTTGCATGTTTCTCCTCCCAAATAATTCTGGACCGCCCCTCCATCGGGCGTCGTTACATCCATAGAAACGCCGTGAACGCCGTTCTCCGAAATAAATGAAGCAAAGGAAAAAATCGTCGTGGGACCTCCTCCGCCACATCTTACTCTTGCCTGTGACGGTGGAATCTCCTGTACCGGCCCATGAGCGGAAAAGCTTAGCGTCGTGATATGCCCCTCCAACCTTCATCATCATCCATGGTCGCCCTAGTCCCCGTGCCCCCCTTGTCGCCGATGCACGACTCTACCAGATTGCCGCCTGGTCAAAGTCGAAACGCTTCAGCTCCTTGCCTGCATCCTCAAGGTCCTTCTTCGCCTTCATACGCATGTAAAAGATGGGGCAGTCCTTGCTGCTGCAAATCACTTCGCAGTGCATGCTGCCCTGGCATCGTTGGCATTGCGTCCAGAGCCGACCGAACCGCACCTCGAGGTCAGACACCTTGTCGAGAGTCTTCTTGTAGAGTTCGCCGACCCGAGGCGCGCAGTCCGAGCAAACGGCCCCCGCGCTCTCTTCCTTGCCCTTGAGCGGCCGCTTGCATCCCATGCAAGTCTGTGTCTTCTTTGCAAATTTCATCAAGCCTCCCACGGTCGGCGCAGACACTGCAATTGTCCGCGTGTGTGCTCCCGTGAGAAGCGAGTTCGCCTTGGTCTCGCCCAGAATGGGCTCAAAAATTCTGCCGAGAGGCTTCGCGAGCTGGTTGTCAAGGTAATATTTCGTGTCAACTGGCACGTTATTCTCGAGAACGTAGATGGGGTCCTCAGAATTCTCGTAGTTCTTCGAACCAGCTGCGCCCTTGACCATCACGTATGCAACTCGGTCACCGAGACCTGGCGCCGAGCCAGCGTCACGCTTCTTCATTCTTTGCGCCAGCTCGACGTGTGCTTGTTTGGCGGCGTAATCGTCTTTCGTAAGAGCCTTTGTTATCACAAGCTTCGACATATCCACCTTGTTCTGCAGCAAGTCCGCAATGGTGTCCTTGACATAGCTGGCAACGATTAGTTGAGGTTTACAAATGAGGGCGAGGGGCAAGCTTACTCTTGAGCACCCTGGACATCCTGATCAATCAGGATCATGCGAAGCACTTTCTCAATGACCGTTTGCACAAGCAGACAGTTATCTCGTCGCACAGTCTCGATACCCTTCGTGTCCATTTTGTCGTACTTCTCTGGCTTGGTCCAGTACAAGCCGGCATATCGCTTCTTGTTGATGAGCAGATATGGGAAGTATACCTTTTCGAACTCCAACTTGATCGGCTTGACAAATTTGGAAGATACAAAACCAGCGGCTTCCTCACCAAGTTTCATTGCCTCTGGGAGGTCTTTGGTGCCAAATTTGACCATGACTGAATCAGTATCACCATAGATGACCTGGGCATCATGGGAGTAGCCGTTGGCGATGCAGTACTTCTTTTCCACTTCCTCTTTCGTCTTCATAATCATTTGTCGACCGAAACTCGTGGTGCTACTGGCGATTTCTAGGCAGGGCAACTTACCAGTTGTCGCACCCGTCAGGCCGTAGACGGAGTTTGCACTGATCTTCAAAGCCAATTGTCGACCATTAAGCACGGCCTTCTTGAACGGATCCGTTTCCACTGCGAGCTCGCGCTTGGCCTGCTTTCTAGCTGCAAGAAGTTCCTCGAGAATCTGAGCAAGGAGACCCTTGCGCTTCTTGACTGTAACGAAAGTGTCACCGTTTGGAGTAACAATATAATCCTCGTCTTTCTTCAGGTCAAATTTCTCGATGGCCTTCTTGTTGACCAGTGTCGTGTAACACAGGTTGTGGGCTTGCATGATACTGGGATACAGGGAAGCGAAATCTAGAGTGGCGATTGGCACGTCGTAGTATCCTCGAGTCGGTTCAATAACGGTGGCACCTTCGTATTGCTCATCACTGCTCTCCGACCGCAGGTTTGGAATGACAAGCTTCTGCTCGAGTGCCTTGCGGAAAAGCTGACTGATGAACTTGACTTGCTGACCTCTGGAGAGTAGGAAGTTGAAAGGAATACCCGTGACTCTGGCCATTTCTGTGTAGTTCTCCAGGCAGGACAGTTTGTCCATCAACCGTTGCGGGAGATAAGCATCCTTCAGACAATACAGAGCAAGACGACGCCGTGATTCAGGGGTTCCGTTGAACAATTCTGTAATCATAGTATGGTGGACATCTTCCTTTTGCTCTCCCAGAAAGTGTGAGCATACAGAATTGAGCGTGTAACTTCGCAGGTGATGGTCACGTTGAACAAGCTGCAACAAATCCAGTTGCAGTCGTCCGTTGGTGTTTGTGGCCTTTGTGTCGCGGTTACCCATCTGTTTGCTGGAGAAGTTTGTCTCCTTGGACCTCGAGGCTATGCTCGGTATCCGAGACCAGTACTCGAACCCAGCAACTTTCAAGTGTCTGGCTCTGTCGAGAAGGTAGGGAAAATCAAAATTGGCAATGTTGTACCCGATGATGATATCTGGATCAACCTTGACGAGGAACTTCTGCCAATCGCTCAACATCTTTTCTTCCTTTTGAAACTCCAGGATTTGAGTGGCGACAATGGGACTGGTAGTATCCAGACAGAAGACATTCCGCACAAATGGTTTTTTCTCTCCATATCGGGTTACGACGTTCGCAATCTGAATGACAGGGTCGTGTGTTGCCTCGGGGAAGATGCCTTTACGTCCAGCACACTCGATATCGAATGACATGATTCTCAGAGGGGCCATCTTTGACCATTCTCCCTCGGGCTTGTGGGCAATAAGATCGAGGTAGCTGATTTCCGCTTCGATTTGGCAATTAGATTGTCGATGTGATTGGGGGAGGAGCTGGTATGACTTCGCAGGGGCTTCGACCCATGACATTCCGTGGATCTAATGGAGAGGATTAGATGTATCCAAGCCGAACAAGATTCCGGGTTCTTACCTTGCAATCTACCATGAAGCGCAAGACGTATTGAATGTTATCAAAAGTCATGACGCCTCCTTCCATACCTTTCCACAGGCCCTTCCAGTTGGCACTGCCTGTCTCAATTGTTGTCCGCACTCTGCTGATGAACTTGGGGTCCATAACAGTAATCTTCAGGTAAGGACTCTGAACATTTCCTTGGAAGCCGTAGATGTTTTCTCTCATAGCGAAGGAAACGGAATGAATGGCAGGTTGGTGCTGTGCGACCTGCGACTCTAGGTAGGCCTTGAAGGCATTGCAGTCTTCAGGCCGGAACGCTACGGGGGCAGCAACATAGAGGTAGTGCTTGAAGTCCGTGACGTGAAGCATCACCGAGTTACCCTGTTCTGTAACACCGAACAGCTTAACTGTTGCACGGCCACCATGTAAGCTACCTTCTTCTGCCTCAATCTGTTGGAAGATGAGATTGTCCTTCTGGGAGTTGAAATCAACAAGCTCTGGTCGGTCCCACGCTTGATCCTTCTCTGTGTTGTTCTGCTTAGCATCAGATATGTCCTGACTGAGCTTCTCAAGGACCTCTGATTCAAAGGCGCTCTTGGGTTGACTTGATCCTGGAAGGTTCTTGGAGTTCTTTTGCGAGCCGATGCGATGGGCTGGGGAGGACGAGAAGCCTTCGACCTTGCGCTTCTTGAGGGACGACGGTGTCGGTGGGATGTTGCGACGGGTGCTGGGTGTCTCCCCAAGCACACGCTTCTGGGGAAGAACCGTGGTAGCCATGATGTGTGTATGGCGATGTTGAAAGAGTGGGCAAAGGGGATCAGCCAGAACTCATAGTACAGTAGGTCGGAGGATTGTTGTTGGGTGGCTGCTACAGTTGGAACTTTTAGAGGGGACGTGACGAGCGGGCTTCAGACGCGCTCGTGAAGACGTGTCGGACCCATATATCTTAATGGAAGCAGGGGCGCGAAAAATGATGACTAAGGTGGCGTTTCGAGACGCGACCTTGAAGGACCTCGTCAACAGATACCTCTCGGTAACGGGCCCTCAGAATATCCACCTCACCGAGGAGCTGTCCTCAACAATGTGTTTGTCTGTTCCTGACTGTTGACGTTTTACCTGTAGCCTATTGACTGGGAGTACTTTGATGTTTTTCGTATTTATATTATTCTAAATTCCATCATGTAGTTTTTTTTCACTGATTAAGGCTGACGGAACATGCAGGATCAAGCCATGAGTTCGGCAGCAATGTACGTTAACGAGTAGAGGGAACAAATAAGGTCACTAGGAAATTTCAGGACACCTGGATTCATTCGCATACCGTTGTTTGGCTAGAATCTATATACATATGAACAGAAAGTAATCAGGTTTCTCAATCGTGGATATTCTATATCGCTGATATCGAAAGCATTTTGCCCGCTATCATAAACGAATCTAACCCCATAGGCAATATACTCTGTTCAGGCAAACAACCTACTTTTCGGAGAGAAATAGTTACTTATTTAAATTCTATTCATTAAAGACAAGCTGAGTTCCGAGTACGTAACGTCCTCCAGCCCATCGAAAGATATGCGGGGTAGCCAAGGCAGTGGTGCATCAACTCGTCTGAGGACGTTGCAACGGTTCGAGCCATGGACGCCGGCCCGCTCAGGCAGCAACGGCTGAGCCCTGCTGCCACATGCAACGTGCGACTCTATGAATGCAATTTGTGGGAATAGGAAGGGGAAAGAAATCATCCTTTCTTCATGAAATACCCCAATCTGAACCGGACGCCGTCGCTGAGCAATGCAAACCCAGTATTCCCATGTCAAAGTGCGTAACCCAATGCAAAGTACTCGTGTTCCTTGTGTTCCGTCTTCATATCCTTCCGTAGACACTCACGATGATGAGCCGCGGGTGATCTTAAAGTTATCGAGCTCGCACCAGTTGTTGACAGGCTAATTGCTTTGTTAGTCAGGATACTTGATGAAGGAATTGTGCAATATACTCACTATACAACTGAGGTACTTGCACCAGCTGCAAGTGTTGTGATAGACATAGAAGTTGTTAAGCAGGACGATGAACACAATGATGACCGTCAGCAAAAAGGCGCCTCTAACCAACCACCAAGCCCACCAGAGTGGCTTCCGACCCTTAAAGAAACCAACAGGATTCTTCAAAAACGGAGGGGGGCCTTGATTGGGGTTGAGCTGCATGGACGCGTATGACGGATCAGTGCCCAGTCTGCGCCTCAAAGAGTTGGGAGAATGCAACACGCAGATGCCCAGCGCCAGACCCATGAGAAACCCACCGATATGGGCGAAGTTGTCCAGGCCAGGCAACAGACCAAGAATGAAGGAGATGATAATATCCAACATAATGAACATCAAATCCTTTACAGGACTGCGTCGGTCTTTCCAGGAGTACAGGAGGTCAAGCAAAGTAAGAGCAATCACGCCAAAAAGAGCGCCCGAAGCACCTGTTGAGGCCGTCATGACGCCAGCGTAGTTTGCTCCCATAACATTGCCGAATATACCAGCACTCACGTAGACCAAAAAGAAGCGAATAGAGCCAATGGCAATCTCCATCTCTTTACCTATCGTCATCTGCAGCAGCAGGTTGAAACCGATGTGGATCAATCCCGCGTGCAGGAAAATAGGCGTGATGAAGCGGAACCATTGATCGGGCTCTGGCTTCTGGTTGATATCGTGATAGGTGGGCTCAGGAACTCCGCCGAAACCACAAAGATCACCGAGTCCGCACTGGTTAGACGGGTTGTTGGCATCGGACGAGGTCGAGTTGGGGCAGGGCCATGTGATAGTTTCGCCCAAGTCTTGAATACCCTTGACGTTATGCATACAGGCAACATAACGAGCACCCATATTGATCATGACATAAGTCGAAGGCCCAATCATAGGGTTGAAACTGGGTTTGGTCATGATGGGCGAACCCGTCAATTGAGCTGAAGTTTGTTAGTAAGCCCGACTGGTAGATGGACACTTGAAAATGCTGACTTACCATTCTTGACAATCTCGGCGATAAAAACGGCGACTTGAACAAGGGTAAAAATATATACCACCCATGGAATGCCCTTCCTATCCGCGCCAAACATGCCCAGCTGACCAAAGCCAACCTTTTTCTTGTCACGACGGCTCTTCGAGCGCCGACTTCCCTGAGGCGCGTCGTACACATGATCGTTCTCGTTCATCTCGATGTCATTTGGCTTATGCTCCTGCCGACTTTGCAGGGGGATGTTGTCCGCTACATGAGGTCTACTAGAGTCGGGGGAGGCCGACGACTGACCGTAGTAAGCGGTGTCTTGGTTATAGGGGTTGGATTGCTGGTTGTAAGGATTGGATTGCTGTCCGTACGGGTCGGGCTGCTGGCCGTAAGCGTTGTGTTGCTGAGGCAAGGGGGGCAGAGGCTGCATGTTTCGTGGGTCGTTCGGATTATCGCTACTGTAGACAGAGCTGACGGTGTGAACCGTGTTCATGCGCTGAACGTTGGGGTTGTTCGTGTTTTGAGGAGTTTGGTTGGCGTTGTGCCGAAAGCCGTCTTGAGTCGAGTCTACTGGATAAACATGATCATCGAAAACTGATTCAAAAGGCGAAACGGTGTTTCCGCGCGGTGGCGGGTGAGAGGCGCCGGGGGCTTGTGATATTTGACTGTAGGGAGGAGCAGGCGTAGAACTTGTTGAAGGGATGTTGTTGTACGCGCTGCCAGGATAATAGGGAGCAGGTGGCGGAGACGCTGCTGCAGGTGGTTTGTTGACGTGGTAGTAATCGTTGGATGCCATGATGTGACGGGGAGCCAGAGGCAGATTAGGATGTGATTAGATGAGGCCCGGGGAATGGGAATTTGAGCAACTTTGTCTTCTGACAAATCTCGCTTGAAGGGCCGAGCTGGAACTTTGGCTGGGCTGATGATCGAATCGGACTAGCGAGATGGAGATATGCTCAGATACCGGAAAGGGACCAAACGCGGAGAAATGTGACAGCGGGAGGTTGAGGAGGTATGTGTGTGCGTTTGCTTTTGCTTTTTGGAGGGAGATGTGGGTATTTGTTCGGGAAGTTTGCTGAATGGTTAGAAGCTAGCCAAACCGCCTTGTGGGATCTGTCCCTGGTGGTAGGGGGGGAGGGAAAAAAAAAAGAGGCGCTGTCGGTTGACGAGGGGAGCGAGTAATCCTGGATGGGCCGGTAACAGCCAAATTGGTCCGAGCTAGTGACGGTGATCTATACAGCTGAGAGCGCTGAAATGTAATTGCAGGTTCACCCAGGCGGGAGTGAATTACGATTAGCGGGCTGTGATGCCTGTGCACGACCTGAGCTAGGTACTAGGTATTGATAAGTGTGCACCACTTCGGATGACTGCGCCAGTCAAATATGGTGAGTGTGAGTGTCGGAGCGCGGCAGCGCGGTGATGCGAAGGGAACCTAGACTTATAACAAGAAGGAATGACCGAGGGAAGGGAGGTTCCAGGTTCACAAGTCAAGGGATGGGTCTAGTAAGAAGCAGGACACATTCCAAGGAAAGAAGAGGGGGGAGGTGAGGATGCTATTTCTTTTAAACGGCCAGCATTTAAAACGCATGCCTTCCTGGTCTTGTTTCTGCTTTGCCCAGGCCGCCAAGTGGGAGCCAAAGTAAATCGGTGGTTGGCTGTGAAGAGCACCGGGCAGTCATGGAAGAGGAAGGGGGAAGGGAAGTGTGGGAGAAGTGGCCCAGCAAGACAAAAGAGGGACAAGCGCGATCACCAAACGGGAGTCTGAGTAGCAGGGTGCAGCAAAGTGCAGAGAGCGCAGTAGGTCTTGCAGTAGTCCCGGCCTTGAGGCTGTGTCAGCATTGCCAACATCCTGTTCACCCTTTCACTGGGGGCTTGTTGATCTTCCTGCTGGCACCTGTGAGCCTACCTGTGCTAACTTTGGAACAGGGGCCCACAAGTTTCAGATAATTGCGTAACCAGACCGCTGAACCCCATGGCAGGTGAGCAGTACCTGATCAACTACTATGGTATCCCTCTCGCCTTGTATCGTGGTACTTTGTGCCTTTTACTTTCCCTTTTTCAGCCAATGCCATCAGTACAGCTCCAGCTCCAGCTCCAGCTCCCAGCTCCAGTTCCCAAGGTGGTAAGGTACCTAAGGCGATGAATGTGTACCCACCTCGGATGGGACCCATCTCAGCCTGAGGTTTTGTTCTCACCTTGGCCGCTGTAAACCTGCCGCTTGCGCGGCCACAATGCTCGTTGATGACCACTTTTGCGGACCTGTTCAATTCCCCTCCATATGCACTGCTTCCTTCTATCAACTCCAGACACCAGACCCTATTGTACTTCCCCACCTTTCTTACAAAAGTATCCGATCTCTAAGGTATGTTCCACTCGTGCTGGCTTTGCCATCCATTAGCATCGCCAAATACCAGTGCCGAGGATTACAGCAACTTGTATTCCTTCAAGCACTCTTACTGCGCCGTAGACTTACACCACGATGCACTGCACTCTAACACACTCCAATGATGAAATACCCTACATGGCCTGCGACTGCCGATCCATGTCCTTTGCTGCATGCAGCCTGTGGGTACCATCCTGGCTCTAACACAGGTTCCGCAGAGCGGCGCAACCGCCGCATTGCCAAAAACCAGAGTCATGACCCTTGAAAACTATGGCTATTCCACAACGTTGAGGGAGCAACACCATCATAAGGTAGGTGTTCATTCCAATTCCATCCCATCAGCCGCTACCTGACAAGGACCAGCCTTGCGCAGCAATCAACCTTTTACCAACGAACGATTTCTCTTGTTCGAATTAAGTAGCCCGAAAGACATGTCCGGCTATCCGGGGTCTCCAACAGTCCTTTAGGGGCTTTTACTTTACTTACCCATAGTATGCTACATGGATCACTTGGACATGACCAACCGGAATGTGGATTTCGCGGCACCCGGTACATTTGCGTTTTTCCTGAAGAATCTGCCAATAGACAGTGGATTCTTCGCGTGTCAGCCTCTCTTTCTTCGTTGCCCACATTGCGGTTTCATTACAACCGGTCAGCTTTATCCAAACAAAGTAATTAGATGAAGCCCCTAGAAGCGCAAGGCATGAGCTAGCTTGCGAACATGAGTGAGGCTATCGCTACAGGCTCGCTATTCGCATGTCGACTACCATTGCTCCCACATCTAACCCTTGTTGCTATGTAAGACCATCTCACATTTACAAGGCGTCAGCCCACCGACGCGTGCAGGGTCTGGAGCACTTACGACAATTGGTGGCTCAGCTCTCAGCCACTCAGAAGCCGTTGTAGCTCATGGAGGCAAGCCACCTCCACCACACGAGCGAAACACGAAAGAAAATCCCAAGCCTGTGAGATGACGTACTCAGGCACTATATGAGTCTCTTGGTTCTTCCTCACACTCGTGTGCATGCGATACGGCTGCGTTATCAGCTGATAACGCTCGGCATTTCCTCCAGCCCTGGAAAGGCCTGGGCCCGTCTGCGACATCCCCTGACGACCATAGAAGTTCGGGGTGCCAGCCCTACCTAAATCGCCAGAGGCTTGCCTTGGAGTCGCCTGTCTGTGCGCCTTCATATGTAGTAGATTCATCGTAGGGTTGTCGGAGACCGGGGAGCCTGTCGCCGCGCTCCCAATCCCTCATTTATTTCAATGGTTTATCACGTGCTGATAAGATAAGACCCTTGATCAACTTTTTTTTCCCCCCCAATCCCTCTTTGAAGCTTGAGCCCAGTGTTGTTTATTTGAGTCTCTGGCAATTATAGTAGCTTGCTTTTGACAAGTATCCTCACTGTTTACTTTCACTGGCACAATGGGAAGGAAATCTCTCCGTGCCGAGTCGTTTTCCGATATGGAGGACGGGGGCGCCAAGCTCAACACACCCATGGTTCGCGTGACTCCCCGAGTCTTCAGCCGTCACCATTCTAATGCCAAAAGTAGGACGATGCGATGGAAATAGACAGCACACCAGTCCCTGTAGTAGACAAGAAGAAGGCCGCCGCCGACGCACGTGCCGAACGAGCGGCGAGGAGAAAGCAAAGGAGGGAGGAGCTGGCAGCACAAGGCCAGTCAACAACGTCTTCGCCGGCCAGCACCCCGAACCCTGAAGCCGAATCTACGTCACCGACAAAGAAGACAAGAAGAAAGAGGCCAGAGAAGAAGAGCAGCCCGAAGAAGTCCGATACGGCTGAGACGGAAGCCGATGCTCCAGTTGAGCCCGCAGTGCCCCCAGAATCCGTCGCTCCAGAGGCCCTCGCCCCTGCCACCGAACCCGTAAATACGCCCGCGAATGAAGCCGAGCATCTCCCCCTCGCTACTGCCTCCAAGCCTGTTATTGCAAACACAGAAACTAGTAGCCCGTCAGCTTCGGAGCCGGCCACCTCAATTGCGCCGAGCTCCATCAACGGGGACGGCCTTAACAGGGCAGCAAGACGACGACTGATGCAGATCGAGAGACAACGCATATTGATCAAGAAGGAGCTCGGCATTGCTGCTGACTCAGACGAGCGCCAGGTCGAGGTGGAAGCCCTGCTGACGGCCTGGACCGAACAGTTTGACGAAAAAGCCGAGGCTCGTGCGGCTAAAAAGCGTGCCAATAAGGAGGGGGGCAATGGCAAAGGCAAGGGTAAGCTTCTCACAGGACGAATCAATTATGAGAAGCAGAAGCAGATAAAGAAGCAGAAACGAAAAGAAGCCCTAAGACGCTGGCAGGAAGCCAGCTCGGGGACAAGCTAGCCTCTCTGAAGCTGGACGATACCCAGTCTGTGGAGAAGAGACAACTGTGAGGAGTTTCATGGAAGTTACGAACGGAAGAAGAGAGGAAGAAAACGCAAATGCATAATGGGCGTCAAGCGAATTTTGTGGGCGGAAGGAAAACCAAAAGTTTACAGCGAGCAGGAGCATATATACATATCTGCGTGTAAAGCACATACAGTGGTGACGTTGCATCGGTCCACGGACTCGACGCCAGCCATATCTTTCAATATTGCTTGATCTACATTGCTCAATTAGCTAGTAATGTACAGTACCTAGGGGAGATGGTCAACAAAACCAACCATGAGCGCCCCGAATCAGCCAAAACGCCAGGTGTAGAGGACCGTTGCCATGGCCGCATCAAAGCCAATGGCGTGCGGTGGCCCTCAGTTCCCAATTTTCTGTTTTCCTACAAAATGTTCCTCGGTCGTCACTCGGTGTGATCATGCCTTCTTGTTATCGTCATCCTCCTTCTTTCCCTTCTCGCCATCCCAGACCTCCTTGACCTGCTCTGCAATCAAATCTCCCAACCCCCTGCCCTCAGCCAACGCCTTCGCGTGCTCCTCCCCACGCTTGGCATCCCAGTCCTCAGGCTCCTTGCCATACCATATCCTCTGCACGAGAGATCGCTTCTGGTACTCGATGGCGCGCATCTGCTCCTCCGTCAAACCCTCGCGGCGCATCCGCTCCTCGCGCAAGGCCTGTTTTGTCCTTTGCGCCTGCTCCGGAAGGGTCGTGGGGAACATGGCCTCGAATCGGGCGCCGACACGCTGGTAGATGGACTGGCCAGTCCAGTCGTACATGAGCTGGTTCGTCGAAGCGGAGAAGATGGACGAGTGCATAAAGAATCGCCAGTCCATACGCCGCGGCGGCAGGATCATCATGATCGGGGATAGAACGGCGGCAGCAATACAGAAGTTATGGACAAGAGGAGGTGTTCCTTGGAAGGGAACCTCCTCAGGCTTGCTGGTCGTCGAATCCGACATTTTTCGATTTGAGCTCGTGGGTAAGGTAGGAGTTGTTGGATTGGATCTTCCTGTGAGCAATCAAGACTTTTGAAGGGTTGCGCTTCAGTTTCGTCGGCCTAGGAGTGTGTTGCAGATTTTCTGGTGGCAGCGCAGTGGTTGCAGGAGTCGACAACGTCCGACGGCGGATGTTCTTGATTGCAGGTGCAGATGTGAAATTTCCATCCGCCAAAATTTCGAGTCGCGCCACGGCGCCGGGATAAGTGGGGCCGAATCAACCCGCAAACCGGCATTCGGAAGGTTACAATTGCGTTCCAATGAACGGCCTGATACGAGTACACCATGAGAAGGAGCATGTACTACAAAGGGAGTACGATTATATAGTAGTCTATCAGCGTGACACATCGCATTGATGTCTTTCTCATTATCGTCGATATATGTCCTCTAATCAGTCTCCGACTATAAAAAAAGCGCCTGCAAATTCATCAAATCTAAATCAAAACTTTTCTTTGGCCTATTTTAAACGCCTTCTCCGGATGCAGCCTGAGATGCTTGAACCGAATCCAAAATGGTTGCTTCATCTTGCCACAGATGAGCACCGGTCTCCTTCAACAACCTGACACATTCCTCGTTGTTCGTCTTCTCTGCGAGGTACAGCGGCGTGTTGTTGGCGCGGTTCCGCGCGTGCACGCTGGCGCCCCTCGTAAGCAGTTCGCGCAGAATCTTGATCTCGGGCCCGACAGCCGCGAGATGTACCGCCGTATTGCCCGCGTAGTCGGCCATCTTGAGGAGCTCGTGCTGCCCGTCGTTATCCAGGATCTCCTTTACCGTCTTCAGATCCCCGTTCCGTATGGCGTAGCCGAGGACAGTAAATGCCGATTCTGACGCCGTTAGTCGCGCTACGACCGAGTCGAGTGAACCAGATGGATGCGAAAATACCGGAAGAGCCATTTCGGTCATTTCGCCACGGAGCGAATGGGACATCCGGGCGCTCACTTCGGCCGTCGAAAGATTGGGGACAGCGAGCAAGTAGGACAGCTTGGTCAGGGCCGCCTCCGCCGTAAGGTCTAGGCCGAAGATGACGCCCGCACGGCCGAGTTCCGTTCCAGGTCCGTAAACCGGTGAGACGAAACCGCTCATGCACTGGCTGACATTCACAACGATTACACCGCGGTCCACCGCCGCCTTGATGACCTTGGTCAAGCTGCCGTCAATGCCGCTTGGTGCGTTGCCCATGCCGAATGTCTCCAGGATCAGACCACGAAGGTCAGGAACACGCAAGACTGAGTCCAACATCTCTGGTCTGATGCCAGGGAAGACACGCAGACAGGCAACGTGGGCAGTGTCGAGATGCTGGGTAACCTGGAGCTCAGCAATTCTAGTGGGCCTCAGCACGATAGGCCAGTTAACATCAATACCAAGTCCGTTGACCTTAGCCAGGGGCTCGCAGTTGGGACTGGCAAAAGCCTCGAAAGCAGCGGAAGAAACCTTGCTTGTTCTGTTGCCGCGGAACAACTTATGGTGGAAGAACAAGCCGACCTCGGGGATGACGAAAGTTCCTGCAATAATGAGCGAGCCCAGCAGGTTGTCTACAGCGTCTGATTGCAATGCAAAAATAGAGGCCTGAGAACCAGTGAGAATGACCGGCTTGCCTAGGTCAGAAAGCATGAAAGAAAGAGCCGAGGCCGTGTACGACAGGGAGTCGGTGCCGTGTAGCACGACAAAGCCATCAAAGAGACGATAGTTCTCCCTGATCGTTTGGGCGATTTCGGTCCAGCCCTCAGCTGAAATGGAGCTCGAGTCCAGCAGAGGCGAGAATTCCAGCACGCCGTAGCGGATGTGACGAGAGTAGGCGCTGGGCGGGGTCCTCAAACTGTCGAGAACCACCTTCTGGCCATCTTTGTAGGCCTCGAGTTGAACTAAATCTTGTCAGCAAGAAGCAATACACAGCTGTGTAAAATGATCGAATCGAATAAATGTCCACGTCTGGTTGACTTTTCTTTCTCCTTTTTCATTTGTGAACAAGTGGTTCACATAGTCTATGTGACTTCCAGGACGTTTGAGACAGTAGGCATTGCCAATGCAAAGCCCATGGATCACTCGCTCAAGTTCTCTTCTGTGCAGGTCCCTCAAGGAAAAACCTACCGGAAGGCGACGACTTGTCGTTGAATGAGGGGCGCGGGGCCATGGCATTCTTCAAAAATCCTCCAATAGGCTTGAGTCCATCGGCGGTAGGCTGCATGCAGATAGTGCCGCCGGTCATGATAACGAGGACTCGCGACTCCGGGTAACTGGACTCCGGGAGAAGTCGCTCACCGATGGGTTCGAAGGCCATTTTTGCGAGTTGTGTCGAGCTACAACAAGAGGCTTTGTCTCGCAAAAACAATAACGAAGAAAGAGTTGAAGTTGTGAGTTTATCAGTTGGCGGCACCTCCACAGATAAGTTGAGGGGCACGGGGAAGGTATGGAGGGGCAGAAGCTTTTGTATGGAGAACGTACGGCAACGGCCGGGTCAAGTCATGGGGTTGTGCAAAATTTTGTAAATTTTGTCAAATGGAGACCATTGCAAGAGCCATGACAAGCGGTTAGCGATGATGAAAGCACAGAAGTGGAGACCGATGGCGAGTCAAACAAGTCATTTGCAGGATGGAAGGCACGAAAGTACGGGGTGAGGAACGGTACTCTGTACATGGAAGAGCATGTGGCGGCGTATGGTGTACGGCAGTTGTTGGCCAGACCTGACATTAGATTCATGCGTGCTTTGTGCTTCCGCTTTGTTCATTGTAGCCAGATAAGGAGGAACAAGGGAATGCAGGCACATATTATTGTTCTCCCTCGTACTCGTAAGACACTTCTTATCTTGCTAAACGGAAATGGTTGAGGTTCGCTACAACAACTTGAAGCGAGTTGTGTGCAGTGAGGAGATGCCACGGGACAGACCCCGATAACGGGTGGCAGACAGAGCCAACGATGGGGTAATAATTAAGTAAGAGGACGGCTACAGAAGAAGCATGACCATAAGTAAAGCCGGGGCATGGCTGGTCTAGACACGGCGAGGGGTACGGCTGACCAAAGTTTGGCTGAATACCTTAGTCCGAAGCATCAAGTGAGTACCCCGTATTTTAATCAACATTTTATGTCGTGCCAAGTTCGTTTTGCCTGAAAAAGTCGACTTGCTGCATGGGGAATCTCGGAATCAACCCAAATGCGACAGTTACTTGCAGAAACCTGAGGATCGGATGATGACGCACGAACCTTCACCACTATGCAGTAGTGCGAGGGAGGGAAAAAAAATAATAGAACATACCCTTGTAGACCTGGACGGTAGGATACGTACCCGCTTCGAGAGCCTCTCTAAGAGGCCCACTCCAGGCAGACCGAGGATTTTCCGCGATCTCAAGTTCCAGCTTGGTATCGCGCCAATCTGGAACTTGATTAGGATTCTGCCATTTCCACCGCCTAAGCGCCAGTCCATCTCCAAGCTGGTAGGCTGGAGACAGCAAACCACGACAGCTACTTCCTCCGAGCCCACATTACAACAGCAGCATTGACAACTGTGAATCAACGTTGTCGACAGGCTGTCAAAACTAGCAATGCGATTCGTATCGATTCCTCGCCTCAGCTAATTACCTTTCCCGTCTAGACGGCTAAGAGATATCTTTACGCGAGCAGCGCATATTGTCGCGTTGCGCATCGTCCAGTATGGAGTCCAGCGTGCCCGATAGCGGTGCTTCGCCTCGCACTTTTGCAATTCAGCATCAAAGGCCTAGGACCAGCTTTGTAGGCTGCTCGCGAATTACCGATTACGATCTTCTCGGCAAGCTTGGCGAGGGCACATTTGGGTAAGTCCACCCAGAACAGCACCCCTTTGCCGTGCTAACTCATGCTGTTAGTGAAGTGCATCGCGCAAAATCGAAGAAGACTGGCGCTCAAGTCGCTCTCAAGAAGATCATTATGCACCACGAGAAGGATGGGGTATGGTTGTTTCGATACGAGACTGAGCGCACTTGTCTAATGATCGACAGTTCCCTATTACGGCACTGCGAGAAATCAAGCTTCTCAAGCTGTTGTCACACAAGAATATCTTGCAGCTAGTGGACATGGCCGTCGAGCATCCTCAAAGAGCCAGTAAGTCGCTGCTCAGTCATTCGTCTCGACACCAGCAATTCCTGACCCGAATTGTTACAGGCGACAAGCGCAAGAGGCCAATCATGTACATGGCCACACCCTATATGGACCATGACCTGTCTGGTCTCCTCGACAACCCATCCGTTCACTTTACTGAGCCCCAGATCAAGTGCTACCTGTTGCAGCTTCTGGAAGGATTGCGATACCTGCACGACAACCACATCTTACATCGAGACATGAAAGCCGCCAACCTTCTTATCAACAATAAGGGCATCCTCCAGATTGCTGATTTCGGTCTTGCCCGTCACTACGAAGGGCCCACACCCAAGTTAGGACATGGCGCTGGCGAAGGAAAGAGAGAATATACCGGCCTCGTCGTCACTAGGTGGTACAGACCCCCAGAGTTGTTACTTCACTTAAAAAAGTATACAACCGCAATCGATGTCTGGGGCGTTGGGTAAGGTCTAACTGCTTTCATTCTACCTGTCCAAATGCTAAAATAGATTCAGCTGTGTCTTTGGTGAGATGCTGATAGGTAAGCCCATATTGGCTGGCGACAGCGACAGCCATCAACTCGAAATCATCTGGGATCTGATGGGGTCGCCTACTCCTGAGAACATGCCCTTATTCAACACTCTCCCTGGCGCTGAAGCAGTTTCGCCACGTTCCCGACCCGGCAGCATCTCCACCAAGTTCAGAGAATACGGTTCAGGTGCCATTTCCCTTCTCAAAGAGCTGCTCAAACTCGATTGGCGCACTCGCACCAACGCTGCAGATGCCCTCAACCATCCCTACTTCAAGATGGCTCCATTGCCGGCCAATCCAGGCGACCTCCCCAGCTTTGAGGACAGCCACGAATTGGATAGGCGCAAGTTCCATGATCGCAAGGCCGCTCTTCCACCAGCACCCAAGGGCGGAACAGTAGGCATAGGGCCGGACGCCCATGGGGCAAATGCTGGATTTAACAATGCAGATGCCTACAGTAATCGCAACGGTGTGAATGGAAACCGCCACCCCAACGCTCCTCCGGCCCACCGAAACGGTGAAGAGCGACGGCCTGCTTGGCAGCGAGAACGTGGTTTGCCGCCCAGACCACCACCCCCTGAGTACGCCAACGGCGGTCCAATGGACCGTGACGGTTACCGTGACAGAGATCGAGATAGACGACCTAGAAGTCGAGGAGGGAGAGGGCCGGATGTTGATACATACATTCCGAGCTACGGCAGGGATGATGGTGCAAGACACAGGGATGACCGGCCTCCGCGTGACCGTCGACGCAATAGCAGAGATGAACGATGGCACGACCGTGACTGGGACCGTCGAACCCGAAGCCGCAGCCGGTCCCCCATCAGAGAACGGGAGCGTGATCGGGACATGTACCGTAGATAGCTTGGCGGGCTGTACGAAGAGAAAGAAAACAATGTAACAACGGAAGGCAGGGCGGGTAAGGCAGGCGAAACATGGGAACAGGCGTTTGAGGGTGGGAGGCATATTCTCGAACAAGGCTGGCATTAATGTGATTCCCAAGTACTGATTCCTTGACTATGCTATAGGGTGTACTACAGAATGCCTAAATATAAATTCAAATTTCGGAGTCATCATCGTCTTCCTCATGAATGGTTTGGGACCAGAGACCGGGCCTATTCCTACGTCGCTTTGTGGGCGGCTTGTTCAGCAGCTGCCAATCTGTCTCGTACGATGAGGAATCCTCAGTCTTGCCCGTTCCCGGCCGCTCTGATGAGGGGGTTGAGGGGGCAGACATTGGAGCAATAGCGTGGTAACCCTTGTCGTGCATGCCCAAAGCACTGGTGATTATATTGGATGTACACGACAAAGTTATGCCAGCCATAATGCCGATACAGGCACCGCAAGCCAACTACAAAGTGAGTTAATAAGAAACAGGTAGATTGCTAGAATAGGGGAGACTGACAAAAGTGTAAAGAGGCTATGTAGATCGAAGTGTCAGTAGTGCAGTGAATGGGGCATTTTCCAAGGGATATCAGCTCACCTGAAGGCTAGCTATGAAGTCAATGATCGCTTGGCCCCATCCGATAATGTAAGATGCCATCAGGATAAGGGGTGACAGCATTAAGAGCATAGAGTTGATGAACAGGGCTACCGGCTTCCAGGCTATCCGCAAGGGAAATGTGGCGACGGCGACCACACCGGACGTATACGATATTACTGCCATCTTGCGTTCGATGGGGAGGAAAAGTGCGCAGCTTGCTTGTAAGGGACGACGGGTTGCGTTTGGATGAGAAGTCGATTTTGTGCCTTCTCACCGCATGGCAATCGAAGCGAGGTTTTCTGGGTTGTCAAGAAAAGTGTTGCAAGGAGGTGGACTAAATCAAATGGCAAATGAGCGTGAGGATGGTTTGGCTTGATGACCGGCTAATGAGACGGACTGGTTGTACATTCCTCACACCTGAGCCTTTCCTGATGAGCTTGCTTGAGTTGGGGCTGATACAGCGACCGGAGGTGCACACGCGAGCGCTGGCTGGCACTGAATGAGAGCTTCAGTAAGCCAATTCGCTCCAGCCGGAGCCTTCAGCGTCTGCCAAGCTGGTTTGAGACGGACCACTGTCGGCGACTCGGCTTGACTAAATCAGGCTAAGCAGCGCTTCATTTGGTATTTCTGCACGGACCATCAAACACAGCCGGCTAAGATGAAGCCCATCAGTACTTCGTTCGCCATGCAGAAAAGTATGGGGCATCGAGTACCCGATAGGTAGAGCTTATCGACCTTCCACCCCCTTCCTCCCCAAAGATTGGCACTCGCGTTAGAATAGAACCTGACCGCTGGCAGTTGGTTGGCCACCCCTCCACACTCAACCTCGCCCGTTGTTGAACTGACCTCTCGTCCAAACTTCAAAAAACAATTCTGAGCCGCTTCCTGCACATCGTCACCACACCTAGCGATCAATGCTTGGCTTCATCTCACAACACCGCAGCCGCCATTAACCAGTCTTTTTGGTTTCGCCGCTGCGTCGACCCCTCCGAGAATGCGATAGTCATCTCATGACCCCGCGATTAGGTACCTTTCTGCAGTCGCGCCTTACCTAACCAGGATCGCACAAACGCCAGTCGCAATAGAATTGCCTGACCTGGAAGATTGGGACCCTCCCACCTTCAACCACCGCCGAATCGCTGCGCTGTGTTGATCTAGGCTGCGCTGACCTCGTGCTTTCACTGCACCGTACCAAAGCCCAACCCGCAATCCCGCGCCGTACCGCATTCTGTCTGCCGTATTCCGCCGGACGTCGCCCGCCCGCTTACCTGTACAGATCCAGACCTCGGCCTGGCCAGGTAGGGTACCCCGAACCATACCCCAGACCAGGCTGTCGTGTCCCACCCGACGAACAAATTTGGGAGAAGCAACAACAAAATGGGCAACAACCCCTCCTCGTCGTCTAAGCCTGCCACGCCTGTCTCATCTGCTTCAGCGTCGCAGGACTCGCCCAAACACCACCATCACCACCACAAGAGAGAGTCTAGACACAATATCCCGCCGCGGTCCGCTGAGCGAGTTGCAGCCCCGCCTGAACCATCCCTCACTCAAGCCCAGGGCTCCACGATCACCAAGGGTCCCAAACCCCTCCAGTCCATCCCTATTTCCAACTTCACCACCGGCTCTCCTTCGTCGAGCTCGAGTACCTCTGTTCCACAACCGAAACCCCCGGATTCGAAGCACATCATCCGCGATGAGCCCAGCAAACCCGTAGACGTTCCCAGCGCCCCGACCGAATCCTCCTCTCTCAGGTCGCATTACTCCGCTCACATGGTTGAACCACCGTTGGTCTCCAATAACAGTGTGAACGACATGTCGTATATCACACGCCCTCCCCGCCTTCCTCTCCCCATTGAGGAGGAGATACACACCCCCGGCTCACCTATCATCGCCCCGGCTGACGCCGGCGAGGTTGCCGTCGCGGACGTAGAAAACCTCGATTCGGATGGCATGACAAGGAAGTCATCGGCGCTGAGTACGAACACCGTCGATGAAGAGGATGGCGAGGAATTGATCGTCGACAAGACGCGGCCAACGGTGCCAACACGTCTTGAGTGGCGCAGAGGAGGAGGTAAAATCTATGTTACAGGAACCATCTTCCAGTGGAACCGTAAACAAAGATTACATCCAGTGTAAGTTTCACTTTCGGCAGGCTATTTCTCAGTTGCCTGAGCTGTGCTTGTGAATCTTGAATGGTTTGCGAAACCAGCGAGTTTAGGCTGGTCTTGTTCGGGGTATCCTACTAAGACATATCACTAACTTGACTCTACTAAACAGCGAGGGACAGCCTGGCGTATTTGCGGCGACGATACACATTCTTCCGGGAACACATCATGTCAGATTCTTGGTGGATGGAATCATGCAAACCTCGCCCGATTTGCCAACGACGGTGGACTTTGGCAATAATCTCGTTAACTTCATAGAAGTCAGTGCTGACGACCTGCCCGCAAAAGCTCCTGTGACTCCTGGGCCCGTCCCTGCTCCAGGCACTGTTGCCAATGACCAGGGTGCCCTTAAAGCCTCGGCATCGCAGGGTGATGAACAACCAAAACCACCGAGGGGCAAGGCAGTGCCCTCGCCTAGTCAATATTTTCACCAAATACCCAAATATTTGGTGGACTTTGACCAGCCTGAAGACTCCCCAGCCTATCAGTATGCGGTGACAGCTATTGAGAAGTTGCCGACGCCCCCTAGTCTACCAGGTTTCCTGGGCAAGCCCATCTTAAACGCTGCGGTCCTTATGAAAGATGACAATAGTGTACTCAACATGCCAAACCACACTGTCCTCAACCACCTGGCCACCAGCAGCATCAAAAACAACATCTTGGCCGTTTCAGCAACGACACGTTATAAGAACAAGGTAGGCTTGAATTCCACGCGTCAACCCTCGGGCATGACTGACATGAGGCGCAGTATGTCACTACAATCATCTACAAGCCCACAACAACAGACGAATAGCAAAGGTCAAAGACCTTGTGCAGGGTTTGTTGCGGCGAGAGACCTCAAGCAGGGCGTAAGTACCAAGATTTCGTCCTTACATAGTAAAGGTCCAGCATGGAAGACCACATAGGCATAGGAACGATATGAATACAGAGGGCATACTCGCCACATTGACCGAACAAATCAGTCTCTCCATTTGATGTGCACCTCATCTGTCCTAAAACGCTGCGTGCATGAACTTTCCTCGAGTGGTGTCCTGAAACCTGTCTCATAGGCCAGAAGACCAGCGTGTGCGATCATGATACCATTGTCAATACAGAACCTCTCGTCCGTCGCATATACGCTACCTCCTCTCTCCTTTGCCATCTCACCCATCATCTCCTGGAGTCTCTCGTTGCAACCAACGCCGCCCACGATCAGCACCTGGTTGCTCCCGACATGCGCCATGGCCCGCTCTGTAATCTCGACCAGCATAGCAAACACCGTCTCTTGCAGCGAGAAACAGAGGTCAGCAGGTGTGAAAGTCTCCTCTCCTTTGGCCTGGCTCGCTTTCATCTGCCCTGCCAGAATATCCGCGCTGGCTAGGATGCCCGAGAACGAACAGTCCATGCCCTTGACTGCGTACGGCAGCTCCAGCAACCGCGTGCCCTTTTTCGCCAGCTGTTCGATATTGTATCCCGGTGCAGGGTCATTGCTAATCTCTAAGGTGCGTGCAAAGCGGTCGAGGCAGTTACCCACCGCAATATCCAGCGTCTCGCCGAAAATTCGGTATCGCTGCTCCGCATACGCAATCACCTGGCTATTTCCACCGCTGACGTACAACACAACAGGATTCTGCGCGCCGGTTATCGTCCTCCCCATCTCAATGTGACCGACGCAATGGTTCACTCCTACAAGCGGCTTATCCCACAGCAACGATAGTGTGCGCGCCGCAACGGCAACGCTCGTTAACGGCGCACCCATGCCGGGACCTTTGGTGAAGCACACGCAGTCGACCTCGGAGACGGAGACGCCGGCCTCTCGTAAGGCGCGGCGCGCGAGTTGTACAAAGAAGGAGCGGTGATGCTTCGCCGTGTCCTTGGGTAAGAAGCCCTGTCCAGGAGGTGAGACGAAGGTATGTCGGATATTGGACAAAATGGTAGACTCAGATCCGTTGTGGAGCATCACACCGATACCGAGCTTATTGGCTGAGCCCTCGCAACCGAGGGCGATGAGGCCCTTTTTCTTGGACATTGTTGCAGTCGTGAGCTTCGAGGGGGACGAGGCTACTTGAGGAAGTGGTGTTGCTGTGTCAGAGGTGAAGTCGGGATCGTGGGTCCTCTTGGGGGGTCGGTTGTCTGTCATGGGACAGGGAGCGATGGCTTTCGTTCTCAATATGTGCCCCTGCTTCGCCGTCTACCCGTGGCTAGTTCTCTCCCAAACTGGAATATATCAATGGCAGTCCCCAGAAAATAGTGCGCCAAGTGAGGAGAGTCTGCTTGTATGAGTATCGTGCTCGTCTTGTTCGTTTTTCGTGCTTGTCGCTTCAGGGACCAATGGCCGAGACATCAAAAAAAGTTGACGTAGGAGGGGTAACGTCTGGTGGGATGTCCTTCGCAAAAGGTGGAAATGTGGGCCGGGGTCCTTCAGCCCCCCTTAGTCCCCTGCCGAAGCGCTGCCACAACCGTCTTTCCCACCGCACCGGACCCTTTCATTGTCTGCGCCCGTGACACCCCAGCCGCAGAGAATAAGCCCCAGCCAGCAACAGCAGCAGCAGCCGCAACTGTACCTGAGGCCTGCTTACTTTACCACAGGTCATTTGGTTCTCAAGACCTCGCGGCAAAAGCCGTTTCTGCGGGCAGGATCCCAAATTCCGTCCGACACACAATCACCGATTGGAAAGAGACCAGAGATGGGACGGACAGGGGGTGCTCGGTGCTCCCAGGCTCCGTGCTTTTCTACCTTTCCGTTCGCCCCAAAGCCAAAAACCTGGTACAGTACAACTGGGTAGTGGCCGTTTATTGCTCACACAAGTTGCTGAGGTCCAACGCAATATCCCCACACTACCTAGCAAGCCTCGACAAGTGGACTCCTCTCTTCTCTCACTACACAATTCTTTCTTCGTTTCCCATACTCCTCTTCTGCATTGCTGAGAAAATCTCCTTCCCCTCTTTCGGCATTGCTGCGTCTTTTTCCCCCTCTCTTCCCCTCTTGCTTTGCTGCTTCTTGTTGTCCAATCCCCCAGCTTCCGCACCTTTTGTTCGCCTGGAAGATCTGCGGGCACTGATCTGCCGAATCGGGCGAGAGACAAAGGTAGTCTGCTGACGCCAGACAATCACGCAGACCAAGATGGCCTCAGCTATTCTCCTCCCTACACATTATCACAGGGCTCACCTGCCTTGACACTTTCCCTCAGCCTTACAAGAAGAGAATAAATTCAAATTCGCTGTTGCCGACCAAGGCTTCCGGCACCCAGCACAGTATCATTACGCTTGTCGCTTTGTCGCTCGGCGCAAACTCCCCGAGTCACCTCACCTCCGGCTGTCCGTTCAACAGCACAAAAGATTAACACATTCCAGAGCACCGACAACGTTCTCAAGCGATGAATACATTCTTCTCTTCGCCGTACCAATAAGTGTACGCAGCATGCTAGCCGACCAGATACTCTGAGCCTACGGTACACACTGTTAGCCGCGCAGACTGATCCAACATCCTCCTTTCCAAACATCCGGCGCAAATTCATACAAACCAGGCCACCTCGAGCAGGTATACCATATAAGGGTTTCAGGCATGAAGGTCATTAATGATCTTCTATTCATTTGGGTTGGGAATCTATCTTCCTTTCTTAATATTTTGGTCTTCGGGCAGACCATCGCCTGCCACACAACTCCTTGCCGCCATGCTTCCTTTACATTCATATACTTTACATGGGAGCCACCACAGCCCAAAACGCCACGCCAACCTGACCGTCCTGCCTCTAGGCCGTCTTTACATATCAAAGAAGAAATCAAAAACCAAACACATTGGGGTATACAACACGTCATCCGAAGATGAGGAGAGAGAGCGCGCAAAAAAGCCCGAAGCATACCTCACGAAGTCGCTGCTTGAGCTTGAGCCGCCGGTGGTGCCGGAGGCGCCTGTGATGGCGGCTGCTGCGGCGGCTGCTGCTGCTGCTGCTGCGGCTGCGGTTGCGGTTGCGGTTGCGGTTGCGGTTGCGGCAGTGCTGGTCTATTACCAGCAACTCCTGCAGCTTGCGGGGGCAGTTGGCCATTGACCATACCTTCTTGAGGCATTTGCCGCCTCGGGTACACATATTGCGACAAGGGAATTGTTGCGCGGAACTTTAAAGCCCGGGTGTCGTACGGGTCAACCTCGTACACCGGTGTCTCGTCCTCGTCATCCTGGTCATATTTCCACCGGTCGGAGTACTCCTCATCGTCCATCCTTGGTGGCGTTGTCATTCCCCGACGGTCTATCCACAAACGGTTTAGCCGTCCTATGCGGCGGCGGAACGCTGGTTGGCTGCTTGACGGTTTTTCTTTACCTCCCGCCCTGAACTGGAATATCGACATGTTACTCCTTTCAGGAACAACTTCTTCGTCATCAACATCCATGGCGTCAGACTCAGATGAGGTAGACGCCGGAGGAGTCATCAAATATTGAGTCTTGGCGGGCCGGAAGTTAATCTCCATGCCCTGCTCCTTGACTGGTGATAGGGGATCTCGGGTGAGATCCACATGGTTTTGGTTCCACTTTCGGTGGTTGTGAACCTTACTCTCAACATCTGCACGCAACTCATTCTCCTTCTCTGCAAGTTTATCTGATAGTTGGAGGAGGTCTGCCTCCATAGAACGACCGTCTGGCCGCACTGCGATACGAAGATGGTTGCCGGGCGGCCTCTGCAATGCAGGTGCCTCAACTGGCTTCTTCTTCTGAGGCTGTATGCAGTCAGCATCTGTTTCGGAACGGTTATTGAGAGAAAGGGCGGTTCGACATACCTTTTGGTTGATGAGGTCGTCGTCCTCGGTCTTGATACCAAGCTTGACTTTCATCTCCTTAAGCTTCGCCCGTTGCTCGAATATGAGTCGATCCAAGTTTAAGACCTCACGTTTCAGCATCTCACGCTCATACGAGTGGATGATGAGTTGACGTCCATCCTCCAACTCTTTGCGAAGTCGTTTGAGTTTCTCGGCGCTCTGGACATCTCTTTGTCTTGTTTTGCGTGTTTGCCTGGCCTCACGGCGTCTAAAGCAGACATAGGGGTCTGCCTCGTCACTCTCCTGATGTGTCTCGAACTTGACGGTTGGGTGAAGAGGTTTGTTGCCAGTCGTTTGCCGACGTGACTTCCAATACTCATATACATGCTTGGCATGCCCCATCAATTTCTGAGTGCCAAGTTGGCTGAGTGAAGGGACCATTGCATCGTAGGAAACTACGGTGTTGTCCACAGAAGCAAAAGGAGTCTGTTCTGAGGCAGTTTCCTCGAACACTTCCATGATGCGTTCAAAGTCATCTTCGGAAAGCTGAGAAGCGACGGTTTTCTTGGTAGAATTATACTGCTTCAAGAATTCGTCATCCTCAGTTGTCATGTCATAAGAGACACCTATGCATTCTTCGACGGTTTGTGAGAAACGTATATACGAGGTAGGTTGTTGAAAGTGACTAGGGTAGAGCTGATCATAGTTGATCTGACTCTCCTGAGGCGGCGGGACCGGAATTTCTTGGTCATTGCTGGTGCCTGCCTCTTTAAGAATGGACTGAAGATGGTATTCCTACGGCATTCATGTTAGTATGCTGTTGGGGCACTGTCATAGCCGGTAAGTGGAGTTGGATGAGCCGGGGTGTGTGTGCATGTCACATGATCAGGTCACGTGATATCAGGCTGTGATATGGGATCGAAGTGACTCACAGTTTCCTCGGCGGCTTCGACTCCGGTCGCGATCTGAATCTCGGTAGTTAAAGATTCGTACTCGCTGGGGTCGATATCATCTTCTCTGAGCACTGGAAGCAGCGTCTTTACGCTCAGCTTCTTGACTCGAACTTTCCTGGTAGACATGGTGGCGGGTGGGGGGTGGAAGGCGGAAAGCCAGCGGAAAATCCGCAAAAAAGTTCGATCAAGTCATAAATGGGGGCATGCGACAGTGATTTTTGGGTTTTTAATGGATAAAAATCGTGGTTGTGGTGTCTGTTTTGATGGTCGAACTGTCGCTGCTTGATGAGGTGACGTTGAAATCGAGCGAAAATTTTTGAAGCAGTGGCAGGTGCAACTTTGCTTGGGATTGGCGGTTGAGAGCGGCGGTGTTGACGGGGTTGCTGGCAGTGGCAGGTCTAAGGAACCAGAGGAAAAATCCGCTGCCTTCAAGAGTTTGCTCAGTCGTGTCAAGTACTGTGCAGTACTAAATTCTCTGCGTCGGTACCTATGCAACGCTCGGGCCAACACCCGGATCGGACCTGGGCAAAGCAGACACGCCGACGTCCCTGGACCGTGGAAGGTGCCAGCCAAAAGGCGACTGAAAAATAGGGGAATGAGTCTATGTCACGTGCAGTTCATGTCCAAAATTGCTCACATGTGCTGCAAGAACAGGCTTCTGGATCGAATGTGACACACTTGAGACTATTATTACTGGGCGGATACATCACTTGAATCACTCTATGATTTAACTTTCGAAATGCAACTGCAATCATGATAGATCTGAGCAATCAGTGGCTGTCAACGCCGTACATAGACGAATGCCAATGTGACTTGATCCAGAAATGGTCTGTGCATAAGCATATCCTCGGTGGAGTTCAGGTCCAGCTGCCCAAAATCAGTCTAGAAGCCAATCAAGAGCGTAGCCGCCTTACCTTACTTTGTCTTGGCCTTCCCGCACCGTATCTGCACTTAGCCTTGCACTTCTCAACCTACCACCTTCCATCTCACCCACGACGAACTCCACGGCGGACCAGTGTAGCTCAGGCTGAACAAAACCCACCTGCGACGACGCCAGCGACACCACCTATATACATCCAGTGGCTCGCACAACACTGAACCTCGCGTAAAGGTCGATCGCCCGAGTAATTCAGGATGGGCAACACTACCAGTGCGGTGTTGGACAATATTGTCCAGGGGTCCAACTGTGAGCCCCTCCCCCGCAGTCGACTTCTTTGTCGCACAGGTCTGGGCGTACTGACAAGTAGGCAGTCGACAGAGAAGAGGTTGACCGTCTAAGGAAACGTTTCATGAAGCTTGATAAGGCATGTTCTCGCTCCTTTTATTTTTGGCCTACCTGTCTCCTGCTCTGCGCGCGCATTGGCAACCCAAGACGCAAGTGACACCGTCGCTGACCGACTCTCTCTGCAGGATAATTCTGGCACGATCGAGCGTGATGAGTTCCTCAGCCTCCCGCAAATCTCATCCAACCCACTAGCAACAAGGTACGAGCCATACGATTCAACTAGGTACAATCCCATGGGCATGTGACTGAGACGATATCCACACAGAATGATTGCTATCTTTGACGAAGACGGCGGCGGTGATGTTGACTTTCAGGAATTCGTGTCAGGTCTCAGTGCCTTTTCGAGCAAGGGCAACAAAGAACAGAAGCTCCGTTTTGCATTTAAGGTGTACGACATTGATCGCGACGGCTATATCAGCAACGGCGAGCTGTTCATTGTGCTCAAGATGATGGTGGGAAGCAACCTCAAGGATCAACAACTTCAACAGATTGTCGACAAGACTATCATGGAGGCGGACCTGGACAAGGATGGCAAGATCAGCTTCGAGGAATTTACGAAGATGGTGGAGAACACGGACGTGAGCATGAGCATGACTTTGGGTAAGCTCTGACTGCTTGACTTACAATCTCTCTATGGACGACAAGGACTGACATTTTAACGCAGACACATTCTAGAGTAGAGTTTGGTGGTGGCGCGCATAACAAGATCATGAGATATGAATTGCAATACTCTTATAAGTAGAGATACACCATTTCCCCCTTAAGGCGGCACCGCAGTCGCTGTATCGGTCTGAATTGAAATCTTTCTCCATTCCCAAGGCTACCCACACACTCTGAATATGGTCTATTGGTCCTGCAACTAGAGGCAGTTATCCGCTTGCGTTGGTCTGTGAGCCGCCCTGCGGGAGAGACAGCTGGGAACCAAGGCTGTGGGGAAAAAACAAAACCAGAAGAAAAAGGGATCAGGGTACTGCATATGGTCTACTATAACATGCATTTCCCATAGGTTAATCAGAGGACACGCAGCCAAGATTTTTTCGGCCATTGCTTTCATCTGCCCCTCCCTGACTTGAGTCTGCCCGTGAGGTTTGGACCGGGCCAAAGGCTGCTGCTACTCAAGCTACACGTCATGGCTTATAGGCTGCCCACTAGTTCATGAATGATGTATCTCGCTACCTCTGAGAAATGGCGTCGACCAGAGATGAACAGCCCGGGCTGCGATTGTGCTAGCTGTCCAATGCAGAGGCGACCTGCCATGTTAAAAATCGCAACTTTGGAAACACCTCTTATAACATGCACGACTTGGCCTAACACAGCGTATCTGAAAAAAGAGGATGTAGCTGTAACATTCATTAACAGGCTCCATTTCTTCCTTAGCTTTCAAGCTAGAAGTAAGATCCCCGAAGTTGAATGGTCAATTTTGGTATCCTCTTTTACGGAACCAAACGATTCCACCTTGCTTTTCGAGTGCGACCTCTAGGCAGAGGAAGCATTAAAAGACATCATCATATACAAGTACAGATATTTACGCTTGGTTGAACATTTCAGCCGATCCTGTTTGCTTGTCACTGATGTCCCTTCCCTACCGAGAGTTGTACAATGGCTGTTGCAAGCGTTCCATAAATTTCATGGGGACACCACGGGATTGTGAAAGACAGTACTTCCCGGGAATTGAGAAGAAAGATTATACTTCATTGGTTGAAATATGAAATATTTATTATGGCTGTCAGTTCTGCTGGGTGGCAATCTGTCCGAGAGTTTGAAGAGGTGCGCGCAGGTCTCAGGGCACATATTCATGACGCAGACATTGATGACCTTAAAATCCAACAGCCTGCGGTCCTCTTGCCTAGTAGTTTGCTCTTTTTCCATATCTTTCCCCGAGCTAGACATACCCATGCTGATCGGTTCCATGGCATCTGCGAACCTTCACTCTGTATCAATGCGAATGCCCCTTCACTCCACTTCTCGCCTTGTGATTTATTATCGGCATTTATCTCGTCATAATTTTTGTGCTATTTAATATTCAAATCCAGAGAACCGGTTGTCGCGGTGGCGGCCACGTCACTCTTAATGAGGTTGTGGCTGAAGTCATCGAAAGTCGTGGTTACCACAAAGCCTAACCCAAAATACTCTACTTCGATTAATCACTCCTTGAGAGCTAGATTTTTGGACTTGTAACAATTCAATATGATATCTCTTGGCCTCTATAATATTGTCTTTGTTAATTGCGCTAGACCATTGTTTGAATTGGGTCAAGAGACTGAAAACTTCTGCCATGAGGGTCCCTCTATCTTGGCATCACTGACACATGGTGTTTAACCGTTTTAGACTATCTGTGTTCTCTTTCCATAAAATATCCGATCCCCTGTTTGCATTTTTACACAAACTGGTTACAAAACTCTAGCAATAGTCGGAATGTCGGGTTGAAGTGGCTCCGTGGCCGCCCAACCTGCCAGCTACCAGTTACGAGGCCTCATGTTCGTATGCGAGCTTAACCACCCATATGACGGACAACTGGAAGAGTTGCATCTCCTTCATCCACTTCAATCCCCTATTCTACAGCTTTGGACCATTTAAAATAACTTTCCATACCTTGAGAGGAACACCTCCTACTACTCCCGCGCGGGTATTTCTGGAATACCAAAAAAACCATCAAAGAAAGCGAAATATTATGGATATTGACTCTATATTCTGTATCAATTAGATTAGCCTGGAGGTTGTGACGATCTATGTACGAGAACAATATAAGGAAAGCCTATTGGGACACAATGTCAAGGAAGTATTTTCTCTTTTACCAACTTGAGTTATGCATCGATGCATTCCAGTAACCCCATAAACTTATGCCTTTCCCCTACGTCAATTTAAATTAGATAGTCACTTGTGAATGATAACAGCGATGAGCCAAAGCTGCTATAGTAAACGGTGAAAGGGTATCGTCATCCTCTGCCACCAGATGAACCTTCCTCTTCCTTCCGACATTGAAGGGTGTTTCTTTGGTTACCGAGCAAATCGAGTCGGATGTTGCTAAGTTTAATAGGTGCCGTGAAGGCTCTCTTGAATAATCAACCAATTTTATGACTACTTGTTTCGCCAGTACTTCAATAATGATTACCACCCAGGCTTGCACCTGCCACTAAGTCTCAGCCGTTTGACCGGTTTTCGTACCCTAGACTCATTATATGAGGGTGTACGGCATGAAGAAAAATAAAGCCATTGATGATGATTGAGGTGGACACTGGTAATCAAAAAAAAAAAAAAAAAAAAAAAAAAAGCCGCCTCGAAATAGCCTGGTATCCTACAGGTGAATAATGCGGCTGGGTCACTCATGGCTGTAAGCAATTGCCTGTTGATAAAAGAATGATTACTCTTAAGTGGTATACTGCCAATGATGATAAAATCCCCCATTGATCATCCCCAAAACTTCATATTAATGTATCCAATAAGTGTAGGTCAGCCTGCACTGCTGAATATGCCCTTTTTAGTCGAACCCATAATTGCGTGAGAGAACGTAGGCGTCACTACTTTCCCGTGGCACCTGGAGACTCACAGCCTGCCAGGTGTCGTCAGACCATCACGGCCGGTCTCACCATGGTAAGTGGACGGCTCAAAAATGATAAGAAATTCTCTCCCTTAGTGTCGGAAGCGCCCAGGGTGGCCCTTCCCTGCAGCTGAAGTCGATATCACGCCTCTTGACTTAACGCCAGTGAGCCCCGTTGGCTCGGCATTTTTAGATCATTGTAAGGTGTTAGCCCCCTTGAGTTACTCTAGCCGCTCAATTCAGCTTCCTGATTGGAACATACCACGAAGTCTGTGTGGCTGAATTAGGGTTTTCCAATGGGATGGTTACTGGTTCCGTACGACTGGGAGACGCCAATCCCTTGAACCCAGCCGCTTGGCCCTCTGTAGGTAGGCTTTCCAGCCTCAAAAGTGTGTGTTACCAGCAACCCTCGATAGTGTAGCTCCCTTCAAGACAAGCTGTGATGCTACGCTTGACTACGATGGCCCTGGTAGACCCAGGCGGGCTGTCCAATTTTCAACGACACCGGTACCACGATGTCTGAGTAAGGTTCCCTTGCCTTGATCAACCAACGACAACGTCGCCCGCTTTATAGGCAAGATATGGCAGTGTTTGCAATGCACATGTGCATCTTGGAGCATGCCAAAATGCGGAAGGGCGGGCGGATGTCTCGGGAACCAGTGCCACACAGTGTTTCCAGTTATACATTTACAGACATTAGAGGTGTGCATATCCTGTTATATATTAGTCAAATCAGGACAGCACAAGAGACCAAGGCCACAATCAACCTCAGCCAGTCTGGCAAGGATGGAATAAACAGAGGGTGATAAATGAAGTCTAGCAAGCCCGCCCCGAGTGGGGCCGATTGCCTCCGGGGTCCACCCGAAGGTGCCGTGGCATCACTTTCCTCGGCAGGCGTGAATGGCCCCGGGGTTGATAAACGGATGCCAGCGGTAGTGTTCGTACAAGTACAGCCAAGCCAAGCCTAGAAAACTCCACAATGGTATCTCTAGACATGGATGGTCAGATCATGTCTGTTCACACCAACAGGGACCTCTTTTCCACCCCCTCGCACATCATATCCCCAGAAGAGTGCGTGTGGTGGAGACACTGGACAAGCTGGGAAAAGTGACAGGTCATATTACCCAAATGTACAAAGCAACACAAAACTAAATGCGTACAAGTTTCCAACCCTGTCCCAACAACCATGACACTGGAAAATAAACTAGGGCGGAAAAAAAAAAAAGAGGAGGCCGCAGGAGTGGAAAGCTACGCTGCTTTACTTGAAGGGGCCTAGCAACACCACCTGGAGCCCTGGAGCAAGCATAACCTGTACCTGGTCCCTCTGGACCTGAACTTGTGTCCCGCTTGAGGAACACGAACTAGACTATTCCCGAGAGATCTGCACCTCCCGTTGCTTGGTCCCACGCCCCTTTCCAGAGTGCTGGGCTCGCTGGGCAAGACACTGTCTCTACCAAGTAGGGGTAGGGTGGCTGGCCGGCCGGCCATGGGGAAAATGGATATTCGAGGGCAAGGCGGCACGCCCAGAGCGGAGTCACATATGGTGGAAGGTCAGCATGCATATTGCCCCTCCAACCTGATGACCCTTGAGGCAATTTCGCATCCTCGCCTGACAGAGGTAATGCTTCGCAGTATGCCGTGCCTGTCTTGGCCGACGGCCCTGTTTCCATGACTGCCAGGGTAATTCAGCCGTGTTTCAATAACCACATTGTTTGCTACAAGGACTCGCAAAAACCTAGCCCCGGTGATCTACATTCGGGAGGACAGATCATGCGCGGACCAAGACAGGCGCCATACCCTATACTGTGCCTCTTGCCTTGCCTCTCCAGCCTCGCCTTTGCAGGCACGTTTCTTATTCTCCAATCTGGGCTCTCCCCTTCTCCCTTGAGGCGGCACAAGCAGAGACCGAGCCGTGAATGCCATTCGGGTTTAATGTATCACCATGTTTCCCATCCGAGCCCCTCGATATATTGAAACAGGCATTGCAATAACGCAGCCCAGACCGGTATAGCCTGGTCAAACCCCACCACTTTATCCAGAGTCTCACAAGGCCGGGCCCCATGATCTCTCGAGACACAACCCTGTCTGACAACATCCGATGAAGTCCATGCCTCCTCCACGCCGCTTCCAGCCTCATGCAAGGTTCCAGTCACTTGTCATTTCGCAACAGCACATCACATCTGTGGCCCGTCTGTGTTACTGTGTTTTGGTTGTTGCAATTGTCATACTACGTAGTAGCCGGCACCGTGATTCCTCCACCCCCCTACCCCCCCTTGGCCTTCTCCATCATTTGTCAAGGACCCTGGTCAACAAGGCAAAACATACAACCAGAAGACGCGAACGAATAAAACAGGACTACTCTCTGATTTGCTCGTTTCGGAGGAACCCAAGACGAACTGCATTCTCACGGCGAGCTCGGTGGTTCTCTAACAGCCTCAAATGCAGCACCAGCCGCAGTAACCGGGGGAGAAAAAAAAAAAAAGGGCTGCGCCTATAAACGCCATATCCGCAGGACATACATGCATGCATAGTGCAGCCAATATCCAAAAGAAACACCCTGCATCAGGAGTCCTGCAAGTGACTACTCCCTTCTCATGTTACCTGCTAACGGATCCTTCTTTGTCTTCGTTTGAGTCCATCTCCGTCTGATATGGATAAAGCACAAGAGCTGATTTACTGGGATACAATTACCTTGAATTCCCGGTACTTGCCATGGTGTTGGGCAATGATTGCTGCCCGACAGGGTAGAGACAGGAGAGGGGGGCTAAGACATTGCCAGGAAGTATCAGAACACTTTTAGTACCCGGCGTTCTTTTTACAAGGGCCCAAAAGCACTCTTGCTACCCATCGCCATTGTTATTGTTCATACTCTTGTCCTATTCAGTCTCGTCTCTCACAAAAAAAGACAAGTATTCTGCGGAGAAATCCCCTCCCTGTCTCTAGTACACTCACTGTAGCTCAACACCATGTCCCATAAGTGACTGATAACTTCAACCTACATCTAGACCGCCACCACATCTGGCGTCACTAGCCTTGTTTTTTTCTCCCCCTCTCCCTCAAAGGCGGGAGATCGGCGCAGAAAAACGTCTTTTTTCGAATGTGCCGTTTTTGAGGCCAGTCGCCTTACACATGTACACCGCCTCAATCGATACATGCCCCAGCGGCCGATTGGGCATGAACGAACCGAACCTATTTTGTTCTTTCTCTCTCGTCCCGCTGATCTCCCCTCGCCTCGGGCAGTTTTCCTCCCAATCTCGGTCCCTTGCGAAGATTCCCACCCCTTTTGCCTCACTTGACCGCCACCCCCCCCCCCCCCCCCCCCCCCCCCCCCCCCCCCCCCAATATACAGTGCATATATGGCCACTTGATCACCCGCATAAAAGCTTACCAAGGCCAGGCAGGTAATCAAATAAGCGTAGGGCAGGAAGATCGACGGTGAGGTGCCGTGATGTGATGGATGGCTTTCTTTAGCGCGCATGTCGAGGGGGCAGACTTGCTAAGCCTAGAACGTAGACCTTTTGGTACTAATTTTTTTCTTCTTTCTTTCTTTCTCCCCTATTTTCCTTCCTTTTTCTGGTTCTTATGGCGTACATTCACATTATCGATGTACCTGCCTGCAGATTCTGTGCAATATCTCTTTTCAAGTATAAATGTAACAAAACCAAGACAATAGGAGCAGTACATAGATTGTGATGGTGGAAGGAGGGCTTGATACAGCCACTCCACCCACACCATCAGATCAACAGCTAAACCAGATATCTGAACAAACGATCCAACAGCAAACCCCTTCCCACCCTTGTGTGTTGCGCGCAATGACGACGCAAAGCTCGTGAGAGCATTCCGGCCTGATCTACCACCACATCCGTAGGTATACATGATTTCTACAGGAGACATATACAAAAAATCTTCTTCTGCTTTGTTCTCATCCCTTCGTTTGCGAGTATCCGGCCTCACTGTTTTTCTTTTTGCCACCCATTCATCGTTCCTCGTCATTCTTCCCGACCAGATACGCCCATCTATGACCGGTGCCAATATCCCTTTCCTCCGACACCCCCTGCCACCCCCTTCCCAAACAGAGAGGAAGAAAAAAAAAAGGACTACTAAGAAAAGAAAAAAGGAGTAAAAAAAGGCCAAGCCTGTCACCTGCCTTGTTCCTCTATCCTACTTCAGGCTCATCCTATCTGCCGGAGGTAACATCCGATTCGGCCCACCCCGAGCTTGACCCAGTGCTTTGTATGGCGTCGGCAGGGATTTCGCGAGGGCGAGAAGAAGTAGAAGGAGAAACGAGAAAGAAACAGAAAAAGAAAAAGAAACAGGAAATTCAGAATGAATGCCGCATTCATGATGTTGACAAGGATACCTGATATCCAATTGCCCACCTTTCGAACGCGAGAATGATGAACAGCTAGCCTCCCTGATGAACTCCGGATCCACGTGGCATAGTCTTGATAACTCTTCCTTTTTCACAAACCGTCCGATTGCCAAGATGTACATTGGGGAAGAACAAGAACAGAAAGTGATGCAGAGGACCGCCGAAGGCGTGAGAACAATTCAAAGAAGCCGTCCACCGAAGCGCCGCCATCCACAGTACATTTACAGGTATCTCAATATACCTGGGGTTCAAGTCGTTTTTCTTCTTTTTTTTTTTTTTTTTTTTTTTTTTTTGGGATGCTCCCAGGGGTGGGCGCAACTAGCAGATGCAGATCTTTAAATGTCCTTATCTGCTACCATGGTGAGAGCCAGATGCTGCCTGATTTCCGCCGCCGTTCCCGCTAGATTCCTCGTTCGCCTCGTAAAGATCAAGGCATGCTTCGAGAACTACGTGGGCTGTTAGTATTTTTGGCTTTTTCTTTCCACATCACAGTGCCAAGGTAAGGCGGTGCTTACTCTCAATGATCTGCTGCTCCCAAACGCCGTACTGATAATCAACCAACCCGTGACGCTCAATGCCATCACAGAGTCGCACCAGCTCTTTGCCCATTTTTTCTAGGCCCTCCTTACTGACCAAGGTCTGTGATCGCTGTAGTTGTCGTCCAGGTTCCATCAAATCTTTCTGCATTTGTAAAAGTGCGAGCCACGCGTGATTGAAGTCGTTCCATAGCTTAATCCGGTCTCCATGCAAATTTTGGTCGTCGAGGTTTAGCCCTGTAAGCCGCCACTGGGTTAGTAGGCTGAAATACTCTAGAAAATTGGGTTTCGACTCCAAAGATGCAAAAGAGCTTACCAAGATCCACTACTTGTGACAAAAGCCAGTTAGAGACGTCCAAAAGGGACTGGCTTGCGCTCTCGAGCACGCCGTTGCGGACATTTTGGAAAACTCCACGCAACGCAGACTGGTACTCCATCCACTTCTCCTCCAAGCCACCCGTTGTCGAATAATCCTGCTCTTCCATCGAAACGTCGGCGCTTGATGTCTGCTGCGGCATTCCGCCCACGTTGGAGATATTGGCCTGGTAGTTCGCCATCTGCGGCTGTTGATAAGCGGTCGCAGTCGCGCTGGCGGGTTGGGCATGAGGAAGATTGGAGGCTCCGGTGCTGCTGCTTGGGTCGTTTGGAAAATAGGAAGTCGACACGTCTGTCGGTAAGATCGGTGCAGCTGCAGGCTGCCGTGGGAACTGAGGCTGGCTGTCGTAAACGGAGCCTGTAGCGCCAGTCAAATTGTCATAACCCATCGTCATGGCCGCATTATATCCACCAAAATTTTGCGCTGCCGGACGGCCGTCCTGGCCATATCCCGAAGGATAATGCATCGTGTTCGTCGCCATGGGTGTGTTGAAAGATCCTGCTACCGGTTCCTGATAGTTGTACGTGCTGTAGCTACCCGTGCTTCCCATGCCCCGAGCTTGTGAGGGCGAAGTGTTGAGGGGTGCCGGTCGATTGTATCGCTCAGTCGAACCTGTAGCCATGGAGCGGCGCTGCTGTAAGGGATCCTGAATGTTGTATCTTGGGTTGGAGGTGGGATGCATGGGCGCTTCATTCTGCCTCCTACGGCGGTTGGGATCGTCCATCCCACGAGGGGCTTGGTCGCCGGTCGACTCCGAGGGCAAGCCTACCGTATGCGCCGGCGGCAACGGAGCTGGCGATGTGTACACTAGGGCCAGGTTGGGCCTTGGGATCGGTCACGAGACCGTCCACCGCGGGTTTGAGTTCCTCGGATGTTGGTGGGGGTGGTTTCTTTCCCCTTATTTGACCGTTCTGCCACGCGGGACAAGCGCGACGAGATGATGACGCGGAATAAATCTATCGTTCGCTGGTCCGTAGAACCTTCTCGACGTGTTTCTTTTTGAACAGTAACAACGAGCCGACTTGCGCTGATTGTATACGACCTTAACTCGCGGGTACTAGGCGGCACTGGCGGATAGCAGAGACGCGCGTGTCAAGGAAAAGGCGACGGCAGGTCGAGGAAGGGTGGATTATGAATGTGTCAAAAAAGACTCAAGGTAAGGAAGCGTTGACTTGGGGTGAGAGGGCCTGATGTGTGATGGCGACGTAGGGTCTGTCTGATGTTGAGCCGAGCAGCACAGCACAGGATGGGCTGGCGAATCGTCGACGCGGGTAATAGAAGTGTCTTTTATGAATTGAATTGGGAGGGAAGATCCGGATAGATTGAAGAATGGGGGAGGACAAGGAAGTTAACTGTTCAGACTTGCTTGTCGCGACAAAGCTCGGCGGAGCTAGCGCCGGTCTCCTTCATGCCCTGACGCCTGAAGGTTCGGGAAGACTAGAAGGTGACTGGCGACGAGTCGTTGGTGTCTTGTGAGTCGTCAGAGGAGTTAAGATTTTGGTAAACGAAAAGCCAGCGAATGGGGTGGATATCACGCTGAGTTGTCAAACTGGTGTCAGGTTTGATACCAGGAAGATCCCAGACGGCGGCGCATGCACCAGAATGTCCAACATTACAAGCCGGTCCCTGCGCGATCTGCTTGGGCAACGAAGCCGCACCAGGGTCTCAGCGACCACCGAGTCGCCTTGACAGAAGATGCGATTCGTCAGAGGCGGGAAAAGGGCCGGGCGGACCGATCTCTCTTGAAGTAGGAGAGCCGAGTACTTGCAATAAGTCGTGGTTGGCCGTGCCCCGAGGCTGTGCTTCTACCGACTGGGGCTTGCGTGAGGCTCGTGATGTGGATGGAGCAAAACCGAGGACCACTTTTGCTCTTCGTAGCTTAGTGCTGCGAGGCTAGACACAAGCCTATGTAGCCTTGAAGGGGAAGGGGGATCTGGCCGGTTACTGGCAGGGAAGGACAGGGTAAGCTTGTGATGAGAGAGAGAGAGGTGGGTTCGGCTTGCTGGGTGTGGAGGACGTGAACGGCGGTAGTCTCGGGGTCTATCTTATACATGGGAGGGATGCAGATACTATGGAATGGGTGGATGCGGCAGCAAGAGTGTCGAGGAAGGACGGAGAGAGGGCAGAAAAAAAAAGCAAGTAAAAGGAAAAGCGGAAAAAGCAACTTCAAACCCCAAAGGGGACTCAAGCTAAATTGGGAGTAAAGTTGGTAAGGTAGGTCGGAAAGTTAAGGGTGAGGCGAAGAGAGTGAGAGAGAATGGAACAGCGAGTGAGTGTGGGCGTTTGAGAAAGAAAGAGGCAATCAAGCAGGCAAGCAAGCACCTGCATTTCACTCCCAAACCGAAGGAGAACAGACCAACAATGGAAGGCCAGGAAAGCCTAGAGAGACACCAAGGTCAAAGGCCAGTCATTCAATACCGGGACGGATGAGGCTAATCCAGTTCAGGTCGAACCGATGCTAGACAACGGATAGCAAAAGTGCTGCACGGTGAAAGTCGTGACTGCAGAGCAAAAAAAAATAAAAAAAATAATAATAAACCTGGCAGGCAGTGCGGTGGTTGAGGAAGTATCCGTTCCGTGGAGTAAGGTAGGGCAGGCTCAATCCAAGTGCGGCTAGAAGGCCCCAAAAGGAACCAAGCTGGGCCTCGTAACACGCCAGATAGACCCAGATGTAATCTAAAAGTGGTTGTACTGAAAAGCCAAAACGGCCGAATGGCTGCCCACGAGTTCGTTCTCGAGAAAGGATTTCCCCAGGCGCGAGCGCGTGGCAGCCCAAGCAGATGCAACCAAAAGTAAAAGCGGCGCCAGCAGCGTAGCGGCCGTAGCGGCGGCGGCGGACGGGAGAATTGGAGCTTTTGGATGGAGCTGTGAACTGGAGCTGGTAACCTGGACTGAACCTGGAGTTGGAGATGCAGTTGGAGTTGCTGCTAGGAGTCGATGGAGCTGGAGCTGGCACCCGGCCGAACGAGGGACGTTATGCAGCGATCTGCAAGGCAATGTTTGAAAGTTGGGGGTTCCCTGGCTGGTATCCGGTTCTCTGGGAAAAAGAGGCGTAGACACACTCTGGACGAGATGCAGCCGACAGATGATGGGTGTGGACGTCGAATGCCTACGTGGGTGTGCCAAAGCGAGTGTGAGTGGGCGATTGTCTCTCGAAGTGGAGGGTGGGCTTGTGCTTGTGTGGGAGCTGATGATGGATGAGAAGAAGGAGGGCGGGTGACAAGGGGGGGTGGATGTTGAATAATCGGGGGTGAAGTCTTTGTATCTGAGGTACATCCCCTCCCCTTGTTGGTCTCCAAGATGCCTTGGCTTGAGAGAAGATCTGTGCAGGAGTAGTATGACAAGCAGATACGACTCGAGTTGGGTACCAAGTCAGTTGGTCGCATCACTTAGTAACACGTAGTGCTTGATGACCCGTGTGAAAGACTATCTATGGCAGGCACAATATTTGGATTAGGTTGTGTGTGAGAGACCGAAAGAGAGGGTGGGAGGGAAGGGGGAGAAGAAGGAAGGGGAAAAAAAAAAATAGAGGCTTATGCATCAGAACCAAAGCCGAGTGGCACACCCCCCATAACCGGGGCTAGTTTGCGAGCACAGAGTCAGGTTTTGTCAGGTGTCCTCCGCTGGGTTCGCCTAGAGGAGTCAGGAATGTAAGAGCGCAAAAAGCTTGAGAGGTATGGTGTGTGGGTTGATAAGTTGCGGGAAGTAGGTGACTGGATGACGAGGGTTTTCAGAGTGGGAGAGGGAAATTCAACCTCAAAACGTGCGATGTCCTGTTGCTACTGCGGATGGAAAACGGGACGAGAAAAGAAATAGCCCAACATGATATGGTAAAGGTACATAAGGTGTATAGTGAATGTCAGATGAGATGAGATGGGATGTATGAGATGGAAGGAGAGCTACACAAACGAGCCACGAGAACAATGTAACGTCAGCTACCTACCTGTTCTCTCATATTAGCGTGTCTCCCTTCTTTCTGCCACCTCTTGATTTTCTCTTGAATGTCTCGCGGTAGTGATGGGGTGGCTTGGAACACGTCCGCCGAGGACCTCGCCGTGTATCGCTACGGATTGTTGGAGAATGTAGGGCAGGGCCGTTTTTCTGTCACGCAGTCTCCATGACATATTCTATCTTGTCCACTCTAACGTCCCATCAGGCTCCGAGCCCTGTTTCTGTTTAAACGTCTGCCCTTTCTCATTCCAGCTGTTCGGTTATCCAGTTTGATGCGCTGCCCTGGGGTATCTGAGAAGTCCAAGTACTGCTGCCCATACTCTTACCCGTTTCGTTTCGATAATCAGTGCAAGGTTGAGTCTGGACAGCTGGGGTCATCAATCTGCATTCCTTATTGTTCTGCTTGCTGTCTCATGGCCCCTCTCACCCGAGAATTGAGCTCCTCCGATCGGGGACGTAACCACTGTAATTGCAGTGGAAGCAAAGCTTGAAAGGCGAGGAGCTCTAGGTGTTGAGTGGTTGTATGGGTTGTATGAAGGGCATGGCCCAGGGGCCCTACCCTGCCCTGCCTTAAAAAAAGTCTGTGAGCACCCAGATGGCTGGGTTTGGGGGCGTTGTTTATTACCGCGCTGAGACATGCCCAGCCACCCTTGTCCACGCCCTCCGCCTCCCCTGGCGTTCCGGCCGGGGGAAATATGCACTAGTAACAAATTGATATGATTGCTTACATTTCTTTTGTGATTACCTCGCCTTCATTTTTCGGCACAGTGACTCCTGGTTAAATGCTGCTGGAGCACCGTAGCTTAGCTACACTACTGTCGCAGTCGCACTGTCGGCCTGGAGCACACATAGAGCTCCGGAAGAGGCGAGACACGGTGTGCACTGCCGATGCCGAATGACGTACATGGATGATTGGCGACACCCACTCTTTGTATATGGCGGAGCAACAGATTGATCGTCAGCTTCGAAGCGGAGGAAAAAAAAAAAGAGGAGCGGAATATGGGGAGAAGCATGACAAAGCCGTTGGCTGTCTCACACTTCAGATGCTCTAGACAACGATGAACCATGCCATCAAGAGCCTCTCATCATACAAAGCAGCCAGTGATGTCCTTCAACCACACTTTCGCCATTTGGGCCCAACCGTCCTGCATACAGTGGCCGGTAGCCGGTTGTTAGGACCCAACTTTACTGGATTCTTGAATCGTGCACAGATCACATCCCTACTTGTCGGCTCATCATGCCCTCCGAGTCGAGCCAATAGCTAACCCTACCAGTCACTGGACTTCGAGACACTTGTTTGGCATTGTTCTCTTTGCACCCACCGTGTTATTCAGGACGGATACCCGCTGTCTAAATCACCTATCCGTATATTCCTGTTTCAGGGACTTGAGAGGCGTGCCAGGAACAAGAATTGCTGCGATTCAGTCAATGCTGATCTCAAATGTTGACTGATGTGGAACGGGGCAATCCGAACAGTCTCGGAATCAAAGACATAGCCAAGGCGAGAGTGAGAGGAAATGGTGGAAGGGGGAAAAAAGCCACATCTAGCTGGGAAATGGTCCGAGTCGGCCCCCAGAAAACTTAGGCAGAGTGGTAATCGGTGGGGTAGCGGGCATCTCAAGACAAGACAGGAAGAGACTTCCGATCCCGCGAGTCTTTGACTAGTAAAAACCAATGGAATGCAAGGACTGAGGACGACAGGCCTACATTTGGAATATTAAGAAAGGGGCAGGTCGAGTTGATACACTCCAGGGTCTGGCGCCCCCTTGTGCGGGTGAAGACGAGGATAGAAAAAAATTCAAACAAACAAAATAAAATAAAACAAACACCATCGTAATGAAGGCCTAATCAGGCCAGGTTCGGCAAGTGGTGAGACTTGACGATGCCCAATGGTTGATGTGGTTGAAGCCTCACTTTGCTGCAACCATGGCATGTCAATATCCCACCAGCAGCACCCGCATCTGACATCTGAGCGTGTCTTGGGAAAACAAGAAGGGCAACAAGAAAGGATAAATGGTTATGCAGCAGTGAAGCTGGTGCATAGCGAGTTGTTTTGCGGTGTCTGTGTGTTATGCAGGTATCATTGCTCCTGTTGCTCTCCTGTTCCTCCCGTTGCAAGCTGCTAGTGAATGAAAGGATGACTGCAGACGAAAAGCAGAGTAGAGCAAGTACTGCTACTTGAAGGGCTGAAGGTTCAGCAGGTGAACGCGTGTTGAAGTTGATAAAACTTAGAACCATGTTCCTTGTAAGGGCGTCGAAATGGCCGGGGGGAATGGGCAAGTGAGAGTGAGTAGTCGGGGACCAAGTGAGGTCAAAGAAGCCGATAGCGGATCCCTGTCGGGTGACCAGGGTTGAAAACATGGGCTAGGTGGGTTCCTGAACGAGTGCCGGTGCCTTGCTTGAGTGGTTCGGAGGGTACGGAACGCGACTGTACCGGTACGTTGAGCTTGTACGTATTATGAACCCATTCGGCTGCAGGGTCGGAGGCGTGGCGTGGAGTGGATGGGTGTGGAGGGTCCCCTTGGCTTTTTGGGATTGGGAGAGCAACTGCGAGAGCCCTAGCGTTTCAGGGATTGTGCTTGAATGCGACATTTCGCGCATACGGAGTACACTATCGAGGCAAGCCTATGAAGAAGGGGCTCCAACCACCTTCTCAAGGCGGCACATTGGCACTGCTACACGTACAGAAACCCAGAAGGTGGGGTTGGTCTGGCGATTGGACTGCCATTCCCCCATAAAATAATTGATGGCTGAGATGAAGGTGCCAGTGCAGGAAAACTCGAGCGCGAAATGTGCAGGTATACGTACGGATGGATTTACCTGGAAATGGTGACCGACGACGTGATGCAACATGTCGAGGTCCTGCTGTCATTTGCATTGCATTAGCCGCAGCATTCCCTGGAAGAAAGACCTCTCAACCATCCATCGGCAGGTTGATAAGGTTCTGTGCCTGCCTTGGCGAGCCACGATGTGATGTCAAGTATGCATACATAGAACTACTATGTTACTTGCAAATACTCTGTCCCTCAAAGCTTCCCTCGCTTTCTGGTGGTAAAGACTCCGGACGTGGATTATCCGTGACCCGATTACGTTTGCGAATTTCACCTACGGCGGGGACATAGGTCTACTTGCATTTTCATCCGGTTCAGCTCACAGACGATGCGAGTATCTCAAATACTGTGGGCCTTTTGTGCACATCTCCGGCAGAGAGCTCCGCTACTCCAGTTGCAATACGCTGTACAATCTACTTCAAATTCCAAGGGACCCACACTTCATGAGAGTTCACTGGGGCAGATCGGACCAGTGTCATGATATGTGAGAACTGCTCTGCATACCTACTACATTGTACATTTACTATATAGTAAGAGGGCTATAATAGGAGAGGGCAGGATGGGAGGCTGAGTTGCTTCCTGCCCGATAGGCACTGGTAGGTGGCTGCCTTGCTCAGGCACATCACAGCGCGTAGCCCTGGACTTTTCCTTACCTGCACCCCCTTGGCGCACATATTGTGCTTTCTTTCTTTCGGTGGTGGTAGTACTTGGTATTGGCAGCAGTACTTCATAAAAGCTGGTTCTTGAACAACTAAGTGGTTGGCCATGCTGGGCTGCGTGCTTGTCTTCCCAGGATGGGCCTAGCTTCTTTACGGTTACTGTTCTTTTTTCGGCTCTTGAGACTGACTGCACTCGCTTCTTGGTGGGCCTACGAGCGGAGCATCTCTAAATCCTCAATTTTCCCTCACCTTGACTTGAGATTGGACTGATCTTCAACCCTACCACACCGAGCTGGTTCCACCATCCTTCGGACGTCGAGTCGTAGCAAGCTACGACTGCACACATCGTATTGGAGCTTGCTTTGCATAACCCATCTACTTTGACCTTGCTCCTCGCCATGGTTACAACGTCGACTGCCAATCAAGGGCCTGCCCACACATTGCGTGCAACTCTACCGGATTGTCCAACCAGATGCTACAATGGGAAATGAGTCTGCGAAGAAACGAGGCCCTTTTTCTTTCCTATTTTTTTTTTTTTAGTTTTATTTCATTTAATTCCTCTGGGGAATGGTGTACACTAGCCCACTTGCTCGCCGTCTTCCAGTCGGGTTGATTGCATTTCAACCCAACCTAACTAACCCTTTCCAACTCTCCTCTCTGTTGAGGCACCTTGCAGATACGTAGTACTTTCCTTGCCTTGGCCTTTGAAAGCACGGCACAGTATGCAGTAGGTAAAGCCCGAGCAAAAAGACGCTAAAAACGTCTAGAACAGCGCTTACATGGCCTTGCAGATTGATGGATTACGAACAAGGAGACTCTGACGCGACACGCGTTACCTAAGGCGACCTAGAGAAGTTCACCATGACACACGCCAACCTGCCGTCTCCCCGCCGGCGCCTTTATTCCCAATCCTCCAAATGAAGCATGCAACTTGCCTACTACTTTCAGATTTCTCATCTCCTAAAATTAGGGTTTGAATCAGTGACATAAAATACCAGGCGTGGGAAATCCAACCATCAAGTGAACATGACCCAGGCCACCCAAAAGCCTTCTATCTACTGTCGTTACGTACTCCTGACTGAGCACTTGCATCTACTAGTACATCTCAAAGCTCGAGTTCCGTTGGTGATGGTGTTGCGGTTGAGTAGTGTGATGAGATGCTCCCATCCCTTGGCAAGGTCTGGGCCGTCACACAGCCGTTGAACATGTTTGGGGCGATTCAGCCTCACACAACGCGATTATTCTCGATTGACGCCCGCCAGATACCTGGTTGATCCCCGCAGCTTGCCACGAGATCGTTCTCTCGTCTACATTGGAAATCGGCAGAAAATATCCTTTGCGAGGCTGAGTCCGATGCTGACATCCACTTGTCCAAACAGCCTTGAAAACAATTGTTACACTAGAGGCCACGAGATGCATGCAACTCAATAGCACTGTTCTTCCATCACGTCACAACGCCTTGTTCCAATCACCTCACACAGCCAGTCATCTTTGCCCATTCATCCATCCATCTGTTGTATCGTCTCAAGCCACCATTACTAAACGGCTTGTACTCCCACCGTTTATCACGCCGCAGCCGTTATCCGCTTAGCCCCTAATTCAACCGCATCTTTGTTTGTTCACACCCCCCTTGCCTCACACCCCCTTTCCACACCTTATTGTCATCAACAATCCCCACCATTTCCAGAGCCGATTCTGCTTCAACTTGGTGGCAGCCATCACTCATCCGGTGAAACCAACCGAGTCGTGCTGTCCACCACACACATTCAGGCTTCAATATGGCTGGTCATTTTAAATCACCCACAGTGTTAGTGCATATTACCGTCTCCGAGAAGGACAAAAAAATAAATAAGAGACCGACACAGGGGGGTGAAACCAGCTCAAGAACCTTCGACTCATTTGATATATGCTTCTAGAAAGCTTCGGTGACTAACTAGCACTGGCGCTTGTGTCTGTGCCCTCGCTGCCGTCTCCTTTTAGGGGTTACCTTGTGTGGGAAATTGAAACAAGGCCCTCGCCGGACGCGTTTCTGCAACGCTGGAAATGGGGCGTCATCAATTGGGACTACGTACTGGTTAGACTGGTTAGTAGGCTGGCCGCCAGAGCTCACGGACCCTATTAATATGATTCGCAAGTTCAATCCGCCCGCAACTCTACACAGGTGCCAACATGTGGCCTCGGATTCTGGCCTGATAATGACACACGCAACCTGCCCTAATTCCATTCAAGACCCGGTTTCAATGCGCGCCCGAGACCATCGACGGCCACTCCGTCAATCGTCGAGTCGAGAGTGGTAATTGCACGCGTTAGTTAAATGAACCGTGTCAGCCAGCCAACTTCCATGTCGCCATGGGCAGTGGCGCGCTGGTTTGCCGAGTATAGTTCGATTGAGGCTACCTATACCACTGCATGTCGCGCTCTCCTGACTTCCGGCCGTCGATCGCGGCTTTGTCTGTTCGTTTCAGACCCTGAGATTCTATATTCTGGCTCCAAGTCATCACTCCCCCAGTGAGAAAATCGACCTCTTGCACCCATCAAATAGAAAACAAAAAAACACCAAGTGGCCTCTTGTGTGTGTGTGTATGTCGCTCGGCCGCAATGAAATAGGCAACGCCTCGTAGTCGGAGACACCACGTTGCCTCTCCACTGACTGCATGGGCCAGGTTTCATGGCATGGGCATGATGCCGCTCACACTAAAGTCGGTCGTTTCTTGTCATGCGGTTGAAGTAGTAAGACGTATAACGATCTGCTAATCTCGGAACAGCCTCATGGCCGTTTGCTACTTCTGGCAGCACTGAAGATCTTCGGCATCACCGACATATACTCCTGAAGCTAGCTAGCTAGCCCTCCTTCCTCTTACGCGTCCGTGTAGCCGTGGAAGCAACTATACACGGTTGACAATGGTTTAGTTTGCCTTTATATTCGGCCAAATGCGCTTCCCCTGACATCACCGCGGAGCCATTCATCGCGCTAGGTGGCTTCCAAGATACGCCGTTCGACTGCAAGACAAAGTGGACATCATAGGCTGGCATTATAGGAGCTGCCCCTATTCTATGAATACACAAGGGTGGTAGTACAACAATAAGGTCATATAGGTGATCGACAGTATTTTCACCAGTGCCATGTACGGCAAGAGCCACTTTATCTCTTGACCCAAGCAGGCATCTTTCTGGCCTTGACGTGACCGTGCTTCTTTCTCTCAACCGTTCTCGCGTCGCGCGTGATGCAGCCAGCTGGAAAATCAAACGGATTAGCACTGAGCTCAAACAATGACGGACCTTTGAATAGTAACTTCCACTCACCTTTTCGTAACGCTTTTTTCAGATCAGGCTCGTGAGCCAACACGGCCTTGGCAATGGCCAATGTCAGGGCCTCAGCCTGTCCGGTCACGCCACCGCCATCCACAAGTGCCCAGACATTGTATTTGTCTGTCCTTGCGGTACTACGGAGCGCCCAGATGGCGCTCTCACGATCGTGAATTCTGCCAAACACTTCATGTAGAGGCTTGCCGTTGACCAGCACCTCTCCTGTACCCTCAACAACCCAGGCGCGCGCAGTGGACGTCTTCCTCCGGCCAACACCCAGGGCACGTCCGTGTTTATCAAGCGGGGTGACCTTCGCGACATTCTTGAAAGGATCGATATCTCGCTTGAATTCCTGTAGAGCATCCTGAACCTCGCGGGGCATCAACCTGGGGTGGATTTGATGTAACCGCTTGACCATAGCCAGAATCTGGCTGTAGGGCAGGGCCTTGACCGGTTCTCCGTACATTGTGCGGTATCCCTTGAGAGTCTTCCACAATTGACGGGGAACTAGCTCCGGTGGCGCCGTCGGGAGGTGCTGGTGCTTGTGCAGGAGAGCAGACAATTTAATGTAGGCATCGTTGAAGTGAGGCTCTCTGGAGAAGTATGATGGAGAGACAGGAACTGGCCGAGCCTTCGAGACTCCCTGAAATGGTTCTTCGGGAGGAAGAGTTAGGCTGCTGTCGATCGTGGGTGCGCTCTGGTCGGCTTTGGGCTCGATAGTCGAAAGGCTCTTGACGCCCATCTGGAAGCTTGGTCGCTGCCATTGTGGCTTCAAAAGCTGGCTCTTTGCCAATTGGCGCAAGCAGAGCGTTTTCTGCAGGCCATGACGTATGGTCGACATTGTGTTGTGACCTCGATCAACGCCCTCGTCGTTGGGGTGGTCGTCGCGATGTCGTGGATTATTCGCAGCTTTAGCCTCAGGGACTAAGCTAGAAATCTTTCCTGATGGTCGAATGCGGCAAAACGTCGGATCTCGATCACATGACCACCAGCCACAAACATCGAACGCTCGGGCCTCTTATTGCCTCAAGCAGAGAGGGGCGTTACCCCTCACTCAAGCCACACTAACCATCAACTTTTTTTTATTTTTTCTTGAGCGAGGGGCTTGAGTGGGCGGGGCTGGCGCTCGAATTTTGCCGTTTCATTCAAAAAATTGCAGCACTTTCGACAGCGGGGGACTGAACTTTTTCCCTCCTTCTCTTCAGTCCATCACCTCACACACTCTTGATACCCTTCCATCTCTCAGTCGCTCAACTGATTCAAGATGGCGTTCGGCAAGCTCTTCACCTACCCGGTAAGCAGAAAACAATTGTTTTTTATTTTCCCAATCTGTGTCGTCTTTTGAGACCGTAGCTGACCGTTGTCGCCCCTCCATCCAGGCCAACCCCCGCACCACGGCCATCCGCGCCGTCGCGAAGGCCAACAACGTTGACCTCGAGTTCATCGAGGCCGACACCACCAAGCCTTCTGCCGAGCACCTCAAGGCCAACAAGCTCGGCAAGGTCCCCGCCTTCCTCGGCGAGGATGGCTACCCTCTCTCTGAGTGCATCGCCATTGCCATCTACAGTATGTCTTTTCTGAGTCACGTCAGCACTGCCTGCCGTCTGCGAAAAGCCCTCGCACAACCTGCCCCTCGAAATGATGATTTAGCATTTTTTTGTTACAGTTATCCCTGTCCGAATTTTCATGTGGATAGAGTTCTAATTTCTGATCTCGTCATTGACTTGTCATATCACTTGGACGCCTATTCGGGAGTATCAGCTAACCAGGCGCCACAGTCACCTCCCAGAACGAGAAGACCACCCTTCTCGGCAAGACCAAGCAGGAGTGAGTCACAACCCGTAACCATTGCGCACTATGAGAACATGGAGCTAATAGGTCACCCTCCAGCTACGCCTCCATCCTGAAGTGGATGTCCTTCTTCAACTCTGAGGTCCTCCCCCCCATGGGTGCGTGGTACCGCCCCCTCCTTGGAAAGGACCCCTACAACAAGAAGGCCGTTGAGGACTCCTCCAAGGTTGCCCTCAAGGCCGTCAAGGTCGTCGAGGAGCACCTCCTTAACAACACCTACCTCGTCGGCGAGCGCATCACCCTTGCCGACCTCTTCGCTGCTGGCATCATTGCCCGTGGTTTCGAGTTCTTCTTCGACAAGCAGTGGCGCCAGGAGAACCCCAGCGTCACCCGCTGGTACGACACCATCATCAACCAGGACATCTGGACCGCCGTTGCCGACAAGCAGGAGTACCTCGAGACTCCCAAGCTGACCAACGTCGCCCCCAAGAAGCCTGAGCAGCCCAAGAAGGAGGCCGCCCCCAAGCCCGCTGCTGCTGCCCCCGCTGCTGAGGAGGCCCCTGCTGCCCCCAAGCCCAAGCACCCTCTTGCTGAGCTCCCCCGCGCCACCTTCGACCTTGAGGAGTGGAAGCGCACCTACTCCAACGTCAAGAACCACGAGGAGGCCATGAACTGGTTCTGGGAGCACGCCAACTTCGAGGAGTTCTCCCTCTGGAAGGTCAAGTACAAGTACAACGACGAGCTTACCATGACCTTCATGTCCAACAACCTTATTGGTGGCTTCAACAACCGTCTTGAGGCTTCCCGCAAGTACATCTTCGGATGCGCTGCCGTCTACGGCCAGAACAACGACTCTGTCATTGAGGGTGCCTTCGTCATCCGTGGCCAGGACTACAAGCCCGCTTTCGACGTCGCTCCCGACTACGAGAGCTACGAGTTCGTGAAGCTCGACCCCTCCAAGCCCGAGGACAAGCAGTACGTCTCTGACTCGTGGAGCTGGGAGAAGCCCATCACCCACAACGGCAAGGAGTACCAGGTCGCCGATGGCAAGGTCTTCAAATAAGCGCATTATTGTGTGCTAGGGGGTGATCCGACATTTATGGCTTATGGCAGATGAAACGAGTTTACGAATAGGCAAGGGGGTGTGTAGATGATGATATGGACCCGAGAAGAGATATCTTGCGCGTAATGCCAGAGGCTGTGTGCCGAGTCACTAGGACTGGGCAATAGATGCAGGATGTTCCTGATCAAACAATGCTTGCCTCTACCCAACGTGATATGTTAAATCAACGTTGTCCTTGCGATAATACGCGCGCCTATGTCAGGGGTATCTCAATGCTATCATGTTGATGCTTATTTCCCCATGCCTGTCGCCCATGCTCCCCCGAAAACAGTCGCGAATGTGTGAAACTTATATACAAGCGCTGCTATTTTTGACATTTTGAAGTCCCCCCTTCTTTTTTTACTGTTCTTCAGGCGGAGCCAGTTTGTAGTCGTCCCTTACGTAGAACGGGTTTGTGCGCATGTAGCTGCTAATGTCGGACTGGTAGCAGAGCGAGTTGAGATAATCATGAACCTGCGGCACTATCAGGCCCGGTTCGGTTTCGTTCCCAAAGAACTCGGGAATACGAAGGAGGTTAAACGGCTCGCTTCGTGCCTTTTCCGACGAATCGTCGACCAGCACAGTGTTGCTCTGGTCCCAGCAACCTCCAAACTCAGCATCAGGATGCGAAGCCTTGACGCGCGGGTCGTTCCAGACCATTTGTAGACGCTTGTAAACCTGGACGCGGAGGTTATAATCGGCCTTTGACAGTCCAAACCGGTCGCGGCCCCAGACAGCCAGCACACGGCGGCGGTATGCGGCTCTGTCCACACTTGCGCCGGGGCCGGGAGGGCCAAGAAGAAGCTGGTCGCACATGGACTGTACATTCGCCGGTCGAGCGGATGACCATATCACCACGTGAAAGGTGTCGAGGCAGTACTGAAGGAAACGCTTGGCATGGGGTCGCTCCACGAAGGACGTCGCATTGCGGCGGTTGGGGCGGTAGAGGAGGGTGCCATTGAGGTCCATAACAACGAGGATCGGCTTGGGTGAAGGGAGGAGGGTCGGAGGGATAGAAGCGCGGTGGAGGTAATCTGCCGTAGGTTCAGGCACGCCGCCCGATGCGAGACTGGGTGCCACAATCTTGTCGCGTTCGCCAGCAGGTCTGCTATTCAAAAGGTCAGTCGAGGAGGGAGAAGAGTTGGAGGGTTTGGTGGCCTACTTTGCGCGAGGTCCCTTTGGAATCGCGGGCTGATTCGTGGCGGGAGGTTGTCTGGCTGAAGTTACCTGCGGAGCAGACGGAGGTTGGGGCGTAGGAAACGGGAAGGGGCCATTGTTTGTGCTGTTCCCAAGGCCTGGGATCGCGAAGCCTCCAGTTTGGTTGGGAGATGCCGCACTGTTCGGTGCGGGCTTGGCCCACCATTGTATGTTAGGCATGTCCATATTGTATATCTCGAAGGCGCGAGATGGGATTGAGTTTGGATATGAAGGTATTTGCCGCAGGGAAGTATCAATTGATGAGGTGACGCCTTTGCGACCGCTCCAGCTGGCTTTACTCCTCCGTGGCTGCGTAGCGGTTTGGCGAAAGAGAGAGGGGAGAGATCCAGGGCAGGTCTTGAAGATGGAGGGGCGCATGAGCGGGTCCAGGGGTCTTGCGGCTTGAATTATCCAACTAGTTAGAGATTGCGATTGTCGAGGCGGCCTTCGTTACGAAATCTGGAAAGTGAACGCCAATTCTAAGCGACAGCTCGTTTTCGGCCCTTTCGTTGTGTGGATGGCATTTGACACAAATATAAAAAGACATGTCAGGTCGCGCTGGGAGCAATTCCTTATCGATAAGATAGGAAAATCTTATCGATAGGCTACTTGGGGATTGGACCCACAGAAAATTCACGATTGCATCGAGACAAACTCGCCCATGTATATACCCTGCGTCTTACAACTGAGCAAATAAAGAACTCCATTAGGTTACAAAATGCTTTCTGGAAAGAGAAAACAAGGGTTTGGCGGCCTCCAGCGCCGTGTGAGACCTCGTAAAGAGGAGGAGCCTGAAATCGATGAGAACCTCAGTAGCGAGCCTGAGGAAATGGATGTGGAGGGAGATGAGTTGAGTGAGGGTGAGGAAGACGAGGACAATATGGATGATGGAGATGATGATCAGGAGGTGTGTTTTAGTACTGATACAGCGTGAGATTCATATACTAACATGCGTCTAGTCCGATGCTTCACCGCCACAAAAGAAGCCCGCCATCGATATCTCATCAGTCTCCTTCGGTGCCCTTGCCAAAGCGCAAGCTTCGATGTCAGCATCCAGCAGACGGCGCAAACGCGGCGCAGCTGCCGAAGACTCACAGGAGGGCTCCGACTCAGATTCCGGCCCCGAGGAGGTGGGCAATGTCAGAAAACCAAAGTCCGCCGCCGATGTTGCCAAACGTACGAGCAAGCACGCACCAACTGAGATGTCCAGCAAGAAGCCCGTCTCCCGCAAGCGCGAGGTAATCGCCGTTCCCAAGATGGAGGTTCGCGACCCACGCTTCGACCCCCTGAGTGGCCCAGTCGATGAGGCGAAAGCTAAGAAAGCATACGCTTTCTTGGACAAGTACCGTGCAGATGAGATGAAGGAGCTGCGTGGCGAGATCAAGAAGACCAAGGATCCAGTTAAGAAGGAAGAGATGAAGCGTCTGCTGTTATCGATGGAGTCTAAGATCAAGGCACGCGAGCGCAAGGAGCGCGAGCAGGAGCTTATTACGGAACACAAACGTCGTGAGAAGGAGCTGGTTAAGCAGGGCAAGCAGCCATTCTACCTCAAAAAGTCAGAGCAGAAGAAGAGGTTGCTCATGGACCAGTTCGCCGGCATGAAGAAGAGGCAGGTTGACAGGACGATTGAACGTAAGCGCAAGAAGGTTGTTGCTCGTGAGAGAAAGGAGCTAGACCAGTTGGAGAGGCGGGATCGGTCTTAGAGAGGCACAATCATCTATATGTTCTATCGAGGAATACATGGCTCGCTTGAGTATGCTGCGGAAGAGCCTTGCTGTGTCTAACTTATTCGCCCGTATACAGCCCTTCTGCATGTTATTACAGTGATGGTACAAAATGATACAAAAAGACGCTTCATCACCCGTCGCTTGTTCTAAACAGTGTATCCGTTCTTCTTCAAGCTTTCCTCGAACATCTCGCGGCATCTAACCTTACTGCCGAGTCTAGCGCAGAGTAGGAAAGCACCGCTCAGCTTGCGGTGCAGGCTATACGTTTCCTCGGGCGGCGGCGCAAGTCTCTCGCGCAGCATGACGGGGATAAGGCCCTTCACCCGCTCGGTAATGGTTTGGTCCTTGAAGTCGTAAACTTCGGGGGCCGATGCGAGGAATGGCTCGGCCAAAGTGAGCACCGACTTGACGTGGGCATCAACCATGGTTTTGCTCTCATGACCAGTCAAGTAGCCAAGGCTCTCGGAAAGTTCTTTAACTCCTTGATGGTCAGACCTTGACGCAGCCGCAAGAAGCTGGACATATTGAGTGACAAACTCGTCGGGGTATTCTCTTGAGGCGCCAAAGTCAAGGAGTTCGAGCTTGTTGGTTTTGGCATTGAAGAGAAAATTTGTCCAGTTAGGGTCGGTTTGCATGAACTTGAACTCGGTGATTTCTCTCAAGCAAAGACGCAAGATCTGGGTTCCGATCCAATCTCTCTGCTGCTGCGTGAATGACTTAACTCTGGTGACGCCGATGCCATCCATCCAGTCCATGGTGAGAACGTTCTTTCCAGAAGCCTGAAGATGAACATCTGGCACAAGAAAAGTATCCTCCTCGCCTGCGAGCAGCTCTTTGTATTTGATGAGACACTGTGCCTCTCTCTCGTAGTCACACTCCCACCCAAGTTCGAGACGAGCATTGTCGATGGTCTTATTCAGATACAAGCCCTTTGGCAAAAGTTTGGTGGCGTTTAACAGGATTCCAAGGTTGTCTAGGTCGGAGTTGATGGAATCGGCTACTCCTGGGAACTGGATTTTGACGGCAACCTTCCGCCCATTCTTCAGTGTTGCGCGGTGAACTTGCCCAATAGACGCCGCAGCGATGGGCTTTTCCTGAAACTCTTCAAACAGCTCACGCCATTCCGGACCCAGGTTGGCTATGAGCACCTTGTCTCTCTGATATGATGGCATATAATCAGCACGATCTTGTACTCTCTGCAACACCTCCTGAATCGGTCCAGGGAGCATCTTTGAGTCCTGGAAACTCATCATCTGGCCCATCTTCAAAGCGGCACCTCTCATCCGTGAGAGCTTTGACACGAGTCTTTCCATATTTCCAGCGCTGAGAAGGACTGAACCTTCACCCTTGCCGCCAAAAGCCCGGCCAACGCTTTCAGAAATGGCACCTCCCATCATGCCTGCTGCCAGACCGCCATAGTTCCAAAGCCTGCTAAGCCGTGTAGCAGGAACCTTGGACTCCCTGAGTACGTATGCTGGAGACGAAGATTGATCGGTCGCTGTTTCAAGGACCGCCTTAACTGGTGACTCGTCCTTCGTCTCTATTGGGGAAGGCTTTGTCTCTACCTCCGGCTCTGAGCCAATGGGAGCAGTCTTCGCAACAGTACTGTCGTCGACTTTAGGCTCTGTTGCCTGAGCCTTCGGTGCAGACTCTTTTGCTGATGAATTATTTTCTCGGGCATCCTTTGCCGTCTGAGAATGAACGACAAACTCTGGGAGCCCGACAGGTTTGAGTTTCTTCCGGGCTCCAAACAAGTTGTTCGCTTGTTTATCATCCTGCTTACCCAGCATACTGGCGGCGCGGCTGCTGTGAAAAATGTTGACGTTGACCCCAGAGGGAACGTCTTCTGGTTTTTCGGAGACGGGAGCGCCATATGATGCAGCCGACCCTTTTCTCGCTAAGCCTTCTAATTGAGCCTTATTCTCTTTGAAACTGGCCTCTAGCGGTGAAGAATCAGACCAGGGGAAGCTCGAAGGGTTTGATTGGCGCAGTTGGGACAGAACCGAACCAGATTCTGGCTTCGTAATTGTTCCATTGTTGGATTCTGGCTGAATGTTGGCGAAAGAACTGTGCGGGACGTGAGTGACTTGAGGTCTCGACTCAAACTGCACGGGCGATGCTTCCTTTACTTGAGGCTGCACTTCAGCTGCCTCTGTCGCAGACGTGTTTTCGGTAATAGTGTCATGTCGGGTATTGTCTGGAGCCACCGGAGCTCGACGTGTTAAGCTGGATGACTTGGTGAAGCTCTCAAGCTGCCGGCCTCTCAGGGCGACATGCTTGGATGCGACAGAGCGCGATGCGCTGAGCACGGCTGCCAAATCGACAGCAAAATCGGCAAATCTCATCTGGTACGGCTTTGTATCACTCCACGCGCATTACATTACACGTCTTTCGACTTTTGGGGACCTTTTGCGACTCTCAGGAAGCGCCAGGATCATCAAGCCGTCTCCATCATAATTGGAAAATTGAGCAGTGGATATGCATTAAAATATGGATACAATCTTTTAAATGCATATATATGTATATATTTGAGAGGCATCACTGAGGCATGCTGTAGCCCCCTGAAGACAGTAAAAAAGCACACGGCTCATTTCCTAGAATCCGTTGAAGCTCAAGGTCGGAACACCTCTATGTCGCAATTGTCAATACTTTGATGAGTTATCTTGATAATTAGCGTGATCGTCAAGACAATTTAATTCGCAAGTCTACGTTGTGAAGAAGTTTGTATTAAAGTGTACTCTGCCTTACACCGCTATGGGTATTTTGCCTCCTGTGGTATATATCCTTGGGTCTATTCCCATTCATTCATCTATCATTAACCATTAATAGCTGTAGTGCAAAATTGTTTTGCTGTCTTTGCTTCTACTGAGAGACCTTTGACCCGCCTTTTAATAGTGATCCTCGTGCTCTCATCGGCGTCGCTTTCATAGACGAGCTGCTTGGACTGCCAGGTCGAGGGCTGCCGATCTTGCTCCATAATCTCTGGGCGGCAGGTGTAAGGCCACCCGCTACTCTCGGACTGGAGGGAAACTTTGGCACTGGTGTCCTTTCCGGCTTGCCAGTTAAGCCATTCTTCGCAGATTCCCTTTTTGACTGTGCTACACGCTCGACTAGCCGATGATGCAAGCTTTCCCTTTTCCTTTGCTCCTGCAACCTGAAAGGATTCGGCGTTGAGTCGCCAGGTCCCAGGTTAATGACTGGGGCTGGAATAGCTTCGTCGTCATCTTCGTCATCCACAAAAGCATACCCGTTCACCCTTGGCGTTTCCCCTCCACCGACTGCACTTGAAGCCTGGTCGTTCTTCCGAGGCCTACCTGCAATGGCGTCCCTTACCGCAGACATCGTCGGAGATGGTGGTCTCTGAATAACCACCGGCTGTGGTATTCTTGTACTTTGGTAGTTGATAGACTTCGGTGCCATCCTCGAATCGGCTTGGGCCTTCTGTGCTGGGCTCTCGTAATCATCCTCCACACTGTCAGGTTTAAACATGAGGTTGTTTTTAGGATTTGCGTTCCAACTGTCCGGCCTCGCTGGTCTCTCATCGACATCTTTGATAGCCAGCCTGTCTCTTTTGAATCCATCGTCAATCAGACTCCGTGTCTGAGCTAGCTTGTCCTCCACTTCAGCTTGCTTGATCATTTGTTTGGATGGCAACTTGTTGCCCGTCCATAACCAGGCGTATTTTTCTGCCTTCTTTTGACTTTGCTTGTCCATGAGCTTATAGAAACTCTCGTTGTCCTCGCTCGTATACTTCGCTTGGAAATTAGCAAGACTCATGTTTGTATCCACGACAGGCTTAGACTCTTCGACCATCGTCGGCGCAACAGACGCTGGTGTGTCCGCACCATATGCCGACGGCGTACGTCCTCCAATTTCGAAGGCCGGTGGCCTCCTGATCCTCTGTCTCCCTGGTGTCATTACGCGTTGCAGCCTTTGTCCAGCGCTTGAGATCCATGCCGCGTCTTTTGACTCGAGGGCGTCGAGGTATTCCTGTTGGGTTTCCGCTTCCAGCAACCCAGGGAAGAAGTCACGAGCTATGATCTTTGAAAGGGCATCGGTGTAGGTATCTTCGTCTATGACTTTCTTGGGGCGCTTGATCTTCTTTGCAGGAGGGGGTGGAGGCATGAGGTCGGTGTCCGTCCGTTTGCGCACCAGCGCGTTCGAGGAACCGCTTTGTGACTCCATCGCTAGTGACTGGAGTACGTATGATAAGCGCGGCGGCTTCAAACGTTTAGAAAGAGAGCCAATATATATAAGTGCGTGCCATGCAGAGCCTATCAGGTCAAGATATGAGAGTTGACAGCGAACTCCGTAGTATGAAGGCAATTGATAAAACTGGGTTGCGCTCAGCGGACCCAAAATGACGTGGAACCGATAAGCGATAAGGCGGCACCTGCGCCAATATGCAGCTACCGAGTCCCTAGTGCTCTGAATCTTAGGCTTCCCCGGCAGCCATGTGTCTTAGTAGCAAGTGGGAGCTTAAGGGAGGGGCCAGACCCCCCTTCAACTCCCTTGTCGTACTCCTGAAGTGGCAATTGAATACCGCCCCGCCGCGTCGTATCGCACCGTGCGGTAGTAGCGCACTGTTTCTGTTAGGTCCGAAGAGGGTTTAAGGGCCGAACCGTCATGAAAGGAAGCTTTTTTGGGTTGGTCCCTAGCAACCTCAGCCTTCGAAGAGCTTCTGCAGGCCACAAAATCCGCCGGTTGCCACTCTACCCTCCCTTCCCGTCCCGTGTTGCACTTTGAACTAATTGTCGCACTCCGGTTCGCATTGAGAAAAAACAGTCCCAATCCCGCTGATTTGTGGGCAAAAAACTGAAATATCATCCTGGGTTCTCTTGCTGCGATAAACTACCCCACACTTTACTTCTTCAAGAAGCCCGCGCTGCCGCTGTCAACATGACTACGCCGGAGGAGAAGGCAACGGCTTTTAAGAACCAAGGCAATAAGGCCTTTGCTTCTCACGATTGGCCGGCTGCCATCGAATTCTATACCAAAGCTATCGAGCTGAACGACAAGGAGCCTACCTTCTTCACGAATCGCGCCCAGGTTTGCCCCGCCCCCTCCCTTCTTTGCGACCAGGCTTCACCTTTGAGTTGCTCGTGTGACTAACCACATCACCACCCGACATAGGCAAATATCAAGTCGGAAGCATACGGCTATGCTATTGCGGATTGTACGAAAGCGATCGAGCTGAACCCCAAGTTTGTAAAGGTGGGTGTCCTTCGACAACACACAAATCTAACTAGACAACCCCAATGCTGACGCCCCGCCGAATCCAGGCATACTTCCGCCGAGGTCTCGCGCACACTGCTATTCTTAGACCCAAGGATGCCCTTCAAGATTTTAAGGAGTGCATACGGCTCGACCCGAACAACAAAGATGCCAAGTTGAAGTTGGACGAGTGTAAAAAGATTGTGCGCAAGTTGGACTTCTTTGCTGCTATTGAAGTTGGGGACGAGCCGTCAGCCGCAGAGGGTCTCGATATTGACGCTATCAATGTCGAGGCTGACTATGACGGCGTTAGATTGGAGGGAGAAATGACACAAGAGTTCATTGATGACATGACGGAGAGGTTCAAGACCGGAAAGAAGATCCACAAGAAATATGTCTACCAGATCATCCTGGCAGTGAAGAATCTTGTTTATAACGAACCCACGATGGTGGAGATGGAGATTCCTGAGGGTATTCAGCTTACAGTCTGCGGTGACACACATGGTATGTCCCCTTACTTCAGCTGGGATAAGCTTAAGACTAACCGATGTAACAGGCCAGTATTTCGACTTGATGGAGCTATTCCGCCTGAACGGAACGCCGAGCGACAAGCACTACTATTTGTTCAATGGTGATTTCGTAGACCGTGGGTCGTGGTCAACCGAGATTGCCTTGCTGCTTTATGCCTACAAGTGGCTGAGGCCCGGGGGCTTTTTCCTGAACCGAGGCAACCACGAGACCGACGACATGAACCGGGTATACGGGTTCGAGGGCGAGTGCAAGGCCAAGTACAACGAAAGGTGTGTTTCATCTGGGTTATAGTCAAAATCAGGTTTACTGACAAGCGCAGAATCTTCAAGCTGTTCTCCGAGAGCTTTTCGGCACTGCCTTTGGCTACATTGATCGGCACTAAGTACCTTGTGCTGCATGGAGGTCTTTTCTCTGATGACAAGGTCACTTTGGATGATATCCGTAAGCTCGACAGACACGCCCAGCGCCAGCCCGGTCAATCCGGCCTTATGATGGAGATGTTGTGGACGGATCCCCAAGACGAGCCTGGTCGCGGCCCAAGCAAGCGTGGCGTCGGCATGCAATTCGGACCCGATGTTACCAAGCAGTTTTGCGAGAACAACGGTCTCGAGGCCGTCATCCGCAGTCACGAAGTGCGCATGGACGGTTACGAGGTGCAACATGACGGACGTTGCATCACTGGTAAGTTATTTGTATTCGCCTGTTCTAGGCTTGAGTCTAACGAGCATAAGTTTTCTCCGCCCCCAAGTACTGCGACTCCACCGAGAACAGGGGAGCGTATATCAACATCGGCCCCGACTACAAGCTGCAATTTAACCAGTTTGACGCTGTTCCTCACCCAGACATCAAGCCTATGGTAAGCTGAACACAGCTTTAAGAAAAACCTGGACCACTGCTGACTCTCTCCTCAGGCTTACGCTCAAAGCTCTCTTATGTCGTCTCTGATGTAGTTTGACGTGACATGAGTGGTCGTTCCGGGGATATAGTATGGTATATTTGCATCCGCAGCATACAAGGTGCATGTGATCGGCGCACATAAGGGGCGGGCTGGCAGCGTGGGTTTTGGCCATGCGGGTAAACGGAGTTTTTGTCTGCGGACGATAGCCTTACCCAAAGTCTAGAATAACTGACGTTTGGGCTTTTTGCCGGACTTGAATCTTATTTTCAAGATGACCAAAGTTTGTCCTGGCCGTCTGCGCCAACCATGGCCCCTAAGTAGTCGGAACATTGGTTCACTCGGAGAACTTGTCGATTTCCCTGCTCCGATGCGCCGGCCCAAGCCGTCACGGCTGCCGCGAAGGGGCTGAGATCTAACCGAGGAATACGTAGCCAACACGCCTTGTCCTCTACCTTGAGTATATCGATGGGGATGGCTGAGCCGGTTGCGCCTAAGAACTGGCGAAGTGCAGCATTACAGTACGACCGCACCTGGAGCTCGTCCAAGGGTACTGAATCAGAAGATTTGGCGACGTCCGAAACGAGTTCTAGCTGCACATAAGAGAACGGGGGGTTCTTGACCGTGCAAGTAAGAAGCTCGTGCGACCGTTGGCCCGTTGCGCGCGGCGTGCCTGTAGGAATCTCTTCGTTACCTGAAACCTGCATCGCCATGTTCGTTTTGTTACTGAGAAGAGATGCAATGAGTTTTTACGTTGAAAGATTATGGGAATAAAATCTGTTCGTGAGGCTGATGAGTTATCTTTTGACTTGTAGGCCGACTTTGAGAATTTCAACTGTGAGTGACTGAGCGGCATGTAATATGATTCGAGCGCCAGCCTGCAGAGTCCTCGTTAGGTGGGTCGGCCGCAGAAACACCCTGTACATCGATAGATGCATATGCAATTGGCAGGGGCCCTTCAAGCTGAGTCTCCTCTACCGCCTTCAGACTGCCTCGGCCAGCCTCTTGTTTCGCGAAGAAGAACAATTTTCCACGCCACCACGAAGAAGTTCACGAGGATCGCGAATTCCCTCTCTTCAGCCATTTACGGTCATCCGACTACCGAGCCCAGAACCCGTCGAACATGTCGACCGATAACTTCGTCGCGCCCGGCCAGCAGCGTTACCTGCGCGCCTGCATGGTCTGCTCTATCGTGATGACCTATGCCGTACGTATCGCCGCCCTTTTGAAACGAGAATAAAGAGAAGAAAAAGCTGACGTGGCCTTTTTTTTTTCCTGCGTTGCAGCGTTTCCGTGACGAGGGTTGCCCCAACTGCGAAGACTTCCTCCACCTCGCTGGCTCGCAGGACCAGATCGAGAGCTGCACTTCGCAGGTCTTTGAGGGCCTCATTTCTCTCGCCAACCCCAACCGCTCCTGGGTCGCAAAATGGCAACGTCTCGATAACTACGTGAAGGGTGTCTATGCCATCAAGGTCTCCGGCCAGTTGCCTGATGAGATCCGCAACACGCTCGAGGAGGAGTATAGGATACGCTACATCCCGTACGTTTAACCACTTTCTGCGTGCTTCATGACGTGCAAGTCAAGCTTGGCAGGACAGATTTGCTGACAAAAAGAAAACAGGCGTGACGGAACGGAGACCGAGGTCGATAACTAGAGAGCGGTAAACATATTTGTGTTTGGTTTTGGCGTTAGGGGGGAAACCAGAAGGTCGGCACGGAGTCAAGGCAAGACTCTTCAGATGAATCAATTCTCAATGGTATCTAAAAAGTGCATTCCTAATTCCCATCCAACTGCCCGTTTGTGATGTAATGCCGAGGCCCTTTTTTGCCCAGAACGCCAGTATGCTTGTGAAATCACAGCCAGACCAGTCACCGCTGGTCCGTCTTTTGCTTCTTGAACGAAAATCCACCGAAACCAGACCCATCTCTGGACCTCTTCTTCTCCATCCTTTCCATATCCTCCTTCATGATCCTCTCCGCCTCGCTCATCTTCTTGGGCTGTTCAAAAGCCGCCTTCTTTGAGCCTCCCGCGAGGGCGTTCTTTTTAGCCTGCGCAAACACGTTTTTCGTCTGCGGTTTGGCAGTCATCTTGAGTGAGACCCCGCCGAGCGAAGGCTTTTCCGCCGGTTTATCTGCAGGCTTCTCCGGGGCTGCGGCGGGTGTCGCAGAGCCCGGAACATCAGGAGAGGCAGATTTCGGTTGTGGACTGGGCTCAGCCTTGGCAGCAGGTTTCGAGCCAAATGACAGGGAGATCTTTTCTCCTTCAGCGCGCTGCAACCCCTTTTCCCTCACCTCGTCATTCTCGTCCTTCTCCCCCCTCGCTTCAGCCTGCTTTTGCGCCCGTTTGATTTGCTCCCGGATCATCATCTGTTCAACCTCCTCATTCCCTCGATCCTGCGCTTCCTTCCTCCTCAACGACTCTTGTCTCTTTAGCGCCTCGGGGGAATTATCGATCCAGGCAATGTGAATTCCCTTCTCCGTCTCTTCAACACGACAAATGCCCTCTCTGCCCAGGTGTTTCGCAAACTCGGTCAAGCTAGGCCATTTCGTCGCGTTCATGTGCACGTGTTCCTTGTTGGCGATGTACTCCTGGTAAAAGTGGTTGATTTGCACTTGCTTCTCTCCGTGACCTGTGCGAAGGAGCTGGAGGAAGTCGCGGAGGAACTGGTTGCTGTACTCGTTAAGGAACTTTTTCGGGTCCTCGCCTACAACGATCATTTGCCGAACATGCGACTCGGACTGCGTGTGCATTTTGAAGCCGTTCTCATCGCGACATTGTTTCTCGCAGACCTGGCAGTACCAGCGCAGGCGCTGGAGGCCTTTGCTCTTGAGTTTGTTGTTCAAATACTTGGTTGAGCCGACTTCTGCTTTCGGCATCTTGGCGGTCTTGTGATGTTTGATTTAGTAGATTCAATCGTGAAGCGTAGGATAAATTTGGGTTCTATCGAGATACGTCGAGATGTCAGCGTGTGGTGTCGGCAAATGCAACGGATTGTGTGGTGAGAGATTGAAGTCGACGACCGCAAGGAAGTAAAGACGTGACACCCATGGCCTTGCCAAGAGAATGTTCGCGAGCTGCTTATCTTATCAGCGGTGCAGGGGGGTACCAATTTGACACAAGTGGCGGGGTTGATACAGTTTGCGCCAGTGCTGTATTCGCACTGTCTCATCCCACCCCGCCGACGTCGGCCTCGATCGACAAATATTTACCTTGACCGGTCACTGGGCTGGGGTGGTAACAAGGGGAGGGGGGGCATTAGCAAAGTAACGAATAGACGTTACCATGACGATCGCTAAATCCTCTCGTGTTTATATTCAGAAAGTTATTTCACTGGTGGTCCTTGTAAATTCCAATTGCTTTAATGCGGAAGATCGTTTGGCGAATCAGACCTCTCGAGAATGTCACAGACAAACGCGGCAACCAAAAATGACCGCACCTGGTGATAGTTAAGTCAATCTTGCATTTTCAAACCTATGCTCTACATTCCTGTCATTTTTTCCTGACCCAATATGCAAAATCTGTGCTCCAGCCCAAATGGCCCCATACATGAATGAAGTGGATATATAACTTGATCCAAAAGCAGGTCTCGCTCTATGCAAGCTAGGCGCTACACACAAAGACAAAGCTAGTCTAGTCAAGGAAAGTAAACAGATTTGTGTGCAGAATATTCATGGCGCGTGTGGCATCGCGGGCTTCAATGACGCAGGAGATGTTGATCTCGCTAGCTCCTAGATGGATGTTAGTGGAAATTTCTACCAAGGTCTCAGGAGAACTTACCCTGAGAGATCATCTCCAAATTAACATTATGCTCTCCGAGCGTGGAGAACATACGACCGGCAATACCAATCATGTTCTTCATCTCCGCGCCAACAAGACTAAGGATAGCCATGTCATGCAGGACGCTAACATCGCCGCAATCTTCCAACTCCAGCCGCGCCTTGTCAAAGTTGCCGGCTTCAGAGTTTCCGGCATGGATAGCCATGGAGACGTGCACCTCACTCGTAGAGATGAGGTCGACCGAGATCTGGTTGCTGTTGAGAATAGAGAAAACCCGCGCGAAGAAGCCATGGGAGATGGAGCGTTTGTTGGAGTGCACGTTGATAACAGAGATCTTGTCCTTGATGGTAACGGCTGTTGGCCTCTTGGGCTTCTGTCGCAATGAGGGATCCGTGGGCTTTGAACGCTGGATCTGGTGACCGGCCGTAAGAATAGGGTCGGGGATAACGATAGTGCCAACTCCTCGGGGGTTTTTGACGTTCTTGATGCGGATGGGGATAGGGGGCGAGGCATGAATGACCTGGTCCATGGTGAGGTGGTGGATGACCTCAGAACCGTAGAACGTCAACTCGGCCGCCTCGGACGGGGTGATGGAGTGTAGCAGCCGTGCTGTAGGGACCTTTGTGGGATCCGCGGTGAAAATACCGTCAACCTCCTTCCACACCTGAAGCTCATCAGCCTTGAGACCAACTGCACACAGCGCCGCGCAAAGGTCGGTATAGCCACGGCCGATGTCGCCGTCGATCAGGCTGCCAGGCACGTTCCCGAAGAACCCAGTGACGACGGGCACTCTGTCTTCACATGCCAGGATCTTTTTCCGCAGCACAGTAGCGGCTTCTTGGTAGAAGCTGTGATCCAAATGCGATGTGGCATCGTAGTGGAACGTATCGCTGAGATCCACATACTCTGCGGCGACACCCTGTGAAAGTAATTAGCCTGAATCTCATAATGCTGGAGTAGACAGGTGATGACACACCAAATCTTTCAACAGTGCAGCCATGAATCTGCAACTGAGCTTCTCTCCGAAGCTGATACAGCGATCCTTAGATCTCGCATTGACCTCGAGATTAAATCTCCTCGCAGCGACGATGTATTCGACCAATTCTTGACACTCATCTCGGATCTCTTGCTCCAGAGATGCCTTTAGTTCCTGGTCCTTGATGAAGGTCTGGACGGCAGAGACATGGTCTTTAGTGATGTCATCAATGAGGCTTTTAGCCTGGTTCATGAGTTCATTCTGAGCGTCCTCATCATTTGTGGCGGCTGCAATGCCCTTGAGCTTGTTGTAAACTCCAAGTAGACTTTACCAGGTCAGTCGATAGTTCAAGGTAAGATGTGATGTTGAGTGACTCACCGGCTGGTGGTGCCCTCAACCTTCTTGCCCGTGCTTCTTGCGGAGCAGACTACCACAACCTTATTGTTTGAGAGACTCGCCCTGCACATTGAAAAAGTCAACCACAGTCAAAATGCTGTACACAAAAATTTGAATTTACCGGACAATATCCGTAGCAATCTGGCATACAAACATATCAAGTCAGCCTCATACACCCGAATAGCGAAGTTGTGTGAACTGCGAGAGGAATCACCTTGTCTGGGAACTTTCCGACGCTGGTACCGCCGAATTTTTGCACCACCCAGCCATTGCTGGAGGTGTTTCCTTGCGATTGAGTGCTCATGATGCTTCAATTGCTGTGTACAGAGGGCGTGAGCGAGTATGACTCTCCAAAAAACAGGCCTGCGGGGGGAGGGGCACTGTGTCCGTAAGATGCGGGAAAAAGAACGGCGACGGTTGCAACTGGGTGGTCAACCCTCAAACAAAGATTGCTGGTGGGATGCGTCACAGTACAATGTGGGCGGCAGCAAATACAGGTGTAGCCAGTGTCGTCAGAAAGTGAGAAGAAAGGGTTGACAGTGTAGAAAGTGGTGGGATGAAAGGCAAGGTAAGGTATTCTAGAGCCGTGTTGCTGTGGATTGGATTGAATTGGACTGGACCCAATGTAACGAGTTGGGACGAAAGTGGGATGTGGAGCGACGAAATCGGCGACGCTTGTTCGACTCCCAGCGACCAAAATTTTGCGTGCGTTTCCGGAACATCGGAGGCGGGCCCGAATCTTTACTACCGATCCAGTACCGCAGCGTCACTTCCAAGGATAAGACCGACTGGACCAACGGCTCCCCTGGTTTGAGATTTCTCCTTGACGCCGCTTGCCACGGGTGCCGCTGCACACATCCTCCAGTCTTCTGCAGCTGCACATCTGGCCTACATGTGGCCTTCTCTGTCTGACTCATACTTGCTTACCAGTTTGTACTGGCTCTTCATCTCTGCAATTTAAATCTGAACTCTATGGCCAGCCACTAAAGACTGCCATGCGATTGCCAATGTCTAAAACTGGACCGTATCTCCTTTCTTCTTTTCCGTCACTTCAACAAACCCCCACGGGGCAAGAACGATTGTCCGCCATGGTTTCAAGCCTCTTTTGTTACCTCGGCCGTCCAGCCACTCCACAAGCAGCCGCCGTGAAGAACCTATGAAACTGTTGGTAGAGAAAACTTTTAGTTGCCCAATCCCGGCGCGCGCGGGGACAGCGAATCAGGGACAGCCTGATGACGAATGAGGCACGCTGCAGGCTGCCCCGACGGGGGTCCCACGCCCCAGTCAATAGCCGCCCTTGACGCTGCTACTGGGTATTGATGACAACCTTGTGTTGTTCAACGCTTAAACCTAGGCCACTCAGGGCAAAGGCATACTTATCAGAAAGGCGTGGGATGATCCTGCATGTGCAACGCGACCCTTGATATCAAGTAAGGGAAACCTTGTCTGTTCAATGCTCTCCCTGCCGGGTTGTATTACCACTAGATAAAAACGTATAATCAAGTACCTATGCCCCAGACCAGAAAAGAATTGGTATAGCAACCCGCGAGCACTAAATGCAAATGCCGTCCTCTTCGCCAGAATACGTTAAACACCGAACGCAAAAACCAGAACCCCAAAAAAACCCCGTCTAATGGAAACAGGCGCAAAACCCAAAAATGGTCTCCATGCCAAGTGGCAAGAGCCTTTTCCGCGCTCATACAATCGTCCAGTCGTGCCATCGTCATCGCACTGCACTCAACAGCCCTCCTCCGGCATCAAGCCTCATCGCGAGGCTGTTTGGCAGATGACTATCGATACATGACACCTGGTTTGCCAGGTGCGACTATACTCCAATCCACTTCCTTCGTCCTTGTCATTGTTGTAACTCAGCGTTGGCAAGAAGCGCTTGGTTGACCTCCGAGTGCGAGAAGGTGTATTTGTCCATTGGGAAGTCTTCCTCCGGCGTCCGGATGCCGATGCCGCTATCGTCAGGGTTACTACCCCCTGCCATGCCCGCCGAGTCAACCTGCCCTTGACTGTTTGCTGGCGGGAATGGTGCCTTGTCTGGCTGTGCTTGAGGAAGATTGGAAAAGTTGAACTCCTCGCTGCCGGTGCTGTATCGTGATCCTTGTCGGCTTGTCTCCTGACCTGCTACCTGGGAGTTGGCGACAGCCGCCGAAGCGCCCGAAGTCCTCATGTTGAGGAAACCTCCCTGTTCTGCAAGGAAGCAAGTCATTTCATCAATCCAGCACTTCGTCACCCACCAAGATCCGAAGCTCTTGCCCTGGGCCATGGTCAGATCACGCATGACTGCCGTGCCGACCCTTTGCACACAGTAGACAATATCCGTATGCGTTGCGTAGGGAAACCTTGTTGGCAACGACTTAAGAAAGCCGACCCAACGCTCCAGCACATTTTGTCCATTAGCGTCTGCGGTACCCTCGGCTCCAGGTTGACGGCCGTTTCTCAAAGCAATATCGCCATACACTGTCAAACACTCCACCTCCCAAGGCACATTCATCGGGTTGAGAAGATCGCGAAGCTCGGAGACGAGGAGGTTGACCAGATCGTCCATACCACGGGTGGGTACACATTCAGCGACCTTACGAACGCGGACCATGGTGATCCAATCGAGGTACATTTGGTCTCGGTTGGCCGGGTTTGACAACATGTTAGCTGCTGCGTGCGCGGTGAGGTTGACTCTCAGAGCTCGGTCAAGCAAAGCCGCGAAAATAGTAGCTGGGGCCTCCTTCGCTCGAATAACATGATGCGGCTGTCCCTGGAAAGCGTCCCGAACATGAGGCACAAGACGCTCCGAAATGTTGCGTAAGGTGTCCAAAACAGGCTTTGGCACTACTTGAAGTGTTAGGCCGGAGATGATCCTCAACATGCGCTGGTAGAGGATGAAGTCGCACTCCTCAATCCAAGGGGCGAGACTTGGGTGGCCAAGTAACTTTTGGACAGGCATGGTCAATGTGCCTTGGAAGGATGTATAAAGATGAAAGAAGGTCTTTTCTTTGCAGTAGCGAACACATTCCACTAGTGAAGTGCAATGTGACCTGTAAAGAGCAGACAGACTCTTTGCAGCATCGGGGTCAGTTCCACTGGGCAGGAAAGGCTCCATTCGGGGTAGCACAAGAGGATCATTCGATTGAAGCAGAGCCTCATCTGCCTCTGAAGGGAATGAAAATTGGAGAGATGTTTTCGAAGTGGAAGAGTTCAGATGGTCCGCGCTAGTCACATTCGGATGACTGTAAAAGCTGTGTGACCGTGAGTGGCTATTCGATGCTTGGGCAGGGCTTTCCGGACGTTTGGCAGCATCAGGTGAGGGCAGCACAGCTTTCGCTGGCTGTGCTTTGGTGGGCGCTGTGCTGAAGCTCTGTGAACGACTTGGCTCTGAGATAGCTACTGGAATATGAGGTTCCGGTTCGCGAAGATCGGGTTGGTCATCGACCAGGGTGAAATTGACGTAATGATACTTGGATTCACCTCTCACTCCAAGACGCCTAGTCTTCAGGCCAGGGAAAAGCACACGAACGAGTTTGCCAAAACTAGCGGGGTTCAACACGGTAATTCTCTCAGTGGCACATCGAGACGCGTAGTTGGCATAGACTCTGCCTCGGGGCACAGATCCTTTGCCCTTGGTGCATACTGAGTTGATCCAGAGCATAGCAAATACTTGCCGGGTACGTTCGGAGTTGGGGCCTCGCTCATTGCCGTGGAGTTCCTTGGCAACATCTTGCAGGCCGCGGTGCTTGTTTGCGTTGAATAGGTGACGCATCTCCAGTTCATTGTTAGCACTGGACCTGGCAGAGCTCGACTTTTGCAAGCCCATGGCCCCAGCCAAAGAATCATCCTCGTCACGGTCCATTAGCTGGCTATCGTCGGTGAAGCTGTTATTGGCGAAGCTTTCGGAGGGCAGAGGATGCCGTGGCATGGCGTGTTGCTGGAACGACATTGAATGGCTCATGGAAGCATTCATTCCAGGAGGCATGGAGTACTCGCGGGCGTTTTGCATCTGGGTTGCCGCGGCGTGTAGCATCATTTCTTCCGGGGTTATCCGCGACGCGGGTGCGAGGCTTCTCTGTTGTCTTTGGTCGTTGTTAACCCATTGTGCCGAATACAACTCGGGCGCGTCGGCAAAGGATTGTTGTTCCATAGTTGGCTGCGTAGAGATGCTGTGGACAGAGGCAGTTGAAGCGCGGGATTGAGGTCTCTTCTTCGCCCTGAGAGCTTGGGCGATGTGGTCTGTTTACATAGATTGTCAGCCAAGAAAACATTTACAGAAAGAGTGTCCTCAGCACAGAGAAGCACACAACAGAGGTTGTTGATCGTACCGTGATCCATTATCCGTCACCTCAGTTGTTGGATGGTGTTGTTATTCTGCGACGAAAACACACGGATCATGCAGGACAGCCTCTCCAAACAATGAAAGAAGTAAACGTAGGCTGTACAGGGCCACCGTGAACAAATGACTGAGAAAAAAGGAGGCGTTGAGGTTAGCAAAAGCAATCCAAATCCCTGCAGCCGAGAAGAGCGCGGTGCGCTGTGGTGAGCGTCGAGATCTTAAAAGACGTGGTCGGGGGGGAGCGAGACGTTGGTGTGGATGTGGGAAATGTTTTGGGAGGCTTTCCACTGTTTTGTTGACTTGACAACCAAAGGCTCGGGCGGTCGCCTCCACTCAGGTCTTGGGTGGACGACGGGCGTGGCTGGGCGACTCACGTGACCAAAGATGAACAAAAAGCCAGTTAGAGGCTACGGCGTACTCCGTACAGAGTATGGTTTCTAACAACCTGGAGCAGCCATAACTGTGTTTGGGATGTTTGATTGGCTAAGTGCTGGTGATGTGGGTCTGCTTACTTTGTGTGTCTTTCTCTGTCTTTGGCGTCCGTGTCGCTCCACTAAGGAGTACGTACCGGCGGCAGGTGCACCTTGTTTTCCAACCAGTCAGAAAACACGAAACCCAATACCATAAACAGCAACAGCAACAAGCTCGGACAGCCTGGAAGCTCAGGCATCAACTGCTATCCCCACCCACTCTTCCTTTTCCTTTGATGTTGTGAGATAAGATAGGAATACCAAGAAAGCACCAGCCCTCGAATCGCGAAATCTGACACCATCCGAGCCAAGTACCCGCTTACAGCCAAGAACATGGATCCCAGGGCATTTTTGCCCGGCACACAAAGTCTAGCGAGCGGGGAGCTACAATGCCAGCCTATGCTGTTGCTATGCAGGAGGAATCGACTCACAGAAGCTCTGCACTGCTGTTGTGCTGCCCAACTGAAGTGTGTCCAGTCCTTGCTGTGTGTGCTCGTCTCGTCTCGTGCCTGTGCCCCGCCCAAAAAAAAAAAAAATCCCCCATTTTAGCCCCGAGTGAAGCTTGACGCAAGGGCACCTAGACCATTCCTGCTGCTCAGATCTGCACACGTTACGTCGTCATCCGGCCCTTGCCCTTTCACCTGCCAATTCCAACGCAGACTCAAGGTCATTCAACCCCATACTCTCCGGTTTCTCGTCGAGAACTCTCCGTTTTAACATCGCCAATAGCTCCCCTGGCTTATTAGCTTACCAAAATTTGTCAACTATCCAATTACTGTAAGCTCCTATCGCCTGCATCGGGTTGATACCATTATCAAGGGTCCTTCGATATTGCAACCTGGCCTCGTCTTTGTCGTGTCCTAACCCTCGTTACAGCGCGATAACGCACAGCTTTACTCATCGCTCAATTTCCCATCCTAAACCGCAAACATGTCTGCTCAGGACCGCGTTCAAAACTACATCGGCCAGCTCGACCGCGAGGTAAGAAGTTGGCCGTAATTTCGGGGAGTGTGAAAGGGATGTCGTGCTGACCTCGGTGTGTGCGGCAGCTTTCCAAGTACCCCGCCCTGAACAACCTCGAGAAGCAAACCAACGTTCCCAAGGCCTACGCCGTCATCGGCGTTGCTGCCCTTTACTTCTTCCTCATCATCTTCAACCTTGGTGGTCAGCTCCTTACCAACCTTGCCGGCTTCGTTATCCCTGGTTACTACTCCCTCAATGCCTTGTTCACTGCGAACAAGCAGGACGACACTCAGTGGTTGACTGTACGTCCACAAACATCTTCCCCGCAAGCTGTCAAAGCGCTCAACTGACTAACCGTTGTTTTAGTACTGGGTCGTCTTCGCTTTCTTCACGTCAGTGCCCCTTTTCCCAGATCGGATAGTAGCAGCTAACAAAGAAAATGCAGCGTTGCGGAGAGCCTTGTTAACGTTGTCTACTGGTTCCCCTTCTACTTCACTTTCAAGTTTGTGTTCCTGTTGTGGCTTTCTCTGCCCGTCTTCCGGTAGGTTTTTCTTTTCCCGAGCCATGTTTGATGTACTGACATGCCGCAGCGGTGCCGACATTGTCTTCAACTCTTTCCTGTCCCCCATGTTGTCCAAGTACTTCGCCGGTGCCTCGACTGCCTCCGGCCTCCGTGCCCAGGCCGACAAGGCCGAGTAAACGCGCATCAGCGCCAGCTCATCAAACAGGTCGATTGCCTTGAGAGATCTACCTACGAGGAGTTAAAAGCTGGCCCGCTCATCCCGGTGGCATCCGCTAGCTAGTCACAAAGGACGTTGTGCGGCGGTCCGAGCATAAATATGACGGGGTGGGGTTCCACAGGCTGGCATAACCATATATGCGACAATGGTGATGGCTTATTTAGGTTTGGTCGAGGACCCTGGAACGCGTGGGCCACGACAGAACGGTTGGATGAGTTCCTGTTACCCAGATCAAATAACTGTATGCTACGGAATACGGAGTCATTGACTTTGCAATGGACTAAAAGAGTACCCGCTGCGACTAATGCATCGTGTGACATGTGCCGCCGTTGCTAGCGTTCGTTTCTCTGTGAGAATGGCAGAGACATGTGACGAGTGTTTGAGAAGTAAACAGCTGTGGCTTAAAGACAAAGAAAGACTCGAGGTACGGTGTGTTTCTTTGTCCTAGGCAACTAAAGTGCTCAAGTGCCTCGACCTACCCAACTTGGGGAGATAGGCGAGTCGAAACAGCAGCAGGCGGGTAATCCGCTCCAGTCTGACTAGGGCCGCATGCCACAGCTGCTCGGCCATGTTCGACCACTTTCTCTCATCGGTAAGCGTCATTCAGAGTTATGGAGATTTTATATTTGACGAGATTATTCAAACATTTTGGCGTTCAGAAGTTCGTCATTGCAGGTGTTCAAGGTCATTTTGTTGCCCCATTGACACTAGAATATATTGGAATTGTCTGCCCGTCACCGGAACGACGCCTATGAGGTAGTAGTGACTGGGTCACTTGCAGCGTTCCTGACGGAATGTCTCTACCCCTTTTCTTGTTACTGAGATGCAGAAAAAGCGGCGCGTACGACTGGCTGGATCATTCTGCTAGGCTTGCCAGCATTCGAAATGGTGTGGTACGAACATTAACCAAGAACCAACAGCTGGTCACTTTGGACGCCAAGAAAATAGATAGAGATCAGAGTGCCGAGCACGCCGTCCCGTGCCTTAGCCGTACTATGTAGGGAGGACATCGGGGTGTGGGGAAGTGTTTTCAGGGACTTCTAGGTGAGGATGGCCCTGGCGGGCAGGCCGAGCAGTCCGAGACTTAGAGAGGAGAGGCCCCCCACCCCACATTTTGGGTCCCCTTGATGCCTTGAAGGACTTGCAGACTGCAGTACCTGGGTTGCCTCCCCCCGGAGGTGGTCGGCTCAGAAGCTTAGGGCGCCCAAAAGTGGGAGGTCCACGCTGCCTCTCAAGTTGTTTGGGATGTGAAACTCCCTAAAACGGCGAAGTCACCTTTTCCCTTGCCCCAAGTTCGGATCCGCCTCATCTCACCAGCCTCCGTTTGCTGTTTCCCATTGACGGTTTCTCCCGAGATCTGATCAATTCAGTGGCTTTCCTCTCGTTTGACAAGCCGCAAAACGACACTTGCTCACCCAGATAGAATTATGGTGATGGAATGAAGTGGGCGGCTCAGCCAATTTGCGACTACAGATAACGAACGAGCCAACAATCATTGCGCTTATCGAAAGCCCTGTCCTTCCACATTCGGTCACTTCCTGATACTCGATAGCCAAAACGACGACAAACCGCCGCGTCACGAAGACTTTGACGGCAGCTGCCCCTGGAGGGCATGCCCTCACAATGCAACTCAGCCCATTGCAGTCGCGACTGGCGGCCTCGCTGATTGCCTCGCTGCTGCTTCTCGTGCTCTATTATCTACTTTCCACCCCCAGCTTTGCCCTTGCTGTAGAGCTGAACGAAGCATACCTACCCATTCTGGAAACCGTTGAAGCCGACGATGCGCTCGAACGACGCAGCGGATTACAGCCCACTTATGAGCCCGAGTTCTCAGCCTTTGGTCGCAGTATTGTTGGCAGAGCTCCTGCCGGAGTGACGGCTCTTGTGAACAACATCAAAGTAAACCGTAACGTCCCCGCGAACTCGACACAGAATTTCGTATTCGAAGCCATCTCCGTCTTCGCAAACTTTTTCGACTCAGCGGCCGATGACGCATTCGTTCTAGAGCCGCATGACAACGGCAATGGCTCTGGTGGCCGAGAAGATGGCATCGCTACATCGGTTGACACATACTTGGATCCCCAGGAGGGTGTTGGGTTACGTCCCAGACAACAAGCCCAAGGTAGAACTGTGTATATTTCCGCGACGACATGCATTCAACCGAACCGAGGAGCGAACAACACAGGCTCCGACCCCCCACAGATCACCATGTACATATCTACATCCAAGGACAATCAAACACCTGGGCCATCGCAGAACGCGTCTAGTCAAAGAACGGCGGTTTTCGAAGAGGGCGCTGCGTTCATGAAAATAAATGCAACAGGCGATGTGTTTATTGGTATCTCGGCTCCCGCCGAGGACAAGGAAAAATTCACTGGGGATTGGAACTTCGATGTCGCAGCATCGACGGATGACTTCTTCCACAGCTACGATGACACTCCATCTGAACTGCTTTGGGTCGATAGCGACTCTAACGCCGCTCTTTTAACGACACAAAATCTAACAGACACGCACAATGAGACGAGGATACAGGAAATCATGCAGCAAAGCCCGCCATTCGTCATGTTTGTAGAAAACCGAGACAATCCTACAACGAAAGGCGTCAGGCGTTCTATGTGCGGTCTAGAGAACTACGCTCAGATTGCTGCGAAGAAAGGCGGCAAATTTGGCAATCTAGCTAGTACAGTAATGACTACTAGAGGAGCTGGCAATCTGCCGAAGCAGCAGTTCTTCTTTAACGGCCTCAACGCCAGTGCTTTCTATAGTGGTATCCTTGTCCACACTGGCAACGCGACTTTGAACAAGCGGCAAGAGGGTGGCAGTCCAGGGAGCGGAGGCCGAGTGTTCCAAGCAACGCAGTTCGAAACTAAAGATGGTATGTACCTTTCGCCTCTATTCGTGTTGATAATGCTAAATGTCTGGCAGGAGAGAATTGCAAGATTATTACTGACCTGCAATTTTGCAATGAGACGGAATACGCCGTTCCTGCTAATTCCAACAAGATGAACATCACCCAGTTGGCGCAATTTTACGATAATTACGCCAGAGACATGTACGCAAACTTCAAAAAGCAGTTGGACCAGGTCGCTTGTGAAGCACCAGACGTCCAGCGCTATTCCTTAGCTCGAAACTGCACAGATTGTGAGATTGCCTACAAGAAGTGGCTTTGCACAGTAACGATCCCACGTTGCGAGGACTTCACTGCTGCCGATGCCAACTTTTCACTTGTACGAAACGTCAACCAAACTTTCCCCAACGGAACCTTGCTCCCTATCGATCAACAGAGCAAATACAACAAACGAGTTTTTCAGCACTCTAGGAACCCTCTCATCGATGAGGTTGTTGCACCAGGGCCGTATCGAGAGATTCTGCCATGCGATTACCTCTGTTACGACTTGGTACAAAGTTGTCCCGCCTCGCTCGGGTTTAACTGTCCGACACCGAATGATGATATTTTCAATTCGAGCTATGCCATACAAGGTGACGGTCTAACCTGCAACTATCCAGGCGCGGTACATAACCCGTCGGGGTCAGCAACGTTATTAGTTCCTTGGAGCTTGCTGTCATTCCTCGTTTTTGGTGCCTTCGGAGCCGTTTTGCTTTGACGAAGAGGCAAGTTTCATGCTACCAAGGAGGTGTTGTGTTTGTGTAGAGTGACGGCTGAATCTTACATAAGGGTAATCGGGGGCACGACGGTACAGTGTAATGAGAGATTTGGATTTGTGCATGGCATCGGCGTTGGAAGGTAGGGGCTTTTTTTTGGCTTTTTTTGTTTTTGTTTTCTTAAGATAGAACATGAGAATACGTAAACTCCATATGCATTGGGGTGTGCCTTACTACAAGAGGAGGATATATAGATCATATTACGCCGCTGCGGAATAATGATAGACAAGTTTCGCCTTTGATTATCGACACATCGATGCTGAAATTCATTATACATTGATATACATATCTAGTCCCCCGTCCATGCCTTGTTTTCAGCACCATAGGCAACGGATGGCTTCACATAACCTAACTCTTCTCTTGCAGCTTAAGAACCGAATATATGGTTCAAGCTTATGATCAACAGTCTGACCATTCCCTAGCTTAAGCAACTGCCTCCTCCGCCCCCGAGTAACAGTTGAAGCTCGCATAGAAGCTCTCTCTTTCTTAGTCTTTTGTGCATAGAACCATCTCAGGCCACAGCATCTTTTCGCATCCCCAGTTATAAGCTAGTGTTTCATGACTGTTTTTGTTGTTCAGTTCACTTGTTCGCCCCTTACGCTCCAGTCCCTTTGCCCATTTGTAACTCCGCGACCTTGGCTTCGAGCCCTGCGATTTCCTTGTTCTTCTCGTCGCGGATCTCGTCCTGCTCCAGCTTCGTCCAGCTCCAATAAGCAATCTGGTACGTCAAGGTTGCCATCAGAAGGACCTTGAGAACAGGTCTTGTAAATGTCTTGTAGAATGTTCCCTGTATGATTGTATTGTTAGCCCTTCCGACCTCGGTGACGAAATATAATAATCAAGGTGATCGAGAGCTGAAAGAAGGGGAAGGGTGACTTACCACAATCGACGGCCTCTTTTCTCCTCCCTCTGATGTTGAATAGAACCGCGTCGCTGCGCGAGGAATATGTGTTGTGCGCTGGGCGCGGAGAGCTCTGCCCAGGATAGTTGCACCACCATTGCCCGCTGCCATGTTGATGATGTTGTTTTGTCCTTTTGTCTCTCCGATTGTCTTTTTCTTTGTTGGAAAACCGCACTCTATCTCAGTCGCAAGATCCTTAGTGTATTTGTCGCTCTCAAGTGTCGTAGAGTGGCTTTCGCTGTTGTCGTTGTCCTTGCTCAAATTCAGTTCAGCTCTCTCAAATCGGAAATCAGAAGATTCAATTCAATGAATGCGCCGCGCCGATCTGTGGCGGTGCGCGTACATCCCCCGCAACAACCCGGGACATTAGACGTGTTTCTTGCCTTGTGTTGGCCCCTCTGTGGCGGGAGTGGTCCCAAGGGTCATAGGGGTGCGCGGATTGGGGAGGGACAATCGCTCCTCGGCACCCCTGGCACCGAACAGGTGTGACCCGTAATTTTTTGACGACACATGTCCCGAACTGGGGCAGGTAGCCACTTGGGAAGGTCCTGAAGGGCGAAAGGTAATTCCCCGTCACAGGCGCTTATTAGGTACGAGTTGTATTAGTTTACAGCCGATCTAAGGATAGCTCCCTCGCGCAATCTGTCCCTTCAACCAGTTTCCCTGATCTTCTCTCAACACGTTCACTTCCCCAATATCACACGATAACCATTTCTTTGCGCATTATATAACGAGGCAGTCGACTATTTCTACACAGAATATCTGAAAAGAAAGTTGCATCAATCAAAGCACCACCAAACCACTCTTCTCTCGTCTTCTCATCACCAACCACATACATCCACAATGGTATGCAGATCCCGAACATCCCAGCACGATCCTTCTTCCCTCGTCAATTGGAGCTTGCATTGGTCTACGGCAACCAGCTAACCCTCGCCCTCCATAGGCGCAAACACCTCAACAGAGACGTGCGAACGCAAAGTTCGCCAAGGATAATGAAGCTCGCATGGGCAAGTCTGAGGACCAGATGAAGAAGCGTACCAAGGATGCCCCCAAGTCGCCCATTTCTCCTATCTGGCTTGGTAAGCTTCCTTTTCCCTCTTTGTTCTTTCGATATCTCATCTCTTACCATCTCTCCCCCCGGGTCTATTCAGCTCCAGGCTGATCTCTTCCTCTTTCGATGCTCGCCTATATGTGTATTAGGAAGGTAGCTAACATTTGTTTTTGTTCGTAGTTCTTCTCGGCTTCGTCGTTTTCGGTGGCATCATTTTCGAGGTTCTCTCTCGCATGTTCGGTTTCTAAACAGCCGCTTCGCACCCGTTTCGAGTTTCTAAGCAAATAAGGGGAAAGCCGACAGAGGAAAAAAAGAAAAGCGACACTGGCCCTACTACTTGCTTTAGCAGTACGTAGACGATATCCTCCTTTTCCCTGACACGAGATGTCGTAAGGGATTGTAAGGAGTCTGCGGACGCACGCGAAGCGCTCTTTTGGCCTCTAGGAGAAAAGGGGGGAATTCTTTTCAGGCATATGAATCACAGTCTTCCACCCATGGATGGTGGAATATCAAGTCTGTACAAATACCACACGTGTCAGGGAAAGCAAAACCATTTTGGCGTAATGTATTTCATTTTTTATTCTTATTTTACCCGACTTCTCGCACATGGCTTGCAAGAAGAAAAAGCACTCAAGCTGTACTACAACTTTTTGGTTTCCGTTTGCCCCCAAAACGCCACAGTTACACACATCACGTACCAGTATCTGAAAGCTATATTACGAGCTGTGGCTTTTCGTTGCTCTCCTCTCGGGCACGGAGATTATGCGCCCAGGCCGCGACGCTGGGCACCGCCATCGTATTTCATATGCACACCAACGTTGAACTGCTGTTCAAGTTCCTTGGTGATCTTGCCAATGTCGCGCTTGCCCTTGGGGCCAGCGGCTGCAGGTGAGCTTGTAGCACCCTTCTTTCCACCGCCGAGGAGGCGCATGAACTTCTTCTGACGATCGCTGCCGCCTCCGAGAGCGCCGACATCCCACTGATCTCCATCATTTGCGGCGGCATCGGCAGCAGGAGTCTCGAGGGCATCTTTCTTGGCCTTCTTTTTCTTGTTATCCTTCTTGGTGGGGGTCTCCTCAGCAATAGCGGCGCCGCCATCTGATTCGCCATCCTCCGCTTGCGCACGCTTGCGCTTCTTGTCGGATTTCTTGCCCTCTTTCATCTCCTCTTCAGTCTCCTCATTCTTGGACTTTTTACTCTTCTTGTCCTTCTTGTCCTTCTTCTCCTTAGGGGCCTCGTGGGATTCGGCGGCTTCCTTAGTGGCAACAGGTTCATCTTCCTTCATAAGTTTCTTCTTCTTCTTCTTGTCCTTCTTATCCTTCGCAGGCGTCGAAATCTCATCGTCCTTCTCTTCGTGCACGACGGCCAGGACGGATTTCGCCTTGTTCTTCTTCTCCTTCTTGGACTTCTTTGGCTTGACGTCTTCCTCATCAATCTCCATCTGTTCATCGCTCGCCGCTCTCGCCTCGCTTTCCGCACGGAGCTGAGCACTAGGGTTCGGGGACTCGGATCCCATCTCGACATCTTCCCTGACAGACGCGCCGCCAGCCTGCTCCTCTGCCTCCGAGTCTAGGTCAGAGTCGGAGGAAGAGTCGGTACTTGAGTCGGAGGAGCTGCCATCGCTCTCATTGCCTTCGGCCGCGTTTGCAGGTTTCTTCAGCCCTTCATCAGCCACCTTCTGCGAAGGTAGCAGTTAGCTCTTACTATCGCACACACAAATGAGCACGTAGCACTTACAGCTCGTTGCTCGGCCATCGCAGCATAACGCACACGCGCGCGCTGAGCCTCGGCCATGAGCTTCTTAGCCTGCTCTTCAAGTTTATCGGCGCGCTTCAGCATGCGGTGGAAGCGCTTCTCGTCCTTGTGGGCGGTGCGCTCGGTCTTCTTAGGCTTGCGGTCGCGCTTCGACTGCGCTTTAAGGGCCTTCTTCTCATTTTTGTTCTTCCTCTCTGTGTTGGAATTTATTAGCAGGCGCTTCAATGATGGTCATCGCAACTCAGCCCGCGCAAAAAGTGTTGCGGTTCAGTAACCGACGTACCTTTGCCCTCGGGCGCGCGCTTTAGTTCTTCAGCATCAACAGGCGCCATTTTGAACCAATTGACCTAAACAAGCAATCTTCAGTTAATGCTGGTGAATAACAAAGAGTGGATCGCCGAAGCTCACCGAGAGAACCGCGATCTGTTGGTTTCCGTTTTACTGGTGACGAACTATCCCGGTGGGGGAGTGAGACCAACAAAATTTCTGGGAAAATGCAGTTTCTGCCGGGCGGTCAAGATCCTAATCGACGTTGGACCCTTGATAAGGTAATGTGGGGCAAACCGGCCAGTGCGTTCCTCGCAAGCTACCGGTACGTACCGGTGTTCCCTTGGAAGCTTTGACCTTCCCTATCCGGCAGGACGGTAAACAGGGCTGAATTACCGTGCCCCTCTTTTTCCCCGTTCTCTCCTGTTGCATCTCGCCTACCTTCTCCCAAGTCAGTAGAGTAGCTGAAATAATCCCAGTATCTTGGTTTCCAGTATTTTGCATATTTTCTTTTTCCTCGATGTTTCTCATATTTCTATTCGCATCTGTTCTTCCATAGAAATTTTCTTCCCAAGCTCAGGATGCATGGACATTGTAGTTTCGATCTATGGGCTCACCTCTTTTTCATTCCCTCACTTACTACCGGAAACCCTGCCAGTTCTGGACTCTTGCAAGTCTTACTTTCACTCTCGTACATTAGCTCGGAACGCCTCCCATGGCGGTTGGGCTAACACGACTCTCAGCTAAGGCAGCCTGGCGGCGGGGTTCCCCCACGCACCATGGCTTGCTTTGGAACTGGTTCACCAAGCCCTACCGTCATACTTGCACGAACGGCACAGCGGCAGGCCGGATAATCACCCGGCATCGTTATGTTTTGACGTTGTATCCAAAATGCTAGGCAGGCACGCTGTTAGTTACCTGTCTGGAAGCATGCTGGTCAGAACCCAGAATGTTCTCCTGCAGCGTTGGCCCACTGTGCGTCACCCCGTGATCCAACGTCATCGGTATGTATTAGGAGAACCCTCTCTTATACTAGGCATCTTTAGGCATCTCTAGGTATGATGTATCATAGCAAGGAAGTTTGAAGGGCATCCTCACGCAATACCGATCTGTTCCCAAGAACAAAGAGCAAGGAAACCAGGTTCAACCGTGGACCAGGTGCTTCCCTTCTTCTTGATGCCCAGTCCCCAGTCTTAGGATTCAGGGGCCGATAACCATTGGCTCACCACAGTGCCTAGGAATTGCTCCCTCGTCCTTGCTAGTCGGTTCACTAATCCTTCAACTTGTGCAGGCAGGGTTACGTTTAGGGTCAGCTCAGGCTGCTCTCACTTCGCTTGACTCAATGCTTGCTAGCGTTGACTCTATAGCTGCGATTCGCTAATTTTCTCCTTCACAAACCTTTATGGAGAAGCTCTGCCTCTTATTCTTGATCATGATACTTCAAACTGGGGGAAGGCAGGGTAGATGAGAAACAAAGTTGTTTGTATATGCTCGCTCTGGCATGCAGCGCAATTGCTGCGGTCATTCATTACACATTCTTTCGTGCCGGGGATTTCTCCTTTTCTAAACTTAAGGTTCTTCTAGCTGTCTCTGTGGGAGATTTTAAATGTGAAAAACATGAGAGTTGAGAAGGGAAAACAGTGAAACAAAACAAAAAAAGAAAGACGCAGCCTAAACATTCAACGGCGCATCCAGCCCGTCCACATAAAGTTTAATAACACTGAATAATCTTGTAAGCCACCGCTAGATATGCATTCCTGTCCGTTCTACCCCTCTCCGTAGTCTTGGCTCAAGCCAGGAGGATATTCTAAAGATGAGGGGCTCTATTTCCGATGAGCCCAGTCGAATGAGAATACCAATGCAGAAACCCCCGAGCAGCAGGGTATCGATTGTGGAGCATTTTTCATTCAAGATTGTTTAGCTGCGCCGGAAGAACTGTCAAGGGTCAGATCCAGATGAAGAGGGGCTAGTTGCTGTAGTACCTCTGATGATAATTCTGACCTTGGATCGGGTCACTTCCCTGATCGTAGTCGTAGTAGTACGGCGATTCCTCCTCGTAATAGTACTCTTCGCCCCCGCTGCTGCCGTAGCTCGGGGGCTGGCGGTACCCTGAGGCGTAATTGGTGCCGTAGTTGTTGGTGTATCGAGTTTCATCGTTCACGTACTCGCCGCGGCCGCTACCCCGGCGGCTCTCGTACTCGTGGCCCCGGGACACGACGTGCCGTATGTTGAGCCCTCCCCAGGGAAGGCCAGACACCTCTTCCTCCTGCATGAGACCCTCCGGTGACGAGACAGCGTATGAGTTGTGGGCGTTGGTGTCGTTCTGCTCATCCCGCGCGGCCTTCTCCTTGGTGTCCTGGTTCTTCTTACCTGTTTCGTGCATTAGCAGTCTGTTTACTGAAAGTGTAATGTGAAGAAAGGGGTGGAAAGGAGGGGGGCAAGAGAGGATAGACGTACGAAATTTGCGCTGCGCAAGACGGTTTTGGATGCGGCGACGCTCTTCTGGGTCCGTGATTTCTGACCAGTCGTCGGTCTTACTGGACTTGGACTTGGACTTTGAGCTCTGCTTCCTGGAGCTTGTCTCCGAGTGTCTTGAGGCCTTTGATGACATGGTGTTGTCCGTTACGGATTCTGTTTCTGTGGGGCGGCCTTGAAATTACAGAGGGTCCTCTCTTCTCCTTTCCCAGGAGGCTTTCTGATGTCCTTGTTTGCCTAGAACAGACAGCAACTTTGGAGATGGTTGTAATGTTGTGCAAGTGGTCGACCTCGGACTGGGTTTCGTTCAGACTTCTGGTCTGCCTTTCTGACGATGACCAGTACTGTTATGGTCTTGCTGATCAAGAGATATATGTCCAGGCCACAAGTGACTGATCGTTTGCGATCTGGAACGGATCTAGGTATATGTAAAATGTGGTCAAGAAAGCTTCTCGAGCTGGTTTGGAAAATCGATGCCTCGAGTGAAAACAGTGGTCAATGGCAAGTATGAAACAGCAACTTGGCCGTGGTTTAATAAAGATTTAAGGAGTTCGAAGTTGACTCGAGAGATTGTCTTGATGTTCCGTGGCCGTGGACATGATCATCCTCGAGCTAAGGATCGGCCTCTCTTTATAATAGATTCCGAAATAGCCAGGCTTCGTCTTCGTAGGCATGTCACAGGAATGTGTTACCCACACAGAAGTCGGGAACACCCACTTTCAAACAGTTGAACCTAGACAGCCTCATGCGACGGGCAGGGCAGACTCGAAGAGAGACCAAGACGCAGTCAGTTTGCCCGTGACTTCCTCGTTGTGACGCAGAAACATGCAGCGACCATCAGGACATCTGCAAAATGATACTCTAAGCGAGGACAGACAGTGCGGGTCCAAGGTGGTCCATGAATTCACAGTGCCATGCCCGCCAAGGGCTGGGAGGCAAGGAGTGGATGGGAGGGGGAGTCCGCGATGCTGGGTTTGGGCAGGTGGTGGGGCGTGTGTTAGCGAACAAGGTGTAAGTCGGTGGACAGGGGGGGGACAGAGAGCTGAGTCCGTCGGCAACGGGTAGCAATCTCGGTGGTGGTAGATGACGGACAGCCTCTCTGGCAGATGGTGGGACATGGGAATGAGGCACCGGCTCGCAACCTTTGGAAGTGGAGAAGGGGGTGTATGCGTCCAGTGCCGCGTGTGGGTGAAGGTGAAGAGAGTAGTCTACGCAACGGTCGAGACACCACCACATGGAAAGCTGCCTTGGGTAAGGGGGGACAAGATCAAGGGCTCCATGTGACGGACCCTGGTCATGGCGTAGGAAACGGAATACGACCAGTTAAGAGCAATACCACCATGTTATAAAAATACGTGGGGGTGGGCGTCAAGAAGCTTTTCCCAATTATTACCGCACAGCAGCGTCAGGAGAGGAATCGTCGCTTGGCTGCGCCCCTTGGCTTCATAGGGCATCGGGTTTGGATCCCCCCAAACGGAACCGACCTAGAAGCCCAAAGAGGGGAAGGGGGAGCAAACGATGGGGGCCCGTCCCCACGGATAGAACTCACAACCAGTTGGCGAAGCATAGAGAGGTGTCAAGACCCGGCTGGGGGCGGCGATGGGTGAACCCGGTTGTCAGAGATGAATCGGACGGGTGGATCCTCCGGTGAGGCTAGGTTGAACGCGATCGCATTCATCGACCATTACGCCCTTCAACTGGAAGCCTCATGAAGCTGATACGTAAGGATATGCGTCGCCGGAAAACATCCCTGCGTTACGTTACGATTGTACACTGGCACAGGGTGACTAGTAAGGCGCTTATGGGGCAAACATAGCAACAGACACCAACTTCTCTGCGCGAAAGAAGGATCTGACACTGGTTCGGCCTTGGCAAGAAGCTGGATATTTGATGGGGGACACGGGGCTTGGGACCCTATTTGCGTTCAGCCCTAGGTCGATTGTAAAGCACCAATGAGCGATAATCAAGGTTGTGCCTGACGTGGGTTGACCAGGGGCTTGGCCTGCATACAGTTTAGCTGGTGGCTTTTTTCTTGTATATAGTTGGCCATGTCGAGTGGTGAATCAAGACTGGACCTAGGACCTGGAATCCGTACTGTCTGCATACATACATACAGGTAGAGAGAATCGAATGTGTCTTATTCGACCGTGAATCTGACGGCGCAGGGCCCGCGCATTGGCAGTCGAACCTTTTGCGCCCTGGCAAGGCTCCCTCTCTTTCGATGAACAGTAGTTACGATGATGCTAGAGCCACTCGGCTCAAAAGGTGCGGCGTGTCCAAGTGGTCGGGATGCCGGGACAGGAGGGGTGTCATATGACAGGCGATCAACGAGTGCCTCAATCTCAACCCTGCAACAAGGTGCCTGCTCCGCGGAAACTTGGCGTCATGTACAACGTGCGTGGACGATTACGAACCGGGCACCCCACCACCAGATCATGGCGTCGTTTCTTCATTCAGATGACGGGGTCTCGGCAGGACGGCCAAGTTGACTCACGGACCGGCTCCGGTTTTCTGTTCCGCAGCAACTCTTGGTAAGGCAGTGCCAATCCTCCCGTCCGTTCTAAAGTCCAAAGGCGACGTGCGAAACGTGCGAAACATTCCGAATGAGTGGGACGGTGAGGATTAAGCTTATTGATAGGCCCAGAAAATTCCTCTTTGATCGCCCGTCTCGCTTCTTCCCTGCCCCCAATTTCCACCTCAAATGAATGGACGAAAAACACTCGGTTGAATCGCATCCGATATCAAACCGCGCGAAAAGATCCGGCTTCGTGATCTTGTTTTCTTTCCCTTCTTCAATTTTTTTGCATCCTCGTGACCAAGAAAAAAAAAAAAGCAAAAACAAAAACCAGTCATTTTATCTACTTTCGGTGAAGGAAGATGAGGCAATTGATTCAATCAGTTCAAAAGCATTACCGTTTCTCCTTCATCAGCGACATCAGGTGCCAGTTGACTACATAGTACAGACAAGTGCCAGCCTGCAACACAGTGCGAGCGGGTCATAGTGCAACTGCCGGGCGGTCCTAGATGTCTGAATCCGGTGTCCAGGCCGACAGTCATGGTTGTAGATAATTGCTCGTCAAACGAGGAAAACGAGTACATAGCCTTCGTTAGCGTGGAATTATGCTGCTGCAGTTTGAACCATGTCGCCCCTGGCCTCAAGACATCGAGGCCTGCGCAATGCCTTGTCTTTGCTGACCAGGCAACGGTCGACCTCCAAGCTGTAAGTGACCCTTTGGTGCATGCAGGCTTTTCAACTTTGATAGGACGACCGTCGCATGGTATACCCGAATTACACACTCTGTAGAGGGTTCACTTGGGCTGCGGAGGCCAAACGGTACGTGCCTAAGAAAACCCCTCCCTCCCCTGAGGGACGGTTCCTAAAATTTTGTTTGATGCTGCATAAGCGGGAAACTGTAGTTAACTCCATGTGGTCCTGATTCGATCGCATTCGATAACTTGAAGATGAGGTATCCACGAGGTTGATGTGCTGTGGCGTCTGCATGATAGCCTAGGGCGGGGGCGGCCTAAAAGAAACGCCGCCGGGAAAGGCACCTGCCAACGTGGGTCAATACGATGAAAGCGAGCGGCTTATTATTGCGATCTGACGTCGTCGGGAGCACTGGTTTACTAAACAGTAGACGCGGCAGTTTTTTTTCTTTTTTTCTTTCTTCACCATTCAAACAACTTCTGTGACGTATCGCAGGTGAACTGTCAATCAACAACACGACGCGTTTCTGCCTAAAATTGATGGGATGTCAAGTGTTTACTGGTGACATGCCTGGATGGGCTGAACAGTTAATAAAACTGCTCGGTGTGCATGACCTAGCTTGGTCTGCTACTTGTCTAGTAAATCATGGGCGAATCAGCTGGCGGCTACCGTACCCGGTTCCAACAACCCCTTTTGTAACAGTCGGGTGATGCGTATGCGAGCGATACTAATTAGCTCGATCAGTTTATTAGGCCATTACTGGTTGTTATTTCGAGAGAGAAAAAAGCCTTGAGAATTATTTATAAGTCAATACGGTTGAGAAGGGGAGGGGTGGTTGGAGATGCTGGAGGCGTTGGATGGTTAGGACATTTCAGGCCGCCGGCGGGAGGGAACATAGGGTGCAGGAGGAGAGAGAGGAGAGGTCGGCGCGAACGGGACTAAGGCCCACAGAAATACCGGATCGGCCTGGGTTATCTTCGGTAACTTCTGGCCGGGGCTTACTACGTACTGAAGGCTTGGATCCGTCCATTGGCCAGCTCGTACAATTTCAGGAAGGTAGGGTGTGGAGTTGATTTGTCCAATGAGGAAAACGAATTGTTGGGTAGCATTCAACCCTCGTACCTTTTTTATTTTTTTCCCTGTCCTCAATAGTCAATTACCAAGATCTTGCAGGTGCAGATTGGTCCAGGCCGCCAGCCCCAGTGATCGCTGCTTTAGGCCCAGCACCAGGGCCAATCCCTCTCCTGTATACACCCCCAACTCGGTAAACCCGTACGCCCTCAATACAGATTCATCCAACCAGCTTAGAGACTACCGTGAATCTGACAAGAGCGAATACATGTGTTGTCCCAGCTCACACATCATTTCCACACCCTCAGGTTACGTCCTTGGGTTATATTTGTCTTCCTAAATTCATCCATATCTTCTTTGTCTAGCACTCTGAGACATGTTCAGTTTAGAATCAAATGTGTCCGCTGCGGTATCCTGCTCTAGGTGTAAACAAAGTAGATTTAGGCGTCTTCCAATTGCTCGACTGGTTACCTCCGCATCACAAGTAGCGTATTTGGCACGCAAGCTTTCTATGCCTCCTCGAGGTGTGCCGCCTTCTCATCCTTCTCTGACCTGAACTCCTGTGGCATGGCGATGGGTCTATTTTTGGCATATTTGACAGTTGCCATTATAGACGGCGACTCGCGGAACAGCAGGTCAATCTCCTCGAGGTTGCGACCAGTTGTCTCAGGGAAGAACAACCAAACCACAATGGGAAAAGTGAATGCAATTACAGCATAGACGATGTAATACTGATAGCCGATGCTGTTGATGGCAATGGGGGTGACCATAATGACCAGGAAATTGAATAGCCAGTGGTTGGCAGTGGAGATGGAAGACATGGCCATGCGCAGGCGCAAAGGCGCGACTTCAGTGCAGTAAAGGTAGTTGGCTCCCATCAGCCCAATAGGTATCCATGTGTTGTATAGGTAGATCCAGAAGGCGGCGGAAATTTGGGCTGCGTAGTTGTCCTTTCCGAACGAGGTAGAAACTGCAAGAGCGATCATGCAAAGGGACATGCCACCACCACTAATCATGAACGCAGCTCGACGGCCGAAACGATCAATAGTGAAAAAAGCAATAAAGGAGGCAATGAACTTCCAAGTCAAAGTTCCGCCGCTCATAATGCGGGATTGCTGGCTGGACATGCCAAGGTTCTGCTGAAAAAGGATTGGCGCGTAAACGCTGACAAGGTTGGAGCCGCTGTGATGTGATATTCTTAGTCTCTGATAAAACAGACAGACAAGTGGTCAAATCCAAGTGGCCACGGAGACAGAGGAGAACTTACCACATCTGTTGGTAGAACTGAAGACCCATGCATAGGCAGAATCGGTACAACAGCTTGTCATCGCCGTTCGTTAACATGTCCTTCAGGGACACCGCGGAGTCCTTCGTCTCCTCCAGAGAGTACTCAATGCCTGATAGCTCGGCCTGTACTTCAAGGGAATCCTCTGGCAGTGACTTCAGCACCGCGATAACAGATCGTGCTTGCTCGGAACGGCCCTTCATGACCAACCAGCGAGGTGACTCTGGGAAGAAGTAAATCGAGGCCATGAGGACGATCGAAAAAAAAATGGCGATAGCCAGAGGTGGACGCCAGGTGATTGGACCCTCATGGAATTGGAAGAAGCCGAAGTCGATCCATGACTCCAGCATATAGCCCAAGCACATAAAGCAGCCTGAGATGACCACCTGACGGCCGCGATTGGCTGCAGCGGACGTCTCGGCCTGCCAGACTGGCACAATCGAACTGAGCTGACCGATGCCGAGGCCACAGATAACGCGACCAATAGTGAATTGCGGCAATCCAAAGGCAGAGCACATTAGGACTTCGCCAATGAGGGTGAGAATAGCAGAGAAAAAGATGATGTTTCGGCGTCCATAGATATCGCCAGTCCAGGAACACGACAGCGAGCCGATAGTAGCGCCAATAGTGAAGGTGGCAACGATGAAACCTTGCAGTGTCGAGTTCCGAGCTTTCTCCGCTCCAGTAGTGTTAACAGTGTCGATTTGGGGGAAGGTCTTTACCCAGTCGTGTTCTGTAAGCAAACCGCCAACTACGCCGATGTTGTAGCCGTACAGAATGAAACTAGGCGCAATGATAAGGGCAGTTTTCAGGTGGTTGAGCGCATTGCCCGTAAGGCCAAAATACTTCTTTGAACCCATGATTCCCGCTTTGCACCTAGACACACAGACCAGAAAAGAAAGACAGGATGAAAGAAGAAAGACACAGAGTTAAAGGCTCTTCTTACCCACGGGGTAGGGAGAGCTTGCGGCTTTTAGTCTTTCCCCCCATGGGCATTAGCTTAGATTCTACGGGGAAATAGATAACTCCATTATGGAGTTTGAGATGGGCATGGAGCTGTGTGTGGGAGGATGCGGAGGTACCCAATGCCTTCCGTGGTCCCCCGTGGAGGAGTTCGCGGAGGCGTGGAGCTCAAATCAACTAATAGATAGGATGGACCCAGATAGCCTGCCCGCTCTGAGGAGATCTTCCGACTCGACCGACTCTTCAAAGAAACCCTGCGCCTCTCATACGATATATAACATCACCCCGCCAGAAGCGGGCTTCCGGATTGGCCTCTCTTTCTGGTGTGTGTTCCTGAAATGGCAGAGAGATGATATGGGGCAGCATAGATTACAATGCAGGTCAACCATGTCAATTTTGATTGGCAGTGTTTGTCGGAAGCCTTACTTCAATGTTCTGGGCGAGTCTCCTACTGCCATTATAAACGATGCCAAGATGGCAGTGTAGCCCATATGATGGCCCCAAGTCCATGGAGAGATTCTGATGAACTTGACGAGTCGGTGCTTATCAGGGGATTGGCAGGCTAGAGATGTCCAGTTGCTGGGTCTGAAAACACTCTATACAAGTCGCCAACAAAGCCAGATTCGATTTTGCTTGGACTAGCAAACAGCGGCTGCCAAAAGAGTTTGCATCGTCATTGTGGCAATGTGGATCGATAATTCCCCTTCTGTACAAGTTCCCGACGTGCCGGGACTTGCGAGGAGTATTGCGGAAGTATTCATATATGAGTTGTGTGGTGCGACAGGAGGGAATAATCAGTAAGGCCACTCTGAACACCCAACAGCTACCTGCAGGGCTTGTGGCCCTGGCTTGCCTCTTTTGATAATACTGGGCTCCTTGCCACCGCCGGTTTTTGACGGGGTATCGCTCTTGACCCATATTGGTGGAGAGGGCGCGGTAGGAAAAGCGCGAGTCGACATTGTCCGCGGTGTTTTGCAAAGCCGCTGATGTTATTGCTTGTCCGTGGTGTTTAGTAAGTCCGCGTTGAGTACACACTCCAAATCAAGAGTATCGGTCGCCGTCTTGCTCGCAAACTTTTGTTTTGATGCTTCAAAAGTTCTGTTGTCGTTGATTTGCCTATGCCAATGCAGATTTACGACATTAACCGCTAAGCGGCTTGGGAGTATTGTTGCGGCTCGTTTGCCAATAAGTCAAGAGCTTGGCTCCTGCCAAGAGCGCGGCAAGCTTGTCTGAGCCTCAGTAAATTATCCGGGCGTGTCCAAATACGCCAGAATGTAACTTCTCCTGCTAAACTGTGGGTGGCAATGCTGTACTTCCGTGCCGTGCCTGAGTTAGTCCGCCTCAGCGGGTCGGGCCAAAGATGGCAAGGACGCTAACGCAAAGCAGCACTCCTCCCTCGTGGTCCGCCAAAACTTACAACCATCTACAGTCCGTTTCGCTGGCAGCGTCCAAAAATCGGATTTTAGCCTATTAACCCCGAAAATCAGTAAACTATCACAACAGGGGTCAAACTGGCCCAACTGGCCCAACTGGTGTAAACTGGCCACTGTAGCCCAATTGGGCCACTTTCGTGGGGCCCACGTAGTGAAATCTCTGTAAATTACAATATCTCGTGAAAAGCTTTTCGTGATGCCTCCTCGGCGGGCTCGGGCCCCCTCAATTGATAATACCACTGGGCCGGCGAAGCGAAAGCGATTGAAAACAGCAAAAGCCCTAGAGACGAATACAACAACCGGCTCGCCGTCGAGGGTAGTTATCGTACGTACGAGGGCGAGGGCGAGGGCGCAGGCGTCAGAGCCAGCGAAGACCCCAGTTAAGCCACCTCGACGCCGTCGGGTAGTGGTGATCCCTTCCCCAGCCCAGAGGGTTGCTCAGTTAGCAGAAACAGAGACAGGAATAACTCAACAAAACCTCGAAGTTGACGAAGTCGAGGAAACCCAACCGGCAGGCCACTATGAACACCAAGCTATTGGGCAGTCAACGCCGGGCCAGCGACTTCAATATAACCTCAACCTCGATGAGGATCCTTTTGCTGTTACGCCGGCAAGGCCTGGTCGACGGCCTTTACCTGATACCCCAACTCCTCGACGAACGCAACCACAGTCAATCAATTTAACTGTTACGTATACTCCTCTCTTCTCAGGCGGTCGCTCGCCGCCAAAGCTTCCTGAGACTATATACAAGTGGATATTTGACGAGGAGAGCGAAGTTGGTCATAAGTTGATTATCCAGTGGTCGAAAATCGAGAGGGATTTGGCGAAGCGAATCGACGCCCGTTTAAGGGCACAATATAATATCGAGAAGAGCTGGATTACCACGAAAATCGCCTGGAGAAGAATAGGATTAAAAGCAGTAACTATTGTATACCGCGAAGAATTCGCTGTTGACAGTGGCAACTGGCCGGTTGTTCCATGGTATGATATTTCGAAGCAAATTATCGAGAATAGTCGCCTTGGTGAGGTTCTTCTCGATGTTGAACTGGCCTACTCTGTCACTCCTACTGTAGCCGCAGTAGGAGAGCTAGAAGGCGTAGGATCACCACGAGGGCGACCGTCTCGACTTAGTCAACGTCAGACTGTAACAAATACGATGCTTCAAGCGATTGAAACAGAAGGCGATCGAAAGAGGAAGTTATTTCGAGACCTTCTTCGCCATAATCAGTGTAACGATTCAGCAACCTGTCAGAATACCTCGTCAGCTGATCCAACAGTTAACTGGTGCTGGGTCAACGCAAGAAAACACTATAAACTGACCGTATTTGATTTCGAGAAGTGGCAAGAAGCTATTCAGAAGGGCGAGGAAGGCGTATCAATATCAAACCCGCCTGCCCGCCTAATTGTTGATCTTGTTCAGCGTGAACAACGCGATATGAAAAAGCCCGATAAATCAGCAAATCGAGGAGGCCAAAATAGCCTAGGTGAAAAGTCTGCTAATAGAGGGCTTTCAGACACACAAGACCCAGCAAATACTGCCAATAATAATAGCGCAGTAGTCAACTTCTATGGCCTACCTCCGCCAGGCGGCCCAACGCAATATTGGCCAAAGTTGCCGCCGCCAACGATGCCGCCCCAATATTGGGATCTTGAGCCTCAATTTCAACCGCAGTCAGGTGATTACTCTGCCCGTCGGCAAGTAGAGGCTCCGATTCGTTCTTCGTCGCCAGTTGTTCCTGATTCGCCCTCAAAAGCAACACGCCAAGTTGATGAGTTCGTTTCGTGGTTTCTAGCTGTGAACGGCAAGAAGTTGGGTATTGACGAAGTGAAATTTACTCCGTTAAAGGCTTCAATAGTCAGTCTCCGCGTTATTCGTGATTACCCAGACAGCTGGTTCAAGGAGGTAGGGTTTTCACCACAACTTACCGCAGCAGTGAGAAAATCGATCAAACTTTTCACTACAACACAGCAATTTTACCTCCAACAGAGCGAACCTCTCGCCGCTGTACAATCACTCGTACAGGCAACGAAAAAGCCAGCAGTTGACCGTGAGGTTGAAGACGAAGTGTATAACCGACTTTTTGACGAGCGATTCGGAGAAACAGGCAATATCGAACGAAGCGCTAGTAAAGTAGGCGAAATAAGCGTTCCAGCGGGTAGGATCTCCTCACCGCTGCCAACTGGCGATATTGAGTTTGGTCGAGGTGGTGAGTAATATTGACGGAAGTGACGGCGTCAACTAACCAGAAACTAGAATTAGACCTCTTCGTCTCCTCGCCGCCGCCACCAATCCTTCCTCCTAATACCGAACAAAATCCGATCGAAGTCTCAGACTATATATCGTCGCCTTATACCCAAGAGGAAGAGGAGGTTAAACTAGGATAAATAGCAGCGACTACTGCTAGCGGAAAGCTTTGCTTGTGGATGTGAGCTGCCCTGCAACACCCGGGAGGATCAACCCAAAGACCGTTAGGTAGGTAGCAGAGCACTTTGATACGCCACGGATACGATTTATTTCACTATAGGCCTGACTTGAGGTTGTAAATACAGGCATTATTCATGTTTTTCTTCTCCTACTTCTCCTACTACAAGTTCAACAACTATTTACTACAAGAGGTGGATTCAACTCTCCTCCTGCCTCAATATACATATCGCTACTCGTCATAGCGTCACAGAAGATATCCTGTGTGCCGTCGAAGTTGATATATGAGTTACGGAAGTGCCCAGCTATCTGTGGGAGACGTTGCCCAACCTCAAGCGCGCAGTCGCGGAGAAACTCAGCAAAATCACGCTCGTCTAGTTCGTTAGTATTCCACGTACGGAATGTCTTTTTTACATGCTTTTTGAGGTCGCCAAAATACTCCTCGATGGGGTTAAAGTCAGGTGAGTACGGCGGGAGGAATTCGAGGCGTACGCCAGCGGCCTCACACGCTTGCCGTATATCCCCTTGCCGGTGAAAAGAAGCATTATCCATTATAATCACTGACTTAGGCCCAGGGAATATTCCACACTTTGGCAGTAGAAGTTGCTGTATCCACGCAGAGAAGCCCTCGCCATTCGTCGATCCAGTATATACCAGCAAGTCTACGATACCGTCAATTGCGAGTGCTGGCAGCAGTTGTATCCGTTGACCTCGCTCGAGGGGAACTGACCGCGTTGGCGTCAGACCCTTAGGCGCCCAACCCGTCCTTCTTCTTCCAGTGTTTTTATCAACGCCTGATTCGTCTACGAATATTAATTGTTCTGGGTGGTATCGACGTATACGATATAACCAATCGTACCGTAATTCTGGGTTTCGTTGTGAAGCAATTATGTGGGCTTTCTTTCTCGTCCAGCCAGCTGCGTGGAGGTGGCGGCTCAACGTTGATTTGCTGACTTCGAGGTTGAACTGTTCGTATAGGAATTCTTGCATCTCTTCGAATAGGAGGTCGTTACGATACTTTAATAATTCGAGAAGTTCGTTCCGATGCTGTATTTCCATCTTCTGCTGGCTTTCACGCCTTCGAGGGTATTGTTCTACCTCGCCAGTTATGTCGAATCGACGACGCCATCGTCGAATCGTTCGTTGGCTACAGCCAACCGCCTCTGCGATTTCTTCGTCGGTTTGAATAACAGAGGGAAGAAGTAGGTTAACTTTCCTCAGCTGGAGTTTTGAGAGACGTGGCGCCATACTGACGCGTTGAAATGAGTAGATTTGACGATACGGTGGCTAAATGCAGCTGAATGCGACCGTTGTAATTTTCCCAGCGAAAAAAACGGAGTTTAGCATGGGTTTGCATTAACCCCACCCTAGGGGGGTAAAAACTCGATTTTTGGACGCTGTCAGTGCAACGGACTGTATAGTCGTCCAAATAAGGCGACCATCACAGTGCTTGTCTGAAAGGCATTTGTCAAAATGCTCATGTCACGCCCCCCACTACAGTAACAATGTTGGTGGTGCGTTAACGCCTTTTCAGCTGCATGGGTGCATGGCTACTGGGCCGGTCATCACATCACCGTCTGGAGGATACTTGGGACATGCAGTCGTCCAGGATTGGGGTTATGGCTGTACACTACCGCCCCCAGAGGTCCATACCAGGGCCATCTGTGGGTTCCGAGGGCAGGGTAGCCAAGAAGAGGCTTTGCTCTTTTCTGGCCCTGGACTAAAAAGCCACTCAGCGAGTGTGTAGAGGTGTGGGCGTGCCAACCCATGCCATGGTGCCCCGGTTCGCTGGCACCGGGTGAGCACGCTGTCAGCCATATACCGCTGCTGATCAAACTCTTTTCCAGTAAATGTCTTGTCATTCCGCGCCCTTGCATCGTGTGAAGATGTAGTGCCATGATCAAAACCAAGCAACTTCAGCTTCAGACACCCTCCCCGGTTAAGCGACCAAGCAAGCAGGGCCTGGGCCATGCAGCAACGTCATGTCTTGTTGGTGACTCACGCGACCTCAGATGACGATCCAGTTCTGCCTTACTGGATATAACGGGCGTCGGATGAATGCTGTATGCCCCGTATCGGCTTGAAACAACTTTTCCTATGGTTGCACGGTGGCGTTCCTGACTGCATGTAAGGACGGGTTTCGCGTGGAACGCCTTAACACATCTTATGCCAGCACCCGCACGGGGCTGACGACCTGCATAGTCAAAAGCACTAAAGAACAAATCTGCCTCGCTTCGTCTGAGTGGCGTATCGTTGCCTATTGTGACGAAATAACTAGACACGATTACATCTCACAGCTCTACAGCTACGTCAAGTTGAGGGGTCTTCATAGCTTACTAGGGAATAGAAATTGTTTAGTGAAGTCCATCCAAGTAGACCTGCTTTTCGATACGCGTCGGTGCAGCAGCACCACACCTTTTCAGGACGCTGGGAAAATGTTTGCATGAGGCCACAAGCACTTGCATGATCAGCCCTACAGGTAGGGTTGCTGGCAGCAAGCCGTGGTTCCAGGCTGCAGCTACCATCGCCCTCCTCGCCTGCAGCCCTCTCGGCGCCCATTCAGGAACGGTCCGCGGGGTTTCGCAGCCACGATGCGGCGGGAGTTTGGTTAAACTAGGCGAATGCTCCTCCAAGTTACCTTAGTCAACGCTGACAGAAGCACTGTCTATTCGGGCCTTTTGAAAAAGGCCAGGGAAGAGCCGCTGCCATGGCTTGTTGGTTGTTGCTTTAAGCTTTCCGATCCTAACTACTTAAAGGCCATACAAAGCCCTATCGATGGTAGACAATCTTCCAGGAATCTTTGAGAATGTCTGGCCGTCTCTCTGCATTCTTTGCGGGCTGCTGTGCGGCGACGGACGCATGGCCACGCTTGTACACACTCTCGCATATCCGACGCACCCACACCAAGCCTGCTCTTCTTGTCGCAATGGTTACCATCTTGGAATTGTTCAACCACTTGTTTTTTTTTTTTTTTTTGGCTTATCCGTTGTGACAAGAACCCTCGTCGAGGCGTTGTCGTTCCGTTTTTGGTTCCTGCAAGGTGAGCGTTATTGCTGATGCGCAAAAAAGTAAGCAACCTCAAACATTAGCCCGACTTTCATCGTTAGTCGCCTAAGAGAATCCTCGCCGGCTAATCAGGTCGTAACCACTCGCACCGATTGTTATGCCTGAATCCATTCATCCACCTTTATTGCTGATTTGTGCGGTGCTTCGACTCTGCGTCTGTTTCCGACCCACCTCCCGCGATGACGGATATTGTCTATCGAAAGTTCGCTCCACTTCGGTCTCTCCGTGGCCATCCTACGTATTTTGTAACTTCAGTGGCCAGTCTGTACGAGATCGGACCGGTGTTCCAAACGAGTTTGTTGTCATCGCACACCCGCCAGGGAGGGGTGGTTCAAAGAACTACTTGTGCACCTATTTTCGAACCACACCGACGGTTCCATATATCAACTTCTCATTGGAATTCGTCTAGGTCACAGTGCCAAAAAGAAATCTGCCTCGTGTTGTTTAGCCTTAAACCAAAATAGAGATGTGTTCCGACGAATCACATAACGATCCCCTTGAACTCAATCCCCGCATAAGAGCTGGTCGAAGTCACGAGATGCCCCGCGCTAATAATAGCAAGCTCGTCAAGGAAGATCTCAAGGCGCTGAGTAGTTGTGGTAGACCCAGACTATCCATAACCGCTGTCCTATTTTTTTTTTTTTTTCAGACCTCTTATCGTACAAAATCTATGAATATAGTACAGTTGGTAGTGTCAAGAGGTAGGAGGATGGAAAGCGGGAGACGTGCGCAAACCCTTCCATTCAGTTTATCGTAGACCCTGAGCTTCTCTCTCGGCCTTGCGCGCCGCAATGCGCTTCTTGAAACGAACCTCACCCCTTCTGCGCTCACCTCCGTCGACCTTGTGGCCTTGCTTGTGCTCCCACATGCCCTCTGTCACGACCACGCGAGCACCCTCGCCGGCCTTCAGGGGTAGTGCGTGAGGGCCAGCAATCGTGTGAGCGCCACGAACCACATAGCCGGACGGCTTCGTAAGTTCGACGATGGAGGCGTTGGTCAGGTCGAGGTCTGACGGAACATTAACCACAATCTTCTGATCCGTCTTAGGATCTCGGACGATCTTCAAGAGTGCCTCTCCGTTCTCGACGTGCTTAAAGTCTCCACCTGCGCCGAACGCACCCTTCCTGTATCTATCCAACCACGTGAGGAGGTAGCGTCGTGTTCTTGGTGGCTCGAGGCCCAGCTCTCGGAGCTGTGGCGATGTAAGGGTGAAGAGAGCTTCCCATGATGGAAACTTGTCGACGTGCTGGCTCAGTCCACGGCCAAGGACCTTGAGCAAAGAAGGAACATCGGGAACAAGGGGTATCGGCGACGGAATAGGCGCGGCCTCTCTAGTTTTATGAAGCCATCTGGTCTGGCATGTCGGTGCGAGGGGAGCCTTGCGGAGGAAGGGGCTCAGGAACTGCTGAATCCGGGGCGCTCTCATCTTGACCTAGACAACATTGTCAGTGTCAATGCCAGTATTATAGTACTATGAAGATGTATGTGCCATACTGCATGGACGTATGAGCTTCTCAAGCCAGATAATTGGCTGATTGAAAGCTTCCGCATGACTGTCGTCAAGTTGTCGGGTGTCGCGAAGTCGATCGACTGTTCGCCTACCAATTTTTGTTCGACAGACGCTAAGGATTGAGAGAACCCCCTTAGGTAAGCGGTCACTTGGATGCCAATGAAAGGGTCCGAGCTTTCACACTTGACCGCCTTCTTTATCTGGTTTAGCGTAGTGCCCTTGTCTCAGTGGTTCGCCAGTGGATGTTCTGCCAGGGCGCCTCCGCTAAATTAACAGTGCCCCGCCATCCGTCGCGCTAAGGATTAGGCAATGAGACGCGACTTTGCCTCCCTCTGCCTGCTTATCGATTAAGCTACCGCGGGGAGCTTTCTTCCTCGGATTCAAGCGCTCCTTCCTTTCTAACGAAACCTGGACCAAAACAACTTTTTACTTCTAGTTCCTTGGCTACTGGGAACAGACTAACGAACAGAAGTATACAACGAGCCCAAGATGCTTGCTGTGTATTGTTGATGCACAGAAAAAGACGAGCCGCCAAGATTGCACATTGGTGATCCACCACAATGGGGCGCTCAAAGCAGACAGCTCGTCGCGGCAAGCCGCTTCCAGTGACCTCCACGGTCGGATTTCACGGTTTGTTCACATATTCTACTCACAAACATTTAAGGCTGACAAGTTAAGAACAATGGCCAGTTGAACTTATTCATCAACTTGGTACCCTGCTTGCCGATCATGAGGACCAATCCGAAAATCGTGATACCTCCGAACGGCCGGCCAAGCGAATCAAGCGATCTGGTGGAGACATTGCAGCACCTCTCATAGCTCAGGAGAGTTTAGGACTGGTACAAAAGTGCCCCAGTGACTTGCTTCATTCGGACTTACATTCGGTTTACCGCAATGTTGGATCCCTTTTGCGCATCGGGACCAGTCATAATAAAGAGCTCAGAATTATGACCCGCGCAAAGGCTGGGCCATCATCAATACACACAACCGTTGCACTTCACCCGAATGCGATAACCAGCCGTCTCAAAGCATGTTTAGAGGCTTTCTCAACCAAGTGGGCGAAATCGTACAATGAAGGTGAAATATGGGTGTCGCTCGACCTGACGCTGCATGTCCAGGGGGAGCATCTTCATATAGATTTGAGTTTCAGCCTCTACTGGAATGAGACAAAATCCCCTTACAGTCGACTTCGTTCAACACCAGAGCGCCATTTGAGCCAGTTGATTCTTGACGTCTTTTTCCCTGAAGATCCTGCTTTAAATACCCCCGGGAGGGAGAGCTGGTCACCACTTGACTTTTACGAAGCAGCACACGTTCCCTCGCCGGACGATCATGGCGCTCTTAGAATTGAGGTACCAGAACTGACTTCATTTCTTTACCCCTATCAGAAGAAAACTCTGAGCTGGCTTCTGAAGCGGGAGGGTGTCCGCTGGAAGGATCCTGGCGATGTTTCCCTTGCCTCTATTGAGCAGGTTCCGGTTGCCGAAAACTGCGACACTGCACATAGCTTTCGCAAGATTCAAGATGATTTTGGAACTGGCGTATCCTACTATGTCAGTCATCTGTATCATCTCGTTACCACTGACCTTTCCCCTTTTCAACAGGCGGAACAGTCTGTCAAAGGTGGCATTCTTGCCGAGGAGATGGGTCTCGGGAAGACTCTTGAAGTTATCGGATTGGTGGCGCTCCATCGACGGCCTCTCAATGAAAATGGTACCTTTCTCATTAGGGATGGGGAGGAGCTGCTAGTGACTGGAGCCACTCTTATTGTTACGCCCGACTCTCTGAGACAACAATGGATGTCAGAGATTCAACGTCACGCACCTCATCTGAAAGTGAGATATTACCCTGGCCGTAAGAACGCGAAGTTTGACACCGAGGAAGCCCTTCGTGCGGATTTAGCTTCCCAAGATGTTGTCATCACAACCTACCCGATCTTGTCATCTGAGATTCACTACGCCATGAAACCTCCTGAAAGATCCCGAAGGCAAGAGCGAAAGTACGAAAGACCCGAATCACCACTTACCAAACTGATGTGGTGGCGTGTTTGTCTTGACGAGGCTCAAATGATCGAAAGTGGAGTTACGGGTGCTGCAGCCGTCGCAAAGGTTTTGCCTCGTGTCAATGCCTGGGGTGTTACTGGTACACCTGTGAAGAACGATGTCAAGGATCTTTTTGGCCTTCTTAACTTTTTGCGCTACGAGCCCTACGCTTCATCTTCGCAAATTTGGCGAGCCTTGACAGACTCCCACAAGCCCCTTTTTCGCTCGCTCTTCAGCAGTATCTCTCTGCGGCACACGAAGCAGCTCGTTAGACACGAGATAGCCGTGCCACCCCAGAAACGATTCGTGATCACCCTGCCGTTCACTGCTGTGGAGGAGCAGTATTATGGTGAACTGTTCAAGAATATGGCCCGAAGTTGCGCGATGGACGCTACCGGTGCTCCGTTGAACAATGATTGGAGACTGGAGCAGTACGAAGCCGAGATGCGGACCTGGCTCAACCGACTCAGACAAGCCGCACTTCATCCCGAGATTGTCCAGCGGCGAGGTAATGGTCGGAAGGTTGGACCAATGCGGACGGTTGACGAAGTACTGGATGCAATGCTCGAGCAAGGCGAAAATGACATCAGAACTGAGCAAAGGGCATACTTGCAAGCCAGGCTTACTCGTGGTCAGATCTTGGAAAACGGACCTAGGGTGAAAGAAGCTTTAGAAATCTGGGAGAAGGTCAAAATTGATGCCTCACATTTGGCCACAGAATGTCGAGAAGAGCTGGAAGCTGCACTTAAAGAAGTGCAGGCATCACGCCCAGTGACATCTGGGCCACACCAGGAATCACAGAACGAGGCCTCTTCCTCTGGTGACGGTGACCAGGACGAAGGAGATGAGTGAGTTAAGGGAGCACTTTAATCGAATGTTCGTATTACTAATCGTCTTTTTTTAGTTTTTCAAACACTGGCCGCGTCGGTGAGGCACGAACAAGACTTCGTCATGCGCTGGAAGTTCTACACAAGGCAACTTTCTTTTGTGCAAACGCTTTTTTCCAGATCAAATCAAACACTGATCTCACTGAGCCCGAATCGGATGAGTTTAAGAGACTACAGCAACTGGAAGATTCGGAATATGCAAAAGCTCAGGAGATTAGACGAGAGGTTCTATCTGAAGTAGGTTCTTGTACGGAGTCGGGACTTTAAGGTCTCACTAACACCTGTACAGAGTCACGGCAAAGCAATGTCTTTGATAAAAAAATTGGAGAGACGAGCTCAATCACAGGACTTCGTTGAGATTCCTGAACTTGTCGCCAATTCTACTAAAGGCTTGGAAAGCGCACCGACACTCGAAATGCTTGATGATCTTTACGGCATTCTCAATGAACAAGCAAATCTCATTGATGAATGGAGAGAGGCAGTTATACGGCTTCTATCCCAAGCCCTCATAGATGAAGAAGTTGAAGTGGAAAATACCGGAGAGGAGTTCACCGACTCAACCAAGGTCCAAGAAGAGATCATTGTCTATGTACAATCCTTGCGTGCCGCAATTGCCGATCGTCAAGATGCAGTTTCAGGCCTTGAGAATGCTTTGATCAAGCATGAGACGAGGGTCTCATTGGCTGCCGCAGAAGAAGGTGATGGCCCGGCACCAGAAAAGCTGATAACTCTTCATCGCCTTCGGAACGAGGTCAAACCATCACAAGATAAACATGGCTCCCTTCGTCGTGTGATTGCAGACCTTCGGGCCGTCGCCTCACGATTGCAGGATGGCGGTGGACGAGCGAGTGTTGAGCGTGATATCGTAATCTCGCATATAAGAGAAACGCAGGCACATATTAACGCTCAGATCAAGGCGTCAACGGCATTAGAACGCGAAATCGATCGCTTCACCGGCGCAATGAATGCCAGAGTTGAGTATTATCGGCAATTACAAGCAGTGTCCGACAGCGTTGCGCCCTATGAGGGGCCGAAAACCCAGCAAGTCATAGATACTTGTACGGCAGCTGAGGTCCAATACCGCAAGAAACTTGATTCGGCGAAAGCAAAACACCGCTACTGTAAGTGCGATATATATACCCTTGTATACGCTCACTGACGGCCTTTTGAAGTGCTCAATCTAAAGGAGACCGGGACAAAATCAAATGAGCCTCGGATGTGCATCATCTGCCAGTCTGCCTTTACGATTGGCGTTTTGACAGTTTGCGGCCACCAATTCTGCAAAGATTGTATGAAACAGTGGTACCGCGCACATCGAAATTGCCCCATGTGCAAGAGGCAATTGCGACTTACTGAACTCCATGATATCACACTGAAACCGAGGGAAATTAAATTACATGAAGACACAGCAACATCGGCATCTCTTGAGGAAAACAAAAGTCGAGCTATTAAGACTAATGGTATCTACTCACAGTTTAGCTCAGAGAAGGTGGCCCAGATCAATGATGTAGAGCTAACAGGCTTGTCATTTGGCACCAAAGTCGATTCCATCGTACGCCATGTTCTTTGGCTAAGGGAATCTGACCCTGGTGCCAAGTCCATCATTTTCACTCAGTATATGCACTGATTACCCCTTCTAAGCACCGTGCTAATATTCGTCGCAGATACCGTAGCTTCCTGAGCATTCTGAGCTCTGCATTTAACCGCTATAAGATTGGGTTTTCTTCGATTGATATGCCAACAGGCATCCAGAGATTCAAGGAAGATCCGGGCATCGAAGTCTTTATGCTTCATGGTAGGGCACAATCAAGTGGCCTCAACCTTGTGAACGCCAGCCACGTTTTTCTCTGCGAGCCATTGTTGAATACGGCACTCGAGTTACAGGCAATTGCTCGAGTTGACCGAATCGGTCAGAAGAACGAAACGACTGTTTGGCTGTATTTGATTGAAGGGTCTGTGGAAGAGTCGATATACAACTTGTCAGTCAAGCGGCGGATGGAACATATGGGCAAAAATTCCAAGGGAAAGTTGAAGGAATCAACACCTGAGGTGGCCGAACCTACACTTGAAGCCGCGAACACACTCGAACTCGAGCAGGCTTCCCTCAATCGCTTGATGAGCAAAGACAAGAACGCTGGTGAGACGGTAGAAACAGCCGACCTTTGGGAATGCTTGTTCGGGCGTGTGACAAGACGAATTACTGCGAATGTGGCAGATGGGATCATTCATGATGATGAAGCCTGAGGAAGTTGGTGGAAACTTTTGGCCCAAGGTTGAGGTTTCCGGTACAATGACTGACCAACTTAAGGTTACATGGGCTATTGAATGTTCGGATGTGGATATGGCACGCCGAAGCTCACCTTGTTGGAGTAGAAACACTTAGAGTACACTGCAAAGTACTTTGGTAATAGCGAATCAGAATAGCTGAATTGTACTGTATGTTTAAAAGGAATCAATTTCATAACAAGCAGCTTTAGGGTACTCGAAAGGTGGCTGAATTAACGTTTAAGTGCATTCCTTGCAGCCGCATGTCATCTAAACAGTTAAAGAACTTTTGTCATTTATCACTAAAGCTTTGGTGTCTTATGCTAAGCTGAACCAGTAAGACACTCGAATAATGCCAAATCTAGAACACTTCTTTGTAAGAAGACTGACCGAGTTGGTTACGGACCCTGATTGGATTAGTTTAGGGAACGGAGACAAAGCCATAGAAATTCAGGGGTTCAGTTGCCCCACACAGCTGGTACCAGCTGCTGCGGGGGCTTCCTTGGAAAGAAAGTAGGTCATAGAGAATGTCCCAGGCTGACAGGCAACCAGCCACTAATAAGTAAGGCAGCTCGTACAACAATCCCACCCAGCGAACAATCGCTGCAACCTCCGCCTGAGTCTGTTCGGATCTTATGAGGGGCTCTGCCATGAATAGAGACATTGATTATCGCCTGTAGGCTAACACGAAGACACGACCGCATCCCGATGCACCGACCGTACCCCGTCCGCCACCATGTATAGGTCTCGAGGAACTGCCCCTCAAAAGCGCGGCATCCTCAGTGCCTTGAAGGCAACTGAGATGTTAGATTCGAAGCCGACTCTCCCAGCAGGTTAGTTTCGCTGTTGTATTCCGGAACTAAGGCATAAATGACTGACCTGTGGACCAGAAATCCTCGTCGCTATCCTGGATTACCTCCCCGTCTCCGATCTCATGCAGGTCGCCCGAGCGTCTCGTCGCATGCAGGAAATGGTCTACGATGATACCAGATGGGTGGCAAGACTAAAGAGCATGGGATGTTGGGATGAGGCTGAGGCCAGGCGACGGTTCGAGGAGGCGATGCGGAGGAGGCGGGAGGCTGCGGAACGATCTGCGAACGGCGCTGCCGGCAGCCGGCCTGGCGTGCCCGGGAACCACACGGCCCCGAAACCCACGAGCACGACTTTGTTCGATGCCACAGTTGAGGAAGAACGGCAGAAGCGCCACTCAGTTGCTCCACCCATTGACGGGTTTGAGAGAATGACGGTGGGAGCACCGGCGGCTAAGGATCCATTCAAGGATCCCGAGGCATTGCTTGACGTGATCAAAAACTCGCGAAGCGTAAGAGGCCACGCAAGAGAAGAGTATGGCAAAATCTACGGTGCTCTTGCGCCTTTCTATTTTGATTTAGCGAGAGCGAAGAGCCACACGGATCCCATCGTCTTTCAAGTGTTTAGAGACCCCGAGCGACAAGCCAAAATGCTTTCAAATCTACAGGTTTTTGCCAAAAGCGACTGGGCACAGGGTTGGAATCAGCGGGAGGAACGACTAATGACTATGACTGGCATTTTTGAGAGCGCGGTGCTACGGGAGTTTGAGCAGGGTTACGAATTCTGGGACGTTGACGGCCGGATGAAGCGGTACGCACATGTTCTGCATACACTAAATGGCGGCAACGCAGGGACAGATCTGTTTATACAGAAGCATCCCATTTTCAGCGACCGCGATATTCTGGCAGCGAATTCAGTGGACTGCGTCAGTCGGATTGGCCCCGATGAGATCAACCTGGAACCGTCGCGATTATTTTTCGAGATGCTTTTACGGAAGGTCAACGAGCAGGCTGATGTTATAGTACGCATATTCGCCAACCCCGAAGTCGTCTTTTGGGAGTTCATGGATAAGGTCAGAGAGGACATCATTATGGACTACATCACACCTCTACTCGATGCGACGCATGACAGAAATCTGCAGTCGTATTTGAAAGCTATCGCGGGACTCTTTGAGCAGTGTATGCTCTTCTTCAAGTCTTTGACGCTGCCAAAGATGTCCAAGAGCAGCCTCGAGGAGAAGACGAAAGAGATGATGCTGAGAGTATTTGAACCGCACCTTGACCTATATTTGCAGGAGGAGCTCGACTTTTTTACAAAGCACGCCGAGACCCAGGTCGCAGAGTGGGAGAAGAAGCTTTCTGAGCAAGATGCTTCGGTTGAATCGTTCTATATGGGCAACTTCAACAGGCAGGCGGACAAAAAGGATTTTTTGAGTTCCTTTAAAAAGGTGGTTATGATGCCCGTTACGGCTTTGCCCTCCTTTGGGAGTACAAGTACTCCTAAGCCCACAACACCGAATGGCACGTCTGCCCTCTCACCTCAGCCATCTAGACCGCATACACCCAGCCTGGCACCAAATGTAGATGGGAGCGGACGACTTAGCCCTCTCCCGGAAAAGGCCCCGACTGATGAGCTAGCAGCCAAAGCTGCTCTTATGGCATCACGAATGGAGGGCATCAAAACGCTCTTCAGTATCGAAGTGGCGCTTAACTTGACACATGCTGCCAAAACAAGTATGGGGCGCGCATCAATGTTTATACAATTGGGAGGTCAATACGGCGAAGAAGCTCGAGAACAATGCGAAACCATTTTTGTGGTACTTCTTCGCATTCTCGGCAACAGGCACGTCAAGGTTGGATTTGACAAGGCTGTCGAGCACCTTTCTCACTACAATCCGAGAGAAGTTAGCGACCATAACCAATCCGGCGTTGCGCCTTTGGTAACCTTCATCGAGCTGGTTAACGTGGGTGACCTTATCTCGCAAATGATCGACGTGTTCTACGAGCAGCAGCTTGCCGGACCGAAAATCGCGGACCGGAACGACTTTCTGGATCCGGCGGGCATCGCAAAGAAGAAGTGGGAGCAAATGCTTGATGAGAGCGTTGCAGCCGGCTTAAACAAGGGCATTGACGTGCTCATGGACGAGGTCGAATACCTCCATGGCACAACACAGCAACCGACAGACTATAACCCCTCGGAGACAGGCGGCATTCTCGCGGACCCAGGGCCAACGCAGACGGCACTGCGTATCAAAGAGCTCGTCTCATCGCACACACGTATGTTGGTCGGTACCACAGAGAAATCAATGCTTGATGTATTCAACGGCGAGGTGGGACTACGGTTGTTCACCGCCGTATGCAAGCACCTCAAGCGCCAGCGTGTCAGTACCGAGGGCGCGATAAAGCTCATTGCCGACATGAATCTATACTTTGAATACATTCGCACTCTCAAGAACCCGGATTTGCTGGCTTATTTCAAGGCGCTGCGCGAACTGAGCCAAATTTATCTTATTGACCCCCGGCACGCTAAGGAGATGGCCACCATCATTGCTGATGGCGACCGTTTCGAAGGCGTGTTCCGTGCCGAAGAGGCGTACGAGTTCGCTCAGCGTCGAGCGGACTGGTACCAGGTCAGGAAAGACGTGGAAAGAGCCATGTATGGAATGGAGTGCTCCCTCATGTAGGAGCTTAATAGAGTGAAGATGAGGGGACGGAGCCATTGTGCAGTCTCGTTCTTTTTTGGATTATGAACCAAAAACCCTAAAGTCGTGGGATATCAGGTAGCCTGTCCTATCCATAAATAATACCCCTCCCCGAATCCATATTTTGTCCTGATGTGCCATAACGCCTTTCATGCCTCAAAACGTTTTCTCGTTCCACCATGTCCTTGGTCTGCCCTGTGACTTAAGTTTTATCTTTGTCCAAAATCCAGCTTCCGCGCAACCTTGGCGCCTCGGTCCTCGTCGACCAAGCCAGGTCGCTTCTTCTCCGCGTTCATCTTGTCCTCACCACCGTCCTTCTTGGGGAGATCCTCCTTGCGCGAAGGCTTGGGCTCAGTGCGCCACCAATTGTGTCGCAGCATGTCCTTAGCAGTAATGCGTTTCTTGGGGTCCAGAATAAGTGTCTTCATGAGCAAATCCACACCCTCGGAACCTACAGTACCAAACATGGCTTGATAGAAGTCCTTTCCCTTGACAGGCTCTCCGTCATCAGGTACTGTGTAGGCTGGTAACTTGGTGACGCCCGGCCAGTTGTCCTCTGTTGGTGTGCCAACAGCACGACAAATCAACGAAATCTGTTGAACCTCTGTCTCTGAAGGCATGTACGGCGCGCGAATGATGAGTTCTGCAAACACGCATCCCACGCTCCAAACATCAACGGCGCCGCTGTAATGCTTGGCACCGAAGAGCAGCTCTGGCGGGCGATACCAACGTGTGATGACTTGATTCGTCATCACCTGATGCGGGTCGGCGAACCCTCTTGCGAGACCAAAATCGGCAAGCTTAACTTCGCCATCGGCAGCAATCAGCAAGTTATTGGGTTTGATATCGCGATGCAAAACGAAATTCTCGTGGCAGAACCAAACGGCGCGGGTTAGCATCCCCATCCAGGCTTTGATGTCTGCGGCACCGTAACGAACGTTGGCCGTGTCCTTAATAAGCATCTCAAGGTCGCCAAGGGGGAGGTACTCGAGGACAAGGTTGAGGTTCTGATCTTTGGAGGAGAAGACGGAGAGAAGAGAAATAATATTGGGGTGTTGGAGTTCTTGGAGATGCTTGAGTTCTCGAACAGCGTCAGGTGCCATGCCTTCTTGGTATTCCTTTTGGACCTTGATCTTTTTGATGGCAACGAGTGAGGATTTGTCGGAGCGCATATGACCGAGGAATACGATGGCGTAGGTACCTTCACCTAGTTTTTTTCCTGAACGATGTTAGCATAGTGTCATCATAACAGCAGAAAGAACAACAGTATATCGAAAGTAGGTACACACCTTTGACATATTTACGCTTTTCCTCTTCGTTCATCTGCTCAGCGAGATCGAGGGTGGGAGGCAAGGATGCAGACGTAACTCCTTTGTCTTTTGGCGGCTGAGGAGTGCCGTTGGCAGAGGCCTGGGCGGATGAAACATTTCGAAAGGGCGAGCCTATTGAGCCTGCCGGCTTCAGCGCATCAGTCGCGCGAACAACCAACGGTGAGGCCGACATCGTAGTTGTGGTGATGGATGTGTCGATGTAGGGTAGAGGTTCATGGGCGGACAAGGCAGCTAAACCTGTGCAGCCTTGTGAGGTATCGCAGCCTTTGATTGGCTGGGAGCGCCACAAGCAGTTTGAGCCACTCAAATTAGGACGCTTTACACCACATTTTTGATTGGTTGCTGTGATCGCATACATCTTGAGAAAGTCATTCCGTCTCAAGCTTTGGACATGGTCCGTTATTTGCACATCCGTGCTACCTTCCAACGCCGTCCGGACGACAGAACTCAAGCCACTGGCTCGTTCCAGGATCAGGAAAGGTTAATGTTGTCCTGGCCTGTACCTGCGATAAATATGAAGTGAATATAAGACTATTCGCCCATGTCGCTAGCTAACTGCTCACTTCCACCTGTTCATAACCTCCTAGTTGTAATCGCAGGAATAATAACCTAGGTGTTCTCTGAGAGGTGCTAGTTGGGGCTCCCCGGTTCTCAGTGCCGAATGCGCCAGCCTCAATTGCACTGCGTAGAGAACAATCTTCGATCGAGCGGACTTTGGGCGACCGCGAAATTGTGACGCCATGTACGTCGAAACCAATGGAACTTTGCGTCTTGGACAATGTTGCCAGCCACTTGAAGCATCTCGAATTGCGGCGGTGCAGGTAGAACACATGAACAGCCCCGGACTGATCACGGACATGGTGAATTCCCGTTTCCCGAGAGACCAATATCTTTGGTTTGCGCAGCGCGCGCCGTAAGCACCGCGTCAGCTTTCTAGGCTGTTCCCTTCACAAAATTCGCCCTGCTATTACAGACATACATTTTGCTCCGGCCCGAGGCAGTAAATCCAAAGGGGTGGAGGGGGAAAACATCATAGAATGTGCTCCAGCCGTTGATCGATCCATCAACTCAACTGGCCGCTCGAACTAATCAATTGGTCGTATCAAGCTGGCAAGACACCTGTGGGTGGTCAAAACACACATCTGCGCAAGAAGCCCGATTCTTGCGGCACTTGGCACCCAGTTTAGGCGCTTCTCGGTGGGTACTGCTCTACGTCATCTTTCGGCGGTGCCCCAAGAACCATGACATGGTCACCCCACAACGCGCGCAACAGGGTCTAATCAAAGTGCTTGCCCGTGTCAAGTGCCGATCAGTCATGACTTCAGACTCTTGGGTCCCCTTTTCTGAGAGCGCCCGACGATGTCCGGCCCACCCGGAGCTGCACCTGGGCCAACATTAGCCATTACTATAGTAGTAGGTGGTAGGCGGTGTCTGACGGGGACGGGAGCACCGTCCACCCCTTAAGTCCGCCGCCTCGGCAGGCTACTAGACAGAATAGACGATACTTTTCTCTTCGCAACTTGATATTCAGGCACCGCCCGGTCTCTGGCGTAACAGGCCTTGCCCGCTTGAACTACATTATCCCCGGGCTCTGGCCACCTCAGTCTCCTATTCAAAAGATTCTACCTCGATCACCAGTAACACCATTCTAACTCATTGGGTACCACTGTTTCAAGCAGCCTAGGGATTCCCAATTTGGCCCCTTAACCCAAAATCGAACTTCTGGTGAGTATGCAAACTAGTTTACGCGCTTTCCCTCATCTCATTCGTCATTTTTCGTCATGACAATCAACATGACAGCTTGAGCACCGTCGTCAGTCGCAACCACAGAACCAGCCCTTTTAATTCTTTTCAACTTTCAAGTTCATTTTGCAACCCCAGGAAACCAAGCAATACCTTCTGGATTGAAGCTGACCTTTGCTAGAGTACATAGCCAGAGCATCGCTGAGATGAGGATCATCTCATATTGGGTATGTCACATCACGAAAAGCTAGGAAACATTCAAATCTAATCTTGCCCAGGTCTTCCCGATTGTATCGGGCCTCATGTGGCTGGGCATGCTACTTGGCATGCTCCTCTACTGGATCATCGACACGGACAAGGAAATTTACCCGTCTATGTCCTCGCCGCAGAGTATTGCCTATATTAGCGACGTCGGTGCCTATCGTCTCAAGCCGCTCTTCATCACGGGCTGCGTGATCACCACCGTCTTCCTCGACCTCTCTTTCTTTTCTGATCGGTGGCTTCGCCACAAGGGCCGCCTCGCACCCAACACCTCTGTGGGTGAAAAGGTCCTGTTCGGCTTGTCTATCGTCTTTGCCATTGTCGGTACTGTTGGTTTAATCTGCCTCAGCATCTTCGACACATACAGACACAAGAATCTGCATCTCTTGTTCCTGTTATTTTTCATGGGCGGCTACTTGTTGTCCGCCATTTTCATATGCTGGGAGTACCAGCGCCTCGGGAAGAGTATGCCGCCCCCCACCAATTTCCCTTCTTTGTTTCATGTAGTGTGTGAAATGCGTGCTAACTTTTCATAGAATACCCTGAGCACCGCAGTCTCGCAGCATCCTTCTGGATCAAGCTAGTCTTCATCCTAGTCGAGCTCTTCCTCGCCATCGCTTTCATCGTCTGCAATTTCAGGAAGGTATACAATGCTGCCGCTATTCTTGAGTGGATCGTTGCATTTGTCTTCTCCTTTTACATTGCATCCTTCATGGTCGACCTCTGGCCTGCTGTTCGTACCCGCGACAAGACAGCCCGGTTCTCGAAGCCAAGTATGAGAGAAGAGTGGTCGAGCAGCCCGAATGCTCATTTTTAAAGAGTGCATACAGCATGGCAGAGGTAATCAGGACCGGTATGCAAGTGAATAGTGGAGCGTACTTGCTGAGGAGGAAGAAAATAAATGATGTAAACGTGATACCTGTCTCGTGCCTGAAGTTTATCAGCATTGAGTAGCGAATAAGAAGCGGGTGTTTGGAGTTTTTGATATCCATCGGGTTTACGAAATGGCGAATAGAGTTAGTTGTAGGACTATTTACATGTACGATACGTTAGAATTGTCCGAGACTCATAGCAGTAATTACGATCTCAAGGCCTAGTTTCCTTTCCATTGGGGTGTATACTCGAATCTCGTGCGCTCATTTATACCGGAATTTGTCAATCCTCTAGGCGTACAAAATACCTCCCTAGTAGTTCGGCTGCGTAGGCCAAAACCTATCTTGCATACGATGACTGTCGAGAGGAAAGATACACAACAAATTTACTAGTATCAAATATCCTGGTCTGCCTCCGGCCCACGTTCATGCCGATATTCACGAAATTAACTTACAACATTGTTCACATGGGAATGCGATGTTTTTATTCAAGCATGTCCACACCGAACAAAGCTATCACGTCGAGGTTGTACAAAGTTTCAAATTTGACGATATGTAATAAAAGCACTGACTGCCAAAGACTGGTGATACCTTGTACTCATGTATAATTCATCTTCAAAGCAGTATAACGCCGACACCACTCGCTTGCCATCCGTTTTCGTCATGTAAGTATCGGAAAAAGCACTCTCCCCCGGGGAGCAATAAAACTTTAAAAAGCAACAGCCCCTATTCCATCATCTCCCTAAATCGCGAGTCCCTGTTGGGACTACTGCTCTTATGAGTGCTCGGGTCTCTAATAGGAACGGGCGGCGAGATCGGCCCCTCGAGGTCATCCCTCGCCTCCTCAAATCGATCCGACTCATCATCCGTACTGACCGGGCTCACATTCTTGGAGTCCAGGATTCTGTCCCCAATTTCCTCGTGTGTAACTGGTGATCTGGAGGCGTCACGCCCATGATTTGTGTTACTTTTGCCTGCAAAGGCAACCTCCCTCATGCTAGCCGACCTCGCGTCTAGACTTGTAGCGCTCTCGTTTGCAAGTCGTGTAAGAGCTACGCCGCCGATAAACCCCCTTTCCTCCGGAGGATTTTCTCCGGCTGCGGAACGACCTCGTGGCCGCGAGAACCGTGATTTGAGCCACTCCTTTACCTTGTGCGTAGGGGAGCCGCTCTCAATAGGTGACCGCGGATTCTCGCCTCCACTAGGAAATTCTTTCTGGGTATCTATGGTCGGCTTGAAGTGGCTTCCCCGTTGCGATACTGCAGAAGCGTCTGGGTCGTCGCCCGGTTCTTGATGTTGGGAGGTTTCGTGTACATCTGCGAAGTCTCCAGGTGACATCTCTGAGAGTTTGGATTTCCGTTTCTCTCCCGCCTTCGCAGCTTTCTCCTCTTCTTTCTTGGCCTTAAGTTCTTGCTTCTCACGGTACCGCCTTTCCTTTTCTTCCTGTTTGTCTGCCTCTGTAGCAAAGTTAGTCAAATGGAAAGTCAACACCAACAGGAGAGTCTTACCCCGGATCTTCCGGTTAATCTCTTTAATCTCTCGCTCGCGCTCCTTTCTCTTCTCTTCATCTATCTTCTTTGCTTCAGCCTCAGCCTTAGCAAGCTCTTGCCTCTCCCTTTCCATCGCGGCCCTTTCATTGATCTCATCAAGAACCGGCTGGACTTTCTTTGCGGCAATCTCGTCAATGATGGCTTGGTCCATATACATTCCACCACCAATATCCAGCTTGCCCTTGTGTTCATTCGTAGACTCGTGTCTAGCTTGAGCAATAAGATGGGCCTTGAATTCCCAGTCGCTCATAGTAGTCGGGGGAACCATTCCAGTCTCGGCAGATATCTTTTCATCCATACCTTGCAGGCGGGCTCTAACGTTCTTTTGTGCGGCGGCTAGCAAGGCCTCACGATCTTTTGCTCGCTTATGCTCATCGACCTTTGATAAGTTGGACGAGAAAATGGACATCTGCCTTCGAATGTGCTCAGACTGTTCCCTGTCTTTGTTGATGTCGCCGTCACTCGAGGATCGCCGTCTCAGCTTTCCCTTCATGGTAAACCTTCGCTGGGGCTGAGTGGAATCATTGCTACCGTAATAGTTCTGGTAGTCTCGATTGCGCTGATGCTCCTCGTGTAGCTTCGACAATCGTTCTTGAGCCAACTTATAGGCGGCTTCTTGTAAGTTGATGTAGGGTTTCGGTTGGTTATCATCGGGGCTGCTCATCGCTTCTGAATCCCGATGAGCCTGGCGCGTCTGGTCAACCATTCTTTGCTGATGGCTATACATCTTCTTGGCCATAGCAATGGCAGAGGCATGGAGAACATCGGCCCTCTTTTGCTCCTCGGCTTCCGGGCCTATGTTAGGAGTTGCAGTGAACATCTTGCGTGGCAAGTTCGTATATGGAACAGAGCCGGAAGTATCGACTGGCGATCTAGGCTTCACTGCAGGGTTGTGAGCTGCAGTTGCAGCACTGAGAGCATTGGCGGCGGCCCTAGATTCACCAGGGTAAGATTCTTTGGGTTTGGGGACAGGCGTGGACTTTGCCCGTGGCCTCGTCCTTCTTGGTGCGGGCATCGCATTCTGGGCAGCTGAGAGAGAGCCAAGGCTGTCTGTAGAAGTGGCGTGAGTGGGCTTCCGTACTGAGAGACTTCGCTTGAAAGCCTCGTTGGCCGCGCTAGTTCCCCACGAATCCTGAGGTGATTGACCAGCTGCCGTTGTCGTCGCAGTCGACGCTTGTTTCCTGGCGGATGCGGTCGCCAACAGAGCGGCTTTAGCTCCCGCCGAGCTCGAATTGGGTTCCCATGACGGCGTCATCTTGTAGTCAGTTGCAAGCATCGCAGCTGCGGTAGATGCAGAGTTTGTCTTTTCGGGTTTCCAAAGGTTGACGGGTTTCTGGTTAGCCCAGCCTAAGGATGCGGCAGCCCCGGCGGCGGCCCCGTCGCTTTTGAGACCAGGGGACGGATAGCTAGGGAGGTCCCGTGGGTCTGCGTATTTTAATCTTCCCGAGTAGGCTGCTGTTTGAAGGACAGAAACGTGTTAATACTTGAGGGGCTACTTTTGAGTGGGCTTTCTCGAAATAATAAGGGACCTCGTATTCAGGGCTCCAATACCTGTAGTCGGTAACTGATACCGTGTCTCCGCCATGCTTGGCTGTGGTGCCGTCGCTGTCTTGGAGCTCGCTTGCATCATCGCCAGCCCAGTGCCGGCTTGGTGGTATCGGTAAACCCACTTTTTTCTTGCGGAGAGGTTACTCTTCACTCGGCTGGTGACGAGCGTCTGATGGCTAGGTGTATATTCGACAACGCAGGACGAACAAGATGGCTAAGAAGTGAAAAGTGACTGAAGGCAAGCCAGAATAAGCTGGTCCAGTGGAGTTGAGACAAGAGAATCTGTAACGCTGATGTTATTTCTGGTGTTGCTTATCCGTATCGTGTCTCAATCACCGAGATATCGTATCGTAGTTGGAACGACTGGAAAATTGCAAGGTCAAGACCTGGCAGCGCAAAAGATCAAGACACGACAGGCGGCTCTGGATGCAGGGTCTCCTCCCAAGGAGGAACCACAGTTATATCATCCACTTGAAGTCGGGGGCAAAGCTACTGGATAAGGTAGGGGACGACGGCGCGCACGATGAGGTATGTTGGTGTCAGGTCGGCACACTCTTAGTGCTGGTCATGGAGAGGAGCGGCCACCGCCGCCGTTACGTCATCTTGCGAGCTGGGTAGTGTTCCACCCGCTTTAGGTCTTAGCGTCCCTTTAACCCCTCTGTCTACTACCCCAGCATGTACTCTTGTAGTCTTTTAGGGAACCCTCTAGCAAGCAAACCCTTGTCTTCAATTCATTCGATTCCCGTTAGCAAAACGACGACGAATGACCCAGCTGAACTTGACCACCATTGTCCACATTGTTGTTGGCTCGCCGCGCTTGTGGCTTCGGATCAACACATGCCCTTATACTCTGGACACGGCCTGTCCGTGCCGTTTTCCTGCTGTATTGAGCGATGGACCACATTCTGGATCCTGGGCCAAGTAGTGGGAGAGCGTGGCCCGACACATCATAATGTCAGAAGCTCGAGCTAGACCCAGCTCGACCAGGCTGGAGAGACTTGGAGGATGGGGCCATTGCGCAGACTATGCCGTTTATCGCTTCGTTCTGTCTCTCCCACTCCACGTCTTCACCGACTGCAAAGCCAAGGGTGTTAGTGCCAAGTGCCTCATCAGGTGCAGGTGATAACCAGAAGAGTCAGGGTCACTTCTGTACAGGGCCAGACAGGAAAACAAAAAACAAAGGGAAAAAACCAACCAGAAACAGTGTCTAGCTCCTCGTTTTGCTTTTTCTGTCCCTTGCTGACTGCACCCCGATAGCGCTGGAGATTGACGAGAATCCTCATTCGTCGAATGGGGTGATGTGCGAGCAGCCTCTCATTGGAATGATTTGTGGATGCATTGCATTACTTGGCCGTAAATGGTGCCAATTATAGATAACCCTTGAGACGATATCATGTTCGTTCTCGAGGCAGCCACTTAATCCGATGTTCCGGAACGGGAGGTGCAGTTCCAAAAGCTTATATTGTGCCAACAATAGACTGTATGCTGCTGGAACAGACACTGAAGACGAGGCTATTAACAGAGCTTCTACTCAGGCCGCTGCTTGCTCTTAACCCCCGGTCCTCCGTCTGCCTCCGAATTCTAAAGAATACCGCCGCAGTGACATCACAAACTATCCCCCAATTCTTAAGCTTTTCAGGGACTTGCAGGGATATGCAAGACCCCGGCTGAGGATCCAACCCGCTAATCTGACAGCGATGTGAGGTCTACCAGGGGCTTGAGAGGGCCCCAGGCCCTTTCTTTGGCACCATGACATCCGAGTTTCCGGGGGATGAAGCACCAGAAAAAAAATTCATGGCGTCAGAGCAAAGTCCCTCTTCGCATCCCCCTTCACACTGCATTCTAGGCACCCAAGAAGCCACACGCCGACCTGTTAGTCACTTATCTTTTAACTAAAACACAGCTCCTAAGGCATCTCATATCCCTCCTTTGCCGTCCCGCTGTACACCCGACAGGTCTTGGCTATGGATAGCTGTGGCGTAAAATCCGTTCTAAACTTCCGTGACGTCGGTTCTACGGTTAATAGCTTTCTTGGGCGCAGGTACGTTCTTACACTCCCCCCTCTCTGCTATTTGTCTGTTTATGAAACCGGCAGTCACTAGAGACACACGCACAAAGACTGATTCTGACTCTCGTATTGCTTTGACAGACTCATCCGGGAGGGCTTGCTTTTTCGTTCCGCGAGACCAGGTGTGTCACAGTTTTGACAACGAACTCGTGCACAACTCCATCTTACATATTAATCACATCCAGATGACGCCTCGTTAGAGGACAGAAAACGCCTCCGGGATGACTTGGGTATTAAGGCGGTAGTAGACTTGCGCACCAAGTAGGTAGCGTCGGCAACCCACACATTTAGAATGCTAGATCCCATAACCCGATGATCAACTGACGCCATCAAGGACTGAACACGTCAGGCAGGCAAAAAAGCGCAAGGCTGATGCCCAGATTCCCGCACTCATACAGTCCAACGCAGCATTGGCAGAGCCGGTCCAGATATCGGGCCTAAGATATCACGAGATCAAAGTTACAGGTGGCAACTTCGAATGGTTCTTGGTCTCACAGGTATCCTGGTGGGGATTTTTGTAAGAGAACTTGCTTCCATTCAGAACGCCCCTTTTGACAGTGAAGGCTGACTTGTACCGCCAAACCTCAAGCCGTCTCATCTTCTTGTTCATCTTCGGCTATCGCAATGAGGGTATCTCCATCCTCTCCCGTGAAGTCATGCTGCCCCGCGGCCTGGTAGGTCTCGGCCTTGACACACTAGACCAATCTGGGCCAGAAGTTGCCAAGGTACGTGCAACCAGTCGACGCCGCTGAAATCTCATCACTGACAAACGCCCTAGGCCCTCAGAGTCCTTCTCGACCCGGTAGGCTCGCCCACTCTGGTACATTGTACACAGGGCAAAGATAGAACGGGACTCATCGTTGCTCTTGTTCTGCTAATCCTCGACGTGCCACTCAAAGCCATAGAGTATGATTACTCGTTGACCCAGGGTGCGCTCGAGTCTGAGAGGGAAGAGAGACTGAAAGAGATGAGAGAAATTGGTCTGACAGACGACTGGTTTGACACGGCGCCGGACATGATTGCCAAAATCGCTCAACATCTTGACAGTGTCTTTGGCGGAGTTCAAGGATATCTGGACATGATTGGTTTTAACCAAGATGACCGCAGAAGGTTGAAGGAGCTTCTGCTGTACTAAACCAGTTGCCAGGCTGCCCTGGTTAGCCGTATCAACAGCCTAGGATGATAGCTACAATGTCACTTATTTGATGTGCTGTGCGTTATGGGTATCGACTTGTTCATTCCTTCGTGAATCGTCCTTGCATCCAGCACCGGTACATCTTCAGCTTGCGCGCTCGGTTGACAAGCATGCGTCTATCGACGCCAAGATCGTTCACTGTGAACGCACGCTTTGGGCCATCTGACTCGGTCTGCGTCTGACCGCTCCAGATTTGCTCCAGCTCGTCCTTCTCAAAGAAGTAGACACGGGTGCCGTCCCCGCGCACATAAAAATTCTCATCAAGATAGCGGCCTTTCTTGAAACGAACCTGGGCGAGATCACCTCTTCCATAGTCTCGGAAGCAGACCTGGCCCCCTGGCTTGAGTAGTCGGTGGACGTTGGACACCGCCTTATTCCACTGGTTAGGTGATAAAGCAGAGAATATGAAAATCAGAATAGCAATATCCACAGATCCCTCCTCTAGACCAGGCGGGAGCTCGTCGCTCGTCACGTCCCAGACGTCGGCCTGGACAAAACCTTGGCCATACGACTCATGGTTCCGCATGACCTCTACGGCCGTCTTTGAGTAGTCACAAGCATGGATTTTTAGGTTGGGGTTCTTGTTGAATGCAGTGATGGGAAAGGCGGTATTGCCCGCACCTGCGCCTATTTCGAGGATCACAGTTTTGCCAGCATCCTCTTGGGTCACCTCTGTCAAGATGGGAAATTCTTGCTGCAGCCATTTTCTGTTCTTGAAGAAGTTGGCTGTGTTGTTCTTGTAGAACAGGTCCCACATTCTAGCAGGATTGGTGTTCAACCTATCTGAAAATTTTTGTTAGCGAGCTGTATAAAAACAACAAGGCCAAAAAAACAAGCGTGGTTATAAAGGTGTGATCAGATGGGAGCGAAAGACTAAAACAGAAGTTCTCATCACAAAGATTCAGCTGAACTATGCATAATATTTGTGGATCATCACAACACCCGTGTAAAAACTTTGCAGAAAACAATGTGTAAAAAACTTACTTTTGTCAAAATCAGAGACCGGGGACTGGCGTTGCATCTCGTATTGCTGCTCGGCATATTCCTTGTATGCATCGTCAGTCTCGACATGGTCCCAAGCGTTGAACTCGAATGCATCATCGCCCTCATTGAGGAAGCGACTGCCAAATTGGAACGGATCGGTCCTCTTCTGGTTGTGATCAGGGTCGTGTGATCTGTGAGCGGGAGGCTTCCCCTGGCCGTTGGATTGAGAAACCTGGAGATTGGCCGTCTTCTCGACGAGACCTTGCTCGTCAACTCCGTTGGGAGTCTGAATAGCCTCAGGAGATGCCATCGTAGATGTAAATGATCAATACAAACGGCTGTATATCTCACACTGGCATGTTACTGCGCGTGTGGCATACGATATCCTGAGATCTCCAGGTTCTGGTCGGCACAGGAAGAAGTGATTGGGAATGAAGAAAGTTGGTAAATTTTGACGCTCGTTGAAGTTTTTGTTCACGAAAAGTTGGTGGGGCCAATGTCGGCACGAGGATGGCCGGCTCCGACACAGCCAATGAGGGAAGGGTACCACAAAACCCCCCTGCCAGTTTGGGATGAGGTGCAGGAGCTCTGTGAGGTTGGCCGGCGTCGCGTAGCTGGCACCCTAGGTTCCAGGAACAGACACAGCTTCCATCAACGCCCATCCAGTATTCAACGATAATTTCAGGACCTGCGGTTGGGACAACGCGAATTTCGGCCTCCTAGCCTCCTCAGCCTTTCGAATCCCACCTGGTAATATCGACCCATTCGGTTTCTACGCCACAGCATCCAGTGGTCATGGCACCGTCCCTCGAGCGCCCTCAGGGCCACCTGTCCCCGGCTGAGGCCTTGGAGCTTGCACAGAAGGCCCCGACAGTTTTGCGAAACAACCCCAAGGCATTCTCATCGTCGCCCTTAATATCGCTCTTCTCTGCATCCGAGTCCCCGGAGATTTGGATCATCTACGAGAACCTTTTGTTGGCCTGTCTCCGTACGGGCGATAGTCAAGCCGCACACCAATGCCTGGAGAGGCTCGTCATCCGATTTGGAGACGATAATGAGCGCATCATGGCATTTAAGGGCTTGGTGAAAGAGGCGGAAGCTGATAACGAGGGAGAGTTGGTGCAGGTGCTCAAAGAGTATGAGACCATTTTGGGACAGAATGCCACCAATATCGTCAGTTGATGAATGGACAATAACTTGTTCGCTCCTGCTGACTCTTTTACAGCCTGTTGCAAAACGGCGCATTGCTCTTCTTAAGTCAGCTGGCAAGATCTCGGAAGCTATCACGGCGTTGAACTCGCTTCTTGAATTCTCCCCCACAGATGCCGAATCTTGGGCGGAACTCGCAGACCTATACCTTTCCCAGGGGCTTTATTCGCAGGCGATTTTCGCACTTGAGGAAGTCTTAGTGTTGACCCCGAACGCGTGGAACGTGAGTAATATGTAAACTGTTGCCATTCTGCATTGCTAATTGTCGCCAGATCCATGCTCGCTTGGGCGAGGTGCTGTATATGGCTGCTTCAGCCTCAGAGAACACGTCGCAGCAGCAACTAGCGGAATCTGTCAAGAGATTTTGCCGAAGCATTGAACTTTGTGACGACTACCTCCGGGGTTACTATGGATTAAAGCTGGTGGGTAGGCTTACAAGCAGTGATCAACAACAGCTAACATTCACAAGGTAACAAACAAACTGCTTAAGGAACCGTCAAAGCCATCGAGGCAAGCGGATTCTGGTGACTGGGCCCTTCCGGAGACCAGCACAGTACAGAAGCTCAATGAAGCGGCCACGCAAAAGCTGGCCGAGATTGTGCGTCGCAATGGCGCAAAGGAGCGGTTATGGCAAGGGTACGACGAGGCGGAGATCGCGGCGGCGCGAGACTTACTCTCGAAGGAGTCAGCTGAGCTCGTGAGATGAACATAAAACAGGTCACAGGCAACGAGTAAACGACGTTATGCTATCCGATTTTACGATACTGAGACCTCGTGGCAGAGCAACTTGCCAAATTGTTTCACGCATCGCAATGCTGAAAGAGCTCCTATGGCTGGCATATGTTGTTATCAGGACTGATGGGTAATGGGGAACCTTCAATCCATGATCGAAATCATGTCGGCAGTGGATCAATCACGTGCAGCGGATGATGGCCGAGTTTCCTTGGTTACTTCGTCGGCCAATCGCGGACAAGTCCCAAAACACAAAAGACGAAAATGAAATGGGCGGATAACATTTCTTAATACTTGGGCGCAGAGTTGGCGTCGTCATCATGTCGAATAGAGAGCCTTCCTGACCTTTCATGATTGGGCAGGAATCGGAGTCAGTTGTACAGCGGACAAGTTTCACTGGATGGGGGCAGTAACCGTCGCCCAATACCTTCCAATGGCATTCATTTTTATTTTATTAGCATCTATCGCACTCGTCGCAGCCAAACCCGCAGTTGTGCCCAATGGATGTGGGCTAAGTCGTAGTAGGCCGCAGGGCTGCATGTTATCCAAGGTTCTAGGTATGGCGATGGGAGCCCGACAAGCTCACAAGGCCCACAACATGTGTTGGCAGTGAGTCAGTGAGTCGATCTCGGATGGATCTCAGGCGTCGTCATTGGAAACCCTTGTCGAGTCGATATAGGCAAGCCAAACATTCGGACTCGTCGGGCAACGAGGATGGCTTTGTCAGGCGTGAGCTGCTCGAGATGCCGACGAGTTGTCGAGACAGAGAACTACCAATCAAGCTGCGTTGACGAGGTTGAGGTGTCACGTATATATCCGGGCAGTGCCGTGTAAGTAAGCCGGGAATGAAGACAAGCTAGCAATTCCATACGTCGGCATCGACTTTGACGTGCCCCTGTTATCTTTGTCTTTTTGAGCGGCCGGGCGCGTAGGAAGCAAAGAAATAAACCGGAAGCCAAACACCGTTATCGTTACACGCATCGGGCCAGCCTTCACGACATAGCAACGCAGCAGGGACAATCGTTGTTGCGAAAATAAACGACTAAGCCGAGCTTGCGACGCGGCGCACATTCGTTCTCCTTTTGCCTCCTCAGGATGATGCCTCGTTTCTCAGAACACAGAGCTTGCTCGTCAATATCTGATTCCACTTTGGGATCGGTGGTGCCCAACAGAATACAGCTGCACCGCCCACTAAAAAGACATGGAGACTGAGAAGAGCAAACTTTTTTTTTAAAAAAAAAAAAAAGTAAACATCATCATTGTCAGTACCATCTTGTGCCCCATCCATCCCCTCTAGTCTAAGGCAGGCTGCGGATCTGATGAGGACCGTTGGCTAGCCAAAGTCGATTGAACCCGAGAAAAAAACGCTGCAACCGATGTGGAGCCAACCGCTCAGGACGACGGCGTGGAACGGCAAAGCAGGCTCGCGCACAAGACGTAATTGTGTCTGGTTTTGGAAAGTTAGGTATGGCCCAGGCCAGACGGCACACACCCCTTGGCAGTAGGTACGGGTACGGCGCCCTCCCAAAGTACCTTGCCGTCACTTGCGGTGTGCGGGTTGGGGAGACCAAACAAGATGACAGACACCAAGCTGCGATGAGATAGGAAATGAAAGCTGACGGCTGCCTGTGCTTTGCAGTCCACCTGAACCGCCCCTACTAGCCGATAGCCATCGACAGGTCCTGAGCACACAAGTGCAGGTAATGAGCCCCGAGGGATGTGAGGCACACACAGCTGGGCGGCTCTAACGTGGGAGTGGTAGTAGTAGTAGCAGCAGCAGCATCGTCCTCGTTACCCCCCAAATGTTGAATTCGACTCGACACGACACGACCCGGCCGCGGCCCCCCCTCTCTTCTCCCTACCTCCCATAGTGCCTGCTACTATTAGACATCCTCCTGTCAGATAAATACTTTGCAACGCCTCACCCAGCCTGCTTAAGCACACATAATTTCGCCCCCCTTAGGTTTCGGCTTTTCTCTCTTCGACATACCACTTTTTTTTTTTAACCTGATTTTTCTTTCTTTTTTCTCTCTCATCATCCAGAACGTCGGCGCCTTTCCAAAATCCGACATCGAAAAGGGTACTCCCAGTTAACACAACGGTACCAGCCCCACCGGCATAAACGAACGCCCAGAGGACCGTCCCGCAACGGAGCCAGAGCCAGGCTGAGAGCACGTACCTCTCCAACGCAGCGAACCAAAAAAACATCAGCCCCAGACCAAAGAACAGTCGGGGCCACGAGGGTACTTAGGTACCTTGTACAAGAGGCCCATACCAGTAGTTTATCTGACCAGCCTGTGTTGTCCGAACCTCTCGCCAAACGCTCCCGGGCAGAAATTGACGGGTCTTGCATCTGATCTCTCGGCGTCCGTCCCTGTCAGGTCTCAGCCAACATTCCACTGTTTTGAAATTCTGGGGTCGCGTACTACAAAGAAAAGGACAATATAATCTAAAGAAGAGGTATGGGAATTTTAACGGTTTCTTCTCTTTCAGGCGCGCGTTCCGTTTCTTCTATGCGAATTCATCGCGTATGGCCTGTAACATTACTACCTCTCTTTGTTGCTGCTCCGGGGCATGTGCTGTATTTTTTGTTCACTACGTATTACTTTTCTATCTCCCCTGTCGAGAAGCTGCCAAGTGCCGGCTACTTCCATCCAGCCTACAAGTTCCCGCGTACACTGCCCTTTTCCCAATTTGCCGGCTGCCCGCAGGGCAACCAAGCATATGGCAATACCACCCTTGTTTTTTTTTATTTTTATTATGACGATCCCGTCATCGTCTCTGCTGCTTGACGTCCTCCGTACGCTGCACTGCATCGTACAGTATTCCAGCGAACAAGTTCAGTTGGTCGCCGTTGGAGAGAGGGGCTGGTGCCTTTGGATACATGACACAACTTGTGCGTCCGGTGCAGCCCCCGACTAGCGGAGCGGTGCTATGCTGACAGTCATTCAATGACATTCCAATGCCCACTTCCATGGCCCATATACCAGCAGTGTGGCCCATCTCTCCCGGGATTTCCAAGTGGAACAACAAAGCAAGGGGTCAAGACCAGGCCTACCCTTCCCGTTTTATCGTCTCCATCCTTATTCCCCCTCCTAGGTTGTTTCGCTTCAAGTTCTGCCTGCCTCTCTGCCTGCCCTACCCTGCCCTGTCACTTTTTTTTTTTTTTTTTTTTTTTTTTTTCCCTCCTCCCCTTCACTTCCCTCTCTCTTCCCCTTCTCTTCCTGACTTGAAGCGGGCTGAGGATAGCGGGGTTACTGTAACCTGGTCGGGCTCGCCCTGGTCTGGTCTGGACTAGTCTGGTCTCTATTACACAGTCTCTCTCCTCTTGCACGCGCATCATCCCCCCTTCCATTGCTTCCCCTCCCCCTCCTCTCCACTCCCATTTTGGGGCTTTTTCATTGTGTGTCTGTGTGTCCGTGTCCACGCCAATGCCTGCCTGCCCACCAGGCTGGCGTCTCGCCAAATTCCATTCCACATGATGCTCCGGAATGTCGCTGATTTGAGGCTTGTAGCTTAGCACCCCTTCAGTCCCGGCACGATAGTATAATACCTTGCCAAAATTGAACAAGGTTGTCGTATCGCCCGTTTTACGTACTCTGCTCACCGACAACCCCCGTCTGCCGGCTCATTCCAGAAAAGGGAAAAAAAACTAAAACTGCCAACATTTGGACCGTACTCTTTTTCTCCTCCCATATCTCTCTTCACAATCTGCCACTCAACTCAGTTTGCTTTTTCATCACCTTCCTGCTCCTCTTCTCGCCTCGCATCACATCGCCACCCTTTCATGCTTCGCTGTCCTTCCGGCGAACAATCAGAAAAAAAGGGCAAGCCAGCACTTCCAGGCAACCAGCCAGCCAGGCCAGACCGATTCGTCTAGACTGGAGTGGCTGCGGCTTAGTTTGTGCATACAACCTTGTCTTACGCCTTGTTACGGAGCGGTCGACCGACCCGCAATAGCTGCCCAGCACCAGCTACCACAGTTTTCCTTGCACCCAATCGCGCTTCTTTTTGCGCCCAACTGCACGATCTCTCGCCAAATGACAGGGGCCCTCCTGGTTACATCCAAGAGCCCACGAACGAATATCCACCCACCGACTGCCGCCCACCCCTCAATTTTCGCAAACCGCCCGTCTTGCAATTCAGTCGTCTTCACAGAACAAAACTCTCTTTCCTCCCATACCTGCTGTTGTGTATATCGCAAAGCAAGCTGTCATCTGATCAGCCTTTCAGCCCAAGTCTCTCTTGTCATCCCTCCTTCTGCTTCTGACCGCCACTCCTCCGTGCTTGGAAATCCCATCATCCCTCCCCGAACCGCACAAGGGCCAACGCTGCACGGCCTCTAAAAGCCTCCACAACCAAGTCACCTTCGGTTTCCCGCTGTGGAAGCCCAATCCTCGTCCTCCTCGTCCAACTTTTTTTTCCCGCCCAATTCACCCCTTTACTCCGGCTCTCGTTTGAGATTGTCGCGAGTGAAGGGTTTTGCCACCACACACTTTCCCATGTCGTCGTCGTAAGTGTTGTACTTTTAAAATAGGCCCAGGACACAACCGACTTGGTGGCATTCGCCGAGAAACACCACTCAACTAACACACTCCGGAAGACGCAATTTACAACGACGCTTTAATTCCCACGCGGGAACAACGTCTCATTCCGACTCTCTCACCGACGACGAGGACCGAAGCTACCAAGCCACAAGCTCCGAGTCTGGTGGACAAGACGAGAGTTATTCTGACGAATACGACGACGAAGGCGATCTCGGCCCCGAAGACTCGGCTTCTGTCAGCCCTCACCGGTCCTACCGCCCTCAGGCACCTCGAGCCGCGTCTCGTTACCACCAGCTGCCTCACCGCCCCGCCTCATACGGTGCACCGTTTCGGCCCGGTTCAGCGCCGAACCCCCCAGACAGCGTGGAGCCTACCGAGGAATATAACCCCTCCTACGCCCACCGCGGCGGCTACGGCGGTCATGCGCCTCCGACTGCTCATGCGGGGCACCCGGGCCACGGAGGGCATGGAGCTCACAATCCTTACTTCGGCGGTCGTGGCCACCCGCAAGGAGGCTTCCCGCAAAGTCACGTAGGCGGTTTCATGGGCGGCAGTCCCTATGGGGCTCCTCCCAATCACAACACAATGGTCCCCTACGGCTATAATCCTCACAACCCTTTTTCACCATTGTCTAACGGAAGCGGCGAGAGCTATTTCGGCGGGCCTCGCAACTCTCAATATGACATGATGCCGTACAACCAACCTCAGCCGCCAGCCTTTTACGGCCCGGGAGGCTATCAGATGCCCCAACATATGGCCCAATTTCTGTATTCCCAGCCTGCGCCTCCACCGCCGCCTACGGAGGTTGCACCGCCCAAAACACCTGGGCCTGTCGCCCCGCCCTCGCCTCCGAAGCCAGATCCGGAGAAAATCAAGTTGCAAGAACAGATAGAACTCTTCAAAGCAGAGCAAGCGCGAAAGGAGGAGGCAGAAAGGCGGCGAGAGCTGGAGGAGAAGATCCGCAAAGATGCTGAAGATGCGATTGCACGACGCATGGAAGAGATGAGAAAGGCGCAAGAGGAGGCAAGAAGGGACATTGAAAGGGCCAAGAAGGAGGCTGAGCGAGCTGCCCGCGAAGCTATCGAAGCTGAACGCAAGGCCGAAGAGCAGAGACAGAAGCTACACCAAGAGGCCATGGCCCGAGCCGAGCGCGAGGCGAGAGAAAGGTATGAAGCTGAACTCAAGGCCCAGGCCGAGGCGAAGGCCGCTGAAGCTAAGGCTCGCGCCGATGCTGAGGCAGCCGCTCAGCTGAAGTTTGAGTTGGCGATCAAGGCTCAGGAAGACGCCAGAATTGCCGCCGAGAAGAAGGCGATAGAAGCAGCAGCAGCCAAGGCCAAGTATGAGGCAGACATGAAGGCAGAGGCTGAGAGAGAAGCCCGTGAAAAGCTTGCGGCGGAGAAAAAGGCTGCCGAAGACGCAGCAGCGGCCAAGGCCAAGTACGAGGCAGAAATGAAGGAAAAAGCTGAGAGGGAGGCCCGTGAAAAGATTGCGGCGGAGAAGAAGGCCGCCGAAGACGCAGCAGCAGCCAAGGCCAAGTACGAGGCAGACATGAAGGAGAAGGCTGAGAAGGAGGCCCGCGATAAGATCGAGGCAGAGAAGAAGGCGGCTGCCGATGCTGCCGCAGCAAAGGAGGCATATGAGAAAGAAATGAAGGACAAGGCCGAAAAGGAGGCCCGCGATAAGCTGGCAGCCGAGGCGAAAGCGGCAGCTGATGCCGAAGCCGCAGCCGCCGCCAAGAAGAAGGCTGAAGATGACCTAAAGGCAAAGGCAGCTGAAGAGGCCAAGGCTAAGTTCGAGGCCGATTCCAAAAGTGTCAAGGACAAGCTGCCGATCAAATTCAAGGATGCCGTGGGTCGAAAGTTCAGCTTTCCCTTCCACATTTGTGCTACTTGGACGGTAAGTTGTGAACCACTCCTAGTCACGTCTGGTATGAAACTAATTAGTGGTATAGGGTATGGAAGAGCTTATCAAGCAAGCCTTTTTGCATGTGGACATTATCGGACCACACGTGCAGGAGGGCCACTATGACTTGATTGGCCCTAACGGCGAGATCATTCTCCCTCAGGTCTGGGAGAAGGTAGTTGAGCCTGACTGGACCATTGAGATGCGCATGTGGCCGATGGAAAAGGCGCAGCCCAACCCCCCTCCGGGAATGTTTCCCCCAGGCATGAGGCCGCCTCATGGAGCTCATGGGCTCCCACCGAGACACGCACACGGTCAACCGCGGCCCGTGTCAATGCCAATGCCGGGCGGTCGTCCGGGCGGCGGCGCACCATTTCCTCCGGGCTGGAACGGCGGCCGTGGGGCTGTGCCGCCGCCCCCGCCACATATGGCAGGCGGCGCGGGTCATGCCCGTGGTGGTCCTGCCCCTGAAATTATCAACGTCAGGCCTGGCCCCGAGAAGAAACGTCAATCCAAGTCGCAGGGATCCATGCTCAGCTGGATGGCTGGTAAGCCGCCCAAGAAGAAGTAAGTGATTGTAATCCTTGTGTTCCTGTTGGAATACTAACGATAGTACAGGAGCGGCAAGAAGGGCTAGCGTCGTGCGCCAATTAAAACGAAATAATTTTTTGCACCTACCAACAGAACCATTTCTTATAAATCTGCGGTTGGGAACTTTTTGATTTACGTATGATACCTCTTTGCGCCTTTTTTGCTGTTCTCGAATCACCGCATGGCCATATGTACGCAGCGCATCTCACGGAATCATGGCTCATTTCGACGTCTATAACGCATGTATGCCCGGAGTACGAGCTAGGGAGGGATGGAATCTGGAGCTGGAATTGATGGCTGGAAAACCTCCCGCCAAGGCCGTACACGACAGTGAGGCCTTGCATCATGGGAGCTGGAGAACGCTACGATACGACGTTTTTAGGGGCATGGCGCAAACGAGGGGAGGACGAGACCGTGTTTTTGGTTAGAGTTGCCTTTTTTTTTTTTTTTTCCTCTCCTTCTTTTTGGCGCGTTTGCGATGGTAGATGCGTCGGTTTTTGATACAAAAGAACATGTTAAAATTGTTTATATGCAGCTGCCCTCAGGTTTCGGGCTATTTCTCGTGATTGTGTTTATTATTTATTCTTTTACATGCACGGCTGTCCGTCTATTTATATCCTGGGTCTGCTCAAAACAGACTTGGCACGCTTCTCAAATGCTTGGATCATGACGCCGGCCACCTTCTCGGAAACGGCGGCGCTCACAGCCGCGTACAGCGGGTTTGCAAACTGGAACCTGATAACCAGATCCACCTCGGTGCCCGTACCTGTAGCGAGCGGCCGAAGCTGCCACTTGGTCACGAGACTTCTGAACACTGCACCGCCCTCCCCTCCGTTTCCCGGGCTGGCACCCTTGACATCCGCTCCGCTGATTGCCTCAACGCTCTGGCCCGGGATGCACCGCAGTTTGCTAGTGAATGTCTCTTCGAATCCGCCCCAACCAACGCGCAGGTCGGCCTGTGTAGGCCACCTTCGTCCATTCTCGTCAGGGCCAGTCCATTGTGTGACGCGGGATTGGGCGCAGTATGGGACGAACGAGGAGTATGAGTCCACGTCGGAGATGACGTCGTAAAGCTGAGCGGAAGGATAGGGTAGAGTTCGGGTGGCAGTGAGGACTTGCGGCTCGGAGGAGGAGGGAAGGCTCGGGATATTGAAGAAGTGCCGTGCGGGAGTGTGTGTTCGGACGAGAGGTACGGGATGGATCTTTCTCAATGAAGAGCAGAAGCGTAGGGCCGGGCGTGCGGTCGCCATTGGACGAGTTTTGGCGATATCAAGCCAGTTGCGCGAGTCTGTGTGAGGGATAAGACGAGTCTTTGAGGTTTCGCGATGGGTTGCGAAAGGAATAGAAGCTAGAAAGGAAGCTCAAAAAGCCATAACCGTACTTATACAAAGCTGTAGAAACGAGAGTGAAGTAGTATACAAGGATCCTCTACCAGCTCCTGTTCCGCCTCTTGGGTTCCTCTACTGGCGTCGTCGCGAAAGTCGTCGTGGAGCAGGTGCAATGACGGCTACAAGCCCCTTCGCCAGAAACAATTGTACTAGCAGGCCCGCCAATGTTGGTGGGCTGCAGTCGCCGCACCGTATCTTAAGCTTAGCACTGTGTATTTTGCACGGTAACAACAGCCAGACCTCATTCTTTGGTGGGGTTGATTATCGAGCAGTAGCAGCAACGCAGCACAGCAGCTCCCCACAAGCTAAGTTCCCAAGCCACAGCAGCAAAGCCCGCCCGCGTCACCGTTCCCCGATTCCGACATCCCTTAGCTTGAACGACGACCCGAGCCTGTCCCAAGCACACACCCTCACGAATGTGCCAGAGCTGCGCGGCCACATAACGGGGGATTTCATTTCAAGATGCGCCATAGGACTTTAGCGACCTGAACACACCCGACTTTCGTTACCCTTCTACTGCGAACACCTGCGACGTCTCCCCAGCCCTGTCTCAATCTATAAAACCTGCGAAACCCGACTTAGGCTCCGTCGCGTGGGGCTGTCATCGTCAAGATGTAGGTGTGAAATACAGCGCACTGCAGCCGGCCAAGAGACGTTGGAGGCGCTGACGGTAGCGAACAAACCATAGGTTCGAGAAATCCCTCTATGACCTCATCAGAGGCCTGCGAAATCACAAAGGCAACGAGCGCGAGTATATCCAAAACAGCTTGAAAGAATGTCGCGCCGAGGTGCGCGGGCAGGATATGGGTAAGCCAAGACCACTTCACCAGCATTCGTAGGCCGTTCAGGCTGACTTGAATCCCCCACCACAGATGTCAAGGCGACGGCGCTGCTGAAGCTGGTGTACTTGGAAATGGTCGGTCATGACATGTCATGGGCATCGTTCCACGTCCTCGAGGTCATGTCGTCGCCCAAATACCACCAGAAGAGGGTCGGATACTTGGCTGCCGTTCAGAGCTTCCGACCCGATACCGAGGTGCTAATGCTGGCTACGAACCTCCTGAAGAAGGTGTGTTATTATATTGGTTTAATTTGGAGGCAAATGAGTGTTTACGCATGCCTCGCCAGGACCTGAGCTCGACACAAGCTACAACCATCGCCCTCCCGATGTCTACGTTGCCGCACATTATCACACCGTCACTCGCTCTCTCCACCCTCTCCGACCTCCTCCCCCGTCTCAGTCACTCGAATCCCGCCATCCGCAAGAAGACCATTGTGACGCTGTATCGGCTGGCGCTGGTGTACCCAGAGACACTGCGTGCGGGGTGGCCCAAGATCAAGGAGCGCCTGATGGACAAGGATGAGGACCCGAGCGTCACGGCTGCTATCGTCAACGTCGTGTGTGAGCTGGGCTGGAGACGACCGCACGACTTCTTGCCGCTTGCGCCGAGGTTATTTGAGCTCTTGGTGGACGGGGGTAACAACTGGATGGCCATCAAACTAATCAAGCTAGTATGCTACGTTATTCATGGCGAATTCTTGGGGAGAATGCTGATTTTGTATGCAGTTTGCGACGCTGACACCATTGGAACCTCGTCTGGTTCGAAAACTGCTGCCGCCTCTCACAGAGTTGATCCGGACGACACCCGCCATGTCGTTGCTGTATGAGTGTATCAACGGTATTATTCAGGGCGGCATTCTGGGCAGTGCAGACGACATCTCAGGAAGGGAAGAGATTGCGACTCTTTGCGTGAACAAACTTCGAGGAATGATCATGGTCGACGGCGACCCAAATCGTACGTCACTTCCTGTGAGTTTTGAGGCATCAAAGCTAACATTTAACAGTGAAATACGTTGCGTTACTAGCTTTTAACAAGATTGTGCTTACTCATCCCTTCCTGGTTGCGCAGCAGGAGGACGTCATTTTGGAGTGCATCGACAGTCCAGATATCACTATCCGTATCAAGGCTTTGGACCTCGTTCAAGGCATGGTCAGCAGCGACAACTTGGTTTCCATTGTGAGCCGTCTCATGAAGCAGCTCAAGTCCTCTGCACCTAAGAGAGAACGGCCGGGAGCACCTCTTGGTCCCGATACCGGAATGGACTCCGAGGAGGAAGCGGAAGTTGACATTCACGCGCCGACGAAAGAAGAAGAAGAGCCCCCACTACCCGATGACTACAGGAGCGATGTTATTGGAAGAATTTTGATAATGTGCTCACAAAACAACTATAGCAGCTTGGTGGATTTCGATTGGTATATCGATGTCCTCATCCAGCTTGTCCGCATGGCGCCGACACCGCGGTCCGTTGAGACTGAACTGGACTCAGTGGCCGCTTCCGGGAAATCGACTGCTGGAGACGTATCTGGGAAGATTGGAGACGAATTGAGAAACGTTGCTGTGAAGGTTCACGCCCTTCGAGGCGCTTCGGTCAGAGCTGCTGATTTAATTATCCAACAACTCAACGCCGACACACCCGCAGGTCACTCACTGTCATCAGCATCACTCAAGTCAACGACGTGGTTGGTTGGAGAATACGCTAACCAGCTCGCTCTCCCTGAAGATACTCTTGGAAATATCCTGCGGATAATTCCCCGAACACATATTCCCGACATTCTTACTACTAGCCTGCAGTCTGTGACTAAGATATTCGCTTATATCGCCGGCAACGACGCGCAGCCCTGGACGCCTGAATGGAAGACAAAAATCACGCTACTTCTGGCGCGGGTCATTCACACGCTGGAACCGCTTGCTCTTCATCCCAACCTAGAGGTTCAGGAGAGGTCAGTAGAGTTCATTGAGCTCCTGAAACTAACCGCCGAGGCAGCGTCAGGGCAGGCGCCATCTTCTGAGGACACTCATCAAGATGCCCCTCTACTTCTTACCCAGGCAATTCCTTCTTTGTTTCAGGGTTGGGAACTTAATTCGGTCGCTCAAGGGGCGCAGAAGAACGTGCCAATACCGGATGGTCTCGACTTGGATGAGCCAATTCACCCGAACCTCTCTCATCTCCTCTCTCAAGCGGACATAATACCCATGGAAGCTAGCGAAGCGGACGACTTTGAGGTCTACTACCATCAGCGCCCCGCGCCAACCAGTATATCCTCGGCTGAGCCAGCCATCAACAAGATTGCCGACGCGCCGGAGGAAGTCGTCAGTTCCTACCAACAAGCAACGGAAGATAGCTACTTGGATGCAGACATCGTGGCACGGCGGAAAGCCGAGCGAGCGGAACGCAACCGCGATGACCCGTTCTATATTGGCGGACTCGACAACGGCCCACGAGCCTCCACACCGATTCACAGCATTCTCCAGAAGGAGAATGGACCGGATCTCGATATAGACTCCATACCGATAATGCAGTTGGATCTTGACAAGCTAGGCAGCTCCGCATCCGGACCGACCTCACCCGTCAGCAGACCGCAGCCGCGGCCGAGGCAAAGGGTCGTTATCGCCGCGGACGAAACGCTCACGGGCAGCGGCGTCTCCACGCCGCGCAACTACGAATCGGAAAACAACTCTGACAGCTTCACCAAGTCACGCGCCAAGAAACTGCGTCAGGGGCTGTTGCAAGTCGACTCGTCCACCCTTGGCAACCTCAGCCTTGAGGGTGAGGGCGGAGCAGGCTCGTCCAGCGCACCATTCGACTACGAGAGACAACAGCGTGAGGAGGCGGAGATGGCACAGGCGATGAAGGAGGTTGAGAGGCTGCGTCTCGAGATGCAGCGTGCCAACGAACGTATCCAGGTTGCGCAGGGGGTTGACGCTGCCGGGACAGTGGTTAAGAAGAAGACCAAGAAATCGAAAGCCAAAGACGGTGATGACGGCGTCGTCAAGAAAAAGAAGAAGAAGGCGGCGGCGCCCGCCGAGGACGCGGAGAACGGGAGTGGGGAATCGGCAGAAGCACTGCCTGCGCCCAGCCCCGAAGGCATCGATGCCGGGCCCGCGGTTGTGGTACCTAAGAAGAAGAAAAAGAAGAAGACAACTAAGATGGCGGAGATTGCGGGCGACACCCCCAGTCCCAGTTGAATAGCTAGCCTGGAGGAGGGGAGGGGGTTAGCAAAACAAATAGATGGGTGAGAGGGGTGGAAAAAAATGATCAAGACGCAGTGGTTGAGTTTATCGATTCATGAAAGGGAAAACAGAGATCAAACATCATGATAAAACGAGTATGATGTACATGTTGTGTGTGTCTTGTTTCAAGTGATCATGAATCAGTCAATATGTTGTTCTGTCTTCTTGAAATACTCGTACGCGGAAACTAGTTGGGGAATGAAATACCATCCCCCCCCGTCTTCTTATTACGAATCCATCTACAACTTCCCCCTCGAAACACATACACACACACACACACACACACACACACAAAGGTTTCCTGTAGAGAGAAAGAGACATTTGACGCGCGTGGGATATCATTTCAAGTCTCTTGATCGGGGAATCTTTTTGTCTTTCTTTCGCTCGCTCTGCTCCCTCTGCCCTGCGCGCTCCAAAAAAAATTTATCATTCATCCCCGTCATCTTTCTCTCCTTCGTTATTTTACTCTCTCTTGTCTCTTCTCTCGTGGTTTACGTACAGACATGATACAAAGGGGACATGAGGAATCGCTTCCCGAAGCCACCGTCGTTAGTCACCGCCAGTCAGCCAGTAAATGTTTCTCTTTTCCTGTACCCGCACGTTCTTCCGGCGTCACACATGACAAAAATTGGGGGGTTTTAAGAAAATAGACATTAAGAAAGGAAGAAAACGGGAAAAAAAAAATCAACCAGAAACACAAGCGTGCCCGCACACACGGACACAAACAAATCGCCAAAAAGGAAAACGCTTTAATCACTCATTGGCTTGTCCTCGAGCGTCACTCCGCGGGGCGTCGAAGGGGTGCTGTCGCTTCCGGCACTAGGAGCTACCGGCACCCGGCGCTCGAGAGAATATCTGGCCGTAGTGCGACCCAAGCTGTTGCGCTTCTCCACTGGCGACTCAAGGGCTTGAATTCTTGCGGCAACGCCCTCGGCGGCGGGGGCAGCGGTCGGGGCCGCCGTGCCGTTGGCCGGCTCCGACGGTGAGCTGTTCTCGCTGCCAGGAACCTCAAGACTTGAACGCTTGGCACCAATGACGCTGCCAAGGCTAGAACGCTGGCGGTCAACGGCAGTTCCGGGAGGGCTCGTTTGGATCGGGAAGCGGGTTTCGGGGCCGCCAGTGCTGCGGTCGCGTCTGTGCCCACGAGGGCTCGGAGCCGGGCTAGTGGCGCGGCCACGGCTGCCAGCGGCCTTTTCGAGCAGAGCTCTATTCCGCTCCTCCATGTTCGCCCTCCGGTTGCTCTCGTCCGTGCTGATGGCACGAGGGCGGTTAACCGAACCAGTGTGGTTCAAAGTAGACATACGCTTGAGTTCACTAAAGATTGCATCCTTGTGAGCGAACAAATCCCGGATGAGACGGTAGGCATGCTTCTCCTCCATCGTAAGGGAAGTCTCCGTGCGAGGGCGGAGGATGCATGGTGCCAGGGTAGTGGCCAGGGTTGAGATGTAAGTCTCATCAGCCGAGGTAAGATCGATTAGGCGGGTAAAGTGGTTCATGCAAGCGTCAAGAGTCGCAATATTAGTAAGTCTCAGCTGCGACAGCGTCTGTTGAAGAACAGGCACACGAGCAGCATCGTCATCCTGGGTCTGAGTCTGGTAAATCGTTCTGATGATCTCATACACATGAGACGAGACCAAGGAATCTGTCATTATGTTAGCGCATCATCTTCTGCTAATATTTCGTGTTCGCATCTTACCAGGTAGTTCAAGAAGGTAGAGCTTGAGCAAGCTTGCAACAGTTGGAATATCGAACTCGTCAAACACGTCGGGCGAGATAGGCTTGCCGTCGTTAAGCTTGGCGCGCAACTTGTGAATCTGTTGCAGAGGCACATCCACCAGCCAGACGCCGCGTCTCGCCTCGTCGCCTTCTAGATCAGGGTAGTGGTTGTCAAGGTAAGTCAGGATGGTGGTGATAATGACGGGCACGCGCTTCTTATCCGCGCGCGCTCTCGCCTCAAGGTCCACGCCGAAAGTCTGCTCATCAACCTTGTTGTAGTAGTTCTCGTAGACCACGACCTTCGGAATGAAGCTGCCAGTGCGGTAGTTCTCGAGCAGATATCTCAAGTCTCCGGCAGGCTGGACCGTCTCTTGGAAGAGCATCATGTTGTCCACGGCCGACTGGAGGCTAGGAATGACGTTGCTGATGGTTCCGGAAAAGTCCAGGATAACAGTCTTGATGGCCTTGAGACGATCCAGCTCGCAACGCTCCAAGAAGCGCAGGTGCAGGAAAATGGTCTCCTCGAGTTCGCAGCGCATTTCGTCCAGCTTCCGCACACCAGCCTTGTACTTGTCATCGGCCTCTCTAGCCTCGCGGCGCAGTCGCTCGGCGGGAGTCTCGTTGGGGTGGGCGTTGTTAAGGACGTTCCAGTTGGCAAGATACTCGCTTACGGTTCCGACGACAGGCGAATCCGACGACTCGGAAACGGGAAGAGAAAAGGTGCGACCAAGGGGTTGCTTCTTGTCGGGAACTCCAGCCGTCTTGAAAGCCTTGGGCCGCCACTGGTAAAACATCTTGGAGCTGTTTGCGAAAGTGCTGCCGACGTTGCCAATAAGTCTCAAAAATCCGTTGCTGATGAGGTCTTGTCCGATTCTCTCTGCGTAGCTGACGCTGCTGGTGTTCATATGCTTTTGCAGGTATTCCACGATATCTGAACCGGCCGAGGTGTTCTGGTAAGTTCCGATAATGGGAACCTTTGTCTCTCCGAGCTTGATTGTGTTCAGCATGTGCTCCAGAATCTTCTTTACTTGATCAGGGTTGTAAAACTCATCGCCAATTTCGATGGGTTCATCCTCTTGCTCGGCTTCATGCCTTTCGGGTTCCTTGTTCTCGGAGACCTTGATTTCGGGGATGTTGTTCTTGGGGCTGGTTTCAGGGTCCTGGAATCCCAACTTGGTTTCCTCTTCGATATCTTCGACCAGCCGGCACTTGTTGAAGTAGGTGCTTCTGAGCTTCTTGACTAGTTCTGCTTGCCTGTCGTGCGCTTTGATGCGAGCCTGGAGCTCATCCTGAGAATCCTGGATGCGCGATTCGTGCGCATCGCACCAACGGGAGAAGGGGTTAACAACGAGGTCTCGAATATTCTGGGCAATCTTCTTGTGGTTCTTGGCACCCTCTTCCATCTCGATTCGAACACCATCGTAGGCCTGCAAAGCAGGTTAATGTACGCTCTTTGGAAGCTTTCATGCCAGCATAAAACAAACCTTGCGAACGCTAGCACCGTCATCTCTTGAGAATCCACCTTGTACTTTGTCGGCAGCTGGTGCGATGTCTCCCAGCCGTTGACTGTAGATCTCTTCGGCTTCGGCACGCATCCGGGCGACGGTTAGGACTTGACGGTTCTCGTGCACGCCCTGCTGCAGCTTGCTAAACAGGACACCCAGTCCTGGCGCAATGAATTAGCAAAAGAGCAGAGGCAATAGAGTAGCGGCGCCAGCGGCGCATGCGGGTGGCTTACCTGCAGCATAGTCGCTCGACCAAAAGGACTCTGCGAAGCCCGGCATGGTGGAAAGAAGCTCGAATCAGTCGTGACAATGGGTTTGTGCCGTTGCGATCAAATGAGTACCAGAGGTGAGAAAAAGAGGAAAGGAGGCAGCGGGACTTGTTTCGTTTCGTCGTTATGCAGGTGGGAGGAGGTGATTCCCTGTTGTCTCTCGCTAGAGTTGAGAGGCACTTTGCCAGATGTAAGAAGCGAACGAATACGTCAACGGCAATTGAGGCCGCGGTGCAGAAAGAAGAGTGACAACGAAAGGCAAAAAAATGCGCGGATCGGGACGTATAGATCAAGTCGGAAAGGCTGAGATGCTCAGTTTATCGTAGGCGATGTACTTGGTCAGGGGCACATGCCAGTTGGAGGAAATTTTGGAGGAAGGCTGGCGGCTGACAGGTCCAAGGTTCAAGGTTGAAGGTTGGGGAGGCAGGAGGGAGAAAGAGAAAGATGCTACCGCCCGGCTGCAGGTGTGGTATGCGTCCCTCGGTCTCCGCAGGCGTCAGTGAAGCTTTGCGGCGGAGGTACTCTAGTCTCTGTACACTGCCGTACACCAAACCACCTTTAGTGACAGTGGCATGGCATCAAAGGCAGCCTAGCAAGCAAGGCAGGGCTGGGCTGCCGATGCCAACAACAGCACAGGCCAGGCCAGGGCAGGCAAGGACAACACTAGCGGGTATTCCGTCTGTGGCACCTCAACGACAGCGGCGCCAACTGCAACTGCCAGCGGGTCTTTTTGGTGATAATATACGACTACACACCAGGGGACAGCAGCTGGCAAGCTGCGGACGTGGCCTCGGACTTGGTCCCCCAATGACGAACGCTGGCCTTTCGCTTCAAACTTGGACCACAATGGGCGGAGTGAGGAGCATCTGAAGCCAAAAATACATCATGCTCCAACCACTGCCAGCATTCCCCCCGTTCTGCTCCACTTCATCCATCCTCTCCCATCTGACTGGACTGCCACCCACAGGAGACCCCGAGTGACCCCCTCATATGCTCCACACAAAGCAAATGACCCTGAATGAGGTAGCCAAGCAAAGCGGGCACATTTGGAACTTCCAGCTATGTGAACCCCCTGCATTCGTCTCTGTTGCAGAATTCTGGGGCCGCTTCCAGCTGAAGAGATTCAGGCAAAACCCACGAGTTCTTCTTCCAAGGCTCGTTTTTTTTTTTTTTTCTGACCAGGTCCATGGTTGCTACAGGGCTGACCGCCAGAAGCATCTGCCGCCCACCAATTTGACGCCGTATTAAGGATCATTTTCACAAATTATGCACCCGGGATCAGGTTTCATCTCCTTTGATCGCCACAGTCCTGAATTTTAGCATGTCGCTCTTTGTCTCCTTCGTTGCCTGAAAACCCAAACACCTCATCATGTAGTACCTGTACCTCTCCAACTACCATTGATCAGGGCTTTCTTGACCATGAGCTCCTCACCGTAGCCTGGTCTGTTCCCCAGACGACGAGTGCCATTCTCAATAGGCGTACTGGCCCTGTCAGACGTGGAGACATCCTTCTGGCTCCTTTGGAGCCCGTATTCTTCCAGTCCACATCAGACACTCTACATTGGCTGGGATGAGGCGAACGCATGAGCCAGCCATCATCTGAAGTCCCCATGGAAATGTCCCAGCTGCATGGTCCGTTCCCGAAATGCTAATTCAGCCGTCCGTTTTCTCCCCTTCAGCACTTCAGGTTTCCGGCCAGAACACACTAATATTCCCTGTGTCATGAGGGACGTGCTTTATTTGGGTTAAAATTTAGGATGGCATTTGCAATGCGTTTTCCACTATGACAGTTGATCGCAATGCCTCGGTTTATCTTTTATTATGCGCTCGTATGCATGCAGGTTCTTTGACGTTCATTTAGTCTTATCTAAATGTATAGCAATAAGACTAAACAGTCCCAGTAAAGTCTCGTCTGCCCAAGGCAGCCTCTGTTAAGACGGGACAACCCTGAGCCAAGAGGGTTGTCACCTGTGGCGGGCGGTCATCCGTAGTTATCCCAGGTAGCCCAACATAAGGTACCATTCGTTCAACACGCATCTGGGCTGTAGTCTTTAGCCATGGTTGTCGAAGAATCCGTCCCCAGGAGCCCATGAATCCTGAATTCCATCTGCGAAGAGCGTGAAGTGCAATCAAGAAATAATGAGAAAAAAATAAACAAGCAGCCGATGGCTTTAAAAGGCTAGCATGATTTCGTGCACTGAAGTGGGACGAACTGGACCAGACGAGGCCGAAATGAGGCGTAATGTACAAGCAACTTGACCAAGCCGCAAAACCTCAGTGGCCGATTGCATGCCCTGAGGATTCGCCGTTGTCAGAGACAAGCTTCAGAAGACACAAGTTACACAATGCATGAACAATAACCAACATTGATATTATGAATTGACAACGGGATAAAATAGCCTGACAATGGGCTAGGGTCTCATTTGGCAATCCGCCGTTGTGAGCTTGGTCGAGTCTCCTTACAACCCGACAGATTGTCACGGTCATTCAGGGCCCTGAAGCCACTGCTGGCTTCGTTGCTATGAATGTACAAGCAACATGATAGCTTTGCTAACCTTGAGGTCCATGTTGGAACTTGAGAATCCTCAAGCATCAAGGGGGTCCCACTTCGATGCTATGACAGCAAGTTGGGGGGGGGGGGGGGGGGGGGGCGTTCCAGGTTCATCTGTTGCTTTTTCCATTTTGCTCGATTGAAGCTAGTGATTTTCCGTATACTTATGTCCTTCAATTCCCATCTCTTGGTGGACGTTCTAGCATCAGATACTTACAATTAGAAGAGGATGCAAGATAAAAAGAGCTGGTATGCCGAACTGTTGCTTATCTGCTTGACTCGAACCTTAGATAATAATTCTCACGCAATCGCACCTCGGAGCTTTGACCCCAAGCAGCTCTGACGTGATTAAGAGTCGGTCAGAAATCGGCTATTGCATCAGAAAGGATTGCAGGACCTAGGAGTACATCAATCCCTCAACACAAGCTCCCCAAACCTTAGTCGTTGGCAGCAAACATCACCGCAACATCCATTTTGGTTGCCGACTGAACTTTGTTTTCTGTTGGGGGATAAGCCAGATTGTGACACTCGTCGCTTACTTAGCCTGCAACTCCGAGCGTGTTACTAACTCTATCCGAAAGCTGCCTGCGACACACGTTTAGAACAGACGGATTAGTTGTTGTACAATCTGAGCTTTTCACGCCACATACTTGAGAAATGGATGAAAAGACGCGTGTTTTCGACGAGGAGGCTCCGCAGCCTGCTCGCCGAGCCCCATCTCGAGTGAAAAAGCTCGCCGTGAGCGGCATCCTGCTTCTACTTGTGTCCTGGATGCTCCTGGGACAGAAGATGCAGTCATGCGGCCACCGATCTAGGAAGTCCTGGGGGGCATCTCTTGCAGTTGAGGAAAGAGCCCGCAACATCTTGTCGCACACGCCTTTGATTGGTATGATGCGGCCTTGCTTGATACTGTTTGTGTGCACCTACTGACACCGGATGCAGACGGCCATAATGATCTTCCTATTCTCGTAAGAGGGCGCTACAACAACCACATCTACGGCAAAGACTTCACCGAGCCCTTCGAGAACGGTGGTATGATCGGACATGTGGATCTTCCCAGACTTCGCAAGGGTCAAAACGGCGGTGCCTTTTGGAGCGTCTACACTCCGTGCCCGGCCAACGGCAGTGACTTTTCCGACGAGAACTACGCCGAGAGTGGGTTCAGACTGAGTTGTTAAATTATCGACCAAGTAGCTCACACATGATCATAGGCATTCAGTGGACTCTTGACCAAATCGATGTCATCACCCGCATCAAGGAGGCATATCCTAAGGACTTCTCACCTAACCTCAACAGCAATGATGCCCTGGCCGCTTTCGCAAAAGGTCAATTGATCTCACCTCTGGGTGTGGAGGGGCTTCACCAGATTGGAAACTACGCCTCTAACCTTCGGCGGTACCACGCATTGGGCGTGCGCTACTCGACCCTCACCCACAACTGTCACAACAAGTTTGCTGACGCTGCGCTTCTCGAGAGCCCTCTCCGCAAGGCAGAGCCTCTCTGGAACGGTCTCAGCCCATTGGGGCGACGTCTCGTTCACGAAATGAACCGCGTTGGGCTGATTGTCGATCTCTCTCATACGAGGTATGTAATCAATCATGTACCCTGACAGGGAACCGAAGTTATTCACCTTGCTGACCATATTCAAAACTCTAGTGAGGACACTCAGATTGACGTTCTTGGTGGCAAGGACTGGCAGGGCAGCAAGGCTCCCGTCATCTTCTCCCATAGCTCCGCCTTCAGTGTCTGCCCCCATCCCCGCAATGTCAAAGACAACGTACTCAAGCTGGTGAAGGAGCGTAATGCAGTGGTTATGGTCAACTTTGCCCCCGACTTCATCTCCTGCGTCGATGCTGGCAAGGAGAACGGCTTGCCCGAATTCTACCCAGCCAACGCCACTCTCCACCAAGTTGTTAGACATATCCTTCACATTGGTAACTTGATTGGGTTCGACCACGTGGGCTTCGGCTCTGACTTTGACGGCATCGGCTCGGTGCCCAAGGGATTAGAGGATGTTTCCAAGTATCCGGACCTCGTTGCCGAGTTGCTCCGACAAGGACTTAGCGACGAGGATGCTGCCAAAGTTGTCGGCGGGAACGTGCTTCGTGTCTGGAAGGAGGTCGATGCTGTTGCTGCGAAGCTGCAGAGGGACGGCGAGCCTGTTCTTGAGGATGAGCTTCCCAAGTCAAGATACGGTTAAGCGTTAGCAACTATGCTGGTACGAATATAAGTATGTAGCCATCGCCGAGTCATGATTGTTTTACATGGCATTAATCGGCTCTCCTGAATGGTGGTACAAGTGGTATAATTTATCATATTCATACAATTCTAGGCGCAATATGCGCACCTAGCTCTATCTTTGTACAGTCGATGGTTTCGCACGCATTCCTATTTCGCAAACTCCAAACCATGCATACCAGATAACATCCGGCGAAAAGCCAGCGCAAACAAAGTGCCTACATGTTTCTGGTGGCGCGGTTCAACTTCTTTGCCGTCTCAATTTGGGTCCTCGTCCGCTGTCCTCTTACGGGCAGACCCATGGCGTGTCGTCTTCCTCGATAGGCTCCCATGTCCTTTAATCTCGCAACATTTTGCTGGATTACCTTGCGCGCGTCGCTTTCTATCGTCATCGTCGAAAGTTCTGCGGTGAGGGCCGTGACGGTTCTGGGGGCAAGGGATCCGACTTTGGCGAAGGGGTGGATCGAGTATTTGGCGAGGATTCGCTGCGATGTGGTCGGTCCCAGAGCGTAGAAGGACTCGAGAGCTTTCTGTAGAAGTACAGATGTCAGCATTATACACGTTCATGTCGTATGCGGGCTTGATCAGCTCGCGGTCGGGAAGATCTGCTTTACCTTGACGAGCTTTTGCTCGGAAAAGTTGACACCCAAAATGAAAACCTGCCAGAGCGTTAGTTTGAGCCCGCAACAAAGTTCGAATGAAGTTACCATACCATTTTGCCGATTTGCTACGTTGGAGGCGGGGGGGATTCAGGCTGTTCTACCACCAAAATCTGGATCTACTCCTGCACTGTCATGCTCAAATCGCGAACTTTCGAAATCATCTACTGCACGGAGAGTCGGCGCCGGAAAATAGTGGGTCCCAAGTGCTGCAGCAGTGGCTGCACTGACAGATCCGTCAGACCCTTTTGCAATGGGAGCATCCACTCTAGCGGATTGCGTCTCCCCATTGGGCAGTCTCGGTTACAAGGGTCCGAGCTCCAAGTCCTCATTCGGTGCTTCAGAGAGGGGAGTTTGAAACGTAGCTTCAAAACGCCCTGCTATTGTCTCTGGGGTGGTATTTTGCCAGCCTACTTAAACACACCTGTCCTCTGGTGATATCCTCCCCCCCATCTCCAGAAGACATCTAGCATCAATCTCTCAACACCAATTGATCGACCTGGTATCGACATACTTGATCGTTCGCCCATCATGTTCAACCTTCGGAGACTCTTCTCCGCCTTCCTCCTCGCCGGAGTGGCGCTGGTCTTCTTTACCCAGACGGCCGAGGCTGCCAAGGGTCCTAAGATCACCAACAAGGTCTACTTCGACATCACCCACGGCGATGAGCCCCTCGGCCGCATCGTCATGGGTCTGTACGGAAAGACCGTTCCTAAGACGACTGAGAACTTCCGCGCTCTCGCCACCGGCGAGAAGGGCTTCGGCTACGAGGGCTCTACTTTCCACCGTGTTATCAAGCAGTTCATGATCCAGGGTGGTGACTTCACCAAGGGTGACGGCACCGGTGGCAAGTCCAGTGAGTAGTTGCCAGCCAGACCATCCCCATCGGTAGCTAATCATTGCAATCATACAGTCTACGGAGAGAAGTTCGCCGACGAGAACTTCAAGCTCAAGCACTCCAAGAAGGGCCTTCTGTCCATGGCCAACGCTGGCAAGGACACCAACGGCTCCCAGTTCTTCATCACCACCGTCATCACTTCGTAAGCCCTTCCCGCGATGCGTCTCGCCCGATATATAAGCTAACAGCGTAAATGCAGCTGGCTCGATGGCCGCCACGTTGTCTTCGGCGAGGTCCTTGAGGGCTTCGACATTGTCGAGAAGATCGAGCAGGCCGAAACCCAGCCCGGCGACCGTCCCGTCAAGACGATCAAGATTGCCAAGAGCGGAGAGCTGGAGGTGCCCCCTGAAGGTATCCACGTGGAACTCTGAGCACGTACTGTGACACCCGTCGCCCTTACAAACACACGCATGTTATTCCCATGGACATGTACACCACATACCATCGATCCCCGCAGTCGTTCTTTTCCGCAAAATAAAGAGTGTTGATGTGCTGATGGCTACGCCCCTGGCATTGCAGGCGAATACGGCCAGAGCGAGTTCGCGGCAGGCTACTCTAACGAAGACAGCCCGGTGGACATCAGCTCCGACGAGAGCTGGTCTGTCCTTCAAAAGGTCTTCCTTCTTGGCGTCGTCGTTGCTGCTATCGCTGTCTACATGCGCATCAGCAAGGCCCGGGCGGCGAAGAACGACGTTGGGTACGAGAAGACGATGGCCTAAGTGTTAGTGGGGGTAAGCGGAAATGTTATCACAGTAGGCAAAGATTACAAGACAAGAACCGCCGAATAGGCTGGCAAAGAAACAACAATTATGGTCGAAAATATTCTCTGCGTGTATGTGCATGATGTTTAAAGTGAAATGTAGTCTGCTTTAGGTTGTTAAAGTTCTCCATGACAACAGTCCAATAGCTGTAACGCCCACATCTGAGAGCACATCACGTGTGGGGTCGCCGCCCAAAAAATTTCCTATGATAGCTAAAACTTCGACTCAAACAAGCGCCGAGAGAGAAGAAAAAAAAAAGAAAAAAAGAAACTTGCAAAACAACCCCCTTCCGCCTACTCCCGCCCAAAATGAAGCTTCTTAGCCTGAACTTTTTGACCTGCGCGGTCAAGGCCTGCAAGACCTCTACCGCCTCGTTCCCCCTCCATCCCAAGGACGCGGAGCTGGCGCAGGACGACATCGAGGTCAACCCCCAACTGCTGCTCAATGTCCTGCCCCGCTTAGACTGGGCCGCGCTGAGAACAAACGCGACTGAGGTATGTTCAAACGATTTTTTTTTTTTTTTTTTGGCCTTTGCCGGACGGTTGTTTGTCTCTGAATGAAGTCTAGCCATGTTCTCTTATGCTCTTCTCATGTTCATTTTTCATTGCATTCTCAAAAGCTCCTCAACCGTGCCATTTGTGCTTCGAATCAAATGGCCGGCAAGCCAGTTTTCAGCGCTTGGAATTTTTAATCTTCGGAGCAATGTGCTGATAAATACGCAAAAGTTGGGCTTCCCCGAACTCCCCGCGGAGCCCCCCTCGGCCGAGCAGCTTGAGGGTGACGAGAAGATGCTCAAGGACCTGCACCACCTGCTCATGGAGACGCAGATCATGGAGGGCAAGCTGGTCTGCGGCAACTGCGGGCACGAATACGCCATCCGTGAGGGCATCGCCAACTTTCTGCTGCCGAGTCACCTCGTCTAAGGCAGCAGCCTTTTTCACGAGAGGACATGAGTGAGGGGATCGATGAATGGATTTTCTTTTGAATGAGTCATCTGTGCTCACGACGACCTTGCGGGGCCAGGGAGGAAAGTGACGGAAGTGGCAAAGGGTCAAACGGGCGTTTACGGAGTTGCATATCATGAAGACATTGGGGAGGCGGCTAAGAAAAAGTCCATTTTATAGAATACATTCATGCCATTTGCGAAACACTACGAAGACCTCACAAAACCTTGCCAGCCCTTCGCTCTAATCATTTGATCCAGCTTGGACCTGTAACGTTTCTCCCCCTTGATTGAAACATGCCTATCAAAGCCAGCCGGTAACTCCCATAGTCTCAAACGAAAATACATGTCGCCGTGCGAAGCCTAGACAGTAGGCCTCGAGCGTAGTTGGTATACATCTAGTTGTTTTTCTTCTGAGCGGCGGGACCCATCTCTTTTTCGAAAGCCCCGTAAGGAATATCAAGGCTTGCGAGAGCCCTGATGCCGACTCCAAGGATGGAGAGGAGTAGGATGGTTGCCACCAGGGCGTGAAAGATGCCTTTCTTAAGGTTAGTGATTTCATATGATGAACAAGTAGAGTTTTGGCAGCATACCTGGAGTAAAGAAGATGTACTTCTCAAACAGGGGGCGCGTGTCCCTCTCAGTCTCGTTTTTGTCCTTGCGAGCGTGCAAGAAGCTAGCCTCATGGCGTTTCAACTCCGCGTGCAGGGGCTCTGTGAATTCGGCTTGGTAGGTAGCCTCAGAGGGGCTGGATAGGTAGATGACGGTGTACGAATCAGAATCTCCTTTCAGCTTCTCAAGGCTGTCGCCTAAAATATGATCGTTGTCGGCAAGCGTAGAGGCCCTCTGGCGGGGGTTGCGGCCGAGAGGCGCCAGCTTTGTCTGGTCGATCCGGAACTTCCTCTCGGAGTTGCTGCCGCATGTCTTCTGGATATACTCGGCAATACTGTCAGCCTTGACCTCGCCGACCACCTCAGCAACGCTATAGATGCCGCGGACGTTCTTGCCCGAGATAGCGCGGCACAGGTTGGGTGAGCGACAGTCGCCGCCATCGGGGCCACGAATGTCGGCGGCATTGGCGTTTGGCTGAGAGACAAGGAGGTAGTGGTCCGTCGGGCAGGAGGAGAGAATGTCCTGGACAGACTTGAAGACCTGGGATTCGGTTTGAAGTTGAGCCGGGTTGGAAGCGGACTTTGCGAAGCTGGGGATGTGAAGGTTAGTTGGCAAGCCAGAGTCGGGGGTTGTGTTGGGGGATAGACGTACTCTGCGGTCGAGAGCATAACGAAAGGAGAGGAGTCAGAGAAGGCTTGCGCGGTGGCGCAGAAGGCCATCAGGCCTGCTGTTCGTGATACACGCATGGCTGGCTGTTTGGGAGTTTATGTTCGAAGCTGAGCCCAGTCTTGGATGCGATGGCTAGGCTTAGTCGTGCTGCTGAGAGATGCGCTGCGGACTAGCTTCAATCGTCGACGTAGCTTGGATGTATGCGTGTAGGCGAAAATCTACGTAATCAGAAACGCATGGCCCCGTTTAGATGCATGTACCCTTGGAACCGTGAGCCTAAGCTAGTATACACACAAAGAGACTGTATCGAACCAAGCCGCGCTCTCGTTGTTTTTTTTTTTTTTTTTTTTTTTAAGAAAAGATATCGTTATAAATCTCCCAAGGCATATACTTTGGACGGACACCTTCTGGCGGCGATTAAGATAACTTCCTTCCCCCAACGGTAACTAGAAGAACCAAATCGATCACGGCACCGCCGATAGCGAAGTATATAGGTTGCCTCGGATCAGTCGTGTTCAGAGACGCTTGTTCTTACAAACAATGTGCCCTGGAGCACAAAGGCCAACAGAACCGGCCAATATTTGCAGACTCTGTATTTGCAACACACCCCATGCTTCAGGACTTGTACATGTGCTATACACACTAGAATGAACGTTAAGGAGAGGGTGAAATGTGTATTAAATTGGATATGCAACAGTAACTCATACTCCATGACCAGCTTCTTGATAACAATCAGTTGATGTTATCTCCTAATTGGCACCATGAGAGTTTGTTTGGCCTGGCTCTGACTGCCGGCTTGGAATGGAAGTGTCGCGCAGGGGCAGAAGCCAGTAAAGACAGTGCCGATGTCACTTGGTCTCACAGGCAGATGCACGCCTGGCGAGGTCCGTCCAGCGCATTTTAGCCCCTCGGCTTGGCCCACATCAGTGGACCCTACAGAGGCTGCAACAACAGGGACCTTACCGCTGACGCCCGGCCGAAGCGATGCAAGGCTACAAGTCGACCGTCCTAAAAATTTCAATTGAACGTACATAACCACCACCACGAACGAATCCGAGGCGGCAACCTTCAGTCACGACCACCATAAACCAACCATGTTCGCCAAACCTAGGGCCAGGAAGCTGGTGGCCCCCCCTCCATCCAAGAAGCGGAAGATCGTCTCCGCGGTTGAAGAGGTCAACTTTGACTTCGACGCACGCGAGGATTACCTGACTGGATTTCACAAGCGCAAGCTGCAGCGCGTAAAATGGGCACAGGAACAGGCGGCCAAGAAGGCGCGAGAGGAGAAGATTGAAATGAGGAAACAGGTAAGGATTTTTCCCCAGTTGCCTGCTGTTGCCTTGTTTCAGGTAGTTGATTCTAACGCATTGCAGATTAGGGAAGAGCGGCAAAAGGGTGTCGAAGAACACGTCAAGGCCGTTAACGCCTTGCTCGAAGAGGCACAGGCGGCAGACTCGGATAACGACCAAGAGATTCAGGCGGAAGATTTTGAGGAATGGGACGGCATAGAAGACCAGGGGCAGGAGCAGGCAGCGCAGGCAGACATCGTGGACTACGAAGACGAGTACATAGACGAGGATCGATACACTACAGTCAAGGTCGAGGCTATAGCTGTTACACGGGACGGGCTTGAGAAGCTCCATCGAGACAGCGACGAAGAGGCAGACAGCGAACATGAGGACAGAGCAGAAAGGCCTCTAGGCGATAAGGAGGCGTCGGCAGCGAAGTCTCGCAAGGAGTGGCCCAAGAAAAAGCCAAAGTTCCGCTACGAGTCGAAATTGGAAAGGCAACTGGGCGACAGGAAGGCAAAAGCCAAGAAGAAGGCCAGGTTCAAGAATTGAAGCAGGGTATAATCTTTCTCTCGCATTCATGCTGCAGCAGCTGCATGCCTAGGAAGTGCCTCACGCCCAGCGTGGTCCAACAAGTTGCTTGTGTAGTCCCCTTGATGTCTGTAAGGACCGAGGTATTTCAGGCAGAACAAAACTCTTGTTGACGGGGGTTACAAAAAAAGGAGTAAAAACAAGGCTGCTATAACTCGGTTGCGCACCGTCCCGTCACTTGCAAATCCACCGCTGATGGGATAGCTTGTTCAGGTTTCCCCCTAACGAGGTGATCCAGGCCATAAATCTATCATGAAGAAAATGCCTTGCACGAAATGACTCCCCGGCAGCGGCAAACTTAGATGTTGCCAATCTCGTTCTGGAAGTCCTCGAGCTCCTTCTGGACAGTCGTGTACTTCTTGGCCATCTCCTCGTACTTGGACTCCCACTGGTCGCGCTCAACCTCGAGAGCCTGGACCTTACGCTCGAAGTGGCCAGCCTTGACGTCGGTTTGTCGGAGCCTGCAAAAAAGACGGTGTAAGTAACGAGATGTGTTGGTGGGGCGGGTTTTAATGAACACGAAGAAGGGGTCGGGGGTCTAAGACTAGGAAAAGGGGGGATGGGATATTCGATGATTCGACAGGGCCTGGAACATACTTCTCGTTGGCTTCCCGAAGGGTCTTGTCCGCCTCCTCGGCCTCCTCCTCGAGGAGCTGGAGTCTTCGCTGAAGAGTCTCGTTTTGTGTGCCAGTGCTAGTGCTCTCGTCGGCAGCCTTCTTGAAGTCCTTAACTGCAGTCTCAAGCTTCTCAACCTCAGACTCGAGGAGACCGTTCTTGTGCTGGAGGGAGGTGATCTCCTGCTCCTTGGCCAGGTTCTCCTGCTCAAGGGTCTTGACTCTGGCCTGAAGCTCCTCGACCTTGGCGGCAGACTCGTCGGCCTCCAGACGGAGCGAGTTCATTTTCTGACGAAAGAAAAGAAGACATCGTCAGCAATGATTCCGCGTTGTCACCCTGCCCCTCCAGACCGCTGATGGCAGCATGGTGGGGCTCGGAGAAGAAGGGAATACTCACCTCCTTGATGCGATCCATGGTGATAAACTGCGAACAATGTATGTGATGTTGGGAAGACTTCGGTGCAGAAAGTGATTGCGATAAGCAGTTGTTGGAGTTGGGAATGAGACGGGTTCGGGTAGACGTGGAATTGCAAATGTCGGGGATGGAAGCGGGAGGAAAGGGTGTGAGGTGTTGAAATAACTGCCCCTCTACATGCAAGTTCGCTCCAACTGCGACCCGTGGCGGACCACCTCAGTACCAGCCAGCAGCACACCAGCAGCCAGGCCTGATCTTCACACGCTGAAAGGCAGCTGCAATTGGATTAGCTTTGGCACGGGCGGTGGGGTTGGGTCAGGTGGGGTGGGGATGTGGCACGGCGCAGGTCGTGGTGGCTTTCAGGAAAGGGGAACATTCTGACGGGGCTTGCCGCAGGGTCTGAGCTTAAGCGGTTCCCCGGACAACAGACCCCAAACAGACGGGTCTGTTTAGTAGCCACTTCACCTTTTCACGACGCGATAGCCTTGGACAAAAAAGCCTGCGACACGACGACGACGACGACACAACAATAGTCAACCTACGACGACGACACTCACCATACAATCACCGCTAAAAATTGCGATCATCGACTGTTCGCCCTTTGGCTCTAGGGACAATGCTGGCGATCCGTGACGAAAACGCAGTCAACGCAGCCCAGGCTGCTAGACTTGCTCCCGGAAAGAGCCAGCTGGCTCCCAAGACCCCTGGGGCTCGATACCCGAAAACACCTTTGAAGATCCCTCTCAATGACGAGAATGCCGTTGGGGCGGGCAAGACGGTGCTTGCACCCAAATCAAATGCGAATGGACCCATCCAGGCTTCTGCCAAGAAACAGAATCTTATTACACCCTCCGGTATGGCTCTGGAGCGGATGTCTAGGAAAAAGAAATTGGCTGATATTGTTTGCAGAAACACGAGCTCGCGCGCCACTGGGAAACAAGACCACCAACGCAAAAGCTAAGAGCAACCAGAACGCTGGCGTAAAGGATATCGTCAAGGAGTTTGAAAAAACCCAAACAAAGCCCACGACTACAAGGAAGCTGAAGCAGCGCTCTCCCAGTGCTGCACCCCTCAAGCTTGAAGTTCGCAACGATCAACCCGGTTCTTCTGAGGAACCTGATGTCGAATATGCGCCTCCACCTGCCAAAGATTTGCCCTACGAGTCGGATGTCATCCCCGATGGGACATTAACTTTTGAGGGTCTCAAACCCGAAAACATGCTCAAGGGATACTACAACCATTTTTACAATCCTCTGGGGGAAGATGGTATCAGACTACGCGACAGGCAACAGCAGGATAAGCTGAAGAAGGCGCTGAAGGAGAGCGACAACCGCATTCTACGCGATATTCGGGAAATGGATTGGTCGGTTTCTGACGTCCCTGAGACTGCTGCTTTCAGTCAGAGGAAGGCTCCTGTCCCAGCCCCTAATCCTGCTGTCGCTCGAAAGACTGTCGGGGGTGCTATCAAGTACCCGCCCACCATCGCTTCTCGCAGAGCTGCGTCGGCACTGTCGATGGCTACAGGCTCTACCATTAAGCAGAGGAAGCCCGTGGAGCAGAGCACTAGCGCCAGGAGACCTATTTCCGCCTTCCTTCCCCGAACTAGGCCTGCCAAAGCGCCCCTAACTTCTAAGTCTACAAACGCTGAGAGTGCTGTGGGAGAAGCCGCATCGAGGAGCACTCTGGGCTACACAAAAGGACGCTCAGCCTCATCCCTTGTCAGCAGACGCGCCAGAACCCCTACGACGGCACGAACTGTATCGACAGATATTGTGACCATTGTTCCCCAAAAGTCTGTGGCTAGGCAGGAAGCGTCCCCCCAGAAGCGGAACATTGGTGAAGAAGATGCCCAGGATCTAGGTCGCCTCCAGTTTCTTTCAATTTTTGATCATACTGGAGATGAGGATGATGGTATTCTTGGTGGCTCCGGTCCACGACAAGAGGACTTTGAGGATGAGGAGTTTGAAATGAAGCTAAGCTTCTAACTACTAGACTGCTTAGATGGCGTTTGGGCATGATCACTCTCTTTTGTGGAATTCTGACGGAATGGCTATGGATTAGAAGGCGTTTGGATGGCATCGTGAGCCGACAATATCACGCCTTTATGGGACACTGAAGTCGAAGGGTACCTCGGCCCTGCAATCAAGACTCGCACGCTTGTATTTATTATGTTGAGACACTGTATGACATATCGGCAGGGACAGCAGACGATGATGGAGACGGGGTTTGTGCTTTGACGAAAACCGCAGCTACTTGTATTCAGTTGCTTGCCAGTTTAATCTTGACGACATTGTCAATGATAGTTTCGAAGTGATTTTAGCGGTTTGCTGAAGTTCAGTGCTAGGCTATCAACAAATGAGTATCAAAGGATCTTGCAATGCTCAGGCAACTAAAGCCAGGCCCCTCATTGGTTCACTAAGACGAAAGTAACGGGGTAGCTTTGCTCACTCCCCTGTCGCTTTGCTGTCGAGACGCGCGAAAATTGGCGGGTTTCCGACGCGACCTTGTCACGTGCCAGCTGTCATACACTAACAAGCCGAACCCCACTCCGAAGCAGGTACTCAGTACCTAATTTTCGGTGCGAAGTACCTCTTGCGCAGCACCCCAAACGCAGCACCCATGCGTAACGGTGTACTCTCGCCTTGTTCCGTGGCTGGGTCTCCGCCTAAATCGCATCCCTGAAAGAGTTTGGACACTCTTCAACCACCAACTTTCTGACCTCACTGTTCAATTTCTTCCAGCCTCACTGTCCGTCGATCGCATCGCAACAGTTAAACGCCCTCATTTACGAATCAGCGGGTTGATTGCATCGAAGCTGGCCCTTTTGCGACTGGGCATCTCCTTTCTTGGCTGACGCAGTTGGGCTCTTGCCCCCTTGCGGACCAACCAACCGCCCGTGTCGGTGTCGACACCTCGGTCGCGTGAACTTCGACATCGCGCATCTGCCTCCCGCCACGCTCCTGCTGCTGTTGTCTCCAGCGATGCCCCTTGCTGTCTGAAAATCCGACACGCAAGAGATGATGGTCGGTTGCAGGCGGGAGTGGTAGAGACAGATACACCTCACGATGACTCGCCAATCGTCGGCGAGCTTCGCACAATTCTTTCCCACCGCACCGCGTGCAGCTCGGGACAGGGCTACGGAACGAGAAAGAGCCAAGGCAAAAACACAAGATTCTCCTAGCGGCATTTTTGGTGGCCAGAAGAACAACGGCATACAGTCCATCAACGGCACGAGCATCGGAGCTTCATCTGGTACTGATGGCCTGCCTTCCGATTCCTCTCAGCAGCCGACCGATGGCCATGAGTCGCCCTTAGGAGATACACTCAACGCCATTGGATCTGCCAGCTCTTATGCGAGCACTGGCTCTTCAGTCTTTAGCTCATCTGCACGGCAAGCCGTTCCGAACGGCTCATCGCTCATACCTACAACCAGCGGCACGCCGCTCACCTCTATAGAATCACCCTCATCCTTAGGCAATGCTGGCCTGCCGAAGACGAATATGGTCCACACTCAAATCATCGATCGGGATGAGGCATCGGTCTCTCGCAACACCCCGTTATCCCGCCTGAATAGCTCTCTCTCGGAGCCCTCACCCATTGAGCGCATTCCTGCGCGAGATCCCTCACGATCGCGAAAAGGCATCAAATGCATATATGATCCATCTAACGACCGGAGCCTATCGAAACATAACAAGAAAGATGCCAAGCCAATATATAAGGACTTTGGATTGGTACGTGCAAATATAATATACCCACCCGTGGAGGGGGAACGTCATCTTTTGTGTGAGAGCTATGGCTAATAAACTGAGTAGGAAGATGACGCTCCCCCTCCAGACCCTCGCCTTGCTAAAGGCGGGCGTTTGGGGTACATCAATACCGATTTCCACCTTCCAAAGTCTCGCCTGCGTCAATCACCATACAATCTGAGGCCGTATCCGTACGATTCCAAAACGTCAATCGGTCCAGGGCCGCCCACGCAAATTGTGGTGATCGGGTTCAACCCACTCATTACATTTTCCAAAGTAACAGCTGCGTTTGCGACCTTTGGTGACATTGCAGAGAGCAGCAACAAAATGCATCCTGAGACGGGCAGCTACCTTGGTTTCGCAACGTTTCGATATAAGGATGCGCACCCCAGCCGCTCGAGGCCCACACCAATCAAGGCCATTGATGCCGCACGTCGCGCTGTTAAGTCCATGCACGGGCAGCGTATTGAGGCGAATCAGATTCGGGTGGAATACGACCCCGAGGGCAAGAAAAGTCGTCGCATGCTAGAGGAAGCCCTCAAGAAAGAAAGAGCCTCAGAAGCTGCGATGTCCACTGCGAAGCCGCCGCCAACGGGGCCGCGAGCTGTCTTGTCCGATAAAGTCCCTGGGCCTCCGCCGCTTGCACCAAAAGGCCCTTCCTCTCACAGGCAGGCAGTAGCCGGTGTGCCCCCATGGGTACCCAGTCAGCCAAAAGGGCACGTTGCGATTGAAGATAAGGCAATTGCGAAGCAGCTTGCAGGCGAGCCATATGTGTTCGTAGCTCATGAGCACGTTCCTGTCATGGTCACAACCATTCCGCATATGAAGAAGCGTCTCAAAGCGTTCGCTTTCGACGACATTCGTATTGACCGGACTGGTTACTTTATAGTGTTTCCCAACTCACTGCACGGCCGTAATGAGGCAATGAAGTGTTACAGAGCTGCCAATCATACCGACCTGTTCACGTACAACATGGTGATGCAGCTCTATCTTCCACAGACCTCTAGTCGAGACTCCGAGTCAGCAGCCCCTCCCCCCCGCTCAAGACGAACTCCGAGCCCCGAACGGAAACGTCGAACCGATTTACGACTGAGAGAGGATAAAGACCGACGTCGCCGTGAGGAGGAGGCCGATATAGAGGAGGAGAAGCGACAAAGAGCCAAGAACTTTGACCCTGTCATGGAGGCTTGCGATGTTGTCGCTCGAGAGTTGGCGGAACATCTAATCAAGCATATCCGAACGAGAGTTGCTGTTCCTACTCTTACGTCCTTTCTCAACCCTTCAAATCATGTTGCTATGCGACGCAAGCTCAATTTGGAAGATCCAGCTGGTTCGGTCCCGTCTGTTACAGTGGACGCTGGCGACGAAAGCCCTGGTGTCGACACTCCAAACTCGGGTGCAGACCCTATCGAGCGTCGCACTGGTCGGTTAGAAATTTCATCTCTACCTCGTATCCGCAAGGCAAAAGCTACCGGCCAAGGGGCGCGTAATATCGGCTTCATGGACCCCTTTTCACGCAAGCGAGCGTCGCAAGGCCGTGGTGCCTTCAGATCATTGCATCATCGTTTAAAGAGCTACGACAGTGATGCTGAATCCGACGAGGAGGTCGAAATTAGAGATGTGGCGCGGGATACAGAAGAGCCTGATTCTCGACCGCGTAGTCGTATGAGTACGGATGATGATGTTTCCAAGGACGACTTTGCCTCATGGGGTCCTGCTGAGGAAGACTCTATGACAGAGGCAAGCTTTGCCGTTGGTGAGGGATTAACTTCGACGAAGAAAAGGAAATTAGATCTTGAGCTCCAGTCAGCCATCAAACGCCAGAAGAAGTCCGACGAGGAGCTCTTTGGAGTCACACTGGACAACATTCAACCCGAGCTGCCGGTTCATGAGATCTCTGAAGATGCTGCCCTTGACATCGACATGACTGATGTGCGAAGTGAGACTCGCTCTGAGACGCCCGCACTCTCAACAGCGAAGGGTCCAACGAAGAAGTCGAAATCGAAGAAGAAATCAAAGAAACAAATTTTTGAGGAACGCGAAGCGCTGAAGAAGCAGCAAGCTCAAGCCCAAGCTGAAGCCGAAGCCGAGACGGAAGAGGAAGACTCGGCTGCCACGACATCTCTACCAGAACCAGTTGAGCCAGTGCCTGTGGAGAAGAAAGAAGAAGATCCTGTTCTTAAGCCAACAGTAGTGGACCCTACCTTGTTCTCGACTACGGTCACGTCAGCTCTTGATCTGTCATCTGACTTCAAGCTCGACATCTCAGCTTTACAGGAATTGTCGCTTTCTGCAGCTGATAGTCCAGACGTTTCCCGGCTCAGGAAGCGGTTTGGTGGTGCAGATCTTGGAGATCCCCTTCTTTGGTTGTGGCGGCGTAACCGTGTACGGGAGCTCAACTCCCAGAAAGGAACTGTCGACCAGGCCGTTGGCATCGAGGGCTACTACGTTCCGAACCCCACCGGATCTGCAAGAACTGAAGGCGTCAAGAAGATCCTTAACGCCGAAAAGTCCAAGTATCTACCACATCACATCAAGGTCCAGAAGGCTAGAGAGGCACGGCAAGCACGGTACAAGAAAGATGGCAAGGATGCCGCAGTCGAGGCTAGCAGGCTCGCTGTTGCAGAAAAGGTCGTGGCCAAAGGTAACTCGAGGGCCAATCGCGCCAATAATCGTCGACACGTGTCAGCTCTTCAGGATGAGAAGAAGATGTCTGGCGATTCTGACGCCTTTAAGTTCAATCAGCTTAAGAAGCGGAAGAAGCCGGTCAAGTTTGCACGGTCTGCCATCCACAATTGGGGTCTCTATACGGAGGAGAACATCAACAAAGACGATATGATAATTGAGTACGTCGGTGAGCAAGTGAGACAGTCGATCTCGGAGATTCGGGAGAAACGTTATTTGAAGAGCGGTATGGGTAGCAGTTACCTATTCCGTATCGACGATAACACGGTAATTGATGCCACTAAGAAGGGTGGCATTGCTCGCTTCATCAATCACAGCTGTATGCCCAACTGCACCGCCAAGATCATCAAGGTGGACGGAAGCAAGCGAATCGTCATCTATGCCCTCCGTGACATTGGGCAGCGTAAGTCACACCATAAATACTGAATACATAGGGTGCGAGCTAACTCTGTACAGACGAGGAACTGACGTACGATTACAAGTTCGAGCGTGAAATCGGCAGTTTGGACCGCATTCCCTGCCTTTGTGGTACGGCGGCGTGCAAGGGGTTCCTCAACTAATCCTGGTTGCTTCTTTCCGGTGTTTTTGGTGACAAACGGGTTATCTGCATACGCCCTCTGTATGTTTATGGAGCCTGGTTGCGTTGCAGGGGTAGGAACTCAACTTCTAGAGCCGTTTTTTTTTTTTTTTTTGCGAAGGGCAATCGTCGGCGGTGGTATTTCCGTCGTCTCTCATTTGTTCACTCGACCACACGCATACCCCTTGGATCCGTCTTTTGCGTTTATATTATATGCATAACAACCGAGGCCGGGTAAGGGAAAGGAGACGAAGCTTTTGGGCAAAGGGCGGGAAAAGTGTACTATGAGTTATTATCCGCGGTTGCGGGCTTCGGCGTTCATTTTTGGGTGGGGGAAGAAGGGTTATTCGAACCGGCACCAAGGCCAAACAGCAAGCTAGTTACGCGGTGTCTTCCTTTTCGACGATGGAAGCGGAAAGGGGAGAAGGAAAAGAGAGGCTCTGGTGCCCAAGTTTCGGCCAGGGTGCGTGAGAGCAAAATCATCATCTCTATGTAATCCGGGCGTATATCACCTCAATGTACATATTGCGAAAGAATCCGGCATTTGGTGGACTAGTGAATGTCCCAGCCAATTACCGGGAGACTGCTTATTAATATCAATGGCGCTTGATCCCTATGAATGTTTCTATTGCTGTGTAGTTGATGCTGGCATGGACGACTTTGCCAGACTGACGTTTCTGACGAAAGAGCTCAGAGGGTATAACGGTCCGCTGAAGTCCATGTCGTACCTATGCAAGAGGTGAGACGTTTTGTCGGCCGAGGGACCGCAAAAAGACTTACCAGTAGTTGACTGCCAACACGAAGCCCTCGCCGTCTTCCGGGCATGATTGTGATACCTTGTGATACCACATTGCTGGGAGATAGAGCATATCGCCCGGTTCAAGAGTGACTCTGACAGGCTCGGCAAGGCGAGAATACGATGTAGCATTAAAGCCGGGTAAATCGGGGTCCCACGTTGCGAAGGGAACCTGGTCCTGAGCTCTTGACGTGTCGTTTTTCTCGCTTCCTCCATCATTATTCTCCCTGCCACCATCAGCAGCGTCGATGTTGTTCTGATCAAGTTCCAGTACCAGATCGCGGGCACCGTCACGGCGGCGATAAGTCGCAGACGTCAGCATCTGCTCATTGACGCATGGATGGCACAGCGGCGGAAGAAGAACGAAGTGTTTGCGGCCGCGGACCTGAACGTAAATATTCTCATAGTTGTCTTTGTGTAGGGCTGTGACGGAGCGGGAGTTGCCTATCCAGAGGTTTATGGCGTCGGGGTCACGATCAAGGGCGATGCGGGCAAAGGGAATCGAAGAAGGCACATCGGTGAAGAGAGGGAGATATTCGTTACGGAGATTGTCATTTTCTATGTTAATGAGCACGTGTGATTTAACATGGGGTATAAGAGCGGGTGTGAGTGTGAGGGGAAGGAAGTGAAAGTGGAATACATACGAGTCTGAGCATAACGAACCTCCGACGTCGTGTCCTTGCTTCGTTCTTGATCGATGACATAGTTGAGAAACTCTTCAAAATTTTCATCTTCCTCATGAGGCTTTGCGAAGACAACGTTCCCGTCGCCATGTTGGGTTGGCGCATCGGCGTTGCTTGAGTGTGTTAGTCGACATAGATGAGATTAATGTATTTTTACAGTACTAGGTACTAAGAATTCCCGCACTCACCCGAACGGCGTCACTGCGACATTGACGGTCTGGCCCCTAAAGGAATTTAAGAGGAATTCCTTGTCCCATGTCTTATTTGACTTCCAAGAGGAGGCTGCGCCGCGGACGACGAAGGGAGTATTACGGGCGACATAGCGCATGAACTCGAGCGGACTGGGTTCCTCGTCCAGCTCATCAACAAAGGCGACATTGAGTTCACTGTAAGTTGTGATGAGCTCAGTCATCGGGTCTCCTAGACAAGGCGAAGTCTCTGAATTCATGATCCCGGGCGTCGGCCGTACAGGTGGTGGCGCATGTATGATGGTGCTGATGATGAGTGTGAGTGTGACGGGGGCTGTGGTGGCATGACTAAGACAGAGTGGGTGTAATTTGGGGTTTTGGGTTGTGAGTGAGATTTACGAGGGCTACATGTACGGGCGAGGAAACGACAGCAACAGCTGGATCTGGGTGGCTTCAACTAAGAGATCTCGCTTGTGCAATGGAAGCTACATGTTCTCTTTTAACTTATGTTGGCTTGCAGTAGAAAATACATTATCAACAGTGGTCTGCCGAGGAGAGACCATCAATGTTTCACGGTTCAAAGCCATGCCACCTGGACCCCAAGACTCGTCCCACAGACGCACGTGTAGTACTGCGAAGCAGCCTCCGAAACGATCCAACAGAAGAGCACGACAGAGAAAAGAAAGGACCCTTGAATATGCTAGACTGGGAGAAGAAGGAACAATGTAACACGCACACGCGGGTGAATACGCGAATGCAAGGGTATCATTGGATTTACTGCGTTAAGGATACCCGAAGAGACGGGGGTGGTAATGAGGGACGGGAGGACGAGGGTTGGAGGGGGAGGGGTCTCGGAGGTCTCAATTGGTGGTGCGAACCGCACAGGGCGGCGCAGGGCCAATCAGAGAGGCGGCCCCAGTGGGAAATGGCCTGACTTTAGCATCAACTGGGCTGATTATGATGGCAGTATTGGTGATTTGAGCGAACACACCGCACCGAGTAATCACATTTGCCGTGGGCCAGTGTAGCCTTGCTGCAAGATTGTCCATCTGATTAATTATAGATAAGATAGATCAGATCCGGTGCCGTGGAAGTGCTGGGCTGGTTAGTTATTTATGATGGCCCATCGCCCTGCTTTTTTTTTTTTTTTTTTTTTTTTTTTACCCTTTGAGAGAGCTGGCGGCTGGCGGGAGCTCCCCTCCGACTTTTCAGTTGGTTGTTCTTTGGGTTGGAGCCAACAAATCGGCCACAGCAATATCGTCAATAACGGCAAGAACAGCGACAACTGTTCTCAATCAGATGGGAAGTTGCTCCGTATCATTAAGAAAATCGACCAGGAACCAGACAGAAAACCCCAAAGCTTTGGTTTAGGTTATCGCAAGCACCTTCACAATACGCATACAAACCACCCACCCAAGAATCGCAGTCGCTCTGCAACCAACCGTGCTACGTTGTTTTCGCCTACTGCCCACATTCCAGAAGAACATAGGATGACGACGAGATTCACCAATAAGCGACTAGCGGTTGTGTGTCTGGGTCATTCAGCTATGTTGCCATCTTGTCCAACCTCCCGGTTCATCTACGACAGCATGACGGATTGCATACTTGCAAGTTAAGACATGGCTTTGATTTCGCTCAGTACGCACGCCGCGTGCAGCAGCAGCAGCAGCGACAATGGTTGTGGGCAAGTCCGTCGGGGGTTTGTTTCCTACCCAGCTGTTGACCTGGCGGATTGAGGCACGTTTTGAGCTGGACGGACCAGATGTCAAGATGTGCGCCCGGTAGCTCCATCACGCACCATTCCTCTCCCTCGTGGCTAATCCTAGCGCCGTTCGAGGTTTGCTGAAGGGTGAACGCACATACCAGACTCGGTACCACAAACAAAACCTCGCGGCTTGACCTCGCAAACATACATTATCTGTGTGTATGCTGGATTACTCTTCCCGGGACTGTCGAGACCCTTTACAGTTTGCTGATCTTCAAGCGAAGACGAGTCAACAGCAGGACGAAGCAGGATGAGAGAGCGTCGACTGGACCCAAGTGCAGAAACCCTGCGTCAATGCTTCCCCGCCCGATGCTGCAGGCAGACCAGATGGGTCAGAGTTTCTCCTTGTCTAGTTTGGCCACGTACAGGAACAGCCACCACACGTTCCTATTGTCTCTCCGGCTCTGGAAAGACGAGTAGTCCTAGTGGACGCCAAGGTCGGGCGATTCGACGCCTCCGAGTATGTCTCTTTCTTGTGCCCTACACCCTGTCCCGTCAACCCGATCTCCGAGGAGGGAGAGACAAGATTTTGTCTTTGGGTTTTCCCCTTCAACTTCTGGAATATCCTAGAAAAACCTTTCTAGGTTTAATTGTGCTGTTTGAGACCCGCACATCACTGGCGGTTTTGGACCACTAGCTCGAAGCGTACTCTCTTCGAAAAATATGCCAGTCGGTCCGGGGAGGTGAGGGGTTTCTCAATACACGAGAAACTTGATGAGGTAGAAGCAGAGGCAGACGCGACGCAAGCCTGTGCGTTCCTTGCTTCGCTTTTCATCTCAGGATTCCCCTACTCGGCTGTTTGACTTTGCTACCCCAAAATAGCCAGCTTACCCAACCTTATTTTGCTTCCTCTCCGCCGATGTCTCCGTCATCTCTACCTCGGCCTAGAGTAGTCCACTCTATCGGGAGGAGTGGGTCGATTGAGGTCTTTTTTTATTATTATCTATTTCTTGTGTTCTTGATTTGCCTTGCAGCCTGGGCTGGGTAATGTATAAGAAAGTAAGTACCTAGGCTTGCCTGGTTCTTTTTATCGGCCTCTTTGATACAGGAGCCTCTAGGGCTTTTGTCTTAGTCTCCGTCCACAAGTTGGCAGCTAGATAGGGCCTGAAGATGTCGGTGTCAGTGCTCGGCGTCAAACTGGGAAGGGTCGGGGCTCGCTCTAGTGGGCGATCCCCTCGCAGACACACGACGTCTCTAGCTTGGCGGCAGCGCTAAAACACCCCTCGCTTGGCTCTCTAGCGGCCTCTTTGCACGCCAGAACAGTCATGGGCAGCGGGCCAAGTCCGCACCGTGGTTGGCGCGTTGCGGCAGTACCAGGGGCCCAGGTCTCACTGGAGTTTCCTGCTCATCCTCGCAGGGAAGTCGTCCCATGTTCCCCGACACACCACGCCATGGGCGCCGGCAGAATCCACCCTCCTTCAGTGGGACTTTCTGTCGACCGGTGGGTGTCGTCGCCCGTCTACAAGCAGGTACCGCAATGCCACTTACCGCGCCAGAGCCTGAGGAACGCCCTGCAAGCTGTGTTACGCCAAGGTACACATCCACTAGCTAGGTAGGTAGTAGTGGTTGGTGTGGGCGTGTGTGCGGTTGCCCCCTCCTGCACGCTGCATCATACCTCCCCCTGTTCTGTCCGGTCCTGTCAGGTCCCCTCTACCCGCCTGTGCTTGCTACTCTACCGATCGACACTTGCTGAGGTCCCTCATCGCCTGCCGGAAGTTACGCCATTCTTCTTTCAATACCATTCAGTTCTTTCTCTCTCTCGCCTTATCAACCCAAGCTCACCCAAGAGACATTCCCCCTCTCAAAACCGTATTTCACCTTGTCTTGGCCGCATATCAACCTCCGCACCCTCCTGCCGCCTTGCCTCTACCCACCCGGGTTCTCGAAAGAGACTGATTGCAACCCCCCCGACCGTAAACCTGCGACTGCACCGCAACGCCGAGAACGACAAACACCCACACCAACAGCGCCCCGGCAAGAAAATGCATCTTTCAATTGATTCGCCCCTCACCTGCGACTAACACAATTTCCACAACCGACTTCCAGCAACCAGCCCAGACTAAGAAATTTAGTCTCGTTCCTGTTTGTCCTAAGCTCCATCGCAGGTGCCCGCCGCCGTCGTTCCACTTCGCTCATCTTCGTCCTTCTTCCCGACCGACGGACGTCGAACCTACCGACCACGGCCCATCTCCCCAGTCCGGCTCCTATACACAACTAACAGCCGCCCCATCCCTCCCCCCTCCTTGGGGCGCATTGATTTCAAAAGCTTCCACCCTCCCAATCCCCAGTTTCAACTCATTCTCCAACCAGCGTCTCCCCGGTCCGTCTCCATGTTCGATTAGTCTGGCCCAGCCCGAAATCGTCAAATCGAACCATGAGGGCAGCATCCACCTCCTGCAGGCCTACAACAATATTCCGTGCAGCAGCAGATCAACCTTGGATGGATCACGCGCTCGTCTGAGCCACGTCTGCTCTTGCAACCACATCTGCCGTTTCCTCTGCTGCCGCTGCTGCAAGTCCACTTGCAACCGTCGCCGCAGATGATTTGGTATCTGCTGTATCCTTTGCGAGGGTAAGAGCTGTCGTCCCCTTCTCCCCTACCCGACACGGTTCGTTGTGGGGAAGCTGCCTGATTGCGCATGTCCTAACTTACCTAGAACGACGGAAGCTCCTGTCCTTGCCCCGACGCATCCTCTCTGCCGAGCCTTCGCGAGATACGGCCGATACGCCGCGAGACACGTCGTAACAACACTCCTTATATCCGTCGCCGTTGCCGCCATTCTCATTTACCCATTTCCGTACCTCTACACCTCAGATCTAAGCAATGGCGCTTCCAACCTACCCCATCATGTGTGGACTGCCGCGCAGCCGCTCAAGGAAAACAGCACCGAGCCCGATGTCATAATGCGTTCGATATGGGTTCATGGCAGTTATATGAAGGCTTTGGAACGCGATGTCTTGCTCGGCGCCCTCGAACTGCAAGACGAGCTCCTTGGTTCCACTAAAGACTTCAGTCCGCGCCGACCCGTCTCGACCCTTCGTCGTCTCCACGACCCTCTTGTAGATCTCACTCCAGGAGACCGGGATGCTTTTCATGTCGTCAACGGCCTCACAAATCAATCATGGTTTTTTCACTCGCCTTTACAGTACTGGTCGTGCTCTCAAGAGCGCATATCAGCAGATGAAGATATTCTTTCTACCGTCAACGCGAGGAAAACCCAGCCAACCTCGGTCAATGTTACACTGCGGCATTCGATTGTTTTCAGCGGCAAGCGCTTCGAAGATCGAAAGCTCATGGCTGCTGACGCTTTGGTGATAACCCTAATTCATCTTCGCGATTCCCCCGTTGGCCGTCAATGGGAGAGGAAGGCCGAGGCTCTTGCTACTCAGATGAAGGACAAATGGACGGCGTATCCTGCCGACGGAAGAAGCATGACCAGCCAGCTTTACGAGTTCCAGTTCATGCCCATCTCCGTTCAGGATACGGTGATTCTGGCGCTTGCATACGGTCTGGCTTCTGTCTACTTTTTATTTAGCCTCTCTAAGCTGAGAGCTGTGAAGTCCAAGATTGGGCTGATAGTGACGGTTTTCGTTCAGATCGTTGTGTCCATCATGTCGAGCTTCACAGTATGCGCCGTCTTCCGAGTCGATCTTTCAGGAATTCCGCAGGCAGCGTATCCTGTTGTTGTCCTCTCTATGAGCCTCGAGAACATTTTCAGGCTCATTAATGCCGTCATATTGACCCCTTCGGAAAACAGCACGAGCAGTCGGATTAGTCGCGCGTTTGGTGAGACGGCACATGTCGCCTTGGCTAGCTCGGCACAAAACGTCTTGATTCTATGGGGCTTATCTCAAATTGTCTCACCTGGCGTTTCCGCATTTTGCACTTTTGTATCCGTTGCGATTGTCTTCGACTTCTTCTATTTATCCACCTTTTTCTTGGCTGTTCTCAGCGTCGACGTGCGTCGAACGGAGCTTAGCGATGCTCTCGCCAAGGCCTCATTAAAGAATAACAGGTATGGACAGGAACAGCCCCTCAAGACAAGCTGGTTTGAAGCCATGCTTCAGGGGAAAATTGCCTTGTCTACCCGTATTGCCGGTACTGTCATCATGATTACGTTTGTTCTGATTGCGCAGTGGCACTTTTTCGAGAACGATACTGTCGCTCGACTTGTGCTTGGGATATTCAGAATGGGCAGGAACAGCGTCAACTTCAGTCCGCAGAAAGACACAATGCTTATCGATATTCACCAAGCACGTAGCCCAACATCGTGGCTTCGACTACAAGACCATGAGAGCGCTCGCGAGGTTATCAACGTCATCAAGCCGCGGTCTCACAGCTACATCGCGCGCGTCTACGACCCACTAGTTTTTGTACTCAATGGTGCTGATCGCACCCCGCGCATACCTGAGCGACCTCTGCTGCCAGCCCTTTACGATTTCATCAATCATCACTCTAAGCATTTTTTGGTCACAGTTCTATTCATCATCTCAGCTGTCCGTCTCCTTATGAACTACTTGTTGTGGGGAGATGATGCGGATTCGAGACGGAACGACGACATCGGTGACCAGCCTCTCCTAGCTATCGACACGTTGCCAGAGGAGCACTCACTTGATGTGGTTCTCATGTCATCTTCGTATGACGGCCACATCATATCCGTCGGACTTGACCGCGCGATTCGGGTGTGGGACGTCCGGTCCGGTATACGGGGCTACTCGCTGGCGGATGTCAAACCACCACCGGAGAACCCTTTCCCCATCTTGGCTGTTGCAACAGATAAGAAGTCTAACTGGTTGGCTCTCCTGTCAGCTCGCAAAGTTTTCCTATGGAACATGCTAGAGCATCGATGGAGCCTGTCGGTACCAGTCGATTTAAACGGCCAGAAACCCGAAGGTTTCTTTTTTGGCGTCCCAACATTCGAACACCCTAGTCCGTTAGTCATTGTGCGGCGGAATGGGACAATGACGCAGATCTTCCCGGGTATGAGAGAGCCCATGGAATTTACCATCTGGAAAAGTCCCCTTATATCTGTCCGGCCGCTCGTGCAGAAAAGTGCACCGAATGGAAACTCGCAACTATCCATACTTACTGCATCGAGGAAAGGCTGCATCCACGTCGCAACCCACCAGGAGGACGATACGTGGATATCGCAAAGCCTTGACGTCCACTCTGTGGAAGATCGAGACGCGTATCAAGTTGTACCGCTCTCTGCGCTTAGCTCGTTTCTGATTGCCAGATCTCAGACGGTAGATCTTGTTGACGCGAAGACCAAGAACTTGCTCCACACATTTGAAACCGAACCCATCCAGCCGCGGTCGCTAAGGTGTTTCCACTCTTCACGACGCAAACCTCAATGCGGATCGGTTGGACTTGTGTCATTTGGTATCGCGTACAACCACGCCGACTCGGGCGACTGTATCATGCAGACTTACACTTGCAAAGAGGATGGAGATGTCATCTGCTTCCGGAGTACGAATCTCCCACCGAGTCGCAGTTGCTCATTGTGGCATGACACAATTGAGACGAAACGACAGATCCATAACCCGGGCACGTGGGAAGCGCTGCCTAACGGCTTTCTCGTAGGTGTTCGGAAAGATGCACAAGACAGCGGATCCAGCAGTGGTGAGTCGTCTCCCACAACCACCAGTGGACTCCGGCGCAGGATGTATCAAAGGCTTGAAAGGCGGCCCAGTAGATCTCAGGACAATTGGGAAGTTTGGATCGCCTCACAGCTGGGGCGAGATGAGATATACGAAACCCAACCGCTTCATTCAGAAGACGAGAACGGCTCTCACCTTATCATCTCTGAACTTGGTCCCATGGTCAAAGTCGGCACGGCGTCAGTCGCGGTGGGATTCGGAAACATTATTAAACTGATTACGGTTGGACATCAGCATTTCGAGGACCTGGCAGAAGGGGAAAACGGAGACCTCTTGAACTTAGGGAGCCGGCGGAGGAAGCCAGCAGGCGCTACGCATGCACGAATGAAGGTCCCATCCTGGAATTGAAAATGAGCGAGAAAAGGTGCAACTAAAGGGAGCGTACGATGAATTGGGCGGAAGGCTGCCGTCCTTTTACTTCTCATTACTATCTTTTTTTTTTATATATACCCCGGATGACAAAGGGAGTTGGGACTTTGTTTTAGGTGTTCATTTTTGTCTAGTCTACTTTGATACCCGTCATAAGTTGGCGAGTAGGGAATCATTAAACCAATTCGCAACATGGAAATTTTGCAAATCATACTCGCCTGCTAGTCTGGTGTGTTTTGTTCGTCATCGTTTTTTGGATTGAGTGGATAGCGTGAGCCCAGATTAGTTAGTCAGTAAGCTTGCGGCTCTTTCAACTTTGTCAAAGCAGGGTATAGTCTAACATTCGCTACATGAAAGCTGGACGACGGGCAATATCAAGCTGAAGGCGCATTGTATCTATGCAATAAGCTAAAGTCTATAAGTCTCTGAGATGGTCACTGATGTGCGATTGGCCAGGTTAAGGCTGCTGCCACGGGTTTCTCTACACATTGGCTCCTTCTTCAATGGATTGGTCTATTGACACAACTTCCTTCTTAGACGACCAGAGTATGCTTCACAGAGTGTCTGGCGTGGCAGCCAACAGGCCGCCAGTTCTGCCGCGTTTCCCACAGTTACTTCAGGAAGCCAATGGGGTTCATTTGTATTTAAAGGTCACTGTTCTTTCTCCTTTATGAGGGCGCTATCAATACCGCTCTTGCACGATATGTGACCAGTATTAGCTGGTAATGTGCATAACTCAGTGGACGTGATGTGATATTCATATCTTGGTAACTGTACGGGATGACAAGAACGAATGTACTATAGCTCCACGGCACCCGAGTCATCGACAACTTGAGGCGAGGCCCTTGCATAAAAGCCCCCTACAGCATGAGTTCTATTCTCAGAATCAAAGAGATATGAGCGACGCATGTATCTACGGGGCTCTACGATTCAAGCGGGATGGCATCCATACTGGACGCCCCGGCAGACAGTTACCCGGGACCAGGACCGGGACCACCGGGTGTCGTCAATTTATACATCCGCCTCGATCTCCCGAATAAAACAGCGCCAACATTTTGTTTCAAACCCCCACATAAACACAAAAGTAAGAGAGAATGGGCTAGATCTTTACAAGCTAGCGATCGGCTCGCAAATTATGATAGCCTCTTCAAGTACACTGTGCACGATTTATAGTTCATCTGCCTGGGCAGGAACGGGAAGATGAGGCCGGGGGGGATTGGGCAGAATATTTTAGAATACCGCGAAAAACTTTCAGCGTAGTATACGTGTTGTGGTTCCCTGAGATTATCGTCATGCTCCCCAGCCCGAAAAAAAAAAAAAAAAAGAACAACAAGAAAAAGCAAGACCACCCCTCCCCCGGCAAGAGGAAGGGGGAGGGGCGTATTGTGGGCAAAAGGGTACCCCAACATGCACGACATTTTGCTCAGTGGATCGTGAAGATCGCCATTTCGGGTGTTCACGGATGGACCCGAGTTTACACGCATGGCCAGATCGAGCAAGAGGGCGTATGGTCTCGAGAAAAAAAAACTGAAAAGGGGAATTGATCGTATAGGGGAGTGTATTCTTGCTCTAGACCCAGTCTAGCCAAAAGTCTAGCTTTTTTTTGTACTCGAGTTATTAATAAACACTTTTATAACGAGATGTCTTGGATACCTTGTCCATCATCGATGTATATCGGGCCGGGAAGCGAGCACAGCATGACACATGGAACATCTGGGAGGACCCTCTCTAGACGAGCTGATCTTCAGAATGGGGGCCGAGCGAGGAAGATACGAGATGCGAGGTTGAGCTTTCTGGTGCCATGACTGGGCTGTGACGGTATCCAGCGGTGTGCTTTCTACACTTGTCGGCTGTGATTCGGGAATGGCGCTTGTATTGTTGTGAGGGATACTACCCTGCCCGTTCGATTGAGCTTCGTACCCCGAAGGTTGAGTTCTACCCGCTGCTTCTTTGGTCCCGTACTCTTCTGGGACGCCTCAAGGTGTTGCTTTGAGTTATCATGTGGAGTAACCTCGAGGAATGGTTTCCGTCTTGCTCTTGCTTATATCCAGGATTCGAGCAGACCTTGACCAAAACGGGGAATGAAATAAGACCCAAAATCAGTATATGCCTGTGAAAGAAAAACCACGTTCCGGAAGTTGCGGGTTTGGACTGCGCTCCGAGTGCGCCTTGATAGTTTCACAATTCTAGCCAGCTAGCCTCGGTGCCCTTCGTAGATAGCCAGATAGGTGCAGTAAAATGGTGTGGGCACTGTACTTGGTGTCATTCGCTGTCTGTCGAACACAAGACTGCCGATAATTTCGCCACCGAAGACCCGCGATGAACTTCTGGCTCTCTGAACAAGAAATCAACCCCAAACCAACAGAATAGGACCAAAGACGTTTCGCTCATAAATCATGTTGCTCCAGTCAAAGAAAAGCATGGAGCTGCTCAGGCGGCCTACTCTTCACCCTTCTCGGACCCGGACCCGGAATCATCATCATCCGCATCGGCACCGCCCTGCTTCGCCTCCTTATCCTTTGCCCGCCGCCTCAACTTCTTCAGCCGATTCAGCCTCTTCTTTTTCTCCTTGAGGTGCTCCTCCTTGTTCGTCTTGGCCTTCACTGCCTCCTCGGCCTTCTTCTTCTTCTCGCGCTCCTTCATTCTGAGCGCGATACGCTTCTTCTTGCCCGGACGTCTCCTCCTTGCCGTTTCTTCGTTCTCGCCGTCTTTCGTCTCGGTGCCCTTCTTTGGCGTTGTCTTGATTTCCGTCACGCGCCACGGCGTCTCCATGCCCCACCACCGCTGCTTCGCACGCTCCAAGACATCCTCGCCTGTGACCGCGGCAAATGCAAACCCCTCCTTCGCTGCCGGTGTCGCCTCCTCAGCGATGTAGTATGATAGTGGCTTCTTCCTAGCCATGGCCCCCTCCTTCTCGAGAGCGAGCTCATCCTCGTCGACCAGCGCAATTTTTGTCACCGGTGCCGTTGAGAAGAGCCGGAATTCAAACTCTTCCGGCTCGTCGTTGCCCTTCTCTGCGTCGTCCTTCTCTTCAGGTTGCGACTCATCGTCATCGTCCCCCTTGGATGCCGCCGGTTTCGGCAGTGCTTTCTTTACCTTTTTTGTCGTTGTCGTTGTCGGTAATTGTTGCTCGACGCTGCTCAGGTCAAGCATCCCCGCCATGCGAGCGTGGAGCTTCGCGAGAAGCTCGGCATCTTGCTGGTCATCGCGCTGAGGCGCCTCATCCTCCGACGAGGAATTGAGGTCTTCGCGCCGGACTCTATTGCGCCTCAGTCAGCATCGCAATCGCAGAGCAAAAGCTTCGGCCGTCGGTGTCTTCGCACAACGCACCTCTTCGCGTCCGGGAGCTCGAACATTACTGCTATGCTTGGCTCTCTCGTACGGGATCCCTGATTTCTGGCTGGACCCTTGATATATGGTTTAAGTGTGCCCAGTCGCCGCAAACTGCACCTTGGCGTTCCAATCAACGGGCCCGCTCGAGTCTCGAAGTTATTCAGCAGAGGCTACGAGGCTACGTAGTAAAGTGCGATTGGCAGCGGAATCCCGACTGCCAATTGGAGTTCAATTGAGATTTTTCGCGTGGCTAAAAAGTGGGGGTTCATGGGCTTATCTTATCGTGGGCCACCTGAGCCTCCACCAAGACGACTTGAGCCGCCGAGGTCTTCTGGCAAGGAAAAGGTGACCTAGTAGCTCACCTACCCTTGCCAAGGTATTCGCAGCTACTGGGTAATCAGATTGAACAAAGCAGGGGCAAAAGAATAATGAACAAAACAAAACTATCGTAAGATGATTGAGGACACTTGGCGTGGGCGTCACCCGCACATCCTCTGCGTACGGCCGTAGAGCCCTGGAACCCGTAAACCACCCACCGTCCGGACTCCCGAGGTAAAACGGACACTCAACCCGTCAGGAAGCTGTAGCTGCACTGCACTGCACGGCAATTCAAGCTCAGCCGAGAAAACGTCGGCAACTGGTTTTATCTCAACACCGCCTAACCACGAAAAATTTACTACTGCTTCCATCTTAGGTTAGACAATGTGTAATCGCATCCCGCCGTGTCGGGCGTCGCCCGCATTCCAATTCCAAGTTCCTGACTAACCAACTGCGCCAGGATTAAGGAGGGGGTGTGATGACGGTAAATGTTCTCTAAAAGATGAAGATGGTTGTGAGGGGCGGGCCGGGGTCGGATGGCCTTTTTTTTTTTTTTTTTTTTATAACCCTCCCTAATGTTACTCATTAAACGACAACGGGCATGTTGGTTGGTTGCGTTACGTAGACGTGTTGGCTCACCGGAGCCCCCTTGCGAAAATGAAATATGGGTGTGGGTGGTGTTGGCGTTGTTGGTGGTGGTGGTGACAAGACGATGGATCATGACCACCGAAAAAAAACGGATCCTATCCAGCCCGTCGGGTCATGACACCACCCGTCCCAGCGGCTTGGGAGGAGAAATGTCACGGGAAAAGGGACCGAGGAGGAAGAAAGAAAAAAAAACAATAATGCGCCGCGTCCATACATCCCACACGCCCCCTAACAGTCACTCTCTCACATTTTCCCAGTCTCAGCTGAACAAGTCAGCTGTGCCCCATCCCCAGTAAACCCCAAAAATAAAAATAAAAACCTCCGGCAGAGTGTACATTACCCCCCTTCGCTCGTCCGTTGGACCGTTGGAGGTTTGTGGCTTGCTTTCGATGCAACTCCAGCTAGCCAGCCCTCTCTGTTCCTCTTTCCCAACTAATCATCCAACTGCGTGCCTTCCTTAGCTCTTCTTCCCCTGCTCCATTCAAAAGTGCCTTGATGGCCAAAAGAGGAAGGAACAGGTATGTTCTCAGCCCACTGAAGGATTCCAAGAGGAGGGGAAAGCTGAGAGCGAGAACGAGTGACACACAACCAATCAATCTCTGGCCGTTTGCTTCTTGTCGTGTCCTGCTTTGCCCCCCCCCCCATGGAGGGAAAGACAAGGTAGATGATCTCCGTTGCAGGCGCCCGCCCCGCGCGCCGCCCCGGCGGCGCCAACGCCAACGCCTACACTAGTCCAACCGAACTACTGGAAACGAGAAGACGCAAGGTAACGTATGTGAGGCCAACAAGAAGTGGTGGGTGTGGTGTGGTGTGGTAGGACGTGTGTGCGTCCAACGGTGTACGGAGAACGCCAAAGCCCGACGTTGCTGTTGGAAATCCACTGCCCTTACCAAAGGGAGACGGACTGCCAGACACAGCAAACACCAATTACCAAATCGAAATCCCACCTATTATTTGTTGTGTGTTTGTGTACCAACGGAGGTCCGCTATGGTTAAATAGCCTAGGCTGCCCATATCTGTCCCCTCCCCCGAGGCAAGACAACAGAAATACGAGATTGCTACTGCTGCTCCTCTCCGACTTTTGTCAGCACGGGCTCCGGAATTATAGGATGGATACCAGGTTCTCATTACTTGCTTGCGCATTTTCTGGCCATTGTTTTCTGTCTCACTACCTGACTGATCTCTCTCTCGCCAATTCCCTCCTCTTTCATTCTTTTCCCTTTCCCTTCTTTAACAAATCTCCCCCCCCAAAAAAATGAAATATAATAAACTTTGTCCGATTTCCCTAGTTTGGCGCAAACAGTAATGTAGGTCACGCGCGACCTTGTACGGACGTTGAAATAAGGCAGCCAAGGAGCCTAGCCTACACACCATAAACATTCCAACCACCAACAACGCCAGCTCCCTCTTTTCACCGCCGTGTGGTGCCCCGCCAGGATTTACCAACGTGTTGGGTCCCCGCCATGGACAAATCAGCTGCGCTCTCAACCATCCCTGATTCTTGCGGGACGCAACCACCTGAGCAGGATGAGCTTCGTCGCCACGAGTTGTCCAAAACCAGACGTCGTCTCATCATTCAGGCTGAGCACTAGTCTGGCATTCCCCAAGACACCACCGACTCGCTCTCCTCTCTCACTCACAAAAACAGCACCAGAAACCTGCCATCATCGGCGCAAACAGGAAACAAAAAAGATGCCAGTTCAAGACCAACAATGCCTATCATTGCCTTCCTTGCCCAATGCCCGGCGCTCAGCGTACTTAAAATAAGGAATGAAATACCATACACATCGTTATATAACCTGTCCTCCCAATGTCGCAGCACCGCCCGGAGCTGGTGATAGAAGCGTCCGGCCAGAGCATCCGACGTCAATGCTATCCTCCGTGTGGTATCGAAATGCCCACCCACCAGACAATGCCCGTCTCTTGACGCCGATCTCGACCATCTCGTTGCTGCGCCTACCCAATTATGCTCTGGTCCGGTCTGTCGTGAAGCATAATAAGAAAAAAAAAAAAGGAGAAGAAAAAAAAGCCCAGTCGACGTTGAGCTGAATCAGGGAAATCCAACACCAGTAAATAACAGCCACCCTGAAATGGATTTGCTGGGGTTTTCGAGCTGTTGGAGCCCCGCAGCTTCGGCGTGGGTTGAAAACTGAACCTTGTCGCCCACCCAAAAAACTCAAAATCAGATCCGAACCGCAATCGCTCTACTGGCCTCGAATTGAAGGTATAGTGGTACACGGTCAGGGCCGCCGTGCCCGGACAGGATACAGCCTAGGCCCCAAGGTCTGCTCCTCTCGACCTGGTCACAGTCGACCCTCAACTTATTATTGTTCCTCGAACGTAGGAGACCTATGGCGTGAGCCAGCCGCCAAACGATTAATTGCGCCGTTAATTAGTGTTCCAGGAGTAGTGGTTCATGCCGTCAAATGAACCTCGGTGTGCGCTACTGTATGAGCCGGGGGCTGGAGGAGCAGGACCATGCTCCTGCTTCGGCGTCGGCGCGGGGCCTCCGCTAGCATACTGCTCAGGGAAGGCGTATGGACGGCCCTCACCGCTGGTGTATGCAACTGTTGAAGCAGGCTCGCCGGCTGTTGTCGTCCAGGAGCTCGAAGGGGGGTAGTAGTCCCGAGCGGGGCCAGAGTGCGACGCAGCTGACTCTTGTTTGTAGGCCGGTGGTGCAATCTCATTGGGATTGCCGCCTACAGTTCCGTAGGACGAGCCGTACCGGTACTCAGGGGAGGATTCATTGTTGGCGATGGACCCGGTGCTGTGGATTGAAGGATGACTCGCGTGCCTTGGGCTCTTGGTAGGCCTTGGGTTGTCAACGTATCTCGGGACGTTCAATGCGGTGTCGGAGCCCGCTATCGCAGTTGCCGGCACAGATAGAGGCGGCGGAGCGGTGGTGCTTTGCACGTAACCGTACTGTGCCCTGATAGGAGGCTGCTGCTGTTCGTTTGCTACCAGTGATAGCTGAACAGATGGCATGGATGTTTGGAGAGGCATGTCTTGCGGTTCACCACTGAAGCTGGTTCCACCTGACAGAGGAACCTTGTGGTAAGGCTCCGCTCCCATTGTAGTCGCGGGGTAATTTGCTGAGCCGGACGGGGGCAGTTGCGACATAGGCACGGGGTTCGACGAAGTCCAAGTGGGGTAGGAGCTGCTTCGAGTCAGTCAACGTCTCCTTCCTGTGCGTTGTTTTCGTCCCCCTGGAAGAGGGTACCAAGTCTCGATTGAGTTGATTGGCTTGAAAATAAGAAAGGGGCCGGGAGTGGTTCTTACTTGGATCTCATGGCTCCCATGGGAGCACCCGGCATCTTGGGTCCTCCTGCGTTGAAAGTGAACGCGGAACGAGGCATCTGCATGTCCAGCCCTCTTGCTTTGGCCTCCTGTGGCTTAACTGCCAAAGGTCCTGCCACGATACCCAAACCCGTTTCTACCAGAGCCTGTCCTCTCGAGCCCGCGCTGGAACCCAAAAGAGGGATCTCTTTCCTAGCCTGGAAGTTGCGAGGGCTGCGGCCACGAACTACAATAGGCGCAGTTGTCGACTCCGTGAGCACAACTTTGTTGCCGTTAGCCAGTGTTGCAAGAACCTTGAGGTGAAGCACAAAATGCTGTTGGAGCTCCTTGCGTCTGCCATTGTTCGCCGTAGCACTGAGTTAAAGTTAGTACCAATCCCTTGCCGCGAGCGCGCTTGAGGTACTCACATTCTGAATTGCAATCGTCGCCAGCCGATCGGGTACACGGCGTACTCGCCCTCCGCATCCGTTCCATCTTCCTGGAACGGGATCAGAGGGAGCGATGCTGGCTCCTGGTCGGGGCTCTGGGTAATCTCAGGGGAGTTGGGTGGGGGTGTCTTCCAGGGAATGACGATGAGGCGAACGGGGTGGCCGTCGACGGACTCGATCGCAGAGATGGTGACTTCGGTGTTGCTGACGGGGACCGTCTCGCCCGTCTCGGTGATGACGGAAAGCTGACCTCTTGGGGTGATCAGGGAACCGCTGATTTGGAAGAGGTTTCGTCGGTAGCAGGTCAGCTCGGGCTGGAGGATGGCGCTGTCGTTGGCGTTGGAAGGCATCTCGGAGAGGAAGAACATCCCATGTAGCTGCGCGGACAGCTCCAGCTGCTGCATACGGCCATGCTGGTCGACAATCGTGTGCTTGTCCTGCACCCTCTTGAACGACAACAGCTTGTGGTCGTGGTTTACCGTCAGCTTGGACCCGTCATCCCTGAGATCCTGAACAATCTCCTGGTACGGAGGCTGCTCAGTCTGGGAGTACGGCCTCTTGAGATTGGGGAAGCTGTGGTGGGACGTCAGACTGGGATGCGCTTGTCTGTCATAGGCGTCAGACTCGTCCTGAGGGTAGCGACCGTACGGGTAGGACCCGTGGTCGACGCTCGGGTGGTGGCTTCTTGGACGTCCCGCGTGTGGCGAGTTGGCGGAATGGCCTCCGAGGCCGGAATCCAGGCTGTTGTTGAATCGAGACGACATTTGGACAGGACTTCCATAGTTGGACCAAAGACTGGAATGCGCCGGCTCTTTCAACTCTGCCATGACGGGGTAGGTCACCGTGGTTGACATTAGAGCATGCCTTTCTGGAGCGCCGCAGTCCTAACCCAGACCCAAGCGCGCCTCTTGTTCAAACAGAGATTATGCAGTTCCTTGCTGGCGGGGATCAACAAGGCATACGACGATGTTGTTAGTCGCGGTGATTAAGGGCAAACCAAAGGGAGAGAAGGTGATGGTGGTTGGCCGTGTTTGAGGGGGAGATCTATTGTGTCGAGCAGTGATGGAGGAACACTCGAAAAGATGCAGGAGAGGCAGAGGTGAAGTTGAGGTTCAACGGAGGACGGTCATGTTTAAGGTTGCAGGGACAGATGTATACTTGTATACGATGGGGTGGATGGGCAGAAGGAGGACGGTAGATGTTGGAGGGGGTGTCTGATGAAAATCTTCGGCACTGTCTTGGGGTGGATACTGAATGGGGCAGGGCTGGGGGAGGCCGGCCAAGGTCGAGTTTGTGTCGAGTCGAGTCGAGTCGAGTCGAGTGGGCAGGTAGAGTCCGGTAGACGGGAGTCGATGTCTCTACGGGATGTTCCCATGCTGTTGCCGACTTTGTCAACTACTCGAGTGTATGTGCCCGTGTGCCTTCTTCAGCGGCAGAGGCCAGCGCAATGTCACCAGTACAACGTAACGGCGGGTTCTTGGTCATGGACGGTCAGTGCATGCGGCCATACTGGGAAGGAGAAGGGGAGCAGCGGGCGATCTGGTGAGCGGAAGAACAAGGCACGCAATGGAGCTACAACGATGAAGAGGGGGGTAGGGTATGGATGCGCCCTGCAGAGCGGCGACCAGGTTTAGGGAAATACCCTTCTTAGAAGGCGGCGCTATGGGGAAGGGGGGACCGCGAGAGGAGACAAGTTGTGGTCAGGACGAGGGGCAGCACTGAAACGGATTGATAAGAGCAAACGAGCACAGCTTGGGATATGCCAGGTCCAGGTCGTCAAAGGCTGTTGCAGTAGCTCTCTGTGGATTATGAATTTGCATATATCATAATCGAGGAAGCGACAAAACTGACGGGACATCGGATCGTCGAACAGCACTTTCGCCCACGCTTATTCGCTGACGGCACACATACATACACAGGACGAGCTGCCTATACCACCTACTGCATACGCGCATACAATTCCATACTGGAACTTGCACCCACACATAAAACAATGAACAGACAGATGCATTCATAATGAAAGAAGATGATCATGGAGACGACAGACCACACGGGTCGAGTAGCCCCAGTTGGACACACACATACACGCGCACACATAGGCAGGCACACCCACCCACCACACATTACTGTGCTCAACATCCAGTGGTGCTCTCACATTCGCTCTCAAGCTAGCACACACACACACACACACACACACACACACACACATTGAAAGCAGAATACGCCCCCGCTTCTGCCGGACGGCGCGAACAAGTCCCTTGCACAAACTGGCATCGCTAGCAGCAAAAGACATGGAAGACAGTTGACGGCAAGCCTTCAGGGTTGGCACTACTGACCCTAGTGAGCAGGGTGGCATGTAGCTCCGTCGAGATGGAGGGACGGAGAAGAACCTGGCATGGATCGTACGGAGGCACGGGGGGCATCTCTTGAGGAGAAATCGCAGTCTTGGAAAGGCCACAAGTCCACTCTTCCCGGCCAATAAATGATCGAGGGTGGAGGGGGTAAGCCGATGAGGAAGGCTAGACAGAGAATCCTCCGACGGCTCTCGTAGGCCACAGGCCCGCAAAATTTCTAGAAGACCGTTGGGCAGAGACGCCGATGAAGGATAGAAAAGGGAAAGGTGTATTGACTAGGGGGGGTGGGAGAGAGGGGAGGGGAGAGGAGGGGAAGAGAATCGGTTCACGAGATTGCTAGAAACCAGGGGCCGAGTGAACTCGCTTGGGGCACCCATCCATTTCGAACATCCCTGTCCGGGTATGGTGGAGTGGACAGGCAATATTAAGAGAGTGTTAATATAATAGATACAAGCGCCTGACTGAGGTTTTTGCTGGCTGACGGGCTGGTCAGACAGAAGGCAATGTCTCGCCTGTTTTCAAACGTGCCCTCGCCGCTCCTCGGCGATGGAGGGGTGGCTAGATTTGGAAAAGCAAGGCTGGCAACGGCGCGGTTCGCTCAAGCATTATGGCGCGGTCGCAGGTGTGGTTTGCTTGTTGTTCGGGCTCTGCCGCAAGTGCCATGTTTCTCTAGTGGGCTGCCACACGCATCCGGCAACCGTACGCCGGTTGATGAGTCCGTCCGTCGTGAGGAGAAACGGATTGAAGCAGAGAAGGCAAGTGACAGGAGAGGATAACCCGCTCATGGGGGGTGGAGGGGGGTGCGTGGGAAAAAGAAGGAAAAGTAGCTAACAAAAGAAGGTAGAGACCGAAGGGGTCCTTTCCCGCCATAAGCTGTCCCCGTCGTGAACTGGGAAGGGAAGGTAAGGAAGCGGTCGGTCAAAAATGCCATGGTATCGAATGCATCCCACGACTCGCGACTCGCGATACTGGCGGTTGCATCTCTCAAGGCCTCACTGCGCATGATTAGACTCATATGGAGATCCGATATGACTTACATACATGGGCGCTAGTGACCTTATGGGCCAGGTGTAATCTCCTGGCTCCTCCTTTTCCCCTCGTGTCCGGCCCAGGCGTGGTTGCGTTACTGTTCATGACGTGTAAGGGTTCAAGGTTGAAAGACTTAAACTGGAGACACAACATGACCAGCCTCTGTTGATCTGTGCTCTTGGACGAAGAGAATGATAGAGAGAGAGGTAGTGGCATTGAAGAGTGGCAAGACAACCAAGCAAGCCTCAGGGAAGAGAGAGTGTGACTATAGGACTGAGAACCAGGGTGGAGGATAAAAAAAAACCACCACTGTAATAATGAGGGTGAAAAAAAAAAAGTAGGAAAAAAAAAAAGAAGGCGAGGCACAACATGCGGAGGCGTCCAGGCATGTTCGTTGTAGGAGTTCCTGAAAAGGGAAGTCAACAGTCTGTGCCCGCACCCGGGCCAGGGGTCCACAAAATCGCAGGGCTTGAGGGTCGGTCCTCATCATGGCAGTTGATGGGCCGGCCTCTTGTGGCGGTTCCACAAGTGCCACACACGGGGAGGGACGTTATGGGTCTTGGTTCTTCCCTTTCCCTGCCTTCATTGAAGTACTTAGACTACGTATCTATCATACTGTGCCGTCCCAGTCCCCCGTGGTCCCGCCGCCCGCGCGCAGGTGCGCCACGGTGCGCAACCCACACGCAGTCGAGATGCCGTCTCCGGAATCCTACGAACCAGTCGCAACGCATCTTTGGCATCGTGCTGGAGCGGCACAGCCAAGGCCACCCGGCAAGGTACTACGGTACCTGGGTACCCATCGACCTTGCCTCCATCTATAGACCAGGTCTTTGAAGTACCCTCTCAACCTCATTGGTAAGTGCGCAAAATGACCGACACTGCTCTGTGTGCTTTACCCTCTCGAATCTCTGCTCCCCTTCTTTCCTCTCAAGTTCCCTGGTGCCGAAAATTAAAGCTGCTATGTGTGTGCGTGTGCTTAGACGCCTCAGGGTCCCCCTTGGAGCGAAGAAAGGGGGTTCCCAGGAAGCATGAGGAAGGAGGCAACCCGTCTCATCACACAAAACTGGAGAAACACGTAATCTTGGCTGAAGTGCTTGACCGTGCCTCATAGGCCCTGACACGATGGCCCTATGCGGTCAAGACACTGGGAAGAAATGAACGAGACGGGACGAGGCGTGGTGAGGCGATACTGACAACTTGCGACCAGAAAATCCCCCCCCCCCCGAATTTCTTATATGCCTTACTATAGTACACAAGAAAAGTCATTAAGCTAGTCCCGTCATACTTGTCCTTTTTGTTTCTGACAGAATAGCTACCTCGCGCAATTGGCCCCGGGGGCCATCGCACTGGCTCCCGAGAGAAGCTCCGCGTCGAGATTCAAGTACACACAGCGTCGCAGTACAGGAGCAAAAAGCAGTGGCAGCAGATGCAAGTGGAAGCAATGGCAGCACGAGTTAAGGTGTTAAGGTAGGGTATACCGATTTCCTATTCGTAGGCTTCAGGGCGGGTGTGCAAGGTACCTGAGCAACTCGATGTACCGACATGGGTAGGGGAACTGCTTGGAGGTAGTGGTGGAGGACGACGGGTGAAGGTGGTCGACCGCCTCCATGCAATACCTCTCACCTCGCGCCTTGGCTTTGACTTGTCTTGCCTTACTTCACAGCATACATACACGCGACGTTGTATGCTGGCATGGCATCAACGGTGTGCCCTCGAGGTGGACCTCGGCCGTTAACTTGGCCTTGGTCCCGGTCTTGTCTTGACTCTTAGTCTAGGATGCTAGGGGGGCAAGGGAAGGGAGCACGGCCGGGTGCATGCAGAGGATGCAGTAGTTGCAGGACTTTAGCTGCAGAAGCTTCGAGCCACGGCTGCAGCGGCGGCCGAATATGGTTGTTGAAAAGCGTCAGAGGGGGCCTGGGTTAAGCCGGAGCAGTAGCCACATGGGCCATACAACTGACTGACTTTTTTTTTGTAGCCGACCACTATCGTCATCACCATCATCGTCAGATGCACACCAGCGACTTATACTACGCCCAGGGATGGGCAAGCCGACCGATGCGATTGCCTGCATGTTGATGCGGAAAGGGAAGTGTTGCGCGCGCCGTCTCCCGAGATGCGATCGGAGCGTAGTCCGAGTAACATGAGGGGACAATTCGGCGGTGGACAAAAGCGGACACGAAAGCCCCAGGACGGGCTTACGTACAGCGGAACGCTTAGTCGGAGCAAGTGTATTAATTCATATCAACTGCATGCCTTCCCTGTATGGAGGCTGGTTCATAATTCTGGAGAGCCAGGCAAGATGTTTCCCCCATGGAGATTTTTACAGAGTGTTAAGGAGCCACGGAGTATTATTGATGGCAACTATCGATAACAAATCTCCGTGTTCCAAGGAATTTGCTAATAACAGTCGGGCCTTTGAGGAAAAGTAAGGCGGCTTTACCTTGCAAGTCCTCACATGGTTTAATTGACCAAGAGCAAACCGCAAAATCGGGGGTGACGAGCCGTGTGTTTCCCCAAATACTAAGAAAAAAAAAAAAAAAAAAGTAAGATGAATTTGCCCAGCACAGACGTCAGACGAAACGGGCAAGATAGAGAACAGAAATGCCGCGTCGAGTTCCGGCACAAGACGAGCATCGTGATGAGACGGGCCAAGGCAAAGACTACCTACCTAGTTAGTAAATGGTCTCGCTTTGAACATTATCAAGGTCAAGGCCATGCATGGTCATGGTCATGGTCGAGACAGAAAATGCAAATAAGGATAGGAACAGGCAAGAAGTAGCTTTCGAAGAGTTCGGTTGACTGATGGCACCTGCTGCTTTCCCGAGTCGGAAGTCCCGGTCGGTCCTTACCTGCCTCTCTTTTTTTGGCTGGGCACGTTCCTTCTCTTGATCTTCTTCATTGGTATTGAGGCGAGCAAGGCACATTACTCCATACCTACTACTTTCGCTCTTTCAATGCCTACCTTCCACTTGGGCAAAAGTATCGGACGGTCGGGGGAAGGGACGGGGGAAGACGAAAGCACCGCCCCGGCGACCGGAGGGGAAAGATTCCAACTTTACCATTTCTAGCCCTTGTAGATGGTGGTTCTCGTCCATGATTGATTGATTGATACCTTGTGTCCTCATCCACCATCATCATCCCCGTCAGCACGCTACAATGCCACTCCCTAACCCGGTACTATGAAGAGGACTGAACAAGGCCCAGGGCACGCCGCGCAGGGCAGGTAGGTCCGTCATACTTGCCTGCCAGGTCTTGGGAGTTTTCCCAGCGCCTAAGTCACCCCCCCCCCCCCCCCCCCCCAAGAGACTTCCAGCAGTGACTGCAAGGCCTATGGTAAGGGCCATGCCCCCGTCAGATAGTGGATTTAACACGCAGCCCTGATGCAGTCCTCGAGCTCGCTGGAGAAATACAGTGTCCCGCCACTGTGTTTACAGCCCGATATTAACTCGCTCTCAACTAATGGAAAACTCAAAACTATGCCAGGCAGGGTTGGCTAGGCTAAGATGCCTTGCGAGCCGGGGTGCTGATTCAATCTCGTCGTCAAGCCGGCCAATACGGTCATTGCTTCTTTCATGGCCCGGTCCCACCTCCCACTTTCTCCTGCTCTGCTTCCAGTATTCTGCCCAGGCAGGTACGTAGATGGGTCCCGAGGACCCCCTCTCTTCCAAGCCCAGCTCCACCTGGTAGACTGGAAGGGATGCCGCTGGCACGCTCTCTTCATAGGGATTTGCGCCTGCTGTTTCTTGTATACTTTTGCTCTGCTTGCTGTCATCGTCGACCCAGCATCTTGTCTCCTCTATTTTGCTTTCCGTCCCATGTAAGTTCAAGTCCACCACGGCGTGGCTCATAGTGTTGATGGCTCGTGCCCTTGTGCATGCAAATGATTGATTGATTGTTGTTCTCGGTTCGAGTGGGCAGGCATTGCCGTTCTTGTGGATGGATGCCGTCGTGGTCGTCGCCGTTATTGTCCCAGCCCAAGTCCACTTGATGCTCTTGCCCACTTGCACGTTTTTGACAGTCTTTTGGGCATGCCGTTGATCCGCCCACTTTATTGCCGGACTTTCTTTCCTAAGTTTAAGGTGAGGTATGCGGTACCTGCCTTCTTCACTTTTTACCTTGTGATCTTAGACTTCCGACACTTTCCCCCCCTTTTTATTTTATTTTATTCCTTGTGCCGTAGCTGCTGGGGCATCGGTTTTGCGGACCTTGGATGCGTAACTAGCTACTTCCCTGCCTCGACTGACACGCGACCTACATATCCGCGCCTCGTACGGATATTGAGAGCAAGATTTTGACTGCAAGCACTAGAGGAGCTATGGAGAGGAGCTCCTCTTTGCCTCTCTCCCTCTCTCCCTTTTTCTCACCTTTCCCTCCCATTCAAATGCCAATTGTGTATCTGAAGCTGCATGATTATCATAATGCTCACGACTCGAGTCGCTGCCCTTTACCCTCTGGCTGACGCTGCTTTCGCTCTCGCTCCACTCCACTCCCATTAAAACCCACCCCCTTGACTCTTTGGTCAGGACTTTCGACATCTTGACGAGAACAAGGACCCTGGGCCGGTATGCAGACCCCCCTCGTCCGTAATCCTCGTCAACTGACCCAGACCTGGTGGAGGTCACCTCATCGCGGGCACATCACCGTTACCCTCTCCACGTCCCCCACAATGCCTCTTTCACTGAGGATCGAAAGGGACAAACGCCAGCGTTTCCTTCTCAGGTACGCCAGCTTTTTTGTTTGGTCCGCTCCGAAAACAAAGTTTATCACGACTCTCGCCAGCGCCGTTGCATTCGGCTCCTGCTTCCTAGCTTCTTAGCACCCTCTCTTGTACCTGCCACTGCTACTGCGAGCCCAAGCCAAGGACCAGCCGAGCAACATCATCTAAAGCGCCAATCTCCCTGAACTCCCCGAGCTTACCTCGCCTCACCTTAACTCACCTCAATTGCTGCGTGGTCGACATCATCTTGCTTAACATGGGCCTCACACCAACCCTGCAGTTTGGGAAATGTTTTGCTCGTCAGCATTGGCTTGCCTTGTCGCGGCAACGCGGACTCTCGTCCAGCATCTAAGCGCTCTTGCATCTACATCAGATATGGCTCGCATCTTCGTAACTGCTAAATATGAGACGCTTGTTTTCTTTCCCTCCACCTACCCGCCGTCTCTTCAACATCTTCGTCTTCCCGATGGACCCCCGGCGCACGGGCAGAATGACGAGCCCCTCCCACATGCACCTCGACAAGTGACAGTACCTGACAGCAGGTGTCAGTCTGTGTGGACACTGATGGTCTCTGTGCTGATCCAAGCCCGCTGAGCTACGCATGCAAGTGACAGCGCTAATAGACGCACTATCAACTAGCACCGACACGGGAACCACGTCACCTTTAGACCACATTACGCCCACAGACCGCATCTCTCAGGTGGTCTACTGGTTTCTATCCGTACAGACAGGATGGCCACACTGCACCCAGGAAAGAAAAAACATCAACAACAGCGAGAACGAAATTTTTGAAAATCGGAGCAAAAACGGCCCCAAATACGCGTGCTCGCGGCCACAGAGCCCCCTTCGATGCAATGCCATCCTCGGCCTTGATTCTACGTCCCAAAGGGGCCCAAGATGGCCGCAGAGCACGCCCCGACTACAATGAAAAACTTGAGAGCAAGCCGCAAAATACGACATATCAATAGACAACACTGTTACCACCACCACAGGCGAGCCACAAGCCGCTACACGAAGCACTAAGACTGCGCCCAAACAATCAACTTCAACACAACAGCCGCCGACAGGTTTTGGGTCACCTGTCACCCCCGACAAAGTTTGCAACGTCCCACAACGACGAAGATGAGTCCGACAGAACAGTATCACCTTCCGCACGGAGAAAGCACCAGGCATTAGGCATGCTACGATCGATGCCACACAATACTACAGACCACAGACAGACTGGTCCCCTGTCGCCCCTTTTGCGAAGAAGGATTGGTGTCCCTTCAACGCGCGACAATGTCTGCGGAATCTGTGCGGGAGCTCTCATACCCAGTAATCGAACATGTCGGAGTCAGTGGAGCATTGTGCTTCGTGGAAGACCCTTGGGCCAATGTGGTGGAGGGCAATAGTGGTCAACAGGCAAGAAACAAGAGGCCACATAGGAACCCGGCAGGAGGCAACAAAGAATTTACAGATGCAACTGAGAAAACGGCACATACAAGTCCGGGAGGATACGGACAAAACAAAGAGACAAAGCTGAGCGCTGGGGGGAGACTGTAGGTACAAAGAACCAGATACGGTGCTACCAGCACCAACTGAACCGAAGCAGGAGGACGCAAAACAAGCATTCTAGAGAGCAACACAAAAGCGAGAAAGCAGACAGGAGAGCAACACACTTCTTCAACAGAGGGCACAAACACACAGAATAGAGAACATAGTGGGGAGCTTGGGGATAGCTGGCCCTGATGCAACATCAGGGCGAAGTGGGGCGTCGCTGTTCATTGTCGACGCTTCGGCTACCTGCCAAACCCCGCTTTCCGGGCATAGCTGCTGGCATAAGAGCGGCTTCATAACCGAGTAGGAATAAATCAATCAATCAATCAATCAATCACACTGCACCCAGTTTTTACCGTGGATTGCAGACCACCTGGTATCAGAGAGGGGAGAACCAGGCTCTTGCCGCAGTGTTTGCGGAATGTCCGGTCAGCTTCGACAACAAATGCCTCTACCACTGTTTTGCCCTACTTTGCTCATGACGACCAGCAGCAACCATGCATGCGGCCGGATATCTCAGTGCAGGTAGAGAACCATGTGCGCCTTTAATCAACCAACCACCTTGCATCAGGTATCACACCGGTCCGGAAGGAAACACATCTCAATCTCCGGTACCGAATCACACACCAGACAAACAATGACGGCGATCACATTAACTTGCTGAGCACTTCTAGTGTACCAGAAGCTCCATCTGCCTCCCGCTAAATCAATGTCGTACGAGTCCCCTCTGTTGGGGCCGTTCATGACTGGCAGTCCCCGGCGGAGCGGCTTCAAGGTCGATCACAGTTGCTCGAGTACCGCCACTACGGAAGCGCCTAGAGGTACACCACCGATATGAACGTTACCCTAAATCACCACTGCCAACCAACTACCCGCCCGCCCACCCACCTTCAGGATTCAGGGTTTCTCAAGGCCAAGCTGGGTTTTTTTTTTCTTTTTCTTCTTTCCCCTCGCACTTCTGGTTCAGTCTAACTCGAGGGAACATACCTAGACCTTGTACACTTTCAAGCGTTATCCGTGCTCCACGGACCTCGTCTAGAGCTGGTTTGATTCTGCGCTATTCTTGACGCGCCTCACCTAAAAAGCGTCCCCCGTCGCGGTCATAGAATTCGTCAGAGACCCAACGCTCGCGGCGGAAGCATCCCTTGCTTGATGTAACGGTCCGGGGGTGCAAAGGGGCTCACGGCGAATTTTCTGTGAGATCGCGCGGGCACGGGGCCCGTCACGCCTCTCGTCGACGCGGATTCCTTGTGCAGATGGGATTGCCGCCTGTTTGTCCGACCAGCCCCCGTCCTTGTCGGCCCACACATGCCCCTAACAGCCTTCACAGACCCTGTCAATTCTAGTCCTCTTGCTGTTCAATGCATCTTTGATTGGTCTTCCAAGGGACCTTTCGACCCTCTGCCGACCGTCGCCCAGACTACTCGTCATCTTCTTGTAGTGGAGAGGGCCACTGAATGGGGGAGCACGGCACTCGATGGGAGACTGTTTCAACCCTCCTCGATCAAGGACTGATTTGGTGTTGGTCTGTGTTTCGAGATCGAAACACTCAACAGGGCTTAACAGGGCTGTGTACACATGGGAAACACGAGCCTACATCAGATAGACAGCCATACCGCACAACAGCCATAACCGGTTACTTGGCTAATGCTGGCCTCTGAATCGTTCCCTGCAGTTAAGGGGCGAGTCACTGGTACGGCAATTTCTGAACCGCTCGCCAGGTCTCTGTTATTTTTACCCAAGGGGCCAATGTTTCTGGGAAACGAGAGTTTGTAGCAACTTGGTCGTGGACTGCAGACCGAGATTATCCCTCCTCCTACCCATGGCCATATACGGCTGGCTAAGGTTATATGTGCCGGCTAATATACCCTCCAACTGCCATCACCCTCCAACTGCACATCCTGGTTTCGCGAAGCACATCGACGCAAGCGCAAAGTCTGCACTAGTCGCCAGTTGAGCAAGAGGGGCTTTCATTATTTTGGATATTCACAACTTTCACGGCATCAGCACAGCTAAAATCACGCGCTGTTGCCCTGTGAAAAATGGCCAACTGGGCGTATCCGATTGATACTGAAGCATTTACGCCTTGTGGTAGTCGGCTCCAAACCACCGGCTCTTTACGTTGCGAATTGTGTATTGTAACCCAAAGCGTCAAGAATCCCAAGGCCATCAATTCTCCGAATTGGATCGCTCCAACAGCATGGAGCCTGGAGGCGACAACCAACAAGCCACGCCATGGAGTTTTGATGGATCGACAAAGGGCAACCTGAGGGATACGGGGACCCAGAGGTAGCGGGGGTGGGATGAGCCATGTCTCGCGGCAGTCGGCTCTGGGTGCCATTGCTAGACGACGTACACGCCATCTCGTCGAGTTCCCACCTAAACAAGCAAGAAACAAATTCAGGAGATTCAGCGGAGAATGGGGACGGGACATGAGAATGGCGCAAGCCTCCCTGATTCTCTTAGCTAAGCATCTCATCTGGACCTTGTCATGGTCGCAAACCGTTTTTACCGAAGAGGCCCGACCCCTGCATTGGTCCCCACCTTTCTCCGGCCGCGGACGAATTAACCTGTCCTCCATTTTGGTCTAAGCTTTTTCTAGGAAGGTTTCCGGCACAGGAGGCTCCTTTTGGACGATGATCTCCGCCCTCGTCAGGAATGTTCTACTGGATTAAGAAAAAGGTATACTTTGCTTTTCCCATTTCCCAAGACTCTCGATACCCCAAAGAGAAGTTCCTACTCTACCAATGTTGAATTGATCCCCCTGGCAATGGGTCGATGGGTAAAGGTTGTCATTGTTGAGTCAGCACGGCCGCTGTGGGCCCTGGCACTGATCTTCCCCGGCAAGTGCCAGATGCCCCCTAGCCTTCAACTTACAGCGCCGTTGACTCGCAGGTCTGTCCCTTCAAGCGCACTGGCGGTCGCAAGCCGCGACACGTGAAGGCTTGACGTGAAAGTTCAGATTGTCATCAATCGCTCGTTAGTTTGTGCCTACTTTTCCAACGGATTGCTTGCTTGGACCTAACATGCAGCACGCGAACCGCCTGCCTGCGCATCACTCTTTCACTCATTTATCAACTCATTAGATGAACCCTACCGGGAAGGATATCCTGTGAACAGTGACACATGGCTAGCCTTGTTGCGCCCAGCACCTAGTTCATCTCTGGCTCAAATTCAGGTGTGGTGGCGTAGAAACATACGGGGCAAGGCCTGATGACATCTTAAGACAACAAACGGTCGGCTATTGAGGTGGCGCGAGATGCGGGCATCTGAATCAAGAAGCAGAAGCGATTTTGTGGCGCGCCAACCCAATCGGCTCGAAGCGCAGACTTGGCGCCGACGTCCTCAAAGAGCGGCCTAAGCACATTTCACTGAGGACTTTGGTCAGCGACCGATTGACTATACAGCATATTACATCGGTTTGGCCGATTAGCATTCCGAATCGGCCTTACATTCCGAAAGCACACCAGGGGTGTCAAATATGGACAAATGAACCAAGCCATCTGAATGGCGTCTGGGGCCTAGAAAGAGCACAATGCCCGAACGGCCTACAAAAGGCCCGGGGCTAGTTTATCCTCTGCAGGTAATGTTTGGCCGGATGACCGCGGCATGCTCTTCAACCGGTCACAGGGTGCTTGTACTGGCGCGCTTCCTGTAGTGGTCATGTTTGACTTCTCTCCATCTGCCGCGAAGGGTTGAACCCTGCCGGAAAGTATTGCCACTGGAAGTTGCCCAAATCTAACCTCACGTATCAAGTGAGGCCTTCGCGAATTAGCAAGACGCACATTGAGTGGTCCAACCCGTCCGCTGCATCTAGCCACCTGACGGATTGGCGGCTATCTTGCAACACGTTCCACCATGACGCGAATGCGCCATCTTCTCACAGCGAGTTGCGTATCGTGGATATAATGGTGGGGTCCTAGCCTCTAAAAATGATGAACATCGATGCTGCAGTATCACCCGAGATTAGCTAAGTCGGCACCACAAGACCAAGAGCGTGAAAAGGAAACTCGGCCGGTCGTAATGTCCTTGTTTCTGAACTTAGAACGGACGCCGTTGTTTATTGCTGCTGATTTGTGGCGATGCAGCCCTATCCTGTCGCAAGTCCCTCGTTAAACCACTGATTTGTATCGAAGGAAATCTCTGGCTCCCCCCCCGCCCCCTGGATACCATCAATCTCCGTCATTTTCGCACAGTCGGCAGGCCCCCGACAATATTGAGGCGTGCGAGGATCCCTTTCAAAATCAGGACGTTCCCGACCAACTAACTCATGCGCGAAAAGAAGGCGGATATTGGCCGATGGAGCCCATTAATTATCCATACGGGGCATGCGGCTTTGTTAGGCTTGTCCAGTGGCATTGCAGGAGACCTTAACAACGTTGCCGGCTAGTGCTTCCTCTCCCGGCTCAACAAACAACTGCACGGTTTGTTTCTCCGCTGGGCCCATGTTAAAAATTCCTATACCCCGCAACGCACTATGTAGACATCACAGCCCACATCGCCCATCTGCCAACCTCCCTTCGTCTTCGCTGGTATTATCCTGTCTTGCACGAATCTGAGATCGTATTGTCTGTTTATTTGTTTATCTATCCTTTGGCCGGTCCTCTTTGCGAAGGACCCAGGAGATATGGATTTTTTTTTATTCCCCATCCCTTGTTTTTGCTGGTTCTTCATTCTGCTTCCTAGTCCCCCGGTTGGAGTATAAGAAGCTAGTGACAAATTGGGAGCTTGACCGGCATCACAATCCCCTCTCCCGTTGAGCGACCTAGATTTTAGCCTGGAAGGGCCGAATCCAATGGCTGCTATTTTCCCGACCACTCCCCTTGGCCAATTGGCATCTTGGCCGTTATTCGGCCTGCATAGCTTCTGGGGGTTAGAGGTCAAGAGCAAAAACAAAGTGCGGCTGCTTCTGATCGTGGCGTTCTTAGTGCATGCTCATCCCCACTTGAGCGGTTCCTACGGTGCCCTACCGCCTGTCTCAACCTCCGTTCTACAGTTTGGGTGTAGACGGACGACAATCGAGCAAGATTCAAGGACAGGCATCTGGCGAAAAAGCCTAGGGAATTTCGTCAACGACGCTAGGTCGTCATCCCCGTGCAGACCGCAGCAACGCCAGTGCCTGCAACCGACATTTAGTAGAGACATACATCGTATGTGATGCTGGAGCTGCCCAGCACACGCTTGTACCCAACTGGAAATGGGCTCCAGTGATGGTGCTGCAATAACATCGATGTTCACTCTTGAAACTCTCAAGCCGGGCCCACGCGGGACCTATTCCGGCCTCGGGTCGATGACTTTCATTCAATGCCTTAGGACTACGCCGAAAGAGAAGAGGGAAAGCAAAAGCTTCGTTTCGGTTAGCTGACGTCTGGATAACCTGGCTTGAGTCGCGACAGCGGCGAGTCCCGCCGCCTTTCGGGCTCCGGGACGCCACGCGGAATAGGAACGGCATGAGAACTGCCTCGAGCTATTGGTGCTGCTGCTACTCTGACTCTTTTTATCCACCTTAGAGCCCTGAGTGCAACATTTCTCAGGCACATTCCCAGTTGAAGTTGCAGGGCCCGCGCTCATGGCTACACGACGTTGCCTCGACACTCCCAAGACGAGAGAAGAACGCTTCGTCACGAGAACGGTGGGACGTAAGCCCAGGCAAACCAAAACTCGGAATCGCATACACCCAGGCTTGTCGACGGGCACAGTGAACTAGACAAGACGCAAGCCTTCGAAGCAATAGTGAAGTAAGTTCAGGGTCACGGCAAGCGATGGATGGCGCGTCCCGCTGGCGTGGTGGCAAAACTCGTTATCATGTGTTTCTCACCGGGTACTGAAGGCGAAGTAAATTATGGTGTCGAGTTCTAGGTCATCGTCGTCGTCTATCTGGGGTTGCTACCCTCCGGCCACCCCCCCTGTGTCTATCAGCCCCTAAACCTAGGCGGCATGCCCTTCTTCCAGGCCCGGTCACAATGCCCGTGTCGTCAACGGATTGCTCGCCATCAGGAATCGACACGATGACGAACAAAATACGGAAAGGGGCAGCGCCGGAGGCTAAAGGAGTCTTTCATACGATTATGATGATGGGTCTTAATCTCTCATGCGAGGACGACTCGCGTGAATGTCTGAGCAAGGTACTCTTGAAACCCTCTCTCTCCTCCCCTCGCCAGAGTTGTATTGAATCGCAAGAATCTTTCCGAGGCAAAGTGGAGCTGAGTAGCAACGACAAGAAACCTTTTTTTGCTTCTCCATACCCTTTTGGTTACTTAACGGGGCTTCTCATCATGCTCTTTCCGTGTTTGGTGTTTGCCCCAGCAAGTTGTGTTCACTACGACGTCGTCGTCAAAGTCGCGCGTGTTGACGGACGTGCTCGTTTCTCTAGCATTTTCTCCTGCCTATAGCATCTGTGCTAACTCAATAATGCTTTCATTCGCTCTTGGCTACACTCCACTTATCTTCAACAACCGACGAGGAGTCTGTCGTGGAACACTATAATGGGGACTTTCCTCCCACGTACTTGCTGTCTTACTTTGCTGGGTTGCCACGCTGCCACGCTGCCCCGTTGCCTCCGCCTATCCTCACCTTGCTTCTTCTTCCTCAGGATCTGATTTGCACTGGTTGTACTCCAACCTCTCGAACGGACAATATGATATGGTAACGAGAGTGGAGGACCGGGCCTGGCCGTCAGCAATGGTGGATGATATAGCCTGGGAAGCTATCCAAACTTGACAGGGAGGAGGGAGGAGGGCAGGGTTGGGTGGATGGTTGCCGCCGCCGTCGCCGCCAGTCAGGCACACTCCTACCAAAGACCACAACGGGGGCTACCGGTATGTGTGTGTGTGCGCGCGCGTGCAAAAGAGCCCACGCTGCCATCTTTCCCCTCCCCCTTTCGAGGGGGGCCTGCCGCCTGCCCACCTGCCTGCCTTAAACCCTGACGTGGTAATCGTTCCTGAGCAAGCCCCCCTTTCCTGAATGAGCACTCCCGGCTGGCCTTACTCGCTCCTTTATCAAAAGGATGTCTAATACCACTTCAGCATCGATCTTTGTAAGAAGCGATGCAGAGGCGGTGATGGTTATTTGATTGTCAAAACGGAGTACGTGAATGATGGAACGTCGTATGAGGTAGGAGGGGCAAGGTTGCGTACTGATGCGCGCGCTTCGTTCGGTGTTCTAGAATGAGGAGAGTACGTATACCTAGAGGGACAGACTAGAGCAAGACGAAGAACAAGAAGAAGAGGAAGAAGAATACGCAGGACCGTGGGATGAAATCGTTCAGCAAACGCGGTATCTAACGAAACATGCCCAGTTTGTACATCTTGAACCTACCTCTCTCTCCCTCTCTCTCTCTCTCTCTCTCTCTTCTTTTCTCGGATAGGATGTTTTCTTCGGCCATCTATGCGCGCCCTGTCCGCAGATGCCATCTACTCAGTATTCATTCCCTGGGCATGAAGAATGCCGTGTTGAATTACCCGGGAAATGGGAGGGGCGGGCAAGCGAGGGTCAAATACCCAAGTTTTTTTTTTTTTTTTAAGTTTTTTTTTGCAACCCTCGAGAACTGCCGTTCTTTACCTTCGGGGATGGGCTCCGAACCGAGATGATTGTGAGATGTGTAATAACATTTGCTCCCGACGAAGTACATATATCTGGACGATCGATCGGCCCGGAGATGACGGGTGAACGGGGTTGGATATCATTTCTCAAGGGCACGGAGATTGATAGTCGGGACCCGAATCTATCGTCGTTGAAGTTTGAAGGGTTACCTATGTAGTCAGTCATGTTCGTTGGCTACTTTACTACCTTCTTCTGATCATGACGCAAAGCTTTGGCACAATGTCCATACATAAAATTTCGATTACATTTCATGATTCTCTATGGCGTATAAATGTCTTTTTCTCATGGTATCAGTGCTGGTATCTACTAACCCCTTCTCCTCGTCTGCCACTCTAGGCTAGGCCACGGGGGCGTTGCTGTAAACACGTTTTCGTCATCATCAGTGCAAGCCGTTCAGTCGTCGTCGCTGTCCTCTTCATCCATCAGAGCCATTTGGACAAAGTGTCGTATCCACGCTTCGTGGAGAGGATCAAGTTCGCCGTCCCCGGCTTGTCCTGCCGCGGCGCCGTTTCCCCCGTTCGCGGCCCCAACGACAGGCACCCGTTGTGCCTGGTTCCTCTGCTGGTTCTGTCGACGACCGCCCCGAGCATCCACGCCCCTATGCCCTCGACCGCCGCGTCCTCCACCTCGAGGCTGAGGGCCTCCTCGCCGAACTGGCGGCAAAGGTGCCGGCGGCGCAGCGGGCGGAACAGGTCCATGGGCTGCTGCGGCTGCAGCTCCTCCTCGACCGCCTCGGGGAGCTGGATCAGCCCCGATACGTAGGACGAGCGGTCCCTCTCGGGCAACGCCACCGGCGGGGGGGCGCGGCTCCTGGGCCACCTCGTCCGCATCCACCTCTGAATCGGTATCGTCAGGTTCCTCGATCTCCGGGACAATGTCAACAATCTCTACGGGTTGCGGCGCCGCTGGTGGCACAGGACCGCCGCCGAACCCGTTATCCACATCATCGCCGTCTCCGCCCTCGAGCTCCCACAATCGCATGTAACAGGACGTGAACTTGCCGTTGGGCTGTTCGTTGAAATGAGCATAGGGGTTCCGCGGATCGAGCCAGGCAGAGCATAAATAACAAAAGTGTGAGGCGCAGCGGAAGCAAATCATGTGGTTGCAGCCGTGTGTCTTCTGCGCCGGCACGCCACACGTCGGGCATGGCGTCGTGTGAAGGTTAATGTAATCGATCGAGGCCTGCTCCTCGGCCGAGATCTCGCCCTTGTCTCGTTTGGGCAGGCAGCGGAAGAACTCGCCGTGCCACGACTGGAAGCAGCGGCTGCAAAAGGCAAAACCGCAGTCTTCACAGATAGCCAGGAGGTCACCGGCATCGAACCCCTTTTTGGATTTTTGCTTCCCTCCCGCGCCGTCCTGCACGGCTGCTTCGTCTTCCTCGTCCGTGTCCTCATCCGAACTCTCAATGTCATCTAAGCCCTCAGGCTTTCTGTGTTTTTTCGACCTCGCAGCCCCGCTGCACCATGACCGTGGGCAGTAGATGGTATTCTTGTCAGACTCAAGTTCGTTCTTGTACTTGAGCGTCACATAACGGGTCACCATGTCTTGGGAGAGACCAATTTGCAGCAGTTCACTAGGGCTGAGGGCAGTTTTGACCTTCCGCTTCTTCGTCTTACCAGAGGCGCTGCGCGTCTCCGCGCGCTCTTTCGCACAGTTCGGGGCAAGGCAACGAACGGTGGCGAGGTCTCCTTCCGTGATCGCATTACTGTAAAATTCCTGCAGACACTGGGTACAAAAGATGTGCCCGCAATCGAGCATTTTGTGGCAAACCGACCCCTTTTTCGGATCTGTCCAGCTTGTCAGCAACAATGAATCGCCGGCCTTGAGGAGATCTCGTACCTAAGCAGACGCCGCAATCAAACGTTTCCTTTGCAAACGCGGCGCGAGCAGCCTCGATATCGTAGTCCAAGATGGCAATCTTGTGCGAGGGATCAATCTCCAGCGCGCCATTCCCATCCACCATTCCGAAAACATCGTCCGCAGCCTGTTGTACATGGTCGATATACGTAAACGCGACCATATCTCTGCCCATTTCCTCCCATAATCGGGAGCCTTCCTCTTCTATTTTCCTAGTAGCGTCCTTCGAGAGCCATGGCGGCGACGTGCTGATGCTAACATTGGGGGGTTTTTCTGAAGGGTAGCCCGGAGGCAAGGTTATGCGAACCACGACGGACGGCAGATGAGACAGCTCGTGAGAGTCAACTCTAGGCTCGACACCGGGGAGCTGAGCGGCGACAGGAACATCGACGTTAGAGGCGGCTGGAAATGTGACAGTTACAGGCTTCGCTGGGTGGACTGGGAGCTCGATCTTGAAGCAGTAAGGGTTCTTATCATCGGGCTCGATTTCGGGGAAAATGGCTTGAAGGGAACCCAGCTCGTCTTGGCGTGGGTCATCGCTGTCGGCGTCCATGGCTGCTACCTGTCGAAGATGGCGTGTGTCATACTTTTCGGTGCGACCAGATGCAAGATCAAGATCAAGCGGGCGCTGGGTAGCTAGAGGGATTGCAGCAGGGGGAGAGTACGTAGAGTTAGCGATGGGCACCGCGAAATATTTGAACAACGCCAGCACTAGTGGCAAAGTTGGACGGCAGTGATATTATTGTAGTAATGCAGATAAATAGTCGCGGAACCCGCGAGAAGTGCGACTGGCTATGATGGGCCCATGTCCGAACAAAGGCTGCTGTAGAGGGTTTGAGTTACGGAAGTTGCACGAGTGCCTAACTGAAGAAAAAAAAAACCAGGTACAAAACCGGCTGACCGGATTGATAATTAAATGATGACTCTTTGCCGCACGCATGGCATCGCGGGGCAAAAAGAAAAATTGGGGTTGCTCCCACGCTGCACCACAATCGCTCTAGCAGCAGCTTGCCGAGTGACAGAAGGGTCCAGGGCCAGAACCAGCCACAAGCCACAGGACAACCCGCTGGCTGGTGGGGCAGACAGCTTTCAATTGGTCCCAGCTTGGAACTATGCAACCTGACGTATTATGCAAATATGAAGAAGCTGGCATTGCAAGTGCGCAGGTGCAGCGCAACGGCCAGCGAGCACTTTGACATTTCCAGAGTGCTGTGCACCACGATCCGCGACATTCCCTCTAACTTTACCAGCCCCTGGGCTGAGTCGAATTTTACTCCTCCTACATTGCAGTCAACAGTCCTTTAACGAGGCATATGGAATTCCACGACTGAGCTTTAAAGAACCCACATTCTCCGGAGAGACAGTCTAAGAAGCTCGATTACAGCTGGACGTGCTGTTAGAGCCACGAAGCGGAAGCTATGGACGAAGACACGAGGCCTCTTGCCTCTCTTTCTCTCACCCACGTCTACTATGTAAGGCCAAATATTCATATGCCCTCTGTTCCCCAGAAGATTACTGACTTGTTTTCCCACCCCAACAGGACCCCGAAGACCCTCTTTCCTTCCTCTGCGCATGGCTCGCTTTGCTCCCGCAAGCCCTCTGCATCGTTTATGTGACCCTGATATGGTCGACCCGCGAGATCGAAATCGCTCTCATGTTCGCCGGCCAGCTCGGCTGCGAGGCCATAAACTTTGGCCTCAAGCGCCTTATCAAGGAGGAACGCCCCCGCCGCATCCACGGCAAGGGATACGGCATGCCCAGCTCCCACGCTCAGTTTGTCGCGTTCTGGTCTGTATTTCTCGCCCTGTTCCTGCTGGTCAGGCACCGACCATCCCCTGCGCGGCAACATCATCGCCCTTACTCGCTCATTGAGCGTGTCGTCGTCAGTGGCGCTGGTCTCTTCCTCGCAGCTGCGGTGGCGTGGAGCCGAGTTTACCTTAACTACCACACTGTGAAGCAGGTTCTGGTTGGGTGTTTGGCTGGTGCCATAACTGCCGTCGGCTGGTTTGTGGTAACGGCTGTTGCTAGGGAGGTTGGCCTCTTGACCTGGGGCTTGCAGCTTCCAATTGCTCGCCTGTTCAGATTTAGGGATCTTGTGGTAGAAGAGGATCCTTGCCAGTCAGGGTGGGACAAATGGGAAGAACGAAGGGTCGAGATAGAGAAACACAAGAGCAAATAAGTCAGCACATAGTTGGATTACTTCCACAAGCAGGGCGCGAACATGCAACTGGAAAACTAAGTTGTAATAGGTGAACCCGATGAAGGGCTCATGTCTGATATGGTTCTCCCTGTCCACAAATTTCATGTCACGTATTTTATATCATCTCAAGTTTGGCAGAGCCCTTTATCCATTTGAGCTATACTATAAGAAGCCTACTGCTGTGGCCACTTTCCTTCCGCTCACTAATGTCAAATCCATCTCGTAGCTATTCATACCATCGTTTTAATCCACCCACTCGAGAGCCAAATGCTCTAAAAACCTATCCTACCATGGGTGAATCCTGCACTCTCCAATGAAAGTCATTTTCGCCCCAAATCGTACACAACGTACATGAGTGCGTTGTTGAAGAGATAAAGAAACCAAACAATATGTAGACGTTATATGTCGTACAGGTATCTCCGCAAAAGAAACGCCAACCAATGAAATAGTAAAATATAAGAAGGGAAAGGTAGTTCTCCATCAACTCCGTAATGTGGCCGAAAGATCGTATCATGCGCTTTTTACCGCCCTATTCTAGACACGTCTATTGTATCGCTTCTGAACACCATGAAATACCAGTTGCGTGCATTTGTCGCTGGGTTGCCATCAGATCCAGTCACGTTTCTCGTGCTGGCCATCACACTGGCAATCCTGCTTAGTGCACTTGACTGGCGCCTTTTTACGCTGCGCAGGGTTATTGAAGCCGACGCCTTGCGGACTAGTGACTCTTGTCTTCTGAGGGCTACCGGGCCTGTAGACTGCTGGGCTCAGCGTAAGCTGCTCACCCTCTTCCTTCTTCAACTGCGACTGTCTAGGAACAGAGACCTTGGGAACCGCAGGTAGGTTCTTCATTCTTACATCCTTCTCCGATCGGATGGGTGATGGCACCAGCGTGTCGTCACCCTCAGAGTCAGAAAAGTCTGAAGAACTCAAATCGCTGACGACATCAACCTGCGCCAAAGGGCTAGGGCGCTTAGAGCCTTCGCCTTCCAGACCCTTAGGGCAGTTCAACTGATGAACACTGGAGTTATCCTGGAAGTACTGCGAGTTGAGAGGTGGCATGTCATCCACGTTCGACAAGCGCAGGCCAATCTGTACAGTGGCAGAAGATGCCAAGGAAGAGTCGCGGCGGTGGCGGATACCTTGAGGATGGATGGATGGCGGAGGCCTGAGGAAGAAGACATCGTCGTCATTCGCCTTGGAAGTAGGAGAATAGGTGGTGGCGGGAAGCAACGTGATAGACTTGGTGTTGTTATTGTTCTCGGCGGGGAACAGGGAGTAAGACCTCTTGCGCGCATGGGTCTTTGGCGCCTGGTAGGTTGAGACTTGCGCAGGCTCTGGTACTCTTACGGGTGAAGGAGCTGGCTTGGGGTATACAGCATGCTGTCGGAGTGGATTGGCATACGTCGGCGAGCCCGAGGGGCTCTCGATGCGTGCCTCTTCTTCCTTCTCAGGCACCAAGCTGTCGGTGCTGTCCGTCCTCGGGCGAGACCGTGCCCTACCAACAGGATTCATCATGTGGTTTTCGTAGTCACCATCGCCATTGGGAGCCCAAACACGGATGCCAGCCTTAAGCTTATTACGCTCAGACTCCCACTTATCGCGGGGACCGATGGTCGACAGGGTGTTTGACCGCAAGAATAAGTGGAGGCCGCCAGTCATTAGGCCTGAAACGTTGGCAACGACGGAGGCAATCATGGAGAGAGTGAGGGCTTGGCCATTAGCACCCCTCTGCTCAGTAAAAGAGAGGTTGAAGAAGAAGGGGATAAGAAGGCTCTAAACCATCAAGTTAGCATGGCAACCGGCTGGCGGGTTTCCTGTTTCAAGTGTGCTTACAGTCGAGATGAAGGCAACCGCCATGAAGTATACCATTCTTGACGCAGCAACACGTTCAGTGGCCTCGATTCTGGAGTTATTGTGTAGTCTAAAGAAGATGACCATCGTAGAGCCGAGTAAGGTTGCCGAGATCAGGGACAGGAGCACGAAGCAGCCTTCCTTCCATCGCTGGACAAACCAGAATAGCGAGGCAAAGCAGAAGTTGGGGGGGCGAATGAATAGAGTAACAAGGTAGGTAATAAGAAGGAAAGTGCCGACAATGGCTAGACAGATTGTAACATTCCACTTTCCACGAGGGGGCAAGGGATTTCTTCGCAGTGACCGAATGGCCACTTCGAGTGCGAAGACTAGTTGAATATAGGGAACAATGAAAACGGCTGTTTTCCATTAGCCAACGATTCTATGAACGTACCACAGACGCGGGAGCTTACCAGGCAGCATCAGCTGTGAAGTGATGGTGCAACCGAGAGTCAGTAAATGGTCGAGTCCAGTCGACTGGGCGATGGCGAAGACGATGCCTTGGAGAACAATGCCGGCAGACAGAACGAGAGGAAACGACTCCGCAGGCCCGACAAAGGTGAAGCCATGGGTTCTGATATCCGGTTAGTGAGAGTGTCCTAGATTCTAACGGTGACAATCGTACCTGAAGCCGAATTTGGGGTTGTTCCTCTTCGCCGAGCCATAGCTATCCCAAAGAATCCCGATTGCTGTCGCGAAAGCTGCAATGACGTTGAAAACAGCGAGGATAATGGTCGAGGTTCGAATCGATTTCGCCGCCTGGAAGCGGAACTGGTTGATCAGAGCCGATGTCGAGTTGTTCTGAGCCCTGAACGGCCCTCGTAATGAGCCATCACCGTCGTTTCCACCTCCACTCGTTAAGCCGTCGGTCTCAGCCCGCGTCCAAAGGTCACCTCCATGGGGATCCATCAAGCCCCAACTATCCATCTCGTCGATTAATCACCTGGCAATGGTCGAGGAGATGAGTGCAGGCGTCGAGCCGCAGAGGTGCCAGATATTAATTCGCCGTCCGAACCATCTAATCCATAGACCTGTTGAAGACGTTTTGTCGAGTAAGGGTAGGAGAGTGTGAAGAACGAAGGGATAGAAAGAGGAGAGGATGGAGATCGTGCGGATGGGATGGAGAAGTGAAAAGGGTAAGTGAAAAGACTGGATGGAGCGTAGAAGTCTGCCGCTCTTGGACGAAGAGGGCGGACGAGACGAAACAGACACTAGGCAAAGTAGGAACCTACGAATAGAAACAAGGAGCAGTAGAACCAGCCACTCAAAAGAAGGAAAGGGACCGGCCTGAAGGGAGGAAAGACCACTTCCAGAAGTCAGACGGTAGAGGGAAGGCCGCATGAAGAGGTCAAAAGGCGATCACAGAAGCGTGGAAGAGACCCAATAGGGGGCTAACAAGGGAGAGGCTCGGGAAGGGCCCCCGCGCGGGCCAGATGAGGTCCGGAGAGTTAGCCAAACCGCCAAATGGGGCCCAAGTACCAACCTTGAGCAAGGGTAGCACGGCTGAGGGGTGGCCTACCAGAAAGGCCAGACCAGGGGGGGCGAAGACTGGCAATCCAGAAGAAGAGATAGAGAGGGACGAGAGCGGGCGAATTGGAAAGCATCTACAGCTCGGAACGGTCCACAATTAGAGGGTGGGCAGTGAGGGGCTTTGATGGGGCCAGTGTCTCTTGACGTGCATGTTGCTGGTTAGAAGGTGGCTTCGAACAATCACAAATACGGCGATGTAGCTGGTCTTGGTCCTCGTCGGGAGGGCTCAGGACTGGGCTGGGCGCGGGATGGCGGCCATGTTCGTCACGACCCCGCCAACTCTGGCTGGGCTGATACCTGGATCCATCGTATCTCATGCCCCTTGTCATCCAACCAGCATGAGGTGCTCGGCATCCTGAGAACCAAGGGGAAGACAAGAAGCAGCAAGAAAGGTGGACTTTGTGCCGTTGCCCGTCGCAATGATCCGGCAAGAAGTGCTTGGAGGCGACCTAGTGAGTGCAGCACTGCGAGGCTTGGTGTTGGAGCATTGAGTGGCGATGAGGTGAAGCAGTGATGTAACACGTCTTGGTTTCGTAGTGTCGCCCAAATTGCCTGAGCCCCTGGCACTGAGGTTGCGGGCGACAAGGTTTGACGTTGGACTTGAGCCCCAAATCTGGGGGGCACTAGGAGAAAAGTTTGGCTGCTATGCCTGATTCGGACTAGTGTGGTGTTGCCAAATCAGTGGATCAAACCGCCGCAGGGATCGTGGAAGGGGCGGCTGATGGTGATGCCGAAACCTTTTCTGTTCCCTTATCCTCCTCCTCTTCCTGCTTGCCTTGCCTGTTGCCCTGGTCTCTCCATCTCTACCCGTCCGTCCCTTCTGATATCAGACAGTTCAGTCTGGTGTGCCTCTTGTACCTGAAGAACTGGTGGGTGTGGTGAAGTCTATCTAAGGTACTACTAGTAGACCAGTGATGGGAATGGCCTCATTACATCGGCGGACGTCGAAGCACTCCAGCCTTTCCACACCACTGTAGTCCAACCACAATCAGTTCACATGATGGTTGATTTCAAAGCATGCCCAACTGTTCTCGAGGGGCGCGGGCTATCGGCTTGCTGGGTCGAGTCAAGTGCACGAATTATGCCGCATACGAGTCGCTGCCGTTGGAGGGCGGACGGCGAAGGCGAAGTCGATTTGCCCAGCCGGATAGACATAATCTTGGCGGGACAATGACTGGGCCTCGTCTGTCTTCTCAACCTAGTTCGCTAGCCCTGCTCACGGGGTGTTTCCGCCAGCCGGAGCCATGGACAACATCAGCTATATTCATCCTGCACGTGTCTCTCGCCACGACAGATCCTGGTGTTGACAGGGCTGGCGCTGCTCAACCCATCCATACCATGAGGTGGATGCCAATCAGAGAGAATGTTGTAAAGGACAGGCATTACTGTTTCCTGAAGTATCTTGCTGTCGGCAGCCTCTTGTTGGACGAGTCGACTTTCATAGTGGATGATCTAGTTCGTCTGTTTCCGCAGATTTGTATTTTTTTTTTGGAGCGATGAGGCAGATGCTGTGTCATCTGAGCTGAGATGGCCTGTACATTGGGGGTTTGACAGGGCTCGATGACAGGGGTTGGTGGCCTTCGAGGCCCTGCTCAGCTCTGACAGACTCTTTTCCCCCTCCACATTTACATCAGCCTAGACCTACAGCGGCTAGGACGGGCTACCTTGAAGGAATCAACCTGGATGTAAATGGCACGCTACGCTTAATAGGCTTGCAGGGTGTGCGATGGCATTGCGACTCGCCACCTGTCAGATATGATGAGATTTGGAGAGAAGTGCACCTTGCGCAAGGCCCTCAAGAGGCAAAGTACGAGCGCCAAAGCTTAACGGGGGCGGGGACAGATAGGCGATCCCAAACCATTGCCACGAGACAGGCGTCTGTATGGGAATTGCGCTCCCATCACAATCTCGACGATTATCATGTTCATTGTCGCTCAAATCTCGCGATCCCTCCTCGACAACAGACAAGATCTGCGAAAAGAGGGTCGACCGCTACGCCCTACGGCAAAAGCTGTAGTCGATTCCAAAGCAGTGGGCACAGGGAGACAAGCTTAGAGGCTAGTCAATAGTGCGACACTATTCCTCCGAAAGGCAGGAGTGGCGCCAATCCGGATCAGGTGCCAGTCGCCGTCAAACACTGTAATTTATCTCCAACATGTCAACCCTACAGATATTGAGGGTGTCACTAGTTAAGGCGCTAGTTGAACCTTCAACCGCAAGCTTGGTTCATTATCTCCACCGAGGAAATAATCGCAGAGCCCGGTGGAAGATGGCTGCTCCGAGATGAGGGACTACGTAGGCTCAAAGACGTTACTGCTCTCCCGCACCTTTAGGCTTCCCGTGCGTCCGGGGTGGCCCACCTTCATTGCTGGTCCGGTCCTCGCTGTCGATCAAACAGATGTTCAGACTGGCATACATCAGGAGAAAGGTATCTCGACTCTCAAGCGGCACTCGACATCTTACGATGTCCAAATATAGCGGACATGACCGAGTCTCACTTGAATTCGCTTGCCTTTCTGAGAACCAACCGGTTGTTACGTTCGGTGGTTCTGGACGCTGCTTGCCGCTTCTCCCGGGCAAAGACTGTGATGTTCGAGAAGGGTTCTTTTCCTCACAATTGGGTAGCTCAAAACCCGTCATTCGGGCTGTCCGCAGACTGGCCGCTCGCCAAGGACCGCTATGCGGAGGGCTCTGTCGTCATTATCCTAGCTAGAGGATCATCACCACTTCCCTAAGCATCTTTGCCGCATATGTGCCTCTCAGTAAAGAGCTGTTGGGTGAGTAGATTGGACATGGCATACAAGTGGCAGTGAACTATCGTCTAAACTACAGGATTTCCATTTCGCTATCCTTTTGTGTCCTGTAATAATACTTCTAATATCCGCAATTGAGTCGTCTAATGTCTTCTGACAGAAGATGTACACAATCCCATCTGAAATCACTGTGGTAGTAGTTGCAGTATTATTCCGGCATGGTGTTTCATCTCAACCGCTGTTCGCACACTTGAAAATCATTTCAGAAACCTTCAGAGTCCACGAAAAGTGGGATTTAATCACGATCAACCAAATATGTTAACACCAAGATTGAAGACAAAAAATCCCAAGTAGGAAGTGATTACCATTTCCTAGATCATGATTTGTACTGGAGTCGTGAACTAGCGATCACTGTCAGAGGTCAGAGGACGACTGAGTCGAACCTGTGTGTTTCGATTCGTCTCTAGGTAGCCGACTCATTTATGTGGGCTTCCGTTGTCCTTGGCGAACGTCTTGGCTTGAAGCACAATAGTTAGGATGGCATATTATTTCCAGGCGAGGATAGCCTCTTCTAGAGATCTCGCGTGGTTGCTCTGCAGAACTGTGTGCGAACCCGCAAAGCGGATCTATCTCCTCGGGGGTCTAGGTGTTGGTTTTGGTTACGACAAGGCCATCCGGCAGATCCTTGCGCAACCCATATTTTTCACTCATTTCAAGGCGCAGATAGAGTGCTGTTGTACGGGAACACGATGGTAAACGAGGCCGTAAACTGACTCACGATCCCATGTGCTTACTCGAGCTCCTCCATGGAGGGGTTAGAGAAAGCCTTCAACACAAGACCCATTCATGGATGGCAAACGGATCTACGGAGAACGACAAGGCTTTCCTCCATATCCCGCCGGTATTATCGCTATCATTTTGGCCGCGTTGGCACACATTGTTGATCTGCTTCACATGTTGCCGTCCGCGATATTAAATTGTGGCCGTTCTGGTGTATGACTATCTGATCCGGCGCTTCATAGAAGGCAATGATCGTCTTCTACTGGTCAGAGATTGTTACAAAAGCTCTTGTATCCAGGAGGAGGAATGGGCGTTCCGGATGTCCTTTAGGCTTCATTGCCAACTCCGAAGGGGCGATCTTCGTCCAGCCGGCGCATCCAAGTTTTAGTGTGCCATCAGAATCCCGTTGTATAGGCGGCGGCGGAGGCATTCCTACAAACTGTTCGATGAGATTCCTCCGGCCTTCTCGATATTGCTCCGGGTTGGATTTAGAGTGAACTATGATCAGTACTGCCTGCAGCTAACGACTTGTGGGTTTTTTACTTCATGGTATATACTCGCATTCGCACCGTCGGCTCATCCTCTTTGCATTTTTTCCAGCAGACACGACGAGTCAAGACACTGTAAACGAAAATGCATGCCATAGAAACAGTTTTGTCGCAGATTGACTGCTGAGAAGTAGTCGGTAGGCAAGATTGTCTAGCGCGCCCGTGACGCAACGGCAGGTCCAGCTGTCCTCGACTCGTGCAACTAGTAGAATGTTTCTTGAGTCGTCTACGAAGTCTTTTTTTCTTTCTTTTTTTTCTTCTTTCTTTATCAAACAGAGGGAAAAGTGGACGTTCGGCGACCGTGGAGTTTTGGCCCCCACAGGAATATCGCATATTTGGGAGTTGAGCCGAGCACTTCGTTAACTTTACATCTACTTGTAACCGCTTACGTAGCTTCATTAGCCACCCACCACTATAATTTAATATCTAATAAACTGACATATGAATGAAATATTATGGGAAACAGCAATATACGAGATATGGTATCGGATTGAACCGCTACCTTAAGCAACGCGATGACGAGTTCTGTCTTTCTTGGCTGAATCACAGAAATACAAGCGAGCCCAGTGGAACACGCCCACAGCAATCTTTCCTGTCTCGAAAACCCTGACTGGTTAGGGAAATGGGAGGAAAAAACATGACATTGATCCGAGGCATACGGAAGACTTTCTGTGAGTCGGGTGTATATTGCAGCGCTGTTGACGTTGTGTCCCTTGCGCTTGCTGTTTGGAAAAGACACGACTGCCCAAGAAAACGGATATGATGCCACTTAGCCAAGACACAAGAACCAGCTGTGGCTGTATGAGACATAAGTTCAAATTTACAATTCTTAGGGTGTTGGGGCAGCGGCCACTACCGCCTTGTTCGTATCCGAGGCCGACATTTATTTCTACAGATGTCCTTTTTCGGAGCGAAATGCTGCCGGGGCCGCCCGAGAGACCGGTCTTCCGGTAGAGGGGTTTTGTCCCAGGCTGGAAACAGAAGAGTAATCACCGACTGTAGCGGAGCTGAAAACTCTTTCAGACGCCGTCACTTTGTTGGCTATGGGTTTTCTAGCGATGATGCCACGGGTTGAACAGCCAAATGCGTAGTTATGTTCGCCGTATATCACATGTCAGAACTGATAGCATATTTTAACGTTGAACTATTGCCACTTTACAGCCAAGATGCTTTTACTTTGGCCCTGCTCTTTAGCGTTGTCGCCGTGGCGGTACTGAGCTACTCAACTTACAATGATCTTGAAGATTTTCGCAAATATTTGTCATTTGGCTCGAACCAAATTACCACGAGAGGCATATGTTGTTATTGCACGGGGTGGTACTGTTTCCTTCATTTGTCTATCACTTTATGTCCTCGCTCAAGCACACCAAGAATTACGAACTGACTTCGGTGGGACGAACTGTGCCGTGTAGCGATTCTAATATTCCTCATCTGCCTTTGCGATAGGTGTGTGTTACCCAACTACGCGCCGGGTACAGCCGGCATTCTGGCGCAATACATGGCACGAATCTTCTGGTAGTAGTTCGTCAGCTCTCTTGACCTTGCTCATACCTTCATCTGCCGGGACTTTCGTGCTCATATGTCTGTAATGTATTTTAGGCGGATGACTTCCAAAGTAGCACAAGGCTATCATGGCAACGTTAAATAGACATACCAACAATGTGAAATGATGCCTACAAGCTACATACAAGTAATCTCAGTATTCGCTTCACCTGCCATGCTCAACTGGATTAATTGGGTTAAGAAGGTGCCACTCACTAAGCAATGGAAGATATCAGAACCATGAGCAGCACGAATTGCTATGAACGAAATAACACTCTGTTGTATCATTCAATGATTGACGTCTTTCTCCTTCAAATATTCTCTCAGGCTAGCCCATACACCCAAGGATGATCATACAGCTATTGGACACTTCATTGAAACAGGCAGCTATAGACAACCGACACTGTAAGGCCAGATCAACCCCTAAGGATCTAATGGCAGATTTCATTACACACTATGTGGTCAGCTGTGATTGAAGACTTTTCTAATGGAGTTTCTGTCCGTTTTGAAATGAAGATATCGCGCGGGAGGGTTAGTTTCTTGTCAAACAACATAGCCTATACAGAGGAGTCCCCGGTTGATCACCTAACATAGGTACTTCAGGATAGCGCTTCCTCAGCTTTCAATCAATCTTCCTGTTAATTTACCCCGTGTTTGCCGCCAGGAGTGGAGACTTATACTCCAGTGTTCATATGCCAACAGATTCGGAAGCAGTTGTGAAGACATGTCACAAGAGGAAACTAACAAATCAGTATGCGAGGGTGATTGCCCCCAATAAAACTTTTGAATGCCAGTTACAAAAACAGATGATAGACCGAAAGTGAGCCAGCCCATCCGAAAAAGTCGTGGGGTGGCCTTTTGATCCGTGAAACTTGCCCGTATGAGCTGGCGTTCCGTAGTTGTTGATGATACACATTCCCATACCAGTTGATTGACATGCCTCTCGTTTGGTGCCAGAAACAAGACACGAGATAATGATTCAAAACCGCCTCCAGCCGCGGAGAATATTCTCATCCCCTGCTGAGATCGACATGGAAATCATCCGACGCCAAATGTCGGATGGACCCTTGACGAGGCAGACTATTACAGTAGGAAGCTGCGTTTGGTTCGAGGAGTTGAGAGGGTCAAAAGGGTGAAGCCAGTTCCAGGAGGGTAGTATCGGGGTTTTACATCCATGGTCACGGTGGAGGCCGATTGGGTACGCGAGACGTACCGTAACGTGGAGAAGGATATTCGAGCGCCGCGACGAAGCGATTGGTGCAAGTGAACTACGTGGTTGGGGCATGATATGTTTGTCGAGAGCAAGGTGGGAGCGATGAGAATAACATCTCCGAAAAGACGATTAAACCTCTTAAGGAGCATGCCGAGGGTCAGAACTTGAAGCGTATATCATCTGCATAAGCTCGAGCCAAGAATGATTTATTGGTGATGGATTATCAAGTAACTTACTAGACATCAGACTCCCAGGTTCGCTTACTCCGATACCTATGTAGTCAGTGTTTCGATTTGGGGCTATCATTCATCCATCTATTTCATGATATGGACTGTCGGCCCTTTAAGCAAAAACGATCGGGCTACTGGTGATATAGGTTCATCGCGGGCATGGCATATGGATGTCATTGTATCGCTATCCCAATGAGAATTAAACCTGTTGCAACCATAGAGAGGACCGTTCGGCAGGATAGTTGGCGGCAAAGTCGAGGCTGGCTCACATTTACGCCTTATTCACCAAACACTAGTCGTCTGTCTGCACGCTCTATCTATGCTGCCCAAATGATCAGGTCAAGTCAAGACACTCATCGCTCTCCTAGATACCATCTACGTTATACTTGGCACTTACTACCTGTGGCGGCTTCCCAGTGAATAATGATTTATATCGACGAGGACTTGTCTGAATACTTTTAGGCTACAACAACTTATGCTACTAAGCAAGTGAGGAGATGATTTCTTCCTAAACATCGCAATAACGATCACTAACATGAATTAACTAGAGAAACCACTGTCCTAGAGTTAAGAGACGAATTCCCCATTGAAGTCTGCATGTTGATACCTCACGTATAGGAAGTGGTTGCCGTTAGTCCAGCCTGGTTGAGAAAAGTGAAAGAAAATGGGCCATCCCGATAACATTCTACTTTCTTCTCAACATTCAGCTTTACAACACAGTTAACATAAAGAGGTCTTATTCAGGGTCTTAAGATATCAACTGTAGCCGCCTCATGCCATTGAAGCCGCAAGCCATGCATACTCAACCAACTCGCTGCAGCTTTTGAGTGAATTTTCGTCATAGGTAGGCGATTTGAATTGTGTTCTTGGTAGCTTTGGGAATTTTTCATCCTGTCTCAGAATCAGTATGGTTGTTGACGAGCAACGGGACATTTCAGCGCATGTTTGAAAGATACTCAGTAGTCCTATTCGAGGTTCTAACAGATGACGTTACCTTAACTTACATGAGAAGGCACATTGTTCCTTGTATATAATGACAAAAGGGCTTTTAAGGCTAGCAACTGGGATCCTTCGGTCGGCCATCGCAGTCTAAGTTCAGCGATTCGTGGGCATGGAGACGTTGCTTCCCATTAACATGTGGCTACTTGTAGCTTGTGCCTACTATGTCAGCTCGAGTAGAGGCCCAGGTCTACGAATTCTCGTCGCTTCTGATGATAAATCCAAGTCAACTGTAAATAAGGGAAAAAAGCCTGTTTTTTTTTTTTTTTTTTTGTGAAAGATATCGTAACGTATCGTCAATGGGGTGGGGTGATTCTAGGGAGAGCATGGTCTTACGACAGAATCTTGTTTTTCGAGATCGATAAAATCACTTAGGCTACCACTACTGTAAGCCTTCCAAGTCTACACATTCCATTCGCTACCTGCAAAACATTTTAGTTGCCGCCGGTGTCTATTACAGCATCCCGTCCGACCTAAAGAACGGTGCCGTGTGCGGCATTGGCGTCAGACACTCAATTCCTTCCGACTTCAGTCAGTAGCTGGGAGAGGCGGGAGAGGCGATCCGGCTCGACTTCGAAAAAAGGCACGGGAATACTACCCTATTGTTCTCTTCCCACTCTATGACCTTCACGCAAGAGAACTGACAAATTTACTGTGGAACTATCTTCACCCTTCACCGTTGATGTATAGAAAGATAACCGGTGCCACGATGAATAAGAGTATCCAGGGTCTAAGGTCTCATATTTAGACGAGATTCATTCGAAAGAAGCCATTGAGAGGCATATTATACACAGACACTTCATATCTCACCTCTGACCTTATAGGACATCATCTTGTTTAGAGGTTCTTTCTCGCACCCTGGGCCTTGAAAGCAGCCGAGATCTCGCCGAACGCAACATAGATCGCGTAGAGGGGGATGAAGACCCAGAGCATGTTGAAAAATACCAGGTACACCCACATGTACATGAAGTTGCTTGTGTCGAGGTTGATGTTGCCGGTCAGCCACTCGGGGCAGAAGGTCATAAATCCTGTGGTGCCTTTTTAGCTCACATGCAATTTATCGAGTCTTGGAAAACTCACCTCCGTAAAGCTCCGCGGTCGCAATGATGATCATCCAGATGTTGACCCTGGGGTCACGCTTGGCGATGCAATAGCAGATCCATACAGCTAGTGGGCCAGCACCGAAGACGGTCAACAGCTCCAGGGAAACCACGCCCTGTGGAAATTTCTCGTTAACAACATTGCTCCCTTGTGATGGTGGAAACATACCAAATCTACACCCGCCCATCTCTTATCAGCCCGGGCATATACCATCCATAACTGAGCAAAGGGGTTATCTCCACCCGCCTGGGCGCCATAAATACGATCCGAGTAGCCAAGGAAGTTGGCGGGGGTCGGGTGATATCCGGAAAGATCGGCGTCGGGAATGTCGGCAACGTGAGTGTAAGTGAAGAAGCAGTGGTAAAGAAAACTGCCCTCAAGAAAAAAATGGATCAGGGCATCGAAAGCATGCCAGATGAAGAGGACGCGGTAGCTCGTCGAGGTTGAGGCATGAAGTACGCGTCGGGAGACGGCGATGGCGATAGCCAGGAGAACGACAGTCGCAGCAAGGGAAATGAGTGTTGTCTGGTCGAACAAATCAGGTGGAAGGGTGGATGATACGTTCGACATGTTGGGCAGATTTGATAGACAGGTAATTGAGGCGATGGAGGCTCAAAAAGGGTGTTGACGAAGCTTAATTGCTGGTTGAAATTGGCGGTGGGGGTGGTGTAGCGATGGAATTTCGCGACGTGAACTTGATGATCCGTGCGCCGGGATTGGTGACCCGGTGTGGGGAAAATTCAGCCTTTGAAGTTCCATTGTTGAGCAAGGGCCTGCAGGAAAGCGCAAGGTTCAACCTTGGTGCAGCTAACGTCACTGTGATGTGTTCTTTTATCCTATGTCTCGCATCGACAGAAATAATAGCAATAGTAGCAACAACGTTCACTTTGTTAGTCAGTTTTCTTGAATGGTCATTAAAACTTCAGAACATGTTGTATCGTCACAAATCAGTAAAGTTGTTAGCAATGTAGTGACATTAGGACTAAGCTAGGTATGCTGATCCGGACCATTCCCAGGCGTCATTGCCTCATTGCATTATTTGTATCCCATTCCCAAACGCCTGTCCGTTGATATCCTCCCGCAGTATTTAGGGGTATCATCGAGGGAGGAGCGATTTAGTGCTTGGCGGCCTCCTTGTGGACGTCCGCCTTGGTGTCGTGGTGGGTCTCATCGATCTTGTCACCAAGAGCATCCTTGGCGGCAGTGGCACTGAGGGAAGAGTATGTTAGTACAATGTTCCAATTATAATATTGAAGAAATGTAAAAAGGGTAGATGAGCTTACCGGCTGCCGAGGGAAGCGTTGTTGTCCTTAGCGACGTTCTTGTTGGCCTCCTTGGAGGCGGTGGAGGTGGCACCCTGAACGGTCTCAGAGACGTAGTTGGCGGCTTGCTTGACGGTCTCCATTGTGAAAGTTGGTGGTTGGTTGGTTGGTTGGTTGGTTGAGTAAAAGTGGTAGTTGTTTGAGTTGTTTTTATTGCTTGTATTTGCTTGTTGTGTGATGAGGAGAAAGAAAATTCTGGGTTGAAGGGGAGGGAAGATGAGGTTTATATAAGAAGTTGGAGGGCAGGTTTGATGCCGTGAGAAGGATAGTCGCTATTTCCCGTGTCGTTGTTCCTGGCAAGCAGGTAGGTACCTGCCCCGCCAACCTTTGCCTGGTTGAGTTCAGACTGAAGTCAGAAAGGCAGGTACGTGACGTATACCTCACACAGAGTAGGCCACGGCCGATATGGAAGGTATTAGACCATGTACCTGCCCCTCTGCCCCTCTGCCCCTCCCCCTCGTTTGGTCTTTCCGCACGCTCGTGCGTGTCTCTCCGCGTGTCTTGCCTCTGGGGAATGCCAAAGTGTGCCTCTAGCGTAGTTTCACCCCATCTGGGAAAGACGCTCAGGGTCTATCATGTGAATTGAAGAAATGGCGTCATAGACTACGTTTCTCCTGGTCCTTTCCCCCTAGTCAAAGATGCCATATACCGATTGCGTGGGAAAATCGCCTCAGGAGCCAACGGGGGAGGTGCCGCAGCAAGAATGGCCGAACATGGCCCCATACGGAGCTTTCGGTCTGCTTGGGGGCGGTCTCACCAGCCACAGCAACGGAGCTCCAGAAGCTAGCTTAGAGCTTGGAGCTTGGTGGATCAGGAGCACTATCTGGATAAGGAATGACGTCACAAGCGCCTATGCAGGCAAGAGCAAACAACAGCGCTAACGTCATAGCGTCACCGCGTCGATTGAGGCTGGGCGAGGGTTTCCTTTCTACCTCTAGGTGCCAAGACTCCACCTGGCTTTCGCGTTTGCGGTGGACATGCCACATGCAAAGAACATTGTCGCGCAATTCGCGTAATGCTGGATGTCAAAATACGTCAGCCTGTCGATTGCTCCCGGGTGGCCAGCCAACCAACTCACACATGGATGACATGGTTCCGTCAGGAGGATGGCATTTTTGCAAATCTCGATCCTATGGTTTGTGTCCCCCACCCCTTTCTGGGACACCACTTTCTGTCAATGGAGCACCTCCACATTCTGATAGAACGCCACCTAGCAAGGGAGCCTCTTGGGAAGCTTGCAGCCACAGTGGACCATACACTGAAGGGCAGAAAGCTAAACACGGATAGCAGCAATGCAGCATTCATTTCGCTGATGGGTACGGGCCTGGGGACGACTGGGTTGCATAGAATTTCAAGTCTTCTGATTGGCAACGTCATCGGAGAGCTGCCTGTACAATGACGCACCATACAGGTAGCTCCGCGCTTTAGAGAACGAAGGACCGTTCTGGCCCTCCCAAAGCGTACAGGGGAAAACGGGGCCTGCCCTCTTAGCCTGCCCGCCTGCTGCTTTCTGGCCTTAACCTCCCTGTTGAGCCCGCGTCTGCGTCCGTCCTCTGGATGCGGCAAGACGCGGGTTTCGATTGTGCAAAAGGCGTAGGCCGGTGAATTCCCGCAAAATCAGATGATTGTTTCCCGATTCGCCCATCGACAATATGGACGTCTGTATGTCATCGAGATCTCCCCCTTGGTCCACGATCATTGGAACACCATCGGAAACGCCTATTGAAAAGTCGCTTCCACCCACGGACATTCTGCTCCGGCAGATAGTGGCTGCTCGTTATGTCTCATGTGACGCCCAAGTGGCCCATTGACGGACGAGTACGATGCGAGGAAATGGTCGATGCATTTCCAAATACAGCAAGTGTTTTTCTCACTGTCTGACAGCACTCAACCAAACCTTGGTGCGATTGTCCAAGTCAGCACTGCGTCTGACAAAATGCCTTCATCACAATATGCGGAACTCATGCCAGGCCCGCTAGTATGCCCCTCCACCCAAGAGTTCTTGCCTATGCAGAACTGCTTGAATGGTCTCGTGCCACATTGCGAGGTTTGCCTCCCTCCGCAGCTGCTATTTTCGCTGGTGCCGCCTTCGTCTGTCCAGTTCTCAGCCAGGGTATTAACCCACGCAAAATACGTCATCAAGACGACACCCGAAAAGGACATTAGAGGCCTCTTTCTCTTACCAATCCTGCTCTTGAGCAATCAAGTTACAGCAGACCCTGAAAAGGATCCCGATGCCAAAATGCCCCTCCACTGCCCCTCCACTGCCCCTCCTCTGCCCCCCTCTAACCGCGCCTTTCTTATTGCGAGATGCTTTGCTCTGCATATCCCGCATCCCACATTCCACACATTAAGGTAACTGTCAATCAGCGGGCCTAGTGTTAGTTCTGGCGCGGGAAACCCCAGCGTCAGCATCTCGTTTATCACCTGGGACTGGAGCCATGTCGTCAAGCTTTCGTTAAGTTGAATTGGCAAGTGCATAAGCTCTCTAGTTTGCTGGCTGGCTACCGGCGCTCTCCATGTCAGCCGTCAGTGTCGCGTCTGACGTCATCGTCACAGATCTTTAGCTATTGTTGTCAGTCACATCAGTCTGATCCCGAATATGAGACTACGGCTGCGTTCCGAGGTTTTGGGCAGCCGAGAGACCACCCGCGCCACGTATGTCTCCGTTACTGCAGGCCTCGGTGGACCAAAAGTCCATTGGTAGGCACGCGAATTGACGCACTTGATCGACTGATCTGGGTAGAGATGGAAGAATACGACCAAAGACTTAGCATGAGGAGAAAGCTGCGGAACGATACGGTCGATCGTGGACGCTAAGGCGCGCGCCAGGCGCCCCGCCTGGCAGCTTACCCCGTGCAGCGATTTTCCGTAGCCCCTGATGATCGATGCTACAGTTGGTCATCGACCGTATCGACGGGTAAGCCTCTCCGCTTCGGCGACGGCGCCGTGTCGAATCAGCCACGGCGGCCCAGAAGTCCGTTTCTCAGACTTGTGGGGGGTTGAACATGCCTCAGACAACTTCATTGCTTTGTGCTCCTGTTTTGGCCTTTTTTTCCTTCTGACCAGGCCACACGAGAACGGGTTTTAGTTGCATACCACTAAGAAGCTCTGGGAACTCACATTGAGGGGTAAAAGAGGCTTCCCTTGCGTGTCTGGTCTCAGGCAACTTTGTGTGCCGTCACATATGCAATTAAGTTTTTAGCATGAGAGTGATATGGAGCTTGGCTACCTTGGCGGACTAAGCTTGACCTCCAATACGTAGCTTGATACGTTTGCTATGGTACATCCCCCGCGTCTCATTTGATCTGCTGCATCAAGAAATGCCTGTCCAAATTAGTATTGGACAAGCTGGGACCAGAAATGTCACGAGAATGCGGCCTCTGGGCAAAATCGCATCCAAATGAAAGAAAGTACATTTTTGAACCACCACATCTTACAGGCGGAATTTAGTCAGTGGAGTGAGACGATTTATGATCTCCGCATGCACATCTCCCAGTGCTTGCAAGACGTGCAGACCCTCTGCACGCATAGCAGCGTCTGCCTGGAAGGGCTTCCAAGGTTGCTCGTCGCTCTTGCACTTGTCCCAGCCTGACAAGATGCCGTCAGCATCGGCAACGGGTTGCGGCGGGACGATGCCTTTGTGAAGGTAGTTGCGTATTTTGCCCAAGGCACAGAGCGAGACTGCGGCTAGGGTGGTATGTCCCTCAGCCTGGACCTCAAAGACTCCTGCGTTGACAAAGTTCTGGGACATCTCGACGGCATTGACGAGCGGCGTGACAGGATCAAAGGTGGTACTTGCGAACAGGATGGGGAAGGACGTGTTGACGGGATCCGGGCTCTGAAGGTTCGCGTCCCAATCTGGGCTCGGGAAACTGGCCTCGATGTCCCAGCCCTCACACGCCATCATGAGAGACATCCACTAACGTGCGGTGAGTTCTGTGGCCGTGTCCCTAGGATACGAATAAACTTACGAGTCCTGCAAACGATGTGTATTCGGAAGTCCTCTTGTATAACTCGTTCAGAGTCTCGTTACGCTATCAAGGAGGCCGTCGTGTCAGGCTTTGCTCGTCTCGATTCAACAACATATAGGCTGGCACTTACCTTAGGCCGTCGGTCGCTGCAACCAACGGCCGCAAAGCTCTCGTCGAGACTGATAGGAATTTTGAAGTCTGCATTACACATTGGGGTCAAGTCGGGATATATAAGCAATGACGAGAGGTCGCCCGCTTCATAGATGATGTTCAAAATGTGGGCGATTATGGAGAAAGTACGCATCGGAGAATACAGCGCTGTGAAAAAGGACTTCTGAATGTCGGCTTCCATGATCACTACAGGCATATTAATATACCTGGAGACGACAATGAGCGGCTCTGCGCGTAGCCCGCTGATGACTCTATCGTATCGTGCCTTTATATCTTTTGCCTCGTCGCCCTGGCGGAAGAGAGCACACTTTTCTTCAGCGAGCTGGCAGTAGTAGAAGAATCTTTCGACGATTGAGTCCGCGTCTCTCATATTTGAAACCCACTCTGACTGTCGAATGTCAGTATTTGCCTTTACCAAGGTTGGTTGCGGAGGCTCACAGGTGTGTTATACACATTGGATGCCACTACCCCATCAAGGATGAGCCGTCCCACAGCGTCAGCTATTAAATGAGATTGATCAGTAATCTCACACCAGTACATGTCAATCACATCGAGTGTAGGAGGATGGCATACGATACATAGAAGCAAACGTCTGCCCTAATAGCGAGCCGTAGCTGAAGCCCCAAAATACGAGCTTGCGCTTGGTAGAAGGCGGAGCAGCTTCGCTCGACGACCGTTTCTCAACTCCAAGTGCAGCAGTTTCGAAGCCATTTTCCTCAAGCCAGTCGTCGTGAGCGTCAACAATGCTTTTCATGTCCGCCGCCACGTTCGGCGTCGCCATGTACCGTAATCCACTCTCCTCGCTGTCCTTCTGTGAACACAACTTTGACGCAGCTCGGGCCCGATGGGCGAGTATGTCCATTGCGTCGTTGGTGCCATTTGGTAAGCCCACGTCGTGAGCCATAAGCAGCCACGTCAACCTGCGCATCATGGCAACGTTGTCTGCGCCTGGGGACGGCGTGGTAACGTGCTCCGTGAAGCAATCCGCGGACGGCACTGTCGCGCCAATCCCTCGGGGGTCAAAGCCAATAAGGTCTACATTACCGCCCACGGCGGCCTGAATAATAGGGCCGGCATTTGAATACACGAAAGCCGTGCCGACGCCGCCGGGCCCGCCCGGGTTGAGGAGGAGGGGCGACTCGGAGAAGCGGCCTGTTTCAAGACCATGACCCGCAGCCGGAAGGAGAACTAGGGCTATATAGACCTGCGGGCTGTCTGAGGACTGAGTGAGTGGCCGCTGGTAGTCCATTGGGACGGCGAGGCGGGCGCATAGAAAGTTGCCGGGGACCATCAACGGGAGCTCGCAGCGCACCCAGTGCAGCTGCTTACTGGTGGGAATGTCATCCCAGTCGTTGTAGACAGGAAAGGGATAGGAGCCTGGGCGAAGAACAGCATTACGGTCATAGAACCACTGGTGGAGTTTCCAGGCCCAGACGATGAAGAGGACGAGGCCGAAGATGAGAGGCCGACTCCATTCTCGTCGTTTCAACGGGAGGTGGGCTGATTGGGGAAAGACGTTTGAGTCAGCGAGAGTTTTCACCGACATGATAGAGTGTACAGCTGTCGCAGCAATGCGTAAATGCAACAATTAGAGACGTGAAAGCGCCAGTATCTTTCGGCGGGAACGAGTGCAGGACGAGGGAGCTGGTCGGCAGACGAAGAGCCCGCTGGTGAAAGCCGCAGAAACAGATGCAGGGGAAGCGGCTGCCTGCATCTCAAGGCTTCTGGAAGAAGCGAACGGCGGGCCAGATGCACTGTAGAAAGCCTGAGGCTCTACTGCACCAGTGCGGCACAGAGAATCAATGCTGGCCAGTCAAAGTTCACGGATGGCTCGTTTTAGCTTTGCTACTTCTTGAGCTGATCTGATCATTGTAGTGTGTCTTGAAAAGCAAATGAGATGCTCAAAGCGCATTATAGGTACATATGTCTCTCGAATTGCTTGACGCGGCAGACTTGACGTGTGCAGCGATTATGGTGTTGGACACTTCTAAGGGGCGCTCCTAGAGGCACAGTAAATCGGACACACTCTGGACGTTAAAGAACGTTTGGAGCCGGCACCGCAGCGTCAAGAAGCTTTGTGACAGAGTCTAGCCGGTTCTTGGAATATTCCGGCTGTGATATTGCAGCGCTAGTGGTTCCAAACTTGTAGTGACAGCTGGGTTGGTGGAAACGCAAAGGACGAGTCAGGCGACTCCAGCCCAGTAAGTTCAGGGAGACCGGTGATGGCTTCCTTGATCCATTTCGGGTACCGGCTGGATCGCAGAGCGCGTCTGGGAGTGGTCTTGGCGTGTACGATAAGCGACGAGCAGGTACCAGTAAGAAATCCCGCGATGTTTCCTTGTTTTGGGTGCGTTTGGGGTCAGAACCCACAGCAGCAACTCCTGCTTACCACCAATTCAGCCTAGTCTGGCGACGGAAACGAAAGCTAGGGCGACGGCACTGTCGCTTGATAAACGGCGGATGTATCCATCTTGGCCAAACCCTATGCTGCAGGACGGTCCCTGGAGCGATCGCCCCGTGTGTCCCTTAGCAGTCTGGTGAGTAAGGGCTTTTTTTAGAACTAGTCTCCAAAATTTCGCGACAGCATCCGAAGACATGGCCACCGAGGTACAAGGTCGACGCCAAGGACAGACATACGAGTAGGTAGGGAACGCATGAACAGAGGCCGATAGAGACCCGTTCGTCTAAGAGTTCAACCAGCTGGCGCAGGAGGTTCATGAACGTCTCAGATCGCCCACGTCCAGCGCTATTTTCGGAGTTGCACAAGAATATCCGATGAAAGGGGCCTGGTGCTGAGGGTTGCGGCGGTGCTGCTATTGCAGTTCCTATTGCCAGTGTTGGTGCTGTTGGTTTGGGTGGTGCTTGTGAGTAATTGGCCGTTGACCTGTTGCAGCCGGGTCTGCAAGTGCTGCAGTTGCATTTTGGTACCGTCAGGCCGGCTTGGCTAACCCGGACGGATCGGTTGTCACATAGAAGGGGACAGTGAGGGGCTTGGATGGCAGGAGGTCAAGACGACAATTGCGTGTCCGTCCGTCTGAAGAGACAATGTACTGGGCAATAAGACAAGCGAACAGAGAATATCAGCAAGGAAGAGAACTGCAACCCTTGGTGACACCTAGTGACTTTTCTGGTTCCTGCGTGTTAGGATAATGGACAGAGGGTCAAATACAAACGAGAAGTTCGTGCCTTGCCGTGTGGGTAGGAAAAACCGGGTAAATCAAGTGACTTCGGTTTCTCCCTAGTCCCCATCCCACGTAGGCAATTGTAAACGGCAACAATTGTCGACGGCGGATGTTGCAGGAGAGGTTGTGCGTGCATGGGGCTCTTTCAAGGGGCTGTACTCGGACTGTTCCTGCGATTGCAACTCTGGGTTATGCCAGGTTCGGCCCTAACCTAAAAAAGTCGAAGGTAAAGGGAAAAAAGAAGAAGATGTAGGGAAAGCCGCCAAGTAAGCTTGTCGTCAATTAGGTCTCAAACAGTAATACGACGAAGAGGGGCGGTTTTTTTTTTCTCTCTTTCAAAGTCAATGTTGTATTTTTGGCCCCCAGAATCAAACGGTTCAGTGGATGGCAACACTAGCGCAGCCAAGACACCTGATGGATAGTCTTGGTAAAATCTTGTTCTGAACGGAAGGTCGTGGGGCCCAATAGAAGATAGAGACGCCTTCCCCAGACAACGGAGCTGCAACATTATGAGAGAAACGGGGCCAATTGTGGAATCGGTAGTCCACAAAAGCACCATAGAGGCGGGAACTACGCAGGTATCTTGGTGCTAGGTTGAATTTAGATGACAACAGTTTCCAACGTCTTCTGGATGAAGGCCCCCCTTTTTTTTTTTTCCTCTCCCTTCTCTTAACGGCGCCACCCACCTATCTATCCACCAGTAAACCACATGGCGCATCAATGACAGTTGACCACAGACCTCAGTGTTCCAGAGACGTCGACAGCTTTGTCCCTCTCAGAATGTCAACCTAACGTTGCTTTAATCAAGCCGCGCTGAATCAATCGGCGGAAAGTATGTATGGCGTCAATTAAGGGTGTCACTACGTCGTACTTGGCCAATGTGCATTCACACCAAGTCAGGCACAAGGGTGTAGGTAGGTAACCTTACATGGTAGGAGGGAGGGCAGATGAACTCAACTGATATCAGTGCCAAGAAGATAAGAGCCAGCATTGAATAGCCAAACTAACTTAGACCTTTTGGCTGCAGCCTTGGCCCGCTCTTCCCACCATAATGCAAGACTATTCCTTCCTGATCATTAAGTCATTCTTGCGGCTATTCTTCATCATAACGTCAATTGTGTTAAGGGCTCCTCCCGGTACTGTTTTGGTTAGCTTCTGTCGAGCTCGACACCCTTTCGGCTCGTCCCTGTTGCGCCCTGGAATCATGATCCGGAAGAAGAAGAAAAAAAAGTTTGATGTATCAGACGCGCGCATCGTGCAATTGCCTCTGACAATCAAATTCTGCAAGATGCAATGCACAGGGAGACTGGCAAACACGTTGTCTCACGAGAGCCAACATGAGGGCGTTATGGAGCAGAGAAGAAAATGGGGCTGATCTGATGTCGAGAGCAGGTGGTGCTAAAATTGGTTACCTGTAGGGTCGCTGAGCTGCAAAACGAAGACCAGCGACTATCACGCAGCCCCGAGGTCTCAGACACACGCGGGAGTGTGGGAATGTGTCGCACTAAAAAAATTCGGGTTTGCACCATCAATATTCTGCACTGCACTGCACCACTCACTGCGCTTTCCTGCATTCGACGACACTTCAGCCTCAGACCCTGCTCGGTCGAACTCATCCGTCCTCTCTGCATTGCATCCCAGCTATTCCTACCCAGTACAATGTAATACAACTGGACTGGACCCTGAGCTTTGCGCGCCGTTCCCACGGGGGTTCTCAAGTCTCCTCCTGACACTTGACAATCAGTAAACCATCCGAGCACGGTTTTCATGCGTTTGGCATAGTCGCCCTCCAGTAGCCGCCTTGTCGTCTACCGCCACCGGGAATTGTGGGAGGAAGGGAAACATTCCTAAGGGACGCCATCCCAGCAGCCGCCTCGCTATGGAAGCCCACACGAATCGCCAACCCTTTGAACAAACGATTCATTTGCCTCGTCAGTTGTTGTTTGTCGGCCCTCTTAGCCGGCTTGTCTCTGCCCGTTCCGCGGATATGAGCTTACATGACCGGGCAATCGACGATGATTGCCCTTGGCAGGCTTGGAGCTCCAGTGGCTGCAGCTGCCGACAATGCCAATACCCGGGGAGATCTCTTGTGTGTCTTGGCTACTGTAACCCAGCCAGAAGACGATACCGGCCATACAGCGACCCGCCAAGCGCCAAGAGGTGAATCCGCCCCCCTTGACGAACTCAGTATATGCGTGTCGACGACGCCTCAGAACCACGTTTCCCTTCCAAATCCCTCGTCTGTCCGCCACTTCATCCCATAAAGACCCGCACAACCAGAGAGAAGGGTAGTAATTAAGAAAGAAGCCGCAATATCAACGCTGTGCACGTCCCACCTTCCATCGCAGAACTTCTTGGCATGGTCTCAAGAGCGACTGACCCACACTGGAAGTACCGCGTCCCTTGACTGCCGCATCCACCTACAGAGTGTCGAGTCGGATCTTCGGTGCGTGTCCTGCAAGGGATCCCCCCAGTCTCGGCAGCATCAGTGCGTGGATCTCTGGGCCAAAATTGGCATACTACCTAACATCTCTCGGCCATCGCATAGAGCTACGGCGACGATGCCAAGACCTTCTAGTCAGGCCTCTTTCTCAAGCATGGTCTCGAATCGCCCTCACATCTCACCCTCGACTGCGGGCACAGTCCAAATGGTTATCCTGACTTGGGATGCCCAATTGGTCCGCCGCCTACCTCTGGTGTCACCTGCGTTTCATGCCTCGACTGCTTCGCTTGCTGCTTGGGCCTCACTCTGAGCATTTGACAGCGCCGCTGCCTCCAACGTAGCCAGGCCCTTTCGTCCATCGCGAAAACACCCCGTCCCTTGCCACTCCTCGGAGCTTTCCAGTTGGGTAATCCCACCTCGTCGACGACGCGGCAACCCCTGCGTCTCTGTACCGACTCGACCAACAAGTGCCCTACCCCGGAAAGTAGCACCCTTTGCTATTGTCTGAGGCCCCACGACCAACTTGAGGCTTTCGACGGTACTCTATCTCTTGGCAACTTGGCATCAGTGTCTCAAGCATGTGGCTAGTCTGCAAGTCTTAGCCCATCAATCTTGGCTCGTGGGGAAATATATGAAGTCTAAAGTCTCGTACTCTTCTGTCACGATTTCCTCCACTTCTTCCTTAGCTGTGCTCGACTGGTATCCTGTCTCTTCTCGATTGTCTTCTAAGCTTTCTTCTATTCTTCCGCTGGTCGTGTCTCTTTTATACTAAACTACGCTTATTACTTATTTCGACAAACTTCCTTTCCCCCGTGGCCGATCTTTGCTGCTTGTCAGAGTCGCTCATCCGAATCATACACACAAACACGCATAAACAAGCTCGAGAGATACCGACAACATGGTTAACCGTTACGTTTTCGCCGTTGCTGGCCTTGCCGCCCAGCTCAACGCTCTCCCCTTGAACATCAACCTTGGTGCTTATTCCCCTGCCTTGGTGGTGGGTGATGGTGAGATTTCTTTCGGTGGTAGGAACGATGTCTCACAGTTGATGAGCGTGTTGGAGGGCGCCGCAGTGAATGCTGCTCAAGGTGTCGCCGGCGCTCCGGCTGCTGCTCCTGCCACCCCTCAACAACCTCAGCAACCGGCGCAGCCTGCGCAACCTGCGCAACCCAACCAGCAGCCCAAGCCCGCCGCTCCTGCTGCGGCCAATGTTGCTACCCCTGTTACCGCCGCTTCTGAGGGCAACGGCATTGACGAGGTTAGTACTTATCAAAACGGAATTCGTTGGTCGACCTTGATAGATGGGATACACACGGACGTCTGAACGCTATGGGATCAATATCAGCTAACAATTGTATCAATCAAGGCCCAGGCCATCGCCGCTCTCCAAGGAATGGGCAAGGAGATCGCTCCCAGAGTTTCGCTCACCAAGGCCCGCGCCCCACCCCAGAAGCGAGACCTCGCTGGCTTTGACCGCGCCCTGAAGTTTGCCGAGGCAGCTCTTACCAAGGGCCCTACGGTCCAGCTCGGTACTGGTGAGGGTGGCTCTGGTGTCGGCATGATCGTCGACGTCAACAAGCAGGGTGGTGCTGCTGGAGGTGCTGCTGGAGGTGCTGCCGGTGGTGGTGCCGAGGGAGGCAAGCCGGCCAACCAGCCTCAGCAGGGCCGTCCTGAGGGTGCCTCCGCTATTGTTGCCCAGCAGAAGGTCAAGGCTCGCTCTGAAGAGTCGCAGCAGCCTCGCCGTCGTGCCAAGGTCACCACCATGTACGTCCGTTCTGGAGTTCCTGCTGGTAAGTAATCAGGTCAAGAAGTCCCGAGAGTTTTCGCACACAGTATGCTGACTGATGCTGTCATTAGGCGTTGATATGACCCCCGAGAAGCTGGTTGCCCGTGAGGTTTCCATTCCTGCTGGTGCCCCCGTTGCCCGTCAAGTCAGCCCTGTCAGCAATGAGATCGTGAAGCGCGCCGAGGACGAGCTGGCCAAGCGCGGCAGTGGCGGTGCCATCGATACTGTCAACCTGAACGTTAGCGGCGAGGGCGTCACCATGACCTTTGTCGAGACTGAGGCCGACGAGGAGGATGAGCAGTAAATGACTTCCTCTGTGCTAGTCATCACAAAATGTTTCACACAAATTGAAAAGAAAGTCTTTCACGGTGCTTCTTTTTATCAATACGATCCCTCCCGGCCTCAGCCCTAATCCCTCACGTCGAGATCCTCGCTGAGTGACGGGTTCGTCTCATACAGATTCAGCTTGTCTTTTTCTATTTCTTTTTTCTATTTACTGTCATGATATCAAATGTATTTTGGGAAAGGTGTGGTTGTACGGGTTGTAGGTGTTGAGATGTTCTAGACAAATCCCCTCGAGCATGCGGCGTGTACATCATCGTTTCATCGAAAGTTGAACAACACTTTTGGCTTTACTTGTTTTAACGGCGGAGTTGAGTGCATATGGAATAAAGCCTTCTCTTCAAGGTCGAGTTGTATTTCGGAAAAGAAAAAAATACCTCTTACTTTCCAACAAAGCCAAGCCCATCATATCAAAACAATGTCCTCCATCTATCTTGAGCCATAGCGATTCAGTAGTCTCACTTCATCTTTTCTTCTTTTCGTATGCGCTGCACGATAGAAAATTTCTGTAAAGGCAAGCAAAAGGAGCGGGTAATGATTTAGTTTCATCCAAAAGCGAAAGAGCGCCAACCGTTCCTTCTCATGGGCCCAGTTTCTGCATGAAGTGTACATGATGCATTGCACACACTCATAGCAGCGGAATCGGAGACTGCAGAAAGACGGGGAAGAAAAGAAGAACAAAGGCACTCCCGTCCTGCTGCTGCGGCAGGTGATTGCACGTGCGGCGATCAGCTCCCGAGTCGTAAACGTGTGAGACGGGTGACGAGCCCATTTCAAGTGTTGCTTCCAAAACATCGGACCGTCCCCCCCCCCCCCCCGGGGGTGTCGCAGTATCGTCACAAGTTGCCTAGAGCCTCAACCGCGTTTGGCCGTCCAGGGGACGGGGGGACAACCCTGCAGTTTATGAATAACCAATAGGGGAAAAGATTTGTTTCTTTGTATCCTTGACGGGGCAAGACGTGCCGGGGAGACCCCGGATCTCTTGAGGTGGGAGGACGCGGACTGCCACCCGACAGGCTCGGGCTTCTGCGCTGACCGAGCAGGAAATGGATGCGCTCTCCGGCAGTCCCATGCCTCTTCTCCCTTGTAATCGCAGGGCCAGTAGGGGTATGTCACGCCGGGCCGGTTGTTTGGTCTCCCAATTTTGGTTTTCGCGGGGAGGGATTATCTCCTCAGTGTTTATTTCTCTCTCTCGATGGGCGTGGATCGACAGCCGTCCCTGTTTTGATGGCGGTTCCTGGTGGGCAGAGGAGGGTCGTCCCGTTATCTCCTAATGCCTTCTTCTCGTTGCCCATTGAACACATTTACGTGGCTCGCGTGGCTTGCCTCGAGGGAAGGTGTATCGTCTGTTCCCTCATCTCCAGGACTTTGCTCAACCGGGAATCGTAAGTTTTGGATATGTACCGGTTGTTTAGATATACAGGGAAGCAGCGTCGTAATCCTTTTTTTCTCCGGATACGACTTCGGGAGTAGCTGTTAAACTAAACCATAGCGCCAGATGGAGAGACCGGATGTTGCCAAGAGGTCTCATATCCCTTCTTCTCCTGAGACTTCCTCTTCGCATCTAGGCATGTCCTACACTCGCTGAAGGAAAAAAAGCTTGAATCTGTCTACGGTCGATCTTTAACTCGGCGCCAAGTGTTTAAGAGATGTCGCCAGACTTCGCAAGCTTGTCTGGGGTTTTAAGTAGTGATTGGCGTATAGACACGCAACACCAACCAGTAGCAGTGTGGGAAGTTTCCAAACGGCCAAGCGGCACATAGTGATGACTTTAAATGTGTAAATCGTCTATACTTCTGTAAACACCTGACCACATCGTTTACGATGTTGCTAAGCACGACACACAGACGAGTGTTTGGGATACAGTTACCTGGACCGTTGTTTTCTTCGGGCTGATGCGTCATGAAACTCTTTTCCTTTCTTTGTTTTTCATTTCATTTCATGAACACTGGCATTCCTAATGGTAGGAACTACTTCTCCCACTGCTTGTACGCCTTCTGCTTCTGCCGTGTATTCCACCCCAACTTGCCGCTAATGCTGTTGACCCAGTCCTCGCTACGCCGGCCCTGGGCCTGGACGCTTGCAAACGGGTATCGGCTGGCGCTTATGGTGACATAGTCGCCGGGGAACAATTCCATGCGTTCACGGCCGTCAAAGCTTGCCCACGAATTAGTTCTTGCGTCGTAGGGCACGCCTACGCGCAACACAATGGTGTCTGGAAGGATGATTGGCCTGAAGGAAAGTGTATGGGGGCAGATGGAGGTGACGAGCATAACCGGATTTTCTGGGTGGCAGAGGGACCCGCCCGCCGCCAGGTTGTAGGCGGTCGAACCGGTTGGAGTCGAAACACAAATTCCATCCGCCAAGACGGAAGTAAAATGTTCGTCATCGCCGAATATTTCTGTGTATGACATTGCTATTGGGCTCGGTATCAGCAATCCATACTCTAACCGGCGGGGAGGTGGTGTTAGGGGAGCTTACTTGGGTTTGGGCCGCGATCCACCACTATCTCATTTAGAATCTCAAAAGTTCCGTCTGGGACATGCGTATGCTCATCCTCCCTCTCTTCACCAATAAGCTCCTCGACCAGGTCTGGCTTTCTTCCATCATCATCCTGGCTGGAGCTGCTCTCTTCCCCATCGGCCACTTGCTTTCTTCGCTGGCTTCTCATGATTGTTCCCTCAAACCGCAGGCGCAAGCTGACCGTGACACCTTCGTTGAATGCATTGGTCAGAATGGATTTGTGCTCTTCAAAGTCGAATTTTGTGAGAAAACCAAGACTGCCAAGGGCAAAGCTCAGAACCGGAGGCACAATGCGCTGAAATAGCCAGCTGACGTAGAGAACAGTGCCATCGCCTCCTAACGTGATGACAAAATCGAACATGTGTGGCCTATTCCGGCACATGTCTTCATCCCAGTACCTCAGTCGCTTAGAAATGGCATCATTGCTGTCGTTGGCCTGCATCTTGCCAGCTTCAACGAACTCTTGTTTGACTTCTTCGACGAGTCCTGAGGCGTTGAACTTCTTGCTGTCCTTGAAATTGCCTCCCACGTACACTGTGTACTCAACGTCCCGCTCATGAGAGAGGAGCCACTTGACGAGCTCTCTAGTGCGAATGACCAAGTCCGGGTCGTGGATTTTGGTTAAGACAAAGATGGTCTTGACACGGAACCTGATTCGCATGCTACTCAGCCGTCTGCTAAGCTCACGCACTCCCCACGCCATTTCGCTCAGCTGCTTCTTAGTGAGAAGCCGACTATGAAGCTCATCATCGTTGTCGGCGTGAGACAGGTCCACTTGCGACGGCGATTTGATGATCTCGTTCCGCCAAGACTTCTCATCAATCTGGCCTACGTCACTACCCTCGGGGCTATCAGCGGCCAGAAAGGCGGCTCTGTTCTTGGCGACACGGCCTTTGGGCTCAACAGTTTTGGCCATGCCTGTTTCTCCCGAAACATCTTTTGCGCTTAGTTGTCGCCGAGAATTTTCATAAGTTGGATGCCCATAATGACAGTAATCTGACGAAGATTTAGTGGCACTTGATACTGAATTGGACCTAGAGCCGTGGTTACTAGCAGAGGCGACGGCATCGCGGGCCTTCCTCTGGCTCTCGAGAAATTGGTGCACAATGCACTCGGTTCTCTTGCTTGGACGACGTGGCAAAGGCCGCGATGCCTCTGAAGTTACTAAAGAGCTCTTGCGGCGATATGGGTTGCCCTGGTCGAACATGACCTAGTGATTATTGCAGCATTAGCTAGCTTTCATTGCGGGACACTTTCCCTTTGAACGAAAGAACTAATATTGCCTACCTCAACGGGATTCTGGTAATCATCATCGCTTCCACTGGAATGAACATCTTCATCCTCAAAGCCGACACGCTTCCCTGGCTTCTCCTCACCAACGTCGCCAGGTCCCATGTCGAGTCAGGAATGTGGCGGCGACAAAAGAGACTTAAAACCGGAAGAGCCGCGGCGGGCGCGGGGTAGGTTAATGGCGCTTACGTGTTCGCAGATACTGCCAGGCCGAGATTGTAAAGGTAAAGGAAAGAAAAATACCGTTGGGGTATTCTGTGATTGCGATCGTGGTATACCACATCAAGCTAAGGCTAAGGGTTTGTGGTGAATGCGCTTCTAGCCAGGAAGCTCTTGTCGATGGGGCTTATTGCGCAGCTTTCGTAATCAGGGCATCTGAGGTAATAACGTATGTAGAGAGATGGCTTTGCGCCCTCTAAAACTCAACTTATGAATGGAAGTGGCCGGGATCTCCAGGATATGGAAATGCCGTAGTCCGTACAAGAGAGTTCGAAGGAGTGTGACTTGGAGGATGATGTTACCGGACAAAAAGCCAGCGACTTGGAAGGCGTAGGTTTCGGGCTCTGAGCCTGGGCAGCTGCAGCTCCTTCAACCTGGCGGGGTCTTGTGTTAGTGATGACTGCGGCATTTGGGTGCTTATTCACTGGGGTGGACCGAGCTGCCCACTTGACACTTGCCATTAAAAGATTAGTGGTCCACTCGCTGTGGCTTGTTCTGGCCTCTGCAGAACTGTGATATGTCGCTGACGTCGTGCACTGCTCTCGCTGCATGTGGAACCTTAAGGGCAAGACAAGGGGTTTTGTGCTATGTAGAGCGGGCCATGGAAAGCCATGGCAACTTCGCGGTGCTCAGTATGCGTATTCGTAGGCCTATCTAGCATCATCGCAACTTGACAAGGAGACACAACAAACCACATTTGCATCGCATTGGCTTCGTAGATGTCTGCGTGACGCGAAACATGTTCACTAAAACTGAATATTTGTTGGTCTTAGGCACAAGCAATTGTTGGATTGGTGGAGAGTAACGTCGGGTGACACTGTTGCGCAATTTTGGGACAGAAGACGATCAGTCCACAACCTTCAACGCTGATTGACTCTGACAACCTGGCGATGGTAGTACGCCAGGGACAGGCAAGTCATCAGCTGTAAGCGATCTGGCGAGTGTCACCAAAGAGCAGCCACAGGAGCGCCCAAAGCCGTATGCGTGATTGTTTCAAGAGCTCCTTGCCACTTTGGTTCCAATGATAAGATAAAGCCATCGGTGCATTCGAGATGGGCGACTGAATGCAGCAATGACCTATCTTTAGGGCCACGATAAGACTGATAAGGCACCACAATACAACCAAGCTTCAGTTCACAGCCAGGCAGCACACAACTAAACTGATCCACTTTAGAAGGCTGAAGCTAAGGGTCACAAAATCCAGCCACACACCCCGCCAAACCATCTCAGAGAACGACGCTACAGCCAATCATAAGCTGCGGCGCAAACTGCATCCTACTCGAGGCTGCATCTTTACCGCGTTGCTCTTGACCTCCTCTCTACGCTCAAAGATGAGCTACTTCCTTGTCACGCGATTCGACACTTTGCTGACACGTTGTCTCCGAATGTTTCTCGATTAACCATTACGAATGAAACACTTTCAAACCATAGCGGTCCACCTGCAGTGTCGTATTTAGAGCATGAAACAACTTTCGATATAGCTTCGCTCCTCTTAGGATGAATTCACTCTGGTCCTCGCGGGCTGCCAACGATGGCTCCGACGCTGCGGAACAGCCAACTCCGCCACCGACTGGCGATGTCGCAGATGCTGTCGTTGCTGATGTCGGGCCAGAGGTGTCGAACAAGTCTCCTCCACCTGCGTCTCGACCGCCTCTGCAGCGAAACTCTTCTGCGCCTACGCCCGTCCCGGTACCCGCGTCTGTCCCTCCAGCTCCGATGCCTCCTGCCCCACTCGACGTGCCGCAGCCGACCGATTCACTTTCTCTATTCCAACTAAGACGTATTGTCGCCGAGTTCAATCGTGGTGACCCCGTTGCCTACGACTTCGTCTATAGCGATATGGGATCCCACGACGAGGAGATCGACGAGTGGTTTGTCTACCAATTCTGGCAATGGGTGCGTCTCAATGCTGCTCAACGAGCGTTTGAGTGGCAGTGGCAGCATGAATACGATATTCAGACAAGTTGGGAAGAGACTCAATACGAGACGAGGACAAAATTCACACAGGACGCCTTGGACGGGCTTCGTGTGAAAGAACCAGCCCAGCGGTCAGCTTCAATTGGCAAACTACTATACTTGGTGCTAGGTAGATGGGGCGACACATCCACGCCTGCAACTGTAGGAGACAGGAGGTCTGCCGCAAGTGCTACCCAGCTCGAAGCCATCCGATCAAGCATTACTTTCCTAACGTCACTTGATGGCATTGCTACCGTATGGACGGCGGTTCAAAATTGTTTCGATATTTTCTGGTATGCTCAAACGAACCTCGATACTTGTTTGTCCGCTAAAAACTTAGGTCCGATGATCCGCGACTTGTTCAACCTGGCGGCGCACAGGAGGCTCAAGACGAGCTCATAAACCTGATGACCATCATGTATGTCATCATTCAAGAAGCGCTGAGCTTTCCTAAAGAGCTTGAAGCCACCAAAACCAAACTACGTAACGAGGCCTTATTCATTAATTACGAAGAAGACGTGGCTGACTCGTTCTAGTCGCCTTGAAGCCGGGTTTGGTTGACTTCATGTCTATAGCAACTTCTAAGTTACGCTGGGATGATGGCAACCTGATGCCTTCAAACCAGGTAAGAGTTGTAATCTAATGCGAGGTTCAAACTAACCTTAAAAGATCTTTCTCCTGTACTGGAAATCCATCCTCCTGGTTCTAGGTGGCACCCAAGAGATTGACGAGGCAAAAAGAGCGACGGCTGAGTCACCCAATGCAAAGTCCAAAGACATCATTACTGCATCGCCTCTAGACTATCATGTCTTCCGACAAGAGCTTACTTCCAAATACCCGGCCTATGTTCCACCGCGGACACTGATTCCCCTCGAACCGGAGAAGAATACATTACTACCACCACTGCCAAATCAACCTACCAGGAATAGTGCCTCCAATGGTATTCTTCCAGCACCCCCGAATACGCAAAGCGGCGGTGCTTCTATCTTGCATCAGCCTGTACATATTGCGACACCCGCACCATCCCCGCCGCCATCCCCCGGCGTTGGAGGCAAAGGCGGCAAAAAGCAGAATTATCAGACGAACCAAAACTTTCCATTCATGTACCCCCCGTTGGATGCCACAAGCAATAGTGCTGGTGGGAAAGGTGGCGCGGGTCTACAAGAACAACTTGTGGGACGAAAGTGGGAGGGGAGTGACATACCCGCGTCGATTCTAGAAGCTGGCGAGCTGTTCTCCAGACGAGTCCGAATGACACGTGCTACACGTCAACTTTGGGAGGAACGAGAGAGCTTCCTCAAGTTTGAGAGAGGCTGGGAAACAGATGGAAGTGATAGTGATGTTGATGAACTCGACCTCGACGGCCTCACTCTTGAAGAGAAGCAAGAAATTGCCGCGTTGAGGGCGGAGACAAAAGCAGAGGAACGGAGAGATGCCGGGTATGCAGTTCAGGAACCGGAAATCGACTGTGGGCCGACAGGAAAGGTCAGCGATGAGGTTAGACAGCGTCTGCTTGCTGTTGAGAGCTTCTATGTGAGTTCGAACCAACAATGTTTACACGTTGATACCCTGTTAATCTTTGTTTCCAGAAAGAATCTCTTCCTCATTTACAGTCACTTGTAATTGTTCTTTTGAGGCCAATCCTCTTGAACGTTACGGCTGTTCTGTCGCAGCCTGCTGCAGCTCAACAGCATCCAAGCATGGCCGGAAGAGGTGCCAATGGCATGGTGAACGGCGGTCCTGGACCAAACAGGCAACAGCAACCCCAAGACCCATCCTCCGCAGTTTCAGGTGGCCCTCCAGAACTTCCGGAGATGTCTCCAGAAGAAGTTGACGCTGCACGATCGCGGGAGATCACAACTAAAGCCATTACAGGAATTCTTCTACTGTTGTTGAAATGGCTAAAGATTTCACGTAAGGGGTTACGCTCTTTTTTTTTCCAAGACAAGACTGACACATAATAGACGTCCTTAAGTTTGAATACATGACACAGCTTCTACTCGACTCGAACTACCTGCCCCTAGTTCTGAAGCTGTTTGCTCATCAAGACATACAGCAGGTCGTGGATAGCAAGACCGACCGGCTTGAGAACAGGTATGTGGGCATCTTCCAAGGCAACATCAAGCATGCTAATCATTTAGCTTCTTTCACTTCTGCAACTTGCGCTCGAAATACAAGGACAAGCCTGCCGCCCAGCCAGAACCGGAGGAGGAGAGCGAAGATGAAGCGGCACCACCGCCTATTAAGAGACGACGTTCACCCCCTCGACCGCCCACCACTGTCCATCATCAAGGCGACGGGAATTCCCAACTCGAGGGTCAGGCCGTAGCCCGGCCCGAAGTCGACGAGCTCGGATATCCTGTCAATGACCTTCCGGATGAGCCTATCACAGACTTCTCAAGAAGAAATTTCTTTTCCCTCATCAATTACCTCCGAATAATGCAAAAGATCTGCAAGCACAAAGCTCACAGAAACCTTCTACTGGTACAATATAAGTCGGCGAACATCCTTCGCAAGTCTTTGAAGGTCCCCCAACCTGAACTTCGGCTTTATACTTTGAAGCTGTTCAAGAACCAAGTGCCCTATTGCGGCCGTAAGTGGCGGCAAAGCAACATGCGTGTCATCACGGCAGTCTACCTGCACTGCAGGCCAGAACTGCGCGATGAGTGGCTCGCTGGCAGCGACATCGACGCCGAGGTCGACTCGGCGCTCCCGTTGGAGCAGGCACTGCGTAGCTTGACGCACTGGTTCAATGTCCGTAGATACCCGGACAAGATTGCGGCCGAGCTGCGGGCTGCGCTACGCGAGGAACAAGATTTTTTCACGAGGGAGCTAGAAAAGCTGGATATGAACTGGGCCGATGTGGGAAGCGAGGAGGGCGTAAACAGTGAGTGGGAGCACGAGGCAGCCGGATGGTCATGACTGCCCTTTACTTTCTTTAACGTTTGCTAACGCCTGGCCAAGTGTCGGGTCTAGGTTACTGATAACGATCACCCCTGGATTTTACAATCGAGAGCAGCGTATCGGGCACACTGGGGCAATAAGTAGCTCCTTTTATGTTCTCTACAATTATCTTACCTAGATCAGCCATGGCTGAACGTAAACATCATGACATTAACGCCAATACCACTGAAGCAACTGGAATAATTTCCACAATGATCATAACACCAAGGTAGCATAACTGGTTAAAGTGACTGTTCATTTGATTCGTAACTATTAATCTAGTGGATACGTGTCGTCGTGTCACGACATGCCTTGCCAGACTCCATGGTCCCAGGGTATAATTTCATCCTTTCCAGTTTCATCTCATTGTTTTACAACTTATTAAGTTTTGGTAGGTAGTTTCTTGATTTTTATCATCCATCCCAGATGGCCAAGTCGTACGTTGAGTCGCTTAGACTCTGTCGTAAGTACCATCGTTGTAGTGATAGCCATGAGGAGGCTGCGTGGTGCCGGTTTCATGGCCGTGGCCGTAGCCGTTAGTGGCGGTATTGCCGTAGGTACCTTCATACTTGGGGTATCCGTTGTCATGGCCGACAGCGGTAGTCTCGGTGGCATAGCTGTTACGGACCTGATCGGGGGTGGTGTGGACAGGGAGCGTGTTGTCGTTAGTGACAGTATCCTGGCGGCCACGACGGCGGAAACTGCTGAGGAAGCCTCCTCGAGAGCCGGAACCAGAAGTGTAGTTGTTCTTGGGGCTAGGACCAAAACGCTTTTCCTTGCGATGATGGCGGGCGAGTGCGACCTCGACTAGGATAGAGATGATAAAGAAGATACTGGTTTTCATGTTAGGCTCCGTTACAGACAGATTAAGATACGGATCTAGGTGCGACTTACATTGCGACAATGGAGACAGCCAGGCAAGCAGTCTGCAGCTTGCAAGCAGTACGCAGGCTGGGGAGGTGAGTCCAGCCATCACTTCCGGTGTTGGTAGGCTCTCCGTCTGCAGGGCCGTCGCCGAAGGGAGTGTTGACGAAGCCGGAGCAGGAATTGGCGCCATCTTTGTTGGCGACGGCGACGTAAATGTACGCACCAATGAAGGCGACGTCAAGGACGATGGCGATGAAGGAGGTAAAGGCATGACCTGCCAAGCAGCATAGCAGAAGCAGTCCTATGAGGGTGTATAGCGTTGCGGCGCCGGAAATACCCTCGACAGCGCGAATAGAAGTTGCTATGGGAAGGTCATGATTGTGGAGTGTCGCAAGGAAGTAGGAATATATGCCGAGGATGAGGGCCGATGAACCGAACTGGACGCCTCGGACGAACCACTGGAGGAATTTCAGGGCAAATGCCATGTTGGTAGATTTGATGTGGACTCTCAGTCGAGCTTGTTGGGTATTGCTTGGTTAATGTGTGGGACAATTTAAGAGATAACGGTTTGTTTGCAGTCGATACACCTCTTATACTTGGATGAAATATTCGATGGCGGTGACAGAGCAGGACAAGAAGCTTCTTTAAGCGAATGATGGGAGGGAGCAGTAGACCCTTAATACTTAAAATCCAACTTCTCTCCTCCCGGCTGCCGGCAGTGGTGTGGATGGGTCTGTCTGCCGATCCCGCATTGCGTAGATCGTGGCAAGGCACAGGCCTGACCAGGGTTTTATCTATTCTCGGCCCATTATTCTGTACCGAAAGACACAAGCAGCCTATTATGTTCTACATCCTACACAGTCTGGACAAATAGAATGACGGAGTAAAAGCGTCAGGTCTTGGTATGGGGCGCTGTTCGCGGATGATGACGAGGAAGGTTGTGGCTGATGGGAACTCTTGAGTGGTGGGGACAATGGGGTGCTATGATGATGTCAGACGTCTTGGATGGGCAGGTAGCAATGTGATTGGATCGGATGCTGGACGGCATCTCCACACCTCCACGGCACGGCCACGGAGCCAGTTGCATCAGTGTGGCTTTGCCGAGGCGGACCTGAACTCGGGATCCGTAGCTCCAGGGTCTTCCTGTTTGAAGAGTGTTCATCACGAGAGGGTGGGTTTCCCACGGCGCACCCGGAATGCCCAAGACCCCCAGGTTGGCGTTGATGGTGGTGTTCATGACTAAAGGAAACAAGGAAACTAGGGATACTTTCAACTACCAAAGTCAAAGGACAGCAGAATTTTTAATCCTCTTTCTTGGTTCAAGACTGGGGATCTATGGATAGCATCGCCCTGTAGCATCCTGGATATTGAGAAGTTCGTTATAAGGATGTCATACCATAGGCGTTTCCGACCAGCCTTGGACTTCCGACATCGCGTTTGAAGCAGCCTGAATTGCCCAGACTTCCTCCTCCTGCTGCACATTGAATTTTCTTTTTCTAGCTGAGACTGAGTCGACCCGCTGGGTCCGATTTTGGTGCGCCTGGAGAATTGAATGTATGTATACACGTGTTGCCCACCATGTCTCGGCTTGATGATCACAACCCGGCTGCTGAAGATCAGTGACAGGCTAATACCTCAGCTGCAAGGTTAGTCCTGTCGATGAAATAATTGGCATGTCCAGTGGCCATTCTAGCCCGAAGATTGTCGTCTGGAATTGTTTCTCCGGTGTCCTGAGCTGAGCGGTTTCCCCTATGTCTTCCAGGATTTCCCCGGATGGAGAGGGGAATGACTAGCTTTGTTTCTTAGCAGTTCGGTTCCCTTGCAATGAAGCCCATATTCCGTGTCAATCAAGTCACAGCATTTCGAACTGTAGCGAACAGAAACAAACCAGCTAATCAATTTTTTTGATGCGGGGAGAGACAAATCAATGGAACAACAAACAAAATGGCTGCGTGGTCGGTGGACAACCGCAACCGTCTCTGCCAAGCTTTGCCCAGAACGAACGGGTGGTTCAGCTTTGCCGAACTGGACATTAAGTCGCAGGTGATGCGATCAAACTCTGTTCGTATTATGTCACCACCGTCGTTCTTGGCTTTGTTTGTGTTGCACTCGCGCTCAAGACTTTTTCGGCGCCTTAGTGATACGGTCGCTAATCAGACGATTCAACTGAACAGGTGCCGAAAACCTAATTCAGTGCTGGGAACGGCGACGCACGTTGGTGTACAGATAAACGCCGGCTACCTCAAGGTAAGAGCACAAATACCGATGATTAACGGCTTGTACGGGGAACCCCATTTCTCCACACAAGTGAAGATGTTGGCTTGCGCCTGAATTGACAACTCAATTCATATTTCATTCGGGGGCATGTTTTGAATCTAGTCTGAACTAATCTGTCTGGTTCTGCACAAGGATATAACCCAGGGATCTTGGATAACACTTGATATGTCGTCGCTTATGTAAATTCAACGTCGTATCTTGGAAATGTCCCCTATATTAGCGTCTTATAGCCCGTATTCGCAGCGTTCTCTCCACCTTCCGCCGAGACACTGTAATGATCCGGGGAGACTTGGATTTCTGCTGCTGGGCATGTTTGCAGATAGCTGAACTTCGGACGAAGTGTTCGGAGGCGGGCTATGGGCCGGCTTCTGTCCGGCCTCCGGACTGAGCAACCGCCTGGGTTCCGCGGGGTTTGCAGTAGCGGCATTGTGGGGTCTGCTGCCCGTAATCCTCGATGACTGTGTTTGCATTCTGGATCAGCTAGCTAGTAGTTTCTTTCCGAAAGTACCACACCAGGGACTCGGTTGTTTGCCGCCAACACAATCAGCTTTCCGCTATTCGTGACAGGCCTAGGTGTCCTTCTATGTGTAACGGCAATGCGCTTTATCTTGCGTCGGACTTTGAGGAAGCTACGATAGTCCCATTGTTTGCGAAGTATGGCTCGTACCCAAACCCGCGTCAGTTTTACGACTCTCCATGGTGTACATTGTATGGAGGCTTTGTCCAGCAACTTGTCCATTCATGCTGACGATGAATTTCTTGCGGGGTCTGGGAAAGACGGGCTTGAACATAGAGTTCTCTTTGTGCCCTGTAGTTGAATGTCTCATAGGTGTAGCGTGACATGTCTTTGTTCAGCCTTGTCGTTGAGTCGTCACTGCGGGGAAATACGTTTTCGATTGTTGTCGTGCACTGCTTGTTGTTCAACCAAGCGTTTCCTGGAATAAAGAATGCCGCCCAGTCCATAAGTCGCGATCCACGCGTCCTGATATCGAAGAGGTGGCGGCGTCGACTTATTAATTTGTCCAAGGCCTTGGCGCAACTATCTAGCCACTAGTTGATAATAGATACCCCATCCCCTTTTCAAGAGAAGAAATTGATAGTCCGTTTCCACTAGCAGGAGACACCGTGTGCCGCTATGACCACTGAGGCGTCCCCTCCCAATTTGAACACGCGAGTTTTCCGATTATTGGCCTGAAAGAATATCGTGAAGTGGAGAGGGAAAAGTCGCGTAATGTTTGACACCACAACGGCGCCTTGGCGATATTTCTTTATGACAGCAGCGACGTTGACCGATTGAACCTCAGCAGGAAGTGATGGGTGGGTACCTCGGTGTCTATGTGAACTAAGAAGTGAAGAGCAGGATTTGCAAGGTTGGCTAACTTCGAGGAGTTAGTGAGTTAGAGAAGGAGGGTAATCCGTACTGTACAGTTCAAATGCACCATGTTAAAAATATGTGTCAGTGTTTGATGGTGGTCGAAGGTATTTTGATTAAGCGCATCCAGGATACTGACATGGACACGACAAATATGCCGTTTAAGCAAGACGAATCGCCCTTTCCCGCAGTCTTTGGATTCAGCATCTCAAGGACAATTCTGCAATATGGTATGGATGCTGTCGAAGCCGGCGGTACAGTTGTATCCCAACTGTCTGTGTGTCAGCAGCTCTTTGAACTGAACAAAACGTTGGGCTTGAAGCAAAATAGTTACAACGGGCCGGGAATGTTCTCCTGTAGATGGATTACGCAACGTGCAATATAACCAGTAAAAACATAAGTGCCCAGCATTTGCGGTTTCAGCTGGACGCCATGTAAGCCACGGCATCAAATAGCTCGTAGTTGACAGCAAGGGCTGCTCAAGACGATAACATAGACCAGCCAAACGGCAAGATACTGGTAGAGCAAGGAGCCGGGGTGGGCGGCGCTTTCTCCCGTCGCAACAGATTTGGGTGCCTTTCCCAGCTACGAGGGCCGGCTGGCCAGAGATGCAAGGTACAATTTGCTGTTCGTAACGCCATTTGACCCAGCGAATTCGTTCAAGGCCATTTCAGGGCACTGCACAAGAAAGTAAGCGTTGATCAGGGGCAGGGATCACTTCGGCTGCCCTGGACGATTCCTTCACAGCGGCTGCCGCCGTCAGAAGCCACAAATTGTCCGCAGCCAATCAACGGCGGTAGATACCCCTTTGTGCTTCCATCATCCAATGCGAAAACAGCGCCAATGCCGATAGGGAAAGATGGGGATCCTGGCATGCTTGGCTTTACAAGCCAAAAATACGGAGCACCACCTGCCATCATTCATCCACGATACAACTACAACAATGGACCAAAGCACAAGCTGTTCCGCCATCTCCCATGACGCTAACTAATAACGGAGTTTGCCACCTTTTCTGGCGATACTTGCGCCCAGGTTGCCTAGATCGCCTATCTTGCCGCTTATACCGTCCGGCTGGGTGCTTCGTCTCTCGGCATGCTCCCACGTTCCGTTTTACTAGTCTGCCCTTCCCGCTACGCGTTGGCGCAAAGCTTCCGCGGCCTGGAAGCACCGGGTTTCTTTGTCTTTTCTCTTCCGTCTATTAATTTCCTTCACTATGTTCTTCTCATCAAACGGCTGGGTGGCCTTCTCTCCTTCCCTTTTCTACTTCACGTCTTCCACCTTGTTTCCTTCCTCACCCCTTCCGTTCTCTTCAGGCGTGTTTGTCATTCTAGTACCTTAATCCAAGGATCAAGCCGTATACTTGCGGCCGATCAAGTCATTCACTTATTCTCATTGCCAAAAGACACTACTATCGTTAACATTTGTGCCTGGCATTTCGAACTTCAATATGAAGGTTGACACAACATTGCTGCTAAGCCTCCTCGGCTTAGCAGCTCAGGTCACAGCTGACCCAACATGGCCTTCTGATATTGACGAATTGGAGGAGATTATGTATCAAACAGCATTGGTAAACTCACGCAAATTTTCCGATACTGTCAATCCGTGCACCCGCGAGGTTTCCGGCGCCGGGCGCAAAAACGCCGCTGAATGGTTGAGAACTGCCTTCCACGACATGTCGACTGCGAATATTTACCAAAATTTCGGAGGCTTGGATGCATCTATACAGTATGAGTTAGGGCCAAAAAGTGAGAACACAGGCTCAGGCTTCAACACAACTTTGACATTTATGTCTCCCTATATGACGCGGAAAAGTAGCATGTCGGACCTCATTGCTCTCGGTGTTTATACATCTGTTCTATCTTGCGGTGGACCCTCTGTCTCCATTCGAGCTGGTCGTCGAGATGCAGATAAAAAGGGCAACCCTGGTGTACCTCAGCCTCAAAACGATATCACAACCTTTAGGAATCAATTCTTGCGCCTGGGCTTCTCCCCCCAAGAGATGATTCAGGTAACAGCGTGCGGTCATACCATTGGTGGTGTTCATTCCTCCGAAAATAGCGACATCGTCCCTGCCAACACGTACCAAAACGACGTTCTTACCTTCGACTCGACCGATGCCGTTTTTGATCCTAAAGTTGTCACTGAATATCTCGACGGATCGACCACCAATCCACTGGTTGTTGTGCCTGGAACGGCGAAAAAGAAGAATTCCGATTTCAGGGTCTTCAACTCTGATAACAATGCAACAGTACGCGCCATGGCCGATGCCGCTTCCTTCAACTCGGTATGCAAAACTGTATTCGAAAAGATGATTAATGTTGTGCCACCCGGCGTGACCCTTGGAGATCCTATTCGGCCCTATCAAGTTAAGCCAGTCGGACTGCAGCTCAACCTCCTGTCGGCGTCCAGCATGCAGCTTTCGGGATACATCCGTGTTCGCACAACTCAACTCCCGACCGCCAATATTGCTAGCCTCACCATCAACTACAAGAACCGAAATGGGGGTACCAACTGTGGGTCTACAGACTGTACCTTCAACATCCGTCTTCAGGGAATCTCTAGGGGTCTGGAGGATACCTTTGCCTGGTTTCCCATCTCAGGACAAAATATCCCCCTCAGCTTCGGCATCTCATCCTTTACTGTCACTATCAATAAAAATGACGGCACTAGCACATTGTTTGACAACAATGGCAACGGTTACCCCCTCCAGGATGGTATCTTCCTTCAGAAGAGTCAAAGCTGCCTGAATCAAAGGACTGGCGATGCTACTTTCGTCGCCGCAGTCCGCAACGACCGGATAAATCTTCCCGTCAAACTTGCTATCTCATACAAGATAAAGCAAGCTGATATGAGCCCCGTGCCGCTCCTGAGCAATATGACCCTCGATATGACCAGAGGAGACTGTCGAGGAGCCTACACTTTCTTTACTGTGACTACAAACATCCCTGGCGGTATCAGCGCCGAATCCACCATGGATTTTATCAGCGGTGATGACTCAAACGCGATGATCGACTCTTTCAAGAAGGCCAACATCATTGGCGGTGGTTGCGCGGCTTGGTCTGGTGGTAGCACATGCAGCAGCGTCACCGTTTCCTCCATTGTACCATCACGCACGTCCAGTGCGGTTCCAACTGCCACACTCCGTCATCGCGATACCGTTGGCGGATACAAGCTTGTTTCCTGCTGGAATGAGGTTCCAAACGGACGTGCTCTAAAGGGCGCCTCTTTCGCCTACGACGGAATGACCCTTGAAAGCTGTATGGCAAATTGCACCGGCTTTGACTATTGGGGTACTGAATATGGCCGAGAGTGTTACTGCGGAAACGATTTGGACGCTTCCAGCACTTCGGCGCCTTTGAGTGACTGCAACTTTGTCTGTTCGGGAGATTCGACAGAGTACTGTGGTGCAGGCAACCGAATCGAACTTTACTCCACCACGGCTACGCGGACCAGCACTTCAACTCCCGCTCCGACTGCTACGCTTGCCCACGTTCCATACATTGGTAGGTATTCCTTCGTGGGTTGTCAAACCGAGGCCACAGGCGTCCGAGCCCTGCAGGCCGCGCAGTCAGCGTCGGATGACATGACTCTGGAGAAATGTGCCGCATTCTGTTCCGGCTATGCGTATTTTGGCACTGAATATGGTCGCGAATGTAAGTAAAGGCTGAATTTCTTGAACGAAACCACTCTGACATATGTACAGGCTATTGCGACAACAGCCTGCAAGGCGATAGCAAACCCGCCCCCACCACCGAGTGCAACATGAAGTGTGCTGGCAACCCATACCAGTACTGCGGTGACGGAAACCGGCTTGATTTGTACAAATTGGGCAGTGCCTCTTCCACCTTGTCTGTTCCGACGGTTTCGACTACGACTACTACGTCCGGCAGCAGTTCTTCCGTCCCAACTGGTTCTTTTGGCTCCCCTAGCAGCTCTCTTGTCCCGTCAAGCACTTTCAGTGCCCTAGCAAGCAGTAGTTCTTTCACATCTTCCAGCGTCTCGTTCACTGGGTCTTCGACCACCGCACCGACCACCTTCAGCACTGCGGTCATCTCGAGCGGCATCGCCGTGTCGTCCAGTAGCACCAGTACTATCTCCAGCAGCGTTACGTCATCCAGCAGCAGCAGTAGTATCTCTAGCAGCACAACATCCTCAAGCAGTAGCATAACATCCTCTACTAGCTCGACATCCACCAGCAGCAGCACAATCTCAAGCAGCAGCACAATCTCAAGCAGTAGTACAACAGCTAGCAGCTCGACATCCTCCAGCAGCACAATCTCAAGCAGCAGCACAATCTCAAGCAGCAGCACAATCTCAAGCAGTAGTACAACAGCTAGCAGCTCGACATCCTCCAGCAGCACAATCTCAAGCAGCAGCACAATCTCAAGCAGCAGCACAATCTCAAGCAGCAGCAGCACGATCTCAAGCAGTAGTACAACAGCTAGTAGCTCGACATCCTCCAGCAGCGTTTTGTCGTCTACCAGCAGCATAACTTCCAGCAGTCAGACTTCATCAACCAGTAGCACTCTGGTATCGTCGAGCAGCAGCACAATCTCAAGCAGCAGCACAATCTCAAGCAGTAGTACAACAGCTAGTAGCTCGACATCCTCCAGCAGCGTTTTGTCGTCTACCAGCAGCATAACCTCCAGCAGTCAGACTTCATCAACCAGTAGCACTCTGGTATCGTCGAGCAGCAGTGTCGTCTCTAGTACCACCTCTTCCAGCGCCTCAAGCACTATTCCTACGCTTGCCAATGTCCCGACTATTGCTGCGTTCAACTTGACGGGCTGCCACACAGAGGGCGATGGTGTTCGTGCACTCAGCCAAAAAGGCTATAGCTCTCATGATAATATGACACTCGAGAATTGTGCATCTTTCTGTTCCGACTACAAGTATTTCGGAACGGAATATAGCGGAGAATGCTACTGCGGCGACATCCTCGCGTCATCTAGCTCTTCGGCTGCTTTGTCCGACTGCAGTATGCCTTGCAGCGGCAACCAGTACCAATACTGCGGTGGCGGGAACAGGCTTACCCTATATTCCAGAGAGAAGAAGGTCGTTGCCCCTAGCCAACCAACAACTATAGGAGCTTACACTTTCCTCGGCTGCAAGACAGAACCAGCCCAAGGCGGACGCGCCTTGGATCTCAAGGCCATGGCGTCGGACAAAATGACCAACACCGTATGTGCCAACTTTTGCCAGGGCTTCACCTACTTTGGCACAGAGTACAGCGGCGAGTGCTACTGCGGTAACGCATTGCCGGCTGCGTCCCTATCGGCGCCTGCGAGTGATTGCAATATGCTTTGCTTAGGTAACAACACTGAATTTTGTGGCAGCGGTAGCCGCCTTTCAGTATATAAGATGTAATTGGGTGACTGGTATATTTGAAATTTTTCCCCCGCTGAAAAGTATGAGTTTATTAGATGGATATCAACCCCGAAACAGAATTGCACATAAAGGCAAATGATTGGAGACAATCTTGGATGATACCTATCTACCTATATATAATTTCAAGAACACATTTTCCACATTTTATCTTTGTGTCAAATAATGCCTTTTCATTTGACCTAATCGACTGCAGACTCTAGCTGGCTTTCAGTAAGTGTAACTTTCAACTCCCTCTGGTCCAGCATGACACGCCACACCTAGCATATATCTTTAGCCAATCCTATCGATCTTCTCTCTAACGTAGGGGAAAGGTCAAGTGCGTCTGGTCATTGAGAGGATGTGGATGAGATGTGTGGATGAGATGTGTGTCTGAGAATCCCAATTCGACTCGGGGATGCTGGGGCCGAACCCCACACCTCCTCTCTAACAACCCCAGACCGATCAACTACTCCAGATCATGACCCCGACCTCCAAATCTTTTATCTGCTATAATGTCTCGTGTCTGGGTTTTACTCTTTTCTCACATGGCCTGGGACTTTTAAAGCTGGAGTTTTGGCCTAGCACGTAGAAATGTCTACTCGGATTGCTACGTCAGAAGAAGCGCCACATTCACATCTTCCTCCGGCCCACGAACTCCGGGATGTTGGACAGAAGACGACAGGTCGGCCGTTGGCGAACCATGCAGCACCGCAAAACGAACCAACGGAAACCACACCCAAGACGCCGGGACTAAAAATAGTCGTAAGCGGCTACTCGTTTTTTATCTCTGGAGTAAACGATGGTACTCTGGGGCCCTTGATCCCGTACATCTTAACGGGGTTTGAGGTAGGAACAGGAGAGATCGCGATCATGTGCGTGATAATTCCTAATTCACAGTTAAAGAAAGCACCACTGATAGCCCTAGGTACGCCTGCACCTTCGTCGGCTGGGCACTCGCTGCGGTTCTCAACCCAATCTTTGCCAAGTACTTCCCGCTCGGCTTCATCCTCGGCGTTGGCGCCCTTCTGCAGCTTATCTCTCATTGCATGAGGCCATGGGGGCCCTTTCCTTTGTATTGTGTGTCGTTTTTCGTGCAGGCTGTGGGTATGGCGTTGCAGGATTCGCACTCGAACACGTTTGTGAGTAGCCTTGCGCTTGCCCACAGGTGGCTTGGGTTCATCCATGGCAGCTATGCCGCTGGTCTGTTAGTAGGTGAGTCGGCACACCATCCCCTTTAGCACAAAGTCTGATTCACGGTGCGCTCTTTCAAGGTCCCTTGATAGCGACAGCCATAGCGTCTAAGGGTGGCATCATCGGTGGCGTGCAGAGCTGGAGGGCGGTCTTCTTTGCCGTCATTGGTATTGCCTTCGTCAATGTCGTCGGTGTAGTCGTAGGTTTCAGAGACTCGTTGTGGCAGAGAGATATGCACAGAAAGACCACCGACTCCAGTAACTCAGGACGAAGCAAAGCGGCTATCCAGGAGTTGAAGCAAACAGTTCAATCCAAAGCCCTGTGGCTGCTGTCCCTGTCATTTTTTCTTCAGCTGGGGGCCATTTTAACTGCGGGAGGTACGTTCACATTACCATTTGTATCATGCAGCCACATTCAGGATCTGCACCCTTCTCTCGAATGGTTTACACTAACGTCTCCAGGCTGGGTCGTCGAGTACCTCATCACCGTCCTCGGCGGTGATCTCTCTAAAATGGGCTATGTGCCGATGGGCTTCTATGGGGGGATATTGCTAGGCCGCTTGCTCCTTGCCGAACCGACACACCGCTTCGGCGAACAGCGCATGGTTCTCTTATACAACGTCCTCCTTCTGGGTCTACATCTTGTCTTCTGGCTAGTACCCAATACCGCGGGATCTGCCACTGCTCTGGGTTTAATGGGCTTCGTCTCGGGACCTTTCATTCCTGCGGGCATCAGTGTCGCGAGTAAGCTTTTCCCACGCAAGATCCGCTCCGTGGCACTGGGGTTTATCTTTGTGCTTGCCCAAGCGGGAGGTACATTCTTCCCTTCGATCACTGGCATTATTGCTCAGAGTGCTGGGGTAGGTGTTTTGCAGCCCATTGTTGCAGGGTTGATTGTTGCAAGCGGGATTTTTTGGTTCCTGGTTCCAAAGGTCCCTAGGGGTCCGAATAGAGATGAGTAGACGCTTCATATCCAAAGGACATGTGTGGCATTTGCTGGTGGGAGGAAGGTTTTGGGCTGGGAGGAGTCATGGGCCTGATTTCCTTGCGAGTGTCTCAAGACTTGACTTGACACAAAGCTATTTACTTTATCCCGTGAGATTGATTTTTGGACATAGACAACATGTAATGGAATAACACGACCATTTGGCACACCAAGTTAAGCACAGCTCTACCTGGCACTTCGATGTTGGATGCCACGAGGTTATCATTTCAGAGGATGACGTGACGCCAAAGTCGACTATGTCTGACGTGTTTTGATTTAGTTTGCCAGGAGTTTGTAAATATCATGGATATTAGGTACAAGGTGATTAGAAGCCATGCTTGCTTGACTTCTTTGTGCAAAAAAAGAAAGAAAGAAAGAAAGAAAAAAAAAAAGGTTTCTTCGCGTCCTTTCTATCAGCTCCTCGGTTTCTTCTAATTCCAAACTCAATCTCGACAAAGCAAGTACGCTAGGCAGATAGCGATGATAGGGAGCCGAATAATACATCTAAACAAACATGTTCCAGTCAAGACTACCATGATCAAGCCATTGCCAAATCAGAGTTGGCGAGGAGTTTTTCACGCCAGTTTCGAGCGTCATCTGTCGCATGAACATCAGTTATGATGAAGTCTTTCGTCAGGGAGCTGGCCTGTCTGCTCCCGTTTAGGCGCTTATACTTCAAGAGTGGCTTTCCCATGTATCTGTCGAACGGAAAGATGCCGTAGGGACCCGACCTTTACAATTGTACAGTTCATTTCTCATCAGTCAAAGCAAAGAATATGAAAACCTATCCAAAAATTCCTCTTTCAAAAAGACTTTTGCACGAGGGGACCTTTATATTTCCACAAAGCAGGCCTGGGAGGCAGTAGTTGTCTTCATCGACTGTTTTGTTATGCCACGTGAGCGCTGCCCAACAACGCCCTACGCCGAGTATAATCGAACACAAGCAAGACGGTCATGTACTAAGGCGGTGCGTTTGTCATCGATCGGGATCGGGGTCGACTCCTCCCTATGCCTGAGTTGCGGTTGAAGTGTCAACCCAAGCACTGACGCGCTTGGAATGAGTGCAAGACAGAAGGACATAACTATCAACCGGAGGAACACGGAGCCCATGTTCTCCGACCAGCGCAGAAAGTAGCCACCCCTAGATAGTTTCCCATACGACTATCTCGCTTGTATGGGACCAAGGCGATAAACAGCAGCGGACCACGTGGGTCCATCACGAAAATATAGAGTTATCCTGAAGCCCTGTCGTTAAAAACTCACCACAAACACCAGCCAAAACAAGGGACGTCGCCACAAAAGATCTCACAGAAACCAGGCTCAGTCTTCATCGACGAAGCCAGGTGATATCTCCATAGAACCAACGGGTCCGGTCCCGCCATTTCATCGAACCAGTCACCGGAATGACGCAAACATAGCAGCAGTCTTCTCCCCCAGCGACGGCCATGCCGACCGACTCTGCCAAAATCACATTAACAGAGTTGAACAGACCCTTGCCGAACAACACACATGCGTATGCTCGACATAGTGACGATTCACCATTGCATACCTTGCGGCGTCGTGGCCGCGGCAAAACAATGGGCCGACGTCCCGCATACTCCTGAGGCTGACTTCATTAAAGACGCAAAGGTAACATGCGCATGACGTAGTCACGCTCCAGCACGAGTTCTGGTATCCCCATCTCCCAACTGTAGAAATAGTAAAGGAAGGCGGACCAGGAATACGGGATCACGGATTTGTGAGCCGTATGTGCTATCGGATTTGTTGCGAGCCATCACGAACTTCTAGAATCGCCCAAGGTCAAGGTGAAGAATCAAGCGGGGGCTGAGTAAGAAGCGACATCACACAAACATAGACATCCCAAAGGCAGAATGAAGCACCTCATCCTCGTCGGTGCATGCTACCTCGATACGATTCTGAGGCATGGCCCCTCATACGATGCGTGCAAGCAAACTTGGAACTAATCTGCTTGCCCCAGCATCCCGCACTTCCCCGAGGAGGATTCAAAATTACGAGCTACAAGCCTACGGGTACGACGAGGAGGCAACTGCCCCAACACTATTGAAGTCCTCCAACAATTACTCAATAAACCATCTGGGCTTTCGAATCCTAATGATGCCCCACCACCACGAATGCACCTCGTCTCGCCCCTCCCAGAGCGTCAGTCGCAGGCAACAGCGCAGATCATCGCGTCTTTCCCCTCTAGCCGAGAGGGTTCTAAACCGGCGCCCATTGATTTCGATCACTGTCTCTTCCGTGAGGGCCATGGGGCGCCGGCGAGCAGCTACATCCTCCGCAACAGCAGCAACGGAAGTCGCACAATCGTCAACCACAATGATCTCCCCGAGATGACTTCGGATGAGTTTCTCAGCATCGCGGAGGCGTTTCGGGGGCAGGGAGATTCTTGGTGGCACTTTGAAGGACGGATTCCAGACACAACGCTGGAGTGTCTACGGATTCTGAGGCAGGTGTTGGGCGATGAGGCAACCATTAGCGTGGAGGTCGAGAAGCCTGGGAGGCCAGGCTTAAGGGAGCTTGCTGCCGAGGCGGATGTCATATTCTACTCCAAAAGCTGGGCTGAGGTGCGAAATGTCCGCCCACGTCAAAGGGCACAACACAGGCGGTCTTGCTGATGGTTTGCAGCATTGTGGCTACACTTCTGCCGAGGCCTGTTTGAGAGAGGAGAGCCAGCCGCCAGGGTGAGTTATAAAGCAATGTCTTGAGCGCACCGGCTGACAATACATTCACAGCTCACTGGCGACCATTACCTGGGGCGCTCAGGGAGCATCGTGCCTGTCACTTAAGGATAAGCAGTACGTCGAGTGCCCAGTCAAACATGCGGTCGAGCATGTCATCGAGTAAGTTGCTGTTGCCGCGAAAACTGAAAATTTACGTTGCAATAATTTTGCCTGGAAGAAGCTTTCCATTCACTGACGACCTGAAGCTCTGTAGGTGCAGGAGACACGTTCGTGGCGGGCATGCTCTACGGTCTGATCTGCCAGGCTGAACGCTGGACATTAGGCGAGAAGCTCGACTTTGCAGTCGAATTAGCTACGCTAAAGGTTCAGCGCGAGGGGTTTAGTGGGTTAGGAGACGCCGTGCACAGTCGTGTTGGTGGTGGGCCGCACGTATCGGATTAGGCCAACTATTAGATCCAACTCGTCGCCGCGGCGGCTTGCCCACGACCTCCCCGAAGCCGTAGATGGTCGCTTCGGCCGCGGTCTAGGAGCGGGTAGGTGGGTCAAGTGTCCCGCCATCACCAGGGATTCGGCTACCTGCAGAGCAACATGGCAACAAGCCGAAGTTCCCGCAGCAGCGGACCGATATACTGCTGGTCGGGTCGCACCTTCTCATGTGTACGATGCAGCGATGTTGATAAGTCGGAGGGTCTTTGTGGGGAACAAGAGGCGGTGTACAGGCGGATGGTGGGCAAGCGAGGAGCAATCCTGTTACGGGGGTAGGTCGGGCTAAAGCGTGCCAGTTATAAGGAATGTCGGACAGGTCATACCAATGCTATTGTGTACGTGACTAGTCTTCATCCTCAACGTGCCATCGCACTTTGGGTGGAAGGGGCTGACAGGTGGTGCCACACTGCATTGAAGTATAGACGCGACGATGCAGGTTTAGGATGGTGTACCTCACGCAGGACGGGTGCATGTGAACGAGTCTGTAGATGGTCCACAACTGACATTTGGGCTCGAATGGCTTCGGAACAATTGGAAAAAGCCGTACACGGTAAGAATAGGTGACGAGTTTAGAGAACTAGAGAATCCCGCGCGGAACGTTCACCAGCCTCCACGGAAACACACTTTTTCTGAAGTAAGGGTAGCAAAGATTCCAGCACAGGTAGCCTTGAGTTTGTAGCTGTTGTACTCAACCAAAGCGCAGCCTGTAAGTCATGGCAATGCCAAGAAAAAGATCGCGCTCATGTACATGCCACGGGTATTCACAATCTATCAGGAGAGACGGTGCAAATGTCAAGTTTCGAGGATGAACAAACACAAGACGCAGATGAAGTCAAGGTCCGCACTTGAGCTAGCCTGGTCGGGACGGAGCTCTCATCAGAGAGAGAGAGAGAGAGAAGAGTGGGTCTCGGACGTTGTATAATTCATGCACCTGACTGTAGGTGGGCTTGGTTGTGTGGATAGGGACCCCGTACGGAGGTAGGTCAAGAGAGGGGTATAAAAACGGCAAGAAAAGGTTTTGTCGTATCCGGAAACCCATCTATTAGTAGAGAGAAGCTGGCCGAAAGTCTCGAGGGGTAGTCGGGAACGGTCTGACCCCCTATGATTTTACGGTGACTCGGGAACTAATAAAGTGAGCCTTGTTTTGCTGTTTGTCAATTGCTCCGTAGTGCCTCACCCTGTCTGTTGAGACTGGTGGGGCTGAAGTCCCAATTATCTTTTATTTTCTTTCCTTTCTTTGTGGCTGTTCTCCAGAGAATCTTTCCACCTCTAGCTCCCCTCTACCGCAGTAGGATCCGTACTCGGGCCTGAAGCGTCGTAAATGCGTGGGTTGACGCTCATCAGGACCTACGCGGGTGGCTCACTCTTGTGGGCATTGAGTCGTTTTGAAGTCGGCAGCCTAGACCCCGCCAGCTCAAATCTCCATCTATTGCTCGATAAGATCAGCAGGGCGACACGTCTGCCCACTCGCAGCATCAAACCGTTTCTACTACGGTGACAGGCCTAATGGAAGGAGGCGCCACACGAGTAAGTGATCTAGGTCTGCTTGCGGCGCACCAAGTTGGTTCAGTAGACCAGCATCAGCAACGACGGATCGATGTATTGCACTTACGCCAGCGACACGCGATCAAAGGTCGACAAGTCCTGCCCCGATAGATGGCTGAACCCCTCGCTGCAGCTGATCTCGTCCGAGTCAGACGTATCAAGCAAGTTGGACGGATCTTGACAGGAAGAAGGACATGATGATGGATGTGGATCAACAGGACCACAACGCCACGTTACCACCTTGGAAACGGACACAAACAAGCGAACAGACATAGATACAGACGGAGAAACGCAAGGGCTGACGAGCAATACAGCAAGCCGAGGGCGTGTTGTCCCAAAACCAAGGAGATGTCGCGTCAGCAGGAACGCCGGGCTTACTGACGCGTTTGCTCCTTACGAATGGTACTGATGAGTCGCGGCGCCCACTTTAGCGAGCGAATAGTAAGATGTAAAAATTGTCCAACAACAACGACTTGAAAAGGAGGTCGAGCGCCAGCAACTGGCAATACATTGTGGCAACATGACAAACTGCCCAGAACATAGCTGATGCCGTACAGCACATAGCTTCCAGCCTTGCGATGACAGGGGCATCGCGGAATCTGACGGGGAATGTCGAGCGCACCACGCGGTGTGCCGTGTCCCTGACGGAGGGTTGGGTTGCGAGCGCCAAGAGTTGAGCGGGTGAAATCGACAACGCCAGTTACCGAGAAAGGTATTCACAGAGCTCTCGTCAGGCCTCTGCAGGGTTAGAAACCTCTTCCTGAGTCAACGAGGATGGGTCGTGCAGTCTTGGATTGTACGGGTTTACGGCACGGGGCCCATGCCTTGCAGCTTATGGAATTTGGGTTATCAGGGGGGAAAAATAATAACCTCGCCCGTCCTTCCAGACCAGAAAAGCGATTGAGGTCATTTGGGTGTCGGGGGTGTGTACGTCTGAAGAGGATTTCGACTGAGGACTTTGGACGATGTCTGTCCAGGGCAACTAGGATAAGCCCAAGAAGGACCCAGCCAACCAGCATGGAAAAAGCAAACCCAAACGAGTGGAATGCAACGGCGAGTGTGGATGAACTGTCGCTAGTACTTGGGCAAAGTACGCAGCCATTGGGCAAAGGCCGGTACACGGTACGGCCTCGTCTATGTTTGAATTAGGCACTAGGGCCCGTGAAGGCAGTGACGATGGGCCCAATAAAGGAGAAATGCGGTAGCAAAGGTACGCGTGCTTCAAGGTTCTGTCTGTTTCTGTTAGCGTGTGGTGCATCCGGAACAGCGTCATGTCAACCATGTCTCGTGGGACGAAAGGAAGCGCTGGCGGGATGAGCGAAGATGTGGGGGCAGAAAAGGTTAGCGTGTTCTGTGAGCTCATGCGGATGCTGCCCGCCCATGTTCTTTGGCCACCGGATTGAAGTGGATGGTGAAAAGGAGGGGGTGAGTAAAGCTGGTTGAGGGGCGTGAACTGGCAGAGCCGAGCCAGCGAGTTGACGAGGCAGTGTAGCAGAGCGGCAGTGATAGTCGAAGCGGTATGGCGCTCCTAGCGGCGGCGGCAACCGGCAAGGGTGCGACTGGGCAGATTAGCGTGCAAACGGAGAACCTGCGTACCGCAAAAGGTCTAGGGAGACCGAATTTCCCATTACTTTCGCTGCCTGCCTCATCGACGTTACGCCCACACACCCCTATCCTCATCTTACAACACCCTCCCCACACTTCGCTCGCGGAGATCGATAGAGCCATTTCCATCGCGGTGCCAAGCCTGGTCTGCCCGCAGGTCGCACAGTCACCCGTTGACTTACGTTGTTGCAGGGCTTGGTGGCTCCGTTTGTCGCATCGTTTGCCTGAGACGTGGTCCTTGGGAACTTTCGACGGAATGGTACCGCTGTACGCAAATAGGTGTGGTCGGAAACCAAGGATCTTATCACGGCGACTTGGTACGTGGAGTTTTTGGACTGTCGTCTTTTTGGACGAGTCATGATCTGCAGCGTATACTTGTTGAGCAACTCCATATCGACTCTCAATCTTGGGATCAAACCAATTTCCGACTCTTGCTTAGGCTGCTCGCGCCACTCCTCAGGCATGGTTTGACGTGGACTTTATTAAGCTGTCGCTGATATGCCGCGTGTACGAAGTTTAGCGATGTCCCACACGCATCCACGCCTCTTGCTTATGGAAGATCTACTCATACCAACTGCAGCACAAGGCCAGCAAGCAACTCAGCAGGCGGCACTTCGGAGGCCACATTTTCTCTGCAAATATGGCGTACTTCGTACAGCAAGCAGACAGCATGACGGTGACTTAGCAACACTGATCATTTCCACGTCCTGTTGCAAGACGTCGACGGGCCAAACAAAAGAAAGAGTCCTGGAGCCTTAACCCTCAGTTACCGGCTACAGCGGTAGGCACGCTAACAAGGGCGGTGGGTGCTGGGCCCATGGTACTGGTTAAAGAGTGGCACCGTCGGATACTTTCCCAGCTGTATTCCGTTTTTCCTTCCCCCTCTCCTTCTTTGCTGTCCCCTCTTTCGTCCTTTTCTTTCATTGACCCGCTGATCCACGCCAACACTAAGAAAATTGTCTCTTCTGGAACTAGGGTCTCATCATCTCCGAGCCAATCTCTGACCTGCTATCACGTTGGATTTTCTGGGGCCGGGGCCGGGGCCGGGGCCAGGGTCAAGGCTGGGGACCAAGTTCGTTGGTGACAAGCCTTGGTCGTATCATGGCCGGTGTCTTGGATATGTACTTGTTTCCGCTTCCAGTCAGGCTGGCAAGATCGTCATGGGAGGTTGTAATTGCCGCCTCATGGTGTCGTAAATAGCTTGTCTTTAGCCAGGCTGAATCAACAAGTGAATTTCGGCCGAATCGGTGCACAACTGTTTTGCCCGTGATCAGTCACTTGAGAAACCCCACGTAGTCTCTTTAAGCCGGTCCTAATAGACAGCCAGAGGTGTACTCTGGCTGTCTGTTTTGTAGAGTAGCACACAAGGTTGTTTGGATACAAACGCTGGGTGTTCAGGAGTGAGTGGCCAGCGTTGCTTCATGCCCCATCGTCTTGTCCCGAGGGTGTGTGCTTCTGTCAAGTCCTTGCATCCATGCAAGGCACCCAATGAGTCGGCAGAGGATCTTTGGGTGGCCTGTGCGCGAACAGCAGATCATCGGGCGGACTTGATTGTTGATTCGGCCCCTTCGAAGATTCTTGTGGCTTAGGACCTGGAGCCTGTAAGTCAGTCAATAATGCGCTAAGACTTTGAGATCCCTGGTCATTGGAGGGTACAAACCCCTGTCATGTTTCATTCTCATCTTTTGCAGACCACAGAACGGACTGCCCACTAGCCTTGTTCGCCAGAGTCCGTCGTTGAGATCCCTGACCAGTTTGAGCATGGCCAGCCAGCATGACAGCATGCGCATTAAAGTGTTTTTGTCGGCAGGCCCCGGTTTCACCGAAGCCCTGACGTTGCTGCCCTTCATTCAGTGTCCCTTCAATGCCAGGCAAAGCACACTACACTATCGCACCCCTAAATCACAAACAGCCGAGCGTGGGCCACGACTTTATTTAGCTCAAGGCACCAAAACATGCTTTGGTTGTTACTCCCGCCACCTTTGAGTCCTTGGGCGTGCGCAGAGCGGCTTGCTCATTCTGGAGATGTCTGTGACATGTGGTACTTGGGCCACGGAGTACACCATTGGAGTTGTTGATCCTGCATTCATCCATCTTGGAACGTGACACCCCTTGAGCGAGCGGCAGGTACACTATCTCATATCTTGAGTCGAGAGTATCGAAAATCCTCTGCTTTTCCCATCTTTTTGTACAACTATGCTTCTTTGCATTATCAACCAGCCAGCTCTGAAACCCTGCGGCGAGTTCAGAGTGGCTCAGTTGAGTGAAGGGCGGAGTATCTGGCGGAGTAAATCACACACAATCTATTCTCTGTACGGGTCGAAGACGTCAATCAGAGCGGCGTGAGCACCAATTCCCAGGGTATGAAGTCAGCATGTAGATACGGAAACTTGCGAGCTGATCAGCGTGCGAAAGCAGTTATGATTCTCACTTGCTTGGATCTCACCAACACACCCCCGCCCTTGTTCCATGTCGTGGAACTGTCGGTACATTCGGACATGTTCCTGTGGACAGGGAAGGATAACGGGGTCAAGGCTATGCCTAGCACAGGGTCCCTTACCCATGGTCGACACGTCGTTTGCATTGAAGATGGAACGAATCATGGCCGATTGACACCGAACCTCACAAGAATATGGGCACTGCTGTGCTTGATTGATTTACCGTTGCGCCAATACGTGAAAAGCTTTGGATAGCTCTTAAGGACAGCCACATGCCTGTGTGGCGTAGCCAAGACCAGAATTGTCTGCATGGTGCGTTCCACATGATACACTCAGTAAGTTTCCCTAATAATGCGTCGCGGACTTGAAGGCGAACGCAAAAAGGTTCGGGAAGACCTCCAGCTCCATATTAGGCAAAAAACGGCAGCGGCATCCTGTTCAGTTATTTCAGACACTATTAGGTCGGACTCGGTTGCGTTTACTGCAAGGAAATAAGAAGACAGAGATTATCGCTCGCCTACTGATTCGGATCAGATACCTGTGCCTCTCGTTAAGTCAGTAGACTAGCTTGGCCACCCAAGAGTTATCGTGTCGATGAAGGCACTCGGGCAGCGTCCTGGCCAAATCGCGTGTGTCTATAAGGCGAGGGGAATTTAGGATTGATAACCCAGTCCGAATGAGATGGTGCGTTGTAAGGATTGGGACATCTGTGTCTGCCAACAGTAGCTCACGAGACACACCTATATGTCACAACCCCGGGAGCCAGCTCATCCTACTGAGGCTTTCAACAATTAATGGGTCGAATAACTTGGCCATATTGGCTTCATTCTAAGAGAAGGTTGGCGTGCAGGACCGGAGTCTGTGGTGATTGGGAGTGCATCCCGGTTTTTCCTCTCGTGAAGATTATGCTAACCTGTGTGACTGGTGGAGGGTAGCCATCTCTGGCTTCAACAACCTACAACTCAGCGCATTGAATACACTACGCTAAGTCAAGGGGATTGTTAGTGCTGCAGAGGAAACACCGAAGGGTTGTATCAGGGTGATCGGGCCTCAATGATCAGCCGCCTCCACACGCATACCTCAGCATTGCAAGGTTGCGAGCAGTGTCAAACTGGCTTAGGTCTTGAGTGGTGACCCAAGGTCAACGCCAGTGCCAGTGTGACTGTACCAAGCAGGCAGGTCGATAACCCAAGAAGTTTGCTTGGAAACTAGAAAGGTGCTGTGGTACTGTGGTGCTCCAGCGGTTCAGCGGCTCAGACGGCAAAGTGCCGGAAACAACTAGACTATGAAAACTCACGCGTGCAGCAGCAGGTGTATGGCAGGATAACTGGTAAGTTTGTCCTGATGACGCGACTGCATTGCACCGTAACCGAGGGCTGGGTTGAGAAGCCTTGGTCGTTTTTGTCTTGTTTCCGTATTGCCCATAGCTCCAGGAGCGATACATTAGCAGCCAAGGTATGTCGACGTGACTGAGCACGATATGTGCAAATCAAAATCGAGGCTGGACAATTAAGTCGGTAGTCGAGAAGTCGCGAATTTGCTTGCAAACATGTTAAGGAAACAGAAAAGAGTGTTTTGGTTTTGCATCAGGCGATGAACCAAAAGACGTCGCAGGGTAGAACGGAATTGGCAAATATGATGCCGAGGAATGGTGCTCACTGTCTCCAGGAACGTGATGCTACAAGATGAGAAGGTTGTGTGGATAGTTAGTGATAGCGTAGCTTGGTAATTGACAAGGACCACGGGCGAAGGTGGCCACTAGCTGAGAGGTTCCATTGAGACTGGAAGAATAGCGCTAGTTAATGTTAAGTCGTGCTGAGCAATGACCAACAAGTGGAAATCAATTCCAACCTAAGGCACTCGCAAGTCGGACTGGAAGTTGGAATGGTAGTTGGCGGCGGCATCTATCCGCGGCATGATGCATTACAGCGTCAAGATGGGTGAGGGGTGTGGATTTGACGAGACAGCCAGATCAGAGACGGACCTGGAGGAGACGGCGAGCCTTGTAGCGCGCAGGTGTCATCGTGGACGAGAGGTGTCGCCGCAGAGCCACTGCCTCAGTATTCTTCCAGGTTAACTAGCACACGAAATTCACCTGATGGGAGGAGGACGAAAAGACGAGACATTAACCGAGGGTAGGGGCGAATCCGCAGCAACGAAAGGGGAAAAATGAAGGAAGGAAGATGTACCTAAGCTAACTCGGCTGATCTTGGCGTTATGATGAAACTGGAAAGTAAAAAGTAATCACGTGGGGAATGTGTTCTCTGGTCCAGGTCTTCAAGGGCGGCGGCGCCTGGCAAAAATGACACTCGAGAGCCGCTCCAAACAGAGTGGGTCGTCCAAATGTGCTGGGGCAAATTTTAGACGTGGGCCGACTACACAACAGCTGTTGCATTGAGGTACTTTGAAAGTTTTGCGGATGCGGATGCGGATGCAGCTGCAGCTGCATCATAGAGGTATATGTGTAGTAAGTGCATATGCAGGCGTAGGTGCAGCCTAACCACACGCATGCTGCAGCAGCAACAGCAGCTACAGCCGCAGGACATGAGGGAAACTGTGGAGCTTCCCTGGCCTGCAGTTCCCAAGTCTGGGCGCTGACTGACTGAATACTGACTGCAGTGCTGGTCGTGATATGTTTTGGTGATTGATAGGCACGCCCTCGGCAATCATATCGGAAGAACTACAATGTTCAAAAGCACGGCTACTTCAGATCCGGTCCCGTGCCTGACTGCAAGCAGTTGCAGTGGTATTGGAGAGGCGGCAGACTGACCGCCTGTGGGTGGACGTGAATACGGAGGTGGGTGTGGCCATGACCGCCATGACCATAGTCCATGTGGTGGTCGAGCCCGGCGTTAAATTTCATGGATTCAGGCTGTGAGATGTGAGGGCATGAATGGGTAGCGGGCGGGCGTAGCAGGAGAAGAAAGAAAGCAAGAACAAGGCTTGAGACCAGGTCGGGCAAAATGTCGGTTCCGCGTTATGCGGCGATCCAAGGCAGGGAAAGTGATTCCCGCCCGTACCATGCAACAGCAATGAGGCGCTGGTGGCTGGGTAAGCGGATGGTGATGGCTTGGTTTCGGGGTGGGAAGGCCCGCCAGAAATGTACCTCAAGAAGTAAGATGCCAAATGACTAAATGGAACAGTCCAGGCCGTTAGTCGGAGTGGGTAACGGCGCCAGGTGGGAGAGTCCTGGCAGATGGGTCAAGGCAGGCCGCAAGACCTGGATGAAGCCTGCCGGGACAGGGAAGATGCTTCGCTCTCTCGTCGTGGACGGTGGACACGGAGCTGGCAGAGAGACGAAGGTGGAGTCGAGGCGGCGGAGGCGGCGAAAGGGCGAGCAGTAAGTTAGGGGGTAAATCGGCCCCAGGCTGTACAAGCGACGCACTGCCGGGATGGGGAATGCGTGAAAGAGTGTGGGAAGAGGAGCAAGATGATGGAAATGAGAGCGCCGGCAATGGAGCCGGCCACGACTCGACAAACCTCGTATCCTGAACTGGGCGATGTGTGGTACTAGCAACGACGCCGGTACCTTCGCCAACTGAGCTAGGTGTCTGGAAAGAAGAGCCGCTAGCCATTCACTGCCACTCAGCGAGCGTACAACGTACATAGTAGGTACTGAGTACCATGGTGAAGTTTGATGGTAGCTTCCCACAACAGTCGTGCGCAATGTACCGTACTGGCGACTCAAGCGGGTAGTGACGTGGATTGTATTCCTGGAATATTTGCCAAGGCCATCCCCCGCTTGTCCCTTTATCGATACGGATGCCGTAACCTCCATTTCTGCTGTTCCTTCGTTCCATCTGGGTGTGCGGATACGGGACAGCAAGGGCCTTCTCGTCATGGGTCACCTGCCCCGCCATGAGCTTCTGGAAGCCGCCTAGGAACAGGGCTAGGTACTTCGCTGATCCCTAAGAGAAACCTCCAGTAGCCATCCTTCAAGTGATTACCGCACGTCAACAGGCACAGGGTACTAGTAGTGGACGAGGTAACTCCGTGGATGGCTTCCGTTCCACCTAGGTGTTCAGACTGACCGACAGGTTAGGATCTCTTACACAGCCTGCAGTAGCCAACTGTGCCATGTATCACATTTAGAATGCTTCCCTCATCTGCTGTGCGAGCCGCCCAACACCTGTAGCGAAGAACTTGGCTTTGGCTGCGAAGAAAACCTATGACACCTCTCATATTGTCCTGTGGAGTTTAGCTTCTGAAAGTCCCAACTTCGTCCTGACCTTACATATTCGCTGTGAACAGTAGGCGGTGTGTCTTGAAAATGTGCTAAGCAAGGCAAGGTATGTCAGGAATTAATGAAAACTGGTGCCCCGTACGATAACCGCGCTCGTTTTCAGCTGAACGGAGCCAAATTAGTGCTTGTATCCATACCCAGCTGTTTGTGTTCGTAACAGGACTGAATGTGTGATGTCCCTGAGATGTGCAGGTGGGACGGTCGGTCTTGGGACAGGACAGCAAGAGGCGGTCGGGCGTCGGGTAGGAGTCAGTACAGCTAGACAGGGCTTGAGAGCGTGTCGCCGACCTGTGAGGGGAAGCTTCAGGGGGGCAGTCAAGGGCACGCGGCCTCTGGCAGGTCAGTCGGCCAAGTTTCCAGCACTGTCGTAGCCCCATCTTTGCATTCTTGCAGGGAGCCTGGGCGGAAAGGATAGGCTTCGTCACAAAGTCGCACGGGCTTGTTCTCACTTGACATGCCCTGGTGAGGGTCACCGAGTGTGACCCAATGTTGTGTAGACCTCGTTCTGTTCCACACCACCAGCGGGCAACGAAGGCAGGGTATGTTGTCCCCCTCCCTGCGCTCCAAGAGGGAAAATAGAAGCAGAGAGAAGGCCGAGTGCACACCCTGCCTCGGTTTGGTGTGCTGAACGGGCTGAACGGAAGGGACTATTAGTGGGTGTGAACGGGGGGTAGGGGCTGAGGAAGCACTGGAACCGGACCTCAAAAGGTGAGATCCAAATGTGATGCGAATGTTAAGGTGTGCCGCCAGACCTGTTCGCTCCAATCGCGGGCTCGCCTCAGGAGAATGGTGTCTCCACCAGTGTCATGGATATGGTACATAGCACTGAGCTTGCATTTGGGGAGGTGCGCTTTGCCCGAGATGTTGTGGTGCGGGAGAAGGGGTGAGTGGAGGGATGGTTGACAGGGCAGAAGTCAGGCCGTGGATTTGCGCGGGCGGTGAATGGTGTGTAGTGCGACGTATGAGTACGTGGTTGCCCAGCATGATCGTATGCCTGAGGTGCCCACGTCCCTGCTTGCTGCTTTGCCTAGTGTAAGGTCACAGGGGGCGCCACTACCTCCGACTGGTGGTCCACTCCTTCCTCTGGCTTATTTCTGCCTGAATGTCCAGGTGGTGTTTTCTTTTTTGTGTCCTCCATATACTACGGTACCAGCAATTGGTGGAGTCTCAGCGCTAGTCAACAATGGCCACCAAAGCCCAGTGTCTCCAGTCCGTGCCGCGTCTCGGTCGGCTTCAAACTCACGGCGCTGAGCTCCATCCAAATCAAGCAAAGCCTCCATTACCAGGTTTCGCAGAGGCCACCTCCCTCCCCCTCAGTACCCTGACTCCTCTTGCTAGGGCCTCAAGGGCCTCGATCAGTTTACCATTGGCTACCGAATCCGGTTAGCTCAGGCCCTCATCCCTCTTTCCATTTTTTCTTTATTCCATATTTCCCCTCCTCCACTTGCGACCTGGCGCTTGGGTGGGGGCTGTCAAACCGTCACAGTCGTTTCTTGCTTTGCTTGGATAGGGTGGATGGGCAATGTCCGTCTTGCCTATCCTGTGGTAAGGTGCCTTCTCCCTGAGTGCCTGGAAGTGCTGGCCCTGCGGGACTGCCTTGAGCACGCTAAACGATTATAGCAAGCCTGGTCATAATGCCTACTACCGGGCCTAGGGGACAGTGTTGGCCTCCCATCACCTCCTTGTCTTGAGCCTTGTCCGATGTGCTTCCTACATTGTCTCGCTCTGTCTGGGCTATGGACCAGCTGTTCTGGCCCGCCCTACTACACCCGTCGCCCTGGCCATGCCATCGTGCCACCCTGCTTGTTTTGCTATGCGGATTTAGCTGCTTGCAAAATTGCATATTTCCAGGGTCAGGGTGTCGCTCCTGAGGCGGGCTGTTAATATCGAGGCATGGTGAAGTATACAGTACTTTTCACTCGCTGCGGAAATCACTGATGCCTCCAGGTTCCAATGACGAGCATCGCATCGGTTTTCCTCAAAACCTTTCGCCCCTGTTGTAGCTTCACCTGCTTTCATGTATGGATCCTCGGTGACTTGTCAGAATTCTATGGCTCAAACAGGACTGTTGATGAGTGCCAGAGTTGAGGGCTAGTAGCACAGAGCGGTTTTTTCCCCCTCTTTTAGATGGGGCCAAATTCTGGGTAGCAGCTGACTCTTGTTCAAAGTGGAGGGAAGGAAGGAGCATCGAAAGAAGAAAGAGAGAATGTGAGAGACATCTGGTTGTAACACCAAAGGATACGTCGCCGGCTCACCATCAGCCATACCAAAACTATGTACCCAGTACTTTTCCTCTCTGCCCACTAGCCCCACAACATTGGGAGGCTTACCGCCCAACCACCTCCTCACATTCACCACTATGAGCGATCTGTGACTCTGTCTTCGTGTAATTCGGCCTAGCGACGGCTATTCTCGTGAGCATCAGTCACTGACCATCCATGATCCATCTCGGAGGTTTCGCGATCCCACATTCCAATCTGCTGCAATTTGCCCGTCCCATCTCGTTCCAATTTGGGCGACGTAACAACCCAATTCCCTGACGAGCCTGCCAACATGCAGTTGCTGTGAACTTTTGCCGGTCTCCATCCACCTCGTCTCGCCTCGCCTCTCTGCCTTGTTTGGAATGGACCTCACAGTGGGGGAAGAAGAAAAAGTCTGTCGGCTTGAGGCGTCCGAGACCGAGACCTACGATACATGATACCTTGCCTTGGAGCAACCTGCGAAGCAACCATGCAAGGTATCCGTACACGCAGCTCTGTCCATGACATGACGGTCCATACACACGTCAGGCCGTGGCTTAAGCATATGACTGGGTCTTCGATACGATTCTGGCCGGTCATGGGCATCATGAGACGGCCTGGTTGAGGGAGCATCATCGACCACCAAACCAAACCTTCCATCCTATGGTCCAGACTGCTACTCCATTCCTATCCGGGTCACTCGCATCCACTGCTTCTGATTCAAGTATGCATTGGTTTCCTCAAATTCAGCTTGCACCATTCTGTATTCAAGCGGGTGCAACCCCAAGGCAAAAAACAAAGCTTGCCTCCATCAGGTCTGAGCGAACAATCGAGGTGGGATGCTGGATAGAAACCTACCGGCAAGGCCGCGTACATACTGTGGTCACCAACCTTTGCTAAGATGACCGGCCAGTTGCCTTGAGCTTGCGTTTTCACAATCTAGAGGCTAACCATAACTTACCAGTCGGCCCTTGGCCATGGTCCGGTCCCCGCAAGATCTCACTGACCCTCATTCAACAACTGGCGCCTACTAGTACTCTTCCTCACCAGGCTGGAGGACAGGGTTGGGAAAACGCGACACTACCCACACCACCCACACAACAATGCCGCTTCACACACATACACACAGACACAAGTACCTACTTGTTAGATGTGTTGACAGCAACCTTCTCGCCTCTGTCTCCGCACATCTACCTGACCCAGGGGGGTGTGGAAAGAAAAATCGCAAACCAACAGCCCGTCTCTTATTGAGATCTGTGATCCGTTCTCATCCGTTGCACCTTCCATCCTCCTGGACAGCGGCTTGTCTTTCAATAGCTCACCCCCCCCACCCCCTTGACGTACGGCCTAGTCGGCTTCGCTCTAGGATGACTGCAAACAATTAACGTTCCGTTTCGTACCTTGGGCCGCTGCTCAACAAGGTGGCCAGACGTGCAAGGTGCCCCTCGACACAGATCCGCTGCCTTCGATGAAGGACGATGCGTGGCACACTAAATTTCTTCTCGTTTGGACAACAGAATCATGGACGCCAGATGGGTCTCATCTGTACCATTTATTAGATTTCGTTTCTCATGACTTGCTACACTCCTGACCCCAAATCGGCTTATGAGGAGCTTGGCTAGCCTGACAACTTGATGTCCCGGGCAGAAGTATTCGTCGTGCCATTTCTTTTTTGGAGCACAATGCTAATCAACAAGCATCATTAGTTATCGAGGAAATGCCCAGCTTAGCCCACCGGTACGTACCGCAAACAGCACTTCCTCAAGCGGGACCACCTCCGTGCGCCTTCCAAATTTCGCACCTCCTTTTTTTATTTTTTTTCAACTACGTCTTGGAATCAAGACCTCGATGAAGATCGTGGATTGCCCAGAGTCTGTGCTTTCGTATCTTGATTTCCGGCTTTTGACTTGCCACATTTCGCACCTGATCCATCACTATGTATTATCAGAATCGAAAGGGGCTGTCAGACAATGAAGAAGAGCAGCATTGTAGCCTTTCCCATGTTAGATTGTTTTGCATCTATACATGTTCCAAGTGGAGGGACAGGGCCAATTATCTGGTCTTCCAAAGCAATGCCCGTTGCTGGCCTCTGGGACACGCATCCAGCCGTCAACAAATTGTCAGCTCCTCTTTACTGTCAGACAAGGCAGGCCATCGGTCAGTCAGAAGATGGTCATCAACACGCCGCTAGATGGGTGGCACTTTGGAGGAAACCAAAAACATGCAAGGCAAGCTGCACATCCCCATCTGCTAGTACTGGGGAGGCTCGAAAGACGGCGCCGGGCATGGAGGGATGACGGTCATGGATCTATGGTCCCAAGAGCGGGTATCCACGCTGGGTTCCTTAGATCCCCAGCAGGTTTATACTACGACGCCCCCTCTAGCGTAACCCGCCAGTTCAAACTAAGCTTGCTGGGGTCCTTTGCCTCGATGACGGCTAACAACTGGTCGGATGGCGACAGGGGCCGCTCGACTCTAGGCAATAAAGACACCCTCTGGGTCAGGGCATGAGAGAGAATGTTCCCCTTGAACCCCTTCTCACTTCTAGCCCCTGGGCTGTCTGTGGCACTTTGCTGCGCTGTTGCACAGGACGCGGACAGGGGTGTCCTCTCCAGACCCCAAGTTGGCGGCGTGAGCGCCTGGGCCGAGCGGTTTCTATGGGCCAAAGAAATTCTATCCATGTTCTTTTTTCTTTCCTTCCTCCTTGACCGCCCGCAGCCCCTGTGCAGCCCACCAGCCAATGAGGACAGTACGTACCTGTGCTGATGGAGGTCCCCACTGTGATTTTTTCTTTTCCTTTTTTCCTGTCGACTTTTGCCTTGCATCCCGCCATGGCACGGCACCTGCAGTGCAATTTGGGTAAGAATGGTTACATACTACCCGGACATGGGAGACACCCACACACAGGGGACACAGCGATGAATTGGCACCACAACCTAGTCTGGTCCACCATCCATTCACTTCACTCACTCAATCATCCGCACACCATCCAACACCGACCACCACCGACCATCCCTCGCCCCAGTCCCATCCATCACCCTCCACCAAAGCAATCAACCCACGCCCACCGCTCACTCACCTCTCCACCCACTGGCGCACACCAGCGCTATCGACAAGTCCGTCCCATGGCTCCCATGCTTTCTCATTCTGTGACCCCACCCTCCTTCTCCCTCCTCCCCCTCCCCGGGCCAGACAGCCCAAGGGGAGCAGCCGCCCCGTCTCCTTTGACTCCGAAATTCACCATCCTCCGTCGCGAGATCCCTGCCCAATCCATATGACGCAGTCCGCTTGCTCGCTGGCCGCGCCTTCACCACCCATACACCCGCCTAAAAAGGGACGAAATAAGTACGTATCACCCCTGCCCAGCCACGCCGCCTGGGACACCTGCACCGCGCGGATACCTCCCATCAACGTCCCATCCCCATGCATGCAACCCGCAGTCGCTGCCTCTTCGAACACACATGCCAAACCGTTCATAGTCTTAATTACCTGTTGTCTTTCTTGGCCCACTCAGTACCCACGGTGCGTAGCTGCTCCTCCACTGGAGCTAAGGTTTGATTTATCCTTCTTCAAGACCAATCTAGTATCACCCATGTACACTTATGTTGCTCCCTTGGAACCCTTACAGAGCGAAGCCTCTTTCTCCGTACATCTTCCTTCATACTTACATAGTCTGGGCTGAGCCCATCCTTTTTCCATGCCATCTATATCATCGACAGCCACCGCATCTTCTTCACCCTGATATTCTTTCGCCAACAACAGTCTCATGATAAACATCTCGCACCCTCCATCAACACTTACGCTGACCAACATCATTCCATTTTCACCATCACCGCATTCATTAAAATGATGCCAGCACTACTGGGCGGTGGCCCTGTCTTGGGCATGGTTCCCACAACCTATCACACAGATACCTTCCTCGACGACTTGTCAAGACAGATGGCTCTCTCACAGGCGTCAAGAAGGCCCTCGAAGGGGTCTAATGGACAACGGACCGGAACCGCTATGCGTGTAATCAAGCCGAGCAGTGCCAACAACAGCCCGAGGTCGTCATCTGCAATGCAGTCACGTAGAAGGACTTTGATGAACGATGGGAACCTGGCGAGGCGGAGGCAACAGGCCATGGATCACGTCCAGATGCCCGACTACAATGCTCAATCTCGACCAAGTCGTCCCCTGAGCTGGCACCCGTCCACTTTTGAACAACATCATCACAAGTTGCCTGTCCAGCAGCACTTGGCACAATATCCGTTCCCTCCTACCACATCATACCACGACTCTGACAGCTACCCCGCCTACCAACAATTCCCGCCCACGCCTGCCGCCTACTCCTGCAACACATCACCAACTGCCTCTTTCTCTCCTCTTGCCCTTCCCTTCGGCGCCTACGATGGGTCTGGCTACCTTCCCGTTGAGGGCTGGGTCATCCCTCAACAGGTTGAACCTGCTTATGTCTCCTCGTCAAAGACTACTGGGTACTCTGAGCCATTCCCTGCCTTGCCCACTACTCTGCCGGATCTCACCCCATCGTCGACGTCCACCTCATGGAACTCATACCCCATGAATGACTTTACCAGCACCTCACCGCCCACACCAGAGACTTTGCCACAAGCTCAGCAGGCCCAGCCCATCGTCTCCAACGAGGACGCTATCCCCTATCAGCCTCTGGATGAGCCTGAGGAAGAGGGCGAGATCCTCATCGGCATGGGTCTATACGATGCTCCAGACAAGTACGATAACGACCCTCAACTGGACGCCTCGCGCTCTGCCATGTCCTCGCTGCTCGGTGCCTCTTTCCGTCCAATGGAAGGCACAGGCAAGGGCTTGAAGCTGGAGGAGTCTTGGCAGCCCCCTGAGGAGAGCGACGACGAAGACGCTGACCAGGAGGATGCCGATGGCGAGGATCAAGATTAACGAAATAAACGGAAAACAGCGAAAAGGATTACGGTATAACACCAGCGCAAGCGATTATGATTTTACGAACAAAACCTGTACACCATGTATGACTATTATGCGAAATGTATCACTAGCACAGAAAGGGGCCTAAGACCGCGTGTCTATGGGGACTGAGGCTTCCTGTGATCAATCACAGGAGGCAAGCTCGGCAAAAAACAATGGGCAGGGCAAACCCCCCAGAATACGTCACAGCTGCGGGAACCATTTGCTCAGCCTCGGTGCTCTCACGGAGCAGTTGAGGAGGAACTATGATATAGAAATAATTAAAAACTGCAGCTCCCGCAAGAACCACCTACCGCTATGCCAATGTCCAACTCAGTGAATAGACGCGTGTGATGGCACCTTGACGAAGGAGTCGCGGCAGGTACGGAGGAGGCGCCGGGATCGAAGTGCAATCGCCAACACGGACGCTAAAAATAAGCGAGAAAGAGCCTCCCGAAAACAACCCCTGTCGAGCGAGGCATGAGCTGCATCTTGGGCCAATACATCCCTGTCATGAGTCACTAGGTAGCCAATTCTATACCATGTGGGGCCCCACCCCCGCCGTTCTGGCCAGCCCTGCGAGTTCACGAAACACCCCACCGTGGCCCCTGAAAAATTCGATGGACTGTGACCTCACCGGACCCCAGCCTCCTCCCTCTTAGTGGTCATTTGTTGTACATGTGTGTGGGAAAGAGCATTTTGGAGCGTAGGGGGTGGGACGGCCGTTATCAGCTTGATTGGACAATGATAGTTGAGCGAGAAATTTGCTCGCAGTCAATTTTTCGACAAAGTGCACTACATCGATCCGTTAAGCCCGGGAACTATCTTATTTCCTCAAGTCGAAATTGACTTAGGCGCTACTGAATCGAATCAAACCACGATATTCTTCATCGCAACAACTCAAATTAATGTACTAAATAGCCCATAACAGCTTGCCCTCCTTCTACAAATTTTTTGTTTTCCCCAGTGTTCCCGTACGAGAGGAAGACCCCTCCTACAGCATGTGATTCGTTCGTGATGATAGGCAGATGTTGATGCTCGGCGCCGCGATGCTGGATGACTTGAGCTAGTGTGGTACTCTGCTACCTTTAGTTGGCATATTCCTTGCGATACCAGCGCAACGTTGGGCGTTATGTGTGGTATTTTAGACCCAATGTCTTCAGTCCAAAACAACATGCAGAACTCTCAGGTTCGCAAAGAAGCTATCTGCTGGTGCCAAGTATGCCCCTTCACATATCTATCTGAGCATCAACTCTCTTTAGTCATCTCACGGTGTCCTGCTTGCGCTATATAGCACAAGCCAAGTATGACAAAGCCACGGGCGTTGCCCGTGAGGAGGTACCTCATTGCTACCACTAACTCTCAGCTGCTCCATGCGATGCTGAAGAAGGTATAATTTGAGGAGGGCGAGTGATTGAGGAGGGCGACCCAAACGGCTACTCCGCGATGCCCAAAATGCTTAGTATCCCCTGCGATGCCGCCGCCTAGCAGATGCTGGACGGAACCCTCTCTCTCGTGTCTACGAACTCAAAGATCGGCAACCCCTTGTTAAGGAGTTCACAGAGAAGTGTGACATTCCCAATCGAGATGACCTCTTCGTAGGGTATTCGTACGGCGCTAGACGACATCAATCGGAACAGGCATAGACCGCCGGATCGGATGCCGACTAGGTGTTGACGTGAAGAAACATAGCCGAGCGGTGGCCGATGCCTCGATGAGCATTAACAAGGTTTAGACCAGTTATAGATATAGAAGCCGCATTGTCATGATCATGGTTTACCAGTCTCTCGTCCCAAAAAACGTGGGCCCGAACATCGCATAACCTCCTGCATCATTCGGCTATTGTATGGAATTTAGACGTCGGCTAGGCAAGAAGGAATCATCCCAGCTCACAGTCCATTTGGGGGGCTTTGATGTTGGACCAGAGACATCAGTGCAATGCCGTGATACGAATGAAGCCCAGGATGAAGGACCGATCTGGAGACAGCATAGCTCATCCGATAGTACCATGAGCTGGATAGGAATTCGCGCCCCTGAGATAAGTAAGGTGCATGTTTCGCTGTTTCCACAGGAGGGTGGCGTTTGCATGTTCCAGACATCTGGTCTGGCTGGCGGTGTGTTAAATGTGCTGATCCAAGCTAACTCAAGAATTTAGTGAGCATTTTGTCTCCAACTGTTTTTTCCCCCCTTCCCCCTCCTCCAAAGACCCTTTTTACCCACCCCTTGGGACTCGACACAGACGAGCGAGCCAGCCACTGGGAGAAAGCCAAGTCACTGGATGGAGTTGATCATCTTAGGGGAGGGGGGAGAATCAAAAATATCTCAAGCCTCCAAAAGCCACGCCATCAGGGACGGACAACAAGAACCTTTCCGGAGCCGGGTTTGAAACAATTTCTGCTTCCTCGTTCCGCGACTCGCGAAACATACACAAACACCCACACATACACAAGCGCATACATATTCCACGTACATGCACAGGTACAGGGCCGGGTAACACACGCAGCTATCCGACCAACGGAAAAGGATGGTCCAATATATCCTGACACCATGGCGCGATCGCCGCGAGCTGCTGAAGGTTCGCCAGCAATTCTATCCTGCTGCTGCCACCACCGCCGCCCCCCCGCCGTCAGCATCTGCAGCGTCTGTTACGGCGCCCACCACACCCGCTACGGCTGCCGCATCCTCCGCACTAACGACCAGGCCCTCGGCGTCGAACCAGGTCGCAGCCACAATGAGAGCTACAGGCGGTGCTAGCGGCCGCAGCGATGCCTACCCCCCTTCAGCTTCTCTGGCCGCTCAGCACCACGCCGTCGCCAGGGTGTCAATGTGGATGCAGCGCGGGAATTGCCCACACATGGTCGAGTCGACGGCACTATTGACCGCGGCCATCCTCAGCGACGGAGAGAGCTCGGGCAGTGCTGGCACCTATGCAGTGCGTGCGGCTTACGCCGCCGCTTTTAGTCGGTACGTTTTTTTTTTTTTTTTTTACCCTTTCCCCTTGCTCCTACCTTCTGGGCCTTCCACACGAAAAACGAAAAAAAGTATACTTGGGCGGTTTTTTCCCCCTTGCACCGCCCACCTTCCCAGAGGCTTTGAAACAAGTGCCGGCGTTCTGGCTTTCTCGTTTTGTTTTTGTCCTTTCCCACCCAGGATCTGGGCACCTTGTTGTTTCTGTTATGGCGGTCGTCATCCTGGCTTTTTCCTTCTTGCCTCTGGGTGTATTGTAATTAGTCCTCAGGCGGGACTGTCTTACTTTGCTCACTCACACCACCCTTGACCTCTCCTCCCCCCTTCGTTTCTGGCAATGACGCCGTGCCCATTTGGGTTCAGTTCAGATCCACAGAGACCAGATTGAGGCCGGCCCGTCTGGTGAAGGGCAGCTCGAATCGCCCGATTTGCCACAGACACTATAACCGCCTGGCAACCTCTCACATGAGCGCCGGCTTGCTTTCTCGGTCCACCATACACCCTCCTTCCCGAGGAAACTCTCTTGCATTTGCTCTGTCTCAGCCTGACCCGGTCGCGAGTGTGACGATGACTTACGGCTGAGAGGCGTTCCTGGGACGGAGGGTCCGTTTCTACTTTCCTAGAGCATATAATCCTTTTTGGCAGATGCTCCTCTCACCTTGTCCCTGTTGCTGTCTCGCCTGAGCTTTTCGGAGTTCACTTTCCTCCCTGATTGCCTGCTCGGATACCGCTTCTGTTGATAGTGGCTACACTTTATTATCATCAAACTGATTTGATTTCCGGGTTACTTACACAATCGTTCCTTTAGGTTTGTGACCGGGCTCTTGGACGGGCACCAGGACAAACAGCGAAAGCTGAGCATGTATTCGGTAGCCAAGACCATTGGCTTGCCGGCGACGTTCGTAGAGCTGCGGCACCAGGCAACACACGAGCAGCTGCCGTCCCTCGCAAAACTGCGGACCGCCGCCCGGAAGGCGCTGGTGTGGATCTGGGAATATTACTGGCAGCAACTAGGAGTAAACGAAGATGAGGAGACTGTGATTGTTGGCGATGCGGCTGCACCTGGGTATTGTGATATGGTGATGGGATACCTGCAGGAATCAGAGGGAGCGCGGAAGGCCGAGCGGAGGAGGCTGCTCGATAGACTGGACCAGGGCCAGTTACTCTTGACGCTGTCACAGATCATGGACGCGTCACCGAACAATGCGATTTTGCTTGGGGCCCTAAGGATGTCTAGAGAAATCCTGCAAATGGGACGAGAGGGAGATAATGATGAGGTGGATTTGGATAATGACGTGGAGCAGGTCAAGAGAGAAATCTCACGGTCGCGGGACGTATTGATGTCGGAGGCGAAAGAAGCCGAGGAGCAGTCGTCTGACGATGCGGACCATGATGAGCCTGGCGAGGGTGGAAGCGGTTGGGCGAAGCACCAGGGAACTTGGAAGCCACGTCCTATTGGCGTCCTATAAAGTCCCCCGATATTTACTCAACCTTTTCCCGCTATGCTACTCGTGAATAATTGATACCACCATATCATACTTGATCATGAACTTATATGTTGCTGTTACGTGTCTTCGAGGAAGCTGAACGGGAGCTGTCTGGCATGTGCTGCAGCATCACGTGGGGGTATGACGATGAAAGTGGATGAGGGGATGTTGGGGGGCGGTCAGATTTGTAATAACGTCACCCTGACTTGCTGGGGAATTGCAGCCAATGCGGCAGCGGGTTTGATCTGAAGCATCAACCGTTCGGCGAACAGCACATCCGCGCCACGCAACTGCCTCTCATGAATACCCTCATCACAAGGAGGCCATTACTGAGACAGAAGCTCGCCACCGTAACCGCAGCTGTGAGTTTCTCGATAGGCCGAGGAACGCCAGACCGTCGATGGATGTTGAGGAGCTAACGTCGATACAGCTTACATTCACCAGCGCCATGCATATTCAGTCGATTCCCATGTGTAGGTCTAAGCTCAATAACCGCATACATGCCGCCTGCGAAGGAGAATTGCTGACGTTTTGGACTGGAAGGGGTGGGCAGTAGCAACAACTACGCCTACCTGGTTAAGGATGACAAGTCCAACGACGCCGTCATCATCGACCCGGCCAACCCGCCCGAGTAGGTGTCTCAACCTTGGATGATGGCCGGCTTCTGGACGACTGACCTGGACTGCAGGGTTGCTCCCGTTTTGAAGAAGGCCATTGATGGTAAAGAGATTAACCTCACCGCCATCGTCAACACCCACCAGTGAGTGCTATCCATGCGGCCTTTTCACCAAACGCGGCTTGACTGACCCTTCCCACCAGCCACTGGGACCACGCAGGCGGCAACAAGAAGCTAGTAAGTGTACCAACCGCAGGACCTATGGGCCAAAGACTGATGTAATGGGCAGCTCGGTGAGCTCGGTCTATCCAAGCTGACCATCTACGGCGGCAAGGACTGCGAGGGTGTGACGAATACCCCCAAGGACGGCGAGTCGTTCAAGGTTGGCAACATCGCCGTCAAGGCATTGTACACGCCTTGCCACACGCAGGACAGCATTTGCTGGTTCATGCAGGATGGTGACCAGAAGGTCGTCTTCACGGGCGATACGCTCTTTCACAGCGGTGAGTTCCTTCCGCAGATTAGGGCTGGTGGTGGGTGATTGTGTTGGTGGTTGCATGCTAATATTCGACCACGTAGGCTGCGGTAGATTCTTCGAGGGAAACGCGGAGGAGATGCACAAGGCGTTGAACAAGACTTTGGCGTCTTTGCCTGACGAGACGGTGGTTTTCGTGAGTTTCAACAATGAACCACGGACAGGCACAGGCGAAAGCTGACCTCAGTAGCCCGGACATGAGTACACCAAGTCCAACGTCAAGTTCTCTGTGACGGTTCTTCAAAACGAGGCCATTCAGAAGCTGCAAAAGTTTGCCGAGAACAACACGGAGACGCAGGGCAAGTTCACCATTGGTGATGAGAAGGTAGGCCCATTTGGACCAACTATAAAAGATGTATGTTTGAGCTGACGTTGTACCGCAGAAACACAACCCCTTTATGCGTGTTGATGTAAGTACTCTCAAGTAGCAAATGACAACACGGGACTGACGTCGGGGGCAGGATCCCGAAATTCAAAAGGTCACAGGAGCGCAGGACCCTGTTGCCGTCATGCACAAGTTGCGCGAGATGAAGAACAACTTCAAGTGAGTAAGTGACAGGCCCCTCTCTCCGTACTTCAGACATACGACTCTGCTGCTATGAGCAAATGCAACTGGAACTCTGAGCTGACGCCTGTAGTCCACCACCCGAATCAAAGCTTTAGGGGAGAAGCGGCGGATGGAGTCTGGAGTTGAAAAGTGGCAGTAGGAGATACCAGAGACACGAGGACCGACAGGGCCGTCTCGTTACGACAGCACTTGAATTGAGACGTGGGATGTACACCGTTACATACAACAAATAAAAACTTTCCACAGGCTTCAGAACAATATGTATGCGAGTGATATGTCTCCCAACAGGCCCGAAGCGCCCGACGACCAAGGTCGATCGAGCGACTAGTGTAGCCCAGGGAAGAGGCGACCGTCCTGCGGCGCGCCCCCGTTTGTTCAATTTTGCTTCACTGTCCACACGTGCTCGCTCTGGGGTTGGAAGCGGCAAGCTCTAGCAAATTTTGAAGCGGGTTGGGACGCAATTCGCGTCTGTTGTACCTACCGTGACTGCACGACAAACATGCAAATTGTAAACAGGTTTGCCCCATGTACATGGTCCGCGTCTCGTTTGAGAAGCATGACACCAACATCTGAGGGGTTGAATGGTATTGCCGTTCCGTGCAAGTGCCTAGGAGGCAACTGTGAAGCAATTGGCTTGGAATATACACACAACTCCGTCTTTGCTTTCATGTGAAGCGCCGCTGAGAGCGTACGTGTCCAACCTCGAAGCGACTCTGTGGCTACTTGCAAGGCGAAGTGTGACTCCTTCATAGAATTGCGTGCGTTGAGTGTGTTGAAATCATCTCGCGACGTTGTCCTTATGCGCGCTGCGCGACGAACCAAACGATCTGGAAGTGAGAAGAAGAGAAGAAGTTGAACATCTGCGCAGACTTTTTTTCTTAAATCCCCAATTTTCGGCGGGGCATATACACCGTGTTAATTGCCCGCTTACACATCATATTCCGCACAGTCCGTTCTGCCGCGCTCGAAGCCCATTAACGCGTTGTCCATGCGTGAGCATTCCAGAACGAGCATTCATCGTCATCGTCATTCAATAAACCCAAGATCCTCGTCGTCGTCTGCCCCCTTTTCGATGCACTATTAGCCACCGTTTCCCCCCACACACACACAACGACTCCAGCAGAGACAAAGTATTCCACTTGAATAATTGTATCAACCAGTCGACCAAAAAATTACATTATAGAGATCAGGAAAATGGTATGCACCCCCCCCCCCGTTCCTCCTTTCCAAATAACTGGCCCGAGACTAATTCACCTCCCGCAACACCCAGCCAGCAAAGCGTAAACCAGCGGCAGCCGCAACCTCATCGCTCGACCCGCCGCGCCCGCGCGCGTCGAAGCTCGCAAAGGAGCACAACATCTCAGCGCAGGAGGAGCGAGAGATCCGCGAAGCCTTCTCGCTCTTCGCGGAGCCGATGAAGGGGTACTCCAAGGAAGGCGTGATACCGACGGCGGAGGTGCGGTCGGCGCTCATCGCGCTCGGCATCCCGCCGTCGTCGCGCAAGGAACAAGCCGAGTTCGTCGAGATTCTGGACCCGGACGGCGAGGGGTTCGTCGCGTACGAGCCGTTTTTCGCCATCTGCGCGCTCAAGTACCACCAACGCGAGAGCGGCGGCGAGGGGAGAAGAAAGGAGGTTGACGACGCTTTTCGACTTTTCACCAGCGGCGGCGGCAGCAGTCGGGATGTTATTACTCTTGCGGACCTGAAGAGGGTTGCTGGGGTGCTGAGGGAGGACGTCAAGGATGAGGTGCTGAGGGACATGATTCTCGAGGCCAACGGGGGCGCGGGCGTGGGAAAGGGGGTTAAGAGGGAAGAGTTTGAAGAGGTTATGCGGCGCGCTGGGGTCTGGCGGTGAGTTTAACGGGAAGTGAAGGGACGTTTTGCGATGCATGATTTGTTGGCATTATACCCATGGTGTTTGGCGTTTTCTTACGGGGAGGGCAAGCGTTGTAGGGATGGGCTTAGTTTCGAAGAGAGGCAAGTCATAACTGTCGACACGCATACAACAAAGTCTTAGAAGTCGCCGCATAAGGCGACGGGCTCATCATGGCATGGGAAAGTCGATGATATCGTTACAACCTACGACGCGCATTATCACGAGCTTGCGGGGACCTTTTGTACCAAAGTTAAATACTGGCTTTAATGATGATTCTATGTGAACTCAGCGCAGCCCATGTGATGGTGTTTGGGTCGGGTTGTGATTTTCACACCACTGGTTGATTCCATGCTTAAAAAAAAAAAAAACGCCCACAAAATATGCATATTCCAGCCTTTCCCTTGGTTTGCCATGTGTGTGTCATGACCAGACGTTGGAGATACGGACTGCTACATCCTCTTAATATCCCAAGTCCAAATACAAAATCCTCCCTTATGTGAGACGATGATGAAAGGAGGGGGGGGTTTTGGTGATTCCTCTCCGTTGGCCTCTTGGCTGGCCCAGTTTCCTTTTGTGCAAGAATGGAGTTACAAGAAATAATCTAAAGAAAAAAGTACGTCCCTGCCGCCTAGAACGGGGCAGAGTGCGGGACGAGATTGGCGTTCTAAGCCGCAGCGTCCGCAGCGGCTTTGGCAGCCTTTTCTCTTTCGGCAGCCGCCTTTTGCGAGTCGATGACGGCCTGGAGCTCGGGGGGAGCCTTGAAACCCTGGTGGTCCTGGTGGCGCTTGTAGAAGTAGTTGTCGGGCTTGGGAGCGAGCTCGGGGGGGAGCTCCTCAAGGACACACTCGAGGATGGCGTCTATGGACTTTTGTTTGGAGCCATCGCGGTGCCAGATGGAGATGAGGTGGGAGTTGAATCGAACCGAGAGGCCTACACCGCAGATCTGGTCGTCTTGAGGTGGTGTGTCAGCATATGTTCCTAAATGTCACTCACGGAGGAGAAACTCACTGTCATCCAGGACGCTCTGCAGCTTCTCACCAATGGCAAGCAGCTGCACACGGGTCCAGACGTCGGGACCAATGTTCTTGGGAACGCGGAAAGTCCAAGCGCCGCCGTTGATGTTGCGTCGGTCCTCCCAGACGGGCTTGAAGCCCTGCTTGAAGAGATAGATGGATTCGCGCATCTTGATTTGGTCGACGGGGGTATTGTTGTTGTACTTCCAAAAGTCTTGAACCGACTCGATCTGAGAGCCGAGTTGCTCTAGCTGCACCTTGTACTCTTCATCGTTGCCCGACTTCTGCTCCTTGGCTTGTCTGTGAAGGGCGAGGTCAGTCGTGTCATCTTTCCAGGCGGGGTGTTCAAGGGGTTGGCGGGGTTCTGGATGCGCTGGAGCGCATGATGGCAGAGGGGAAGAGTATCAGGTACTACTCACTTGTCAAAGTAGACGTTCCAGTAATGTTGTGTCGGCAGCGGGCGCATGGCCTTGAGGAAGTTGCGCTTCGCATCATCACGCTGGTCGGCCGGTGAGCTGACACTGGGAGAGTTGGGGTCGGTGGTGCTCTGGGAGAGCCCCGAGAGGCCACGAGTGAAGAGCGCGGGTCTGGCAGCCATGTTCGGATGCGTTTTGGGGGTGGAGAGTTATGAAGGACTCAAAGAAGGACAGAAAGAGAAACGACAGACGAGAGAGGGTGTCGAGATCGAAATACCGGGCTCAAGATACAATTTGTCCAGTCGTACGGTTGTGCAGCAGTAACAGCACACCTGGTTGAGGATCGAGGTCGGGTGGGCGTGGCCGAGAGACTGACAGAAGACTGGACCCGTTGCCTTGCTGTTCGTTCGTTGGCTCGGTACAGCGCCGCAGTGCCTAACGTAGCAACGAGGGGCAGAAGTGGGCAGCCCCCGTGGCTGTAGTGGAGAGAATGGGGGGGTTTCGGCCCTGCTGGTCGCTGCTAACTGCTGGTGTTGGTCGGTTTCAACGGCTGGTGCTGCACCTGGGTGGGAAATAGATGTCTTGGGCTGTACTTATTTCACCAATGAACAAGGGCCGTTTTGACCAGTGGCTCTGTAGCTGAGCAAACAGGGCGATTGCGGGTTGAGGTTCGTTTTGCCGAAAGGTGCCTAGGGAGACGAAAAAAAAAGATGCCCTTGACATGCAGCTGCTGACGCTTTGTGTTCCTCCAATGTCGGCCGCTCAAGTAAATTCAGGTACGGGACGAGATTAGAACAAAACCGTAAACCATAAAAAGACCCGTCAAAGAGACGATTTGAGAATTGGCCGGGAACAAGTGTTCAGTGGTAACAACGGCGAGGCCCAACAATTAACAGTTTTGATGTAATTCCTGAATGACTCGGCAGTCGAATTCAGGGATTTGGTGGCTAGGAGAGCTTAGGCAAACGACAAGATGGCGACCGAGGGAGAGGCGGTAAAAAGAAAAAAGAGAAAAAAGAGGGAAAAAGGAGAGACGAAAAAGGTGGTAAGGTTGGGATAATAAGTATCACCAAGCCATCTCATCTGTCACATCATGGCTGATGACGCCGCACGAACAATCCCAGGCGTCCCTCTCGTGCCTACCGACCCCCGAGAGCCGGGTACATCACAAAGGGGACGGCAAGCTCAGGGTGACACGACACAAGACGACACTTGGCTTGGAGGCACTGATACCTTGGCTGGTCTTGGTATTAGCGTTGTTCCAAGTACCAGGCTCTCCCCTCAGTGGTAAGGGGATGAGGAGATTAGAGAGGGAGCATCGGAATCCGGTCGAGAGTCCTCTGATCTGAGGTATGAAGCGCAACAGAGCAGGGAACCATGCAGTTAATTGGCGAGTGACACTTGGGAAGGGAAATGTCGAAGAACCAGGTCTAGGGGGGGAACAGCAACCTGGATCGCCTCAGTCCCCGTCATACCGTTGAAAGTTGCGTAGAGGAGCTCGGCACAGATACTCCGTAACGACGAACAAGGTGTCTTGTGCCAGTGCGATATTGGGTGTTGCCAGTCACCGTTCTTGCCGGCGCACGAAATATCACACTAGTAGTCGGCGGCACTACAACTGTAGGATGATAGCGATGGCTCCATCTGGCAGAACGTGGGTGTCAATCCACAGGTTGCCCGTCCCTACTTTGGAGACGTGCACTGAACAGGTTGGAACTGACTGACGCTGACGTTGGAAACCGATCTGAACGCTGGAGCCAACTGAGACCCAGAAGCGGCGACAACAGCGAGTGATGAGTTAACGGCGATGGCTTACTCACTGCAGAAAGAATTTGACTAGAAAGCGACAAGGCAGGGTCCCAGGTAGATGGAAAGCTTTGGTGGGAACATCTTACCGGCCTGAAACATCGAGCCGCCCTTGCAACCAGTAATAAGACGCCGTAACGAGGGGCGGGAGTGGGAGCAAAGACCGGATGTTCAGATTTCGAGAAGGATGTGCCCGATAACGATAGTGACGGATGGACCATTAACAGGGCGTTTGCTACTAGTAGGTGTGGTAAAGGGGGAAAAGGTACCGGCGACAGGGACATGGGTCCAGGCATGTGCCGCACCGTGGAACTGCAGGGCCCCCAGAGTTAGGGTACCTGAGTTTAAGTGTAGCGAATGACACGGATGGCGGGCTCTGTAACCAATTCTCTCTGGATGCGCCTGATCTGCTATCCATGCTGCCAGCTTGTGTTCGGTTCCTCATCATCCTGATATGAATTAAGGAGTAGACTATTCAACCATTCAAGTATGATGTGCACGCAGACACGTCAGCCGAAGTCCGTAAGTCCACAGATGTTGATTGCTTATTCACAATGCCCGCGTTCTGGAACTGTGACCCTGAACGGTTGATTGCAGTTGTTCGCAGTTGGCGCGGTCTGTCAAGAAAACCAAACACACATTGACTTTTAACGTCAACAGATGCATCCATGAAATCAATTGAGTTGACCGGACCAAAATTCCGCTCTCAGATCCCCTCTAGCATCATCGATCTACTACGTACGACATAGGGGTAGCTGTCGAATTTCGCCTAAGCACGTCTCACACTTTCGTTTGCGCTTCTCTCTGATTCTGCTTGCAATGCAAATTGGCGCAAGCGTCCATCTAACTCCTCGATAAGACCAGGCCCCTACTTGAGATGAATCCAAGGGGCCAAATCGGCCTCTACCACAACTAGTAATAATATACACTGGTTGATTCATTTTGCCTTTCGACAACAGAACATGATGTGCAGGAGCTTCCTCGGGAACGATGATGGGCCCCGCTTTCTCCCCCCCAGAGTGACCTTGGGTGCCTGGTCCAGCCAACCCGACAGGTGTTGCCCCATTGGATTCCATTGCCAAACCGCTACATGGTTTCACACACCTACCACACTCTCTTTCTGCTTAACTTCTCATGCTTCGTCAACCAACAACGAGCGGCCAAAGACCCCAAACCAGAAACCACCAGCATTGTGTGCTTAGAACGATATCAAGTACGAGTGAGCATCCTATGATTTAACCGACACACATCATGAATCTTCCCCTCCCCTCCTTGGCGCCCATGCAGAATGGTCTAAGTTGAGGCTAAGTTGAGGCTCTGCCAACAATTGGATGTCTCTTGATACTTTCTACAAGATGCCCGATGCAGCCCTTCAACCCCAACTTCGAGCATGGCTTCAGAGTGACGGACCAACAAAAAGAGCCACCAGACTTCATAGCGCCGCCTCTCCAGTGTTGAGCCAAACCAGATCTCCACAAGCGCACTGGGGCGAGCATGAAGCGCCTCTGTGCTCTTCCACGTCTGAGATTGACGACATCCTCCTGAATCCGCTTCTTTCCTTCTTATATTCTTTCTTTTTTTTTAACGACCGTCTGGGCACTACCTGCGTGGTCGTGCCTGTGTGCCAATTACTATGTAGTATGTGTGCATGACAGCAGTGCGTGCACATCAGAGTTTCGATCCACCGCCGTTGCGCCGCGTTGCACGTTGCCGTTGCCGGCGAACCCATCAGGAGAGTAAGGAGGCCACTCATAGTTTGTTCCAGACTTCAGTCATCAATCTGGTTGGTTGTGTCCGAACCCCTCGCTCGATCCGTCCATTGTCAACGTCGTTGTCTTCGTCGTCTGGACGCCTCATCCCTGGTTGCTGTTCCCGCCCCGCCAGCCCTAACAGCGGGATCCCTTCCGCGACCCTCGCCCTCCTATCCTCTTTAAAACCGTACCTGAGCATTCCGACCAGTGAGACTTTCCTTGATCGAGGTATCCCTACCGACTGGCCCAGTCCCGTTCCCACGCTAAGAGGCACTGACAGCACGTCTTGCCCACATTTGTTCCATATCGGCCGTCTCGAGCACATAATCGGGACACATGTACCGAGTTTGAGGTGTCCTTTTCATGGGAAAATACAGTGCCGCAAGGGCGAAGAAGAACACCCGCCCACTTGCCCCTGAAGTTGACAGGTTCGGTTCCCTAACTCGCAGAGTTTCGTTCATGGCGTGTACGTCAAACCTTCTCCGGTCTCTTTACTACACACGGCAGAGAAACTGTTCCAAAAGAGAAAAGGGAAGAAGCGTGCTATCCTAGTGTCGTGTCTTTTTGTACCGTGCCAACCTAATGTAAACTTCGGGCTAATGTACAAACTCTTGGCTTTCGTCCATAATGGCCCTGTTTTCTGAATATCGAAGACTCCCAAAACACCATGCTGCTTACCGTCGTCATTGTGACACCTCATAAGGCTGTCAACTCTTGGACTTTGTTTGTTGTCATTTCCTCGTTTCCTCCCCTACACGCCTTGCTTATTGCCCAAAGGCAGTCCCTCACCGACCCAACGACCCTTGTCGTCACCAATCTTCCGTCTAAACATCCCCAGGTCGTTCAGCAGACTGCGCATATACTCTTGCATGTCGCTGGCATTGTCCTCCATTGCATCTGAGTCGTAAGCAGTATCGTCCGAATCGTCGTATAATGACTCGCCGTCCTCGGCGTTCTCCTTATCCTCCTGCCCTCCTGACCTAGCCTTTTGCGTTTCGCTGTCCGTCTCTTCCGCCGACACCTCCCTGACCGTGACGGCAGGGATTGGGTTCTTCAGACTGTCGAGCGCCAATTTAAGATGGAGTCGCAAGGCCTCATTCTCCGTCTGCAAGCTCCGGATCTTACCTTCCGCGACGAGGCTGCGCTCTTCCATCATTCGCTGCATGGTAACAACGTGGTTCTGGTATTCCTCGAGCTTCTCTTCTTGCTCCTTGTTATCCTTCTCCCGTCGCCGCGATTCCGACACGGAGAGTTGCAGAACTCGGATCTCTTCCGCCATGGCCGCGATCTGGGCATCACGCTCAGCAGACGAGATGTGGTCTTGGTTGACAACTGCACGAGTGCGGATGCGTTTGGCCTGGTCGGCGTAACGAAGAGTCGAAAGAGTCTCTTCGTAGTCTGACGGCGCGATACATGCAATCATTGCCGTTTTACTGTTGCCTCCCAGCGAGTCCTTCAACAACCATGTGAGGATCGAATCTCGGTAGGGCACCACGTCCTTGTTTCGCTTTCTCGAGCCCGGTTTGGCGTCCGCAAGTGCTCCAATGACACGTCCAAGCGTCGTCAACGACTTGTTGATGTTGCTACCCTCGCGAAGTCGCTGACCAGTTGCCTCAGTCGCTTTGGCCCGTTCACTGCCGGCCAAATCCACCAGCCGAATGCGCGAGCTGCGCTCCGTCGTCTCGTCCGTCTCCATGTCGTGATGGATCTGCTTGAGCATAATGGTGAAAACGGCGTGACTACGACTACTGGTGTCGTTCATTCTGGTGCTCGCAACGGTTCTCGACCTGTCTCCTGCCGTCATGTACCGCAAAATCTCGTTAAGATTCCGGACCGGCACTTCAGTGAGGTCCTTGACGTATGGCCCTTCCGTAGGCGACTCCCTGATCTTGAGATAATATGGCGGCTGGTTTGGCACAACGGGAACGAGAAGGTCGCGCACGTGTTCGTTGTAGACCTCAAAGTATGATACTCTGACATTATAGGAGATGTTTGGCGTCTCGTTCTGCGCAGCCTCAATTCGCTCAAAGAGATCCTCGCACGTTCGAGGAATCAAACCTGGCTGATCTGGAGTGCCCATCATCGTGTAACTCTTGCCTGAACCCGTCTGGCCATAGGCGAAAATGCATGTGTGGTAACCTTCGAAGTTGTGGTCGAGAAACTCCTCACCAAGACTGTTGTAGACGTCCGACTGGTGCGCATAATGCTTGTCGCTGAGGTCATGGCTCCAGAAAGAGTTATCGAAGGTGAATGTCTTTTCCTCAATAATTTTCCTGCTCTTGGCTTTTGCGTTCGCCGGGTCGACATCGTTTGGTACGAGTAGTGTCGTTTGCTGCGTGATGGGGTCCATCTCTACCAAACATTCGGCACCACGCTCGATTTCTATTATCGTCCATCAGCACTGATCCGTTTCATACGATGTCGCTCCACACACCTCTGGGCAGAAACGCCCGAACTCGGACGACGACTCGAACGTTGCCCCCGTCCATTCTGACGGGCGCATCATGCGACCGCAGAGACGGGGTAGAAGCAGACGAGTGAAGCTGCGGCATCTCGAAAACCACTGGGGGCATCAACCGAGAGTCGAGAGAAATTCCACGCAAGGTGGAGGTAAGTTCATTGAGAATCGCGCGGTAGCGTTGACGATGTGTCGCCCACATCCCAAGACGAGGCGGTCGGGCTTGTTTACTCTGTTGCCCAATTGGGAGGTGACGTGGTGGGGCCGAGTTGCCGGGGCAGTGACGCCACACCTTGCTGTGTTTGTGCCCGGCGCAGGGGAGGAAGAGCACCCTTGTACTGAAGCAGCTGATGAATCTATTTTGTTGGTTCCAAACTAATGAAAAAGAAGAAAGTTGATTTTGATTGACAAGCTGTAAAACGTATGCCTCCTCGGCCGCGGACGGACCAAAAAGAAGAGGATAGGAAAAAGAAGCACTGGTCTGCGCAACACGGGCGCTGAAAGAATTAGGTGGCACTGTGTTCTCAGAAGTAAACAATCGTAAGCTCTGTTGCACGCGCAAACAAAGGGTCTAAATAATTCGATGCCTCTAGTGACGGTACCGACGCCTAACACCATGCAGTATAGTCCCATGAACGATATTCCCCATCTACCGAAGCCCAGCCTAGTAACTCAGTAGCTAATCCACACCCAGCTCAGTTCGGTCCTCCTACCGTTAATCCACATTTGCAGCCACCGGCCGCTCATGGCCGTCTAAGCCCCTTGCCCAACAGCTCCGATCCCACTTCAATAACCAACTTCTCGTTTGGAAACTGCTTTTTCTTGGCCAAAATGGCATCTTCCGCATCCATAGTTCTTAATAAATCGGAAACCTCACTGTCTGGGGGCGTGCAGTAAATCAGGTTTCCAAGTGCAAGTAGCATACCGTGCAGAGCTTCAGGCGATGATTCCTCTTGCCCTATGGCTTCCAGGACCGAAGCGGCTAGTTCTACTGAGTCGCCCTCTGGCAGTACATCTCCACTCCGCTCTCGTCTTGCCTTGTTGCTGGTTAGTGCCAGATTGAACATGAGAGATGACGCGGCCACGCGGACGTTGTTGTGGTTATCGTCCAGGAAACTCGACGATATCAGTTGAATTATAGGAGCTCTGAGAGATTCGTTGCGAAGAATTTCTTCCGGATAGAGTGTCGTCGAGAATAAATTACACGTCATCTGCAGTGTTACGAGACGCAAAGCATAGGGGCAATCGCTATGGGAGTTGACAAATCCGAGAATGGCCAGAACTGTCTGGTGGTTCTTTTCTTCAGCAAAGTACCCGCTGAACCTTGCGTCCACTAATGCACATCTGAAAAGGTCGACAATAGTAAAGAGAACTTCGGTCGGAAGTGACTGTATCGACTTTCTTAGGAACTCTGACAATCGGCCTAGGTTGGGCAGTATGGCAGCCGCAGGGCCCTGCTGATCACGGGTTTCGATAAACTGTTTAACTCCCTGAACAGCTGGCTCGGTTGCTGTTGGTCCCATCTTCGCAAGCAGCTTACTCAGAGGCGGTACCTTTGAGTAAAGGACTGGCTGAGCGTTAGGGTTGGAGAAGTGTGGGAGGCTTAAAGATTCGTGGGGATGGCGCGGCCACGCCATCTGCAACAGGAGCTGAACGTTGCCTCGAAGGGCAGCCGGATCGGCCCCTGCCCACTCATTCTCCTTTTCACCATGCAGGTAGGTGACGAACGTTGGTGTTGCACGCGGATAGCTTTTCTCGGGTAAAGGCGTGAGTTGAGAAACGTCGACCTTGATGAAGGTTGCTTTGTCCCCAGCCTCAGCTGACAGCTCATCGAAGACCGGTGCAATGGTCCTACACGGAGGGCAAGTTGCTGAGGTAAAGAGAACTACGGCGCATGACTTCTTTGTTGAGTCAAGGGCGACATCCAACTCCTGTGAGCTATGAACGACATTAACCTTAGGTTGGTATCCAGCGGACTGTGGTGCTGAGTTGTATTCGTTGGTTGCGGAGTTGTTCTGGATGCCAAGAATAGAACCGTTTTGCCTGTTTGAATTGATAGTCTGGTTTAACTGGGGCATGAGCATTCTGCCGAAAGGCGAGTTGAGAACAGCGTCGGGCATTTTGATTATGTGATCCGGAATACCTTTGCCTAGAAGAAACTGGGAGAACGAATCCGAAAAGTTGTTGCAGTTGTGCTTCCATAAGTCGTAAGCCTGTGTATTTGTTAGCAGATGACTAGATAGAAGCGCCTAGACGAATTTTCTACCTCGACTGTGAATATCGGTCTGAGAGAATCCAAAAACTCCTCGATAACTTCCATAGGTAGTTCCGTTCTGCCAAGGAATATCCGCTCCAACGGCTGACCAAGATGAGAGGACCCTGGCTTGATATCCACGATACCACCATCATAGACGTACTCGCGACCATTTAGTTGTATGGAAGTATGGTAGACTGCGTCTAGGTGAAATCCCAACATGCTCTGTGACATTTGCCTTGCGAGTCCTCGGGACAAGTCGTAAACTAAGAGATGCACATCCATCTCGACAGTAGATGCAACAACGAAGCAAGGGACAACTGTCTCACTATGATGATACGAGAAGGACAGATATGACAGTAAAAAATGAGTGTTAGGGAAGCGGTGCACGCCAAAACAAAAAGAAAATCTAGAAAATGGAGTAGAAAAAACGATTGGGAGTACTTTGTATTTGGACCCGTGATCTTTCTCAGTTGTTGCCCAGATGTACACACAGGAGGCAACAGAGGTATTCGTAAGGGTTGATTGACGAGAAGCTTCCAGGATTCAGCCAGTGAGGACGGATTCGGTAAGAGTTACGCCACAAGTGGCTTGCCCTGCTCAAAGCAGGTTTCAGAGGAAGAGTCCCATTTTTACCGCACCCATGTATAGATTACCTAACAGCCTAAGGTGTCACGTCCCCAACTCAACACTGACCATGGAAGTAAGGATACACAGGGCAATTTAGGGGGCTTAGCAAGGAACAACAGGCCCCGCCCCCTGAACGCGGAGCCATTAAGAGGAACGCGAGATAGACCTTCTAGCACTTAAGTGGCTTCGCGTCGCCCCCGCTGCCGCATCCAAGATTAACCAACTGTCAGATTTAGCAGGGATCTTTTTGATTTTAGATGACCTAAAGGAAAATCTGCTTTGCCATTGACCCCCTTCGAGGCCACCGTACCAACGTACCTGGCTGTTCCCCTTGAAGAGCCCCCTACATATACGAAATCTCGTACTCGACACACGTACTGGTGTTGTACGACCCATCCTCCGCTCTTTTCTTCGGCTTTCTCGTTCCAGTTTTTGTTCGAGTTGCCGTGTTCATTTTGTAATCGGTTCACGGTTTGGTCCACTCCTTTGTACTCAACGACGACGTGTCTCGAATGCGTCACCCCGTATTCCTCTGATCCACAAGTTTCGCTTTCAACGACACGCGACCAATGCGAAGAACATCTGTGTCGCTGCCGACGAAGCAACCTGGCCGAGATCCTCACGAAAAGCCCGGACGATTCGCACCTGCCAACCGCAAGCCTGGCCTGTTCGGCGGCTTAAGAGATATGGCTCAAGCACAGAAGAACAGGTGGATGAGGACCGGCGCCATCGCCTTCTTCGTCGTCTTCCTCTTCTGGTATCTGTCTCCTAGAGGAGTTAACGTTCACAATGGTGGAGGTATGAGATACCAGCTCCGCTGCAACAGGGTGATACTAATCGAGTATCTATAGTTTCGAAAGGTAGCGCTGGTGGCCAAACCCCTGTCGATGCTTCTTATGGCTCCAAGTTCTGCACTCAGTCTAGCTCCAAGTCGAAGCCTATAGTCCAATATGTCCTCATGATCGACGCCGGCAGCACGGGATCCAGAATTCACGTCTACAAGTTCAACAACTGCGGCGCCACTCCCGAGCTGGAACATGAGGAGTTCAAGATGACCGACAAGTCGGTCGGCGGCCTGAGCAAGTACAAGGACGACCCCGATGCTGCGGCCAAGACTCTCGATGTATTGATGGAAGTCGCCCTCAAGACTGTCCCCGACAAGCTCAAGGCATGTAGTCCGGTCGCGGTGAAAGCAACCGCTGGTCTCCGTATGGTCGGTCCTGAGAATGCCCAAAAGATTCTCGACGCCGTTCGTACACACCTTGAGACTAAGTACCCCTTCCCCGTTGTCTCCAAGGAAGACAACGGTGTTGCTATCATGGACGGAGCCGACGAGGGCGTCTACGCCTGGATTACCACGAACTATCTTCTGGGCAAGATTGGTGGCCCCGACAGGAGTCCCACTGCTGCTGTTTTCGATCTTGGTGGTGGCTCGACTCAGATTGTCTTCGAGCCCACCTTTAAGGGAGCACCAGAGGGCGGTATGCCCGAGAAGCTTGCCGAGGGTGACCATAAGTACGATCTCAAGTTTGGTGGACAGAAGTTTGAGCTTTACCAGCACTCCCATCTTGGATACGGCTTGATGAGCGCCCGCAAGGCTGTCCACAAGACTCTGGTGAACGAGATCTTTGAGAGCAAGAAGACCGACGACAGCTGGGTCAAGCAGCCTATCGTTCATCCTTGCATCGCTCCCGGCATGGTAAAGGAAGTTGAGGTTGAGTTAGATGAAGGCCACCCTCTGGGCAAGACCGTCACCTTTAACATGACCGGTCCTTCTCAGCCGGCGCCTGCGCAGTGCCGCAACCTTGCAGAGAAGATCCTCAAGAAAGGAGAATCCTGCAAACTTGCCCCTTGCTCCTTTAATGGTGTTCACCAACCCCCTTTGGCCAAGACTTTCGCGCGCGAAGATGTCTATATTTTCTCCTACTTCTACGATCGTACCAAGCCACTTGGTATGCCCGACTCCTTTACTCTTCGCGAGATGCACGACCTGGCCAACTCTGTTTGTGGTGGCGAGAAGGCCTGGGATGTATTCTCTAGCGTTCCCGGCGCGCTTAAGGAGCTCCAGGACCGCCCCGAGCACTGTCTTGACCTCAACTTTATGATGGCTCTTCTCCACACTGGTTATGAGATGCCTATCGACCGCGAGGTCAAGATTGCCAAGAAGATCAAGGACAACGAACTGGGCTGGTGCCTTGGTGCTAGGTAAGTAAACCTCTTATCTTGTTTCGTAGTCATGTGGATGCTAACAACACATAGCTTGCCTCTACTTTCTCCCGGCTCTGGCTGGAAGTGTAGGATCGACAAGGTGAACTAGTCTTCTCATATCAACACTGCGCGAACCTCCCCTGGTATTGGTTGGTTTGCAGTATTATAGATTTTTAATTCCACGACAGAAACGGGGAATATTGTTCGATTACGAGTTGTACAGGAGAGTCATGATGGTGATACGGGTGGGTGTAGGAACATGCATCAATACACAGGCCATAAGGCGGGCGTTTATGTCTCATATGGTTTCCATGACAATTAAGGATTACAGGCCCGTTTGCATCGGCTGTTTAGAATAAACTCGCTCCTTGAAAAAACTCGATGTTTTGGTCAAAGCGGTGCTGCCACCATGCCCAGCACGTCCTCAATAACATCCTCAGGGCCAACACCTTCGAGAATAGCCTCGATAGCTTCTAGCTGGCTTCCCCACTGCATGCTGCGTTCCTGTCGAGGATGCGTGAGTCGAATACGATGCAAGTAGACTTTCTTAACGGCCAAGTGCACCAGAGCAGGCGTGACAAAATCCAGTTTGTGCAACGGTGCAAGGCACTTGAGTAGCTGTTCCAGATGCTTCGTCGCGGTCGGCTCGATGCCACCAGCAACGGCGCGGTGCATTCGCAAATATGAGACGATGTTCATCTGGTAGCGAAGCACATCAACGTCGATTTGCACTTCCCGACTACGCTTCGCGATAGCTGCGATATCCTTGAATAAAAGTCAACTTATGTCATGCCTGATTGCAAATCTTGTTCACACTTACACCTTCGTCGAAAAGAGGGTCTTCGCTGACTGGCAGAAAGTCACCGTTGATGCTTTTCTTCAGTACACTCTCTGTACTGGCAGTCTCCGCACCATCCGCGGCATCGTACGCCTCATCAAGGTTGGGAAAGCCATCGTCCGGGTCATGCCAATGAGCAATAAACAAATAGTCGTTGAGATGAAGCGTGACGTGAGCTTGACCGCCGCTTTCAGCACCTAGAGCGGCAACGAAGAGAAACTGCTTAGGGGCTGTCTGGACTGAGCTTCGAGTGAAAATACGGCGGGTGCGCAGGAGTTCAAGGACCTGGATCTGAACAGCTTTCGAGGCGCGGTCAAGATTCCGAGCTACGATAACATTGGCGATGGAGGACCCGTTGGCGCCTGGACCAGTTGGGCTAGATGTGGTAACGGAGGTTAAGGGTGACATCCCAGCACGGGAAAAGTAGGAGTCATTGCGGTTGAGTAAGGGCGAGACTGATCTTGTGGTTTTGGGAGACTGCTGGGTAAGAATGGAGGACGCAAAGTCCTCTAAAGTTGTTTGCGGGGTGCATTCTACCACAGAGCATTTCAAACCAAATATCTTTGTTGCGATCTTGCATAGTGTCAGATTTCGGTCTTACAGTTACGTGTTGGGTGTTTCGCTCACCAGCTGCAGCTCTTCTACGAGCTCACCAAGAGCCACAGGTGGGGTGCTGACGATGCAGTGTTCTCGATTGACCAGGCACAGTAGGGCGGCTAGTTCCAAATCGCTCAGACCGTAGACCTTGGCCAGGAGATCGTCTTCATCCGCCATGAGGACTTCGTGAAGTGTTTCTCGAGAGTCCCATCAGCTCATACTGGGCCACGCATGCACTGTTGCGGATTACTCGCCCACGGCATAAATGTGATGTGACGGACGTCTATGTAAGTCGCAAAGATGTTTCTGAACCCAGTTGCTTGGGCCGTCGACAGGAAGAGAAAGGCGTGGCGTAGGCGTCAGGCGTCATGGGGCTTATACCTTACCTAAGCGACTTATCTAAGTTGGCCAATGCATTTACCGGACAACCAACAACTGAACTCACAGGGCCCTAGCGCCGCCTTGGAAGCACAGTCATCAGGTTCCCTCGCCATTTACGTCAGCCACATTCGCAATGGCATGCGCTCCTCTTCCTGGTTAGACCCAGTCCCTAGAGCAGCACTTTGATAGGCTGAAACCTGGAAATGTGACGGGAGCTCTCAGTACCGTCTGCTTCCCTGTCAACCTCCACCATCACTTCCATCCATCGATCTATTATCGACTTGACACCAACCAACCACCCCTGACGCATGACACCGGTCCGTTTTTCGATTTACTTCTACATCCGAACCGATAATCGACCTATCGCAGCGCAGGATAAATCAATCATCGCACAGTGGACGAGCTGTTGACGCGACAGATTTTATTTGACATACACATATCAGAGGTCCCAACGAGACATTATCCAAGATGTCATCGAGAAAGAAGGTCCTTCTTAAGGTTGGCTTTATCGGTGTCCCCAAACCCGCATGCGGCATAATTGACGAAAACCCCTTGACAGGTCATCATCCTCGGCGACAGCGGTGTCGGCAAGACGAGTTTGATGAATCAATATGTGAGTATTCTGCGTTGCCCAGCAGTCGACTGTGGGAGTCCGAAGTACTAATTCGAATGTTCCGCCAGGTCAACAAGAAATTCAGTGCAAGCTACAAGGCCACGATCGGCGCCGACTTTCTGACCCGCGAGGTCCTGGTCGACGACCGACAAGTGACAATGCAGGTGGGCAATATCGATCATTTCTCCGGTTGGACCAAACGAGTTTGATGCTGATGGGTAGTAGCTTTGGGACACGGCGGGACAGGAGCGTTTCCAGTCGCTAGGCGTCGCCTTCTACCGTGGGGCTGACTGCTGCGTGCTCGTCTACGATGTCAACAACTCCAAGAGCTTTGATGCCTTGGACAGTTGGAGGGACGAGTTTCTTATCCAGGCCTCCCCCAGGGATCCTGACAACTTCCCATTCGTTAGTGTTTTCCTTTGTTGGTAGGATTAGTGAAGCTTGGTGCTAACTAAGCTCAGGTCGTTCTTGGAAACAAGATCGATGTTGAGGAGAGCAAGAGAGTGGTAAGTGCACTATTGCCTACGAAAGCCTAGCGGCAAGCTTATGATCTGTTTAGATTTCGACCAAGCGTGCGATGACGTTCTGCCAGTCCAAGGGTGGAATTCCCTACTTCGAGACTAGTGCGAAGGAAGCCATCAACGTCGAGCAGGCATTTGAAGGTTGGTCATATCACCCTTATGCTACCTGAGAGATGCTAACGTTGTTAATCAGTCATTGCGCGCAACGCCCTTGCTCAGGAAGAGTCGGAAGAGTTCAGCGGGGACTACCAGGACGTTATCAACATCCCCATCGAAAACCCCCGCGACGGCTGCGCTTGCTAAGCAGATTTTGAATGAGCTGATGGTCGATGTTGAGCGAGTAAAGGATTCGGGCGGTATACAGTCGGGGACTCGTCCAACTCGCATTCGTGTTTAGTTTACGGCCCTTCACATATCCATCTTGGCCGCGGTTTTGATGTAGCATATCCTGCACTGGTGTGAAAGGTGTTTAGAGGTTTCATTTTCAACTTGAATTCATGGGTTTATTAGTAGGAGATCACAACCGTTTGCGCTGTCTGATCCTCACTCAAGTTGACGAGGGTAATCGCTCGTCAGCATTAACCTATAGTGGCATGTTCATGCGTCCTCGGCCATTCGACAGCAGTCTATTGGATTGCGTGCGCATTTTTAGAGAACGGGTGATGTCCGCTCCCATGGTGTTTTCAACAAGACGTGCCAGCCCGAGTTAACGGAAATGCTTGCCGTTCATCAGCAGACTCCGCTCAGAAGACTGGATCCGAAGCTGTACAAAGGCCAAGGCTAGAGAACCGGCACTAATTCCGAACAGGCGGGCTGCAGATTGCGCGGCGTTTTCCTTGGCTTATTCAAGCCTATTAGACTAGCAATGAAGAAGGCCTCGTGCCCTGGGCAAATAAAGAAGTCAAATAAAGAAGGCGTGTCTAGGGACGCTGAGACGCAACGGCACGCGACCGACCCACTATTGCTATTGGTCGCCAGCAGACATCCCTTTGGGACGAATACAGGGGCTTTGTCTGTGCCGTTGAAACCGCCAACCTTGAAGAAACAACGCTTAAAAGACAACCAACACGAATCCCCGAAGCCCTCTCGTCGTTGCAAAGAAATCCGACGGCGCGCGCGAGGAAGAAGTGAAAGGGCTTACCGAGCTTCTTTTTTGTGGTCTTGCCCTCGGCACGTTCTTACTCCCCAAGAAATCAGTGACGTTGTCTACTTGTCAAATTTGGGTCCTACACATAAGCCCGGAGGCAGTTAGGTTGGCAGGTTGGCAGAACGGCAGAATAGTGCCGGCCACCTGCGCCGAGTCAGCGACGAGATTTGCGTACCCCATTGAACACTTTCAAGCAAGCTACGATTCTATCTCGGCTATTCTGAGGTCAAATGCCTACGGCGGAAGCAAGACTAGATCACCAAACAGCCGACAATCCATCTTGATACCCCTTCCTCCCTTGCGTTCGCGACTTCTTCGCCCGACGACGAAATGGCACCGAGCGAGCCTATGCTGCCCGCCGCGATAGCCCCTGATCATGGGCGAAATCCAAGGAGATCTTTCTCGAGCGCTGATCGACTGAGCGCATCTGTTGCGTCTACAAATAGGTCAAGGTCAACGGTGCGATCGCGAGCTTCAGGTTTGCAGGCGAAGTTGGGCCTGGCTGGTGTTGCGAGACGGACATTGGGAATATCGTTGTTGCTGGTAACGGTGTTGCTATGGACTGTGTCCAACTTTCTCGCATCGGTGAGGCGACCCCTATACAAGGGCTCACTGGCGGGCTCCTAGCTGACTTGTGGCAGTACATCTTTTCGGACCACTCTTACGATAAGCCCTTTTTTGTCGTATATATGAACACCTCAGTATTTGCGATCTCCTTGATACCGATGCTGGCAAAGTTTCTTATGAAGCATGGCATCGCGGGTCTACGAAGCGAAGCGATGGTAGTATGGAACGAGCAGAAAAACGGCAAGAGTGGAGCTAAGACAGAGGTTGACGAGGAGGACGCCGTGGCTGGCGAGCGCCTCCTTATCGACGACGAGCCTACTCTGGAGCAGGAGGGTTACGAGCCCAAGGTTGAGCAACTGACATTCCGGGAGACGGCCATCATCAGCCTGGAATTCTGCATGCTGTGGTTTTTTGCGAATTACTTCGCTTCTGCATGTCTGGAGTACACCAGTGTGGGGAGCGTCACAATTCTGAACTCGACGAGCAGTGTGTGGACTCTTGTCTTTTGCGCACTGATGAAGGTTGAGGGATTCACGATGCGGAAGTTTATTGGCGTGTTGGCCTCGTTGACGGGTATCGTATTGATATCGACTGTGGACCTTTCCGGGTCAAGCGACGAGAATCGCGGTTCATTCCCGCACAAGACAACAGCGCAGATTGCGATCGGAGACTTGATGGCCTTTGTGAGTGCTATTATTTACGGTTTGTACGTCACTGTCATGAAGCGGCGAGTTGGTAACGAAGATCGAGTGAACATGCCGCTGTTCTTTGGATTGGTTGGGTTGTTCAACCTAGTGTTTCTCTGGCCGGTGTTTTTCATCCTGCATTTTACCGGGCTTGAACCTGTAAGTATACTGCTCTGTTGTAAATTGTTTCGAGTTCTAACAAATTGGCAGTTCCAACTCCCTCCAACTGGCAAGATCTGGACTATCGTCATTGCAAACTCGTTGTCGTCCTTTGTCAGCGATATGTCGTGGGCATATGCTATGCTACTGACCACGCCATTGGTAGTGACGGTGGGTTTGTCTCTGACAATCCCATTATCTCTCATTGGCGAAATGATTCAGTACTCGCAGTACTCCAGTTGGGTGTACTGGGTCGGTGCGGCGGTGGTTTTGATCTCATTCTTGTTTATCAATCATGAGAGCCACGAAGACGAGACGGGCGACAAAGCTCCCGAGGCAGGATCCCGGGCAGCCCATGTATAGAGCAAGGCAGCGAAAATATTCATAAGAAGAGGGAAATTCCTGGGTAAAGCTGGAGGGCAACAAACTTATGCATGGGCAAAGGCGTTAGCATGGCGTTCTCCGGGTGGGATTACCTGGGACGCGGACAAGAGCACACAATATGGGCTCAGAGTTTGCTTGATAATACAAATAACTTGCATCGTTGGATCCTTTTCACCGTTTTGACATGGACTCAGTGGCTGATTGCAGATATCAACGAGCTTAATCAGATGTTAAAACCTGGCATCATGGCCAGCTGATGAAAAGCCTGACCCGAGCAAGATGCCAGCCACCTGATCCTAGCCGAGTGCTAACCGATGGGAGGGTTCAAAGAAGCTATTGCACGACTGACGGTGGGTAATCTGCAGGTGCAGCGGGGGTGGCAAGAGGAGTGATCGGTTCATTGGTTGTCGAAAAGGGTTGGGAAGAATTATTGGGTTGGGATGGAGGGGACGAAGAGACGAGGGAGAGGAGCTAAGGGCGGGCTCAAGAACGGGATTTTTGAGAATTCCATGGTCCGGTTTTTCAAAAGACGATGTTTGCTCATTTCGGGGTAGGATCGGCAGACGAGCCGCGCAACCGGATTCGCCGCCGGCCAGCCTATGATGCTCTCTTGCTTTCTTCTCCATCTCCACCATGGCGAAAGTTGCTCAAGTCCCCTTGCCTACTTCTCCAAATTAACATCATTACTATCCTTGGAGCGCTGGGCTCCCCTGTGTTGATAGAGTTGCGGGAATGCTGAAAGTCTACACCATGCTTTCTTGCTTAAGCCTCCTTTCCGTCCAGCAGGGTTGTTTCTCTGTGGGCAGAAAAACGAAAGTAAGCTGTTGGAGCAGGAGCAGGATCTTTCTAGGAGAGAAAACAAGCAAAATTAAACAGTTCGGAAGAGGGGGAAGAATGTTGGAGTCGGCGGTAGGCGCCAGGCGGAAGTGGCTTGGGCGTGAATCTGTCGGAGTTGATGGTCCGCCAAAAAACCGATCGCTGGGAGCAGGAGAAAGTTCCTTCTGCAGAGGGTCCTGGTCTCTTTGGCCCTCTTTGCGTGTCTTGCAGCTCCCAGCATCGGGGGTTCTCCCGCTAGTCCAACTGTAGCCACAAGCCACAGGCTGGTACAACACTCGATTCTCAGTGCTTCTGCCGGTGTTCCAGCGCCAGTGCAGTGTGCGAAGAGACAGAGTCGCAGCGAGACATGTTCTAATGAGGTCCAGCCCAGCGGAAAAAGTGGCCTTGTGGGGCGACGCGGCGAGCTGCATCTCCAAAAATCCCTGAACCTGAACTCTCGGTGTTCCCTTTTGCTGACATTGCCTAGCTCTGGTTATCCTCTTATGCACCCCCGCCCCCTCTCTCTTTTCTTCAAGGTTCCCTTGGGCGTGGAGCCTCGTCAGTGGCTCACTCCACGTCAATAGGGTACTGTTGCCGTTTCTTTCGATTTTGTTCTAATATCTAGGTTTTGTGTGTCTTTTTGGTCAGCGGCGGAAATGAAAATCGCCGCCGTGGCGATCGAGGGTTGAAGTCTCTGGCTGTGAGGTCATTGCTCATGATTTCATCCCGTCTTCAACTGTTTTGTGATGACCTGCGTGGGCTAGAGGTGAAAAACAAAGGAGAGAGGGGCAAAGGGTCCTTTGTGACCTTCAACTTTAAATAGGCTTCCACGAGGCGCAAGAGACACCTGCACTCCCCTTTCTGCCAACAACTTTTCCTCCCGCTCGCCCTAGAAGTGACCCCGGCCGGGCATGTGGGATCTCGATTTAAGCCAACCGTCACTCTTTGACCTGGGCGCATAACCCCATTTTAGTCTCCTGTCCTGCTTTTTGCCTTGCTCTTACTAGGCTGTTTCCCATGCCCCGTTGGCCCTGTTCCTGTTTGTTCCTTCTGTACAGCGGTTTATTCGACTTTCCCTTGTTGACTACCTACACAAGTGGGCTATCCTGGAGTGATACCCTAGGACCCCGGCAGGAAGGTGTACTAGATGCCAGGCCTAGGCAGTCCTGGTCCCTTCTCCTACGTTGTTCGGGGACCCAGTGACCCTTCTTTTGGCACTGGCAAAGCAGTTCCTGACTCTTGTTCCCTTTCACCTCCCCATTCCTTTATCCATCCTACCATCATACCCCTAGCTGTTGCCGCCCTCTACAGCGTTGATACTTAATGCTCCATACATCTGAGATTTTCTAGCCTGGCTGGAAGAAGGACGCAAGAAACACCCGCTGACTGGACTGCACCATCTGCTGAGGATCGACGGTACAGCTGCCACTTCTGGTTTCCCATCTCCTCCGTTCCGTCCCTTCTCTACCGTACTTCCTTGCATTACACCTTTCACCAGTCGTTCCTAAAGAAGTAAAGAACAGCAAGGAGAAGGACACCTGGGACTGCTGTTGGCCTACTCTTATCGAAAGCAAGCCAACACATCCACCTTAACCACCTCACCAACCACAACCTCGAAGTCAGACAATCTTACCGAACCTAAAAAACATTCAGTATTCCGCTAAGAAAACCTTCTTCTTGGAAGAACCTATATTGTTGTTAGACAAGAGAAGTCGTACTTCCCAAGATCTTCTTACCTGCTCATGACCTGCGCCACCGGTCCGGAATCTGTGGGCTTCGTATAAGCCGCCTGCCGCCACCCTCCTTGGGAGGCTCAACAACGAACCTCCCGTGCTCCCTTGTTGACGCCGTAGCTATGACTTCAACAGTAGCGTCGCCGGCAGAACATGTTAAACGCCCCTTATCAGAGTCTATAGCCGCCGCAACCCGGTCCGTCCATGCGAAGCTTAACAAGTTGATCATTGCCCGCCTACCACTTGCAATTCCTCCTCGATCCAACGACCCATCCATATACGTCTCAGGTCTTCTTCATATTGCGCCTATCTATATTGCCTTTGAATCACTATGGAAGGACATTGTGGAGTCTTCCTCTTTCACACCTGATGCGACTCAAGGTGATGGCTGTGAGCCAGGCTTTACTTTGTTCGATTCTAACGGCCTGTCCCTTGGTTCCAATACCGGACATGGTTCGAAGTATCAAGCTGTCTGCGAGCGGACTCATTCGATTTTGAAACTTCTCTACTTGCCGAAGCTTATGCGCTCTGACCGTCTGCGATCTGATATCAGTACCCTTACAGGCTGGTCTCCTGAGGTTATTGATAAGCAGCTGGAAGCTGTCTCTGAAGCGGGACGACTTGCAGAATTCACAAGTCATGTGAGGCGTACAATCGAGAAAAAGCCTCACGTCCTGCTGGCGTACTCCTACATACTTTATATGGCCCTTTTCGCTGGCGGTAGATTCATCAGGGCCACTCTTGAGTCCGTAGGTTCAGAGTTTTGGGAGCACGCCCCCTCGTCCATCCCGCCTTTCCAGACAAGTTGCTCAGTACGCACTCTCCGGAACGAACGATTCGATGCTGTCACCAATGATTCTGCCGATATATTTGAAGTTGAAGGCGGAATGCCTAAACTTGTTGGAAACCACCTGGGACATACCCTTCCGCTTAGGTTCTTCCACTTTGCCACTGTTCTTGATGGTGAGGATCTCAAGAGGGAGTTTAAGAAACGCTTGACGGAATCCGAGGGTCTTCTAACCACCCAGGAGCGACAAGACGTGATTCAGGAGGCGATTTGCATCTTTGACAACATGCTGCTTCTCGTTGGTCAACTCGACAATGTGTGCAAGACCAATTTTGATGACGATCACTCAGCTGTGGCGTCCTGGGCATCGAAATGGTCCCTCAGCCGTCCACGCGACAGTGTAATAGTCACCCATGAGCGAAGGGATAAATCATCTATGAAAGGTGCAGTGGACAGCGATGAGTCGGATCGTCGGCTTTACACACACGCAAGGCTGCGAGAAGTCGATAATGGAAAGGGATCAAGCCCGATCTATCTGGAAGGGCAGCCCCCCGTGTGCTGCCCAGCTTCCAAATCTATGAGATTCGAGGCGAAGTTGCCAGTGTCCGACAGGAAGGACAGAAGCAGAACACTCCCGACTGACGGCGCGGCTAACGTACCGTCGTCCACGCGAAGCCCAGCATACTGGTTGTCATCACGGCCTACCATGGTCTTAGTATTCAATATTTCGCTCGTTGCAGGACTTGCAGTGTTTGTGAGCCTGCATGTTTTGTCTAGGGGGTCTGTAGATGGGGAGTTGACTGTTGAAGAATGGTAGAGATTGTATATGACAAGGCATAACATAGGCGTGGCATATCGAGCTTGGCGTTCCGGGGCGTTTGTGTTCAGGATACCGCATGGGCTAGGCATACTATAACCCCCTTCCCTTAGTTGCCTTCTGGGGGCTTTGGCTCATCATAGTTCTTTGCTTTAAGGCATGATGGGAAGTGAAGCAACGTAGACATGGCCAGAATAGACCTAGATAGATAGTTGCCAGGCACGTACAAAATTACGACGTAACGAATCAAAGTTTTCTCACATGAAGCCATTAAGCCTTCTATTTGGTTGTCATTATAGTTCATTATAGGTTGCGCCCAGAAAGGCACCAAGTCCTCTACAAAAAGAAGCAAAGAAAAACCATGGTATCTAGTGTAAACCCAATGCAATGCTACGCCGTGATTTTACAATGCAGCCGAAAAACCAACCATATTCCTGTCGGCCCAGTCCCGAACCATCTCTTCTTATTCTGGCGTGCACGAACCGAAAACACCCGTTCTAGACGTACGTCCGTACGTCAAATCCTTGCTTTCTGTAACCATAATATTTATCATGACCCAAGCCTCTCATGTTTAATAAATTCAATCAGCACTCGGAGTGCATGTCGTCATCGTCGTCTTGATCCCAGTCTTCCGAAACGTCGGCATAGCCCGACATATGGCGTCTTCCGCCGAATTCGCCGCAGGTGCGGAGGTCCCACGCCGGACCACCGCCCGCGGCATCCACACTATGATCGCTGTCCTCCTGCCAGTGCCGCGCCATGTAGTCATCCGAGATGGTGACGAGCTTGCCCTCGTTGGTCCAACTTAGTCCTGTGACCTCCCGGCGGTGGCCTCGAATCAGAGGCGTGCCGTTACGTACAATCGGAACCTGGCTGGAGAGGCCTCTGGAATGAGAAATGGAGGTCATCGCAGCGTCGATCGGGTCAGTGGTGGAGGGAGGGAGGTGGCTCTGAGTGTCCCAACGTTCCCGCATAGCGCGCTCGTCAGTGGGGAAGAGGAGGGCACACTTGTCGCTTCCAACGGCTAGGAGCTCCGTGCCAGTAATAGAGATCGGGCGGACCGCGCAACGAACGTAGAATGACTTAACATGGAACATGTCGTGTTTGAAGCCGTAAAGAGGACCTAGACCCTGCACTGCGGAGCCGGCTTTCTGACGTGGGGGCCGAGACGACAGTTCGGGGGCGTGACCGAGCATAAGATGCGAGGTGGAGTAGGCGTAGATAGTGTTGTCCTTGCAGACAGCATAGAGACGGGCGGCATCGCTGCTGAGGGCGAGGGAGGTAAGGCCGTAAGGTCGCCAGCGGTGGGTTACCGGTTCCGAAGTCACGGCAAGCGGGGTTGCGTCGGGTTTGTTACGTGGTGTGATGTAGCGGGTATCCCATAGTTTAATGCAGGCATTCGCCTCAGAGGCAGAAAGGAGAAGATGCTCGCGGCCGGCAGGCATATATTGCAGAGCAGTAACAGAAGCAGGGGAGGTGATGCCCTCAACGGTACGGGCATGTGCGCCATCAATCGTATTGGTTGTTCGCGCCCAGAGGGATGGCAGGCTGCGGTCTCTATGAATGACACCTTCGGGGCCATGAGTGGAGAACGCAGTGGCCGGCGCGGCACAGCACCGGAGATCCCAGATCTGGATCTTGCCGTCCCGGTCGGATGTGGCGACGATGTTTCCGTTGGCCTGGCCTGGCTGGAATTCGACTCGTCGCATGGACTGAAAATGGCCGCCATTTAGCTCGGCTGCAACAGTCTGGGTCATGACGTCGAAGATCTTGCCAGAACGATCACCGCAAGCGCTCACAAGGCGGAGATCATCATTAGAAAATGCGAGATCCATGATTGCATTTTCATGGCCCTGCATGATCATTTCAACTTTTGGTTTAGGCGGTTCTCCTGCTCTGGTCGTCGTCGTGTCAAAAAAGCGGATGAAGCCTTCTTCATCGCCAATCGCCGTGAGAGGGGCATCTGCAAGGGTCAGCATAGTTCGTCACCAGGAGATGCGACGAATACTAACTATGGCAACTTGCCAGACTGAAAGGAATGGTATTCGATTGAGTCAGGTGCGCGTTGATCATCTGCGTGTCCGCTCCCTTGCTCCAGAATGAAGCTGTACTTGCTCTCGAGTCTGTCTACGGTCAGACACGTCGCGTCATTAGATGATGTGGCAAACTTACCAAAAGCTGGATATTCAAGATGCTGACGCCCTGGCCTAGGGGTGCTTCCCTGTTCGCGAAGTAGAAGTTGTGCGCCGAACCCGCGGTTGCGAAGCTTGATCACATGCTGGGGTTCATACTGTGGAGGAGGCTAGAAACCGGTCAGCTGGGAACTCGTATACAGACAGGGTGCCAGACATACGGAATCTTCTCTGGATGATGGCACTGGCTTCGCAAAGGATGTAAAGGGCTTGTGCTTGTTGGAAGTTTGGACGCCTGAGCGATTGCATTTGAAGTAGTCGATCTAATTAACGTTAGCGAGCAGTTATCGAGAATGTTGTCTTGGGACGCACCAAAGTCGACCGGGACCGCAGCCCGTCAGAAGTTAGAGCTGCAAAATTGTTTGCAGTTAAAGAACTGAGCTTCCGCGCAAATTCATCTGGCGAATTTTGCGGCCCGTTTGGATATCTCCCTCCCAAGGACGGCAGCCGAGGAGCTGTAGAAGAACGTGCTTCAGGCGAGCCCATTACCTGGTCTTCAACATTCTCGCTCTGGGCCAACGGAGGCCTGGCAAGAGGACTTCGACCCAATGGTAGCTCGTCTTCCTCCAAATCCTCCACCTGTGACCTCGATGCTTTCGTATTCGATCCGCGAGAGGGCTGTGGCAACTTCATAGGTATCGCATTTACAATGCCTCGTTTCCTCTTCTTTGGTCCATCTTCACTTCCAAAAGGAGACAACAAGCTTGCGTTCGACGTTGGTGACATGGGCTCCGGACCTCCCTGGCTGAATCGTGGTGGCGTCTGCTGAGCGTTGACTGCAGGGCTGCTCATCTCGGAAAGAGCCGGTCTCGAGTTTTGAGAGGACATGCCTCGCGGCGTGAAGAACCGCCTGAACTTCCTAGGCGTCAAAACGGCCTTTCGCTTTTCCTTTCGTATACTTCGTGAGGGTGGTGATGAGGGGAGCGTGGGCGATGAGGCAGGGACAAGACCATCGCTCGGCGGCGGACTCGCCATACCGCCGTGGTAAACCATGACGAGCGACGATGTGTGGTGATCACTGTAAAATACAAACAACCCAATGGACCAAACAGAAAAATATAAGTCTAAAGTTAGGGTGTGCCGTCGAGTCGGCCTGTGCAAAGATCCGATTGTGAGATTGTGTGCTGGGGTGGATGTCAAGGCCTGCAAGATGGCTGGAGGGGGAAGGCGACCTGATGTCTGACGTCTTCTTTCACACGAGGGTACTCAACACCCTAGGGTACCTTACGCGATGTCGTCGCGCGCGGGGCGCGTTAATGGGGGATTTCGCGTTCGGACAGTGCGCAGGTACCCACCATTTTTTTAATTGACGCCACTTCAGTGGCCAGTCCAATCATCTTACAGCATGGTAATGTCCCAACCAGAATTCCAGTAATGCTTGGACACCCAGTTTTCTAGACCTCTTATCTCCACGTGATTGTTATCGGTCCCTGCGTACAGCCAAAAAAAAAAAATTGAAATCGTCTAGAGGCGGCGGGGCGATTGGATTCTTCACTGCAGTGAGCGGACGGTCGGTCGCAAACTTCCCTCTACCTCGAAACCTGCCGTCGCCGCTCCGTCCGAAAAGATGGCGATCCAGAAGAAGCACGGAAAGGGGCGTTTGGATAAGTGGTACAAGCTTGCCAAGGAGAAGGGATACCGTGCCAGAGCTGCGTTCAAGTTGATCCAGTTGAACAAAAAGTATGGCTTTTTGGAGAAGAGCAAGGTCGTTGTCGATCTTTGTGCTGCGCCAGGCGTAAGTTATTTTTCTCTTTATTCACTATCTACTCCCAATATGTATTCTAACAGTGAAATTGTAGTCTTGGTGTCAGGTTGCAGCGGAAACATGTCCCGTCGGCGCCTTGATCATCGGTGTCGATCTCGCCCCTATCAAGCCGATTCCTAAGGTCATCACCTTCCAGAGCGATATTACTACCGATAAATGTCGAGCAACGATCCGCCAACACTTGAAGACCTGGAAGGCCGACTGTGTTCTTCACGATGGTGCGCCCAACGTCGGTACCGCCTGGAACCAGGATTCCTTCAACCAGGCCGAGCTAGTGTTGCAGTCCATGAAGCTGGCGACGGAGTTTCTTGTTGAGGGTGGTACTTTCGTTACAAAGGTCTTCCGTTCGAAGGACTACAACCCTCTTCTCTGGGTGTTCAACCAATTGTTCACAAAGGTCGAGGCCACCAAGCCGCCGTCGTCGAGAAACGTGTCAGCCGAAATTTTCGTCGTCTGCAAAGGCTACAAGGCCCCTAAGCGCATCGACCCCCGGTTCCTCGACCCTCGCGCTGTTTTTGCCGAGTTGAAGGATGCGACACCGAACAACGAGGCCAAGGTTTACAATCCCGAGACGAAGAAGCGCAAGCGTGAAGGTTACGAGGAGGGCGATTGGACGCAGTTCAAGACCGTTCCGGCCAGCGAATTTATTCACACTACCGATCCTATCGCCATTCTCGGTACCGCGAACCAGCTTTCGTTTGACCAACCCACTAACGGCGATGTTGCTCTGGCGGCTCTGGACAAGCTCCCTGAGACCAACGACGAGATTCGAAGATGCTGCGCTGATCTGAAGGTTCTTGGAAGGAAAGAGTTCAAGATGCTGCTCAAGTGGCGTCTCAAGGTCCGTGAGATCTTCGGCTTCCCCACCAAGAAGACAGAGAAGGCACAGAAGTCCCTTCAGGAGCAGGTCGCTGGCGAGGAAGTAGCCGAGGTCGAGTCAATGGACGAGGAGCTGCGGATTCAGAAGGAGTTAGAGGAACTCAAGAACAAGGATGACACCAAGAGAAAGAAGGAAAGGAGGAAAGAGAACGAGAAGAAACAAAAGGATATTGTGCGCATGCAGCTAAACATGGTGGCACCCATGGATATCGGTATGGAGCAATCCGGACCTCTCGGCACTGACTCCATGTTCGCGCTCAAGACTGTCGACAAGGTCGGCGGTGTAAACAAGATCGCTCGCGGAAAAATGGCCATTCTCAAAGAAAATGAGAAGAAGAAGGAGCAGGACAATGGCATTTCTTACGGCTCTGAAGACGAGAGCGAGGATGAGGCTGAAGACCGCCTCGAGCGGGAGCTGGATGGCATGTACGACCAATACAAGGAGCGTAAGGCAGCAGCAGATGCAAAGTGGCGTGCCAAGCGCGCTCGCGAGGAGCATGACGACGAAGAATGGGATGGTGTCTCCGCCAGTGAGCACAGCGACAGTGACGAAGAGTTTGAGGTGGACTCGGACAGCGACGAGGCATCAGACGAAGATGACGAAGAGGACAGCGGGAAGCCTCTTATCACCGACTTGGACAACACTGCTGAGGACGGCGAGATGTCCAAGCGTGCTAGAAGTTTCTTCAGCCAGGATATTTTCAAGGATATTGGTGGTGTCCTCGACGAGCCCGAAAATGATGACATGGAGGGCGTTGAGTATGGCAACGGAGTTGAGGAGGCCGAGTCTGAGGAGGAGGCCAAGCCGACTAAGCGAGAAGCCAAGGCGAAGAAGGCTAAGGAGGAGAAAAAGAAGTCCAAGGAGGACAAGAAGTCCAAGGAGGACAAGAAGAAGCCCGTCGAAAAGACGGACTCTGACTCTGACGAGAGCGAGGAGGAGGATGCCGGTTTCGAGGTTGTCAAGAACAAAGAAGAAGACTGGGAGAACCAGGAGAAGCGACGACCGGATGGCAGACTGGGTAAGCCTTCATACTTGATAATTCCAGGGCGCATCGGACTAACCACGACTTAGACATCGACATCATCACCGCCGAGGCGATGACGCTCGCACACCAGCTCGCGACGGGCCAGAAGACCAAGCACGACCTCATCGACGATGGATTCAACAAGCACGCACTCAAGGACCGCGACGGCCTGCCGGACTGGTTCATCGACGACGAGGGCAAGCACGACAAGCCACATAAGCCCATCACTAAGGCGGCAGCCGCCGCCATCCGCGAGAAGTTGCGGGCGTACAACGCGCGACCCATCAAGAAGGTCCGCGAGGCCAAGGCGCGCAAGAAGTTCAAGGCCGCGCAGCGCCTCGAGAAGCTCAAGAAGAAGTCGGACCTGCTCGCCAACGAGGAGGGCATGACGGAGAAGGAGAAGGCCGAGAGCATCGCCAAGATGATGGCCAAGGCCGGCCGCGTCAAGCGTAGGGCCAAGCCTACTCTGGTTATTGCAAAGGGTGAGTTTATCCTCTGGAGGATTTGTGTGAGTGACTATTTTCTAACGCTTTCTAGGTGTCAATCGTGGTGTCAAGGGCCGCCCCAAGGGTGTCAAGGGTCGCTACACTATTGTGGACTCGAGAATGAAGAAGGATCTGAGGGCGCAAAAGAGGATAGCCAAGAAGAAGAAATAGTCGCTGTTGCTATGTTGATCATACCCCGAATCTTAGATGGCGAGGAAATTGATAGAATATGTAATAATCAAAAAGCAAGTATGGCAAAGGGAAGGACAGACCACGAGCGTGTAAAGACTCGGAATCCTTATCCCTGTGAGGTAGTCGGGACTCTCTTCATGGCCACGAGATGTTTGTGGGGATGAAGTGCTTGTTTCTGTGACAAAGTCCCGAGTTATTATGCCTACGGAGTGGGCGTTGGAGGTAGGGCGATCTGCATGTCTCTTAGGTTTGGTAGCCCCATTTGTCGTGACTGAGACATGTTTAAAGATTCCCATCCATACATTTTCCGGATGATTCCAACACGCAATGCGATTTATATAAAAGGGTGGTCATGTGTTGCGCATTATCATAAATCTTGAAGCTAGATGGCTCCGTCCCGCCTGCCCTAAAAAGCATGCCTCTATCGACGAGGAAGGGAATCATTAAAAAGGACAAATGCCGCCGCTAAAAATCAAAAACCGGACACCATGGTTCATACTTTACAACATCTTGAACAAGATGGATGGATGACGCGCAGAACCAAACGCAACCCTCCCTTTTTTTTCCAGGAATTTGTGACCCCTTGTCTAGGTGTTTCCTTGCATCTTGACATCGTACAAGCGTTTCCACGACTACCGCCGTCCACAAAGTACCGAAGAACGCCGCTGCTACCCTGCGAGCAAGCCATAAATGCAATGTTGCCTCTCCGTCGTGTGAGTACATCGTTTCGTGCGCCTCTCCAATTATTGGCGGCTGGAAGTCCCGTTCGTGCTGTCTAGTCATCCTCTTGTTTGATTCGTGGTCCTTGATCAGGGGCCCGCGGCCCCAACATCCAGTCTTGCATAGCTAGCCACTCGCTCCAGCTGGCCTCGGCACCCTGAATTTCCTTTTCGGTAACATTCTGCAGGGGCCTGAGAAAGGGGACTTGCTGTTCGCCGTCCATATCGTACTGCGACTTGACCTTGAGCCAGGTCTCACTCTTGGCCGCAAACATGTAGTTGCGGCGCTCGGCTTCGTGCATGGGCCCTATGCCGGCCATCCAGTCATCACCGAAGAAGCCGTGTAACACGGCGGGATAGTCGAAACCGGTTGCCACCAGCCGGCGAATGTACGGCGTCAACGTTGTGTAGGTAGCAGACGGCAACTGGGCACCGAGAGGCAACTTTCCGGTGGCTCGAGCGGTGGACGGAGTTGAGGGGCCAACCCCGGCAGGGGAGGAGGGGCCGGTCTGCTTGGAAGACATGACCGGGTTGTGGGCCTTTTGAAAGGGTAGCTGAATGTTGACGAATGCAGCTACCGCTTGGATAGGCCCGGTATACTGGGCGTGGTCCAGGAAGTAGCGTAGACATGACTGGAACTTTGGATACCACTCGAAAATGTCGAATTGGGATTCTTGAAACGGCTGCAAAGGAGGCCCGTTGAGCTGCGAAGCACCCAGACAGCCGGTGAAAGAGTGTCCTACCTGTGCATACTGAAATGAGGAGCCAGCGGAAGAGCCGCCAGAATGGTGGTAGGCCATGAGTTCTCGGCGGAAGAGGATAGTCGCCTCGTGAGAAACCACCGTCAGAGTGAGGGAGGGTGGCAGGGTAGGATTACGACTTTTCTTTTGGCAGAAAGTGTTGGGGTGATCGTCGGCGGTATCAGAAGAATTTGAAATGGCGAGCTGCGGGCTATAGGATAAAGGTGACTGAATGCCTCGGACCCAATGACCTGGAGCTTCAGAATGGCAGCAGAGCGGCCAGGTATTGCAAACTCATGTGCAGGAGTGTCTAATAACACAATGTTCGACAAGGTTGCAACTGGCGGCTATGATGTGCGTCTGCTGGCACTGCGTTGACTTGGATGTTGACAGAGAATTTGAAAGAAAGGCGGTTGGAGGCACAGGTCCGACGCTGATCAGGCAAGGACGACATGCGGGACGAGGAGGAGAATGAGGAGCAGGGCCACATGCGGAGCCTGACCTGCATGAGGATGGAGTCGGAGAAGCAGAAGTGGCAGCCAACTGAATAAGGGTAGGGTATTTTACTTGACAAAGAGAGTGGAAGAGGGCGGGCACAGATCTCTGGTGACGGGATATCGACGGGACACCACTTGGGTTTAATACTACTGTACACTGGATGGCGTGCACACCTTATATGTATACTTATGTATGTGTAAATGGTCCCTTGTTTTTTCTTCCTTGACGTTGTAAAAAATGAACGGGGCGCCCCCCATGGGACAGATCCTTGATAGGAAGGAAGGGTGAGGGACGAGCGAGGGGAAGAGAGAAAAAAAAAAAATTGAGAAGCGAAAGGGAATGGGAGGTCGGAAGGTACATGCTAAATGCAACAGGGGCAGAACCGAGAGGGTACCTACATCGGAAAGTGACATGGTCACTGTACCGCTCCTCCTTGGGTCAACATCGCATCTACACCCACAGTACACGAATCCGGTGAGGCAGGAGGGCAGAAAGCAGATATGCACACACCAGAAGAATAAATAAAATGAGGCGGTGGATGATGTGTGTGTGCGTATAGTACTGCCACCTGTCCCCCTTCTTCCTCCCACTCAGTCCGTGGGTGCGTCATCTACCTTAGGCGGTGATGTACATGTAGGCAGGCAGACTTGCTATCAGCCAGAGAGTGACGTTCAGTCTGTAATCAAAGACCAAAAGAGTGTAAAATGTGTACGAGAAGAGTACGTACAATCTAGGGCACGGTAGCTGGGTCAGAAGGTTTGGATAGCGCGTTGCCATCCCGTTGATAGCGTAGCTAAATCAGTAGAAAGTGACCAAGTGAGGTGGTAGGTTTGACTGGCGCAGGTAGGGCTTCACCAACTCATTTGCATCTGAGCGTGTGGGCGATGGATGTTTCGGCAGGGAGGTGTGGGAAACGATGAGGAGGGAGCGGATAGAAAAACGGCGGGAGGCGTGTGGGTAAGGTATGGAGGGGGTGAACGGCCAGCGATGGGGAAAACCAAAGCCATCGATTTCAGGGTCTGAATCTATGGTGATGCTTGTGAGAGTGTATGAATAGCGTTTGCGCCGGCCCGTCCTTTAACCACATCGGATGGGATGGATGGCACGGATGAGTGGAGGCGGATCGCACAGTTGGCGGCAAGGGTGTTTGGGGTGGATGGGAAAGGCGAGTGAGCTGAAGACGGCAGGTGGCGGCGAGGGTGAGGAATGAGAGATAAGACAACCACGACGGGATCATAGACAAGATGGCAGGGCATTCCGATCGAAGGGGTGACAGACAAAAGTCAGGCATCACAGTAAGAACCGGGCCATGGCAAATAGAAGACGGGAACTCAAGTCATTTATGGGCAGTGTGTGAAATGAGTGGCACTCACAGCTCGCCGAAGAACAGATCAAGCCCGAAGCAAATTTACACAGCACTTGAGGTACAGCAATGAACAGGACTAGGGTGTCATAAATTGAAGCAGCCTACCTCGCACTTTTTCTGGCTGTACAACTTGGGGGTATCGCTGCTTCTTAGTTTTACTGCAAGAAACATCTCTCGGGACCTTAACGTGAGCAAGAACAGGGGGAAAGGCCCAGTTCCAGGGGTGGCACAAGCTCAGACTGTGTGTGGCTACATCTGCCTGACAGAACGACGGGACTGGTCCGGGCTGATCCGGGCTGGGCCCAAGGGAAGGCGTGGATGCCGTGCGCCGCGGTGCGGGTGTGGTGCAGAGACACGGTGCTGCTCGGTGTCCTCGGGGCCAACGCCGGAAGAGAGGTCATTGGTCAGACTATGATGGAGAAGGTGGATGGGAATCTGAAGGAGACGAGCTTCAGTCGTGCAGGTCCTCAATCGGTAAGCCCCTACCCAGTCGTCTGGGTTTGTGGCGGATGAAAGGAGCTGCAACAGCAGGAACAAGCTGACCTGCGAGTGAGTGCCCTTGGAAGGCACCATGGAGGGAAGGTAGGGGACAAGGTGTGGATGTGGGTGTGTATTTGGGGGAAGGAAAGACATCTCTCAGTACACTCCCCACACACCACACCTGCCTTCGTCAACCTTCTCTCTACCTCATTCTCGTTAGTTTAGAAAAGCGGAAGAAAAAAAAAAAAACAAGGGCCCTGATCGGAATGAAGCAAGGAAGGCAAGATGAGGCAGGCACCTGCCATTCGCTGTCTTGGCATCCCTGCCTGCCAATTGGACAGCTGCTGGGCCGCAATCGAGAAAAGGAAGGAAAAAGAAAAGAAACCTGAAGAAAAATTGAGCAGGTCCCCCGTCACTGGCCAGTTATGAACCGTCATGGACCATCATCGTCAAAATCGTCCCTGATTGCGTGTCACACGACGTGCCTCCTCCAGGGTGGAAGCACTCCACTGACTGATAGTCCGTACTATAATCTGAAGCACCACAAGTTAGCATTAACTCGCGATCCGTCATATTCTTTCTATATGCAGTGCTGGAAATACCCGAGGCATCAGCACATCTCGAGTCGGTCAAAAGACAAGACCGGAGTAAATCTCGGCTCAGTCTTTACCCTTCACCCCTTTGGTCGTCCTTACCAACCCCCCCAAGAGGACCGTGAAGCATTAGGTTCTTGTTTTTTCTTCCACCTATTTGTAGCGGTGAGTAAGTAGCAGGCACACCTCACCACTCGGCGCAGACCAGCGAGCAATAAAAACCAAGCCATGGCCATAAAGCAAACACACGGGTGGAAGGCAAGTCTGTTCCCTTGGCATGGGACTGGCTTGCACCAGTGGCATCGCCTTGGGCTGGTCGTTTGCTTGCTTTTGCCTCGGTGCGCCCATGAACTACTCTAGCCTCGATGGGGCAGCCCACCCGTGTCTCCCCTCTGATGTGGGCTCGACTTGTCATATTTTCTCTCATCCTCTCGAGGCCCTGGGCGAAGCCAGAAGATGGACAAGTGACAATCAGCTTTAGCTTTAGTCAAGGCAAAACTGCCATTTGCGTCCTGCCGTCCCTGGACATACAGGACACGGGGAACGGAGAAGGCCTCTGTTCAGCGAAACAGCCTCGTGCCCTGCATACGAGGCGCCTCGTTTATCTTGAAATTTGCAGATCTGGCTCCTTAGGGGGCCGGGAGGTTGTGACAGTGCGGTTGGTTGGAATGAGCACAGAGAAAACCAAGACCATCACATCAAGTGGGAGGTTGAGTTGTGTTGCCAAGCCATCGTCAAGACTCAACTGCGCCGCGAAGGAGGTACCAATAAAGAGTAGCACCCCGTTTGTAGACGAGACGGTTTGCGGAGAACACTGTGTACCCGGGCCTGGAAAACTGGCTACCTGAGACAGGGGTATAGGCAGTATCCAGCGCTAAAACAGACTGCGGCAGGCACCATCAGTGCGTGCTCACACTCTCCCTGAATAACTTCGAGGATGTGACACAGTCTCCTGCTCTGCCTACAGTGTACAGATGAACTCCGATTCCAACGTCATACAATATCTCTTGTGGTTAAGGCTCCTTGAAGCCTACGCTCCCATCTCCTCAAGCAGTTTGTCTATGCCTGCTTGAGTTGTGAAGAGCGTGGCCTCAGTATTAACCTGCCCTTCTCCGGCTAACAACAGCTATAGGTTGTCCCAACAGGCATGACAATGGGGGGAAATTCGCCGACCGACAATGTGGCACAGCATTTCAACTGCTTTATTAGTTCGTCCAGTGATTTTCGTTTGCTTGATGCATCAGCGGAAATCCCAGTCCGTACATACTTGCGGATGAATAGGCTTTAATATGCCTCTCTGCAGGGGTCAACTCGCCCCTGTTCCGGCCGAGAACTGAATGGCCATGACCATCCTCAACTCTCAACCAGCGGCTACTTGTCTCTCAAGTCGGTGCCTGCTTTTGACGCAGAGCTATGCTACGCCTAGTTAACTCTTCTGGTTCACTGGACCACTTCGTCCGCCTGGTTTCCAAGCCGGAGACACCAGTGTTCATTGGGTATCAGAGCAAGTCGGATGAGATGTTGCTCGGCCGACTGAGACATTGTCAACCTGTCGACGCCGCCCAATGCCTGAGAACCTTATCCTCTGGGGGCATTCTCCGAGACCACATCCAGCTCGCGTCGTCCATGAGCTGTATTTGCCTCCTCTAGGCCACCTATGTTCTCCAGCTCCAAGCCCGTTCATTTCCGCCTCGCAGCCGAGGGACCAACCAGCCTTAGCTGTGAACACACCCCGGAAGATTCCAAATACTCCTCCGCACTCCTTCGCCATCATCTATGTCATCATGATCATGCCATGCGTTCTTCCCGACTCTAAATGGTTCAAGATGCAGTCGTCATTCAATTCCAGCCATTGGAGGTTGGCAAAGGCCGCTGCGTTGTCTAAGACGACTTGGTAGGTGAATTGTCGGATGTGCCTCTACCGAGACTTTTGGAGCTCCAAGACTCGTCAACCATTGGAAGCCCACCATGATGGGCACATCATAGCAATACAGCGATCTGCCATACAGCTGATCAATGCCTAAAGCCTAAAGCGCAAAGCAGCGCGGCGTACCCGGCTCGTGCGGCGCTTCCCGATATATATCTCCGATGTTAGCTAGTCGGGTTTTGTAGCTCTAGCACGAGTCTAGCGAACTTTGGCGCCGTCAATTCACGGGCGTTACATCTAAACTGAGGTGGTCTCTTAAATCAGCTTGCTGTGTGATTATTTCAAATGACGGAAGGGCTTTTAGTTGCGTTCCACGCGCAAATAAATATAGACGGTGCAAAGGTCTAGGATAAACCCACTTCACATTTCTCTGAGACAACAAACCCTGGAATCTAGTTCGCATTTTAGCATGCTTCTACTGGGCAACGCTCTAGCATCATTGAACGATGAACAGGAGCGTTCAATACCTGCCTAGAAAATTCCACTGCCCAGCTCAACAATTGATTGGCTGCTGCCTCTTGGCGGGAGTCACTAAATTGCGGCATAGTCGTGACTTGCAGTTGGCCAAAAACTATTACCCCAAAACTAATGGTATGCTAACCATTCCACGAGGAATTAGGGCCAATAATAGATCGAAATCACACTAGAACCTAAACCCCATGCGCAGAAAAGGCAGGCTCCATCGGTGCGATTAGCAACGGACTCTCTCGTCAAAAACCTTTGTATCATTCGGTTCTGAGATCTGATACACGCTCCCACCCACCACATCCATCTATCGCCACCCCTTGCTGGGCTAGAATTTGGCTCCCCATAAATTACGAGTTCAGCGGTCCCGGGGATGCCATATCTCAAGCAATGGGTATGCAAGTAGCCGTTAAGAGGCAATCCAATCATGCCGTCGAGGCCCCTACCTTCCAATGGCATTCACTACCAACCTTGACCGACTGCTTCAGTTTGACAGGGGCCTTTCGATCGACTTTTAAGTCTTACTGCGGCATGCATTGTTGAGGTACCAACGCCTGGCCAGATCTCGGTGTTCCGAATCCGACCGCCGCATCGTTCCAGTAGGACGGTACCCTTCCAAGATCTGCACATCCTGCATCCTCTTCCGTTACGGACGTCCTGCATTGCGCGATATTGAAGGCCTGGGCCTATGGGACGGAAACTTCCGAATACCCATGCGGTACTAAGAGGGTGACCTAGTAGGGGCCGCAAGGAACAAATGCCACAAGGACCATCTGCCCTTCACTTATCCATGGAAATAGTCCCTCACGGTAAGTTGAGTCGCTCAATTTGAAAGAAACAGTTATGAACAGACAAATGCTTGATGATGACGGGTATGGACATCGTCCGCACGTTCGTTCAATTGGACTGTTAGGGGCTTTGGCTGAGCTCTGCAACTGCTATCTGGTGTGCTCTCTGGCATTTCGACATCTTCAACCTACTCATATCCATCTCGGGTCTTTAAGGTTTTGATTTATGGGTGATTTAACCAACTCGGAATATTTGATCGGCAGCATGTTTGTTGACACCACGCCTCTTGGTTGGTCTGAGCGGAGCGTCAGCCACCAAAGCCAAGCTTCTCTAATGTTTTTGGCGAGGCGGGCCGTCTCATTTATTCTCTCTGAACGCCATTCAAGGAATATCCTGTGTTCGGACGAACGAAGCCGAAGAGAAACAAGGCCGTTTCTGCACAGTCCACCAACCCAAGTCATCCTCACGGGCCAACACCTTAATTCTACGTATCGTACACAACACTAACAACACGCCCAACCATGTGTTCATGATGAGTGAGTATCTAACGTTTTGTAATGCAGAAGTAGGTACTGTCAACTCATATCTTTCAGCTGTTCTTCTTTCTCTTATTCGCTTTCAAGCTCTCGGTGACAACATTGTAATACGTGCAAGGGTGAAGCGCGCGCTGGCATATTATATTGTGTCGTGGTGCCTTGGAGTGGTTGCCAGTATCACAAGGACTCAACTGCGGCCCCTAATCTCTTGACTGTAATGTTTCTCTGGATATCACTCAGATCATTGGACTTGGCCGGATTTCTTGCGATTACGGACGACTCCATGACCTAGCGTGCATTGACTTGTTGGACGGCACTTTCTAAGCTGGCTGTGCGTCGCATCCTTGTGGCTTGCTATCCTTTGGATGCGAGGTTACAGCGTAGGACAGAGACAGGACGTTGCGCCTGCAGCAAGCCGGTCTATGGAAACTGATATGTCACTTCAGTAGGACGATCAACAGTCCGAGGTTGGAGTCAACGCATGGCTGGATCGAAGCGATGACGCATCATCTGATGTATGAAAATGAAAAGCTCTGTCATTAAACGCGTTTACATTTGGCATCTTCAGAAAGAAGACCATTGGGATGCGTATCCAACTAAATAGGCGGAGTGTTCGACAACAACCTTAGATACGTGTTAGTAATATCGGCTGGAAAATAAGGCTGTATAATTCAGGCAGTAGCGAAGACAAACCAAAGGGACATATAATTGACTTCACACAGCTTTAAGCCGTTGGTCCGTCTCGAATTAAAAGCCTGGCGTTGTGAAGGATAACACGATCGCCCATGCCTTGTTATTGTAATGTCAGACTTGTTGAGTTACAGAATACGCCACAGCCTTGGATATGAGCCAGTGGCTTTCTGAATACTGGGACCGTGGAATATTCGCCTTCGAGCTTCACCTGTGACTGGAAACTGGGCTTTTGGTTGTTGCGTATTGGCCGTTTTCTTGCCGGGGAAAATATCATTGCATTTGATGGCCACTTTTACGTCCATCATCATTTGGAGTGGCACCTTCGGAGAAAACTATAAACCACAGATAGCAGTGTGGGATCCTTACGGCTTTAACAGTTGATCTCCTGCAAGAAACACCTCTCAAACTGAGGGATTGCTTTGACATGTGACTCTCGCGGCGTGGGACTTTTACCACCCGAGAAGATCGTTGGTCTCTGCAGCATACCTCTGAATTGGTGTTATCGGTTTACTGCTGACCTTGTGATCTCGACAATAAGCAGCCGTCTTGCACTGCGTTTCTCTAAAAGGCTAGATTGAAAACTAATATTAGTCGAAGACAGTTGTGGTACAACAGATAGTAGCTGGATCCTTTGGGCATTGGTCGAGTATTAAAGGTTTCGCAATTCCATTTCAGGTTATGCCCGGAAGTGGCGGAAGTGGCGCCGACCAGTTGCCTAGGCGCTGGAAACGCCAAGGTTCCGGATTTTCTCTTCTGCATTTGAAGGTCAGAGTTCCTGGTGATTCCAACTTGCAGGAGATCCAGCGAGAATCGCATGTGGTGTCATACAGGACAGGTACAATGAGTGTTGTATCCGGTTCGCGTAGCTCGTCATGGGCATCGTCATCAAGAGGAACCTTTTATGAACCGTTATTTTGAGAGCCATTGAGTTTCGTCGTATTCCCCTCCAACCTTACAAGGGAGGCTAGTGCGAGAGCTCACCGGTGTCGAGTTGTTTAAACAATTTGATGTGCGGTTTTACGATAGGGGCCGCCAGGTATCCTGCTGTTACCCCAGCTATCTCGGTGTTTGCTTCCCCGTCTCAAGGTATTCCAAGTCCTAGCAGTCTTCCGTCCTCGAATTGCAGATATCGCTACTGCGTAACGAGCAGTTGCTGTTGCTGCTCATGTAACGTCCCCTCGGACAAAATTCGCCCTGCTGGTGACTTGTCCCATGTAATCTTACCACACGACACTCGGCGTCAGCCACACGGTGAGATGTTGCCGAAGGTGTCATCAGAAGCTTCCAAGTTGTCGGATCGGAGGCATCGACTTATAGGCTTCGAGGAATCTCAGAGGGTAGTGTGCTGGGCGGCTTCACATGCATGACCATTCAATCAACTGCTGGGAGGAGTTCACGAGCAGCTGCGTGCACTGCATGCATTATTCTGTAACGATGATCCGGCGTCGGATCTGATCATGCATTTCAGACTGTTTTCTCAATCCAGTGCTTATATAAACGGCTTCCTCGCAAGACCTGCACGAAGTCGCGATACAATCGGCCGAGCATCACCCGCTTTAGACGAACGCCTGAGAGGGAAATAGTTGGCGCGCGCAGAGGTTGCCCGATATGTCCTTCCCCCTCTGTGAGTTCCGCGAAAAGCCTCCGGTTTCCGCTGTGGGTGTGGTGGGGTACCCGCCTTAAACGGTCAAACGGGGCGGCGAGGGAAGTCGCTTTCACAACCTTTTGACCCCCAGTCACCAAGAGTTTGGCCTTTTCTGTGGGCAGTGATGTGCGAGAGGTCAGTCCAGCTCGCTGCGCGTCTTTCAGCCGTTCCATGTCCGATTGGATGTGTTTGGCGAATCGACCAGGAGCTGGAGAGAGCCTGCCTTCAGCTGCAAGCCACATTGTCCATTTCGGGATTAGAGCCATGAATAGTCTCTTCTTGGGCACCGCTAGACTCCACTACACCGCCAACATGGCAAACAAGCAACACGATACCTGAGTTTGTTTGTGTCTGGAGGGTTTGTCGTTTGTTTCGGCGGCAGAGGCGTTCATCGGAGGTGTTCTAGTAAAGCTTTGGAGACAACGACGCATGGACGTTTTGTCCGACGTTATCAAAGTTCAATCAAGTGAAAGGAAAGCAAGATTCAACGACACTTGAATCAAGTCAACTTCTCGTCCTTCGAAGTCGACCAACACAGCACATGTCTGAGTCTCGAGTTCAAGTGTCTTGAAATGGTAACCTTCCCTCCCTGTCTGCCTTGCTAGGTTTTCACTTTAACGCTATCGCAGCCATCAGTCCATACCCGCAGTCGACAAGGCGGAGCACACATCTCACCCAATCAACCTACACCAACATGACACGAACAAGCAATTGCAGGGACAGCTGGAGCTAGACCCTGGTGTATCTCTCCATTGAGCCTCATTGGCGACAGAAAGCCATGGTCATCAGACTCCCCCGCAAGGAGCGAGCTACTGTCAGTATTCTCTATTCAGCCCGAGCTGGGCTGCCTGGCGGCTTCGGTGTCGGCCTGTTTCCCTTTTCTACCTCATGGCCTTATTGGAACCATCCCTCCCTTCTTCCTCCATTCCTCCTTCGACTTTTTCTTTCCCATCATCTTATGTTAGTATTGCAATATTGACAGGATCGGTAATATGGACAGACTTATCCAACTAGGAGCTCTCGCTTGCTTGTACCTGGGCGCTGAGTCCAAGGCATTGAGATGGCAGGACGACACCCCGAGCTGGTCACCTCCGAGAGAGACCATCGCCGCTATGGACATGATGGAGCTCGGAATCAGTCCCGTCCCAACTGCGGCGCCTGACCCGGCCAATGTCGAGCTTAAGCTGGCGAAGCGTGTGAGAGGCGATGATACTTGTGGTTACATCTCTGGAGAGTCCAGTAAGTTGTGCTCATTCTCAGTATGAATCACATCACGGATGATGTTAATTGTTCTGAAGCGGCGTCCATCTACTGCGAAGTCGGCACCTGCGTGATTAACAGCTTCTACTCCGTGGTGGGCTGTTGCGCCTCCGCTACCATGTCGGACTGTAGGATCGCAACAGGTTGTCTGCCATCAAGCTCATCTAGATTCTACACCACTAGTGACTCCTTGATGCTTTTCTGGTAAGTAATCCTACTGACTCAAGTTGAAAACACACACCAGGACACTTTTTGCCTAACAGGACAACCCTATAATAGTAACGCCGCTTCGGCAACCGAGTGTGCTACCTACGTGTACTCGGATCCCGTTTTCACCCGGTACACCCTTTACAACTGCAACAGCGTTGAGAAGCGTGTTGTAGTCTACGCGAACCCAACCACTCCAGCTGGCGGTAACAGCCAGACCCGGAGCCCCATCACCGATCCTACCAACACCCCAAGCCCTACTACCATCTCCCCAGGACCTGCCACGACATCAGCGACTCCGCCACCAACTGGCGGCGGCTCCTCCACGCCCACGGGCGCCATCGTCGGTGGCGTCGTCGGAGGTCTGGCCGCCATTGGTCTCATCATTTTCGGCGTTGTCTTCCTTCTCCGAAAGAAGAAGAAGAACAACGGGCCGGGTGACAATAACAACGGCCAGGTGCCCCCCGTCGCATATAACCCGCAGCAGCCCCAACCTGGCCAGCAGCCGCCTCAAATGTACCAGGCCCCGCCACCCCAGCAGCCGTCGCCGGGCGGATACGCTCCTCCCGCACCCGGGGTCTACCCAACTGGTTTCGCTCCCGTGGATAACAGACAGAGTATGCTTAAGCAGCCATACGATGTCACGACCGGCAACTACGAGCAGAACAACGGCATCAGCCCGCCCGCAAGTCCGCCACCTGTTAGCCCCTCACCCACCTATCAGTCTGGAGTCCCAGCCTATGTGCAGTCCCAAGGCAACGGCCCCAGCCCAACCCAAGCTGGATATCCTCCACCTCAGCAGCAACAGCAGCAAGGCGGCTACTATAACGCGCCACCGGTTCAGACACAGCAGCAACCACACCAGCAGCAGACAACCACACACGCACACCATCCTCACCACAGCTACGCTTCTGAGCTGCCAGCTACGAGGGGCGATGGCGAGTTGCGTGAGTTGGCATAAGGTCTTTGTCGGCGTGAGACGATAAATAGGGAGAAACAGCTGAGCGGCTTGACTCCTATTGATCTATTTCTTGTTTTTAATTTTGGTTAATGTGATGGGATTAATTTGCTACGAGATGGTGTAGCGAACGGAATCACTCAAGAGTGTCATTCAATGTAAATGAAAGACGCTACATGAAGGAGGGACGACTATCTTTACGTATATAGGTGTATACCCAGGTTTTTAGTACGGCCGCGATGGGCTGCGACTCTCCCTAGTACAATGCAATATTTATTTAGATGGGGTTATATTTTGTTCGTCTGTTGGCGTGAAGTTGATTTTACAACCGGCTTTGTCTGTCCCGGCGCCATGGCGTATTTGGGTTGTCCTGTCGCCCCGGTACGTACTGTTCCACGGCGAGCGTGTTCAGGAAACCCGGGTGTACCTGGTCCAGGCTGGTGACGCCGCACATCTTCATTGTCGTTTCCAATTCATCTCGCAAGACTGGCAATGGTGTTAGTCTGGTCCATTTTCAGAGGCGGGGGTTCCTGGGGAATCGGCATGGCCAGAAGACTTCACTTGGGGCAGGCATAAGAAGCAACTTACTTTCCACATAATGCTCCACCCCCTCAGCACCATAATTGAGTCCATACAAGAGCCCCCTCCCAACAGCAACCGCCTTGGCGCCCAGGCAAAGCGCCTTGAAAACGTCCGTTCCTCGTGTGATACCCCCGTCTACGTAGATCTCTAGTTTGTCAAACACGTGCGGGCAATTCTTCTGCAGCTCCAGTAGTACCATGATCGTGGCTGGGGACGTATCCAAGCTCCGGCCGCCGTGGTTAGAGAGGACAATGGCTTCAACGCCGGCTTCTACAGCTCGTTCGGCGTCCATCCATGTCTGGATTCCTTTGAGAATTATGGGCAATCCCGGAACAGTGCGACGGAGCCAGGCTATGTCGGACCAGTTCACTGAAGCGTCTATGTAGCTTCCCATGATACGTCCCAGAGCGCCACCCTTGGAGTCATTGACGGCTCGGGCGCCGGAGATGGGCGATCCAAGGGACTCGTCCGAGTGAACGCGCTCGTCGGCCTCCCTCTTCCCCGGGATCGGCGCGTCGATGGTCAGAAACAAGCCCTTTACGCCCTGGGCCTGGGCAGAACGGAGTAGACGCTCCGAGTTGGCGCGGTTCTTGTCGACGTAAAGCTGGAAGAACACAGGGACGTCGTACGGTTCTTTTTGCGACGGCGGGGTGTAAGCAGCCTGGGCGGCAAGAATCTCTTCCAAAGGGAACGAGGCGCTGACCGAGACACACTGAGGAATACCCGCTGCCTTGCAGCCTCTACCCAACTCCTTCTCGCCCTCCGGGTGCACCAGGCGGGCCATTGCTGTTGGAGGACAGAAGATTGGCGAGCGCATACGATTGCCGAGCATCGTCGTTGACGTGTCGACGGAACTTACGTCCACAAGAACCCGGGGTCGTAGGCCAATGAGGGAGTAAGCGGAGGCATTGCGACTTTTAGTATGCAGGTCCGTCGCGGCTGAGGAGACAAAAGCCCATGCCTTTGGAGAGAATGAAGTTGAGGCGGCCTGCTCGAAGTCGTGGGCGCTTATGAGGGTTTCCAAAGGGGGTTTTAAGGCCTGCGCAGGTGGCTGTAGGGCTTGCTGTTCCTCCTTCCTCGGCTCTGTTTCGTTGCTGGCCTGCCTGGCGCTTTGGCTCTGTTTTGGTTTAGGCATTGTGCTTCCCGGAGCGAGGACGCCTTTAAGCTGAGTAGCCGGGAGTGTGGACTTGACTAGGTTCGGCCCGTGAACCTCGGAGTAGACTTCTGTTGCGTCCTTGCCTGCACACTTGAGCACCACCGCGATACCGCCGGGGTGTTCGCGGACAAAGTCGGTAAAGTCCCAAACGTTTCCGTGGATGACGACCCAGATATCGTCGAGCCGGTTGTGTTTTGTTATCTCCTCCGGTGTCAGGGTCGGCCGCATTTTACGGGGTTATCGCAGAAGCCTGTGGATGATGCGAGAGGAAAGTTCGCGGCGCCTCGCACACGAGAGGAGATGAATGACAACGTCTTGCATGTTTGCCTCGGGCCGGACGCTAAGACGGCGTGTGGGATGCTAACGGCACCGAGGGGGCTGGCTGTTGAGTTCGGGCGGCATTACGCCGAAAATGTTCGGTGTGGGGAGACCCAGTGTCTTCCTGAGCATCCTCCATTTGGGTGGGGGTATTCCGCGGGTTGTGGTAGCGTGATCCCTTTCCCCAGGGGGTTTTGTTCTCGCTAAGAATGCACGGACGGCTTTTGCCTGTCATCACTGTAAATCACCGATGCGACATTGGGGTGCTTGTTGGCTGCAAAGCATATGCACCTTTTACTTTCATTTTTATTTGTTTGTTTTATTCTGGCAACTCACTTTACCCCGCCAAAGCCTTGCCGATAAGACCCAGAGCCCTCTCGCTGTGGTTCATCTTCAATGCTATCTGGCGACCAGGCTCGCTCATTTTGGCCCAAGTCTTTTGCAAAATGCTTATGATCTTGGCCTCGTCAATCTCCTCCTTGCTCTCGAAGTCGTCGAACTGGTCGTCGAGGAACACCAGGCAAGCAACGTCCTCGAGCACCTGCGTCTCCTCATCCTTGCTCAGGTTCTCCTTGCGAATCAAGGCTGCAACGCGGTCGACATCCTCCTGTGGCAGAGGCGGCTGGATTTCAGCAGACGACGACAGCAACTCTGCCACCTGCGCAGCCGCCTGGGACTTGAGTTTGGCCCGCCAGGTGAGGTAGCCGGGGCGCGTCATGGGGTAGGTGTTGCGGGGGATCTCCCATCTAGAGTTTGTGTTTTTTGTGAGTCAGATAAGTGGTTCCCCATTTTCTTTATATTCTTTACATGTCTGGTCATATGCTTCATGCCTAAATATGAGAGGGTTATCTACCTCCTGAAGTGCTGGGCCCTGCAAGCCAGCTGCAGGACGGGCGGTGCCGTCGGACATCGCACCGCGAGCCAGCGCGTCATTTTGCGGGCATAATGAAGCTCATACGGGACCGGGTCGGCATCGGCCGTGACGGTCGAAGTCCTAGGGTCTTGCTTGTGGGCCTCATCAATCAGCTCGAGGGCCTTGAGGTAATTGGGCGGCAGCTCGGGCAGGGAAGAGGAGGAGGGTGATGCCATGTTTGCGAGTGGTCCTGTTTATGGGTTGCTGTGTGTTATTGGGTGCAGGAAAGAATGGTGATCTGTTTCAAACTCTGGGAAATCATGCTCCCTGGGGAAGAGGGAAAAAAAGGCTTCAAAGACCGATGATTGATTGACTGCCACCACTAATAGCGCAGCACCAAACCAACTGAACCCACCATGCTCCGCGATGAGTAAGCTGGGTGGTTGATTGGTCCGCGCGGCAACTCACCCGCATCAAGAGCCTCAACCCGATACCCTGACCCTGTCGTTAACATGCTATACAACATCTCCAGAATTGGCTCTCCCACTAAAGATTACACTCAGCGCGTCGCATGATTAACGCCTATTTCTAGAATGCCCATAAATCGCCATCTGATTGACGCCATAGGCATACTCCACCTGCTGGTCTCGCCTGCTCTAGACCCAAGCAGACTTTGGGATAACCGGATTTGCGTTTGGTCCCTTCGTCCCATGTTCTCGTGTCTACACACATACGTCTTACACTTGCCGCTGGCCCCCTCTTTTCTCAATTGCACGATTGAATTTTGACACAGCCGCGGTCTTAAGCCCGTATTTATAGATCAGGGGGAGCGTTTCCCCCTGTCTTGGTAGTCATAGCAAACCTCTACTACTGGTGGTTGATGGTAATCCCGAGAAGTCCTCGACACAGACAGCGCCTTTCATTGACGCTCACTCCGGACCACTTGTTCGCGTCAAATGGATATTTCCATCATATACTCCTCGTTTGGAAGGCGCTCGTTTTAAACCTGTCACAGTGAATGCCCACTCTTATTGAAACACCTCCTCCACGAGCGTAAACCTCTCTGCTGGTTAACAACTCAACCAGTCTTTTTTTTTTTTCCCTTCCTTGCCCACTCATCAACAATACCTTCACCATTTCACAATCTTAACACCCAGAAAACACGCTTGCAGGCATCCACTAATCCCCGACGACACCGAATCAATGAGACAACAAAGAACTAGAACAACATCTACGTACCGATCTCGAGGGAAAAAGTTGGTCATACAACCCGCAAGTATCTCAGTCCGCACCTTCCTATCTCACACTACTAATAGTCCTTCATAGGTCAAATTTCATCACCACAACTACATCATTCACCAACCTCATGCAAGCACCATCATGAATGACTCAAAGGCAGGCGGCTCCAAAAGCCATCACAAATTCGCCGTCTTCAAAGAAAACGACGGAGCATCTTCACTTACGGCAGTCACCGTGGAATCAGACTCGGACGCTAGCAGCACCACCACCCTAGTCGACCTCTTTCCCGATCTTGCCGTCGCTAGCAGTGATGTCGTCGATGAATCGTCTGCTGAATCTACCGACGCTACGAGCTCCCAGGTCAGCAGCAGCAGCAACGAGTCATCAGAGGACGCCGCCAGCGAGGTCTGTCTCAAGAAGAACAACTTCAAATGCATCAAGCACAAGAACAGGAAGGAGGAAAAGACCGTAGAATCAGAGACCGAGTCAGAAGAGTCATCGGCTGCAAAGAGTACTAGTGAAAATGAGCCAGCTTCTGACGGCGTTGCCTCTGAGGTTGATAGTAGCGAGGCGGCCGTGACCGAGTCTGAGATGTCTGGGGATGCCTCGTCAAATGAAGATGGCACATCCAGTGATGCTTCCTTGGAGAATGAAGATGCCTCTTCCAGTGCCCAGTCGTCCAACACAGGCACTTGGACGCCTTCCGAAGACGCTCTCATACTCAGCATGAAAGCAGGTGGAGAAACCTGGACCGAGATTGGAAAAGCGATCAATCGCGGTAAGAATGAGGTTAAGAAGCGTTGGCATGTGGTCAAGGCGAACAACGCCAACTCGACTGAATCCGAAGGCGATAAGCCGACAGGCAACGTGACAAATGCAATAGGTGAAAGGAACCGCGAGATCAAAGAAGAGAAAAAGCAGAAGAAAAAGGCCAAGAAACAACAAAAAGCAGAACCTGCCAGAGGCAAGAGCAAGAAAGTTGGGCAGAAAAAGAAACACGCTGTAGAAGATTCAGCTCAAGACCCAGCACCATCCGAATCGGACGACGCACAAAGCTTATCATCCTACCGCGCCCGCATGAATCTCCTCCAAGATACCTCTTCAGTGTCCGAGTCCGAGTACTCCTCTGTCAGCGGCAATGATAATAACGACCCTGATGCGCCTGGTTATTACGAGCGTGAGCTCATTCTTCAGAACCGGTACATCCGCCGGCATGTCCACCCAGCGCTCTACCCGGTGACCACTCTCGAACCGCCTTCGAATCCACCTCTCGTTCGTGCTCCAAGCCCTGCCGACAAACGACAGCGTCGCGATGATGCCATCTTTGCGGCTGTGGCGTCCAGACGGGAAGCAACGCGCTGGCTCGAGATGCAAGCCAACTTTTTCAACGTGACCGGCCGAATGGTACCGCTTCATCTGATCAAGGCGCGCTGTGAGGCCGAAGAGGACAAGGGAAAAGCTGCAGGCGTCCGTCAATGGGCCTCCTCCGTGGCGGTGAGCGATGAATTGCTGGATCCGCAGGAGCGGGGTGACGTCCCCGACGATGCCCTCATCAGTGATGAAGACTGACCTTGCCTATCCCTTGCTTTTTTTTTTTTTTTTTAATTTTCTTTCTTCTTTTTTTCTATCATTGTTTTAGCCGCAGGCAAGAATTGCTTCCCGTCCCATTTGGCGACAACGGAAGAAAAAGGTCTGCCTTGAGTGAGCGAGCAAGCAAGTCTGGGAGAACCCAGATATGAAAGAGACGATGATGACTGTTAGGGTGTTTGGGAAAAGCGGACAACAAGATACCGAAAATCTGGCGACTGGGAATGGATAGATTTGACTTCTGCACCGAGTTATGCGGCTCTCTTGGGACGTGGTCTCTCTGTCTCTGAAAAGACAGGCAAGAGAGAAAAAAAAAAGAAAATGACGTTTCACAAGGGATATCGGGTTCTGGTTTAGGAGTTATGGACATCACAACAACGAATGGAATACCCCCTTTTAGTTTCTTTCATATGATGGCACTGCAAAGGAATTGAGATTCACGCAATAAAACGGAGAACATGAAGAATGTGATTAAATTCCCATTCCATGTCGTAGGAAAAAAAAAAAAAAAGGTCCAATCCACCACCCACCGCGCAGAACGGGGTATCAATGGAGCTAAATATTACAACAGAAAACCACCTTGTGAGTTGAAAAATCACCTCCTTTTTGTGGAAAAAAAAATAAAAAAAACACAGTTAATCGCCACAGCCCACCGTATCCAAGTTAGAAGTACAAGTTTAGAGTCTTGAAAGTTGTCAAGGGCTCGTTATGGTATAATATGCAGCCTAGTATCACTGTTTGATATGCTGTTTCGGGAACTGAAAGTAAGCACACTGCCGCCGGGCGAGTCGAAAGCTTTCAACGTCGTCCCAGTCTGGTCTGTCAACTGGAAGAATCCGTTAGATCAGTACCTAGGGCTGGGCACATGGCACCTTATGCCATTCGGGCGGGAAGTTGTCAGTAAGACAAAGTACCTCCGACACCCAGGTTGTATCGTGTCTTCGTCTATGTTTGCCAGAAAGGCATATCGAAGTCTCGTTACGTCGTCGTCAATATCGTTTGGCCATAAGCTTAAACCACGCGGCAAAGTTAAGCTTAAACGCCTTCGTCTGGAAGGCTAACTAAATAACCAACAAACCGCCAGCCTTTCAGATGGGGTTTTCCATGCCGGGTGCCATGGTGGTGCCTGGAGGTGCGGGGCTAGGACTGGCTATCTTGTTTGGAGTATTGTTGGAGGATACCAAGCCGCGCTTCATCATCTTCCCCAAAACGGTGACCAATTCACAAGCGTCGGCGAACATGTCGTCATCCATACCTTCCGTAGCTTCATAAACTTCGGAAATGGTGTCTTTGGCCAGCTTGCGGCTTCCGTCAAGATCGTGCACGCAGTCGTAAAGAAAAGCGGCGTATTCGGTCTTGACGGAAAGACGTAACGAGTGTGAGCCCCAAAGGTGTTCGTCGGCGAGGGCGATAGCTTCCTTGAAGTATTCATGGGCTTCGGGGAGGAAATCTCGCGGTGGCGCAAGAAAGGCGGCAGGAAGGTCTGAACCACTTGGGGGGGCGAATCCTGGCGGAGGGTTCACTGGGCCGCCCTCAAGAGCGTGCGTAGGCTGTATGGAGCCTTGAGACGAGTTCCAGTCCTCCCTCGCAATCCCCTTGCCTTTATCCAATCTTGGTGGTGTGAGGTCGGCCATGACGTCGGGGGTTGAGATGCCCATTGTCGAAACGGCGGGCTTATTGTGAAATAGCACAAAGATGTGATAAAACGATGCCCGCAGTTTAAAGGCCAAGACCCGAAGCTCGGTGTGATTACCAACCATAGGAATGACATATTGCTGAAGCATAACGAGGCCTTCTCTCGAGAGCCATATTATATGAAAGATGAGATCCAGACTTTGTGGCGCGCGGGAAGGGTCAGGGCGGCGCTGTTTCTTTGCGACAACAAGCTGTTCTGCTAAGCTGAGCGAAAGGCCAAGGATCTTGTAGAGCATGGACGACAGTAGGGGATTGTCTGTCTCAACAGCTCTGGCCCACTTGCCAAGGAATTTCTGATCAACCTCGGAAGAAGCCATCGAGACTTGCGGGGGTATTAGGCGGCTAGGAAAGTGGTTGTGTCTACTGCGGCCCCCGTACCAATGATATCCGTTTGCTCAGGTGCTGCGCTTCTGGAACAAAAACTGTTACTGAAAGTGAGAGGTGGTCCTCCGAATGGATAGGCAACGTCGGTATTGCTATCTGCGTGGAGTTGAACAAATCCGCAATTTGTGCACAAAAGGCGGGCGTAGAGGAAGTAATGGGAATCTCTCAGGCGCAAACAGTAGATGCTCGCAAGTAATGAGGAGGAAGGAAGTTGCGAGTATGAGATCCAATTTTGAAAAAACAGTTATGTTGGTATCGAGAGGTTGAACCTTCAGATGTTGTTGTGGTTCACTTGATTACAAGGCTGAAATTATTAGTGTTAAATGAACACAAACAGCAGGAGAGGCTCAGGAGAGGCTCAGGAGTAACTACTCACGTGTAAAAAACATTACAGTGGCTTAGTTGAAAGGTAGAGGACGCAACGAATCCAATGGAAGAGCTTCTCGCGGTGAACAACGACTAGCAAAGTGACGAGATGAGTTGAAGCTCGAACGGGGGAACTATTACGGAAGAGCCTGCTTTCGCAGATAGCATGACGAATTAGGTGATAGGTCGGGCGAGGTGTCGTATTGAGACGTTTTGGTACCTTGTGAGAGGTACACGGAAGTTGAAGCAGTCAATTGGGCTGCGAGGGCGACCCCTGGAGGATAAACGAGCGTAAGAAGGGACAAGCCTGTCTGGAGGGAAGCGGTGAGAGCCCGACGTAAGCGTTGCGGCGGAGATGGAATTAAGAGCTAGACGACTGTCGAGGCCGAGACGGAAACAAGGCGGAAGCGTTTGATCAACTAAACAGCCGGCAGCAGTTGCAGTCGTCGAATTGAGGTGGGACAAGGTGCTGTGGTTGAGTATCTCACTATGAGGGCATCGCGAGAGTGGTTGGTGATGTGTTGATCGACGAACAGCAGTGACACGAGGAGGTTTTGAGGTGGATTAAGGCGATGTAATGTAAGGTAATGTAGGTAGCTGCAGGTTATATGTGCCCTAAAGGAGAGTTGCAGACACAGGCGCAGGAGAACCGGGGCGTGCGGTCGTATTGTGCATGAACGAGTGTGGGCCTGGGCAAGAGCAGGTGTGGTCTAGACGTGGAGCCTGGGAGGCCAACGGCGCGTGGGAATACTTCGCAAAGGCGGGTTTTTGGGTATGGGTACAGATACAAACAGCAGGTTTGCGACTGAGGGTGAGTGCACCGTACTTGGGGCTGGGTGTCGATGAGATGGAGTGGACACGGCGATGGCGATGGCGCTCGTGGGTGAGGTGCCGGGGAGAGACAGCGAATTAAGCCGAGCGTTGGCGGTATGGTGAGGGGGGGAGAGATGCTGCACGATGAGTTGGCCAACTCTGGGAAGACTACTACACGCGCGCCGAGCGCACTGTGTCAATGTATATGGTTAGGTATCTGGGGAGAAAGGTAGAATAAGCAGATGCGACGGCAGGTACCCGTAAGGAGGAACGAAATGTGTAGTTGAACCGGGTAGAAGATGGGAGGAAGTGAAAGAAAGTGAGAGATATGCAAAAGCCAGTGACATCAGTCTGGAAAGGCAGGGGCTGGGAACAGGCGCTGAAGGTGGACGATTGGAGAGAAGAGGGAAGTACCTTGAAAAATTAGGACCAGGCAAGGGCGCGGGAGCTCAAGACAGCCTAAGAAGAAAAAAAAAAAAAAAAAAAAACAAGCTTACCGAGAGCTGGAGCTTGGGGACAGAAAGCTAGGAGCTGGAGCTGTAGTAGCTGTGCAGCACGGAGGCAGGAATAGAGACTAGGCTGGCAGGGCAGTCACTCACTCACTGGCACGGTTTCCCACGAACTGCGACGGACTCGGGGAGATAAAACAGAATCGCTAAAGTGGTACACTACCCTGAGGCCCGCTCCTGGTGGCATCGGATCCAACTGCCCCAGGCCCCCCAGTATAAGGAGGGACGGCAAGGTGGTAGAGACACCACTAAGGTATCACTGACAGTGAATCAATCGAGAGTGATGGATACCACCCATGCATGTTTCTCATTTTACATCCACCTGCTCTATTTTCCCACTTCTATCCTCGGCTCATTCCCTTTTCAAGACGACTCGCCGAGCAACTTGAAGTCTCGCTGATATCACCTCATTCAATTGTCAGTCTGGACACAGACAACCGCCAACCCCGGCTGTCAATTGCCAATCACTCATCGCCGTCTCAACGTCCGCATGGCTGATCCTTGGCCTCGCTCATCTGAACATGGAGGGCTGTTTTTGCGCAAGTTGACGCCGAGACACTATAGCGCGGCGAACTTCGTTTTGACGCGCGGGAGCACCCCCGAGACAAGCCGACAACCGGCTGATCGCTCACTCCCTCTTGGAATGGGCCACGACGTATCGATTATTGGCCAAATCAACACAATCGACAGGTTGTAAACAAGGGGAATCTGCTCTAACACATGGTTCTGGTGGCTCCTACAAACCATTCAAAATGCAAGCAAGGGGGGTGCATGCGAATCGGTTTCAAAACGCAAACCTCACGCGCCGTCATCCCATATTACTCGCGACTGAGATGCACAAGAACTGCCATCTTCTTTGTCAGGCATGTTTTGTGCCTCAATTGCTGACATGCTTGCTTTTCTTCCACTCGTCAGTCTGAAAGTCGACATGCGCCCACACAGACGCTGCGGATGAACTGATATCGGTCGTCTGCCGCCATCTTAAGAGCGGCTTTGACCGTAGCCAATTCCGTGCAGATCGTCTGGGGTATGTCTGGACAGATCACTAATTTTAAGGGGCGTCACGGAGCACAAAACAGTCAATTGTTAACTCTCGAGTATAAAGCCCGTTGCCCTCGAACATCTTATGGAGAGCCCCGTGCGACTGTTACCCCCATCTGGGGGTTTCAAAGCACTCAGCCCACCTTCCGAAACAATCGCTGCTTAAACAGCGTGGTGTATTCGCCGATGCAGGTTGCACAAATTTCTTGTACGAGAACAAGACGATGCAACATGGCACAAATCTTGTCATACAAGTGTACTAGTAGTAACCTCTGCTCCGTCGGTGCTCCCGCAAAAAAAGAGTACGTATTACCTGAAGAACCCACTAACGCTAGGCCGTGGTCCCTGTGTCGTGGCGACCCGGTCCGCACTAATCCGATATAGCCCTAGCGTCGAACATCTTGACTTCTGGCCAACGGGACGCCGCGCGCCTTCTCAAAGCAGGGAAAGTCCCTCTTGCACCCGAGCTTCCAGCATCCCAGCCACCTTATTTTCAATGTGTACTGTAACCCTGATCTCAGTCGCGATCGCTGGTGCCCTACGCAGCTGTCCAGGAGCCTATATGGTGCCAGCGCATCCTTCCATTGCCCAGTCGTGCCCAAGAGCTGCGTAAATCCCAAAATTATCTCGATGTAAAGTAGCTTTCACCACGAAGCTACACCAATTCATCGCGGCCCAACAGAGCCTCCTTGACCATCTCCAAGTAGTATAATGCCTCCTATACCTGCGGTGCCATTGCCGATTCTCTCAGTGTCCTCCGAATAACATCATTACTGAAGTGCCCGCCATTGACCATCTACTCAACCAGTAAGCGCATGACCCACAACCAGCTTTGCACTTGGCCGTCATCTCTGCGACCATCCCCCCTTTCTCACTCAACCAAGGGCTAGTCAGTTCTTCACTGACCCAAGCCTCTGGCAGCAGGCTTTCCGACAAACTATTGCTACTTGAAGCACGGCCTGACGTACGTAGAGGTGGTCAGTGGCCACAAACAAGTATCTTGAAACTGGCGGTGAAGGCTTCGTTATCCCATACTTGCTTGCACAACACTCCATCATACATGCCGGCATACAAACGATCCCTTGCCTCTGGCGGGGCACACTTCTGGCGCCTTCGATATGCCAGGTTACCAGGATATTTTCTTCCGGAATTGCGGCGAAGAAAGAACCTGGGGAAATCGGACCCCGTGCCCAACGACTCTGCTTATCTTTGTACCTTGATGCGCCGACGTGACTGCATGTACATGTCACCGGCATTGCTTTTGCTGCCTCAATACAGAGGCACCCATCGGTATGCGTTGTCAGAGCCAGTTGACGATGCTGCCAGACATCCTGTCAGCCCCAATGTTGCGGTACTCTATCGCACGGTATGATTCAGAGCCATCCTTTTTGGTCCTCTCGTCTGGAGCCAACTTGACTCCCTCTTCTATTGCACGGCATGACCGAGATCAAGGACTACAGCCCTATATGCCACTGCTAAGCCTCAACAAAGGGTGACGTAGCTCGAAGGGATCCAGCCACAGGGCTATCACCCAGGCCAAACTTACCCAACGGCTGCCCAAGTTCGTCTTAAGACATCATGACGCTGCTGGGCAACTTTGTGTGCGGCGGCGGGCACGTGTTCGCAACAAGCAGCCAGTGCAACCCACCCAACACCAACTGTCAAGTATCGGGCCTAGTTACAGCTGCGGAACAGCTTCCCCTGCTGCCGGTGTTTGTTGTCAAGTGATAATTAGGTCTAGGCCAAACTCATTGCTTCATTTCAAAACCACTTTTAGGTGGCTCGTCGTTTGCTTCCGGAGCGGAACGTTGCAGCTTCCGGCCCCGGCGTCAGATTGCGAGATCTCGGCGTCCTAAGCATGGCATATATCCTATTGGTTTCCCTAATCCCTTCTAGGCGCGCATGGTCATGTGCTGTGCACAGAAAGGGGAAAAAAGAAAAGGAGAGCGACAGCTTCTCAAACGAGGTTTGCCAGTCACCGACGTCCTCAATTTGATGCCCGACACGGCGACTGATCCTACGGGCTCAATGCGCTTGAGAAGATGCTACATATATCAGCTTCTGACCCCCTAAGTACGCTCTTCCTGTGATGATTGATCGTTAATCCCGGTTTGGGCCAGCATATTTATTCACTCTCGTTACTTACTATCAAACCTCCTCCATAGTTGCGCTTTTTACGTCAATTGACATTAATCATCCAGACCAATTCGCCATCATTATCGAACTTTGAGGCATGTGCACTTGGAAACCAGCGTGACTCGGCAAGTCCACGACATATAGAGCATACAGTGTACAAGTCAAACTTCAACCTCTAGCCGAGATATACCGTCTTCAACCCTTCACTCACCATATTCATATCTCGTTAACTTTCACTCGCTTATCGGAGCCACTCTCAATTGACATCATCATATTCAACAAGTACCGAAATGTGCCAATACTACGCCCATGCCTTCACCTGCAAGCACCTCTCTTTCACCTTTGCTCGCTTCTGCCAGCCCGCAAGCCTCATCCAGAAGCCCTGCACCAAACGCCAAGTCTGGCAGACTATCCGCCTCGACGATGCCTGTGAGGAGTGTCTGACCTGGTTTCCGGACCGTTTCCCTCGTCGTCGACCGCGATATCAGTGAACGTGAAGTCAAGGGACCGACGATGATTAAGGCGTGCCGAGCTCGCTTCAAACGCTGGATGGCTGTCAAGTCATCAGAGGCCTCCAGCACCAGCTCTTATATACTGTCTTATTCAGCACAGACGATGTTCACTGCCTCCGTCTGCGTCGACTTGGCCATACAAGCGATATACCAGTTGATGGCTTCGACATTCAGCGACACTTTGGCAGACTAACGATGTGAAGATGGATGGATAAGATTTCCGATTTAAGTTTCTTAGAAGCAAAGAGCCAGCTGGTCTGGTTGGTGATGGTGTAAGCGTTCGTATTTCTGCTTTTGTGGTCGACCCCCTGGTTCCTTTCGGTACCGACGTCGATGTGTCAGGTTATTGTGTAAGAAGTGGAGGGAATAGACCAGAGATTATAGAGGAACAGGTGACTTGAGGATCAACAGGACAGACTCTTTAGAAAAATTGTATTCCATAACGCATTGCAGTGGTTCCTTGATTAGCTTCTCATGTTACAGTGCATACTTTGTATATTGGTGGTGCCGATAGTTGTGCATTTATGGTTAAAACAGTCAGGCAAAGCTCCGGTGCATAGTGATGGGTTTTCCAGCCTTTATTGACAAAATTTGAATGGGCTGAAACTATCAGCGCTGTGACAGAAAGTTTGATAATAAACATATAAAAGCCAATTGTTTCCTACACGCAACAGGCTTGCCTACAAGTTCAATACCAACAAGTGATTCATTGGGCTTTTGCTCATACATCAAATTAGTTATCATGCTGTAACCCACGGTGACCCCTTTTCTTGGTAGTCGCGTTTACATCATGGATGACTGCATGTCAAAGTTGAACCGTATTCTCCGGCATAGTGGAAGTCAACAAGCACAACACATTCACATCAGAGGTAAGAGATTAAAGCGTAAGCACTGCGCTCCTTCTCCGTGTATTGATAGTGTTTCTGGGCATCTAGCATAATCTTTGAAGCCCATCTAGACTTTTTGACTACCTAGGTAGGGCCTGAAGATGCCACGCAATATTTTCAATGTTTCGGAGGGGACATGGCTTCTACTCATGTGTACATAGAAGCAATTGTCAATACTTCCTTTTGTCTGTGCTCAGAGCCGATGCTTGGGTTTAGGGGGCTTACCAACGCTTCGTAAAGCCTGCCAAGACCTACATAAGCTGAGTTTCTTTCTACTTAAATGATCATAAAAAGCCAGAATGAGGAGCATGGTAGGTATATGAGTATGATCCAACGGCCCGGCCCATTCAAAGCTGTTCAGTTTTTGTTAGCCTTTGTTCTTTTCCCACTAGATAACAGTGGGGTGCCTGGGGAAGCCAGTAAACCCAGCGAACAAGACATGGGAAGTCTTACAGCAATGTGGTTTCCGAAATTTATTTATAGAGATAGAGTCGAATAGAAGTATACCTATATATGAATGTCCCCAACTACCTCAATGATAGTTTCGGACCTCATAATATGAAGAATCTCAATCTGCAGCCAGTTAGATTTCGTGCATTAACACTCAAGGGAGCCAACGCGACGACGCGTGAATGGCTCATGCTGTGGGGCCAGCTATGAGCACTGACATCCTGGCCCGCCAATAGACGTAGCAGCTCCAGCAGAGCTCCCCCATCCCCTGGACCAAAAGGAAACTCCCGGCAGCAAAAAAATTTCGAGGACTCCGGCTCCCATCAGACGATACTTCAACCAATATCCCTCCCGTCCATCCGCGCCGTTGTCGACAACGAGCATCCCATTGCCCATCTCCCCCCTCTTCCTTCTTCTCTTATTCTTCTGTACTATTTAATAAATACATCAAACTCTCAAAATGTCCACCGCCTTCAGATCCGTTGCGCCGTTCCTGCGCACGGCGCGCGCCTCTCTGCGCCAGGGCAACGTTAGCCCCCTTCAGGCCGCTCTGAAGAGACAGAACGTCTCCCCCATCCTCAACGCCTACCGCACATACGCCGTCTACGAGCGCTCAAAGCCTCACGTCAACATTGGTATGCTTCATTGATTCCAGCTGCCCTGAGTAGCCCTTGCTGACTGAGTCGCCTTCAAGGTACTATTGGCCACGTCGATCACGGAAAGGTACTTGGCAAGAGATAATCCGACGCTGTAACCGCCACGAAGCTGACATTTTCCAGACCACTCTGTCCGCCGCCATCACCAAGAGACAGGCCGAGAAGGGCCTTGCCAACTTCCTCGAGTATGGCGCTATCGACAAGGCTCCTGAGGAGCGCAAGCGTGGTATCACCATTTCCACTGCCCACATCGAGTACTCGACCGACACCAGGCATTACTCCCACGTCGACTGCCCTGGTCACGCCGATTACATCAAGAACATGATTACCGGTGCCGCCAACATGGACGGTGCCATTATCGTCGTTGCTGCCTCCGACGGTCAGATGCCCCAGACCCGTGAGCACTTGCTGCTTGCCCGTCAGGTCGGTGTCCAGAAGATCGTCGTTTTCGTCAACAAGGTCGACGCTATTGATGACCCTGAGATGTTGGAGCTCGTCGAGATGGAGATGCGTGAGCTCCTTAGCACCTACGGTTTCGAGGGTGACGATACCCCCGTCATCATGGGTTCCGCCCTCTGCGCCCTGAACAACACCAAGGATGAGATCGGCACCCAGAGAATTGACGAGCTCATGAAGGCTGTTGATGAGTGGATCCCCACTCCCCAGCGTGACCTTGAGAAGCCCTTCCTCATGTCTGTTGAGGACGTCTTCTCCATCGCTGGCCGTGGTACTGTCGTCAGTGGACGTGTCGAGCGTGGCACCCTGAAGAGAGATACTGAGGTCGAGATTGTCGGCAAGGGCAACGAGGTCATCAAGTCCAAGGTCACTGACATTGAGACCTTCAAGAAGTCCTGCGAGGAGTCCCGCGCCGGTGACAACTCTGGCCTTCTGCTCCGTGGTATCAAGCGTGAGGACATCCGCCGTGGTATGGTCGTTGCCAAGCCCGGCACTGTCAAGGCTCACAAGAGCTTCCTCGCCTCTCTCTACGTCCTCTCCAAGGAGGAGGGTGGTCGCCACACCGGTTTCCACCAGAACTACAAGCCTCAGATGTACCTCCGTACCGCTGATGAGGCCTGCACCCTTACCTTCCCCGAGGGCACTGAGGATGCCGACAGCAAGATGGTCATGCCCGGTGACAACATTGAGATGGTCGCCACTCTGCACAACCCCAGCGCCATCGAGGTTGGCCAGCGCTTCAACGTCCGTGAGGGCGGTCGCACTGTCGCCACTGGTCTCATTACCCGTATCATTGAGTAAAGGGACTTAAACCAAAAACTTCGATACCCTGAGTCGGCACTCAGCACACTCTCTCTCTCTTCCCAGCATATGATATGGGAACGACATCGGAAACCGGATGGGAAAAATTGGGATTGTACAAAAGGTGTTGTCTGCTTCACGATATTATGTACAACTGACCCAAAGTTTCCGCTTTGAGCCCCCGCGCTCGTGTATATTGTCGAGTCTTGGGCTCAAAGATCGCCGCTCTACTTCACCCCTTGTCTTGAATCATGTACTTTTTAGACGATGGTCAATAGAACAACCTGTGCTTTGTGCCACATGATCACTTTTGGTTCCTCAAATCATACTTTTCATTCAACGTGACAGGCAGTTAGTGAGAAACCTCGAGTCGTCATTACATCCCCAGACTTGATGGGACCATCCTAGCATACGGGAGCCGGACGACGCGCTCTCTCTCAGGGTGGGCCACGTCGCGCTTTACGCACAGTGAATGGTAAGCCCCAGCATATTGATGGTGGTAAGTTCAATGTCGTGGTATTCGTCTATCCTCAATGGATGTCCGACGGAGTGCACTTATTCTTCCGTTAAGCCAGCCATAAGAACTCCATGCCCTTGGAAGCCTCCCTCTGTCTGAATGCATTTTCCACGGGCCATCATGCCCAACCACCTTCGAGTCCCATCCTCGTCTCGTAATCCTGACGTTTAACGGTACTGTATTGGGGGCGTCTGTTAGCGATCGCGCGCTCTCTTTGGTATTCGTGTGTATCTCGAGTGATTTGGGGAGGGAGAGATTCTCGTCGCATACCTTGTTGAAGCCAATGTCCTTGGCCTTCTCACGGAAGCACTGACGGCAGAGGTTGAGGTCGTACTTGCGGATAAGACCGGCCGTGTGCTTGCAGACACGGCTATAATGAGGAGAGGAAAAAAGTCAGCACTTCGTTCCCCACGCAGGTTTTGACTCCAAATATCCAAAAACAGATTTCCTTCTATCGGGATCGGGGGATTTCGTACCAAGAGCGGGAGCCCTTGCCGTAGGTGCGGGGGCGGGAGTTCCAGACAGACTCGTGAGACATGTTGTCGGATTTGAGAGGGCGGTGTCGTCGAGAGGTTGTCGGCGAAAACTCGAGATGGGTTGACTGGGTGGTAGTTTGACGCTTTTCGCAACGAGCGGAAATTTTGTGTGGGATGCGATTTTTGGAACGGGGCTTGGCCATTGGAGGGTCTGCCAGCCCCGGCAAGCGAGCAAGCGGACCGTGCTCTTGTGTCACGTGAATGCGATAAGATAAGGTTGCCGGTCGATAAGATAGTGGTGTTAGAGGCAGCCTCATCCTTGTTCAATTGGGGGGCCCAGGGAAAGCGCCGCCACTCTTTGCTGGAGGTGACCAGGGGCGGAGCTGTTCTGTGACGTTCGGGGTTGTCCTGCAAAGTGGCTTCTTTATTAACATCTTCAACAGCTGATTTCAAAGCATCAGCCAACAAAACCACCACCGCCACCTGCCGCATTTATTTGGGCAGCTTCCTATCCCATTTTTCTGATTAGGATACATCATAACCATTTTAAACTACATTATTCGTGTTCATTAAATCGCAATGGTTGTTCTCAAGAGCTTCGTGCTCGGTGCTCTGGCAGCTACCGTCGCCGCCAAGTCTGCGGTGCTTGATCTCATCCCCTCCAACTTTGACGATGTCGTCCTGAAGTCCGGCAAGCCCACCCTCGTCGAGTTCTTCGCTCCTTGGTGTGGCCACTGCAAGAACCTCGCACCCACCTACGAGGACCTTGCCCATGCCTTCGAGTCCTCCAAGGACGTCCAGATCGCCAAGGTCGACGCCGACGCCGAGCGTGACCTGGGCAAGAGATTCGGAGTTCAGGGCTTCCCTACTCTCAAGTGGTTTGACGGCAAGAGCGACAAGCCCACCGACTACAACGGCGGCCGCGATCTCGAGAGCCTGAGCAACTTCATCACCGAGAAGACCAGCGTCAAGCCTCGCAAGAAGTACACACCGCCCAGCGCCGTGGACATGCTCACCGACAAGAGCTTCGAGACTACCATCGGTGGCGACAAGGACGTCCTTGTTGCTTTCACTGCTCCTTGGTGCGGACGTATGTACTTCCTTCACTCTTTGTATGCTCCTTGCAGCAACACTAACTCCTTTCTTCAACAGACTGCAAGAACCTCGCCCCCACCTGGGAGACCCTTGCTCAAGACTTTTCCCTTGATGAGGGTGTCGTGATTGCCAAGGTAGATGCTGAGGCCGAGAACAGCAAGGGCGTTGCCGCTGCTCAGGGCGTCTCTTCCTACCCCACCATCAAGTTCTTCCCCAAGGGCTCCAAGGAGGGCGAGCTCTACACTGGCGGCCGTAAGGAGGACGACTTCGTCAACTTCATCAACGAGAAGGCTGGTACCAACCGCGCCCCTGGCGGAAGCCTCAACGCCGTTGCTGGCACTATTGCCGCCCTCGACAAGATCGTCGCCAAGTACATCAGTGGCACCAGCCTTGCTGATGCCGCTGCTGAGGCTAAGAAGGAGGCCGAGTCCCTGAAGGAGAAGGCTCAGTACAAGTACGCCGATTACTACGTTCGCGTCTTCGACAAGCTTAACAAGAGCGACGGCTACACCAAGAAGGAGCTTGCCCGCCTGGAGGGCATCCTCGCCAAGGGCGGCCTTGCCCCCGCTAAGCGTGACGAGATCACCAGCAAGACCAACATTCTGCGCAAGTTCCTTGAGAAGGTCGGCGAGAAGGTCGCTGATGCTAAGGAGGAGTTGTAAAAACCTTGCTTCTGTCGCACTCCACATGCGTTAGGAACCCCAAACATTAAGGAAGCAGAGGCTTGTCGAGTGAGCAACTGACTGAGCGAGTCAGCTCACGTTGATGATCTTGGTAGCCTAGGATACCAGCAATGAAAAATAAAATAAAATAATAACTCATGTTTGCTCATGCATCCAGTCGTGACATTCAGCTCTAGTGATGCTGTCCTATGAACCCTAAACGCCAATGATACTCGAAGCGTGTTCTACAATCACGATCCCAGCGGGCATCTAAGATGGCTTTGATGAGCCGGCCTCCTTCTCCTTGCTGGCCAGCAAAGCTGCTTCCAGGTTGTCGAGACGACGAGACATCTCATCCACTGTAGACATCCATCAGGCTAGGCCTCCAGAGGTTTGAGGACATGAAGGGACTCTCTTACTCTTTGCAAAGATCTCGCTGGACACTCCCGCAAACTTGTTGGAGATGGTGTTCAGGAGCTCCTCGACGGCAGCGTTAACGTCGCCCTTGGCGTCTTCCGAGTTCTATCAGAGTTCGTATGAGTCTTGGCTTGGGTAACGTCCTTGGCCATCGTGACGTTTTTTTAGACGGTTGTTTCACTCACGGCTGCAGACTGATTTGCGCTCGAATCAGGGTTGTTGGAAGCCATTTTAGCGGTAGTCTTCTCGATCACAGCTGTTAAGGCGCTTAAGCCGACCAGTCTCAGAGGCCATAGAGTCGACAATACTTACGAGTGCGGATGGCTCTTACTCGGGGCTCACAGCGTCGCTCAGCGCGTTGCGGTGAAAGCAATGGCGGGATGTATCGTTTGTGCTGTTGTTGGTTCTAACATGAGTTGAGGGGCGCAGTGCCCTCCAGATTGGCACTGTAGTGGGCTTGGCTTAGGCAGGTCCGGGCAGCTGCGGCGCTAACGGCGAAGCTCCAGCAGACGCAAACTGGCCAACAGGCGGCCCAATATCCATCGTTTTAGTGGAGCATTCCCCCAGGATGCATCCCGTCCTCGGGACCGCTCGCAGTCACTTCTAACCCGGCCGATGCCGTCATCCACCGACCGCAACGCAACACGTCCTGTTCTGGTCTACCATTCCACATCTGTGACGAACACGACAAACACATAACCGATACGACCTACCGCCACTCGCATCTGGGGGATAGGATAGCGCGGCAGTAAAACGATGGCATCGAGATAAATCGGGCGCAACGGTCGGCCGAACAATGCCTTATCCACACGAAGACCCGCGCCTCGTCGTACTCGGCCTCGCCCTCGTCGGCGTCCTCTGGATCCTGCTGGCACCGGGCAACGGCGGTGCCTCCCTATTCTCGCCGTCCGATCTCGCAACGCAGAGACTGCAACAGCACAAGCACGCGCTCGAGCTGCTCAATAGCTCTTCATGGGGCGATTTTGCACCACGGCGAAATGGGCCCACCGAGTTGCCCAGATCGCTCAACATTACGGGTTTCCGTGCAGAAGACGGCTTCGCATGGGATGACCTTGAAAAGTTCCGGGAGAGGTGTCTCGAATGGAGCCGGAATGCGATACCACCCGTCGGAGGAGTGAATCTGTGGGATACTGGTGAGGGCGAGGCTGTTTGGCAGAATGCCACGGGCGCTGTAAAGGGCAGCTGGGTTAGGAAGGATGCGTCAGTGAAGAGGCAGTGGACGAGTTATAACCTGAGTGCTATCACTCCGAGTTTGCATTGGAGCGGCGCGCAGGCGGACTGGGCTAGGAATATCACGGGTGAGGAGGGCAAGGTTCTGCTGGATCTGATCGATACCGGACGACATACGAAGGAATTTGAATATTCGAGTGACTTGGAAGATGGCACTCCCACGTCTGGCGGTAGGATCCGCAGTGCTAAGGCATCTCTAAATGTTGAAGATGTCAAGGGCACCGGGATCAACTGGGAGATGAGGCTACACGGAATTCAGTGGCCGCATCAGGGCACTATCCTTTTGACCACAACGAGCGAGAAGTTTGATGGGATTTTTGGACTGCCACATCTCACACCCAGCCCCGACTTTTTCCAATCCAGCCAAAAGCTCCTAAATGAAACTCTTGCGGAGGTGCTGCGGAGGAAGGAGAAAGAGGTGTTCAACGACGGCGTGATGCCCTGGACATCGGACCCCTCCAACCCGCCTGACACCCTCAACCCGTCGCCGCACTGCGAGTACATCATGTATGCGCAGGTCCACCCGCCGGACAGAAGCCGCCTAAACATGAAGGGCTTCCAGCCAAGCAGGGAGGGCATGTCGCGGATCATCAGTGATATTGAGCACGAGCTCCGCTTCCCTGAAGGCGCCCCTATCCGCGGCGTCCCGGAACTGAAGCTGTCAGCAATCATCTGGTCACCCGACTGCGGATTCTTCCTCGAAACAAAGGGACCCCCGGACTTTCCGCCTGTTGACGGCCAGCACTTGCAGGGAATGAAGACGGAAATCATATACTACAAAATTCGCGTATGGATCCTCGCCTTCGCGGGCGTTATCATCGCCCAGGCGCTCCTCCTTAAACACCAGATGAAAGACTCTGCCACTCCGTCCACCATGGGACGTATAAGCTACTCGACCATCAGTATGATGGTTATGGTCGATGGCAGCATCTTCGCTGCGGCGTCCATGTGGGCGCTAGACGCGAGCATCACTTATCTCGAGTCTTTGTCCCTGCTCTTCGCCGCGTTTCTTTCCATGTCCATGGGCGGATTTTTCCTTGCCGAAATCCACAAGGTGCAGGAGCCGGAGAACAGGAGGCGTATCGAGCGTGAGCAAGCTTCAAACGCAGATACGCCGCGCACGCCGGCTACCCCGCCACAAAGCGTCGATGCGGACTCCCTCCCGCGGCCCGTCACCGCCGGCCCGCGTCGTAGAGCGCCCTCCCCTCCGATCATCGTGCCTTCGGACCAGGATATCGACGCGGAACTTGATGCAGCAGCGAACGGCGCCGCAGCCGTGCCGACGGCAGGCACCGGAGGCGCCTCCCGCACTGGGCCCGAAGTCACGTTCCAATCCGTCATATTCCGCTTCGCAATGATCGTTTCCGTCCTCCTCCTCGTCTCCATCGCTTCCACATCGTGGTACCCCCGCGTGCGTAACCTCTTCGTCAACGGCCTTTCCATGGCCTACTTTTCCTTTTGGGTGCCGCAGATCCACCGTAATATCATCCGCAACTGCCGTCGGGCTCTGACATGGCGCTTCGTGATCGGCCAGTCGGTGCTGCGGCTGCTCCCGTTTGCGTACTTTTATGTCTACGAGGACAACTTCCTGTTCGCAGAGACGGACCCGCGCGCGTTTCTTATCTTCTGCGCATGGCTGTGGATTCAGCTCTGGGTTTTGGCCTTCCAGTTCGTCCTCGGTCCGCGATTCGGCATCCCAAAGAGCTGGACGCCCGATGCGTGGGATTACCACCCGGTGCTTCGCGAGGATGGCGTAGAGGCCGGCGGGCTGCCGATCGGTTTGCTCTCGGAGCCGGGCTCGCCTTCTCTAGACCGCGTGAGGACGGGCGAGGACAAGAAAACGGCCAGCAACCTCCGAGCCATCGATTGCGCCATCTGTCGAGAGGTGCTCGAGGTTCCGGTTATGAGGGCTGGCGAAGAAGATCCAACCGCCGGCGGCGTCGTCGGTGTCTTCACGAGGAGGAACTACATGGTGACGCCGTGCCGGCACATATTCCACAGCGCGTGTCTTGAGGGCTGGATGCGGTTCAGGTTGCAGTGCCCCATTTGCCGTGAGGAGCTGCCGCCGTTGTAAACTATTGTACGACGTCCCACCTAGACATTTATTTCATGTAACGAATGGTATTTATTATTGAACATGAGCATAGGCCACTGCTGTGGTTATGACTGTTACCCCGACACGCCATTGACGACGTTGTCATGAGTAACAGAGCTTCTCTGCCGTAGTCTATGCAGTGCTGAGCAACACATTTGCAACCTTCTATATCTGCGGCTTGAATCACACAATTGGTATATCTCGTGAACCATCATGCCGTGTGTAAGCCAAGCATTGGCGACGGATGTTCGCCGGAGAAAGATTTGTCAACGAGACAATGACCGCCGTCACCGACTGACTATCAAACTCAGCCGAAAGACCCCTCCTCCACAACGTGATTTGTTGTCTAGATCAGAAGGAGACCATGCCTCGAACACACGCCACCATATACCCGCTCAACCCACCATGTGGCGCCTCGCACCCTCGGTTCATGCCGCATCAAGACGTATCACACGAAGGCCCACATCCCCTGCATTCCGCACTCATCTCGAGGGCGGGAGTACCCGAAGAGGCGCCAGAAACCCGGAAGAGGGGGGGAGGGGGCGGCATGTTCAACCCATCCCCGGCCGACTTCGTCTACTTCAAGCTAGGTGTTGGATTCGTCGGCAAAGGTTCTGCGTCATGAAGTGTTCATGGTAGGCCCCGGCACTTTTTGGACGTCTTTTGCAGCATGTATGCAGGGTACTTTGAATGATTGGTCGTTTTTCGTCTCCTCAACTAAATCCACGTGTTGTTGTTGGTCTTTTTCTTTTTCTTTTTTTTTTTTCTTTTTCGTGCTCTGAAGAAGCTCGTTGTTAATGTCGATATAAACATTGACTTAACGACAGATTAATGTTGGTAGCTATGATAAAGATTATGGGGAGTCACGAGTCTCCAAGGAGCTGGACATGGATATGGATGATTTGCCATGTTCTCGTGAGTTGGCTTTACAGATCTGAGGTTTACGGCTAAACGAGAACCACATTTGACTTTTCTCAGAGCACACATATCGAAATTATTCCGTAGGTATTAGCCTTGTAAAGTAGTCTACGATAAGACTAGATATCGTTGACAAGACCCTGGTTTCACGGCTTGGTCATCACACGCAAGGTGTTAGGCTGATTATCACTGACATAGCTGTGCCTTTACCAATCCTAAAGTCGCGATTATCGTTCCTTCCGCCTTGTCATACGCAACTCCATACTTCTATACTTCGTCCATCTCAACTTCAAGGCTACAAACCTTCACCAAGAGGGGTCCAGTGTCCATCGACACACGAGGTAAACTTTTACAAAATTCACGTCCGGGGCTTCTTACAACGCCAGGATGTTTTGTCGTTCTGGTCTCAACTGTCTCGCTTTACTCTTCAACATCTCTTTAAATGGCAACCCGGAAGATCAGCATCCCAACGAAGCCTCTTAACTTGCCCTCTCGCGGATCCCATAAGCTACACAAAGTCCCCTTCAACGCCACAAACGCAGCACAGTGCTTACTTAGCCTTCCTTCTTGCTGCAAGTGTCGACCGTAAGGCTGCGACCGGGCCCCAGGCTCGGTTCTGCACCCACGCGGCACAGTAGAATTCAACCTTCCCATCACGTCGCCTCCACTGATGGCACCCGCCCAATAACATCAAGATAACGATACGTACATGTCGATCCTGCTTCGACGCCGTTCCTGGTCGTCGGTTCCTCCAGACGAATCAGGAACTGAATGCCAACATCGCCCTGTGACGGCGAATCTCGTTTAACGATCAATGGGGCTCAAATAGCCTAATGGAAGAAAAATAAAGAACCGTCACCCATGTCGTGGCTGGGGGCCATGCCGTGAAAGCACACCGCTGGTCTGTTACTACGATCTCCGGCGAGACGCTGGGATTTGCGGTCCCAGGACGGGGTGTTCCCCTGTGGAGTGGCAAGGACCTTGTCCTCGTTCCGAGATCCTGGGACTCACTTAACTTGAAAGGGGGGCCAAACAGAGTTTAAGTGTGGTGAGAAAGGAAATGGCCGACGCGCCGGCGTGGCACATTGCATCGTAACATCAGCAACGATGGGGCCTGGGCCTAAGCATGGGATTGAAATCGGATGATTAGTTTCTGGGCTTTCCAAAAATCTCCATGATTCTGCAATAAGCAATTCGTAAGGCGGTTCAAGGAGATGTCGGGGAATGCTGCTGTCCTCAAAACCAGCGACCGTAGAGGCGTGTTGTACGTACAGGTGATCCGCACGATCGTCCGCGTGGAGACCTCCACGCTGTATCCTATAAGCCCTAGGTTTCGGCGCATCCAGAGGCTCGGTCGCCATGTCATTGCATGAAGTCATCACTAGCGCATCAGACCTTATGGCGGGAGGCGTTCGACAAGGGAAATGGAAGGGTGGCCGTTCAGTGGAACCACCGCCAACGTGGGGTCAATCACTCTGTGACCCGTCAGCACAGCCTACCATCCAGTGGAACTTTTGGGCCGTGACGATGCCAGCGCTTCCTCGCTTCTTTTCTGACATGCAGCAGTGGTGCATTTGGACCGTCTTACAGGATTGGTCCGCTGTTTCTCCCTAATCTCACAGAGGAAAGGAAGTGGAACAAGGCATTTCGCAAGGCAGGGTGTGCAACTGCTAGATTCCACAGACCTGATTGTGATGTGTACGAGATATTGATTTGCCCTCTCAACCCCTCAGCTAATACGAACGGACATGCCCGATGTGAGTCCAATAGAAGGAATGATGTTGGTGACATCGAGACATTTGAGAACTTCGTCATAACACTCTCACGTGCCTGACTGAGATATTGTACCGAGGAGATTCCAAATCGACTCCCTGTTGACCTTGGGGATCCTAATTCGCCAGACATTTTCGAACTCTGTTGGCTGAATTTCCAAGCTTCTGGCCCTGGCGCTGGGTCATCTCATCAGTCGGGGAATGGCAGGAACAATGGGTATCAGACAACTGCCGAGAGTTGTTCTTTTTGGAGACTGGGCCGAGGACTGATCAAAGTTTCTTTTCCGAAAAGCACCGGTCTGTAAAAGTGCTAGTATCGCACCACGTAACCGGAACCGGCAGGGTCTTACACACTCCGGCCCCGTAGCTGGAATCGATATGCGTGGCCGGTTTATCCCTCGCATGCCACAGAAGCGGCCACATGGCCCGAGTCGGATGAAAGTCCGACAATCAGGGTAACCTGAGACCAACCGGCGCTTGTTCTAACTAGAAGGAAGAGCGAGGCGAAACTCCACGTCTCGGACCCTGAGGTCCCCTCGAGCTCAAGGAATTGGGGGTTTTCAGGGTCCTTTACTGGTGTGGAGGCAAGGCGCAGCCCGAGAACGTGTCTACAATAGCATGACCATCGAGCAGGCCGAGTCCAATTGGGGGTGCAGTGACATCAAGATAGGGCTGAGGAAGTCGCATACAAGATGTGTGTGCGTGGGGTAGCGTGAGTAGTCACAACCACAAGTAGTCAGCACAGTCAATCATGGTAACTTTGTGGCTGGCATCAGTGCACAGGGGTGGATGGAAGAACGTAACTTACGGCTGATGGCTGAGCAATGGCGCTAAAGCAGGCCCAAGGTAGAGACACCAAAAAGGTCACCCAAGTTTGTTTCAATTGGATGCTTGAAAAGAGGCCGCCCTAGTCAGAAGCCCTGGGGAAACATCACTGGGCTCTCTCTCCCTTGCGACAGGCAAAAAAAGTTTACCTCTAATGTTCTTTGCGCATCGTAGGGCTGAAATGGGGGGGAGAGGTGGAAGGTTGTCTTGAATGGTTTGCCCGAAGGACGAATGCATACAGACCCCAGCGGAAGCGGGCCGGTGGATGTATCGCATGTGGCGCAGCAGATATGACTGACAGAAGCGGTGAGCAAGACACTGCAAGCCCTAGCATGATAGGAAGTAAAATTTCGAGCGATTAACAGACTTATGTGCCGAGACAGGTGAGGGACAGGTTGATGAGTGTCGATAAACTTCGTGGTACTTGGCCTGGCCTCCCGTTGTTGCATGGTTGAGACGGCCAAGGGCATGGGCAAGAAAGAAAGAAAAAATCAAAACATCAGAAGAGGCTTACTGCAAAAAGCAGGGGAGATCTCCATTGGCACTCGTGTTAAGGTTGTGCAAGGATCTCGCATTTGAGACCACAGGCTTCCTGATGCGTGTTTCTGTTGATGATATTGTGTGTGGCCGGGATGCGATGCTGTGCACCTGACGCACCCAAGAACAGTGTCGTCGAATGGCAACGTAGAGGTGACGAACTGGTATAGACGGCTATTGAAGGAGATCCGCATCGGAGGGCTTGGGTTTCCGTCTCCGGAGTTTTCTTCAAGCTTTGCAGTTGGGGAGAGTCTCTTGTGAATTCTGACAGAGGTTATTCTGATGTAAGGTCTCATGTAACTGACAAACACTGGATGGAGTAGGAGTCAATGGTGGTAGGCTGCCACCTGCCAAGGCACTGACGAGGGAAGTACGCTAAACCTTGACAACAATGGCAGGGCCAGCGAGAGCCTTGGTCTAGACCTCTCTCCCTTTATCGTAGCCAAACAGGAACAAGTCGCCTAGCATAAGTTTGTACGCACAAAAACGGGCCGCTCGCGTCCATCTGCCAATGGCTTGTGTTACCTTACTAGTAACCCAAATCTTAGGGCGAAGAAAGAAAAGAGGGCCCGGGCTCTGTTATTGGCGATACGAGGGGAAGCAACGGATTGGTGCTACCATATCATCCGAGGTACTCCATGCCTGGGGCCACGCATGCCAAGAATGACCTATTTTCTGCAACTGTCTGCCATTGAAACTGACTCAAGCAGCTACATACAGAGTGGTCGCCGAACCGACCCTGCCGTCAGTTAGGTTATTCATTCCCTGCTGGACCCCGTTGCCAGACACTCGAATTATCCGGGGACTTGGTGACTCAAAAATAAAATAAAATAAAACCCAGAATAAATACGATAAAGAATCATTTGCGCGTGACGCGTTGTTGAGGGGGTGTGATGTTTCCCAAATCGTAATGAAGAGAAAACAAACCATGTCATTATGGGGCATCTGTAGCGACCTAGCCCGGTGGGGTTGCCTGAAGCGGTCACCGTGGTTGGGACTAACATGCTCAGTCGTCCGGTGACGGGACGGCCCTTAGTACACTGCCAATGAATGTTCTGGGCCCCCACGAAGAGACAAGACAAAATTGCATCAACATCGAACGTTTGATAGACGCGCCCGTTTGCATCGTGCCTCCTCAGGGGACTTTTCTCGGCTCCCATGCCCTGCTTGGGCACATCTAACAATGTCGCGTCGTGGTCTTGAACGTTCGCTTTCAGAAGCTCGAGGCCTCAGTGACCCACAAACGTCATCTTGGCCTTCACCATTGCGAAGGGGGGAAATTACCCATAGGGAGGATCAAGAGAATTGGCACGATTCGAAGCATGTATATAAAGAATAAGGCCAATGTGAACATCGCCGAGTGAGCTTGCTGAATTCTCCAGAGTCGATTTGGGCCTTCTGCGAAGATGTCGCACTTCAGCGCAGCCGCAGTCCTTTTGGCGTTCAGCCTCCAGGCCATCGCCGCCGCCGTGCCGAATGCGGCCCCCGACGGCGTCATCCCCGGCCAGTACATCGTCCGCCTGAAACCCGGCCTTCAGCCCGCCGAGGTTCAAGAACATCTGAGCTGGGCCGCTGCCGTGCACGAACGCAGCCCTCGTCGGCGGGACACCACGGGCGTCGGCAAATCATTTACTATTGGCGAGTTCAATGCCTACGCCGGTCACTTCGACGAGGACAGCATCGCCGAGATAGGTGCCGGCGCCGGCGTCATCTCCGTCGAGCCCAACCGTGTTGTTGAGCTTGACTCACTCGCCACCCAGAAGGCTGCGCCTTGGGGTCTTGCGAGCCTATCCACGCCGTCTCGTCCGCCAGACTCGAGTGACAGTCGTCCGTACAAATTCGACGACTCTTCTGGCGAGGGCACCTTTGCCTACGTCGTTGACACGGGTATACATATCTCGCACCCCGACTTTGCTGGCCGCGCCATCCGTGGATATAACGCACAGCCCGACGAGGAATTTGACGACTTTGGCGGGCACGGCACGCACGTCGCTGGCATCGTTGGGTCTCAGACTTATGGCGTTGTCAAGAATGCGACGATCGTGGATGTTAAAGTCCTTGTAGGCGGTGTAAGTGGGCATCCCTGGCGTGAGTGACAACTTAGAGTCGTGATCGGCACTGACACGCCGCCACCACTAACAGGGCTCTGGCACTGTCCAGACGGTCCTTGACGGGTATAACTGGGCCGTCAGCAACATCACACAGACGCCAGGCCGTCTGACCAAGTCCGTCATCAACCTCAGCCTCGGTACTTGAGCAGATCCGCCCACTCGATCCTTGAGGGTTTTGTAATTGACGTGTATGCTTTAGGTTTCACCGTCAGCTCACAATCATCGGCGCTTGATGATGCAGTCCAAGCGGCGTATGGCTTGGGTATAGTTACTGTGGTGTCTGCCGGCAACGGAAACCAGGATGCGGTGCAACGGTCGCCAGCAAGGGCGAAGCATGCCATCACGGTCGCCGCATCGGACTGGAAGCGGGCGCGGGCGGGCTTCAGTAATTACGGACCGTCTGTCGATATCTTTGCGCCTGGGGTTGGTATCAGGTCTCTCACCATTGATGACGGATATGCTTCGAGAGACGGTACATCGCAAGCTACGCCGCATATTACGGGTCTCATCGCGTATCTGAGATCACAGGAGGAGCTCGCCACCCCCAAGGCAGTTTTAGAAAAACTGAAGGCGCTGGCGATCAGCAACGTGGTGCAGGACGCCAAAGGCGCTGCTAATTTGTTTGCGTACAACGGTGTAAGGGGTTTCATCAAGGGCGTTACCCGCTGATCCAAGGAAATACCGTTGAGCGCGTAAGCCTGCGGCAGCATTCGGTGCTGTCAAGATTTGCTGGATGACGGAACAGTGCAATTGCAGTATGGTCCTAGGATCGGCCGCCTTTGAAGAAAACTTGGCTGGCTATCCTCTTGAAGCTTCTCTCGGGTAGTACAACAGCATGTCCGTGGTAGCTCCTTTTTTTTTTTTTTTCTTTCTTTTCTTCTACATAATCAAGAGGTGCATTGAGAGTCTGACACCGAGACAGTTGACCTTATCCGAATTCCCTAAACGGGGCATAAAAGATTGAACTGTGCAGACGCTCCTCTTCACCTATACCGTGGAATGTCGATTCCGTAAGAAGGTTTATTTAAAGCACCCGCTTGGTAAGCTGCCACCAGATGGGCACTGATAGCGAAGCAGCATCGTCTAGAGCATAATACCCACTGAAGCTGGAGGGAGGCGAAATGCCATCGGCCACTGGCCATTGGCTATTGGCGGCGGCACCCGCCATTGTCTCCAACGACGGATGTGGGATGGAGATGGAGTCTTTCAATCATGAGATGTGCACGTGTGTACATGGGGGAAAGCCCACCAAGTCCATCGCTGCTTGGGCCTCCCATGTCACCTTCTCCACTTGCCGTTGTCTTCCCCCCCTGGTCCAAATGTGGTCATTTTTTGATCAGTGCTTCCTTCCCATTTGATCTGGCGACAGGAAGACATGTGCTGCAGGGCTTGGCCACCCACCCGCACAGGAAACAAACGAGACACACAGCCACGAAACCTAAGTTGTGCATCGTACAGAATTACGAGTAGTGTCGTTGCGGGAGAAGAGAAGAATATAGACTTGGGAGGCCTGTCCGACGCCATGCAGCAGGCTGAGAGGCATGGGGGAGGAGGAAAAGGAAGGCAAATGAGCGGGTGAATGAGTAGAGGAGTGGTTGAACGGTTAGATGGTTGGATGGGCGGATGTGTTAATGTGCGTACCTATGTACCGGGAGAGAAGAAGGAGAAAGAGAGGTGTGAAAGACTCAACAAGCATGTCGGCGAAAGAGAAAGTGCGATCACAGCGACATGGAGGAAAGGTGTGGGGTCGTCAAGCTGGAGAGGAAGAGAGATCTGGGGACGAAAAGGGCAAGAACGTCCAAACCTGGGTAGCTCTGGACTTGGACCTGCTGCTCCAGCTCCAGCTCCAGCTCCAGCTCCAGCTTTTGCTTCTGTTCCTCCCTCCTCCCTTGCTGCTGGCAGTTGGCAGGTGCAAAGGTAGGTAGGTACTCGTCCTGGTTCTTATCCGTGCTTTCATCCGTACCACCTGTAGGTAAGGGTGGTCGAGGCAAATCAGGTGGCATATTAACTGTCCTGTCTTCTGTCTATCCTTGTTTCTTTTTCTTCTTGCCCCTTCATGTTGGCTGGCCCCTCTTCCTCCAGTACGTGCCTTTTGACCCGTGCCCCGGCTTCGCAGTGCCTCCCTCACCCGTTGGACGAAAGGTACAAGGACGAGAGCGGAAAACGTCAGGTAATTACAGGAGCACCAATTGGGAAAGGCTCCCAGCCAAAATTCAATAACCCGCCGAGGTATCCTCTCTTCACCCTGGTTTCTCTCTACGTACTTGGATCAACAATACTTACTGCACAACGTATTGCCGTACCTGCTGAGGCAAGTTGCAGACATGACAAGGTACCGTGGTACCCGGACGGGTCAGATAGACAGCTAGTGTCGCATTGCACTGGAGGCGTACGACTGACAAAACTTTTTGTGAGACGTCGAGATTCCCCTCAGTGCTTCGTTGCTCGTTCCGCACCCTCGTGTGCTTCTTCCACTGAGTGTCCAAACCAGGCTTGGCCAAGGTCGCTTGGTGTGTATTTTCCGTCATTTCATTCTCTGTCTGACGGGTTGTCGGATTGACAATACCTAGAAATGCCTTGTCTAATTTTGGTCTAAGTACTGGATAGTGCACAGCACGGCGGTCAAACGCATTGTCTTGCTTGCTACCCTGGAGGTTTTCCTCCACAAGACAATTGTTTCCTTGGCCCACGTCTCTCTCTCCTCTGTTAGCCTAAGGTAGGCAGACCAAACCGACGTGTTTCCCCCTTCCTCTTCTTCTTCTTCTTCTCGTTTCATTTTCTCCCACAGCTTCGTTACTTATGGTCTAAGCACACTAGGCGGATCCGTGGGAGACTGTTTAACTTATCCAGACGAATAGTAATAAAACAATGAACCTCGTTCCTGTCTCAATCCCGGTTCCGTTCCCCGGTCCCGTCTCATTTTCATGCTCACTCTGGTCTTCTCACCCCTTCCGTCCTGCTACCTTTTGCCAACTTCGGGCCTAATAGCGTTTTCTCATTGGCTCGTCCTGCTCTAGGCGGGATTCGTACCGGCTTCTGCTCTACCCATATGGAGTAAACGGGGTTTTTTTTTTCTTCATCCTGGCAACTCCCTCAACACCGGTAGTGCACTTTCTGCTGTTAAAAACCTAGGCATAATAACACACCAAACTCATGCTTCTCCTGGATTACACACAAAGACCCCCCTTATCTTACCTATCTTACCTCGCAGATTCTTTGTCCTCGTCTTCATCGGTCTGATGCTACCTCACCCTCGTCAGCCCTCACTCTCCGGTACATGCTCCAACGACGTTGGAGCTTCTGCATGCAGTGCAGCGCAGCGCAGTAACGTCTCCCTCACATCCACCTCACGAGCACAGATCTGCCTATAACCTGGCTGCCTTTCTCCCTCCACCATCAACACTGCACCACACCACAATCGAGGAACATCCCAGTCCTCGTCTGCGTCTCCTGCTTAATACCAAGCCTCCTCATCCTCCTGGCTACGAAGGGGGGGCCTCCACATCGCGACGTATTCCCCATCACTTGGCTCCCCTCGTGGATCTCGGCCTTCCCTACCGTACGGAGACAGTACCACTGTACCTTCGGCTCCCCCTCACCCCTGGTCCCTGTGGACCCAAGCTACTGCTTGCTACTTCATCCACGGCCAGTGGCTTTGTGTTACACTGTCGCGACTCCATTCGCGGATGCCCAGGTCCGCGCCATCTGCCAGCCCTATATTACTCTATGATCCGTCGCACCCGGCCCCCAATTCCTTCCCGCCGCGAATCTCTTCCCTGCCCAGTCGTCGCGCATAAATCCAGCAGCCATTGGAATACAAGCATACGCATACGCATACAAATTATACACACTCCCACTGGGCTCAATTGTTGGGTGTTTTATTTCGACATCAGAACTGGCACTGTTTGAAACTTCTCTCCAACCTCTTTTCGGGCTCGGTCCACGTTGCCATCTTCGCTTCCTTTTTTTCAACCTTGCTATTACCTTAGTCACGTAAGTGTCCAACAAAACAACCGAGGGATATCCCCGTCTCCCAGTAGATCCTTCCCCGCCGGACCTGTTCTCCGTTCTCGCCGAATTTGCGCTAGGCCTGAGTGCCCTGTCTAACCGCCGAGTTCACAGACCACCCGCCATCGGGCCAACCCTTAGGTACCCTCGTCGCCCTACCTCACCCTAAGAGCTCCCGCGCGTCCCCTGCTTTTCGTCCAAACTTCTTCACCTCGCTTCACAAGTCTGCTCTCCGCCAGCTGCATCTTGCTGCCGTCGAACGAGAGGAAGAAGATCGTATAATCGAGGGCCAACAGGCGATGCATGCGCCCGCATGATTGCTTTGGCTATAAACAGCGTTCCCCTGAGCCTCACGACAATGTCCTCCCCTAACCATGCCGATTCCAACTCGGCCGCTTCAGTGACCTCTTCCAGTCCCCCCTCCGACTCACAGCAGAAACCCAAGAGGGCGAGAACTAGCAAACCCAAAGTCAAGACAGGATGCAATAACTGCAAGTATGTTGTGAACCTCTGTCGTTATTTCTTCATGAGGAGACCCGTGTCTGATCTCTCTTCGTAGACAACGGCGCATTAAATGCGACGAAAAGCGACCTTCCTGCTCTCAATGTGTTCGCTCCAAGAAGATTTGCACCGGCTACCCACCTCCCAGTCGGAGCGCAAGACCTCACGAGGTTCTCGCCATTGCGCCAAAGCCTCTTGCCGCACAAAATGGCGCTGCTCCCGTGCGGGCTTCGATCGACTTGCCGCCCCGGAGAGCCCAGAAGGTGCAGGCTCGTCGAATGACGCCCCCTCAGACTCCTGACTCCAACATCTCGGTCACACTGTACCGCCCCGCGGGCAACCTCCAACTCACCCCGCAGGAGGGGCTGTATTTTCAACTCTTCCGCTCTCACACAGCCAACGAGTTATCTGGATATTTTGATTCGGTGTTCTGGACCCGAACCGTTTTGCAGGAGTGCCATTCAGAGAACGCCATCCGTCATGCTGTGGTTGCGTTGGGTGCCCTCTACAAGACCCTTGAGCAATCGTGTGAGTCTCCTCCAGGATCGCCATCCGATTCGCTGAACCCTGCAGACGGAGCATACCGCCACTGGGAGGTGGCTGTCAAGCAGTACTCGGAGGCCATCAATGCTCTTGTTCATCTGAACCGTGACCAGAAGTCTCACCGCACTCTACTCATGGCCAGCGTGCTCCTGGCCTGTTTCGATTCCTTCATCGGCGATCATAGGCAGGCAATCAGACAGATTCAGACTGGCCTCGGCCTGCTGGAAAAGCTCCGAGCCGAGCGGAGAAGATCCTTTCTGCCCATTTCTGAGGAACCGGTCGAGGAGGAGCTCATTACTATGTTCACCAGGCTTGCAATTCAAGCAAAATCATACGACATGGCTTTCCACTTTCCTCACCCTTATGTGATTCGACTTACTCCGCAAAATCCCGAGTTCCCTCAGTCGCCTCCCTCAGATGCCGGTAGCTCACCTTCGTCCATCATTTCGAGTTCTTCGGTGCCAGAGCAATTTTTTACTCTGATGGAGGCACGAAACGCCTGGGACAAACTTCTCGAGAAAATGCTCCGCTTCACCGAAAGCCTGTTCATCTACCAGAAGTCAACTGGTGCGAACGGGCCCATGGGAATCCTACCCAAATCGTTGAAGCAGTACGGAATGAGCTTCAAGGGCCAGCTGGACGGTTGGTCTGAGGCTTTTGAGTACCTCCTCGAGTCTCGCACAGCCCCTGGTGTGAGCCATCAGGAAAAGGCTGGTATCGCTGTTTTGAAGATGTTCCAGATCATGAGCCAGATTCTTTTTCTTATGACATACAGCGACAACGAATCACAGTTCGACCTGTTTCAGCCGCAATTTAAAGCCATTGTCGACCTTGCTTCGGAGGTGGTGGGTGACGAAGAGAGACGAGCGGCAGCCAAAAGATGTCCCGATCCAGCTCTCTGCCCTCATCGCCACAACCACTCGCCAGATATCTTTGGCGGCAACGCATACAACACGTATCACATTAAGCCTAGCTTCAGTGCTGATTTGGGCATTGTGCCTCCTTTGTTTGTAGTCGCCACCAAATGCCGTCATCCGATCATCCGACGACAGGCCATTCAGCTGTTGAGTAGCAGCGCCCGACGAGAGGGCATGTGGGATAGCGAGCTGACAGCGCGCATCGGACAATGGGTTGTGAATATTGAGGAAGAGGAGGATAAGGCGTCGTCACCAAAGCCGAGTCAAACGAACGGCGGCGCACGACAAGGTTCAGTCGATTTTGGAGAGGATGTTCCTCTTGGGCCCGGCGGCAATGCTCGCTGGGACGCCCGGAGGGGCAGCACTATCCCCGGTCTCATCACGTCAAAACGGACCGTCCCCGAGGAAAAGCGCGTCATGGTTCGCGCCGTCGACTTTGATCTCCGAACAAGGTTCGCCAACTTGCAAGTCGGCACACGAGGTATCATTCCCGGGTCACCGGACCTACGATCTCGCGTTACCCAATTAACGTGGTGATGGATGCGTCAGAAAGAGATTTCATATCAACTGTCTGGGAGCGGAGTTGTTGTTTTCTGCTTTCTGTACTCGATATACCCCCGGCGATTTGTAAAGCACAGAGGCCTATGGCCTTTTTGGAATTTTCCCCTTCCCCATTTCCCTCCATCTACCATCTGCTATGATCTATATCTAGAAGCCATGACTTACGATTGGGAACTACTGCGCTGCATTGTTGGCAGAGAGAAAGTGGATGGGCGAAAAGGGGTATGATGGCTAGCTGGCCGGTCTAGCTCCGAGGTAGCGCTACCATCGTTACTGCCGGTTTGGAATGCTGCATTTGATGGGAGTTTTTGACAGGCATGGAAACAGGAGGATTCAAAATTTGGACTGCGCAAGCAATAATAGTCCCGAAAGTCAGTGTCGACTAATTGTTGACAATGACAGTGGTAGTATGTATGACAGCCATGAGACGATAACAATTCAATACTTTTCAACGCACATGCACATCAGCCTTTGATACAGCAGATGGCTTGTTCATGCCGCAATTTTATAGCATTAGCTTACACGGCTTGACTCTTGAGGTTTCTGGGTTATACAACACGACGACAAGCTCATCTGGCAAGTAGCCTTGACCCAACGCCTTCGTGGACGTTCGGCGGGTCACGAATACCAAGTTCATCATCTCGGCCATCGGACAAAATACGCAAGCGACACCCACTTGACCAAAACCCCGACCGTTCAGGTAGCTGTTACCCATTGACAGATGGCACATTTGATCCCGTCCTTGGCAACGCCAGTCAAAGCGTTGGCGCCCTTTTTTCTTCTCTTTTTTCTCATCGGTGGCCAGGAACCCAGCTTGGCCACGCGCCATTGGGCAAGCCAAGCGTACTAGAGGCGCCGGGCCGGCCCCAGTTAGCCGCTGTCATTACGCGCCCGTGCCATGTAAATTTCTTTTACTGTGACGGCGTCTAATAGAGGAAGGGGACTAGGCCGTGACTTTGTCGAGCGTCGCGTATTTTGCTCGTTTACGCAAACCCGTTGTTTAGGGGGAGGGGGGTTAGCGGTTGTGTTGCGGCTGGAAAATTTTGAGTGTTGAATACTCGTATAACAATGATTTTACCTAGTTACGAAGATGGAGATGTCTAGGTGTATCCGTTGATGGCATATGAGGGCGGTAAAGTGATGGAGCAGTAGATTTGCTTCGTAACGTGAGCGGTGATAAATGGAATCTCGTGAGTAATAGAGATTCGTATTTATATTCAATTCAAGCCAGAGGCTATCATAGGATTTCTCACATCAGTAATGCTATGTCCTGCGTCTGTTAGGCCATAACGATCACGGTGGGAACGAGACCCCGCCCCGGGTCCGAAGCGGACCCACTCCGTACGGAGCCGGGGCGTCACAAGTCCCGTGTCCCGGCATCACAAGCCGGACTCATCAGTTGCCCTTTCAAAGAGGTGCAGATCTCCAATGCGAACACGACCCCTGTACATCGGGACATTCCGTTCCGCCTGATTGCTATGTTTATAGATTGGACAAGATAATAGGGCTTTGACCTATAGAGAAAGCTACGTAGAGCGCGAGGGCGCGTCTTCATGTTTGTTTTTGCTTCTTACCGCGTTATAGATGGTATATGCGGGAACCCGACAGGGAAATGACTTCCGAACGGAAGGAGAAGGCCCGTCTGGGGACGCCCCCCGAGAACAAGAAAAACTCTGACCGATGGAGAACCGAAGAGCCGCTTCGGAGACCCTCGATCAAAACAAAGAAGCCCGTGTTTTCACGAGCAAAAACGCAGCTATCGCACTTTGCTGTCACCCCCCTGAGAAGTCGCAGGCGTTTCCCAGCAACGGCACCCAAGGATGTTGCTGGGAGCGCTGAAGACACAGCGCAGACCGCTTCGACGCCCGCGGTGCCAAACTCAGCTTGCCGCAGCGGAAAAGAGACGCAAATCAAAGGCGAGAAGCCGATACGGTCCGTACAACTCAATGCGCGACTCTGTCAAGCCATTGAATGATGATTGAGGCCAGTCAAATGTCTTTTCACACCTGGGGTGATTCTTGGGAGCGACTGAAGTGACAATTAACACATGAAAAGTTCTGCCACGGTGACATCCCGCAGGCTCAACGGACGGTGGCGCCCCTCCCCTTTCCATCCACAGACTAAAGTCGGGATTCGTCCGCGCGGCTAGTGTTAGTGTCGTGGGCGAAGATCAATAGCTGCCATCATCCCAGGACCTGAAATTGGCAATTTTGACGGAGACTGTCATCCTGCTCAGGCAGAGGAGGGCCACCTCAAAGTTTGTTTACATTTGCAAGATTGTGACGCGGCGTGCACAGATAGCTGGCAATGCCTCCTGGTATAAGCATCTTAGGCTCTCACATGCCTTTTTTCATATCTCTGCCCGTAGATGAGATAAATACTTTAGAACAATCAGTGATATCAACAGACAACCCGCAAGAACCGCCGTCTAAAACGTCACCAGAAAGCTAAGGAAGTCTCGAGAAAGAACGACGCATCTCCATTGAATGTGATGAGGGGAAACTGAGGAGCAGCAACAACAATAACAATAACAACCCCTCAGTGGATCTCGAGTTGGTCATGGAAAAACAACAAGCTGCCAGTGGCGGTTGGACAACAATGTGCATGACAAAAGTTGGCAGCGGTTTCCTAGCTAGACGTAGCGGATACCGAGCAATTGCCGCTTAGCTTTAGAGGCAAAGAGAAAATCTTCTCTGGGCTCCATTCGATTTTATCCACAGGATTGGGTGTGGCCGTGTGGTTGACGATCTAGAAGCCACTGATTGGGAAATTGATGTGGGGGATTTCAGAGTCGGGCTTGGAAGTTGGTGGTAGCACAGTGGGTTTGCGAAAAAAAAGTGAACGATGGGTTCCACCGTAGGGTGCCCCTCCCTCCTCTACAGGGGTCTTAAGAGGACCCCTGATTTTCCACAGCACCTTTTTTTCACGGGAGCTTAACAGAGCGCGGGCCAGGTATCACCCACTGAAAGCAGTAAAAGGCGAGCAGGCGGGGTCCTTAATTGTTAGTGAATGGTTGCGGTCGAAAGTGGCTGCTGCGCCAAGGTACATTCCTGATTGGGCACGCTCTCGCGCCACAGAAAAGGCACACAACACCCGCATCCATGTCACTGCCAACCAGCTTTGGGGTGCCCCGCCATAATTCTCCGTCGCTGTGCTCCAATGCGCTCCAACGCTTCTGGCGCTCTGCAGTCTTGTGCAACCACGACTTGCACCGGGCCTCTTATTGACGGAACTGATGGGCTATCTGGGGCCTCTGAAAACTTCGAGATCAACAGGGACCGTGAGACGACCCAATGACATCAGTCACCGCTAGTCACTAAACAGGAATCCCAAGGCAAGCTTGGAGCTGGGTGGGAAATTTTTTTCTCTCGTGCCAAAATTCTGTGCTGCATATTGCCTGTGGCTCACCGATCCCCCTCCCCCACGTCAGTAGTCAGTTGGGCCCCTCGTCCCTCCTTCCCTACGCAGACAATTTTTTTTCACGGGCATCCATATTAATAAAAATTCAGAAAACGTTGTAAGGATTTGCTAAGCATACGCATTCGCGATTCATATTTAAACAGCTTCCCCCTGGTGAGGCAGCCCCCCCCCTCTAGCTGTGTTCTTTCATCTTGCGCTCTCTCATCCTAATTTTACCCCTCCAGAATCAGTACCCCGCCTCGGTGAAATCTCTATATTAAAGAGCTTCACCAGCCTTTCAGGACTCATTTTAATCTTCATTGAATTGGTCATTTGTTTATCAAACAACCGTCAAAATGGTCGAATTGGTTGAGACTGGCGTCACCTACGAGGAGCTCGCCGACATCGAGCGCGAGTTCGAGCAGGTCGAGACTGAGATGCGTGAGTTCCTTCCCTCCCTACCCCTCCTGTTCTTCTCATCACCCTTGCGGTGTGAACCTACTTCTGCGCCAAGAAAGACTTGAGACGGGCAAAAATCATGACCAGAGACTAACCACCCCCGTACAGTCCGTAAGCAGTACGAGCTCTCTCGTCCTCTGTACCAGAAGCGTGCTGCCCTCGTTGCCAAGATCCCCAACTTCTGGGCCCTTGTCTTCGAGCAGTCCCCTCCCGAGATTGACGAGTACATCCAGCCCCAGGACGCCGCCCTTCTGCTCTCTTCTCTGAAGAACATCTCCGTCTCTCGCTTCGAGCTGGAGAACGGCCAGAACGGCGACCCCCGCTCCATCTCTATCCGCTTCGAGTTCAGCGAGAACGAGCACTTTGAGGACAGCGTCCTTGAGAAGAAGTTCTGGTGGCGCACCTCCGAGAACTACACCGGTCTCGTCTCCGAGCCTGTCAACATCAAGTGGAAGGACGGCAAGGACCTGACTGACGGCCTCCTCACCGCCGTCCAGAAGGTCTGGGACCAGGGTGGCCCCGTCCTCTCCGGCAAGGGCAAGCCCGCCCCCACCCCCGAGGCCGAGGCTCTCAAGAAGAAGATTGAGGAGACCGGCATGGGCGGTGTCTCCTTCTTCTGCTGGTTCGGCTACATCGGCAAGCGCATCTCCGCCGAGGAGAGCGCTGCCCACGCCGCCAAGGAGGCCGAGGAGTTCCGCCTTCGCAAGGAGGGCAAGAAGACCGAGGAGACCGAGGAGGAGGAGGATGACGACGAGGACGAGTTCGAGTACGAGATCTTCCCCGACGGTGACGACGTCGCCCAGGCCATTGCCCAGGACCTCTGGCCCGACGCCCTCTCCTACTTCAGTAAGTTCCTCCGTTCGCGGGCCGAAAACGCTGGAAACAGAGGCTTACAGTCCATGATAGCGCAAGCCCAGGAGGCCGGTGAGCTCAGCGACGCCGACTTCGAGACTGACGAGGAGGATGACGACGAGGAGATGGGTGACGCGTAAACACGCTATGATGTGATGACGTTAGGATTAAGCTGGTGATACCATAATCATCCCTTGATGGGGACAAAAATCAAAAGTCTTTATTTTCGTTTGTTCCAACTCATTGCTCCATTCATACGTGACGCTTCACTTCACTGCCTGCAATCTCTCTTTCACCTGACATCTATTAATACCTTTTGTCTACCAGGTAGACTCATCCAGTCAGCCTCCCACCAATTGGTGTCCTACCAGCTCACCGCGTTGCGTCGGTCACTCTGCACCTCGAGACGTTCAATCATATTCGACAACCTATACGTCCCCGACATCGAACCATGCTCCTTGTTCACCAACACGTTGTCTAGCCGGTCGATATGCTACGGCGTTGCTGCATATCACTTATTTCCATTTCAGGAAATAGACGATGAGGCCAAGGACGGGACCCAGGCCCGCCACACCCCTCCGGCCTACCCCCGCCCACAATCGCGCCAATCGTCGACTACGATGACTGAGCCTCCGGTGCGTCCCAAGGCCTGGCCATCCATCCCCCTGGCTACCCCGTAGCCGTTGTTTCAATGACGACTTCGGCCGAGGCTCGCTGTGAGGTACCGCGATGGTTCAATCTGCCCCCCTGGTTCGATAGACATCGACTTATACCGAACAGGGTAACCCCTCTCGCATCATCATTCGGCTAGGTGGCGGGATTTAGCATCTCCTGAGACGAATATCGCCGTCCTTCCTACCTCTGATGACTCGAATATTGCGTTTGTGCTACGGTCTTTTTGCCGAGAGCATGTGTCACGTCGAAGAAGCCGGGCGTCCAAGCATCCAGGGGGGAGAGAGAGTTCCGGATCGGTCCATGGGAAGGGTGAGAGCGGGGGCCGTAAGTCCCGCGGACGGAGGGAATCTGGCGTCTGCCGGCTACGACGCATGCATGGACCATCTTTCAAGCCGAGATGCAGCCGGTGGATTTCAAGAAGACAAGCCCGTTGAGGCTTGGTGACATTCAAAGATACCGGTTGTCCGGCTGTCGCAGCCGGCGTTGAGGGGGGGCCAGCCAGGGTGGCGATGTTGGGCTGGGCGAAGGGGGGGGTGGGGATGAGATATCGGGACATTACACTTGCATCTCGTACGATTGCTCGGGTTCCTGAAGGCCCGCAATGCAGAACTTCTACCGTCTCGGCCGGGACCCAGTCGCTTGTTAGGTACGCTGTGTGTTGGCTGAGTAAGTGTCAGTCCAGGGCCCCAAAGGGGCGTCACTCTTTGCTCTTATTTGCCAACGGTAATCGAAGTCTACCATACGCAGAGGGAGAAGCAAGCAGCTTTTCCATAGAATGTCTAAAAGGGGTATTATACCCCTGGATGACTTGCACATACCCTGCCTCCTTGAAGTGTTCCTCGTCTCATCGGAGGCCATATCCGATAGGGCCAGCTACTGAAGCACGTGGGTCGTGTTGCCTGATTGGGTCGTTCTTTTCGCACGTTTTCAGGTTCGAGAAAGCAAAATCTTTTGTTGATCTGGGCCAAGGAGGATATCACTGGCTTGAGTAGAAGTCCCGCTGACTTCGTTATCCATGCCTGCTCTATAATGGTGGCAAAATGATTGATCGTGTCATTAAGACGTACTCTCTCAGATGGCCCTCCTAATCGTTGTTAGGGAAAGGGCAGCAGGGCCATGTTATGGTTCTTGTGACACTCTCTTGCATGCAGTGAATTGTGATAAACCTGTCCCATATCTCAAGACGCTTCAGGCAATTAAGTAACTACGCGTTCTGAGTTTACAAGAACCTATCAGCATCTAGGTTATTTCATCATGCTACCTAAATTCAGTGACCAGCATAGCGCCTTTATCTAAAATGGCGGAATTAGACCTTTTGTTGGGCAAAAGGTTTGGCGATGGTGTTGATAACCCCACTATTTTGACGGTCACTATCATCCGTTAACATGGTAATTTAAGGTGACTAATTTGCACCGAACCTTTCTGTGAGCCTAGCTCAGGTGATTTGGAGAGCTGAGAGTATTAGATAGGCCTTTGCTGAACTACATACCTTGTAAGATCGTAGTTGGGGCCGGCACTGATCGGTAAGCTTAGATGCATGATTAATATGGATGACAACCAGATTGGCCGCAACTGATGATTTGAATGGGTATTCTGCTATTCTACAGACGGATAACTGAAGTTTATTCTGACTTGGGCGAGTGGTAATCACGCGGATGTAACTATCGGGGTACACTGTCTGGCCGTTGTCATCCCATGAGTGGATTTAAGCTTAACCTTAAACTTGGAACCCGACCTTCGCAACTACAGCAAGCACGTTCAATCGCTCGGTTGCTTTGCATCGGAATCTTCTATAGGCAACCGCGATGGGGTCTTGTTTATCTGTTACTTCAGTGATTGCTTGTCATATTTGAGTTTTTGCATTAATTGGAAAATTCTGAGTTGGGTTGTATCCTTACCTTGATTGACTCGAGCTTGAAGTGAAGAACGGAAGGTTTGATAATTAGTTGACTGCTCATCTCTCCCACGTGCAATGATTCCAGCTGGAACGACAACGTCTTTGATTTTTGACATTATAATATTTCTTATCAATGTTCCTTTGCCTCCTGCAGTTTCCGATCTTTTCTTTTCCCCAGTTTTTTTTTTTCGTTCTCTCTCCTCCCTCTCGCCTAAGGATTCTCAAAATATATAGGCTGACAGATTTCACGGACCATGGACCCATCCATCAAATATTTGTAGTAGAACCTCAGGATGCGTCCTTGACCTAAAGAGTTCGCCACCGGCGACAATAACCATACGACTGAGCGTTCACAGATATCGAACCCAGTGACCATCCACTATGTTGCCTTGTCGTCAGTCATTGTTCGCTTACAAACCGCCAAGATCTCTCTTAACCGCGCGGTAACTTTAAGCATCAGGCGAAGCTTCGCTACTCCACAAGCTGTCGGCCTTCGCGTTCAACCTCCAAAGCCGAAGAGGTTGGCCCTTACTGGAAAGGGTTCTCCACGCCGGATGCATCATGATGCTGTAAGCTACATCGTGACGCTGCATGAAAATCGGAAGCTTCGGGTCTATTTTGGTTGTTGTACTACGAGAAAATGAGCTTCATACTCTGCTGTCGTCGGTTTAAGAGATGTGAGTCTCTCGGCCAGATTATAGCTGCTCTCGTGCGACTCAGTATCCGGGCCGCGCCGAAGCCTGCGTGACCCCAAGGCGATCGGAGCTGACATAAAAAACTCCGATATACAAATCTGAAAGTAACTACGTGTAATGCACAGTTGCAATTACGTGATTATTTGCCGCCTATTCGTATTCACATTCAGTTCAGGTTCTCTATGGCCGAACTTACACGCCCGGTGGTACCATCTTTACAACTCCAAACGTTGCGATGACGTCAAAATCTGGGGAAGCGTCAAGGAGTAAAGTGAAATGGGGCATCACGGACCTCTGACGCGAGGGGTCAACTTGCTTACCCGCATCTAGCCATCCTATGGGAAGACGTCCGATTCCCATCACTCGCGCCCGCGCCCTTTGTTACGTGCCTCATTTGTAAGCTGATGGTTGTGCATGTGGACGGCCCCCTGCCACGATACTTAATTAGGTTCAGCCACGCCTGGAGATTCTCAGCTTGTCGCATTCTCTACCAAAGATGAGATTGTCTCCCACAACAAGGAGGATCTCAAAGCACATTACTTTTACAGGAAGCCGCAAATACTCATTTAATTTCACGAGATCAATCAATATGGCAACTGCATACAAGATAGATGTTCCGGTGTCCAACACTGGACTGTGGCAGTTCAATCAGCAGGATGCCACAGCGAAAAAGGTATCCGAGTTTCTGCAGGAAGACCTCGAGGTATGGCTCTCATGAGTGCTCTCTTGACAATACTGCCAATCTAATTAAAGGACAGAAACATCACGTCTTCTTCAACAAGGACGGATTTCACAACCATGTAAGTGCACTCTCATTCATCACTGAATTTATCTAAGCGCTTTGCAGATCCCCCACCATCTACTGGCACTCTTTGGAACTGGTGCCGGCCCGGATGCTATCCAATTGGCCTGGAAAGAGAATGAAAACTACCAGAGGCCAGCGCAGAACTCCCACAACAACATCGTCGACGAGCTCCATGACTGGGAGAAGACGAAGCAGTACCTCGGCAAGGAGAAGTACTATCCCGACTTCCTCCTTTTCTTCCAGCGCGAGATCGAAAAGAAAGGCTGGGAGGAGGCACTCAACGAGCACCTCTTTGGGGGAAATGAGCGCGCCCACGACATGTTCCAGCGCATGTTCGCCGGCTTCTTGCACCCCATAATCCAGCTCATGTATGGCGTCGAGTGGGAGCAACCCGCCATTGTCGCCGAGGGCTTGGCTCAGGCTGCCGTTCATAAGAACCAGCTCGGGTCTTTCTTTGATGAGGCCGAGAAGCGCTCCAAGTCTGCCAGCACGCCGATGCCACGGATCATGGATCTCATTCAGGAAATAAGGAATAACGAAAAACTGGTGAATGCGATACAAATGAAGGACGCTAACAAAGTACACGATGGCATCCTCGTACGCGCCCCAGAGGAAATGCTCCAGATTGCTAGCAAGGTCAAGATCACCCAGGAAGAGCTGGATGAGAGAACAGCTGAAATGTACCACATCAACGCTTATGTTGCCGGCACTGCGGCTTTGAAACCTGGAAAGGAGGCCAGGTGGGATTTCTTCCTCATGTAAGTCTTTCACCAATGTTGTGTGTGAGAATTCGAGTAGTGACGAATAATGTCTAACACAATAACAGTCACCATGTAAACTCTTCACCAATCTTTCTCTGCTTCAACGCCAAACCATGGATTTCCACAGAGAACAAGATTCGTATACTCGAGTACAAGATCCGTCTGGATCTGGTTCAATACGCCGCCCGCGGTAGTCCGGAGATCCGCCCCGACGCGATCAAATCCTATGTACCGAAGGACAAGGACCAGAAGAAACAGATCGTTTCCAAGGTCACTGGTAAGGCCGTTATGCAGATTGTTGATTGTGTGGTATGCTGACGCATCAAATCAGATCTCCTGCCCAGATTCCACAAGATCCCTGACGATGGCCACACCATCAAACTAGTCCGAGCCCTTGGCATCTGCCGCGAGCTGTCCGCCAAGTATAGCGAAAAACCGTGGATCAAGATCAAGAGTGACGATGAGTGGCTGAAGCTGTATTACTCGGTGCTAGACGGTTCTGAGGACACGGAAACGAGATGGGTCCGCTCGACTGGTCTAGAGGAGGCGTGGAAGGTGAGTGATGCTCCTCCGCTGAAGTCGTTTAGACATGCCACTAACTTACCCACCTAGGATGTACCGGCTCGCGAATCTAGGCTGTGAGGGAAGACAGCGACGGATATTAGGAAGAAGTGTAGTGGCACAAATGGTCATGACAATCACAGAAAGCAAGTTGCGTAGGCAGATTGAAAAAACGGGGTATACATTGTAATATTATCTAGTCCAGGCCAATCCACCCATCTTCATCAGAATCACCCTGACCATCCTCTGCATCCGCTCCGATGGCCAGCGGCTTGGCAGGGGCATCAAAGGCCGCCAGATCTAGCATCTTCACTTCGCTCGACTCCTTCTCGTTTGCCTGGCCCAGCAAGTAATCCACCATGTACACGTTGTCATCCGCAAGCCTCCTGATCTCGTCCCTCATCCTCGCGACGGCACGCGAGACAACACGCAGCTCCACGTCCACCTTGCCCCTATGTTGCGTAAGCCAAGCGCCGTGCTTATCAACCAGCGCCTTGACCCAGAGAAGACAGAATTCGATGTGCGGCGTCTCCTCAGTCTGGGCGGCGACGAAGCGGAGTAACCTCGGGACGTAGACGATGGGGATATCCTCCACGACAAGAGGAATGTCGCTATGCGGTATTGACAGAAACACGCGCTTGATCAAGCCGGCCTCGTTCAAACGGAAAGCCATCACCAGCGCCTTGAGGTAGTCCTTTTCGTTTTCCAGGACAGCCAGTGTGGACGCGGGGGTGATTTCCATGTTCAGGTCGAAGGGGTCGAACTGCAAGAGGTTGTCAAGGCTGTAAATGAGTAGACCTTCCGTCGAAGCGGCGCAGAATGCCGTGCCGGTAGGCGCAAAGGCCACGCCCGACACGCGGACCTCAGGCTGCTTCTTTCTCGAGGCGGGGTCACCGCGCTTGGAGCCCGGCAGCGAGTTGTCCATTCTGTCCTCACGATCCGAAGCCTCGCCCTGGTCGTCGAGAAGTCCGTCGGGGCCGGCCTCGGTGAGAAGCTTGCTGTTGAGGAACTCTTGCGTTCCAGACAGAGATAGGTTGACACTGACGGTGAACTTCTTCAAGAGCACCATGGTGTGGACCGAGTACAAGCAGATGTACTTGCTGTTACCACCGGCAAGCAGACAGCTTCCGTCTGTGCTGTACCGGATCGTGTTGAAACTCTTCGTTCCGGCAACGTTGGCAGCCGTCCTCCGGTCGGTGATCTTTCGTCCACCCGAGACATCACGTCGGCCATCTACACCGGAAATCTGTTCCGCATCTTGGATGGACCAGAACGACAATTGTCCGTCCAAGGTAGAGACAGCGAGCTGAAGCGAATCAGGGCGCACGGCAATATCCAGGACGTCGGCTTGCAGCTGCAGGGGCTCGCTCGTTTGCGTTCTGCTGAAAATAGACCACACTCTTGCGGTGCGGTCCCAGCTACCACTGATAAGCGAGTCTCCGTTCGGCGTGAAAGCCAAAGCTGACACAGGACCCTCGTGTCCCGAGAGCTGATCCAAGAGCTGGCCTGTTTGAACAGACCAGATATGGATGTCGAAAGAGTCGAGGGATCCGGCGGCAACAACTTCGCCACTTGGGTCGACGGCCATGCAGGACCAAGATAATCTCGTAGGTGCCGTGAATGTCCTGAAGTTTCTGTACCTGATAAGATCCCACGCTCTTACTGAGCCGTCTAAACTGGATGTGAAAAGGACGTTGCCCTTCTTGGAGAATTCGCAAGCAGTCACGCCGCTGGTATGCTCCGTAAAAGTCACGATGCAGAATCCCGACTCAACATCCCACACCTTAATCTTGCCGTCGTCGGCGATCGTAACGATGCGCTGTCCGTCGGGAGAATAAACCAAAGAGTTCATTGAGTCGAAGTGGCCCTGCTGTTTCAGGATGTACGACTCGGATTGCCACTCCCACACAAGCAGTTGCCCAAGCTTCGAGGCACCGAAAGCCAGCCACTCTCCGGTCTTGTTGATCGTTACAAAATCGATGTCGTTTTGGGAGATGTTCAGCGTATGAATCATGTTGAAGTCGGGCATCTCGTAAAGGCCGAAGGTGCCGTTGGAGAAGCCGGCGACAAGCAGGTTGGACTCGGGGTGGAAGGTCGCGCACCGGACATGCGCATTGTTCTGCATGAAATAGTGGCGGTTGACTATCCTCCAGCGCATGTCCTCATCGTCGACGTCGACCATCTCGTCCTCGTCCCGAACCGGTTTCCCAACGTATTGCCAGTCAAAGACTGCACCGTCCTTGCTCACCGTGTAAATCGTCTCCTGGTCATCCGAGAACCAGGCTCCGACAACAGCTTGCTTGTGCCCGGAAAGCACAGTCGGCACGAAACCCTCCTCTTGAGTTAAACTCCATATCCTGGCTGTCAAGTCCTTGGAAGTGCTGAGGAAGAATCGCGAGTCGCTGGACCATTCAATGTTTCGCACATCGTCAAAGTGCCCAGTGTGGCTGTGGTATTTTACAAATGGGGCGAATTCAAGTTCTCCTTCGGCGTTGGCGTCCGGAGTGGAGGGAACGTGCCAGACCTCGATCTTCCTGCCCAATCCGACAGCAAAGTGGCGTCCTGAAGGCGAAAATGAAAGTGCAGTAGGAGAAGCACGGAAAGAAAATTTGTAAATGGCGATGCGGCGGAGGACGTTCGTCAAGATGGCCTGGCCATCTTCATCGATAGTCAACAAGAGGTTTCCCCGGGGGGTCAGACCGATTCTCGAGATATTCTTTCGGTGCGCAAATGGTAGGGTGTGCGACTTGTTACTGTAAAGCTCAGTTAGCAACTTGCCGCCTCATGTACCAGTTCTGCGCGACTACACATACTTCACAAGGTCAAAGACAGTCACCCTGTTCCCCACGGGCGAGAACAGATGGGTGCCATCGGGGCTGAAGAGCAGGTTGCCCTGGCAGTAAACCGTGCCGAGCAAGTTGGAGAACTAAAAATTACATCAAGAGTCAGAAGTGCATGCGATTGCGGGAAAACCGTAAGCCGTACCTTGAAATCGGTCTTCATTGTCAATTGGCACCCATTTCCTCACCTTGATGCTTCAGAATTCTCAAGAATTTCTTATCGATTGGAAGCCGGCTCGAAAATTTTGGTGGGGTCGGTGAATCATTCATCCTAATTTCCGTGATTTAAACCTATCTAGGTAAGGAGCGCTGTTGGCAAACGGACCAGGGGGAAATGGGGGCTGATTGGCAGGAAAAGGGGGGCCTCATTAGTCCCCTAGGTGGGCGCCCAATGAATGTGCACCAGACAACCCCAGAAGGCCGGAAGGGAAATTTGGAGGTGGCACCTTTTGATTCCCCTGAAGCACAAGCTCAAACCTCCCCAACTCAACAGTCAACACGCCCACACCGTAACCACATCACGAAAACCTTCGCGTGTTCAATTGCGAGATCCGCGGCCATCCAGCTTGCTCCAGGCATCAAGAACGTGATCTGACCAGTTCGATTCAAAATACCGCCCAAAATGGCCCCCGCCGCCGCCGAGAGCGCCTCACCGATTGGTATCGCCAACCTCCCTAACCAGCGACACAAGATTGTCGCCAAGCGAGGTGCTGGCTTCACTATTATGGTGAGTAGTGGCCGTTCTAATCCGTCTCATCAAATGCTTATCGGCAAATTACTTACAAAAATGACTAGGTTGCGGGCGAGTCTGGCCTCGGAAAGACCACCTTCATCAACACGCTGTTCTCCACCACCATCAAGAACTATGCCGACCACAAGCGCCGACACCAAAAGCAAGTCGACAAGACTGTTGAGATCGAGATCACCAAGGCTGAGCTTGAGGAGAAGTTTTTCAAGGGTATGGCCCTATTGGAATATTCAATGCTTCGATCATACGATTAACCTGCTGTAGTCCGCCTGACCGTTATCGATACCCCCGGCTTCGGCGACTATGTCAACAACCGCGATTCGTGGATGCCTATTATCGAGTTCCTCGACGACCAGCACGAGTCCTACATGCTTCAGGAGCAGCAGCCCCGCCGCCAGGACAAGATCGATCTCCGTGTCCATGCCTGCTTGTACTTCATCCGCCCCACCGGCCACACCCTGAAGCCCCTCGACATCGAGGTTATGAAGAGACTCTGCTCGAGAGTGAACCTGATTCCGGTCATTGCCAAGGCTGATACTCTTAGCCCTGCGGACCTGGCCAAGTTCAAGCAGCGCGTACGTAACTACGATTTGACCGTATGAACAGCCGCTGACCATGCTTTAGATCCGTGCTGTTATCGAGGCTCAGAGCATCAAGATCTACCAGCCTCCTGTCGAGGAGGATGACGAGGCTGCTGCTCAGCATGCCCGCAGCCTGATGGCTGCTATGCCTTTCGCCGTCATCGGCTCTGAAAAGGACGTCAAGTCCGCTGACGGCCGTGTCGTCAAGGGCCGCCAGTACTCGTGGGGTGTTGCCGAGGTTGAGAACGAGGATCACTGCGACTTCAAGAAGCTCCGATCCATTCTCATCCGCACTCACATGCTCGACCTCATTCACACCACCGAGGAGCTCCACTACGAGGCCTACCGCGCCCAGCAAATGGAGACCCGCAAGTTCGGCGAGGCCCGCCCCAGGAAGCTGGACAACCCCAAGTTCAAGGAGGAGGAGGAGGCGCTTCGCAAGCGCTTCACCGAGCAGGTCAAGATCGAGGAGCAGCGCTTCCGCCAGTGGGAGCAGAAGCTCATCGCCGAGCGCGACCGCCTCAACAAGGATCTCGAGCAGACCCACGCCCAGATCAAGCAGCTCGAGACCGAGCTGGAGCAGATGCAGGGCAGCGCCGTCCGCAGCCACGGTCGCCGCTAAGCGGGTTCATGGATTTGAGGCCTTGCCTCGATCTTTTAGTGGTTTATGTCTGGGCAGTTGGTGCTTGCTGGATTCTCGAAACTTATTCTTCTCTTGACATTCAGGTATCGAAGACACCAAAGGCCCGCATTACCCTCCAAATATTCTAGACGCACTTTTATGGAGACGCTAGCAGTCTGGCCGTTCATAATAGGCCGCCTTTCTGATGACTTCAGTGCGAGTCTTCATCGAAAGAGAAAGCATGCCCCCTCTTTAGGCATGGCATGAGATGGGCAATGCGTCGGGAGTTTTCTTCTTTCCGGAACTTGTTACCCCTTTTCCCCGTTTAGTTATTCCCTGTTTCTTAGTCACGATGTAATCCAGCTCACCTTTTCATGATACCAAAAATTAATGAGAAAGGCGTCTATAATCCTAAACATTCATGCGTGTTCGTAATGAAGTACTATAGCTCTGCGCACGTGCGCCCGTCCTACAATGTTGTCCCGTCGTCATTCGTTTGGTATCTTTACATACATATGCCTAGCCTTGACCCGCCGCCTCCCTTATGATCTCTACACTTATACAGCATCCATGGACGCTCTGGTGGTTAGTTGCTCGTTCTTATTGCCAAGCTTCGATATCTGAAGAAAGGCGTCTACGCCGTATCCCTCGAGACTATGCAGCTCCAGGCTGCCGGCCCAGTACTCCGCGTAAACTCTGCTCAGGGGGAGACCCATGCCGAGCCGCAGGTTTGGCGGCCGACTGGTCATCGAGGACAGGGAGCTACCGTAGTTTGGTGTCTTGAGGTCTGCGCGGCCCAGCTCGTCCGAGACGTGCAGCTCTTGCATGGTGGCAGCCAACTTGGGCACCCGCCCCAGGTTCTCCAACCGTTGTTGGCTCTGGGGCCCTTTGCTAAAGGACCACAAGTACGGGAGCTCGTCTCTCGGGATGCCGCCGCCCTGGTCGGAGATTCTGATGATGACGTGATGCTGTGCCTCGCAGATGGTCACCTCGATGGGCGGGAGCGGCACGTCTGTCTTCTTACTACGCTGCCGGCGCTCGATGACGGCCTGGACGGAATTACGGAGCAGCTCGCCGATAATGTACTCGAGATGGCTGAGAATGTACGGGAAGCTAGCTTCGAGGTGACCGACAACCTTGATTTCGGGGACCTCGACGTCGTGGCCGTAGGTGGAGCGTGCAAGGGTCTCCACAGCACGGGTGCAGCGCTCGATGACGTCCTTTGCGACGCATTTTATGAAGATCTCGCCGATGAACTCGGACTCGGAGAGCTTCGCACCAGGGGAGAACCAGGGAGAGTGATATGTCTCTGTCAGTGCTAGGTGCTGTTCGGCGATGACTCTACGGGAAATTCTCTAGTTGCACGCAGATTGTGTTAGGCTAACAAACAAGGCAAATGTCGATGCGGTTTGGCAGGTTCAAAGTACACTTACAGATCTAAGGATGGTGTTCATAAACTTGTCTAGGTCTTTGGCGTCCATGCGACCTCTGCTTTCCAGAATGCCCATGGAGAGCTTTGGGATGACGGTTAGGTGCGCCTTTAGCATGCCGCTGATTATCTGGCAGAATTTGTCATTGTCCTCCAGCGTCTTGATCTCCTTGATCTTGCGGAACGTATCGAATGCATTATTGTATAGTTCGTATACTTCTTTTATGTGAGGATTCGTGACCACGACGTAGGGAAGCTGTTGCATGTCTCGGATACGATGTGCAATACTATTTTGTGGTGGTTGGGGTCAGCCTTTTGAGGATCCGCTTTGAGTGTATGACCCGGTGGCGTGCCTACCGAGTTGGCAGCTCTGTACGAACGTAATTCGCAGAGCTCAAAAGTCGTGATTCCGTGAGCGAGCGGCCGAAGACCATCAGCTGGCGCAAACTGATGGGTCGGGCTTCTCTAACAACCCATCTGGCGATCGTGGCTCTTGTTTTAGCATGTGAAGCTTGTTTCGTAGGGGAGAGGGTAAGCGCACTCATCCAGGACCGACACCGGCCTCCAGTTGGAACTGCTCATGGGACGTCGTTGCGACGACGACAACGACGACGAAGCACAAATCTCACATAGCTTCTTTCCAGCCGTGGGCACTGTTGGTGCCCTGATCGGTGCTGATGTCAATCCGCATCGTCTACTGGCATTCCGCAATGCGATGGAAACCATGCCGTCGATTCCATGCGCGAGGAGAGCCGGAAGAAACTGTGGCAGAGGTGAGGGCGACAAAAGCTCGGGGAAATGGAGTTTCTGTGCTTGGGAGAAGCTGTAGGTAAGGCGAGCGAGGAGGTATATGAGCGAATTTTGGGCGACTCGCGGTGCGGTTGGGCAGCTGTTGAAGCTCTCTCCTCGAGGGCAAAAGTGGTTTACGGATTGGATGACTCTCGCCGCAAGAATGGTGGACGATTGCTACCTTACAGGGTCTGGAACGGGTACCCCACACTGCGGAATCGGCGCACCATGCTGCGTTCTGCCGTAACGGGCAACCCTGGTCTAGCGTGGTAATGGAGTGGCCTGATTGGGCTGTCGCGGGGGATGGAGTCCCTGCGCGAGCTGTTTGGAGGTGCATTTTCCCACCTGACAGACCGGATTTCCAGAGATGTCAGCTCGGTCAACGGGGGATATATCGAAAGACCTAGTGTAGACGAATGCCCGTTTCAAATGCATGCATGTTTTTGGTGGTGGCTGCTCAGCTTGGGTGAAGATGATCTTCAGGTTATGGTGCCGGCAAGCAGAGCAGTGATCTAGCTAGGATTCACATGTTCACTGAGTTGGCAGATGTTTGTTTCCAGTTACAAAGACCCCAAACCTTACTCATGTTTCGAAGAAATACTGAGACACGGTTCTCTTTCTAACGAACAGCCTGGTGTGATGGGAGGAGCTGTATGAGGCCTATTTCTCTACATCACGCCATGGACAGGAATGGAGATGGGTAGCGGGTGACCAGCGGCTGTGCCGTTTAAGAATAAATAGGCAGTGCCTCGGTATTATTACTCGGCTTCACTGCCAATCAGAAGAGGGTAAGAAACGATGTGACTGACATTTAAGAGGCGCATGTGCAGTTGACCAGTTGTATGAATAGGGGACGCGGGGGTCATTGCAAAGTGCAGCTCGGGGGTGAGCTGGCACAATCTGATCTCCCATATATCTCATCTACATCATCTCCTCCTTTGTAGATGACAGGGCGAAGTTTAAAAGCGGTTGCAGGGGCTAGTAACTCGACGTATTGAATGGTGTCGTGCCAAGAAGCCATGATTGTCCAAAGCTTGTATCCCTATGTCCACCCAAGGTAATGGATTGACACGGACATTTAGCTGGTGGCAAGCACTTGCGTAGTCATTTCCAAAGCATTAATTTCGGCCGAAGCGGCGGGGTTGGCTTTGACAGTTATTACGCACTCATTCACAGAGATCAAGGTGAGGTTATTCAACCACGGTGCACTTAGTCATGGGTTGTACGTATTCGTCCGAGGATGGTAAAGTAAGTAAAGTCTGCGGAGAGAAGTCCTAACTAGGTTCCCTTACCTGCTTTCAATTAGTAACGACGATGCAATGAAGAGAGAGACAGCGAGAGACAGCGAGAGAGAGAGAGAGAGAGAGAGAGAGAGAGAGAGAGAGAGAGACAGAGAGAGAGAGAAGATAACGGCAATAACATGCTTGGGATTATTATGCAAGCTTGAGTTAGGAACGGATCAGTTATCCATCTTTCTGGTGAAGTACAGTTTCAGACGTGAAGCCGAGTCTTTGTTCCACATGTTCCCCTTGCGGCCCTTGATGTTTGGTTTTGTTACTTGGTGCTTCGAGATATCGCTGTGCTTTGCTGAATCGGTTGATTGATGTGGCTGGAAAGCAAGGCCAAAATCCAAAATAGGACCATCAGCTGCTTACCCCAAAACAGATAGCATCGTCAGTGCGAGGTAAGGTAACCTGTTTAGTGTTGACAGGGAGAAGACGCCCCTGTGGCTTGAAGAGGTCAAAGGATTGAATCGACCGCGTTGGCGGTCACGGCAACGTCATTGGAGGGGTGGAGTGCTGGTGTTCCCCCCAATCCCAAGCAGCGAGGTGGGCTGCGCAGGCAAACAGTGGAGGTGGTGCAGGGCAGCTTTGCTCCGTGTCCCGCCACAGCACCTGGCAACTGATTGACGGTACTGCGACTGTCTGCACACTAAAAAAGCAAGTGAAGGTAAAGGTGCTCCAGTGCCCAGCGTGTGCAGGGCCGGGAAAAAAAGGTCCTACTGGCCACTGACAGTGGGGCTTGCCCTCGAAACAGATTCCCCATGTCCCCGCTTTTGTCAGGGCTGATGCTACGATCAGCACCAGATCCCCTAACAGAGGATACCTTGTCTCCATCTTCAGGTCCCATCCAAATCCCCATCCCGTCTCCATTGTAGTGCTTCTCATGCCCCCTCCCCAATCAACCCAGTTGAAGTGTGTGTGTGTCCGTATGGGCTGTCTGTCGCTGCACCGAATACTGGACACTGGACACTGGACACTGGACACTGGACACTGGACACTGGACACTGGGCCTCGCCTCTCCAACCTTTTTTTTTCTTCTCCACGACGACTGGATTTGTTCAGCGTTGTAGGTCTTGCTTCTCTGCGCTTCACTCACCTCACTGGCCGAGGGCGAGCTGACTGATATTCGCCTTGGATTGACTGTTTCTGGCCCCCCCGGCTGCATCCCACATCCGCTTCTATACCGACTGACCCGACAGTAGACCGACTTGACTACATCACACACACACGCACACACACAACATACCTCTTTTAGGCCTTGGTCTTGCTTCGCCCGCCTACTGCCTCCACCTTCCCGGTCCTGCCTACAATTTCATGCAACTTCACCTCTCGCCTCGCCAACACCTGCTACTCCCCCTCAAGACACCATTGCTCCTTGCACCCGCTGTGCTTGTGTCTTGAACGCAGCCTGCAGGCCGCTTTCCATCAGCTGCCACCTGCCTGGCCCTCTGCGGCTCCTACTTCGTCATCGAAGCGGCACTGGCGCAAATCGCCCTTCCTGCTGCAGTTTTCTGCCTACTAAATACTGGCACTCTGCACCTCCTTCACGCCACTTTGGAAGACCATGGTAAGCCACGAGAGCGACTGATTCCTCAGGCCCTCTTCCCTTTGCTTGCCTTTGCCTATTATTCTATTCTTTGAGCTTCTCCGTCCACTGTCTCGTCGCTGCCACCTGCCTATTGGCTTGTGCTTCAACCTGCTTTTCACCCCACCTTTCTACGAATGTCCCAGCCTAGCACTTCGGCGCTTCAGCCTCTCTACCTCGAACCACTCATCCCACTTCTCGAATTCCCTCCTGCACCCGCATACTCTGACCTTAAGCTAATCCTCATCACTACCGCCGCAGAGCTATAACAACGACATACACTCGCCGAACGAGATGGTGGTGGACACCGACGAATACGTCGGCGTCGCCGATGCGAAGGAGCCCATCGCCATCATCAACCCAGATAACCTCGACAATGAGGCCGAGCAGCTACAAGACCTACCGCTGGCAAACGACTGTGAGAATACCCAGCCCTTGCCCTGCAGGCCTAGCCCTCCCTCGTCCACCGCTAACTCGGGATAGACGATGCTATGAAGGACGGCATCTTCCCACATCTCCACGAAGAGCCCCGTGTGCTTGAAGATGTGGTCCACACATGGACTGTCGAGGCCTGGAGGTCAATGTCAAAGAAAGAACATGGTCCCGTCTTCCAGGCTGGTGGTTATCCATGGTATGCTTCCCTGCTTTAACTTTTATGGCTATCCATACTCTTTGCTTACCTTCTTTGCAGGCGCATCCTCCTGTTCCCTCACGGCAACAACGTGGACCAGTGTTCCATCTACCTCGAACACGGATTCGAGCCCACCAACATCCCCGAGAACTGGAGCTGTTGTGTTCAGTTCGCGCTGGTGCTATGGAACCCGAACGACCCGAGCTTATATACCCACCACACGGCTCACCACCGCTTCACTAAGGAGGAATCTGATTGGGGCTTTACGAGGTTCCTTGAGCTCCGCAAGATGTTCAATGTGCCTTGTGAGGGTGGCAGCCGGCCGTTGTGTGAAAACGAGACTGCGAACATCACCGCCTACCTCCGTATTGTTGAAGACGAGACGGGTGTTCTCTGGCACAACTTCAACAACTACGATTCCAAGAAGGAAACCGGCTATGTTGGCCTGCGCAACCAAGGCGCTACCTGTTACCTCAATTCGCTTCTTCAGTCATTGTATTTTACCAACGCATTCCGAAAAGTAGAGACTCGAATCTTCACCTCCTTGGCATTTGGATTCATGCTAACGTATCCCAGGCCATTTATGAAATCCCAACGCAATCCGAGGAGAGTATGACCAACAGCGCTTACACCTTGCAGCGCCTCTTCTATCAGCTTCAAACCTCTGAGACGGCTGTGGGAACAAACGAACTGACCAAGTCTTTCGGTTGGGAGACGCGACACATTTTCGAGCAACAAGACGTCCAGGAGTTGTCGCGCAAGCTCATGGAACGAATGGAAGAAAAGATGAAGGGCACCCCGGCCGAGCACGTCCTCCCCCAAATGTTCAGTGGAAAGATAAAGACTTACATCTCCTGCGTCAATGTCGATTACGAATCCAGCCGCATTGAGGACTTTTGGGACATCCAGCTGAACGTGAGCGGAAACAAGAACCTCTTGGAGAGTTTCCAGGACTACGTTCAGGTCGAAAAGATGGACGGAGAGAACCAGTACTATGCTGGCGACGAGCACAAGCTTCAGGACGCCAACAAGGGTGTCATTTTCCAGAGCTTCCCTAATGTTCTGCACTTGCAGCTCAAGCGATTCGAGTACGATATCCAACGCGACACGATGATGAAAATCAACGATCGATACGAGTTCCCTGAGGTTTTCGATGCTTCTCCCTACCTCTCCGAGGACGCAGATAAGTCGGAGTCTTGGACGTATCAATTGCACGGTGTACTCGTCCACAGTGGTGACCTGAACGCTGGTCACTACTATGCGTTCCTGAAACCTGAGAAGGATGGATGGTTCTACAAGTACGACGATGATAAGGTCACCAAGGCTACGATGCGTGAGGTTCTCGAGGAGAACTTTGGCGGAGAATACAGGACCAACCCTGCCAACCATCTCCGAGCTCCCCTGCAGAAGAAGACGCCTGTCCTGCGCCAAAACAGTGCATACATGTTGGTATACATTCGCCAGTCACGCCTGGACGACATTCTCTGCCCTGTCACAAAAGAAGACATCCCCATGCATTTGCGAACAAGATTTGAGGAGGAAACCGCCCTTCGAGAGGCGAGGCGCAAGGAGAAAGAGGAGCAACATCTCTACATTGGTGTCAAGGTCATTACAGAACAGACCTTCAAGAACCACGGTGGCACAGATCTGACCTCATTCGAACCCGAACAAGCCGAATCCGAGGCAGCGCCGCGGTCTTACAGAGTTCTCCGGCAGTCGACAATGGAGGAGCTGGTGGCGACCATTGCGAAGGACATTGACCAAGATCCTCGCAAGGTGCGTCTCTGGATCATGGTGAACCGCCAAAACAAGACAATTCGCCCCGATCAGCCCATAATGGACTTGCGGCCTACCGTGGAGGAGTGTTTCCAAAGAGCGGCAGCGCACCGGGACCAGTTCTTGAGAGTCTGGGCCGAGGTTGCTGAGGAGACAACGCCCGAAGGCGAAGCCGTCTGGCCTACTTACCAGGGACAGCTTAACGGTGTTGTTGTAAAGAACGACCTCATCCTTCTATTCCTCAAACACTTTGATGTTGATGAGCAATCTCTCCACGGCATCGGCCATGTTTACATTAGCAAGGAGAAGAAGGTTGAGGAGCTGGTACCGATTATCATGAAGAAGATGGGCTGGGGCGACAAGCTGCCGTCCGATGAGAAGATTTCCCTCTGGGAGGTAAGTATGGTGTTTTCGTTTTTCGTTACGAGGTTGCTGACTCTTTGCAGGAAATTAAGCCGACTATGATCGAGGCCTTGAAGGCTAAGCAATCTCTCAAGGCCGCAGAACTGCAGGACGGCGACATCATCTGCTTCCAGCGAACAACAGAGCGCAAGGGTGACAGGAACATTCTTGAGAAGCACCTGGGTCTGGGCGATAAGCAAGTAGCAGACCAGCCAATCAAGAAGACAGACCGCTTCGATGACGCGCGAGAATACTACGACTTCCTTCATAACAAGAAGACGGTGAAGTTCCACGCTCACCCGACTCGTTGCAACGCCGAGAAGTACCCTCCTTTCGAGCTGGTTCTGAACTCCAAGATCAGCTACGATGTGCTTTCGGAGCGCGTTGCCGACAGGATAGGCGTTCCGCCCACACACATCCGCTTCTGGACCGTCAACTCGGCCACTGGAAACCCCAAGACCACGGTTAAGCGTGGTGTCAATCAGAGTTTGCAACTCATCCTGAACCCGACCAATTACAACCAGTTGAGCACCAGTCAACGGACCGACGCCTTCTATTTCGAGGTTTTGGATATGAGTCTTGCTGAGTTGGACACCAAAAAGAGTGTAAAGATCACATGGCTTAGTGAGGGTATTACAAAAGAGGTCAGTTGTTTTTTTCGAACAGTTGCAGTCGCAAATATTGATTTTGAGCAGGAGCAATTTGACCTTCTCGTGGCGAAGAACGGAAACATTGAGGATTTGATTCAAGTCTTGGTCAAGAAGGCAGGCATTCCTGATGAAGCCGAGGGCGGTCGCATTCGGGTATACGAGACCAGCAGCCACAAATTCTACCGCGAACTGCCTCGAGAATACCCTGTCATTAGCATGAACGATTATACCAACGTCTTCGCGGAGCGGGTTCCCGAAGAGGAACTGAACGAGGAGGAGGCGAACAACTTTATCCAGGTGTTCCACTTTCAGAACGAGCCCAGCAGAGTTCACGGTGTTCCTTTCAAGTTCTTGCTTGTCGAGGTATGTGCTCTTTTGTGCAGTTTGATTTTCAACTTGTCTGACTTTGTTTAGGGTGAAAAATTTGCGGACACAAAGAAGCGCCTTGAAAAGCGTACTGGCCTTAAGGGCAAGAGCTTCGAGAAGATCAAGTTTGCGGTGGTTAAGAGGTCCCACTTCTCCAAGCCACAATACTTGAACGACGGTAAGATCACAACGGTCAGCTCCTTTTGCCAACTATGCTAATACTTCTCAGATGACGAACTGTGGAACGTGGCTACTAACGATGATGACTATCTCGGCTTGGATCACGTTGACAGGACAAGATCACTGAGAAACGGTGTGGGTGACCTGTTTTTGCGGTAATCAGAGGATGCTCTCTCTGCGGACTTGGATGCTATTGAACAGGTTAAAGAGGTTTAGAATTTTTCCGCCGCTGCATCCTGAACTGGTATAGTTACACCGCGGTCAGTATGGGAAGGGGCAGGAGGTTTTGCAGTTCTGTAGCCTGCACTGGGCTGTTCGATCTCAAATCTTACTTTACACCAAGCAACGGCATTCTCATGATGGGCCGAGCGAGGATCATTGCGGGCCGAAAAACTCGCGCCTCACGATAGAGGACAGACTTCTTGTAGCTCATTTTTAAGACATGGAAAACTAGCAATGTCGCAACGAGTTTGATTGAATGTGAACGGCGAAAAAATCGTGACAAGTTTTGTAGTGTGTTGATCGGTTATGGTGGCTTGGTCCCAAAAAGGCATCTGGAGACAGCAGTGCACGGAGAAGACCCGGCATTACAGCCCCACCAGGACTAACACTCGGGATGGTTCGCTCGGAGGCCGGTCGGAGGAGCACGTGCCGCGCAAGCAAGAGCGATAAGATAAGAAATTTATCTTTTTTGCCTCTGCGCAGTCGAAGCTACATGGCGGTCTCTCCTGGCAGAAATATTCAGCAATCCGTCAACTCCCGTGATACTCCTTCCGCCGCCGCGTCGCGATCGCATCCATATCGTTGCGCTTCAACTCAACTCGTTCTCTGACCTCTCCGTTCAAACCGCCCCAATCCTTTGCCATGAGTTTCCCCGGTGCCGGTCAGGCTCCCACCGCTGGGCCGCCTTCTGATGCGGCAGGCGCACTTGGTCCCCCGGACCCTCAGATGCAGGCTGTACGTTTTCGACTGGTAGCTGCATCGCAGCAGTTTCCCCAAAGACTTTGAATGGTATACTAACGCGTTAGCAGATGACCAACTTCATGGAAAACTGCTGGACCAAGAGTGTCATGTCCGGTGTGATGGGATTCGGTATGGGTGGTTTGTTCGGCATGTTCATGGCATCGGTACGTCGTCTTCTTCTCTCTTGAATCCTCCATCCATTTAAATCCTCGCATCATTTACTAACACACGCACCCCCGGCACAGATGTCCTACGACACGCCCTTCCACACAGCAACAATCGACGGCAAGACGACCACGACGCCCATCTCCGACCTGCCCCTCAAGCAGCAGCTCAGAGTGGGCTTCAAGGACATGGGTACGCGGTCGTACAGCATGGCCAAGAACTTTGGAAAAGTCGGCGCGCTGTTCGCGGGCATCGAGTGCGGCATCGAGGGCCTCAGGGCGAAGAACGACCTGGGCAACGGCGTCGCCGCGGGTTGTCTCACGGGCGGCATCCTGGCCAAGAACGCCGGCCCGCAGGCTGCGCTCGGTGGCTGTGTCGCTTTTGCGGCTTTTAGCGCCGCCATCGATGCTTACATGCGCTCGCCCAAGGACGAGTAAACTGAGGGTCCTCTTTTATGTGTGGACAGATGGGAGATTGGGGTTTGAGGGGGGAAGCAAAAAAGGGGGGGGTGGGGTGGGGGGAGAGGTTGATCAATCAGTGTACGAGAGACGCGGTCGGGTTTACCTATGCAGCAGATTCCCTGTCTACGGATGGGTGTTTTTTTTTTTTCTGCGTTGAAAGGGGTAATGTCTGTACAAGAAGAAAGGGGTGGAGGAGGAGAAGGGAAGGAGGAGGAGGGCTTAATGTTTTGCATTGCATGGCGTTCACGGATGGCCTACTGGAAATTTGGTATGGCCTGGGGCGGGTTTATAGACCAAAATCTCTCCACTTCGAATTGTATTGACGGAGGACAAAAAGTAGACGAGGAGAGTTCTTCTGGTGTAGACCAGGTTACATATTTTGGGACGATTGGCGGGTGAGGGGGGTGGCACTCTACTCTCTGGTGGCTACTTGTGCGGGACGAAGCAAACGTATCACGACGTGCAAAAGCAGAAGCAAGAAGGGCGCATTAGTGGTGGAGGAACAGAATTGTAATATAGACAGACCAATCTAGACATTAAAAAATGAGTCGGCCGTTCAAAATTTGAACTTTTGTTCCCCCTCTCCTTCTGGAATCACATATCCCAATCCCAATTCCCCCCCAAAAATACCTCTTGGCTATTTTTCTACGTTTTGGTCTCGCAGGAAAAAAGGGGCGATTGCATTCTTCCTTTGAAAAAAAAACCAACGACAAAACATTTCCCAGAATCGCTCGCTCACAAAAGTCAAACATAGGTCATTTGATCGTGCGCTCATAAGTCACCTCACGATCATAGCCACCAGTGCCTGCCTTGGCGGCAACTATCAATTCATCTTCCACAACGAACTCTAGTCATCGTAACTCTTCTGTCCTTTTCCCCAGTTTTCTCTCTTTGAGTAAGAGAACTCATGAGGCCGTATAGAATTGGAAAGCGCCAAACTCCCAGAAAGCAGTTTCAAATGCGTCGGGATTGTTGGCCTGGAAATCAGAGCAACTCGTCCCTCCGCACCCAGAGTCGGCGTACTTGGCCTCGACGAGCTGTCCGCAGACGTTGATGTTGATGATGAGGGACTGGTTCTTAAAGTGCGACCCCATGTCGCACGACGTGTTGGGAAAGTCCGCCACGGCTTCGCCCCATGTGCTGGGGTCGGGCGACTTGTTGGTGATGTCGGAGGGCACGGAAGAGCGCGCAAACTGCCACACGCGGATACCCTCGTCGCGCCACTCCATGGCCATGTAGCCGCCGCCGCCTTTGTTGAAGTCTTGGCCGTACGACGACGATTTAGCTTGGACGCCGCACCCGGCGTTGGAGTTGGTGGAGTTGAGGCAGTTCGTCTCCAGCGTGCTGCCCGTCTGCTTGCGCTTGACGTTCATTTCACACCCGTCGGTGGTGTGCAGCGTCATCTGGTTACCGTCGGTGCCCTGGTTGATGGCCTCCATTACGTCGATTTCTCCGGCGGTGGGCCAGTTGTTGGGGTCCGCGAACCAGAGGGCTGGCCAAGATGCGCAGCCGTAGGGCGTGTGCTTAACGTCGAAGATGAAGAGGCCCTTGTCGTACTGCGTCTTGGACTCGACCCGCACCGAGAAGCGGCCCGTCGAAGCATCCGGGGTGGAGCTGGGGCCGACGGCGGTGTCGACGCGCAGGACTGCCGTGTCCGAGGTGGCGTATGTTAGGTTCTTTAAAAAAGGGCGACTGCTCAGCTGCTGTATACTACTAAAGTTAAGAAGTGGGATATGTATGTATGTACCCGTGTCGTGGCCTCATCGCGGCCGACGTAGTGAACCATTCCTCCCGCTGCGGTGCCAATGTCAGTGCACTGCCTCTGGCAGTTTGAGTCCGAAATGAGACACACTTGGATCATATGTGTTGAAGTAGTTGAACTTGTCGAAAAAGGTCTCTCCAGAGTCTGTCATCATCAGTCGGGGCTCTTTGCCGAAGCCGCGCACGGCTGTTCCGTACATGTGTCACTCAGCTTGTATGACAGCTTCGAATAGTCGGGGTAACGGTTCTTGTTGTTTTGCGTGACGACGACGGCGACGATGATAACGATAATGATAATGATGGCGGCACTAACACCGGCCCAAACCCTCTTCTTCCATCCCCTCGGATCCCACCACGCCGCGGATTTCTTGCTCTCGTTGGAATACCCGTAGTCCGCCATGAAGTCGTAAGTCGAGTCGTTCATGGAATCGGGATACGGGGAGAAACCCCTGGGCCAGTCTGGGGTCTTTATCTCGTCTCGAAAAAGTGGGTGGACTAACACCTTTGGAGGGACGACGAGGATCTCAGCGAATGGTTTGCCATTATTGGACGAGACGGCAAAGGTGCCTGGCTGCGCCACGAAGGCACTTGGGGGGAGATGTTGCTGTCGTCCCGGCCATGTTGCGGCAGCGCGAGACCGCGGATCCGGGGTGGGGGTGGGAAGCAACGGCTCTAGATCGAGGGCGACAGCGCGTGATTTGCGCTTCTGGCCAGGAAGAACCGGTTTGGGACCCTTCCAATATTCGAACGGAGTGTAGCCGAGTGATGAGCTTGGCCCCAGATTTGGTACCATTGTCTTCAAGCTGATACGCTCCCCCGAATTAACAAAGCGTCGATTACGCCTATCATACGTACTACGTACGCGTACGGGTGGACCGCTAACAAGGCCCAATGAAGGCTAGCCTAGCTGGCCGGCTCGACCTTGTGGGTGCAGGGTATGTCGATGCGTTCTCGCATCAGGGGAAGTAAATGCAGTTCCACGGCGCGGAAAAATTCGTATTATTGAGCCAGCTTTGCGTGTAATTTGCCTGGTGTGCCGAATACGGATGGTGACTCAGTATGTAAGCTGAGATGGGTTAAAGGCGGTACTTTGGTAAGTCGGCGTAGTATCTGGCAGGCGGCGCAGTCCTCTCAGAGGCGACGAAATAAAATTATGGAGAGGTATTAAAAGGAGTGTAATGTAACGCCATGCACGAACGTACGATAGATAGGATGGAGGGAGAAGAAAGGCCGGTCTGCGAGGGTGGGAAGGCCTGGAGAAATATTGGATCGATCGTGGTTCATCTTGGAGGACAACCGCCGCCAAGGACACGACGCGGGAGGGGAAAACATGATACATGCTGCCCAACAACTAACTGCCAGCTTGGAAATTGAGATTCAGCAGTGCGTCCGAGGTATGGATGGTCCCCTGACGTTCACATAAGTCAGGGGTAGGGCATAAGGAAACAAGAACGACTGGCACCGCCGCGGGATGCCAAGTTCAGGCTCGGATGCCTCTGAACGACGGCGTCGACGAGGTGTTCAGTGTGACTGTGGACCAGGGCTGGCTGTATGCTTCACAGGCTTCTGCAAGGCATTAGCAAAGGACACACGAACGTTTGACAGGCCAGGTCTTTGGTGTGTGCAGACGGCAAAACACCCAGGGCGGGGCCGGCTCAGACCTGAGGCGCACCGCAAAAGCCAAGTCTGTCATGCTGCGCGTTGATGGATGGCTGGTGCGTCCGGGGTCTCTTGTCTGGGAGAAGCTTCCTGTTCATGCTTTGAAGGCAGAGACACTTCTCAGGCATGAAGGAAGGGGCAAAAATGGACGGCGACGGAACACCTGGAGTGGGCATGCAGCGTGTCGTTGCAGCGCCTTTGCTGGTAGCAGGCGGAAGAAACAGAGATGGGATGGACAGGGAGGGGCGGTAGGGGATTGCCGGCCGGGGGGGTCCTTGACGCTCCGCAAGGACCCCCCGAGTGCGAACCAGCCGGGGATCTCTCTCGTCCACTCTCGTCCAGTTGCTTTCGATACTGGGGATGATGGACCGGATGTTAGGTGCTCACCACAATGATGGAGATCAGAAAAAATGACAGAGAAGCTGTCTCGGTCGGGAGTCAGGTGCTCGTCAGGTGCCCGTCAGGCGTCGGTGCGACAGGAACAAAATCCGAAGTGATGGTGCAGGAAGAAAAGAAAAGGTGAAGTTGAACTCGGATGAAGCAACCGGGCTGGAGCGACAGTTCATAGCACCTCAATGCGGCTGCAGGCGCTGCCACAGCATTTGGGGCCGAACGTCGCACTCGCACTAAAGGGCTTGGCGAAAGAAGCCAAGTTTGGGCGCTGAAGCCAGGTCTCAACCGTGGAGCTTCTCTCTAGCCCCTTGTCCGGAAGTATATCGCAAGTGTCACTTCTCAAATACTGCAGGGTATCCGTACTCCAGATCTAAACTCTATAATAGTGAAGTTGCTTATTATCTTGCTACTGTCTTTCGTAAGAACATCCATCGGTCGCATGAAAACCTTAGTAACCCGGCCAACTTTTGTCTTACATTTTGGATCAACCTTGGGTTGCCCTGTTGTGCAACCAACAACTCAAATTGGGAATCGAGAGACTGACACAGGTGATCGAATCGATCCACAAACCTGGTCTCTGAGAGTCGGGGCTTGCTACTACTACTATGCAATACATTGTATGGCCTCGGGAAGGAGTATTGGCAAACTACCCGAGAGTCAAAACTTGCAGTCTAGAACCTGGCATTTGGCCCCCCAACCCAACAGCATCCAGATCCACAGCGGACGATAAGCTTACAAGATTAATCTTTAATCTTGATATTCTTCAGCCCGTCCAACCCTCTCGCCTCAACTTTGTCCCCATCTTACTTCGTTCTTGACTTTATCCGACCGAGGCATCGCACCAGGTGTCATCACATCATCAGCGTTGGTTGGCCCCCAACCAACGTCCCGGGAGAGCCTCCGACTCAGAGCTTAACCAAGAAAAAAAAAAAAAACCGTAATGACACTGCTGCAACTGTTTCAACAACCATACATCAGTCAAGCTACGGACAATAAATATAGGCCGGAACGTCCAATGCCCCAGGTCCCACGTTTCCCACTCTGCCTGATCTTCGTCTCAACTCCTCTCCACCAACCCTTGCTCGCCTGATGTCTTGACTGCTGCTTTCAATGGAAGGGGGCGGGATGCAGCCAATGAAATCTCGCTGCGGCTCCCTCTTCGACTGCAACTGTCACTTCACCGGCACCAACACTTCTGACTGACAGGTTTTACCGAACCCCCCCCCCCTCTTCTCCAAGCCTACCAAACCCGGTTCCCGGTCGACGTGCCAAAATGACACCGTTCTCGTCCGGTTCTCGGCTTTGACTTGTTGAGAACACGAAAAGGTCCGCATGAACATTGAGTCTTTGAAACCATGAACGTCGCTGCGAATTCACTAGCCGCCTTTTTGAGCCTCACTACTCGCGCCCTACAACACTAGCAAAAAGCCTACGCAATCGTCCAATGATTCCAGATCAAAGCTCGCACCGCCTTCTGTAGGGAGCTTGCCAAAACTCGTGATTTTTTCTTCTTTCCCCCCTTCTGCATTATGCATACTCTGCCCCCCTGTGCTTCCCTCAACACCACCTACCGCCTTCTGGATCTTCTTCCAATGCCATTGCGCGAGTCGCCATATTAATGCCAACTAACTCCTGCTCCCCCACCACCGGCGAGACAAGTCTAAGCTTCTTACTTGTCGTGGCCAGATTAGGTATTCCTTAGTCCTCGTCCTCTTCCACGCGCGCCCGCTTTGACTGCCGGGAGTCACCATCCTGAAGTCCATATCCTCGCTTGGATGACGAACTTTGCTCTACCTCGGATAAAAACTTGTCAACATTGAAGGGGTCTGCGGCATCCTTTTCGAACTGCACTGGTCCTTCTCTAGCCTGTGAAAACAAACTTGTCAGCTTTGCGCTTGGACTTCATTCCTGGTGTGCTTACCTCGACATCTTCTGTGCCCTTGAACGTTCCTCTGCCCAGAGCCTCACCGAACCGGCTGGTCTTCTGGATCTTGGCCATCTCCTTGTCGCCCGCTGCCTCGTCCTCTTCGTCATCCATGTTGGCTCTTGGCCGGTAGATGTTGCTAATGACCTCCTGTGCAGCAAAAAGCGGCTTATCGTAAGGGTTGTCTTCGTTGAACCCACTGTCGAAGCCGCTTGTCTGGTTAAACAGCCTGGAATCGTACATGGTTTCCTTGGACTGGGTGGGTTTCGCAAGACCGAGCGCAATCTTCTCCGAGATGTCCCGGTTTTGCTCCCTTGCCATGACCTGGACCCTCCTCTCGGCTCCCATTCGTGACTGGCGTAGCTTCCTCTCCTCCTCGCGCATCCTTTCCTTTCTGGCTCTCTCTCTTTCCCGCACCTCTGACTCCTCCGAGCCGTCAGAGTCTTCCGAATCGGAGCCGCTGTAGCTGCGTGACCGGGATCTTGACCGCGAGTCGCGTCGACCAGCACCCGCGCGCTCCTCGCGAGCCTTTTGTGCCAACATCCTGAGGTTCTCCTCCTTTTGTGCCTTCTCCTTCTCTGCCAGCCTCTGCTGCATAGCTGCACGCTGTCTGACTTCCTCGCGAGCATGCCTGTCTGCAACGTACAAAGCCTCAGAGAACTGAGCAAACTTGTCGTTGATTGCGACGTCTTGAAGTCCGCGTCCGTCAGCCGCCAATCTCTTGTCTAGAGGAACAGTGAAACCCTTGGGGTTCTTCCAGTTCGAGACTGGTGGAGGTATACGCCACTCCTCTTGATCCTTGGCCGTCAGTTTCCGTGGCGGCGACCTTAGAACCGGAGGAGGAGGGCTCGGTGGTCCACGAGGGATCTTCTTGTGCTTGAATTTGGGAGGTTCCATAGGGTCTCGTTGTCTTTCAACAATCTTCATAATGCGATCTTGCTTCTTAGAGTTGTCGCCCATCTGATTCGCCGGCGTGTATCGAACAAAGGTTGGGTCCTTGCGGTTTCCCACATTGACGTTTTTGGGCTTCTGCGCGGCGACGGCGCCGCTGACCAGAGCTGCCAAGGCATTTTTGGTTTTCTCGGCTGTTGCAGCTACTTCCTCTTGGCTCGGTCGGCTCAGATCGATTTCGCCAGCATCAGCGCGCTGCCGAAGAGGAATGAGATCCTTGAACGAGGTGTGTACGATTCGGGTTTCGCTGTGCCCCTGACGCGCAATGGCGCCGTAGTCAAGCTTTCCTTCTCCGTCGACCTGAATCGCGAGCGCGTTGCTTGCCGTCGCGCCCTTCTTTCCCATATCGAGCGGGTACTGCGCAATCGGGATCTCGGGAAACGCGCCGCCATCGCCAAAGTCCTCGGGGCCTCGAGGCCGCCATCCTGCGCGTTGCTGGTACGGGGGAGGGCCGGATCTCTTCAGCACGATCTGCGTCTCGTCGAGCTGGCCAGCGCCCACGATACGTGGGCCGCGTTGCTGTGCGTGTGCGGGCACCTCTTCATCTTCGCCGGTATATTTGGGTTTCGGGAGGGCTGATGCCAGAGATGCCGCGATGGAAGCCATGATGGACGGCTAGTTTGTGAAGCTTTGGTTGAAGAGTTTGGGAAGATGTCACCTTGAAATTCGAAGGCAGGTTATGCGCCTGATCCGTTCTGGATTAGCGCTAAGTTTTAAGTGGGTCAGAATGGCAGTACGTACTGCCGCCTCACACAACCTCTCCTTAGATGCCTTAACCACTACCATACTCTTCAATGGACAGCAGGCGAAGTCAACATGTTTCAACAGCAGATCAAATTTCATCACTCTTTACATTTGGTTCGGTCCGAAATCCCCTGATTTCTGTGAAATAGGGCCACCAAAATTACTGAACTATACAATGGTAAATATCCGACATCACACCTGCTCAATGGCGAGCCTAGCACCAGCTGGGAGCCCATGGAACACAGCACTAGATTATTGGCACTCAACCGTTCCACATCTGATTTACTGCTCTCATCATCGAAACTTTTTCACTACTGAGTCAAAGGAGGTATGCCAGACAATAAAAGTGTTATTTTGATGCGTTGTGAGATCATCTACTGATCTACGTCTAGGTTACAGGTATTGTTTGATAACGTTCACGTTATGTACAGCGGCAATATATACAGTTGAAGTCAAGAGACACCGTTATCAAAGTTAAGACGGTCATATTACACAGCAATCCCCTATTGCTTACGGCACAGCTTGCTGTTCTGAGACGGCAGGTTACCCAGGATCATCTCTGACATCTCCCAGTACTCAGAACCGACACCGTTCTGGGCGTAGAAGACGTCGTTGGGGTCGTACTTCTTCTTGAGCTGAAGAGCCTTCTCGTACTTGGTACCCCAGAAAGCCTGGGTGAAGTTGGGCTCGATGTAGTCCGACTCGGACATGTACGCACCAGCACCGGGAGAGACATCGCGCCAACGCTGGAGCCAGTCGAAAGTGAGCTTGTCACTGGCAGCCTTGATAACAGACTCCTCAGCGGTGGGATCCCACATGGCGGCCGTGATGCAGTGCATCACGGCATCACGCCAGGCCGAGTTCACAGCGTTGTCGGGGTAGCCCTCGGGCGCAGCGAAGATGTTGAAGGCGACGATGTAGCCACCCTCCTCGACAACAGACTTGATAGAATCGAAGGTAGCGTTGAGCTTGGACTCGTCCTCCCAGTTCGCTCTAGGGAAGAGGCGACTGCCCTGACGGATGGCGTTAGATCCCCAAGGCTCCAGAGGGAAAGAGTTGGCCCAGGCGTCATAGAAGTTGTCGTACTCCTTGAAGACAGGCTCGACGTTGAGACCAATCTCAGCCCACTTGGCAAACAGAGGTGCGGTCAGCTCGCGGAGCTCTGCCTCGGTCATGTTAGGAGCCCACCAAGGACCCATGTCGAAGGCGGGGGTGCCAAAGTTCGAAATACGGAAGTAGCCGTAGTTGGCATTGTCAACTGCGTACTCGATGAAACCATCGAAGTAAATACGGAGAGCCGCCCAGAACTGGTCGGCAGTCAGGTTGGCACCAACGGAGAAGGCGAAGGTCGCGGTGCTGATCTTCATCTTGGGGTGAACCTTGACGACAGCAGAGGTAACGACACCGTAGGTCGAGCCACCGCCACCACGGAGAGCCCAAAACAGATCGGGGTTCTTGGTCTCGCTGGCGGTCACGAAGCGGCCATCGGCAGTGACAACTTCGAAAGAGAGAACGTTATCGGCAGCCATACCGTACAGACCAGAAAGCGGGCTGTGACCACCTCCCTGAACGTAGCCACCCATAACACCGACAGTCTGGCCCTCGCCACCAACGGCAGTGACGCCGTACTTGTTAGCAGCCTCATAGACCTCGAAGGCCCGGACACCGGCACCGAGCTTGAAGGCAGGGCCGTTGTAAGAGTCTTGCTTGTAGTTCTCGAAGAACTTAATTTCGTTGAAGTTGTGGGTCCAGATAGACAGGGAGCCAGCACCAGTTGACTTGGCACCGAAGTCATGGCCGGTATTCTTAACGACAAGGCGGAGGTTGAGGTTACGGGCGAAGTTGACGGCCAGCTGGACGTGGGCAACGGTGGTCGCCTCGACAACGTACGAGGGCAAGCCGCCGACCTTGCAGTTGGTCTCGCCGACGTTGATCGTGGGGGGCATGCAGTTCAGACCCTCGAAGAGAACGGCATTGATGGCAGTGGGGTCCTCGGTGTGGTAGTAGGAACCATTGACCCAGTTGGCGGTCAGGAAATCGCACTTGGCCTGGTCAAAGTTGCCGAAGTCATCGTAGCACACAGATGCCTCGGGGACGGTCTTGGTGAGAGCACCGCCCAACAAGAGATCGAAGATGTTCCATACCAGGCCGATGGGGTACAGGAAATCTCCAGGGTACGTCTTGCATCGGCCAAAAAGGGATCTCTTCTCGACCGAGGAGGTGTCCTCGAAACCGAACAAGGAGATGTTGGAGAGTTCCAGAGCCGTAAGGTTGGCAAGGACAGCATCAGTCAGCTGAAACTTCTCCTGGGTGGAAAGACCCGCGGATGTGCCTGCGACCTCGACGTCGGTGACCTCGACAGCCGGAGCAACAGTGGAGGCGTCGGCAGCTAAATGGCCGTCAGTTAGACATGATGCGAAGTGGCACGGAGTCGGGGTTTATCATGGAGCGCTTACCAATTTCTTGGCCGTCGACCTTAATAGTCTGAGCCGAGGCCAGCTGGCCAACGGACAGCAGAGCCGCCGTCAAAACAGAACGCATCGAAGACATGGTTGCCACGTGGTGTCAGATGCGAAATGCTGCTGATGGACGGATGGGAAGGGACGATCACTGAGGCGGGAGAAATGCGTCAAATATATAACGATTCAAAGGTTTGTGGTCACCAACAACACCAGCGGGGTTGACCGCGTGGAGACCGAGATGAGTAAATGGAACGCTGAGTTGGGCTGTTGGACGATACGGCAGACAGCCCGGAGCTGGTGGGCACAGAATAGCAACACCGGAAATGGTCTCGCTATGCAACCAACAAAATCGAATCATTGGACAACGAGGATAGCTTGCGGCTAGTGGAGACTTGAAGGCAATAGTCTGGCCGGTGCGCAAGTTATGGATTGACGTAGGGTATAATCCACGGTTGAGAGGCAATGTTTGCAGGGCTCTCTAGGACCATTCCTCTCGCAGAAGAACAAGCGAGGGGCGAAGAGACGAAGAGGGTCAACTATCGACGGGCGAGACCCCCAAAGCAACTGATAGCAGGCGGGCAAGCTGCAGGCATCTTCCGCCAGGGCCCCAGAAAGATCAGTGTCATATTTTATTGCAGCATTGAGGGTTTTCTGCGGAGACCCTTCAAGGGAGATGAGCAATGCTTGTCTCGTGGGAAGGAAGCACGGAAAATGAGGAAGGCAACGGAAGAGAGGCAAGACCTCGAGGGCGAGACATTGCCATGCCGTCAGGGACGACCGAAAAGTCTTGCGTAGTACGGATACAGAAGATAACATCCCCGTCGTCCACCTACGTGCAGCTTCCATCTCCACTTAGACTCGGCCCCGTCAAGGGTTCGGCCCAGATTAGCGGCCGTTGAGTGGCTAGACGTTGGATGTCGGGGCCTAGGACTTGGCTCCTTGGCCGAAATGGCGGCCCCCCCGGCACTCGCTAGGGACAGTGGCTCCGACCCCTGCACATCGTCGTTGTTCGGTCCTTATTCACCTGGGATGTGGGGGGCAGGCATTTAATATCTCGACTGAGGGGACATGCCCGTCGGTCAATTGGTCATTCTGCTCGCCGACAGCAGTGCCAATGACGTCCATCTACATTATCACGAAGAGAGCTCATTTATCATATGTATTTGGGCTAAATAAGCATGATACATCGGCTCCTTGCTCGAGGATGAATCGACTCAATCGTTGATCTCGGGCGACCGAGTCAAGTCGACAGTTGGTTGCTTCTCAAGGCTTCTTCAATAACTTGCATCCTTCCTCTTTCTTTTCTCCACGCGGCCCACTTGGCGGTTTTGCCATCGCCGCTGAATCCACATAGCCAACACGACCTCAGCTGGCCAGCACTTGTAATGGCGCTGACTGGACGGGAGATGCACCTGTACACTACGCTACTACGGAGAATGTAGTAGTAGACCAGATCCTCTTGATTAAAGTGGATACCCGCTACCAACGGAATCCCAGTGACTTGCCAGATCCGGCGTCTTCACAACCATGGTCCTCCAGGCCTTTCCTAAAGTCCTGATCATTACTGCGTAGTGCGCAACGCAGAACGCAGCCTGTCAGGGGAAGAGGCACATTGTGGTCAAGGCTCGATCGCTTCCCGCCGGAAGCAAGCATCTTGCGAGGACTCCAAATATTTACTATGGAGAGGGTTGATCACGATTGCAGAAAGGAATCCCCATGTTGTAAGTGCGAACCGGCTGTTTCAATTTTTTGGCTGGTTTTTAGATTCAGGAAGATCATATCGTCCCTTTTCTTCCACCTTACCTTCTTTACAATCATGCTTAAAGCCTGTAACGACTGCGCTGCGGAGATGGGGCCACCACCGATTTGGCCTTTGGGTTGCGCGGCCTTGGAAGTGTTCATCTCATTTATTGGATCTAGAAGCCTGCAAGCAATTTCTAGGGCCGTGATTCAGCATGGTAGCATCAGCTTCAGGCCGAAACCAGCCACGTTCTCACAGCCTTTGCGAGGGATTTCTTCGTGTAGGAATACCTCGTTACCCTTTTCGGGTCGGTTGCTCGGCATGGAGGAACTGACCCCGGATATGAACTGTCCCTGTTCCCCGAGGGGGCGATAGGCAAAGTCTGTGTGCAATTTCTGCCCATGTGGGTTTGCTTGCATATCCTACGGGACTATGGGATGCTGCGCACTGCCTCCTCACAGGTGGTCATCAAAAAGCTGCGCAGAGGCCCTTTCTACCCCCTTGATGCTATCTTATCGCCTGCTTGGTAGGCACGTTATGTGCAGAGCGCTTTTCACCGGGGTATAATATGATCTTCGATCGGTTGGATATTTTGTGTAAGTTCGACAAGATATGTTGTTGTCCGTGGGGTTTTTTTTTTTTTTTTTATATAGATCAATTTGCACAAACCTCAGCTGGTTGATAACGACAGCAGCTAAATGCGGCGATAAGAGTAGACGTGTGACACACAGTACGGCAGTCGCTAATTTTCCGACTGTTAGTCACGGCATGCAGTGATTTTTTTCTTCATTCCAACGTGGGCGACATGGTTTCCTGTCGGCTTCTGCAGCGGCGCAGCAGCCCTCACATACATGGGGGTTCTTTTTTTTTTTCCCTTCTCTTTTCTCCTTTTTTGTTACTCTCTTTTTATCTGTCCCCGTGATACTACTCTTCTCAATCCCGACAATCCAGAAAAGGCAATTCGTCCCAAGCTGAGTTAGGCCCATCTGTACGAATGTATAGTCCGCCTAGCCCCGAGTCCTCTCTCATCAACCTCGACCTTGGCTCTTGATTTTTCGGCAAGGTCTACCAAGTACGGCCAACCCCCTATTCTTCTGCAGGGCGACACGATGCCCAACACAGCATAGTCAAAACGCTCACTAGCCCGCCTTGTTCTGTCCGCTGCAGCCGCACTAGTAAAAAGTCCCTAGTGTATCCGTACAATGAACGGGTTTCACTTGGTCTGAACTCGCTCGCCGTACCCCAGTGTGTACCTGCGTCCCGGGATCCGACCTGGAAACTGGGTACAGCGGTGGCCAAGCCAGCACAACAACATAGTATCTTGTATACGAGCGCCAAAGTACCTGGTCCCGCAACTGTCGGCCCCACCAGTGACTGGCACGAAGGAATCGTTCGATATCCCACGAGATGAGGCCCCAGGGCTCCACGTTCAGCAAAGATGCGCCCGCGATCGCTAACCCCCTCGGCCTCCGCCCTGCAGGTGCGGCCTGCCTGTACGCTCGTTAATTTCTTGGACCTAAGGAAGATCCAGGCAGAAGTCGTGGAGACGGGGGCGAAATGTTAACGGACTTCGGCTTCCTTTCCCTTTTGGCGGCATGACAGGGTCACTCCCCTTCACCTGGGCTCTTCGTACATCGCCCCCATCTTTTGAAGTAAGCTTGTCGACGCCATCTTCACTGAATATGAGCCCATTCCTCACTTTTGACAGCTGTCAAAGAGATGAAAAAAGCACGGGAAGTGGACGCGCGGGGGACCTCTAAGTATGTGTATCATACTGAATCGCATATGTATCCAACGAAAACAGAAGTTGTTACGAAGAAGCAAGCATATTCTGACCGTCTTTCCCTGGCACGATCCGACAAGCCAGCTTAAGATAGATCGACGGCGGGATGGTGTGGAAAGGATACCATACTTTCGGGCGTCCTTGCTACATCCACGCAGGGCTGGACCACCCTCTTCACTTCTACTCGGCGACGGTCGTCGTCTCGGTCGCTCCTGTGTATATCCTTGTCGGGATGCGAACAAGGGGGGGAGGTGTCCTCGTGGTGTAGGGTTACCATCGAGTGCTTCTCTAGCTCCAGTTCTTCCATGGACACACCCACACAAGTGGTACAGAAGCTGTTTTGGAAGAGCAGGCGCCACTTGGGCCTGGCGTTCAAAATCTAGAGGTCACCCAGAGGCCCTCGAGCCTGCCGCATGCCGCCTCTCCGTATTTACCGACCCTGTCGCTGCAGAGTGGAAAAGGAAAGGTAGACCTATCCCTAATCTCTGTTCCTGTCCCGTCAGCAACCAGTAGTTAGCTGTGTCTATGTGTCCAATTAACTGGCTCCAATGCGAGCAGAGAAAAAAAAACAAGGCCTTCCCTTTCTAAGCAACTGGCAGTCTCAAACAAGGGGCAATGGAATATAGAATCGTCACTTGTCCCCAATCATTCTTCTTGAGTCGTTTTCCACGCCCTCGTGTCAAGAAGTTGGACCCCATCTGCCAGCCAAGGCTCCGGTGAGCTTAGAAAAGCTCTATCTATAGGGACGACCGATCACGAACGTCCAAGAACCAAGTGGCCATGTCACAGGCCATCGCGGCTCTGGTATACGCGGCGCAGGAGGCCCAGATAACGACCACGGCTGCCGCCGCCGCCGCAGCGACTTCTGCGCCAGCATTGCCTCCTGTTACCAACGACTACCCGTACCCGTACTCGTCTCTGCAACATATCGGTTTCTTTATCCTGTTCTTCTTTCCTGCTCTAGCACTCATTGTCGTGGCCCTACGGGTGTATTCTAGAGTCAGCACAAAGCAGTTTGGCTGGGGTAAGTGGCCCGCTGGATATGACCTGTCAGAAACATAGACCGTGGCTGAGGTCGGTTATGCGTTCAACTGGAATTGTAGCTAACAGACGTTGTAATAGATGATGGCTTGATTTGCTTCGCTATGGTAAGTTGGAGTTCATTATTCTGCTGTTGCTGTTGCCTAGGCAATCACTTACACAACTTCACCTGTAGGCAGAGTCCATCGCTGAGACGGGAGCATCGTACATGGGCATGCGAACCGGCTTCATCGGCATCCATGTTTATGACATACCTTTGGTGGCTGACCACCGCCTGGGCAGTCTGTGGAACTACATCATTCAGCTCCTGTACAACCCGATCTTGGCGCTAGTAAAGACGTCAGTTTTGATGTTTTTGTTGCGATTGAGCGGACAACAACGGCGAATCCGGTATACCATCATCGGTCTTAACATCTTCAACATCGCTCTTATGATTGCCATCTTCGTCACCGTTATCTTCCAGTGCCAGCCCATCAACTACTTTTGGGAGAAGGCCAGCCGCAACCCTCCAACGGAAGGAAAGTGCATCGACATGGCAGCTTTCTACGTGGGCACTGCCTCGTTGACCATCTTTACTGATGTTCTGGCTCTGGCTATGCCTTTCTGGATTTTCCTCGGCTTGAAGATGCCTACGCGAGTGAAGATGGCTCTCCTTGCCGTCTTTGCCCTAGGAGCTGTGTAAGTTACCCTACCCCCCTGGTTCATTGCGAAAGAAACACCTCCTCACACCTTCCAGCGTCACCGCAATCAGTATTCTTCGCCTTGTCTGGCTTATCGAAGTCTCTTACCACATCAACCTCAACGATCCGACCTACGATATCCGCTTCACCTACTCCGCCGTCGAGACTAACCTCGCCATCATCACGGCCTCGGCCCCGGCACTCCGTGGTCTTTTCCTCCGCTGGTTCCCCAAGTTCTTCGCCTCCCTCAAGAGTTCCTCCAACGGTCGATACGGTTACGGCCGTAGCGGAGACCCTACCAAGAAGTCGCGCGTCACCGCAACTGCAACGAGAGGTCGCAGCACCACACATACCGAAAGCAATACGTTTCAGCTCAAGAATATGAAGGGACGCTCAGAGATCAGGTCACATTCGCCGACGACGAGCGAGGAGGAGATTATGACGTATGATGGCATTATGCGCACGAGAGAGGTCAACATTGTCTACGATGACAAGAGGGATTCTACGCCAAAGGCGGGCGGGAGGGAGCCCATGGACCCCCCTGGACGGAGCCAGTATGAGAACAAGCTTTACTCGACCACCAGTTCGGGAAGTTTTTAGGAGGGCGGGCACTTCCTTGATTGCTTTTTTTTTTCGACCTCGCCTTGTATTATTCTCCGTCGGGCCTCCTTTTTGATGATGATGCAATACTATATACCTCCTTGTTTTCTTTTTTTTCTCCATATAGAAACGGATACCTCAGATACATAGCGAAACGTCTTATCGATATTACACCGGAGCCAGACGTGGAAGTTGATCACGAGCCATAGTCGGGCGAATGGAAAAAAAAAATAATAGAAAGAAGCCCATTCACACAAGGATGCATGTTGTTACAATGGCATATTATAGTGACTTGTACAACCAAAACAAGGAGAAACATAAAACGCCCATGAGAAAGATGGGGGCCAATGATACCCCATCGCAATATAATTGATACTCGCATATACTGTAGTATCTGCCTTTTTATCCACCGCATCACCGGGAGCGGGCTCGTTTAGATCACATCCGCTTTTTTTTTTTAATCCTTTCCTTCTATTCTTTAACCCTCCCCACCCCCCCATTGCGAAGGCCTTCTCGAAACCTGACGTGGCTGGAATAGGGTGTTTCTAGCGCCTGAGGTAGGGCCAAGCGTATGCGCCACAGTGGGTGTGTGTGTGTGTGTGTTTGGGCCAAGAAAAGAAACAACGACGAGTAGGGGGGGAAAAAAGGGGTCCCAGGAACGAAGACGTCGAGCGCACGGTCAGAATAGGGAGAAAGACGTTATGTTATGGGCTGGAACGTTACACGAAGGGAAGGGTTTAAAAAAAAAAAAAAAAAAAAAAAAGAAGAAGGTAAACTTGGCCAACCTCCCGTGATGAAGAACCAGGTTTTGTTAAGTTTACGCCGGGGATACACTCATGGGAGGTTGGTTTGTCCAATTTGCCCTTGGTGGACCACACGGCGAGATCCATTTCTTGGGCGGAGCCGGTTTTTTGTGCAGGATCTAGAGAGCACTGAAGAATGCTTTTCATGATTGCACATGCCGTCACAACCACGCTATTTCCGAGATTACGACGTATTCCGCAGATTTTTTTTATTCCCCCCTCTACTTCTCCCTTTTCTATTCGTCTTCATTAGACAGTGGTTCCTGGAAGGGAGGCTTCTTTATGCGCAGGCGTTGGCAGAAGCACCGGCTGTTGACCGAAATGCATCACTTGGGGGAAGACCGTTGACAAGGGCGTTTGGCTGGATGGAGAGGGCTGGAACATGTACACGAGCTGCTTCTCCTCCCTTCATCAAGGTCCACTACGCAAACTTTACTGGAAGAGAATATCGCTCCGTTGATCAAATCGTTGGCCAGTGAAGGTGGCTCCCTGTCCATGTCTCGAAAGACGCCGACTAATGTTGGCCGGCCTGTGACTAGAACCGGGAGACTGCAGCCCTAAGAAACTGTCGAGTGGGCGACATGGCACCGAAGATACGGCTTGCTATTTGGTGAATAAGTTGGCCCAGGGGTGGAGATATCTCTGCCGCCTTATGAAAAGGGTTTTTCCGATCGCTTACATCTCCAAGACAAGTTGGCTTGGGATACTGGATAGCGGCGGATACTGTGCCATAGAAGCATGGCTGCTGAGTCTGTCTTTGCGGCCGGAAGGTCGGCAGTTGCCAACGCTGTGTTTAATTCTGAGGTCTCGTAAGCCTTGGAAGAAGGGAAAAGGGCGCACGACGCTAGAGGCCGGGAGAGTGCAACTCATGACTCGGAGGTTCGCTGGAGAATCTTGATAATCTCAGCCCTCCCCCCCGAAACCAGGGATCGATGGGCTAGGGCGAAACAAAAGTTCGCAGCCCTGTTGACGACATGCTCAGGTGGTGATTCAGAATCTGCGCCTCCCTCCATTAGTAGTCCACGTCTCTTGAAGATTTCGCGGTCTGCACATTTCCGTTGAAATTCGAATGGGTCTAATTTCAGAGCCCCCTTTCCGCCCTTGATTGCTCAGTCGCTGGGGTATGGTCTGGACTTGGCCGACTCTTTTATTGTTTCTTCTTCTTGATATCACGACGTCAGATGAGCTTGTCGAAAGTTTCCGTGGACCAACATTAAAAAGGATTCATCCGAAAAGCCCGGTATTACGTTCCTTAAGATGGAAAAGAATGAGCTCGGTCCAGGAGATACCGTATCCTTCCTCCCTGCGTATGCATTGTGCGCATATGATGTAATTATCCGATAGCTTGGTCCAATTGAGTTGTCGCAGATGAGGAAACCCCCCACCGCGGGGTAGCTGAGGGGCGCCAGAGCCTTCCAGCATCGTCAGAGCAACAAGGTCATACCGCGACAATTAACAAAGCGTCAACCCATACCTTATTCGGCCTTTCAAAGACGCCAATTCATTGTCGTTGTGCTGACACTTGATTGGAATAATAACTGCAAAACATGGCAGGAAAGGACGTCGTTGTCACGGGTGCCTCTGGCCTGTTGGGAAGACAGGTTGCCAGAGCCTTTGACCGCAAAAACTGGAATGTCAAGGGCACTGGACTCTCTCGTGCGGACAATGTGTCTGTCTTCAAGGTCGATTTGGGCAAAACCGCAGAGGTTGAGAAGTTTCTCGACGAATCAAAGTGAGTTGGCCTATGGACACACTCAATGGGCAGTATTTAGTACTAACAGCTTGCCGTAGGCCTCAAGTAGTCGTTCATTGTATGGTCAATACCCATCCGTGAGCATGTAAACTTACTCATTAGTCAAACAGGCGCGGCTCAGAGATACCCTGACAAGGTAGACAACGACCCGGATGCTGCCAGGGCCCTTAATGTTGCCGCTACCAAGTCGCTAGCTAGCATTTGTGCTGCTCGGTCTGTTCTGCTCATCTACATCTCCACCGACTATGTTTTCTCTGGAAAGCCCGGCGAGGCCCCCTATGAAGCTGATGCTCCTACGGGCCCTACTAACCTGTACGGCCAAACTAAGCTGGACGGAGAGCATGCCGTATTGGAGGAGTACAAGCAAGCCGGCCGCGAAGGCCTCGGCCTCGTCCTTCGCGTACCTGTTCTGTACGGAAAGGCGGAAACTCCCGCCGAAAGTGCCACCAACATCCTCATGGACACACTGTGGAAGACGCAGGACGGCCAGTCCAAGGTCAAGATGGACCACTGGGCCATCCGATACCCTACAAACACCGAAGATGTCGGACGTGTGTGTCATGGTACGCGAGAATTGCCTCTCAAACTTAAATGCAGTGACTGACATGGCATCAGATATCGCCGTCAAGTACCTTGAGGCCAGCGACCGCAGCTCGTTCCCCAAGGTTCTGCAGTTCTCCAGTGAGGACAAGATGACAAAGTACGAGATCTGCCAAAAGTTTGCTGAGATCATGGACCTCTCCATGGACGGTATCATCGCCAACACCGAGGGTAACGACCCCAATGCCAGTGTCCAGCGGCCGTACGACTGCCACCTCAGCACACGGGCGCTCAAGGACCTAGGTATCGACGTGTCGACGAGCGACTTTATCGGTTGGTGGAGACGCGAGGTGCACGCCTTCCGCCATTGATCTAGATTAGTGCCAGTGCGCCCATTCGAATCGACGATCTCTTTGTTTGGGGGGGTCTGAGACGGCGGATGGGTGCTGGAGCTTGGAAGAAAAATGCCATTATGTTTGCAAAATTTGATGTGCCTTGTGTTCCCAGTCATGGCGCGCAGAAAATATTCGACGACGCATCGAACTGCACAAGACTGTGGTAATCTCTTGTGTTGCAGATGTAAAGGCTGATTCTTTGAGCAGCCAACTCACTCCCATGAGTCAGAATAACTAGAGACACAGAGTGGGAGAACAACGGAGACAGGGGGCAGAGAGTGAGGGACTCAGGAACGAGACCCATTCCAAATTGCGACTTCGTCCCTGGCATTGACATGCATCTCGTCACACGCTGATAGGTTTCTCGGCGTGGACGGCAGTTGGCGTGTCGCATGCTGTCGGAAATTGTAAACACGACACGTCCAAGACAGAGTTCAGAAATCGACCTGGAATGTGCTCCTAGGAAAAGATGGGATGGCACAATCGAGCGGGGCAAATTAAACATGGTTGACTCTGGCATTCGGCATACATGGTGCAATCGCGCTTCGTGGTGTTGCGTGCCTTTGACCCTATTCGGACGCGTTTTCTGAATAGGTGGCCCTTTTCTCCATGTCTCTCGCTACGAGAGATGCAAAAAAGCCTCCCTTGCACATTGGCAGCCCGTTTGGCCTTGACTTATGGGAAGGAGAGTCTCGCCACTTTTTTTTCTTTTTTAATTTATCGTTGCTTTTATCCTTTTCGTACCTTGCAGCATCCCTGCTTTGCGTCAGATCGTCAGTGGGTGGCAGCGACAGCAACAGCGACAACCAAACTCGTCGTTAATTATCTCGTTGCTTTATTTGCGCCGTTACACCAAATTTTCGACTAGTCAATGCGTCGCCAAATTTCCTAACGGGGGAAAAGAACAAAAAAGGACGGTTGAGAGTAACGTTTCTACATTGACATCGTCTAACAAATCACTTGCATGATCTGCAGGGTCCTGGGGGAGGGCTGCATCAGGACGCAAGATAACGTTCAAGTGTTCCCTGCTGGGCTGGGGGATCAGTTCCGAGGTCCCAGCGGACTGGGCCGCTGCCGTAGCCGCTACGCTATCGCTATCGCACCGATACCATCGACGCCATCGGATGAGAATCCGGGGGATTTACGGAGCCCTGTCGACTGAAGTGAATCGAGTTTAATTTTTCTTGGGACGAGTGAAACACAGATCAGATTGTTTGAGAGCGGATCAACGCAAGGCAAGCAGACAGGCATACACGCGCGCACAATTACAAAAACAGAATGGAAGCTGAAAGCACTCGGCGTATTAACCGGACCATGTCCGCAGGCCCAGGGCCACCAAAGTCGCCTGCTCCGCATCCACCACGGCGGGGTCACAGCGTTACCGCCGGGAGGCTTGCTCCGTATATCAGCATGCGGGAGCACAAGAGCGTACTGGACTTTGGCCGAGACTGGAGGGACTGGGAAGTGGACATTTTTCGGGATGACGACGTCGTGTCGAATGCCACGGCGGAAACGGAAACAGGCACCGCGACAAGCATTGGCGTCGGCATCGGCATCGCAGTTGACGAAGAGAGCGTTGATGACGGCGGGCAGACGCATACGCCAGCCAGCAGCAGCAGCACATTGCGGATACACTCTACGCCATCGTCTTCTGCGAGGCGGCGAACTGCGCCGGTCCACACTCTCACAGAACCGCGGACACCGTTGCAATCAAGACCTCAATCGCAATGGCAGTGGCATGAGACGACGAGTTCCAAGGCTGTCAGCGATGGATCCCCCGTTTGTGGTGGCTACAGTTGTTATGGCGCCGGTTGCGCAGCTACCTCTCATTCTAATTCCTCCAGCGCTGAATGCGTCCCTGCGACACCCGAATCTCCTGTCCGGTTCAGCTACCCCAACCGACGTAGGCCAAAAACAGCCCCCAGTGTGGCCGAGAGCCCCTTGCAGGGGGGTTCACCCAGACCCCCAAGTGAGCCGGGTTCCTTATTCTCCTTAGCGCGGACCAGTTCCGGGTCCAGGTCCCCAGCCCCAGGGGTTTCTTCCACTCACACTACGCCAAACGCCCTTGGCCTGTACCCGCCCGCCCCATATGCAGGATCAGCGTTATTATTTCCAGCGTCAGCTGCTGATGCGGCACAAGCACAAGCGCAAGCACTACTTGCACCATCAGCACCAGCACCTGCGCCAGTGCCAGGAACAGTATCAGCTGCAGGACCAGCGACTGCAGCACCAACAGTACCACCACCGCCGCTTCCTCTTCTTTTCCCTTCACCTCCAACAGCATCATCAGCACGCGACCTCCCACCTCCAATACCCCAGCTGAGACCTCGCTCTCACAATCCAATCTTAATCTCCACCTCCTCGTCATGCGCCGACCTCAAGCTCTCTGCACGAGCTGACCACGCTCGTTCTCAAATCATCACCAAACTCGCCCTCCACCCACTACCGCCATCACTACCACCCAGCAGCAGCAACGAGTTTGTCGAGGAGGCCGAGTGGGAAACAGACCGTCAGCAACAACAGCAACTCCAAGAAGACGAGGACGAGGATCGTCGGCACCAGGACCTAGAACAGGAGGACGCTGTCCGTTGGGCCAACGAGGTTGCGCGTCTTGAAGCAGAGACCGATCGCATCTTGGCAGAACAGAAGAGGAAGGATCTCGCTCGACTTCAGGCTCAATTGGCTGCTGTCCCCGACGCCCCGCCCCGCGTACGATCGCCTATTGTCGACAAGTTCGCATTCTTTCTCAGAAAAGGTCGCAGGTCCGACCCTACCACCCTTTCAAAACCTTCTCCTACAAACTTCCAGCCTCTCCCACCTGATTATAGACCAGCCAGTCTCATGGACCCTACACGCTTTATCCAAGCCGGCGGCGGTGGCATTGTGCCCCAGACCGATGCTCCAATTACAGCCAGCAACGCTGGTGAGCGCGTGAGTGAAGCTGTCCTCCCCCATGCGGAACCAACCAGCCTGATAACCCTGTCCAGCGAGTGACGATACGTTGCCTGCAGTCTTCAATCAGTCTGCCGGTTACCCCCGACACAACCCCATCGGATATTCTGTATTCGGCTGCCAATCTCATGACCCAGAACATTAACCCAAAAACCAGCATTGTCGTGGAATGTTATTTCGCCTTTGGTCTGGAGCGCCGACTCAGGCGTTATGAGCGCGTGAGAGACGTCTTGAACTCTTGGGACCGCGACAGCCAGCACTGCCTACTCATTATTCCCGGCGACTCTGTCGACAATAACCCTGACTTGAACATTGACGTCGTGCCCCGCAGCATCGACCCCCCACCTGGTCTTGTGAATTTCTCGCTCTACCATTCGTCGCGACCAGGCAAATGGAACAAGCGCTACATCACATTGATGGAAAATGGACAAGTCTTTTCCGCCAAGAAGAAAGACGCCAAGCTTTCGGACAAGGACTCTGTATCACTATGCCATCTTTCAGATTTTGATCTCTACTCAGTCACAGAGAAGGACATGTTGAAACAGATCAAAGCACCCAAGTCAAATACCCTCGCCGTCAAGAGTCAGCAAAAGTCTAGCGTCTTCCAAAACACTGAGAATTTCATTCACTTCTTCTCAACAGATGATGCTAAAGTTGCAGGCGAATTCAAGAAAGTTTTGCATGCATGGCGCAGTTGGTATCTGGCCAATAAGAAGGTCGATGTGAGCAAGACAAGGAAAACACAACACGGCTCCGGCGACAAGCAGTCTTCCAAGACTACTGGTCTTGCGAGGAGCGGAACTACGCACCGACACAAGGTATCCGTCGACGAGACCCCTTATACTATTGGAACGTTTTCCCCGCTCTTGGACATGGACCGGTTCGAAAAGCCGATTGATGACTTTGGCAAGGACTTGTTGCCAGAGAAGCAATCAGCACGACAAGCAGATCACCCTTCTGGATCCAAACAACACAAGGTCGTCTCCCGGTCGAGGACGACTCCAAATCTTAGTTCCGCGCACCAGGTGCTGAAGAAGCACTTTGATCCGTTCTCCAGAGACAAGGATTTCAAGGCTGGCGGTTTGCTTGGTCGAACGTACGAAGGACGTAAACAGCAGGCAGAGAGGAATGCGGCAAATGCTGCTACCGAAGAATATTCGCCTGGTAATCCATTTACTGGCGGACACTCACTGCTGAACAACTACCCGGAGCCCGAGAGACAGATGTCGGGACAAACGTCTGGGCTGCCCGAGAGAAGGGGCACTGTTCGCACATCACGGTCGACGGCGGAGTCCACGACGCAGCCTAGAAGCCGATCCCGTCCGCCGGTTTCCCTTGCCCCCACATCATCACGCCCTAGAACATCGGATGGACCATCACAAGGGAAGCGTGAGATGCCTCAGCCTCTCGTTGACTTGACGCCAAGGGTTCCCGATTTGCCCGCCGCCTGGCGAGACGGCCATGGCCGCGGTGTCAGAGCGCCGAACGGTACTCCCCTTATTCAAATGGCAACGGGCTGGGATAATGCTCCAGACGCGACGATGGCACCGCAGCTACCAACAGTTACTCGCATGGCCACAAACAAAGCGTACCCCCCTCAGCGCATGGCATCGCAGTCTGCCGCCACGAGACCCAGGAGTCGCTCCACGGCTGGTAATGGTGGCACGCCAGTCCGGCGCGTCGTGTCCAATGAGCAGCCGCCAATTCCATCATTGCCGAGACGCTCATCAAAGGAGAACGACGAGGACGTTCCCTTGATTAATTTTGTGGATCGCGAAAGAGGGCGCGATGCTAAGCCGCGCGCATCACATGGTCTTGGCCGTAGCGGTACTGTTAGACATTAAATCTGGCCACCCTCTAATTACAACGGGCTTGTCTCAACTGTGTCTCAGACCGCGGAAGACGGTATAGTAGGGCTCCTGGCAAAAAAAGAAGTTGAAAAAAAATGTAGGGAAAAGGGGAGGCAAATTTTGGAAACCTGCCGGATGATGGCCCGTGAGGCCAGGAAAAAAAAACAAGATGGTCTCGAAAGAGACGAGTAATGGGCTCAAAGTAAGCCGTGCACGCAGATCGGGGCGTATGGGGCCATTTTGACATTGTAAGATACCCGGTTGTTGGCATCGTGTCAGGTCAGTCACACAGAATCGACGGGGACAAGATCCCCTGGGGAAGATCTGGACAGGAAATCTTTTTTTCTAATATTTTCTTTTGTTTTCTTAATATGCTATGTATGAATCTAACGGTCTATTATCGTCGTCTTCATCATCAATCAATCAATCAATTGGACTCAGGTATCTTTTCTTTTTGTCTTCTTCAATGCCACTTGTAAACCGGTCCTGGCTGGAAATGCTGCCACATTAAGGTTTCATTGTGTGATGCGCGTGCTCATCGTGCGTCGTTGTTTTGCTTGCTTGCTTTGCTGACTGAGTAACTAACCGACTGACTGGCAGCTGGTGTGGGTGCGGGTGTGTGTGTGTGTGTGTGTGTGTGTGGTGATGACGGCGGTGCTGGGGGCTGGTAAGGCCTCTTGTTTATTTGCTGCGCTTGTAGATCTTGGCCAGGAAAGCGTCAAAGATGGACTTCTTAAGACCCTCGCTCTCGTCAATGTTGTTGATCATGTCCTTGATCTCGTTGGCGCGCCTCTCCTCGAACTCCTCGAAGCGCTCCTTCAGCTTCATGTCGTCAAAGAGCTTCTTGATGACGGCCTCCTTCTCCTTGTCCTTCTGGCCGTAGTTCTCCTCGAGAATCTTGCGCTGCTCGGGGGTGGCGAGCTGCAGGGCCTGGTTGACAAGCCAGCTGCACTTGTTGTCCATGATGTCGGTGCCGATCTTGCCAATGTGCTCAGGAAGGCCAAAGTTGTCGAGGTAGTCGTCCTGGATCTGGAAGTATTCACCAAGAGGAATGAGGATGTCCTCAGCCTGCTTGAGGTTCTTGGGGGTAGCAATGTTCAAGCAGTGGAGCGCGAGGGCGACGGGGAGGTAGAAGGAGTAGTAGGCCGTCTTGTAGATGACGATGAACTGGTACTTCTCCATGCTGAAGTTGTCAAGGTTGACCTTCTCCTCGGGGGCGGTCAGGAGATCGCACAGCTGGCCAAGCTCGGTCTGGAAGGTGACCTCGTGGAAGAGCTCGAGGAGGTCGACGTAGCTGGCGTGCTCGCGGAAGAAGCGGCGCAGGAGAGTGTAGATGGCCGACTCGAGCATGAAAGCGTCGTTAATGGCGACCATGCCAACGCCCTCATGACGGTACCAGCAGGGCTTGCCACGGCGGGTGATGCTGCTGTCCATGATGTCGTCGGAAACGAGGAAGAAGGCCTGGAGGAGCTCCGTCATCCAGCCAAGGGTCGCGGCCTGGAAGTATTCCTCCTCGTTGAGGGGCTTGTCGAGGAGCAGCGACACGGAGTCGGGAACGGACATGCCGCGGTTGCATTTTCCGCCGAGTGTGTTGATCTCGAGACTCTATTGTATGCGCCAATCGGTCAGACTTTGTTCTTTCTTTATTTTTTCAACTCCCAAAATTTTCATTCTCATTCTATGTCTCAACCACCCCCCCTCACACCAATCTTGGCAGTAAATGGTGGTGGTTGCGATTTTGGTGTTGCAGCATGCTTGCCTTCTTGTACCACGCAAGCTCCTCCTTGGGAAGCTTGTACTTTTGCGCGTGCTCGAGGAGGACCTCTTCAAGCTTGGGGAACACCGATTCGAATTCGGCGAGGGTCGTTTTCTTGGCCATTTTGACAGGTAGATACCGGCTGCGGGGCTAAGATCGAAAAGGGGTAGGCTGTTTGAGGCGTCGTGGTCAGTTTAAACGGTCAAAAGAAAGTGGTTTAGAGTGAAGCGCCGTGAAATGTGGAGGAGAGCCACTTTCTGGGGAAAACAAGGAAAAGGAGGGAGGAGGGACGAACAAAGGGGGAATCCGGGATACAAATAAAGAGGTTTGCTGTTGGGAAATCTCCGCAGGGTAGTTATCGCAGATTAATGCGCCAGCGTAAATAGTTTTACACCGAAAGTGCGGGCAAACAAGGTACAGTTTGTTGGTACCAATTGGCAACGACCCCTCATCCGATCCTGGACGGCCAATTTTGGCAGGCGGTGGAGGGGTCTCCAAAGTGGTGTATCAACTCGGCCGCTGTGCTGAGCCCCCGGCCGAGTGGGGCAGACATTCAAGATGACAGGCGCCCAAAGCGGTGTGATGAACCCTGTGCTGAGATTTTTTAGTGGTCGCTCACCGGGAAGAGGGGCACTTGGGCAATCACACTTGGTAGTAACGCCCCATTAGCGTCGTCGCGCACCCCCCTGCGCGTTGTTGCTGTGGACCGTTTTCTGCCGTCGAGCTTTACTACGTCAGGTTAAAGAAACACAACTCGTACATCGCCAACTCCATTATCCTCGATCAACATCTCCGGCTTGTTCTCGCCTGCGCGACGCAAAAGTCCGCTGTAAGACGTAATTGCATACCAAATAAAGCAAGAAATTGAACGCTCCCTGGCCGTCTGAGGGTCCTCGACGCGTACGGCAGCTGGATACACGACTGACCAACCTTTGATTACCCCCCCCCCCCCCGCCGAGGATGCGCAGAGATGTCACTCAACGAGAATGACCTGTCGCAGCTCCGTGCTTCTCTCCAGGATGCTGTTGTGAAGTGTTCCGAGCGATGTCTGTACTCGTCCGCAAAATGGCAAGCTCTCCTTGTGCATATGGGCAGGATCCCTGCACCAGCCCAGCTTGACTAACATGTTTTCAGGGCGGCAGAGCTCCTCAACTCCATACCCGAGACTCTGAACGATGTCGATGTTACCGATACCGACGCGCCATACGTCCCGACTGTCTTCACACCGAATGCGGATCCAGAAGAAGCTCTTTTGGAAGCTAGGGAGATTAACAAATACCTACTCGCGAAAGCCCTGTTCGATTCGAGAGAGTTCGACCGGTGTGCCGCCGTTTTCTTGCCGGATTCCATTTTGACCAGCATATTGAACTCCAAGCCTGAAGGTGCCTCGGGTACACCAAAAGGAAAAGGGAAGACACGGCCAGAGACGGAGACGAAGGGCACGAGCAGCAGCGAGCTGCCTAGGCTGAGCCAGAAGAGTTTATTCCTGGCGCTGTACGCGAAATTCATGTCTGGAGAGAAGCGCAAAGATGAAGACTCGGAAATGGTCATGGGTCCGCAGGATCTCGGAAATGTGGTCAATAAACAGCTGAACCCTGTCAGCCGATTTCTCAGCAACTGGTTCGACGAGCGGACGACGGACGATGGCGAGATCCTTGGAAGTCAGGGTTGGCTGGAATATCTGTGAGCGGACAAGCAATCATGCGATCCGGGCAGCTACTAACCGCCGACCAGATACGGTATGGTCCTTGCTAAAGAGAAGAACGAAGAAAAGGCCATGGACTTCTTCATGCGCAGCGTTCACCTTTACCCGATGAATTGGGGCTGCTGGCTGGAAATGACTTCGCTGATTTCACGGGTCGACGATGTAGGTTCCAGATGGCATGCCATCAATGGACCCTGAAGCTAACACATCTCAGTTGAGCCGCATATCGTCACACCTCCCTCAGAACATCGTCTCCTTTATCTTCCACCTTCACACCTCTCTCGAGCTTTACCAGCAGGGTCCTGAGCTAGCCAATTCCTTGGACCAGCTGTTAGGCATCTTCCCTACCTCGTCATTCCTCCTCACATGTAACGCGCTGCTGTCATACCACGCCAAAGATCTTGTAGCGGCCGAGCAACATTTTAGTCGACTGTTATCACTGCACCCTCACAGACTTGACTCACTAGATCATTACTCGAACATTCTATACGTTATGAATATGAGGCCGAAGCTTGCATTCTTGGCACATCTTTGCTCTAGTATCGACAAATTCCGACCTGAATCTTGCGTGGTGGTGGGCAACTACTACTCATTACTGTCGATGCACGAGAAAGCAGTGCAGTACTTCCGTCGGGCGCTGACCCTTGATCGGACTTGTCTCTCCGCGTGGACACTCATGGGGCATGAGTACGTGGAGTTGAAGAACACCCACGCGGCAATTGAATCGTACCGACGCGCAGTCGACGTCAATCGCCGGGACTACCGAGCTTGGTATGGCCTCGGACAGACGTACGAGATGCTGGAGATGCACACATACAGTCTCTGGTATTACAAAAAGGCGGCGGGGCTGAGGCCGTGGGACGGCAAGATGTGGATGGCTGTCGGTTCGTGTCTGCAGAAGATGGGTCGTGACCAGGACGGCATCAAAGCTCTCAAGAGGGCGCTACTGGCAGATGCTTATTACGACGTCGGTAGCAGCTTTGGAAGTGGAGGGGACTTCCTGAGCGGCAGGGGTGCTACTGGTCACTTGGATCCCGAGGTGCTCTACCAAATCGCGAGCATGTACGACCAATTAGAGGAGGAAGAGGAGGCGAAGGCTTACATGGAGCTCTGCCTCGCTCAAGAGGGTGGGGAGACGGCAGCGGACAATAATTTGGGCGATTCGATTGCGATTCACAATGATTCGCCCGGGGCTTCAGATGATGAAGGCAACGGAGAGGGCCGAGGAGACGGCGGGCACGAGGGTACAGGAGTCACTGCGTCGACGAGCAAGGCACGCATGTGGCTCGCGAAGCACGCCATGCGGGCAGCGGACTATACGACAGCCAATCGACTTGGAACCGAGCTTACTCAAGACGGCTTCGAGGTTGAGGAGGCGAAGGCGCTGGTAAGGGAAGCCAGGGCGCGGATGCGGAACGCGGAGATAGGTCTCAGTCCGTGATCCCAACATAGTAGGCAGAAAGTTCAAAGGCAAGGACTGGATGATGGGTGCTGCAAGGCCCTTGGCCTCGTCCGCCTTGTTCTCACCAGCATGAGCCGTATGCTGCAAAGCAGTCACACCAAGAGAACGGATGGTCGCCCGATGCGACGTGGGGCCACGGCCGTTACCGCAACGGACGATGGCTGATGAGCCAAACGGAAGTGGTCTCGTATACTACCGTCTGAGGGAACATGCGAACATATGGAGAAAGCCCTGGTAGAATCAAAGGTATAGCTGCCAGGGCAACAAGTTGAGCATGCGTTAGCGCACCCAGCGGGGGTTGGTGAAGGTATACATGCCCACAAAAAAACGGCGAGAGCCGCCCTGGCAGAGCACGGCTTCGTCGGTGAAGAGGAAGTAATGGAGAAGACGACTAAAAGGCGCTCAAAGCAGAAGGAGGAAAAGTAGCAAGAGGACCGTTACACTACGCATTCTTAGATCCTCCTAGTACATTATGATGAAAGATACCACGTTGTCGAAGCAGTGTCACGTTCAACTCAAACGTCAGAGAAGATTCCACAGCATGGTGATACAATCAAGGCCAGACCACCGGAGCAGATCGATCCCCTCCTGCAGTCCTGCCTCGCCGCGTGGGACGCGGAATGTGGCAATCGGCTTACTAGTAGATGGCCCCCCCTTCCCCCCTCCCAGCCTGATCTCACTTGGATCAATAAATAAGAAAAAAGGTTTCTTCATCACCCCCTCCCCCGCTCCCGCGGTGCGGTGCTACCTAATAAACGCGAACTGCCCACATTGTCGGTCCACCGTTCCGAGGGGAATAGTCAAATAAAGTAAGGGTAACAAGGGGAAAAAGAATGCAACGTTTCTGCCGAGCGTCCTCCATCAAGTGGGGGGGAGGAAGAGGAGGATCAGAGAAAGAAAAGCCAGTGGCTGGACGGTTGGTTGGCGGGGGGGAGAAAAAGATCAAGTGATGCAAATACGAGATCTGGCGGACCAATTTTTTTCTTTTTTTCTTTCTGTCACTCTTTGCGCTCACTCATCAACCAACGACGTTTGCACTTCGTACACGAGGTGATTGACAGGGCCTTGTGGTATTCCGACGAACCACGAGCTTGGCCCATGACCGGGGGTGTGGTGTGTTTCTGCTCAGTAGTTTGGGCGGCGGTTTGCGCCCCCAGGCTGGGATAGGTTAAAACCCCCCACTAAGCTTCACCCAACCCATGGCGCTAGCTTATAGTCGACGTCGAGTCGACATCGTCGGTGTAGGGTTTAGGCAGGCAGTTTTAGACTTGCCTGCAGAATGTGGGTTGGGGGAAAAGCAGGGCAAGGTTAACTAACCACGCAAAGCCCCGCCGGACGAAAAGAATAAGGAGGAAAAAAAGGAAAGGAAAGAAAGAAAAGAACAAATCAGTTTGCTCTGTTTGGTCGGTTACGTCGGGCAGTGAAGATGCGCTGTCTGAACCGGGCCTTTCCCCCCTCCTCTTGGCCTGGGGAATACGAGGAGGTGCATGAGGGGGACCCTTATCTCGCCGCTTGACATTAGTGGTGCGATGAGCGGGTTGCTTGTCTTGACCGGCGGCACAGCAAAAAGCTTTTTCTCTTTGTCGGTTCCACGGGATGCTTTTGAGGTGAGATTCATATAGAGAGAGAGGGACGGACAGACTGAAAATTGACGGATATGCAATGCAGTCAGCAAGCGTGGTTGCGGGTACATGTGAAATATTGATTCTTGGCGGCTGCGAAAGATAAGGGCAAGCACAATTGACTGGTTGGGGAGTTGGATATCACCACACAAGTAAGAAAGGTAAGAAAAGAGAGTCACTGGCAACTATTGCTAAACGTTTGGTGGTAGTGTTCTTTTGAAGGAATGTATCGTGAGGAGCTCCAGTTCGGCAAGCCTCCCCACGTATTATTGTATTCATGTAAGTAAGGACCGTTCGTATCCGATATGGCAGAAACTCCGACTCCGTCTCCTTCCCGTAAACACAGCACGCCTCCGTAGATGAACGGCCGAAAAAAATAGACAAAAATATGCCCTAAAACAAATGCCATATGGTATCATGTAGTTGTAATAAAAAAATCCCGGTTCATCGCTCAAACCCTTTTTTACCCGGCCGTTAAAGGAATGTGTAGAATGGAACGTGAATTCCTGGCGTAAATCCTCGCATTATGTCCTTTATTTCAGGACCTTCTTTTTTCCCCGGAAGTTATACCAAGATGATAGTCAAGTAATAAATTAGATATTGGACATTAAACAAGCAGAGCAACGAAGCCCGCGACCATGACGGCCGCGATGCCCGCGCCTAGCTTTTCGGCGCCGCTGCCGTCGACGGTGACGGGGCGAGTGGTCGAGGGGCTCACGGGCGTCTTGGTGGGCGGGTTGTGCGGCGAGGTGAGTGTGACGGGCGAGGTGTGAGCGATCGTCGTCTCCGCGGGCGGGGTGACGACGATGACGGTGGTAGTGGTGCCGTTGTGGTGAGGAGGCTTGGATGGCTTCGGGGGCTGGGGGGTGTGCTCGATAGAGGTGGTGTTGTGGTACGTCGGCTTGGGTGGCTTGGGGGTTCTTGTGACGGTGGTCACGAAGGTGGAGTTGACCGACGGGTGAGGAGGAGGGTGAATGGTCTTAGTGGTTGTGTACGGGGGCGGGCGGTGAGTGGTGATTGTGCAGGGGCAGTCTTGTGCGCGTTAGTTGTGAGTTCTTGACGGGGATAAGAGGGGGAGAGAACATACTGGTGATGGTAAGAGTGGTGGCTGAGGTTGCGGTGTAAGTGACGTTGTGGTGGACAAAGGTTGTGGGCGACTGTTGCTGGTTAGCATCATTATTCACTTGGTGATGGTTTAAGAAAAGACTTACAGGGCAGTACGTCTCGTACGCCGTGGTCACAACCGTGGTGTAGATGGTGTTGACATCAGTCTCCCCAGCGTAGGCGAGGGATACAAGCCCAGCGGCGGGCGCAAGCAACTCCAGGAACTTCATACTGGAGTGGGAGCGAGTGTTGCTGGTTTGAACGAAAGTGGTCTGCCGGAGGCAAGCTATTAAGCGACTGTAAGATGCGGTGGAAGCTGTTGCTTGGTGAGGTTATTCGATGCGTGTGTGAGTGAAAGGGACAGGATCCAGCCAAGCCGGGGAACTCGCTCGCCTTATGTATCACGAAGGCGGGGACGCCGGCCGGAGAGAATCATCGCGAACGTGTGCGTGCCTTGGGAACTGATGGCTTACACATCCCCCGGTTGTTTGCCTCGCCCCGGTTGCTTGGGCTGGGGGAGGTGGGAGGTTGGACTGTCGGGCGTGCCGCTTGCCCCTCCACACAGAATTCCATTCTTCCAAATGGCCTCAATGACGAGCCGAAAGAGCGTGGTGATGACTGTACGCACCTTGCAGCTGCCCTGTAACGCCGTGCCCAGATAGAGTCAAGAGGCGGGAGTGTGACTCTGTGCCAACGGGGTTTTACGGCTACGATACGAGGCGGCCCTCGCCGTGCCAGGTGCCAACCGCATGCTGCCACTGATTTTGCGTGATAGCGGGCGACCGTTTCTGACTTGTCGCCATTGCGAGCTCTTTTTTCCATTGGACCGGCCACTTTATTGATTTCGTTTTGGGCAAGTGACAAAATAGACCAGCAGGGGTTAACCGGTAGTCCTTCGTGTTGCCCGCCACAACGTTGCTATGCCTGGGGGGAGCATTTCGTCAAAACCCACGGGATCTTTCTTTCCTATAGGAAATGGCGAAAAATAGAAATATCAATCACGGTACTCCGTATGTGGGACATTTTTAATTGTTACTATTAACCAGACAACACCTCGTGTCGGCTGCGCTATGAGTCTCCGAGAAAGCGAGTCACTTGACCGCAAATTCGCGATGAGAATGAGGCTCGCTCGCTTGAGAGGGCACCTTCAATCCAGGGAACATCGCCAGAAGTAGTAAAGAAGAGGAACAGTAGGTCGGCCTCGTGTTCGGCGCTTCTTGACTGTTCGCGAATTCCGGGCGGTGCGGGGTGACTAAGATGTCGCGCCACTGCTTATGGATATGGAAAAATAGGCGGCACAGCCTACCTGTCAGCAGCCCGGCATGTATTAAGCCGTAGCACTGCAAGGGCTGCCATTAATGAGACTCAGTACTGTCGAAGTGAGTACATGTCCAAGACACTTGACTTGAATTGAACCTTTCCTGCCCTCGTTAGCCTGGGTAAGACAGCTCGGCTTCGTAATTATTGAATAGCCTAATGCTGGCGCGAAAACTGCATAGCTCTCCATAATCAGGACGCTGGACCTCGCCCGACACATATAGAAAGCGAGGCAACTACAAGCATCCAGTCCAGTTCCCAATCAAGTTGACGGCGAAAGTGAGTGCACTGTCTCTCAGCAGATGTTCAACCACATTGTTGTGACATTGTAAAACGCATAGAGACGTGCTTTGAGAACCGTTTCCTCGTAATAAAACAATCAGAATGCCGCTTGGCATGCGACTTGTCGATAAACATAGACTCCACCATCGCTCGATGTTTTGCGTGATATTAACAGGCACAATTGACTGGCGGCCACTGGTCAGTTAGGACGGTTTGTCGAGGTCGGTGAGAGAACCATTGCCAGAGTATGTACCCCGAGCAGCCTGCTTGGTATGATCTGAGCCCGACGGCCGGATGACCATATGGATAGTTCATGGTATGTCTGGCAGGGAAGTGAAGGGAATGCACCAAAAAAAAAAAAAAACAAGTCCGGGATGGACAGTTCAATTTGACCAACATGCCCTCTGCCTTACCTTGTTGGTGCCCACCAGCATGTATATCAGCCCCAAATCTGTCAGTTCGATCGATCGGCCATCAGAGACCAGGAAACTCCCCGCCAGGACACAAAGATGGATATGCGGGGACATTCATGTCCTCGGCCTCGCAATTCATGCTTCAAGGTTCAGGAGTCGACCAACAGGTCGTCATCGTGAGCGATGCCACTCCCAAATTGTCCAAAGCCACGGAAGCAACGGGACACTTCCGGACTGACTTCGGCCAATGCTCTTTGCGATAGCAATAGACAGCGGTCCGTATGGTGGAAGAAAGGCAAGCCGTCAAAAACCAAGACCTTCAGAGGGAAGACTTTTCACGTCGTAGCTTGTCTTGTTAAAGTCTCGACTCCGGTTCGATATCCGCTGCGGGCACAATCTGTGGGCAAGAGGGGAGGCACATGCCAGAGGTGCCGGTGAATGGCGGGGAGATAATGGGCATGATGAGGTCAGAGCCTGTCACCAGTCGTCTTCCCCTCCCTCTCAAGATACCAGTTTTTCCAGCAGACTGACAATTAGCCCTGGACGGTGACGATGTATGGGGCAACTCAAAAAGCCAGTTTGGCCAGGCCGTGTTGCGGTGTTCCACCGGCAAAAGGCTGCAGCAGTTCGGTGGAGAAACAGGTTAAGTTGATGGTGTGAGGGAATTCCGCAGACAGCGACCACTAACAGAACTGCTGATGAATCGATTACAAGCGAGCAGTTCGCATCCGCAAGCGGAAGGAAGGAACAAAGTAGTATGAGGAGAATGAAAACTGGGACGAGTGGAAGCACTCCGCGGCTTGGCATAGCTTACGGATGCTTAGGCAGGTACGGGTTACATAGTCCATGAGTTTCGTTGACGGAGCAGAGGGCCCGCATATTAGGCCCCGTTCTCGAACGGATGCTCTTTCCGTTTGGAGCAGGCTTCGCCTCAAGGTAAAAAGCATACGTACCTGCCGTCGCCGTCATAATTCCCTGGGATTACGGTGCACTGGGCCTGCCAGACCTGCGTAGGTCATGCAACGGCCTTGGTCGGACCGGAAAGTGAGCGATGATCAGTGGACCCGGCTGTGGTCTCGAACGGCCCCGTCCCAATGATCATCCACGGGCCGCCAAGGACATGCACATGCAACCTCTGCCAGCTGCACTGTTCCTGACGTACCTGACAACGGGCAGAAAAGTCTGCTGGATGAATGTTCGAACCTCTAGGATCAAGCACGTGTGCGTGAGACAAGGAAATCATATTCAGTGGGTAAGCAGTAATACACAACTTGGCCTGGGTGATTTTGATGAACAGGTCACCCACGGCGCCGGCCGGAATAGTGATTGACAGAACCCATCACCTTAAAAATTACTTTAGATACGAGCTTGAAGGCCGATTCACTAACCTTGCAGCCTTGCGAAGCCCTGTTGCTCCAGTGAGGCGCACTATAAAAAAATTGTTTTGCTTTTCTTCTTTTTTCCAAAGAGGTCTTTTATCGCCGTCGGCATTTCGTAGTTTTCACAGGACATTTGCGTAGTTCGCTGGCCGACTCGGCGAAACTCAGATGCGGCTACACAAAAAGACGGGCTGACAATGGGCTCGGCCGCTGGTTGGCGGGCCTTGCAGCACTCTGGATAAATGGCTCAGATGACTCAGGCCAATAGGCAACACAATGGGAAAAAAATCTGCTGAAAAACCAAAATTAAATCCCGCGAAAATTCAATGAGGCGTTGATACCTAAAGCCTAAGGCAGCCACAAATATGCAGGCACAGACAGCTTGAATGGCCGACACTAACAAATTGGGTCCGCAGGCACATGTGTGTTCCTTCCGGCAAGGTGTGACCAAATGGTCTGGCCAGTGTCCAAAAGGCTCTCTCAGTACTTTGTGTATGTACTTAGTCTGGGAGAATGTTAGCAATGACTCCTGTTTGCCGCTGAATAGCCTACCGTAGCACCCAGTTCCACTTTGGTCCTGTACACTTTCCCTACAGTGTTTAGGGCACCGCGCACTCGGGATGTGATCGACAGGCACGAACCCACTTCCCCCCCTTTACACCATTTCTGCTCTCGTGTCTTGTTCTCAGGTATGGCTACAAACCCCCCAGGAATACAACCTCAACTGCTGTTCAAAGGTTTTGGGTGTCATGGAAGTACCGCGGCCCAAACACCGTAAGTCGAATTTTTCTTCCCTGATTCGCCTACCAAAGGCCAAGACCCAGTTCTTTTGCTATCTTTCATTGAAGTTTCGTTCCCCTCTTTCCCCTCCGGAAGTACCTCTGCCAAGTCTATTCAACTCGGTGCCCATTCGTTGAGACGGAGCCTCTGCCAGGGAAAGAGAGGCATTTTCTCGTAGTTGCGTCGTCGCCTGTGTCGTAGGAGGACCCTGAAGCCCGACACGGGCGTCCTATTGCTGTCAGGCCGGGTCATGTTGATGGCCATATTACGTGTGTGGTTTTCTTTCTTCTTTCTTGGTGGCCGGAGAAATAGGTCTCTGCTCTAGTGAGCAGTTTTCGGCACTGCATCTTTTTTCTTTTCCCAAGTGGGCGACAAACAGATCAGAGGCCATCGTCCAATGTTGATCAGCCCCGGCTACCGTTGACTGCTGACTGCTGTCGTCTGTTGTTTTTTTTGTTTTTTTTTTTGGCCCATGGCCTGCATTTCGTCACATTGATCGGCCAACTGTTGCTGCGGCGCAGTCCAAATGAACCAGGACGGCGGTAACTTGGGCCCTGTTTTTTCTGCCTTGGCCATTACCCAAGGGGCATAGCCAGCACGGCACTCCCGTGCGCTCCCTTCCCAGCTTCCGTACCGGCTGCGCTGTCCGGCAACCTCGTCTAGGGGCGCTTCTCGGTAGTGGCCGGCACATCTTTCCTATCTCGTCAAGCCAGGCCGAGCCTCGGCCAGGGGCCCAGCCCTCGAGGGCTTAGTTGCCACGGGGGGTCAGGGAGTCCACGAAATCCAAGGAACTTCCCCGTCGTGGGTCTTGATGGGCCCTGTCCGGCTCTGAATCATGAGCCGCGGCGCTAATTTGTTTCCTGGGCTGCCTCGAATCGCAGCTGTTTTTCACACCAAAAGACTCTGTCTGCTTCTCCCCAACCTGTCAGGGCACGCCACGCGGAGTTGGTCCTTAGCGTCAGGAACCAGGTACAACTAGTTAGTGGTTGGCCAATGACGCCGCAAAAGGATGTTCAGAACGCAGATGCATCCTGCAGCTAGAAAAAAACCAAAACCGCCCCAAAGGCTGACGTCCACGATCCTATTGCCAACACGCACCTGCAGAAGGGATTTTTCTGGTACCTGGATACGTACCCAGAGACAGACGCCGCCGCCATGGGTTTACCTGGCGCTCCTACGAATACATGGTACTTCACAGATGTACCGAAGTACTTCTATCCGCACCGCCTAGTAGCTTGTCTCTTGACGCCAGGTACCCGTCCTCCTTGCCGCGTCCCTTCCTATTTTCACCCACGAGGCCGTGCTCTAGTCCCCCAAGGGGGCCGAAGGGGGCGGGCCTTGGCGCTAGGAACGAGAGTGAACCTCAGACACAGCCTGGAAACCTCCCAAGAATAGTTGTGGGCGCCAGAGACCTCCAGAGACCTGACGAGATGAAGGCTATGACATCTGTCTCTGATGTTGTTCGCCCTGTTGTCCCTGTTCCAACTCCAAACAACGGAGGCGAGCCAGCCATCTGGACAGCAAAGCTGAAATGAACTTTGATCGATGCCCAGTGGCATCAACCCGGAAGGATGGCAAACCCAGAAGGTCCAGACCAAAGAAAAACTCTGAGCCTGATAAGGCCATTAATCCCACAGACAGGTCCAATCACGGTTGATGAGTTCCAGAGGCCATGTACAAGTTACAAACCACTATTGTGACCAATATCCAAGCCCACTCTTCGATGGGGGTATTGCTCCATGCACCTCTGGGAAACATCCTCGGGCTGATGTCTCCACCAGAGGTGGTAGTCGACGTTTCCTTGACGCCTCCAGCTCCCCACACCACCATCTTGTCATGAACGAACGTACCTTTTTCCTGTCCTTCATTAAACATATGTATAAGTATGGCCCCGTTTCCTTGAAACCTCTTACCCTCTTCGGTTTTGAATCTTTATTCCCATCACCATCCTTTCAGTGGCCGAGCCTCAACACACTTTTGTCTTTTCCAGACAGCCTCATTCCTTTTCACTCAACGCTTTTCACTCCTTTGAAAGCTAGAGAATCCTTCCTAACGGCCACGGTCCGTTCCAAACAACTCGAGTCCACACCACACATCACCCATCCCGGGCATTTCGTTCTAAGGTCCAGCCAGCGGCTTATACCTTTTGACTATCCATCAACTGTCCAACTGTTGTAGACAACGTTCACAGTAACCTTTTCACAAACCAACCACTTTTCAAAAAGACTCGCCTCCGGCACTTACACACCAACAAGTTCAAAATGCAGTTCTCCAGCATCCTCGCTCTCCTCGGCTCCGCCGCCTTCGCCGTTGCCGGCAACACCATTACATTCCAGTCCCTGGACGAAGTTGACCGTACCATCTACTTTGTTGCCAACGCCGGCCTTGAGAAGCTCGAGGCTGTCGAGATCCCCGGCAAAGCAAACCTCACGGTTGACATTCCCCAGGCCTGGATCGGCAACTGGTACTCCATCTCCAAGGGCCAGGAGAACATCCCCGGCATGCTCGGCGAGGTTGCCTTCAACGGCTGGAACGATCTGACCTACTTCGACGTCTCTGCCATTGTCAACCCCAACGACCACGACGGCGTCAAGAAGATGTACCCGGCCTCCTCCAAGACCCCCATTTCTGGCTGTGACTTCTTCCCCTGCAACGAGGCCTACTACCTTCCCGACGACGTCCAGACCAAGGTTACCCACGAGACCGACATCGTCTGCACCCTCGGCAAGAACGGCGTCACCTCCATCGTTGGGCGTGACATTGAGGAGACCGAGAGCGTCAAGCGTGACTTCGTCCTCGGCAAGCACTAGGCTGTCCTTCAGCCCACGTGTTGTTCCTTTTTTCCACACTCACACAAAGGTTCCACTGCGGTATCTCGACGATCTCGACATCCGCACCGCGCTGAGCGCTACGACTTCATGACCCCTTTCACGATGAGAGAAGAACCCTCAAAAAGTTCAGCGATCATCTTTTTGCTTTTTCAAACACAAATCAAAAGGATACCCCCCCATCAAACCACACAGCGAGGATTTCGCCGGCGGGGAAAGGAGGCTATAGGCTTTGGGATATAGATCTTTTTCGTCTTTTACACACTTTTTCAACCACGGGGCGTTTCATTCAAGAGTCAGGAGCAATTGGAGTAATCTAGGCGTTTCCCCTCCCCCCGCCAAGAGGGAACCCAAACATCAAGAGAAGGCCGAGGGGGTATTATCTTTGGATAGTTACCAAGGCTGGGGTTCTCTGCTTTTACACTTTTACGAGCTTTTTACAGCTCACATTCTTGTCGCTCCTTGCGCAAACACTTAGGGAAACTTTTTCAGGAAATATTTATACAGAAGCAACTTGTTGTACCTACTAGAGAGGCTCAGAAGTTCCTTCACTGAATAGAAAAAACACAAAAACGTTCAAAACGTCAACTCACTGTCCCGTTGCCTCGTCCGTGTTGTTGATCCAGTCTGAGATAATTAAGGAACTCTCATGTTTGTCCCGAGTCGTTGCCCGGGTTCGTCTCATCTCGTGTATGTTTATTATGAATTTAAAATGAAAGGGAGGGTTAAATCCCCTCAAACTCTCGTCTGGTCTGGGGTGATCCAATTCGCTAAAACGGGGGGGGGAAGGGTCGTTCCAATGTCCGGCGATAGTCTGTGCCCATCCAACGGCTTAGAATTACTTCCAACGCAGCAGCGAGAAATAATGTACGTGCACGGGAAAAACGGCCCAAACGTCTTCATGACAACGTACCCAAAAGTAGAACGAGCACAAACCACCCTTTCATTAATTTTTATTTTTTACTTTTTTATGTTGTTTTCCTTACCCCCATTTCTTTTCCCTTTTTCCAAGGAACATGCGAAACCCCGGCCATCGTACCCTAGCACGCGGCCCCCCTTCATCCCGTCTCTTGGGATGAACACTAACGACCGTGCAATGAGGATGAAGATTTAGCACCATTAAAAACATAAGAAAAAATAAAAAATAAAACAGAAAAAGAAGATTAAAAGAGAAAAAAGGACGGACCATAGAAACCTGGTCCCGCATGTTTCAACAGGGCGCCGGCCTAGACGTTTCGCAACCACAACGTCGCACCACCTCCACCCCGTCCTCTCGTGAGGGTGGGGTTAGGTTTACGCGGTTCCGTCGTGGTCCCCCGTCCCCCTGGGCATTGGAGCTGGAACTGGGAGTTGGACCTGTCCACGCGTCCAGGGGGGGTCCCGGGAGAAATAAGGGGAAAAAAAAGGGAAAAGTCAGCTTGTGATTCGTCCGGGAGGCTATAATTGAGGATTATGAGGAAACGTCAGCTGTAATCAAAGAAGGAGGCAACAACAGCCACGATTGCTATCGTCATCTTTTTGCCTTCGTCTATGGGTATCTACATGTTCGTATCATGCGGCCTGCGGGGAGGCAGCTCGAGGGCTAAGAAACGGCGTGTTAGTCCTCGAGGTGTCCTGGGTTAATCCGAGTGTACGAGCTGGTCTTGTTTTCGAGTTTGGATCAAATCCCGTTGGGCCACGATTGACTCGCAAATGCATGCATCCAGGTATCACGCCTTCAACGAACGGGCGCGGCAGCTACCCGTTAATTCCCGTCCTGCAGAGTTGTATCACGCCGGAAACAGCGGCAACAAAGGCGTGCCGACAACCGGAGGCGGGGCCGTGTGTAACAATTTGAAAGCACCAGCAGAGATGTGCTGCGAAAAGGTCTGAAAAGAAACAACATTTCTCATGTGAATTTAGTGCCGGATACATGCTAGTCCGCTTCCACATGGTAACCCCTTTCGCCTTTCCTAACTACAATCACGTCGACGACGATGACTTCTTCGGCTCATCCTCGACCCCCGATGGCGATTCCGTCTTTCCAGATTCCTCTGCACTTTGTCTGCTCCCTGGTTCGGCCGTCGATGCGCCAGTGGAAGCCGTCGTTTCCGACCCGCCGTCTGGCTGCTTTTCGGCCGGCGGCGACGCGACAGTCTTGATGTCCTTGGAATTAATAATGTTCTTCAAGTAATCACCAGCGTCCCGAAATCCGTCAAGCTTGCCAAGCTTCGTGATGAAGAAATCCACGTCTCGCAGCATGCTGTAAGTCTGTTAGTAACCATCTCACATTTGTTGGGCTGCGGAGTACCTCACCTGTCCCGACCGGTATCTGTCTTGGGGTCTGCAGCTTGGAAGACTTTTCCGAGCTGGTCCTTGTAGCTGGCGAAGACGGGCCCCATAATCATTTGCACCGAGTTCTCCGGTAAATGTTTCGTCAACACTCTATGTAAAGTCGTGGTTTCTTTCGCCAAGGTCTCCATGTATGAGTGTGCCGACTGGCTCTTGTCCCCATCCCAATCGATGGCCTTCATAGTCTTTGAGTGCTGCGCTGCGCGCCCGCTCATGATCTCGACCAGCTTGTCATATATGCTGTTCTGGTGTTCCTGGAACAGGCGGCGAACCTTGTCGAACTCGCCCATCAAGCTCGACACCCCAGCTCCGGAGCCTGCATGCCTACGCACGAACTCTCGGATATGAGGGATCAGAGAGACGATAAATGACAAGGCTTGAGACGCCAGAGCCAAGTGTCTCGTTGTGATGTTCTTCAGTCCAGCAGAACGAGTGGCACCCGCACCGAGAATAAGTTGAGTGCAACGGGAGTTGAACAGTTGTAGATAGGTGATGAGTGAAGTGGCAACGTCTGTAGCCATAGACGGGATACTGCCAATTAGGTGAAGGAAATGAGAAATGCCCTCGAGGCAAAGAATTGCGGAGTTGGGTAGTAGGAACGACTCTCCCTCGATCTCCGCAGTCCTAGCTTTCTCTTTGGCGGTACCGTTTGTCTCGGGTGTGTTTTCTGCTACTCCATTCGATGCTTCCTCATCGGGTTGCTCTTCCCATATCTTGGTGCCTTCTGTCCATGCTGCAGCATCCTTAGTACTGCTCTCGAGGACTTGATCAAGTAGGGCCTTGGCCTTCTCATCGAAGTCCTTCGCACTCCATTGATCAGATTCCATGCCCTGCGCGAGCTTCTGTTTTTCTGACTCTCCGTGTTGCTGTACAAATTCCTTGATATGGCCGTTGACCAGGGTCTTCAACGCTGTGCCACTGCGCCCAGAAATCGCCTCACATTCGTTGGAGAAATACAGATTCAGCGTGAAGTAGCGAAGGAACCAGGCCAAAGTCAAGTGTGTACTTTGTTCCGATCGCACCTTCAAAACCTTTAACACTTTATCTTGCGCCATATCGACTGCCTGGCCAACCAGGTTGGGCATATCCATGGCCTTGTGAATCTCTTCTTGAACTTCAAAACTGGGAGAGTCATCAAAGCGAGGAAATTCCCGGTCAAAAGGCGTTGGGCTAGCAAGTGGAGAGCGAATAGGAGGAGACTTGAGCCCAGCTGCGGTGGCTTCCTCAGTCAGACAGCTTGCAATATCGAGTAGTACCTTGACTTGAGTCGTCAGTCGACGAAGAGTTTCAGTGACGCCGATATACATTGTCTTGAGCAAATCCTCAGCGTCTTTTGGATCCAGTGCCCGAAGATTTCGTGCCAAGATGGACGACTTCTCCTGGTTCGACCGCTGTCTCCCCCCACTCATTGTGGATGCAGACATCATGGACTCGTTATCGTCGTCGTTAGAGCTTGGCATTGGTCTTCGTATGATGTTCCGGACCTCGCGCAGGACAGCCTCTCGATAAGCTGCGATCGCAGTAGCGATATGTTGGGCCCGATGGAGACCAAGTATATTCGGCATAATTGCTTTACGCAACTCTTGCGTCTGGCTCAGGTATGCCGGGAATGCGGCCGACTCTCTTGTGGTGCCGCCCCTTGCGCGCACTGAAGAACTACTCCATCGTAATAACACATCGCGGTTGTTGATGGTTTCAACATGTCTGCGCAAATCAGCGAGTAGCAAGCTCTGGAACTTCGTCTCATAAGCCCGGCCGATGCGGAATCGCAGTTGGTGCAGATCTTCATTTACGCTTTGAAGAGCTGTTGCATTTCTCAGATCCCTCAGCCGCGATAGAGGCAGTACAGGTGGTTCGGCCTCGGCAGATTCGTCGTGCTCGCCGGCGATGAGAAGCTCCAACGCATCTATCTTACTAAGGGCTTTGTCAATTTCACCTTCGTCAACAAGCGACTCGCACGTTGCAACCCCTTCAACGATATAACGCAGTTGAAGGACAGCATCATTCAGGGCCTGGACGTTCTCTCGCCGACGGCGCTTCTGTACTATGGTTAGACCCTTGGCTGCGATTTCGTCGTCAAGAGCTTCCAGTTCCTTTCGAAGTGTTTTAATCCTGTCCACAGACTCTGCTGCCTCCGAGTGGAGTTCCCGCAATGAACCAAGAGCAGTGAAGAAAGTAGTTGACGCGGTTGAGATAGAGTTAATTAGATGAACCTCGATAGTATCCATGTACCAGGAGAGCTTTTCTTGTAGGATCGCGTTGGTTGCCAATGCCTTCCTCGGGGCTATAGCGCTGCCATTGAGCCCGGCCTTGTCATCCGCGCTTCCTGGCGCTGGCGGGACTACTTCTGAGCGCTCACTAACGACATCGAAAATTCTAGGGTTTTCTAGATGAAAGTCTTCGTCAAAATAGACGCCAGGGATTGTCGATAGCGGCGGTGGGCCCTGCCCGCCCTTTCGACCAAGCCCGGAACTATTGCGTCGCAGAGGCCCTGGCCCCTCAAGGGAAGAAATCGATGTGATGGAGGCGATGGAGGATTTCCGTCTTGGTGGCGGGCGACCGGCGGGTCTCAGATGTCCTTCATCAACCTCCGCATAATCGTCATGTTTACTCGACCGTCGACCAGAAGAGCCGGGCCGTTCATCATCCTGCTCTTTTACCCGGCGAAGCTGCTCATACAAGGCGCCGACCTGCGACAGATATGGCTTGAACTCGGAAGGGTCGACATGAGGAATGTTCGTAAGGGTTACAGGGGGGATATCGCGGGCCGTAGGTGGTTTGTGCGCACTAAAGGCGGGAGCAGAGGTATGAGGTTGCAGGCCGGTTCGAACGATAGGTGGCTGGAGCAAGGTTGAGATTGCTGATATTCTTGTCAGCATGTGGACTAGTGAGCTTCACTTGCATGGATCTGTACCGTTTTGTCCAGATTCTAAAACCGCGTTCGCCCAGCTGCTGGATGATGTATCAAGGGATCCGCCTATCGAGTGTATCGAGCTCGCCGTTGAGCCTCGTCTGGCTGTATGGTGCGGATAGGCATGTCCTTGTCTATCTGCTGTCAGCGCAAGAGAGGCAAAGGGGTGAAGCAGGCCAGCTAACCTATGGAATGGGAATTCGGTGCGCGTTCCTGATGGGGACGTCGGGGATGATATCGTGTCCACCGATCTACGGGCGCCCGAAGAAGAATACATGATGTAAAGCAATGGCTCCAGATGCGGACTGCGTGGAGCTGTGTTGGGACCTCAATTGTTTGCTGAGAGTCGCAGGAAAGCCGACAACTAGGTTGGTTGACGGCCACGTAGCCCGGCTACCGGGGTATCATCGCTGGGAAGATCGCATCGGGCTTCAATAAATTGGAAAAAGGTGGTTTGCAATAATCATCACAGGTCAGGCGCAATATGGGAAAACAAAGGTGAAGTCGATGGCCTCTGCGCAGCTTCACCAAGCTGAGCCACGTTACCAGAGCCCGAGTATGATGCTCCCCCCAGGTACCTCAAGCATCCGAGGATGAGCCGACAGGCTATCCACTGCCTAAAAGAGGACAGTCCCCTGGGCTTGCCGTTTTCGGAAGCGCCAGCTGCACCACTTTACGCGTCGCGTCCCCCCCCAAAAAAGGGGCGTGTTCAATTAGTTTCCCTGTGAACCTGCCCCTCCTAGTATGCATCCACATTTTCAGTCTTAATCCTCAGCATTGCTCCGTCAACAACTGCCGCTTGTCAATTTAGGACCACAACCGTAAAGATGGACCGGCAATCAGTATACTCGACTCACGTTTACGAGCCAAGTTTTGGCCAGAATGAGGATACACGCACTCAGATCCAGACCCAGCTGGAGAACTTTATCCTCCAATTCAGACACGACAACAACTACACCTACAGGTTTGTCCCGACTTTTCACGGACACCCGCAGGGCTGCGCATTTGCTGACAGTCTCTGAATAGAAATCAGCTGAAGGAGAATGCGTTGCTCAAGAAATACTACTGCGATGTCGACGTTACCGATCTAATTAACTACAATGAGGAGCTGGCGCATAGACTTGTGACAGAACCGGCAGAGATCATTCCCTTGGTAGGACTTGAGCTGTCGCTATCTCCTTGCCTTGCTAACCCTTTGGCAATAGTTCGAAGCGGCCCTCAAGAAATGCACCCACCGAATTGTCTTTCCTCAGCAGACAAAAGTCGACTTGCCTGAGCACCAGCTGCTGCTTCACTCCAACGCCGAAGATGTCTCGATCCGCAACCTGGACTCAATGACGATAGCGCGCCTTGTTAGGGTACCAGGAATTGTCATTGGCGCCTCTGTCATGTCGTCAAAGGCGACGGAGCTGTCCATTCAATGTCGCAACTGTGCACATGCTTCCACAATTCCCGTTCTTGGTGGATTCACGGGAGTCACTCTTCCCAGGCAATGCGGCCGGTCAAGGGTGCCGAACGATCCCACACCTAAGTGCCCTCTTGACCCATACTTTGTTCTTCACGAAAAGTCACAGTTTGTTGATCAACAAATTATCAAACTCCAAGAGGCGCCGGATCAAGTCCCTGTAGGCGAACTTCCTAGACACGTCTTGATCTCTGCAGACCGCTATTTGACCAATCGTGTGGTCCCCGGCTCGAGATGTACGGTCACAGGCATTTTCTCAATCTACCAGAACAAGGCGACAAAGAACTCTGCTACCGGTGGTGCTGTTGCTATTCGTACGCCTTATCTGAGAGCCGTGGGCATCCAAACAGACCTAGACCAGACAGCGAGAGGTCAGGCGATCTTTTCCGACGAGGAGGAGCAAGAGTTCCTGGAAATGAGCAGGCGGCCTGATCTCTACAATATAATGGCCGACTGTATAGCGCCGTCTATCTACGGAAACCGCGATATCAAAAAGGCTATTCTGTGTTTGCTGCTTGGTGGCTCCAAGAAGATTTTGCCTGACGGCATGAAGCTTCGTGGAGACATTAACGTACTTCTTCTTGGTGACCCCGGTACTGCGAAGTCACAGCTGCTGAAGTTTGTGGAGAAATGTGCGCCCATATCGATTTATACGTCCGGTAAGGGGTCTTCCGCCGCTGGTCTTACAGCTTCCGTCCAGCGCGACCAGTCTACTCGCGAGTTCTATCTCGAGGGCGGTGCCATGGTCCTTGCCGACGGTGGTGTCGTGTGTATCGATGAGTTCGACAAGATGCGTGACGAAGACCGAGTGGCTATCCACGAAGCCATGGAACAGCAAACAATTTCTATCGCCAAGGCAGGCATTACCACAATTCTCAACGCCAGAACCTCAGTCCTGGCTGCAGCGAACCCGATTTTCGGTCGTTATGATGACATGAAGACTCCCGGTGAGAACATCGACTTCCAAACCACTATCCTGTCTCGTTTCGACATGATCTTTATTGTCAAGGATGAGCACACGCGGGAGAAGGATGAGAGAATAGCCAAGCACGTTATGGGCATCCATATGGGTGGCCGTGGCGTTGAAGAGCAGGTCGAGTCGGAAATCCCGGTTGACAAAATGAAGAGATACATCAGCTACTGCAAATCGTAAGTACCTGCGACTTGGCTTAAGGTGTTACACCTTTACTAACAAGTTGACCCAGGAGAATGGCACCCCGCCTCAGCCCTGAAGCCGCCGAAAAGCTCTCGTCACATTTCGTGTCTATCCGTAGGCAAGTTCACGCGGCGGAGATGGAAGCGAACACACGGTCTTCCATCCCCATTACCGTTCGCCAACTCGAAGCCATTGTCCGTATTACCGAGTCGTTGGCCAAGTTGACGCTGTCCCCTATTGCTACAGAGGAGCACGTGGACGAAGCCATTAGACTTTTCTTGTGCTCCACGATGGATGCTGTCAACCAGGGCAGCAATCAGGGAAGCAAGGAGCTCAACGACGAAGTCAACAGACTAGAGGCTGAGCTTAAGCGACGCCTTGCTGTTGGCTGGAGCACGAATTTGTCCACGCTGAAACGAGAGCTAGTTGAGCAAAAGGGTTACAGCGAGCAAGCACTCAACCGGACATTAATGATCATGCAGAGGAGGGATACTATTGCATTCCGAAACCAAGGAGCACAGGTATATAGAAACTCGATCTAGTCGGAATTGTCATTTGAAGCGACGATTGATGGTGGGGTTGGTATTGAAGGATGCGGCAGGATGCCGTTCATGAAAGGAATGATAATCAAAAACCAAGCCTTTGTACCTTGTATCTATCTTATTCGGTCTTTCATGAGAACCAACGTAAAAAAAAACACACAATTAAGATGTCATAATTGTTAAACAAGCTCAGTGGAACAGGTTCGTTGTACGCCAACCGCCAGCAGCATGTCTTGAAGGGTACGTAGCCAATTACTAGCATTCGTTCCTCAGCGGCTGCCACGGACAATAAATCAAGCAATATCTGTTCCTCGTTGCTACAAGACAACATGAAAGCATGCGTGGACTACATTTGTATACCGAACTGTGATGGTAGACAAGTATTGGAGGACCTCAGTAGAATTCATCCAGTGCGGGTCTGGCTAGGTGACACAAATTAGCCGCATGACCTAGAAGATTCTGCATGTTTCCGTAGCCAGAGTCAAGAGCAAATCAGACATGCCAGGTCTCCGCAGGCTCAACCAGTTCAAGAGCATGGGCATGAATGAAGCGACCCGATGCACTCGCGGCTGAGCAATCGGTTTACCAGATGTAGGAATTGTCATCCGCATCTCTCCGAGTTCAGTTCCCCCAAGTATCTAAGGAGCGTACCTTTTCTATTGATCAAGCTCCTCTGTTCCAAGAAAAAAACCAGGACGCCAAATTTTAGATCATAACAAAGTGATTTGCAAAGACAGGCCGCACCCGTCATCATATCAAATTTCAACATCTGGGGAAAAGTATGTCCAAACTTGCTTCAGGTGATCATCGTATCATGGAAGCCACACGAGGGGCCCTCACAACAATTGTTTTAAACAAGGGCTTTGTAAAGTCAATCTCGACACTTCCTTTGGAATCGTCAGCAGCGTAGGCGATATAAAATCGAGGCAGGCTGGCGATGATTTGAGTAGGAGGTCTGCAATGGTTGAAGAAGAAGAGAAAAAGAACGAAAGCGGCTCGCGGGCACGAGGTTTAAAAAATCAGAGCCTGGCCAATCGGTCAGTGGGGCGGGGTCCGTGCAGGTCACGTGTTCTTTGTCGTGGTGCTGTCGCCTGCCTGATCCAGCCACACCTCCCTTGGGGGTTCCCTTCCTCCCATCCATCCGTCAGGTCCCGGTGATCGGGTGTCGGGTGTCGGAGCACGCGCTGGTAGCCATGGTTTCCTGGGCGATTCACCATGGGGGTTGCCATCCTTCCCATTGGTTATTAGCCTTCCTACAGCAGTAGAAGGTGGCAGGGAGACACCTGCCCGACTGCCTTCCGCCCTCCCTCAGTGCCTGGCTCCAGGTCTCCGTAGCTGCCCCGAACCCAAAACAGCATACTCTCATCCTCCCCCTCTCAGTCCCGCGGCAAACTCCTAGTCCCACACCCCATCTCCCTCTTTCCATTGGGGACCCTCTCACACGCACCCCTACTAAACTTCCCTTCCATTCACCTCTCGGCCAGTGCCATTGCCAGTGCCAGCCAGCGCAGCCCACGGTCCAGCCCAGGCGGCCACCCCCGTTAAGCGAGCAAATTGCCTCGCTCATGTGTCCGCCCCCTTCACTCTACCCAGCGCCGTTCAGACTTCATCTCCTTCAACTCCACCACGACCCGACGCCAAAACACTGCGAATCTACGACCGATCCTCGACAGCCGCCATCGTCGTTGGATTTTTATTTCGCTACGAACACACCAGTTGGATTCTGGCATCAGGAAAAAAAAAATTTACACCCAGGAAAAGCGGCCGCGATCGACGGTTTATTGCAGAGCGGTGCATGACGCTGCATCGGGGGGATTGAGAGCCGTCGGCGGTTTGGCGCGACTCGCCACAACAACCCCCTCATCCTCTGATCGAGCCCAGAGCGACGTCTGTCATCGGGCGCATCGTGAATTCTGCTTGAGAAGATTCGTTACAACATTTTCTGGGTAGCAGAGGGTTTTTTTCTTGCCACCTGCCCCGGATTACGTTGTGGGTAACGACCTCCATCCCTCGTATTCCGACCAGTTCCTTCTCCTCATCCGACAACAACCACAACAGCAACGGCGACGACGAGACGACCGAGGCCTCATCTCACCTGCAACGTCACCATGTCGTTCCACCCTCGAACCCCTCAGAGTCCTTCTCAGTTTTCTCCAGGCACTTCCGATCCCGCATCGAGTATGAACAGTTCGGCCCCGTCGACCACCACGACTCTACCGACTCCCGCCCACAGCGTCAACGGAAGCGCATCGCAGCCCTCCGATATGTCACAGGATATCATCATGGGCGACGACTCGCCTCATAAGCGCAAGCGCCCGCTCGAAGATCTGGGTGATCGAGAGCAGAAGAAAGTCCACATCGAGGATAGCAAAAATGGTATCGAGGCACTCCACCTGGATGTCGGAGAGAAATACCTACTTTGCCAAACTCGTAAGGCTCCCTTCACAGGCTCCTGTTTCTTCCACAGGCTGTCTTTGTCAACTCCCCTTTCCATGACGCATCTTGTGTTTTGAACTGGTATTATACATCGAAAACAATTGGTTAACCCTGAGCTAAATAGCGCACCACGAGAGACTGCCACGCATCACTGAAGATCTCTTTGAGATGTTCGACCTGACTGGCATTGCCGCAGAAGTCGCTCGCGAAAAGCCCAACGGTGAGAAGAATGCTCTACGGAAGACCTACAAGGGTCAAATCAAGAGACTAGGAATCCTTGGCCGTTTCGACTCTGTTGCCCAAGAATGGGATGCTCCGAGGGATGACAACGGCGATAAGAAGAGAGAGGTGTACCACGGCTTTAGGGAGTTGTTGGAGATCCCGGATGCAGAGTTTTGGAACTCTCGGCAAGATCCGATTACCAACGGTCTGTCTGGTACTGTTAAATCACTTCTAAGCAGAGCAACGACCATGGCCAAGGGTCCCATTCCTGTCAAGGATTGGGACAGCTCGGTCCTGGGAGATCTTGCACCAGGTAGTGTAGACGCCCTGAAGCAAGGTCTTGCAGGCAAGGCGACCGCACCCGGCACGCCATCCGCGACCACGCCGAACCCGTTCGCGCGTAAGCAGCAGCAGACAGCTCCAGGTGCTGTTCGACCTCAAAGAACGAAGAAGCGAGGGTACGGTGAGAACAGCTACGAGGGCTACGGAGAAGGCTTCCCCGATGACGGCTACTCTACAGGAGACGGCGACGACAGGGGAGGCCAAAAACGTCGGAAGAAGGTGGGTGATGCCTCATCCGGGCCGCCTATATCTGTGTCTGACTCGTCACAGGATAGCGGTAATGGGCAGGCGTTCCCAAACACGATGCGTCCGCAAGGCTACGGTTCGAGCGCCGTTGGCGCATAACGGCGTGACGTAACGATGAAGAGCATACGTCGACGCGAGAGTTGCTCTTAGGGCTTCGACGCCCATGATTTCATTCCCTGCCCTTCACGTATCAGCGTGTCGGGTTCGCTCTAGAATGTCTTACGGGAACACCGGTGATACGGATAACGACCGTTTGGAATCGTGAAGAACGAGCAACGACCAGCTACGCGGGCGAGGGGAGGCTTTGCGGTTAACTACCGCTTCGAGAGTGTTTCCAGAGGGGCGGGTATTCTGCACTTTTGATGAATTTTCACTACCAGCAGGGCGTTCGGGGGACTTTTTATTTTTTATTTTTCTACTGAACAATTTTTTATGCATTCAGTCAAGGTTTGACAATGAAACATGACCGACTGAAGAAGGATGGGGACAAAAAAAAATACCACATTGGTCAAGGGCATCTACCGGTTGCTACGAGGGGACGGACGGGACGGACCATTTTCATCATCACCACCACCACCACCATCACCATAACCACGACCTCCATCATACCGGATACACCAAAAAAATTAAGCCAGGCTGGGTCGTTGTAGCACTATCACAAGTAATTCAATAGACGGCTCGAAAAGGCCGACATATCAAAACATGGGTTTCTCCGGGCGTCGGGTGTGTAAGACTTGTTTGTTTTATTGGGGGAGGGGGAAATATCTTGACTTGTTCATTATTATCGACAAAGGCTATACATATATAAGAACGTCATCTCATACGCGCCCGTCTTCTTTAAACTGTGATACGGTTCTGTTCGCTGCTGCTGCTGCTGCTTCCCCTTTGTGTCCGTTACCCAACGTTCTGTTAGTAGCGTCTAGGACATTTCCAGAATGGCCCTCGCCGTCATGTCCTCCTGAACCCAGCCCAGAATACGTCCGCCCACGTCTCCGATGAGCCGGTCGTAGTGGGGACCGGGGACGAACAGCCCGCAGTGGGCGCCGACCTCGTCCACGCCCTCCATGAAGACGGGAACCCACGTCTCGTCGCGTCTGCCGTTGATCTTGCGGGGAAGGGTGCAGAACTTGCGCTCCTTCTTGGGCTTGGAGGGGCCTTCTGGCGCTCTCGTATCCGTCTGCGTCGTGGCGATGGATGCTGACGATGATGCTGGGGCAGTTGATGGCATTCGCGGCGGGAGAGGCGGCGGTGGTCCTCTAGACGTTGGTGGCGGCGGCGGTCTTTCTGGTGCCGGAGACGCCTGTGGTGCCGGGTATTCTTCCGACATTGGAATCGGTTCCATCATCATTAGAGGGCCGTCCTGTTCGTCGGATGAAGCCCCGGATGCATCTTCGACTGCCGCTGTGACTTGCGCTGGTTCCTGTCTCGGGGCTTCTTTTTCCTCTTCCTTTTCCTTTTCCTTTTCCTGCTTTTTCTGTGCGGCCTCTCCCTGTTGTTTGGCCTTCTGTTCTTCCTTCTGTAACCGCTGAGTCTCTTTCAAAGCATCCTTTTCCGCCTTCTTGCGGCGCTTCTCGACAAGTTTCTGACGTTCCTTGATGGCCTTGTCGCGGCTCTTCACCGCTTGCTCGTAGGCTTTCTGGACCCGTTTGGCCTCCTTTTCGGCTTGTTTGCGGGCATCCTTGTCCGTGTACCTATCGAGATCCGGGAGCGTGGGTGGTTCGGGCAAATCGGGGATCGGCGGGAGCTCCGGATCTGCTGATACATCGCCACTTGCGTCTGTGACATGTGTATCTCCCCCGTTGGCCTGACCGTCGACCTCCTTTTTGGGAGCTTCGCTCGATTCAATTTCATGGTCCGATGTCTCCTTTCCTTTGCCCTTGGGTTCGACAGTGTGCTCGGGCACGACAGGTTCCTGGCCGTGTTTCGCAACTGCCTTGTCTGACTCGTGGTCAAATCTAGCCTGCTGCTCCTCGTGCAGCGTTGACAACTTCGCATCAACAACTTCGATAGAGTGCAGAATCTCGATCTCATCCCCGTCATCCGAGTTGACGGAAATACGAGGTGTCGATGGTGCCTGCGGCGAGAGCTGAGAAGCGATATCGAGCGTACTGGGAGGCCCAGTGGGAAGCTCTCGATCCGGAGACTCTGGGCTCTTTGGCGACTTGGGCTTTTTGGGCCTTCCCGTGCTAAGAGTGTAGTAGTTGATGAAACGAACCCTTGCGAGCGGCGGTTGGCCAAAGCTATTTCCCGAGTTGCTGTTCTCTCTGAGATGCTGCAGCGGGTCAACATTCTCCAAGGCGCGGAGCTTGTTGTATCGCGCATTCAAGCCGGGGTAGTCTGCCAGACAGCCACCGTATTCGAGATGGGACATGACGTGGTTCTTGGTGGCGTCCCAGATGCCTTCGGCGCTGTGCTTCTTGGCAAAATGGCCCAGCCGTCTCATGAAGGAGCGGTCCTTGAACTTGGTGTCGTTGAAGAAGGGGGGGTTGAAGAACGGGTCGGTCCGTGGCGGCGGGCCGTTTGAAGAAGCCACAGATGGGGTGTTGCTTGGGCTAGGCGAAAGCTGCGTGCCAAATGAGGATGTCAATTCAAGGTTCGACATGGACGGGTCGGGACTGGTCATGGCCGAGTTGCTTGGACTCAGGTGGGATGAGGCATCGAGCTGATCATGGGTCTCTTCTGTTGGCGAAGCCGGGCGGAACAAGCTTGAGATTCCTGCGACAACAATGCCTGGGTGTAGGCCAAGGAACGGCGAGTCCAGTGAGACGGTACCGAGGATACGGTGCTTGAACGGCTGGCGCCGATATGGGTGCCGGTTAGGCTACGAACGCGGTCAGCCAAATATCAGTTATATTGGGCACGCCATGAAACATACCATCAAAGCCACCTCGCCAGCAAGTAGGCCGCCCATCGAATGGCCGACTAGGATCACATCGGTTTTGTCCGATTCGTGTGGCTCCAGCCACTGGCTAAAGTTGTCGCGCGCGACATCAATGGCCTTGTAAGTCTTGTACCTGGGGTAAATCTTTGAGTGGACGGCATGGCTCTCGGCGAGTGCTTCCTTCAGGTAGTTATGGACATGAGCCGGGAAAGACCTGAAAGACGACTCGTTGCCGTAAAAACCATGGATGTAGATGATCAACAAAGTCCGACGAGTGTCGCTGTCACGGTCTTCAAAGGATGGAGCAAGTGACTGAGCCGAGGACGACCTAGGGTCGGCTAAACGTCGCTTTGAATCCAAGATGCCGAAACTGTTGGCCGAGGCCGAATGCGAGCCCTTCTCCGGAGCTTGACCGGGAGGGTGGAGGAAAGAGGACGTGGATCCAAGGTCACCGGAGCCGGAACTCGGGGCATAGACGGAGTAGGGCGGCGGTGGTGCCGACGACGACGAGGGTTCGTCGTCCTGATAGCTAGGCATGACGTCAAGCTCTTGTGTCACCCCAGCGATATGTTAAATGAAGTAGGGTCGGGTTCCAAGGAGAAAAAGAGGACGGTGAGAGGCCAAGTGAGGAGTCTAGGTAAGATTGTGGGCGAAGCCAAGACCGATTTCTTGACGAACCACACGACGAAAGGCAGGCGGGAGTCGGCTGCATAGATACTGTGAACTGTAAAGAGGCAGGGCCGAAACTTTTTTCAATGCCGTATTCACGACGGAGGGGTTTTTGACATTTTGATCTGACCCTCTCTGCCTTGGATGGAGTGGATGTAAATGCAAGGTGTTGGACCTGTGCGTTGATAAGGTGACTCTGCCCAGTTCGTGGGGTACGTCTTCGGTCGCACCGCAGTGGCGCACGACTTGATGCGCTCTGCTGCCATTTCCTCTCATTTTCTGATAGGATACGCGGAAAAGCGCAAGGCGAAACGCGGGCAAGTGTCGCTGTACGATGCTACTGTTGCTGCTGCGCCCAGTTTTTCCAGGCGGACAGGGCACCTAGCTCTCCACTAAGCTCACTGCCCGCTCAACGCAGGCGCAGCCCAAAGCTCATTCGTCAGCCCCCTCTCCTCCTTCAACGCTGCAGAATTCGTTGATTGGCGGAGGGACAAAGGCCCAGAAGAGACGGTACCTCGTTGTTGGTTGAGGTAGTGGGCACCAACAAAACGGGATGACGACATGCTCACCTGCGAAACAGCTTTCGCTACAGATGGTCGGCCAAGGCGATTAATGCCATGGACTAAAATACGTGTATTGGAATCGGGTGTACCACGACGACCAAACAATGTTTCTGAGTATGGTGCCCTCAAGCCAATGTTGGACACACATCTGGGGATGCAGAATGGGCGACGGCGTTAGGGGAGGACAACAAGCATATGGCCTGTTTTTGACCTGAGAAAATAGCAGGGCTTGCCTGGCCGACAATATGTCAGTACAATAATGATAATCTCTTGGTAGATGAGGTTGGATTTAATAGGTTTCAACATGAGCCACAGTACCAGCCCCTCCGCTATTTATTGGCGAGTAAGTGTATGGAGGAGCCTCATTTTAGCTCTTGGCAAGGTTTGTTTTCTGAATCGGCTGGCATTGTTTCGACCTTATTGTTGCTTGATCTACAACATGAGCAAAACCCAAACGCAAAAAGCCTCACTAAACGAAATTGCAGCATAGCAGCTTGCCCACGGCAGTGGACGAGAACCCACGTGCTCTGAGTCATTACGTAGACAGTATAAACCCCTAGAGATCTGGAATTTTTCTACTTCTAGACCGGTGGGTGGTGCGACCCGAACTGCACGAACACTAATGATCCGTGCTCTTCCACCCATTCAATGCGTTGAAACTCGGGGGATTTGATAGATGTTTGCCCATTCCGCATGGGGATTTCTGGATGTCGAGGCCCGGCATATAATAATGCGACCCTTGCCATTGGTTCCTCTAAAAATCAGGTTCGCAGACGACATGTTCTGATTACGTTCCATCGATGACCACGGCCGTCTTGCTCGATTCGGAGGAGGAGGGGGAATGGGAGATGAGATTAGATTGGGGGCCTCCTTGGCCATTTGCCGATTCCCACCCACTGCCCTAGGGTGTTGGTCGATCTTTTTTTATTCCCTTTCACACAGGCTACACATCACGCCAAGAAAAGAAGCAAACGGCGCCGTCAGTTAAGACACCGCCACGGCACCAGTTTTCATCTTCAGGTGAGTCGAGTGAGAATGGACGGGACGGGACGGGTGGACGGACAGACGCCTGGGACGCGATAACAGCATTGCTATTTGTGTTTGAGTGAGTGAGCTACCGACCGCTCTGTACGGGATGTCGAGGAGCGGCTGTTCTAACACCCAGCCGTCGTCTCAGGAACGCGTCTAGAACCTGTCATTTGGGGTTGGGAAACGTGCTCTTTTCTCGGTCTGATCCTTCCTTGCTGTTGATATTGCCGTGCTCCTAGGGATGGCTACACAGCAGCTGCACAGCATTCCTAGACACGACTTGGCCGACCCGTCCAATCGAGCTTCCAAGCTTTCTGTCTATCGAACTCCACACGGCGCCCATGTCTGGCTGGCCCCCCTGACTCTTCGGGGTTTAAGACGAGGGTTAAGTACAGCTGTGGACCGACATCTCTGCCGTGTCTGGGCAGCGCTGGGGAAACTGTGCTGGTTTTGACGTCTCTCGCGGCATGAAACTTACGGGAACCTCATCTCTGAAGTTGTTGTCCTGAGGCATTAGTGTATCTAAGCCAACCATAATACGTGTACTATAACGTCAACGGGGAAGAAGCCGACCGAACCGTGGATCCACGACCCAGTTGTAAAGAGGCAGTGAAGAAGCCTAGGAGTGGATGCGCAAGAACGGCATCGACAACGCTGTTCCGTCTCCGAGACGGGGGTAGGGGACAACAGGACGAAAAGAGGGCCCCCAGTGTTTGTTTCAACGGGGAGCGACATGTCGTCCCATAATCTCCAAGCTGCCAAGCTTCACCTTGCTCTTTCCAGCAACAGCAACAGTAACACCAGATGCCGCCGGGACGGCATGTGGGCGGCGTATCATCCAGAGATGGATGTAGTGTGATGATTGATGCAGCTCCTTTCGGTGTGCGGTAAACAACTGCTCTCCGGAGTCCTCGCTAGTTTGCATACATATCGGCCAATTTTCATCTCGTGTAAGTGCGGGTATGTGCTCCAGAGATGATTCCCCTCCCCCCTTGTGTTGCCCTGCGGGTAATGGTAGGCTGCCCCCTCGCCTTAACACCTTACGACAATATTCGTTTAGAGGGCTTTCCATCCGTTCGCCATTTGAGCCAGCAAGCAAGGGACCACAGATGGCTGTGTGTCGCCCCACGAAACTCCTCGCCAAAAGAACCTCAGCTAGGGTCGGATGCAGGTACAGCGCACTGTATGCAGGCCACTACGCACCTTTCTGCAGGTTGCACAAAAAGGTCAGAAGAATGCGCTGAATGGTGCTGACTGGCAATTGGCATAAGAAGTGCGGAGAATACGAGGTGTACTATGTTGGGTAGATTTTGTGGAAGGGAGACGAGATTGTGTAGGCCGGGTAGGTGACGCGGCGCCTTTATCCACAGGACCCTCAGTCTCTAAAAACAAATACAGATAGATTGTTGTTGGTCAGATAGACGGCAGTCGATGTGTACAAGTAAAGGATGAGATCAAGGCTCATCACCCATGTAATAGCCATCAAAAAAGGCGTGAATGAGGGGTTGACGGGACTGAGAAGATTCGTGGCACCATTTTTAGCACATTGGGGGTTCCTTCTCTTTGGGCTCACAAAAACTACTTTTTCTTGTTGGCAGGAATGACAGGGACGGTGAAAAGGGGGCCACATGTTTTTGCGGAACAGGCCTTTCTTTTCTCGTCTTTTTTTTATTTATTTTTTATTCTCGTGTCAGTCTACATGGAAGCTACGGTTAGCTCGTATTCAGTTGTATGTATGATGGGATGCACCTTTTTTTACCTCATCAAGTGGGTGGGTGTTCCTGTGTCCACCCATCCGGATTGGTCCTGTAGAGCCGTTTTGCGGTTCAGGCACCTCATCGGTCAATCCAGGTCGTGTTCATGTCCTAGCTCGTCAGTCTAGTCAGTGTCTCGTCACCGTCAAACACGTTCATTACTGGACACGCGGTTCATTCTTGGGGAGTGAGTAGATCTAATTGGGTCTGGGCTGGAGTTTTAGTGAACACCTAGCGAACGAATGCCCGCCATGATCTCCAGGGCGAAACCAACGGCGCCAATTGACGCGCAGAACACGAAGACTTCTTCTACCCACGGTCTCTGCACCCCCAAATAACCGAATTAGCTGCAATGTCTCTGGCAATCAATGAATGAGACTTGGCTCTTTGCACCTCTCGCCCACCCAGGCGGCGTAGCCTCATTCCTGAATCCCACCATATGGGAGAAAGAAAGAGGGAGTGAGTAAGAGGGGGTTGTCTTTCTCTGTAAATGGCCGTAATGTGTGTTGGTTAGTAAGGTACGAATGGCAATGTGCCATCACGTCCAACGCCTTGCCTCTGAGGTGCGCCCACCAAACCAGCCAGGCAAGGTATTCAGCAAGGTACCCGGACGCCTCTTTCCTGGCCCCCCTGTGCCCATTGACGATGTGCCCGGTAAGCACAGGCACACATTGTAAGCGTCCCCCCCTCCCCTTCCCCCCTTGCCCTAGTCCCTGGTTCCCCGTGATAGTGGACAGTGGAACTGCTCATTGCACCTTAACGGACCTTTGGTTGGCCAATGGGGTGCGAAGTCCTCCAGCTAGCAGCCACCCGCCAATATCAAGCGAGATTATCGAAATCTTGCACTCCTGCGAGAGTGACTGCATGTGGCCCCAGAGTGCCTTCCCTTCCAAGGTTACCATCAACCGCTTCCACGCTTTGTTTCCTGCCATTTCGCGCTGTTCTGGCTTGTCTCTCAAGTAAATTTTTTATTGTTATTTTACTTCCCGGCCCCCGATGCTTATTATTATCGTCGAGCCTCTCACTCCACTCCCCCCAAGAGTTCCTCTTCTCTTTCCTTTCCTCTTTTCCCCTCTTACCAACGCCGCCATGCCATCATCCTAACCCATCGGCCATGAGAACTGGCAGATGCAAGGGAGACAAAGGATCTCGCCCACGGATTACGAGAAACGGCTGAATGACCGACACATCGAACGAAGCGTGCTTCTGAAATTTTAACTTGGATTTGACAACCCAAAGAAGAAAGAGGGGGATTTGTCACTGAACGTTCGTGAACCGCCGCCCGCTGCAGGATAACCACCAACACGGACAATGCAATCCATCGATACGGCCCTCAAGAAGACGCCAAGAATGGAAATCGAATAGATCGACAGCTTCAATCCGTATACACACCCATATACACCACACTCGCTCAGTACCAAACAACCAACCATCAGTCATTCTTTAACTTTATCCACCTGTTCTATCTTTGTATTCCCGCTCGGCTTAGCCAACTCGACATTCGCCTCCCTCCCGGGGAAAAAAAGAGAGCCGGCCAACCAGACAGGGCAGTAGCTCAGCCTACTGCCCACGCCACCCTATCCACGCCATGACTAAATCAAAACGCGGGTCTTCACTCCCTCAGGCCCGCTCATATCACCACAATCATTATCACCTACACAACAAACGCGCTGCGTCCTCCGAGAATGTGCATCACCACCACCGCCGCCAGGTAGACGAAGCTGAACCCAGCCCCACTCCCGAGTCCGCACCCAGTGCCGTGGCTTCTCAGAGAGTCGTCGTCCAGACCGTCTCCCTCATACAAATAGTTGATGGCTCTGGTGCCCCAATCGAAGTTCAGACTCACTACGCTCCTCCCGCCACCGTGTTTGTCGATCCTTCGCCCAGCGCCAGTGCCAGCGCTGCCCTTGGCCTGTCCATCGCCGCCATAGGTCCCGACTCCTCGAGCTTAGATGAATCCTTGCAATCGACTCCTGCGGCGACGACACCTTCACCCTCGCCCTCTGGTTCCGCCATCAGTCAAGAGATTCCCTTGACGACCGGTCCTTCATCCTCACTGCCCGCATCGGCGGTGCCATCACCCTATCTTTCCTTGAGCGCCCCGGTTAACTCAACCATTCGTGAGTTGCTCTCTCTCTCTCTCTCTCTCTCGCCGCCACGCCGTTCGCGAACGAAGTCGCTGACTGATCCCTTTAGCATTCCTTACCTCAACAAACTCATCTTCAACATCAGTCCTTACCGCAACCAGTTCTACAAGCCTCTTTTCCGGCTCTACAAGCGTAACGTCTTCAGTGCTTTCATCGCTTTCTTCGACTTTTGATTCAACTCTCAGTTCGGATAGCTTCACTGCTACCAACACTTTCGCCACAAGCACATCGACAGGCTCCGCTGAGACGACAGCCGCTGGAGATGGAGGCAACGGCGGCGTCGGCGGCGTTGGAGGAGGCGGTCAAACAACGCCTTCATCAACATCCGGGGCCAGTTCAAGCAGCGATACCTCAACCCCTTCGACTGGGACTGTTGTCGGCAGCGTAGTAGGAAGCGTAGCGGGCGTGGCGTTCATCGTACTGCTTGCATTTCTCGCCCTCCGGTGGAAGAAGAGCTCCGGCGGACGTCTTCGGCTAAGCGACAATAGTGCGAATGGCAATCGGGGCATTCTCACCGGTTCAGGGGCACCCGACGGCGGCAACAACGGTGGAATGACCCAACAACGGTCCTTGACATTCGGTTCGGCAGCGGTCGCAGGCGCGGTAGCCGCTGCCAAACCACCATCTAGGAGAGCTAGCGAACCTTCTGAAACTGCTGAGAGAGGCTTTGTCAGGGTTGCTGGCAGGAAGCTGCCGTCGGTGCTCCAATCCGGAGGCGACGGATACACAGACCCACGGGAAGCCGCCGGGCATGGGACCGCAAACGACGACGAATCCGTTTACTACCGCGACTCCCAGGCCTTCTTCGACCCTAACGGTCAAGGACCGCCGAGGCTCGCGCTGGGTTCTCCCATGAGGCCCGTTAGCGGTGTAATTACCATGCAACCGGGGCCGGCCCGGACACCGGTGACAGAATCGGCCCCATTTCCGACTCCCCCTCCTGACTCGACCCTCTCGCCGTTACAAGCCCCCGCGCGAGACCCCATTGGCCGGTCTTTGACGTCACAGGACGGGTCGCGGGGCTCCCGAGGTTCGGCCTCCAGGTTCCACGAGGCCATGTGAATTTCCTTTCTATTCTCTTTTCTTTCTTTCTTATCTTCACCAGAGCCGGCTCGGCTGGCCTGACGTACCTTTGAAGCGTACTGTACATTCTCAACAATCTTTCAACGATAATTATTAGTACCTATTCGGGGGCTAGGGCGGGGACGACTTTTTTCGTCATTTGTTTGTGGCTCTACGACAGCATATGGATTGGCGTTCACTTTGGGGGCACGAGACTGGCATGAGCCCCTCCGCTACAGGCAGGGCGAGGTCCAATCTCCGCGATGGAAGAGGGAGGGTGGTTGGGATCTGGATACAAACGTTGCGCTTGCTTGGGTCGGCTGCTATACCGCGATGACAATGGTATTCATGCAGCAAGGCCTGGTGGGTGGGGTGTTTTTTTTTCGGGTCGAGCGAAGCGTTTGGCTTTGTATGTAGAAAATATCTTTCTTCACGAAAAGTTGCCCTGTTAGGGGTGAGTGGATTTGAGGGGGTTTGGGAGCGGCAGCGGCCAGGAGTAAAGCGGCTTCAACCTCGACGAGGCACGGCTTTCTTCTTCTCTCTTCGCCCCCTTGAGCTATCCATCTCTACCCCTGCTACGAATAACGTCCTGCCTGGTTCATGCACAGTCCTTATCTTCTCACCTTTACTTTTCGCCCAATGGTTCATAGTCCCACGTGATAAAGCTTGTCTACGATGCTTGAGAGCAACACCCCCCCAAGATGGTTTAGGGGCCATCCGATCACAAATCAAGATGTAAATGAATGATATTCACAGGGGTGGTGGTTGACAGTCACAATGCAGTGCAGCAGCATCGGCAGAAGCTTTGAAGAGGGAGGGGGGAAGACGCCGGAAGTGCGGTTAAGTTGTCTGGTCCGTCTGGTCCAAAACACTCCCCCCCGTCTCCAATCCCCGCCCAATCTATCGGGCTGCCTCTCGCGGGATCTTCGCAAACCTGCAACCGGGCCTGGAGTTCGTGGGGGGGAAGGGGGCCGGCATAGAGTGGGAGCGGAAGCGAGGAGGGGTGGTGTTGATGAGGGAGGCAAGCGAGGGGCAGCGGGGCATTTCCTCCCATACTGGGGACATCTTGCCCGTTGGTGAGGAATGTGGGGGAGTGAACGTGTTTGAATCCCTTTCAAGTTGTAGGTTGAATTATCTTGGCTGTCGTAAAATTCGGGTTCTTTACGCGTGTGAGGAAGAAAAAGAAATACGAAGACGAGGAAAAGGGGGCGGCGGCGCACGGCATTGAGGGGGCATTGGCATGTTCCATTGGAATGCGAGATGTTTTGGTAGGCATTTTTGACGGCGGGCGTGGCCCTGACACATAGGTGATTGTGAGGGACAGGTGCTCCGTGAGAGAGGCGCAAGATGTAAAGAAAAAAAAAAAAAAGGGTGCGGGATTCTGAAGAAAGTCGAGGATGCTCTTGAGACACACATGAAACGGGAAGTAGAGTCGTATCCAGCTTCCGTCCAAGATTGAACCCAGGAACCGCTTGGACCCTGCATGACAAATTCCCCATACCTGCTGCTGCTACACCACGCTCAGGTCTACACTCTGTAGTCTTTTTGTCCCCATGATGGGGCTCCCTCTTCCAGTTGGCGAATCATACTTTGCCTCGTCCTCTTCCAGCCTTTGCGGGTACCGTTGGGCTCATACGGTCTGGCGGGTGTCTCATCTATCAGGTGTTTATCGGTGTTTACCGTCCCATCTACAACACGGGATGAAACATCTTTCTTTTCGCAGTATTAGGCCGTGTGCTGCTAGAACGGACGAGAGTTGGATCAAATGGCATTCATCTAGAAGTGCCTGAGGCTGAGGCTGCCGTTGAAGTTGAACAACTTGGGCCTGATATACAAGCATATCGACCTACTCGCGAGGACGTAAATACTGGTAGAAACACCCTGGTCTTGAGCCCGAACCACTTGATTCTCCCACCGGTTCTTTGACACGAGATCGGCCTGGTACGCACAAAATGCGGTACGTAAAAGCCACTGCTTGCTGCATCACATAGAAAAGTGTCTGTGCATCTGGCCAGAGCTTATTGGGGCCGCAGCGCAGCATGAGACTTGAGGTGCCCACAAAGCGAGCGGAAGCAGGAACTCTTTGTCTATCCGCAGATACCTTATTACGAAATTGTCGGGTTCCCACTCCACTTTGCTGTTTTACGATATCCATACTGAGATGTTAACCGTCCGATGGCTGGATCCACACCGTCGATGGCGTTTGCTGTTACTGAAGGGCCAACCCTGCTCAGTGTCTTCGAGAAGCTCTGCACGTCGCGGAAATCGGCATAGTAAATCATGGCGCTGGTAGAAATTTATGGCGAAGAGCGGAGGGGGCGAGGCTGAAATCTCTGTCGTTCTGGATCATCTTGCTTGGGACGATCTTCCCAGCGTCCTCAACATGCGTATGAGGTTCCACTCGGCGGGCCGACATTGACGACTCTCTCCCATGCCCCCCGTAGAGCCATGGAAGGGGAGACGACATGGGGGCTGGTAGACTCCCAGGTTGTTATTACCGGCAAACTCGGATCAGGGAACTTACAACCCCCAGAATCATAAAGTGCTGGGTCAGATTTGCCTCGCACAGGGGACGCAAATATTGTGATAGTCAGAGAAGTGCTAATAAGCTATTACCATAGCTTCCATAGTGATCAAAGTAAAACCTGTCGAAGCGGTATGGATCGCCTCATGCAAACTCAAGAGACCTTCAGCAAACTGGCAGGATTCAGCAAGGAAGAGCTGTTGCATAGTAGTGAGTGATTCTTGTCCTTCTGTAATGCTTGTCATTCCAAGCGATCCTGGTCGAAAGGTCATCCAGAACTCTGTGTGTGAAGTCCGAGCACCGAAGCTTCGTTCACAAAGAAAGTGCAGCTCGAGCCTGGTGCAAGACGTGACTGACTGGTAATGCTGAGCAGGTCGTGATACGGTTGTGTATAAGTGGCTCTCGCTCCGAGTGTTGCGAGTCAGATACAAGTACTATCGTGCGTATGTCTTCGTTGAGCGATGACATTCAGACTCCCGCGCGCGAGCAATGAAGTGTAGAGAAGCATGATTACATGCAGTGCATGCTGCAGAAGGTACCGCACGGGCGGCGGATAGGGCCTGTCAAGCTGAGGGTCACAATATGATTCGTCGCAAGACGATTCTACTCACATCCTGCCGCGCCAGGGTCGCAGAATGCTGAGGGAAGGACTGGCTAAGAGGGGGGGGGTCGATGTCGGGGTGACCAGGGCCAGCATTGAGACAGAAGAGAGATGCCAATATCAAGGAACTATTGGGGTGTTGAGCAGCACGGCTGGGGAGGGGAGGGGAGGGGGAGGAAAGGAGCTGCCGTGGACCACCAACAGCAGGAAAAGCCAAGAAAGCCGGAGAAGAAAGCATGTAGGTGGCCATTATGGTTTCTGTCCTGGACAACCCCTGACTGATCTAGATCCATGATCTCACTCTTCGCTTCTCGCATGACTGGTTTGCGACGTCGTCCAAGTGCCGCCCCATGATTCGTGATGTCGCTTGAGCCAACAGCTGTTGAGAGGTGAGTTGGGACGATGGCGACAGAGTGCCGGAGGGACATACGGCTTCGGCAGGAGGGTTGCTAGCGGGATAAGCAGCATACACCAACAGCTGCCGGCGGGAGTTATAGGGTTGCGGCAGTCGTGTCTTTCTCGGCGTCTTAAGGTGTGGGACTAGCTGAAAGGCGGAAATCAAAATAGAATCTTGCTCGTCGATTGGGGAAAGAAGAAAAACGTGGCAAAGAGACTCGCGGTTTACGTGCAAGTAGCCAATGGCGCTGGTCCTTGTCGATGGCTGGCACACCTGGCACGTCCCCATCATCTCGTTGGTTGGAGATCAGGTACATCAACCAAGGACATGTTGAGGTTCTGTCAAGGTCACTTTGGGTTGTAGTGAGGCGAAAGGGGCCATTGCCAGTAGGTTTGTCTTTTTTTTTTTTTTTTTTTTATAAATGGCCGCCGGGGCCATAGTTAAGTAGCATTTACCAAACTTCCATATTACTGTAGCAAAGAAGCAGGCGAAGATGGCCCTCTAGGTGGATATGACAGGCAGTCATGAAGTAATGTCAACGGCCTTTCCTTCTTGACTCTTGGGCCTACCCCAAACTAGGTAGGTGTGGTAGGTAGGTAGCTGCTGGATGTAGGTTAGCACTTATGACAGGGTAGGAGGAGGTAGGTACTGTCTCGCCCAAATGTTGGGGACTGGAGGCAAGCACGTATCGCCTTGGTCGACTCCTGTCACTCTTGCTATCCTTGTCACTTCTTCCCCCTGGTGGGGTCTGCACCTCTCTCCGGGCCGGTACAGCCAGCCAGTCCCGTCCCCCCCTCGTCTGGCGGCCCCTCTGGAGAGGCGGAGAGTAGCAGTGTTAAAGCCCCTCCATGACAGCGACTCCCACTGCTGTGCGGCAGAGCAACGAGACAAGACAGGCGCCCCCCCGTCAGCTACGCCCCGCTGACCAATGCGACTGCAAGCACACTGACGGATCAGTCTGCAACTCTGTAACACCTCTTGCCCCCCCAAGCCGTCCACCAGGAGGTAATTATGTGATACCGCCATGCTCAATGGCTGTATCGCCTTTTACTCCGTCCGTCCCATCATTTTTTCCCCTCCCACTTGCTCTTTTTCTTTTCTCTTTTGTTTCCTTCTCAGTTCAATCATTCAGGCGTCTGAACCCCCTCCACTTCACTCGACCTTCTCTTCTCAAATTCCATACGCCGAAATCGCCTTCAGCACCACAGTTTACACGAGTAAACGTATTCGTCAACCGCTATAACCCCACGCGGACTGCCTGCTGTCTCCTGATTTAGCTACCTCGACGAGTTTTCTCCACCGACCGGAGCCTAGACCGGACTGCGACAGCATCGGACACTCGCTCGTTGGTTGATCCCGCACCGCCATTCCTACTGCAGCCCGCTACGGTACTGCGTGCCGCGACCTTCTACCGCCAGGGCTACGTCCACACTCGGCGTTAAGAAGTAGACTCAGCCACTTACTTAACGAGCGGATTACAAAGACCATTAAACACTGTGCTACCGACCTAATACAACAGTGACGGGGCAAAAGCCGAACCTTTAGGCCCATCCACCTCTTCCGCAAATTCCCCTCCGCCGCCCTCGTGACGATCTCCAGTTCAGTTGCGCGCAACGAGAATTGAAGACCACCAACCTCATCGACAGTCTCGCGTTCTACCCACTTTCTCAAGCTTGCGAAGCTTGCCCGAACTTGCGTCTACGCCCGCCGAATCCCCCCGCCGAAACGTCCTGATTGCCGCTCTCGGTTGGCCTGCTCAATCCGTCCAACATGGACCACATGGGCTTCCAGATGCCTCACATGGGGCACCCGCCTCCATTGATGAATCAGCCGCCCCAGATCTTTGGAGCTTACACCACTGACGGCCTCCCCGTCCAGCACATGCCCCCCGATCTTGCTGCCCACATGTTCGGCGACCCATCAACGCTTCTTGACGATGCGAATGAGGCAAAGAGGAGAAGAATTGCAAGGGTAAGCTCTCTATAGTGTTCTAGTGGCGGTTACCCGTCCACTCCGTAAATGGAGGAATGGTTGCTCATCAATTACACAGGCCTGTGACATGTGCAGAAAGAAGAAGATTAAGTGCGATGGCAAGCTTCCTGCGTGTAGCCATTGCATAAACTACAAGACAGACTGCGTCTTCACGCAGGTCGAGAAGAAGCGGAACCCCCCGAAAGGGTATGTTAACCGTGTACATGGGGTTTTGTCCGGGCTATGGCTAATAACATCGTAGAGCCAAGTACATTGAAGGACTCGAGAACCGGCTAGGTCGCATGGAGAACTTGCTGCGACTCTCAGGTTTGACTTACGCGTGGCACTGAGCTTCGTTCCAAGCTAACGAGCTGTACAGGCCTGCTTGGTGAAGATGACAATGGTGAAACAGATCTCGGCACCCTTGAGAAACGCTTGGCAGAGAAGCATCAGCTGTCAAGGCAACCCTCACAAGTTGCCTCCAACCCCACCTCCCCATCTCAAGCAACCTCAGGGCAGAACGAAAATGCATCAACACCGCACAGCGCCATCACATCACCTGAGCCCACCAAAGACTCCCACAAGGAATCCAAGGAAAGCGAGAGACGTAAATCTGTGGACCCTGAGAGGAGTGAGGAAGAGGTCGAGGCATTGTCGGAGATGATGTGTTCCTTGGTCACAAACCAAAGCGGAGAGACTCGATACATTGGGTCCTCCTCTGGTTTCTCTATTTTCTCTCCAAAAGGCATCCAATGGGTTCATGAGAAGACGGGAGATAATTCGTTCCAGCAGATGATTTCCGAAGTGTCAATCGACGATCACAAGTGGACTGCGTGGAAGCCTGAGGTTTTCAGCGACCTGTTCCGTCGCCCAATCTTTAGGCCTCTGCCCCCGAAGCACGAGGCATTGTCTCTATTGAAGGACTATTTCGAAAACTTCAACTGCATGTTTCCTCTGTTTCACCAACCGACATTTATGCATTTAGTGGAGCGACAGTACTCTGACGATCCTTACGAGGGCACCGGGTGGTGGGCAAGTTTGAACTGCGCGTTGGCTTTCGCTCATCGTCTGCGTGTCATGAGCAACTTGGTGCCCCAGGAGGAGGACGAGAAGGCATGGGGTTACATTAAAAACGCACTCGGAACATTTGCTGAATTGACGATGCGGAACACGGATCTGCTCAGTGTGCAAGCGTTACTCGGCATGGCGCTCTTTATGCAAGGAACGCCAAACCCTCAACCAACATTTGTTCTCGTAGCCACGGCTATTCGTCTCGCCCACACCATTGGCTTGCATAAGAAGGGCACTGGGTTTAATCTGAACCCCATTGAAATCGAACAGCGCAAGCGAGTCTTTTGGATTGCGTACATGCTCGACAAGGATCTCTGTCTGCGTGCGGGTCGACCTCCTGCGCAAGATGACGATGATATGAACGTGGAACTTCCGGATGCCGACCCAGAGGATAACATAGGCAATATTCCATTGGCTGACGGCAAAGGCAAGATGAACTTATTCAGAGTCATCTGTGAATTCGCTACCATCGAAAGCAAGGTATATTCTAGACTATACTCGACAAAGGCAACAAAGCAGTCAGATGGCGAGCTCTTGAATACCATTGGAGAACTGGACCAGGAACTCGAAGAGTGGAAGGACAGGATTCCCATCGACTTCAGGCCGGAACACGAGATCAAGGCGTCGCACACACCCCTTATCCTCCACGTCGTCATGCTTCATCTGACCTATTACAACTGCTTGACGACAATTCATCGCATGTCGGTCCACCACGGCTACTGGACCAGCCGTCTGTCAAACTATGCCATTCAAGGACTCAACGCAAAGCCCCTGAACCCGCGCGTATTTTCCTCTGCAGCTCTCTGTACTGCAGCTGCTCGGGCGTCCATTTCTCTGCTGAAGTACATGCCTCAAGGGGACTCTTCGAGCGTTTGGTAAGTCAAGACCTGATTACAGCAACGTGAATGATCCTAACATGGTACCCCTAACAGGCTCATTCTATATTTCCCCGTATCCGCGTTGATGACACTGTTCGGAAATATCCTTCAAAACCCCCTGGACCCACGAGCCAAGTCTGACACGAAGTTAATGAATTTGGTTGTTAACTTCCTGTCCATGCTTGGACAGGAGGCTGAGGCTGGCGGTGTTCACCGCATGTTGGGCGTATGTTCTGAATTCGAGAGAATCGCCAAGCTCGTTATCGAAAAAGCGGAGAAGGACCAGTCTTCTCGCAGGAAACGTAAGAGTGATGCTGCGCCAAAGGTATCGTCAAGCCCGGCTGCATCGTCTCATACGCCTCGACCTGTGTCAGTGACAACCCCAACCCCCCAGACCGTCACCGCTGCAGCCAAATCAACCACAAATGGTCAACTGTCTCCCGATTTTTACGGCGAAGCAAATCGCCGGAGGCACGGATTCAGTCCCATGGCAACTACTTCGATGCGGGAACCATCACCTGCTCTTCCGTCTGCTGGGTGGCCACAGGAGTTTCCCATGCCGGATCAACCCAACTTTGGCAACTTTGCTGAGATGACAGGATTTGGTGGACTGCAGAACCCGCGCTCGCCACCCGTGAACATGGGCGCACCATATCAACAACCCCTTTTACCTCAAGATCTGTTTGCCCTTCCTATGACGTTAGACTGGGACTGGGCTGAGATGAGCGGGGGTGCATATCCGACTGTGGAAAACGGAAATGTTGGCTGATGCGCGAATGCTCAGTGATGATGGAATAGTGTAGTTGATGTGCGGATGAGGATACAAAACGTGACTGCGGGAAGGGAAAAGTCTGGATGAAATACGGTCTACTTATGGGCGTATGTGATGAAATCACGACACATGAAAGCATGTACAAGTAATCAGCCCAGTCGAGAGGCGAAGTATCTTTTGTTGTATTTGGAGCCCCAACGTGGACAGCGGCCATGGCGGCATTTGTATATTGCCATAGAGTGGCGGTACATTTCTCAACTGTTAATAAACGGAGAATTATTTTGTAAGACAAGTTCAGTTCCTAGTATTGAGCAGATGTGAAGAAGCATGTTCGAAATGTACACATTATTCATCGGTCAAGCACAATCTACCTGGTATAATGAATTTACTATTAGTGAGCTGGCAAATCAGCAGACGTTATCTAGTTGCGTTCGTAGCAGCCCACTACTGATTCAGTCTACGTCAGCAGTGGGAAGCCTGCAAGCAATTCAAATAGACGAGTCATTATCGGAGTTTACGGCGGAAAGGGCCCGTCTCAGCTGCGAGGATTGGGCGGGCAGAGTGGGCCCATGTTGCCTGCGGACGGAGTTTGGACGTCACGTGCCGTTAAAATATCGGGCCCGACATGAACTCATTGCTAATGGAGCTTTTGCCATCGTGTAGTCATCCGGAAAGCCTGGGCCCAATTGCCAACAGCACATCTTCGAATTCTTTCACCACCGCCTCAGTCGCAGCGGTTGGTGTCACACTGCTACATTTCAAGTTCATTGGATCTCTACTTCAATTCCCGAGGACCGCCTGACAATTCGCAGGGCGCCTCAATGAGGTAGCACATCGCTACACGCGGTGAATACTTATCAAGCCCGGCCCCGGTCGTCCCGCCTCGCCCCCTAAGCAAACACAATCATGGCGAGGTTCCTACGCCAATCGGCGCAGCTCGCGCGAGCTGTCAGGATCGCGCAGCAGCCGATCACAAGAATGCGGTTTCAACCGTCGAGAATAGCACGACTCAGTCCACAAGCGCCACTGGCGGCGTACCGATCGCGATTCTACTCGACGAACAACAACAAGCCGCCGACCCCAGAAAACGACAAGAACCCGAAAGAGGAGGAGAAGAAGCAGCCAGAGGAGGAGCAAGATCCGGCCAAACTTCGCGCGGCCAAGGAAGAGCAAATACGGAAAGAATGGCCCCTGCCCGAGAACTGGGTGTACCTCACTGAGGAGGAGCTCGGCATGCTTCTTAAGATGGCCGAGAACGACAGGCTGCCCCAATTCCAGAAGGAGTTCTTCATCAAGAGCGTGGAGGAGATGAGGTTGTTGGGAGCTCCCAAGGAGATGCAGGAGCTTCTTGGCTCTTTGAAGGAGCGCAAGTTGAAGTTGTCCGTATCCGACATCAGCAAGGTCCTCCGTGTCTCCACGCAAGTCGCCAAGCGATTCTCTGACTACGAGGCGACGGTGATGATGCGTGAAGATCAGGAAGCGCAGAAGAAGGGCCAGAAGGAGCAGCAGGAGGACCAGGAGGGCAAGCAGAAGGATGAGCGCAACCAGAACCCCGAGTCTGGCGAGGGTGGCACTGGTGGATCCGGTAGCAAGAAGTGGCTCTTCGGCATGTTCAGCACCGGCGATCTGATTGTTGCCGCTATCGTTTGGGCGGTGATCCTGCCATTCTTCGAGTCCTTGCTCTTCGGCTCCGAGAAGGAGATCACCTGGCAGGAGCTGCGCAGAAACTTCCTGGACAAGGGACTCGTCAACAAGCTCGTCGTCATCAAGAACCCCGGCCGTGTTCGTGTTGAGTTGAACCGCGAAGGTGTGCAGTCGGTTTACGGCGGCAACGAGGGTATCAACCCCAACGTCCAGTACTACTTCTCGATCGGCTCGGTCGAGATGTTCGAGAAGCAGCTCGAGGAGGCCCAGAACGAACTCGGTATCCCGACTGCGGAGCGTATCCCGGTCAGCTACGCCAGCGAGGGTGGCATTATGCCTTTGGTTTACGCTTTTGGCCCAACACTGCTCCTGGTTGGTCTTCTGTACTACACTACGAAGCAAATGGGTGGACGTGGAGGCAACCAGATGTTCGGATTCGGCAAGAGCAGGGCTAAGCGTTTCAACCACGAGACAGCCATCAAAGTCAAGTTCAACGATGTCGCTGGTATGGACGAGGCCAAGACCGAGATTATGGAGTTCGTCAGCTTCCTCAAGACTCCTGAGCGCTTTGAGAGGTTAGGCGCTAAGATTCCCCGTGGCGCCATTCTTGCCGGACCCCCCGGTACTGGTAAGACGCTTCTTGCCAAGGCCACGGCTGGCGAGTCTGGTGTTCCTTTCTTCAGCGTCAGCGGTTCCGAGTTCGTTGAGATGTTCGTCGGTGTGGGACCTTCCAGAGTGCGAGACCTGTTCGCAACTGCTCGTAAGAACGCGCCTTGCATCATCTTCATTGACGAAATCGACGCCATTGGTCGGTCAAGACAGGAGGGCAACCGCATGGGCGGCAATGACGAGCGAGAGGCCACCCTCAACCAGATTCTTACCGAGATGGATGGTTTCAATACTCAGGAGCAGGTTGTCGTTCTTGCTGGCACCAACCGAGCCGACATTCTCGACAAGGCTTTGATGCGTCCTGGTCGTTTTGACAGGCACATCTTCATTGACCGCCCTACGATGAAGGGCCGTCAGGACATCTTCAAGGTCCACCTCGCCAAGGTCGTCACCAAGGAAGACATGGAGCACCTGACTGGTCGCTTGGCAACGCTCACTCCTGGCTTTTCTGGTGCCGACATTGCCAACGCCGTCAACGAGGCCGCTTTGATTGGTGAGTCGTATTTGTTATCCTTTACTACATCTTAGCATTTTACTGACATGTTGCAGCTGCCCGTGCCAATGCCGAGTCAGTGGAGATGATTCACTTCGAACAGGCCATTGAGCGTGTTGTCGGAGGACTCGAGCGCAAGTCTCTGGTCCTCAACCCCAAGGAGAAGCGCACAGTGGCTTACCACGAGGCTGGTCACGCTATCTGCGGCTGGTACTTTGAGCATGCCGATCCTCTCCTGAAGGTTTCCATTATCCCTCGCGGACAGGGTGCGCTGGGTTACGCCCAGTACCTCCCGTCGGGAGATGCCTACCTCATGACGGTGCAGCAGCTGATGGACCGCATGGCCATGACGCTGGGTGGACGCATCTCTGAGGAGCTGCACTTCCCCACTGTCACGACGGGTGCCAGTGACGACTTCCGCAAGGTCACCCAGATGGCGCGCAAGATGGTCACCCAGTGGGGCATGTCGGAGAAGGTCGGTCCTCTCCACTTTGACGACGACCCGAACACCCTGCAGAAGCCCTTCGCCGAGGCTACGGCGCAGGCCATTGATGCGGAGGTGCACAGAATCGTGGAGGAGGCTTACAAGCAGTGCCGCGACCTGCTGACGGAGAAGAAGCACGAGGTTGGAATCGTGGCGGAGGAGCTCCTGAAGAAGGAGATGCTCACTCGCGACGACTTGGTCCGTCTTTTGGGTCCCAGACCGTTTGGCGATCACCAGGAGTTTGAGAAGTACTTTGGCGGCCAGGGACAGAAGAGCGCGCCGCCACCATTCCCCACGGAGGAGACGGACGGACCCCCGGAGCAGCCTCCTGTTCCTCCTACACCCACATTCAAGGGTCTGGAGGACAGCTCGAGGAAATAAGGAAGGAGGCGAGATGTTGGCGTCGTAACCTGTAGCCCTTGTAGGGGTTCTGGGCTCTACTGAGAAGCAATTTTCTAAGCGGAAAATGTTCTTGAACCTCACAGGCATGGTCGGACATCAACGACGTAATTTTTTCTAGTCTAAAGGGATAAAAAAAGGCTCTCAACTCTGCCCTTCGTGGCGGCTGTGTTATTAGTAGAGGCATCACCATCGCGGGCTGGAGTAGAGTGGGACTTTATATGTACTTGTAGGAATTGTAGATACATTCAGCTTGACTCTCTCAAAATACCAAATGCCCTGCAAAGGGATATGAACAAGACGTTTTCTTTGGAGGCCTACCAGCGTGGAAGAAGCCCGACAGGGAAGAAAACCAAAGTAGGGCGTGGACTGGATGGACCGTTACTTCAAGCCTGAAGCACAGTGCATGCAAAGGATTCGCCCGTGTGACTGGTCGCATCAGTCCGTCGAGGTAAAGTGGTGTCATTCGGGGTTAAGAGCATACTCAGAGTTTTTCGAGACGGATCGCTATTGAACAATATCGGATGGACAGAGACCAAGATGTTGCCGATCTTCCTTGGGTAGCCGACCGGCCCGTTTAGATTGTACCACGCACTGCAACTTAAGACCAGCTCACACCATTAATTCGGCAGGGAGTCTGTCTCACAACGTCAGGACTGTAGGGCACTAAAGAAAAGGGAAAAAAACATCAGCTAGAAAACTCCTGACATTGGAGACATTGGCAGTGGATCCAGGTTGGTATTTTCACAGCATTTCATTCGTCCAGAGCCTGTGGTTGTTGAGAGAGACTCTCTGCCCGGGCAGATTTTCCGCTGAGTACGACCAATGGGAAGAGTTTGCCGCGACATTTCCGAGGTACATGCTAGGCCGGTTTATTGATACCGCTCTGAAAAACATCCCCCAGCAGCCCAATATGCATGTGGCGACTCACTACGTAGTATAGTTAGTGTGTATTGACACGGGCAGCGGTGACGGCCGCGGGGAACCCTTCAACTTTTTGCCGTCATCATTTCCTCGCCTCCCTGGTTACTGCGTAGCTCGTGATATCTTTTCTCTACCCTTGTTCAATATGACTTTACCGATGAGACGAGATCTTGGAGGAAAATAATTCGGCATTTTAACCTTGCTAGAGTTCCAGTTGGGCGGGACTTGGCCTCCTGTTATCGCCCTTGAGTCCACGCCAGGTTCAGAGTGATTGTTTTCCGTCTCTATTCCTTTCCGTCTCTGCCTTTACCTTGCAGTTTGCCTTTCCTGCAGTTACATCTGCTCCGCAATCAATCAACAACTACGGGTACCTTTTTTTCATCATCTGCACCGCCCCCAGCGAATCCAGAATCCATCTCGAGCACCGTTGCCCTGTCCTGTATACCCTTGCCAAGGCAGATCCATACAATCTTAAATACAACCACCACCACCCACCCACATCCTCAAGTAGTCTAGCCAAGGAGTTACCTACTTGCATCTCTACCACCCAGTCACCAGCCTTGTTATATAGAGGGTAGACTCTTTCGCAGGCATGCCCGCGTTCCGGCCTTTATTTGCTTTTTGTTAGTTGTCGTTGGACTTCCGACTTCTTATATGGGCTACTTTTGTTTTTGATTCTGTTCATTGCACTAAAACAGCGTCATTGTAAACCACGTCGGACTGTGCGAGGGTTACATACCCCGACCAGACAACAACGCAATTCACCCCAAAACTTTTGGCTCCTCGTCAAACCGTCACTCGTCGCCTGCAATGGCACCCAACAGCGACGAAAAGTCGGCTGGACCGTTGCCTCACAGCCCCAGGCCGGGAGAGGCGCCGCCAACCAGCCAAAATGTCGATCGCGGCGCCCGTCGCGGCGGTCGCTCTGCGTGGTGGAAGACACCACTCTTCCGGGGTATGATCAACGACATTCGGCGCCGAGCGCCGTTCTACGTCAGTGACTGGGTTGACGCGTGGGACTATCGTGTTGTGCCCGCGACGGTGTATATGTATTTCGCAAAGTAAGTGGTGGCATTGTCTCTTTAGAAACCCCCTCGTGGCAGTTGTTTTCGTTACCCACGGATGGTTCTGTTTGTGGATTGCCTCTATGCCATTGCCATTGTCACAATGACATAGCATCATGTTGTCGATTGGCTTTATTATGATCCTAAGCAAGACTAACACACAGACATTAGCATCCTCCCCGCCCTAGCCTTCTCACTCGACATGTTCACCAGTACTGGCTCGACATACGGTGTCAACGAAGTCCTGCTGGCATCTGTCCTCGGCGCCGTCGTGTTTTCATTGCTCGCTTGTCAACCTCTGGTTATCGTCGGTGTGACCGGCCCCATCACCGTCTTCAACTACACCGTTTACGATATCATGAAGCCAACGGGGGTGAACTACCTTGCTTTCATGTGTTGGATTGGCTTGTAAGTACTCTCTCCATGTCGTCCTGCCCACTTGATGGAGTTCTCCTCTAACGAGTAACTGCAGATGGTCATTAGTCTTCCACTGGATCCTCGCCGTTACAAATTCGTGCAACTGGCTGCGCTACGTGACTCGCTTTCCTTGCGATATCTTTGGCTTCTACGTCGCCTGCATCTATATCCAGAAGGGCATCCAGGTCCTCGACAGACTGGGCGACGCCGAGCCGTTCTACCTATCCATTGTCGCCGCCTTGCTCGTCTTCATAGTCGCGTACGTCTGCGCCGGGATCGGCGGAAGCAGTCTGTTCCACCATCACGTACGGATATTCATCAAAGACTACGGCACTCCGCTCACCCTCATCTTCTTCACGGGTTTCGTCCACATCGGCAGGATGAAGCCTATTCACCTCGAGGTGCTTCCTACGGGCATCGCGTTTATGCCGACTGCAGATCGCAGCTGGCTTGTAGATTTCTGGAACATTCCCGTCGGAGACGTGTTTCTTGCCATTCCGTTTGCTATTCTGCTGACAATTCTGTTCTGGTTTGACCACAACGGTTTGTGTCCCTACTCTCCCCTGATGTCCCTTGACAGTTATGCTGACTGATATAGTTTCTTCTCTTATCGCCCAGGGAACCGAGTTTCCTCTTCGGAAACCCGCCGGTTTCCACTGGGACCTCTTCCTTCTCGGCTTGACAACTGGCGTTGCCGGCATCCTCGGCCTGCCGTTTCCTAACGGCCTCATCCCCCAAGCCCCTTTTCATACCGAGTCTCTCACAGTCACAAAACCTGAGCCGGAACTCGACGAAAAGGGTGAGTTCAAGGGTAAATACGTCACAAAGGCGTCTCACGTCGTCGAGCAGCGCGTCTCCAACCTGGCCCAGGGCCTGCTTACTCTTGGCACAATGACGGGCCCGCTCCTCGTCGTGCTGCACCTGATCCCTCATGGCGTTCTCGCCGGCCTTTTCTTCGTAATGGGCGTTCAAGCGCTGGAGGGCAACGGCATCACACTGAAACTTATCTTCCTGGCGCGCGATAGGCACCTCACACCCTCGAGCCACCCCCTGAACCAGATCCGACGCAGCGCCGTGTGGTGGTTTGTGGCTATTGAGTTGATCGGCTTCGGCGCCACCTTTGCGATCACGCAGACGGTGGCTGCGGTTGGCTTCCCCGTGTTCATCATGCTGCTGATCCCCATCCGCGCGTGGCTTCTGCCGAGATGGTTCTCGGCACAGGAGCTGGGAGCGCTGGACGGGCCCACCGCCAGCCCCTTTACGATGGAGAGCGTGGGTGGCGTGTACGGCGGCGACGCGAGCGAGGACTCGGACGAGACGAGGGTCTCGGGGTACAGTGACGGCGATTTACCGGCGAGTAGACACGCTTCTGGAGGAAGTCAGGGGGTCTTGGCGTCGAACGCGGCTCCCGGGAGAAGCTTGGAGGATACGGCGGAGCTGGGGCTTTCGAGGAGTAGAGAATCTAATGGGGCTGCTCGAAGGGGAGGACATGTTCATACGACTGAATGAGACGGCTACATACTTTGGCGAGAGTGGGATGCCTACTGGGGAGTAATAGAGACATAATACGGTATCGTCCGGGCTTCAAGCCGCGGGCGTCGTTGGGGTTTGGTTAGACGAGAGTATTCGGGGCATTAGATTCCAGATGGTTATCTGTGGTATATAAGCTCTAGATGTCTAGGCCAGTTATAGCGCATGGTCTTTCGGTAGGAGAGACAGTGGAACATAATCGAGATTCATATTTGCGTCATGTTGTGTCTGCAAAGCTTTATAGTGGTGGTGTAGTATTTGGTGTATGGCGAAAATGAAGCAATGATTCAAAATGGCTATATGATCTAAGTAGTACTGGTGTATCTATAACTTTGGTACTGATAATAAAGGCCATGAGGTTTATAAAAACGTCACTAGTTTTCTGCTTGGCTCACTTTCTACTACGGACGAGGCTGGCATGAGTCCTGGCAATGACGGATGTCGGAGGGCGAAAGTAGGGGTAATAACAAAGTAACTATTGGAAAGAACGCCGAATGACAGTATTTTGTTGGGGCTTTTGAGCACCAGATTAGATGAACTATTTAGAAAAATCCAACACCTTTTCCCTGGGACTTGAAGACTTGACTGGTTCTTCAAAGTTACCATGCTGCCTTCAACTAGATAAACGGTGAAGTATAGACCCTTTGTGAAATGGTCACAACCAAACTATACTACTCCTTCCCTATTCTCTAAGACTCTTCTGGGTTGTTCTCATCCAGACAGCAAACTGCCAAGTTTCAAAAGCCCTTCTACAAAACCAGCAAACGAGCAAGCCCGCCACATTCACACACCCAACGAACCTCCTTTCCATCCAACTTCCACTTGACAAAAAGTCACCGTTCTCGCCCCCAACATCGGCAAGCACATGCTCTCAACCGGCACGATCAGCCAGCCCCCCATCCCGTGCCAAGCCGTCGCCCCTGAGAGCTGCCGATGGCGACTAGGAGACACCCAGCTGGGAACGTGCTGCTGGATGCGCTGGGATGATAGCTCTCTTGCGATGACAGCTCGAGAAGGTGAGCCCCTGAATGTTTCTCGGCAGAAGAATGGAGTGAGGGGGGGCGAGGAGGATACCCTGCTGGCGCCGTTTCGACGTCGTGTTTCTAAGTTACAATGGGGCCCCGTGATGGAGGTGATGCTCGGTTGCCTATCCCGTTGCCACGATGGAGCAATTTTCGCGTTGTTCGCATGAAGTTACCCAAAGAGACCATCTCTAGTATCGTCTTGTTCTGGATGTTCGGGGGCTGCCTTGTGTAGTATACTCCCCCGTCGGTAATACTGCTCCCCGCCACGACCCGTTGTACAAACGTGCTGATCAATATCCGGTTGTCGCCAATACATGTTATAAGTGAGACAGGTCTGGTATCCGACGAGACGGCTCCATCGTAGAAGCTCTATAGAAGCTTTTGATATCACATGTGGGACAAACGGTGTGGTCTTTATTTGGAGCAAGCGGATACGTGTGAGTGAGTGGCGGGCGGGTTTGTATGAGATTGACTATATGGATTAGAGGAATGCGGCTTTTGGTGATCCATGAAGAGCCGCGGCGCTAAGCCTTGTTGAACGTAAGTTGAAACGGTCCATCTGGGTGCTGTAACTGCCTAACTTCCTACTGGAGATCTTGGACTCGACGAGTTCACGGTGATGAGAACTTGGAAGTCGCGGAAAGCATTCCAATGACGTCTTGGTAGACGATGCTCTGCTATCTATGGTACACTCCTAACTTCCTAGAGTTGGAGGAACTCCTCGAGAGCAACCGCACGATGACGTTCCCTGATGGTACAGAGAGCAGCTAAACTCAGCCTCGCTTTAATTATTTTTACAGCCCCCAATCCCCGCCCCCAAACTCCAGCCCGGGATCAAGAGCGTTTTTTTGGAGTTACAACTTGATTCGCGTTTCTTATAGAGCATTTTGCCACTTCACGTGGCGGAGTAGCCATCGTTCCTGGCGCGGGACACGCAAATAGATGAAAGCGTTTACGCGAAACAAGAGGGGAGGGATGGTTTATTGGCGCTTGCAGGCAACACAGCTCCACGTTCCTTGATTCTATCTACAGAGCCTCATGGAAGATACTATCGCCAAACAGGGAGACCCGTCTGTCTTGACTGTTAATAGATGTAGTGTTGTGTATATTTGGAATTGACTGGGTTACGGGAGGGTCTTGCTACGCTTGCAATATGGAACCCACGTGTTTCTCAGAAAGATCGCGTGGGATTGTATATTGAAGATTATCAGATTGATTTTTATCAGTCTTTTGGCTTTTTGGCCCGTTTTTACGGTATCTTTTGTCTCTTTCTGCCATTTTTGGTTGTGCAGTGAAGTCAACGGCAATGCGCCGATTGAACTCGTGTGTTGAACCGTTGGGAGGCGACAGTCAACCAGAGAGAAACAAGAGAGTTTCGTAAAACAGACAATTGAGACTCGGGTGAATTGCTAGAAACAAATTTGCTCTATATCAAAGCGTTGGGTGACGTTACCGATAAGCCCGCACTGAACCGGCGACTTTAACAGTTGCTGACGAGGAGGCTGAGTTGACTGTCCAAAGGCTATGCCGCCCATCACTGCCCTTTCCGACGTGCTTTCGGGGTCCATCTCGCCATGATCTACCTTCCAGATAACACACAAAGTCACTGAACTCTTTGTCGATCCGCTGACTCTACGTCTCTACGCTCTGCCCTTTTGATCAACGTTCCCTTCAGAGCAGGTTAACCATGTAACTCCCCCACAAAGTCAGCCCATTTGCAACAACACGATACAACATAAGCGCAAATGACACCATGATGAACCATATAATAAATCTCAATTATCAATGATCATCCTTCACACCAGACATGATCAGAAAGTTGAACTCTCAGCGCAAAAAAACAGTCACGTGGCGTGTTTCCGAACCCGGGAACCGCGGCCTCCAAACGACAGAACAACAGTCTCACGACAATCAACGACGAGGCCGCCGATCAGCCGTCTCACAAACAAGGCCCAACGCAACCGAGTGTTTTGCTAGAGAAAAGGAAGAAAGAAAAAAAAAAAAAAAGGCCGCAAGTTTCGCAAGGCAACGACGTCCCTCCAAGCAGGGCACTCCACGGCGGATAAAATCGGTTCGACTGTTGTTCCGGGCTACCTTACCGTTCAGTCTTTTTCTTACCTTACTGTGGCCCTCGGGAAGGGGGAAGCCAACCTCCTTCGGCAACAGGAAATGATCAGCGTCATGCGCGGAGAAAGGAAAAAAAAACAAAAAAAAACACATGCGAACCACGGTTCATAGCTTTTGCTGCAATGTGACACGCTTTACGGTAGTTGTCCGCGGCATCTTGACTCTCTCACTGCAAAGATGAACACACTATGAAAATCCCCTCCCCTTCCCCCCTTTCCCCCCCTATCTCATCAACCGTCGACGACAAATCCACATGACTCCGCGATGGTGATACCGGCGGCAGAAATCCGGACACCACGGAAAAAAAGTACAGCAAAAGATAAAACGCGTGCCTATTTACACAATACTCTTTTCGAGCTCTTAGCTCGATAGCTGCGACGTCGGACTGGGGTCCGGCTGCGGACTCCGTGGACCGATGAATGGGGGTTCCCTTCGCAACAAAACATTGTTCATTGTCTCGGCCGATCCAAGGTCACCGAGAAAAGAGAGAGGGTGGGGGGGGGGGGAGAAAGAGCGGCTTCGCAATGTATTCTGAGACTTCGGTGCCTACGGGTGGCCTGGTTTGAGGGCAATCTATCGGACACCCGTGAAAGGCGGGAGGGCGAAACGGGCGCCGGTTTGCCCAACCGGAATACGAAGTGGGCACGCTCGGCAGAAAGAGAATGCGAGATAAGAGAATGAAGAGGCAGGTAGAATACGCACACAAGCACATGCAAGTTCCACGCCGGGATCCGTCGTCGGTGTGCCGCGTTTCTGCGGTGTACAGCCACGCGGAGGACGGCCGATGCCTGTGAACGGGGCCGCGGAAGCAAAACCGAAGTCTAGACCCGTGCTCTTCTCATGGGTTGGCGGTTGTTCCAACTCTTCCCTATCCTTCCACTGCCCCCCCTCCCAACCGTAACAGCAGCCTCCGGTCCCGGTCATGTCGGGTTCACATGAATGGCCGTTCCTTGTTCTGTCCTGGAGCAAAATCAAAAAACCACCAATCCCGGCCGTCCTCATGGCCCTCCCCCCTCACCGGAAACGCGGACGATCGTAAACTCTCATCCCGACTTGATCGGCCGATGAGCAAGAGTTCGTAATCGCAGCCCTGAACTCTCAGCCCTCAGCACTCAACCGCGGTAAAAACTGATCAAACCAAACCCCCAATAATGCCGGACTGGTGGCCTTACGAGGGGAGGGATTTCCTCTTTCGGGTTTCCCATAGCATGAAACACGCCCTGCGGGGACGGCTTGCAATGGTGATGCGAGGGCACCCAGGAAGCCATCGTTCCATATGCGCGGGAGACGCGCATGCCTGCAACATGTGGTGGAGGGAAAGAGGGCCGCCAGAAGAAAAAAAGCCAACAACAATAAGTGAGGCTTTTAATCACCCAGACACGGCATGACATGATACGACGGACTGAACGACGGTTGGTGGATTTCTAGGCAGCGAGTTGAGCTGTTTGAAGCATGTAAATGGACATAACCCAATCGACTCTGAATAGGCAAGTGTGGATTTGCGCTCCAGGTGCCCTGAGGTGGAAGGTGTTGACTTCTCCGAAAACTCTCTCTTGATTTGACCTTGGACTTGCAAGGAGCTCGCTGCTACCCAACGGTTAATGCAGAGGACGGGTCTCATTCGTCACGTAGCTAACAACCTCGGTGCAGGTGCCCGTCGTCTGACAGAGTAGCTCTTGTGTAGGGCAACCTTAACTGGCAGGTAGTGAGGCACGTGGCGTCCGTGAGGAGGGAAGGGGGGGGAGGAGACAAGCGTTGACCACCCGAGCTATTGCGTCCTGTCAAACCTTCTCCAAAGAGGTAGCCAAATCGTCGGCGTGGGAAGTA